CTTTTGGCTGTGTTATAGCTGGAGATTTTAATGCGGGCGACACATCCTGGGACTCGAGCAATCCAGGATATCATGGTGGCGTCATACTGGCACAGACTATGGCAGACCACGGACTGGATCTGATTTCTGAACCAGATGTCCCAACACATGACGATAGAAATGTACTGGATCTGGTGTTCTCAGATGTCCCCATGGCTGAAGCCTCAGTTAATGATGCACTTCAGTGCACCTCAGATCATGAGACATTACGAATAGTCATTCCAATTCAGGGAGATCGGGACCGAATTCCTAAGGCCAATCATTAGATAGTACCGGACGATAAACTACAAGAGCTGGCAGACAATGTCCAAACCAGGATTCATGAACTCCCCTGGCTGGGTGTATCCCCTGGCCAGGTGGATACCTTTACACAAAACTTGATCAATATGATCCAAGGCTGTATCAGGACAGTAGGCAAGAAGCCCCGTCAATCTAGGCCCACTGCTTGGTGGAATGATGACTACAAAGCAGCTATTCAGATATACAGGGCCCTTTCTAAACAGACCATAAGCTAAGAAGGGCGAAATTCAGCCCGACGGGAATTTCGCTATGTGGTCCGAAAAGCTAAGAGAGAGTACTAACAGACTCTAATTGATTCAGCGACTGAACCAAAAGACCTGTACAGAATTGTTTCCTGGCACAAGCTGTCAGCAGGATTGCGTTCTCCCCCAATCATTATAGGAGACCAAATCTTTGAGTCACAAGAAACAAGGCAAATGCACTACGCTTAGCCACGCTTGAACGAAGTACCCCAGACAACGATATTATTGACCCCTGGTCTGCTCAGATCATACAAGCCAAGCCACATATCCCCCTTGAATACCATGTCGGACTAGAAGAGGCTGAAGGGTGCACTATAGGGACCAAGAGCAACTCCCCAGGAGTAGACACCCTCACAGTACGGATTCTGAAAGCTTGCTGGCCAGTCATTGGGGAGCATATCAGAGCCCTTTTCCAGACCTGTCTATAGATTGGACACCACCCTAAACCATTCAAAGTAGCTGAGGTGGTGATGATCCCAAAGCCAGGCAAGAAAGACTACTCTAACCCCAGGGGCTACAGACCAATATCGCTATTATCATGTCTTGGCAAAGGCCTAGAATGACTCATTACAAAAAGAATTGCCTGGTTTGTCATCAAACTCGGAATTCTAGCTCCACAACATTTTGGAGCTCTGCCAAAGCGCTCTGCCGCCGACTTGGTAGCTGCACTCATACACAATATTGAGCAGGCCCTTGACCAAGGCCTTGTTGCAATGGTAGTCACAGCAGATGTGACAGGGGCCTTCGACGCTGCCCTAATGGGACGGCTGGTGGTTCGCATGAGAGAACAGGGCTGGCCAGACTTTCTTATAAAATGGGTCCAGTCATTCATGTCCGAACGGTCCGCAAGAGTTCGGTTTGAAGGTATTGTGACCAACATAAAAGCTCTCACTTGTGGGCTACCACAAGGCTCACCAGCTTCTCCAATCCTTTATATGCTGTATATAGAGCCAATCTGTGCCCGACTCGGTATGAAAAGGAGACGCTTTGGATATACAGACGACCTAGCGACTCTCTGTATTGGAAAGGACCTTAAAGAAACAGCCAAAGAGGCTTCTGAAAATCTTTATCTGCTCAACCAATAGGGACATAACAATGCTATTGAATTTGATCCCAACAAAACCGAGATCATGCACTTCTCACGGAAAAAGAACTCAGACAATCCTCCGGTCCGGCACGGGACAATAAACAGAACAGCAAAGAACTCCATGCGATGGCTAAGTGTCTTCCTGGATAGAAAACTGAACTTTAAAAATCACGTTTCCTACTGGGCCAAGAAAGCTAGTAAGGTAGCAAACCACCTTCGAGGACTATGCAACACAGTCAAAGGACTTCCAGTAAAGTCAATCAAGAGGGCTGTGAAAACTTGTGTTATTCCTATTCTTACACATGGCCTGGAGGCCTGGTACCCAGGAATAAAAAAAATTGGGAGCTTAGGTGGGACATCAGCATGTCGCATTAAAGGGCTTCTTAGAACGATAGATGCTGTACTACGAACGGCAATCAGAGCTATCTTGCCAGTCTGGAAAACACACCCTGGACATATCCTACACTTTGAATCACAGATTCCTCCAGCAGGAATTCTTACAGAGTCAATAAAAAGACGTCACGGCCTCCGACTCGGACGAGTAGACCAGAGACACCCTCTTGTTGGCAGGCTCCAAATACAAGCTCGCAAAGAACCAACAAGGCTATAAAGGAGCTTCCAATTAGTCCCTGACTTCCAGAGACCAATATTCACCAAGCCATTATAAAAAAAGCCCCCAGTCCGTAAAGACAAAGACAAAAAAATAGAGCTCTTTAAGCAATGGCTACAAAAAAAAAATACGAACACTGACCTTGTCATCTACTCAGATGGATCACAATTGGACGACCAAGGCACAACCCGCACTGGATGGGGCTATACCATCAGGAAAGGCGGCACTACACAAGAAGTTTACCGGGGAAAGGGCAGACTTCTACAAGCAGAAGTAGTGGATGCTGAAGTCCATGGTGCTCTCTAAGGTCTTGCAGCAGTCAGGGCAATTGGACACGGAAAACAGCTATATGTCTGCCTGGACAACACGTCAGTGGTGGATGGGCTCAATGGGACTCCACCCGAGACATCACAGAACATTTTTCTGCGATTCCAAGAACTCGCCACAGCACACACTCCTGGAGTAACCATCAAGTGGATTCTTGGACACAGAGATATTGATAGTAACGAAGCTGCCGATATATTAGCAAAAGAGGGTGCTATGCTAGAAACAGACACAACAAACCTTCCTATAATCTCTTAGGTCAAGAGAGATCTCAAAAGAAAGGGCAAGAAAGAGTTCAACTAATGGTGAAAAGACCAATCAGAACCTAGATATCAAGAAGTATACTCACATACAGTAACTAAAAGAGGCCTTATATCCTTTAAGAGGAGCACTTTACACAGACTTCTAGCGGCCAGATCTGGATATGGCGACTTTACCAGATACTACGAACGCTTTGGGCATACAGACTCGAATGATCATTACAATTATGGTGAAAAGAAAACACCACAATACATTTTCTTTTGTAAGAGGCTGAGGAAAAATCGGCTGCTGCCTAGGTACTCGCTTAGGACAGCTTGTTTACAATACTTAGGAGAGAGGAGCACAAAATAGGCAAATTTTGTGGAGAAGAACAAATTCTTTTCATCAATCTGCCCTCGATAGATAACTGTTCTTGAAGGACCAGATGGATGACCCAAGGTCATACCGCCGCAACAACGGGGATGGGCCCGTGAGCGGGACTGACTGTACTTATTTTCTTGAGACCTCCACAACCCTGCGATGCAGAGGCTCTGGGAGGCGTGGTCTGCACTACTGAGGAGCTACCCCCCACGTTAAAAACAAAACAAACAAACAAACAAACAAACAAACAAACAAACATACTGATAAAGTCGTCGATGATATACCAGGCCTCTTCTGATGCCTTGCTGCAGGGTGCCTCCCCAGCCAGATTTTGGAGGCGTGTGATAGCTTGTGCAATACTGGGTGACCCATCATCTTTCTCCCCTGGGAACCTTGAATGCGAGGCGAACTGGCTGGCAAGGGCGGCTGCGTTGGGGGTGTTGAGTTGACATTGGACCCGATTCAGCATACCCACCTTAATATCATTTTGCTGCTTGGAAGCAGCTGTCAATGTCTGTATTGCATTATGAATCGAGTTCAATTCAAGAGACTGGACCGTAAGATGTTGCGAAGCTAAAGCGTTGAGGGCGTCAAGCTGATGGCTTGCTTTGTTGAGACTTGAACTTATTATCGTTAATAATCAAGCACTCATGGAAATATCCAATGAGAGAAAGTAAATGAGACTTACTGATGGGAAAGCCCGAGGTGGAGTGCGAGCTTGTCTGCGTGACTGCTGACAGCGATCCTCATCTGAAGCAGATCCCTCTCACTGAAGATAGCCTTGACTTTCTTCCAGAGCTTGCCTCCCTTTCGGTCGGCAGAGGAGACCGCGAAATGCTCCAATCGTTCGGCATACTCGGTGACGTCGTCATTGCAGGCTCGGATGAGATCTCTGATATAAGGATCCGAGTTCTGGGTGGCGAGTTCTGGGTGGCGTGTTCTGGCTTCAATTGCTCGAAGACGTACTTGAGACTCTTCACATCCGCGGCAACCCTGCCGACGTGGTTGGGCCAGTCTCTGACGACTGAAAATACGTCGTGGATGGCTTTTATCGACCGAAAGCCCAGCACAGCGAATGTCACGGCGCTGGCAATCGTCTCCATTGCAAGTAATGCATGTAATGCCAACCTGATGATGCTCAAGGTCGCCGGGGCGTGCACAGGTACCTCGAGGAAAGAGTGGGCGACAAGAGAGAAAGAATACGCAATGCAACCGAATGCAGGCTATGCCGCCCACTGTAGGACCGAAGTGCTGCCGCTGTGTCATGCACTCAAGGCGTCTCGTCCCCGGCCAGCCCGACTTGCTCGTAAACACTTTGCCCTCAGGGTTCTCCAACATGTTCTCGAAGATTTGAATACGCCGTTAAAACCCATGTAAATTGATTTTCTTTTTGATTTTCTAGATGGAAGTTCGGTGGAGTTATTTAAAGTTGAAAAGGGGGTTTCCACATGTATAATAACTGAGTCGAGGTTTAGGTTCCCCTCTGAGCTTGCTTATAAGGTCCTCCCCTTCTCGGGGATCCTTGAGTATCTGATTTGGGTATCTTCTGAAACACAATCGCCGCGGACCAAGCTGAGATGATCTAGTCTAACCGCCCGCACCTGCCGCCAATGATGCCCGTCCCCAATGCAGTGCTATATACAGTGTACATGTTCTTACAGAGCGCCCATGATACATGCTGTCCTGGTGTGAGGATCAGCTCGCTCGCCAAAGGGCCGAGGGGAGCGGATATCTGAGAAATTCATTTTAATCAAGGCAAAGCTCGTAAGCCTGGTGCCTATCGTTCTCGATCTTGCGCAACCCGCCCCCATTCCCGTTGAGCTCGAGCAACTCCGTCAAGTCCGAGACCCAGATTCGCCGGCCGGGATCGGCTCGGCTTGACGAGGAAGTCTCGCTTTTTTAATTTGGCAAACATCCTGTCCTCTTCAAAGAAAGCGCCAGGCCTGGCGAGGTCGACCGGGTGCTTGCGGAGCTCTTCCAGCATTTTGATAGCCTTTTCCCTCAGACCCCTGGGGAATATGCTGAACGCTCTCACTGTGCGGTCGTTCGACTGGATGCCGGCTTCTTCCAAGTATCGCATCGCCTTGACCGCACCTCTCACGTCCCTCTCGAGAGCAAATGAGGTGATGAGGGCATTCCAGGTTACGATGTTCGGCTGTACATCCCCGGTCTTAGACATCAGGTTAAGGACGTGAATTGCGCCTTCAGTTTGCCAGTGGTTCTTGAAGCCATTGAGCAGTATCGTCCACGTGTGAACCGAGGGCGAGTGGTAGAGGCGGTTGTAGCCCAGCTGCTGTTTTTCCCTTTTCGCGCGGAAGAGCATAGTTCGAACTATGTCTAGAGCGAAATCAAGGGAAATCTTGTATTGCAGAAACGCTCGCAAGAAAATGTCGTATACAAGGGTCTGGTGCTTTTCAAGAAGACCCACTGCAGTAAGATCCTCTGCGGACACAAGGTGTTTGAAATGGGCGTAGTAGCGACGCAAGTTGCTCGGCCCATGGATGGTTCGCATGTGTGCTCCTAGCATGGTGGATAAAGTGATGCTATCAGGCTGCATGAGCATAGACTCTGGCTGTGGTGGCAGAGAGGCCATCATCTCACTAACAGGCGTTGTATGCTTTTGGGGGGCGCTGCTTGAGACCAGGACGTTTTCCAGTGGGAAAAGCGTGAGTTTCTGTAATGGGGCGAGGTCGTAGAACTTGGCGTACAATTGCAACATTGGCCGCCATGCATTGCTACTCTTCTTTCGTTGCCTCCGTCGTCGCTCCTGCTGTGCCTCATTATCCCGACGAATGATCTCCAGACAGTCGTTGACAATTACTGGCGACCACGCTCCACGCTCGCCGATGACGCGCAGAATTCGTCGCGCAGATGCAATATCCATATTCTGAGTTGCTCCATTGAAGAGGATCGAGTATACGTGAGTGTCTGGCTCGATGCCGTGCTGGAGCAGAAGTTCGAAAATTGTCCATGCGGTATCAATATGTCCCCGAACACAGAAGTTTCGCATCAATGCAGACAACCCCAGAAGGTTTGGACGAAGTCCGCGCTCGAGCAGCAACTTGAACAGTTCGTCTGGGGCAGCATGCCCTTCCGGCAACGGCCCATTTTCGTTGAGTGTAAGTAGAGAAGTACAAACGCTTGCAGCGGCCGGGGAGTTGATATCAAATCCAGGTATTTCCGTCAAAGAGTAGATGATGTCGGCGGCATGTAGCTTATGTTCAGCCGATGCTGCAAAGTGACTCGCAAAATGCAGCAATGTGTTTGCGTGAAGCGGGTGCTCGGTCCTTTTCAGGTCTTGGTAGAAGTCGACAAGCTCATCGTTGGACATCGGCGACGCAATCTTCAGCAGGGCGGTTTGTTCCAGGCCTATGTACCTCGGTGGGCAACTTTCGAGCAATTTTACGGCAACCTTGCACGTTTCTTTCTCTATCCTCTTCCCGTCGCTGAGCACATTCGTTGCCCGAAAGAGGGCATAGAACATGTCTTCGATCACATAAGAAGGACACCACGAAGAGTCGAAGGTTGCGCGGACGAAGGATGGTAGCACGCCCGGCTTCCCATTCAACGCAGACAGGATCATTTGGGGCCATAGACGCTCCCGCCGCTCCGTATCCAGCCTTTGCCATGCCGCATGCAGGGTTGCCGCATCCTGCTCTCGCATGGATGTCCACATGCTTGAGTCATCGTCCTCGCCCGAAAAGAGAAAGGTGCTATCCATTGTTTGTAACGACTGTGAATAATCTTTCTTCCACAGGTGGTATCGGTCGAGCCGATTGGCGGCCTCATGCCTCGGCTGACCCCAAAGCAACCTTTCCAGCTGACCGATGGCATGGCGTGCTTCTTGGTGTGAGATGATATAGATATGCATCAAGTCCCCATGTACGACCCTATAGTCCCCAAGCGCTCGAAGGATCTTTTCTTTCAAGAGGAAGGGTGTGACGGCCCGGGGCATGTTGGCTGTCTTTCGTACATCTGGCCGTCGCAGGGGTACGAATTTCTTCAGTTTGCCGTCCCAGCGGGTCTCCGTCTCTTCGGTTGCTTCGGTGAGTTGATTCGTTCGATAGCTCGGATTCCGGGGTGAGGCGGGCAACTCTTGGTCGTCGGGACCGGTCTTCTCAGCCTTTGGCGCATTCCAGAAGTAGAGGGCCGCCGGGGGACGCCCCGACATAGGGAACACTTGTGTATGCAGCTGGGAGCGCTTTGGCTTGAACCGTCTCGCGGTGGATTGGACAAGACGGGCAATGCATTGTCGACATATGAAGGGGCTTGGCATTCTAGGAAAGGCTCCTTGTCGTCGCCGCCAGTGAAGTTCGAAGGATGTCGATCGTAGTCGGGTCGGAGGTCGAAGCTCTTCATTGCTGCTGGATGGACATCACCAGTGCATCAAGATAAAGATTTGGCATCAGTCAATTAAACAACTGGCCGATATTCATTCATGAGCAGGAATAAACATATGTACACGCGAAAGTAAGAAGCAGAGGAGGGCCGGCGCGGTTCTAGTCAGGAGCTTGGAAATTTTCCGGCGCAAAGCATTGAAGTTGCGTATGTACAGTTCTTATCGGGGGTCTCTTATCGGGGCGCGTTAATCTGGAGATTTTATTCAATGTTGCAGAGCGCCCGGTCGCCAAGCCTCACTTCCACATGCTTGACACTATTTCAACATTGAAACCTCACCAAACGAAGCTTGCCCAGCCAGAGAATTTCCGAGAAGACACCACCTTACACCCATAATCCAAGAACCGAACGCAGCAGCATATCCGAAACCATACGATGTCGAGCTCACATGCCGCCCTGGGCGCCGCGGCCGACGACCGCAAGGCGCGTCTCGCGAAGCTCAAGAACCTGAAGCGCAAGCAGCCCGCCGACGAGATCGTAGCCCCCGAGTCTGAACGGTCCGCGTCCCCGCCAGGCAACAACGCATCCGCCGAACAAGAACAACAACAACAGAAAGACGTAGCGAAGCTGCACCTCTCGGGGCGCAACTACGACGCCGAGGCCAAGGGCGCGAAGCTGGGGTTCGAGGCGCCGCCCACACTAAACATGGAGGGCCCGACGCTGGAGGAGCAGGCCGCCGAGGTGGAGGCGGCGCTGCGGCTTAAGGCGCAAGAGGACGCCCAGGACGATAAGGGGATTGATTTGTTTAAGCTGCAGCCCAAGAAGCCCAACTGGGACCTCAAGCGCGACCTCGACAAGAAGCTCGAGGTGCTGAATGTGCGCACCGACAACGCCATTGCGAGGCTGGTCCGCGACCGCATTGCGAACGCCCAGGCGGCCGCGAGGAAGACGGCGCAGCCGGTGGCGGGCGCGGATGGGGAGGGGGAAGGGGGCGCTGCGGCGGTTGGTATGGATGGTGTTGCGCTGGTGGAGGGCCTACGGGTACGGGAGAGAGAGGAGGAAGAAGAGGAGCGGAGAGAACGTGAGGACGAGGATTTGGCGTAGAGCTCGAGCTCTATTTATAATGCACAAGGCACGGCGTTTGGTTTGCAGCATTTGCGGATCGGTCATCATTGTCTAGATATACAGACTGGCTGGCTCGGATTAAAAAAATGATACCCATCTACCGACCCGTATTCATGGACTGTGTCAAGGCCAACCTCTTGGAGAACGGACTGAGGCTTCGCTCGCGCGGTTCGTTTCTTCGCGGTGGCCCTCCTCCGCCCCTGGGGCGACGCTCCTCACCGCGGTTCCGGCCTGCTCGGTTGTCCTCATTCTCTACGAGACTGCGGTCACGCCTTCCAGGCCGCTCTGGCGACCTTGAGCGGATGCGTCGGCGCGGTTCCCGTGGTGGCGATCGGCTTGGACTTTGGGAGTACTTTCCACGTCGGCTGTACGCAGAACCGCGCCCCGGAGATTCATCTCGAGCAGCTTGACGTCCTGACCTGACTGGCGGGCTATCATCCCTGGCGCGTCTGGGAGGGCTCGGAGAACCTTGTCGATCGTAGTCACTAGCAGAATCGTATGACTGGTCTCGCGGAGCACGGCCAGCCGGTGACGGGCTTTGTCTCCCTCTTCTAGCAGGTGGTTGAGGAGACCTGGATGCTTTTCGATGTCGAGGCGGTGAAAGTGATCCTCTCGTCGAAATCGTCGAAACGGAGTCAAAGGAAGCGGACCTTTTCCGTTTCGGTAGGTCCTCATCCAAGTCGTCCTCATCGCGCTCTAGCTCCCGCTTCTTCGCCCTCTCAGCCTCCCTCTTGGCGAGTTCCTCGTCTGCCAGACCTTTCCTGTGATGATGTCAGTAAAAGCCCATAGGAACAAGAACAGGCAGCCTCACGTCTTTTGGAGCGCGTCTGGCACATCACTGGTCAGCTTCGGTACCAGCTTTGGGTTGAGCAGCTGCTGGGTTCGAGAAGGCCGTGATATATAAGGCCTCTCCTGTGTCGAAGCCTTGCATTCGTATGAGTAATGCCGTGCTGCGATTGTTAGAGTCATCATCAAGCCGGGGACAGTAGACATATCTTTCTTCAGGCACTTCTGGCACTGCACATTGGTGGGGGTGGCCTTTGAAGGGCCTCTCCGATACATCGTCCCGAAGTCGAATGAACAAAGTTGAAGTGTCGTGAGTGACGAGATTGTGTGCAAGCTGGCCGATGTAGCAGCTAAGCGAGTGCGGGAGAGATATAATGCAGGTAATGCGGTAGCTCAGGCAGGAAGTATTGATGCAGGCTTCATTCATCATCTGTTGCAAACTGAAGTGACAGTGAGAGCGCAGGGCCATGCTGGGATAGGTTGTGGCGGTGCACATCAACCTAGACTGTCTCCAGCCACAGCTCCACATCGTGCAGAATCCCAAGCGGCCCCCACTCGGTGTGACCAAGTGACACACGGGCCGCCAGTAGTTCGGGCAGCTGACGGAAGGCCCAATGTCAGAGACGCACGCGCCGCCAAGTACCCCTGGAATACCTCTACGGCACCTGCCGGCAAAGCAATGAGAGCGCTAAAGTCGCTAACTACATATGCCTAGCGCTTCCCCGAAATCCGTTAGAAGCACGGGCCACTCCACTGCAGTGAATTTTCAATGTCGATTGCCATCAAGATTCAATACCCACATGAATAAGCTCTCTAAACACCTGGTTGAAGCCTTCCTCCTTCCTCCCTGACTACAACCTCTACACCCTGGGAGCCGCATAATTCCCTTGTCGGCAATAAGGCTTCAGGTTGTGAGTGAGTGTGCTTGCATCCTAAAGCATACTCGCTTCGAGATCGCTTTTGCTGCTGCAGCCCAGAAAAATTCCCTGCACCGCCACAGCCTTAGAAGCACAGGGTGGCAGGTGCCAGTGCTCGATCCAAGTGCAGCCTATTTATTACCTTGTATGGCCCTGCGCTAGGCCAAGATACAGGTACATTACCTATTTCCACGGCCCTGGAGCTACCTCACCACCACCCTACCTACCCCCGGCCACCGACTGCCGACCGAAGTCCACCTACATCCACCTCACCCACCTAAACACATCTCCAACCATCCATCCATCTATCAAAAGTAAATCCGGACCTCCTCCCACCCGACCTCGACACACCCTGCCAGAGTCAAGGGGAGCAGCAGATCGATCAACAGTCCGAGGCACCTCCAAGGTACCGGCATAGAGGACCACACCGCCTGCGCATCATCCGTCTCGCAGTGTGCGCTCAAGCGAACCTCCCTCTGGACTCTCTTCGCGAAGCATTCGTTCGTTCACTCGTGCGACCAAACCAACTCTTTGCGAACCAATCCGCCGCACCACCACAGCCCTCCTCCATTTCCCGCTGCCGTCCTGTTACTTGCTGACGGCAGCCCTATTCGGCCCCTCGACCCTTCCACCGTCGTCCGACTTTCCTACAAAGTCTCATGCGCAGCTTGGCAGACTGGAATCACCAGCCACTCAACAGTACGCAGCACCGAGAAGCCCCACGACGACAACATCGAACATACGAACCGCCATTTACGAGATACCCATTACGATCATGATCAGCCGTATTTCCTTTTCCCCTTGGGCTGCGCAGATTCACTTTCTTTCCTAATTCTCGACTGTGCCAACGTCGTTACATCATACCATCTGGGAATCTCGAACTACATTCATCGGTTTCGTTCGAGGTGCTATAGCCGTGCGATAACTTTGCGCTTCTTCCTGTCGTTACCAAGAGCGAGTATTCTTCCCCGGACTCGTCGCACGTCGACCATCTGTCCAAGATATGGCGACTGCGCCTGTGACCTCCGCCGCCAAAAAGTTGTCTTTTGCTTCGGTGCGTTTCAAACCCTCTGCGCCAGATCCCATACCATACAGATTCATCACGCTCCCAGTATGTATAGCCTTGCTAACTGTGCGCTTAGGTCGCCGCATCAAACCCGAAGGAGAACGTTCCGTTTGTTTTACCCTCTCGAGTTGCCGTACCTGCCATAGACCGTCGTATGCAACCCACTGCTACCCCTGCAAGAACGGTTTCAACGAGCCAGGGTGCAACGACAGTCGTCATGGCCGGCGAATCACCTGTCGTCAAGACGTCTCTTAGCTCTTCAAAGGAGAGCGCGGGAACCATCCCACCCACCAGCGAAGCTACTGATAGCGGCAATGTCGTACAGGGTGTAAAGGATACGAACGCGTCTTCTACTATGGCTAGTGCTGTGTCCATGCCCAGTCTTGTCGTCAACGGCTCGTCATCTTCTACCGGAGGGTCGCAAAGCAAGAACGATAATGGAATTTCTATGTCTGATTCCAACTCCGAGATGGGTACTAAGGCCCCCAGCCTGGACGGGAAAAGCATCACATCTGGGACTACCTTTGCTCTGGATGAGAAGGAGTCCTTGCGCCCGGACGACAGCGCCAGCGTGAAGGCAGCAGCTGACGATGACGAAGCTTTTTCCATCAGGGGGTCGATGATCGCCAACTCTAGGATGGGCTCTGATGTGGCTCGTGTGCATCGTCTAAGGCTTGGTGACATGCCAGAAAGAAGGATCGTTCAGGTGCCTCTGCTTCCTGGATCACAAGAACAAGGTGTTGGTACTCCGCAGAGTGTTGCCTCGAGCCAGCCGCCACCTCTCGAGCAGCCTCAGCCGCTAGGCCCTGTCAGTGGTCCTAGTGATGCCTTCGCTTCAAGTTATGGACAAAATCCGGATGAGAAGCTTTTGGAGGCTATGCAATCTCCAAAGGATCGGATCTTCCTCTTGAGACTGGAGCAGGATGTTATCAACTTCGTTCAGTCGTCTAAGTGAGTATACACTGCTGACTGGCATATCAAGGGCACGAGGCTAATGCTAAAGCAGGGAGCCGTACATGGATCTTCCACCGAACAACTCTTTCTGCAGGATGCTGACCCACAAGCTTGCTGACTACTACCACATGACACATTCTTTCGAAGCCGTGCAAGGCGCAGTTCGCATCTACAGGACTCCGTTCTGTCGCGTGCCTCCGTCTCTGGCCAGCATCGTCGAAAGTAATGCCACCGTTAGCACAACCACTCCGCCCCCGGTGGTCTTGCCCAAGAAGATCATGCGCCGCGGCGAGGATGACGGCTCGGGTCAAGCTAGTAACAGTGCCTCCAAAGCCACGTCGGAAGTCGGTAGCGATGGCAAGGAGAGGTCAGGTCACAAGGAAAAGTACGTGGCACCGTTCCATGATCAGGTGGAATAAACTAACGTCAGGGCTAGGATGACGAGGGAAGAACGTGAAGAAGCGTACAACAGAGCTCGAGAAAGGATTTTTGGGAATTCTGAGAAAATTTCAGAGACCACGCCAGGTCCGATACAGCCCGATCTGACACTTCTTTGGGCCATCACTAATCCGTCACAGACACTGAGGATGCTAACGGTATCTCCCGTGCAAGCTCTGTGTCAGCCAAAGACAAGTCAAATACCGGCAAACGAGGTAAGACAGGAAAGCAACGCAGAGATGACTCGGAAAGCTTCGAATCCCGTTCTGTGTATCGACCGTACTTTCCCCACCAGAAATCCATGGAATGGGCACCTCAGTTCATGCCTGGCGGAAATCTGCAGTATAACGACCAACTACAACATCAGCCCTACCCGTACGCCTCAGACCAGGCGTATCCACCTCCGCCGCAAGCATACCCAGCCATGCTCCCGAATAACGGGTTCCAGCAATACGGTAGCATGCCGGCAGTAAGTATTTCTACTCTGCTTTCTCGTAAAACCACTAACCGTGTAAAGTACCCGCCGCAAACACAGCCCATTCCGCATCACTATGCACTCCCTACCGGAGCACCAGGAGCCAGCTACGGGCCTCCAGCCCAAAGTACAGGACAACAGCCGTGGCCGCCTAGCTTCAGCCAGGCGCCTTCCCCTGGCCCGGGTCAAAGTCGTGGACCACCTCCAGCACACGGGGCCATAGGACCTGGGATTCCTTACGCATTTGGACAACTCCCTGCTCATGTCAACCCTTCTGATCCGAAGAGCCAGCATCCTATTCCTGGAAGCTACAGCCGCCAACCTTTCAACCCCAAGACGCAGTCGTTTGTACCCGGTAGCGGGGTGAGCCCGGTCCAGCCACCGATGCCCCAGTATAACGCAGGTGGTTCCCACGGCAGTCCACAAGTTGGCTCACCGCACCTCGCTTACAATAGCTATGGCTCACCCGCACCGCCCCAGATGTATATGGGAAGCTCAGCCTATGGTATGAGTCGTCAAAGCTCTAGCAACTCTATGTCGGCATATCATGCACCGCAGCATCACGCCCAACAGCATCACGCCCAGCATTCATCGGCGCATCTCCAGCATCTCCCGCAGATGCCCAACAAGCAAGGCATGCTTCATCAGGGACCATTGGCCGGACCTGGCCAAGCCTACAGTCATCTGCCCAACTACGGCAATCCGGCCACCCTGCCGCAGAAGCCACCCTCTGGAATATAGCCCCCTCGCGCATTGCAACGCAGCGCATGGCATAGCATGCTAGAAAGATGAGCAAAGCATTGGCGGTGTTCATGTTTCGGGGTGGAACTACATAAATATAAATGGATACAGGGAAAATCACGAAGTCCGATGGCATAAGGCGTACATGGGCAGTTGGTTTGTGCAAAGTGCATCGGCCGGCGTTCGAGGCGAATGGACTTTACCCAATCGGACTTTGCACTTGTAAAGAAACCATTGCTTCCTCTCTTTTGGGGATGAAGGCTTGGTTTCTGCATTGTCGTTGTCACGAAGGTCGCATGGGGCGCTGATGACTGCTCTAGTCGGAGCACAACTGCATGTACTCTGGACTGTCCTGTGGCAGATCAAGTCCGCCCATATAGCATCTGCTTATACGACGCACTGTTTTCGAAACGTGTTGTTTGCACCTGGTGTTTGTGACATGAGCAGTGTATTGTAAGAAAGTCAGTCCTCTGACATTATGTATGTATAGGTAGAGGCGGTTGCCGAGGTGCGTAGACGTTCATACTAGTTAATCCTGACCGTGCTTCGGTCTGTGTAGAGAAGAATTGTAGCATACGAGCGTTCCTGTTCCGCCTAGGTATCATTGCGCCGCTTGACCTGAATTTGTAGGGAACGTGAATCCATGTACTCAAGTGTTGTGTATAAAAGGTACCATGGTGGAAGGCTTCTTACCACTCTTATATGTGGTATGTAGTAAGGTTAATCACGTGGGGTCAGGAGCCTGGCTTCCTCGTGAGATGGATTTTGCGACCTGCATTGACACGAGAACGGAGAGTATTTTGATGTAAAGTCGTATGGAAGAAATCGCTACTACATTACTTCAGGTCCGCGTTACTGCCAGAACCAAGATAGCACTGAACTGTACTGGCAAGCTGTTAAACGAGACATTTGGACCGGAATACAATAAGCAAGGATTCTATCGGTTGTTTCCCTAGTGAGATACCACTAGGAGAAGCATCTACACACTATAGTGAGGATTGATGGTTTCAGCTGCTAGCCTGGTTGGTCATGATCAATGAGGTTGTGGTTAGCTACTACACCGTGCTTATCGACATATCATATCGGTAGTCTCTGCTTGTTATCACAGGACCTGAGCAATGTCTGGTGAAGGCAGATCGCATATGTTCTTGTAAACTTTCATTCGTGCTGCAGGACTTCTTTCGAGGTTGCCCCGTAAGTGACATATTTGTCTTATCTGACAGACAGACATGGTATTTGTTTTTGTGAAACCTTTCGCCATGCCATGCAGAATGAGCGAGAAACCCACATCCGCCAAGGATGAACCTATACGGCTCGACGATCCTGTACTATGATTTGCTCTTGTCTTCATAGCATCCTCTCCTTCTTGTCTGCCTGTCCGTCTGGAGTACACTAATCGTCGAGTCAAGTCATGTCGAAACCTCCCCTCACTATGTGTGAGATAAGGCTCATTCGCCATTCTCCCGCGGTTCCCTAGGCTCCCTGGGCTCTCTCGGCTCGCGGTTGCCGCCTCCTCGGCCACCACCCCGACCACCCCTGCCGCGCCCGCCGCGCCCGCCCCGCTCACCGCGATCGCCCTTGTTGTCGCCTCCCTTGTCGCCATCCTTCTGCCCATCCTTTTCCTCCAGAGTAGCGGTCGCCAGGCGCTGGCTGAGATCGATCTGGGTGCGGATGCTGTTGGCCAGGTAGCTGACCATGAGAACGTCCTGGATGTGGTTGTTGAAGTCGGACTCGATGCATGACGGGTCGACCTTGGGGGCTAGCGACAGTGCACCCATCAGGTACTGGCCTAGGGCGTTGTTGGGCTCGCGCTCTTCGTCGATAATGGCGCTAACAAACTCGGACGTGCGCTCCAGCAGGTCAGCGGTGCTCTCGAGGCTGCGCGCCAGACCCTCGACGTCGGTGGAGATGGGTGCCGCGCGGGTGTCGACATCCTTGGCGCTCGCGATCAGCTCCAGGGCCGACCGCTCGGCATCGTTGTACGAGACCTTGTGCGGGACCTGGATGAATAGACAGCTCTCGGCGGCGCGCTCGGCGTTGACTGCGACGGGGGCGCTGATGTAGGCCTTGAGGCGCACGTCGGCGCCGGGATCGGTCGACACGGTCAGATGGACGGCCGGGTGGGGGAAGGTGCCGGTCTCGGGGGAGGCGAAGAAGTTCTGGATCAAGGCGCTGAAGCTGTTGAGCTCGTGCGACGTCGTATACCAGCCCAGCAGGGCCTCTCGCGGGTTCGCCCGCAGGTGCAGCGACAGCATGTTCTTCTGGTACTCGACGTCCACCTCGACCTGATCCTCATTCTCGGTGTGCGGGATGGCGAAAGCCGACGATACGGACGCCTCGCTGCCGTCTTCTGAGCGGTTTCCGACGAGCGCTCCGATGACGCGGGATGAGCTCGACGGGCTCGTGGGGAGGTCGCGACGGATGGCATGGTCGAGGATGGAGAGGACTGCCTGCGGAAAGGGAGGAAGAGGTTAGTATCAGGCTATATGACCTCACAGACACCGTCCAGAGACACCACCTCGATGCGGCAGTGAAAGGGTCATGGGCAGGAGGGACGTACTTGGGGTTGGATGTTGACGGAGAGCGGGGCAATATTTCCCTGGAAGTTGAAGGCAGCCGGCGCCAGAGGCCGCGAGAGGTGAAGAAACGGCGAAGTGTCCACAGCCATGTTGGGTGGTTTGTTGGAGTGCCAGATGGATGATTGAGAGGGCTGGCGGGCAGGTTGACGAGGAAAAGGACGTCGCTTGGCTGACTTGCTCCGGTCTGCTCCTTCAAGGTTAGGTGGTCTGTCGCTCGTCACTCTCACTCTCACTCGCAACTTCGGCTCTCCCTGAATTTTCAGAATTCTTGTGGGATTGGTGGGGCTCAGCTGGAAAACAGCCAAGCCAGGCCTGCGATAAGCACAGTTCACACTAATATAAAGATAAACAGTACATATGCACTTAAATGGAACAAGGCTGATGTGCAGGTGGCTTCACCCCTCCAAGTGTGGCTTGGCATTGAAATTCTACAAAGCTGTCTGCTGTCTGCTGTCTGCAGTCATGAATTTTTGAGTTCTTGATATCAGAGAGCTAAATTCCGGGGTTACGTCCTCTCTTTATCAAAAACAAACGGTACTCTGAATCCTTACGTGCGGGGCAACATGCCACCTAGAGGAAAACCCGCTGGCCGTGGGGGACCCGCGAGAGGTCGTGGTAAGGGGTCAGGGAAGAGAAGCTTTGGAGGAGCCCCCAAGTTCCATACTGCAAGACTTGCCCAGATCGAGTAAGACTGCATTTTCTTGTCACTGTTCATTCTCTCTCATTAACTAGGATTTCACCTAATTCTCGCGCAGGGAATCAGACAGTGAGGGATCAGACGAGGGCAGTCCATCCGAAGAAGAACCTGAGAGTGAAGCCTCTGAATCTGATGAGGATGAGGTTCAGCCCACCCAAAAGCCTTATCTGGCCCTGATGGAGAGCCTTGCCAAGGAGTCGTCTGCCGCCCACAGTGCAAAGAGGAGAAAGTTGGATCATCAACCCAAGAAGAGTCAAGCAGCCTCGAATGCCGAGCCAGACGAAGGGTCCCCCTCAGATGATGGGGATGAGGAGACGGCTGAACAACAAGATGTTGACCGGGTAGAAGATCCAGAAGAGGAGCCGGATGAGGGAATAGTTATCGGCGAAGATGATGGCGAGGAGGAGATACCGGATGCCTCTGATCCCTTTGAGACTCATTTTGTCACTCCTGACGAGAGCGAATTCATAAAGCGGTTAAAAGGGATCCAGTCCGATGACTACCAACCAAGGCAAAATGAGCAGAACGGCTGGAGGCTTACGACGAGCATACCTGGGAAAGATTCATCACAGACCATGCGACTACCTACGACTATACCTGGCCCATCAGCCTTGAAGCTCAAGCAGAGGCTCGTGGAGTCTGCTAATAAGAAGCGCCCCAATTTCGACAAGCTTGAGCAGATTCTATATCCGTTGGCATTTGGATACCACGACCTGTTGTTCTGTGGCCGCAACGTCAAGAATGCGGAAAGTCTACGGCGGATGGCATGTTTGCATGCAGTCAACCATATTTTCAAGTGAGTGCTGGATCATATATTCCCCCCTACCCTCTAAGCTAAAGCTCGGTATCAGAACGCGAGATCGTGTCATCAAGAACAATGCCAAGCTTGCAAAGGAAGGCGAGGATACAGAGTTCGAGCCCCGAGATCAGGGGTTTACCCGGCCCAAAGTCCTGATGCTGCTGCCAACCCGCCAATCCGCCGTCAACATGGTCAACACAATCTGCGCCCTATGCGAGCCCGAGCAGCAGGAGAACCGAAAACGCTTCGACGACTCCTACATCGACAAGGAGGTCAAGTTCACAATCGACCGCCCCGAGGACTTCCGCGAGCTCTTCGAGGGGAACGACGACGACATGTTCCGGATCGGCGTCAAGTTCACGCGCAAGACCATTAAGTACTTCTCGCAGTTCTACAGCTCGGACATCCTGATCGCCAGCCCGCTGGGTCTGCGCATGGCGATCGGGGCCGAGGAGGGCGACGGCGACAAGAAGAAGGCCGCGTACGACTACGACTTTTTGAGTTCCATCGAGTTGGTGGTGGTCGACCAGGCCGACGCGCTGCTGATGCAGAACTGGGAGCACGTCGAGCACGTGTTTGCGCACCTCAACCTGCAGCCGCGCGACGCGCACGGCTGCGACTTCGGCCGCGTGCGCGAGTGGTACCTCGAGAAGCAGGCGGCGCACTTCCGGCAGACGCTCGTGTTCTCGGCCTTCAACACGCCCGAGCTGGCAGAGCTGCACCGCCGGGGGGTCAACTGGGCGGGCCGCGCGCGCGTGCAGCCCGCGTCGTACGCGGGCGCGATCCAGGACCTCGGCGGCGTGCGCGCCAAGCAGACGTTCTCGCGCTTCGAGGCGCCCTCGGCGGCGGCCGAGCCCGACGCGCGGTTCGCGTACTTCGTCAGCGCCATCATACCGACGATGGTCAAGCGCGCGCGCGACATGGCCGGCACGCTGATCTTCGTGCCGTCGTACCTCGACTTCGTGCGCGTGCGCAACTACTTCGCCACGGCCGACGCCGTCGCCAGCCTCACGTTCGGCGCCGTGTCCGAGTACGCCAGCGTGGCCGAGGCGTCGCGCGCGCGCTCGCACTTCCTCAGCGGCCGCCACCGCGTTTTATTGTACACGGAGCGCGCGCACCACTTCCGCCGTTACGCGCTGCGCGGCGTCAGCAGGGTTGTGTTTTATGGCCTGCCGGACAACCCGGTCTTCTACCGCGAGATAGCGGGCGGGTACCTAGGGCGCAGCGAGCAGGACCTTAAGATTGAGCCGGGCCAGGGCACCGTGAGGGTTATGTTCTCTAAGTATGATGTCCTGAGGCTGGAGCGCATTGTTGGGTCGAAGAGGGTGGGCAAGATGGTGCGGGAGAAGGGCGATACGTTTGATTTCGTCTAGGATGGCGTGGTGATGCGGCTTGCATGAATGGTAACATAACATTTCTGCTAGAGTACAACCCGCCTTCTTGTTGATGGTTCATGTATTGTACATATTCGTACAAATGCTCGATGCTCTCCGTGACCCCTATTTCTGTACAAGCGTGGGATCCTCATAGTACAATTCTATCGAATCTCCCGACCTCCCTATGATATGCTCGCATTCATCCCCTTCGCAGCACCAGTCCTCGACTTCGCCAGTCTGCTCACATCGATATCCGTCCCATCATCCCTCTCCTCCCTACTAGCCCTCTTATCCTTCCCACCACCAGCAAGGTTCAACGCCCCCAACCGCGCAACCATATCATCGAACCCTCGCGCGCCGTCCTCGCGGTAGCGAATAACTTTCGCCCGGTTCATCAGCGTCAGCTCGTTCGACGGCCGTTTTAGCTGGCGGTCGCGCGCCACGGCGGCGGCCGTCATGGCGAAGCGCAGGTCTTTGGGCCCGTCGACCAGCTGGAGGATGGCCGACGCGCCCTGGTCGTACTGCGACTTGGGTTCCGTGCGCAGCACGCGCGTGTAGCCGCCGGGGCGGTCGGCGTAGCGCTCGCGCAGCTCGCCGAAGAGTTTTGGGAGGAGGGCTTGGGGGGTCTGTGTGTCTCAGTCAGAGGCAGAACAACAACAGTGCCCCCTATAGGTAGACAACTAGAACCAGAACAATAAGGTGGTGACATACGAAGAGAATACCCTGGGCCTTCCGCCGGCTGGTCTCGTTGTTCCGCTTCGCCAGGGTGATCAGCTTCTCGGCCATGCGCTGGGTCTCCTTCGCCTTGGGCCAGGTGGTGTGGACCGACTCGTGCTGCACGAGGGCCGTCACCAGGTTGCGCAGCAGGGCCTGGCGGTGCGCTGAGTTGCGGCTTAGGTGGCGGTATTTTACTGTGCCTCCCGCCATCTTTTTCGTCGACTATCTATGCCTCCTCCTCTAAATTGTCGGGTTGGCTTCGGGGGAGTTGAGCTGGTGGTGGTGCTGGTCGTTGGACTGGCTGTCGGAGTGTCGTCGTTGAGTGCAGAAGTCGAGGTCGAGGTCTAGGTCGGCGTTGGATGTCTGTCTGTAGCTTCAATCGCAGGTGGTGTGAGCTGAGGTCCCGTTAACATTGGACAACCCCTGCAGTGTGGAATTTTTTGGTCTTGGCACGGGCCGAGCTTTTTGACCTGGCCCGCCCGGCTTTCCTGGGCTGCGAGCGACTTTCGTCATGCCCACCTGCCCACCCACCTCATTCCCAGGTCCTCAACTCAATTGCCATTGCAGAGCTCAGTCGAGCTTGTGCTGTTGACTGGAAGGGCTGCCGGTACTGACACTTGTACTAATACTTCTCCTTCGCATTCAATTGGCCCCGCATAGCCATTGCGCCTCAGTGCGCAAAACAGCCAGCTCATCATGGGCTTCACAACCGGCTTCGTACGTCTCCATCTCTGCCACCCTGCTGGGTGGGCACTTGCATACCTTCGAATGACGACTGACATTGATGTTCTCACACTACAGACAGGAGGCGTGACTCTCACCCTCTCGATAGCCTACCTCACAGTCCTCGCCCACCAGCGCAACCGCGAACAACAAGCCGCCATCCTGCGTCAGCAGACCCGCCTCCTCTCCGGCGTCGTCGACCCTCTACCCCCCGCGCTCCCGCCCACGCGCGCCGAGCTCGCCGCAGCCGAGCGCGCGAACCTGATCGAGACCGCCAAGGACCGCTGGAACGCCGAGGTCGAGTCCGCCGTCCGCTGGGCCCAGAACAAGGACTGGGAGGGGACGCGCGACGGGCTCGAGGGCGCCATCGGCCGCGCCTGGACCCGCTTCTTCGGCGATGCGCAGCAGCAGGCCCAGGAAGGCGTGCGGAACGCCGAGCAGAAGACCGAGGCCGCGGTCAGGAATGCGGCGGACAGGGCCAGGGGAGAGCTGCAGAGAGATGCGGCTGCGTCGAAGCGGCAGGCTGAGAACGTGGCTGGAGGCGTAGCCGCGGCTGCGAAGAGCGCGTACGCTGATGCGAAGGTCAGGGGCGCTGAGGCGGTGAGCAAGACTGAGGACAAGGCTCAGGAGGCCCGTGGCTCGGTTCTGGATGCTATTGGCAAGGGCATCGATAAGGGGAGGGAGGTCTTTGGCAAGGCGAGGTCGGCCGTGGTCGATGCGGAAGACAAGGTTGAGACGAAGCTGGCCGATAAGCTGCCGCCTACGTCTCCGGCTGAGAAGGCCCTGAGACAGCGGTATGAGGAGACCCCGCGTGGCCTGGACCGGACTGCGGAGGAGGTGTTGGCGGCAAGGTACATCCCGGTTGACAACAAGGACAACACCAACCTGAAAGCGTTATAGAGGTTATAGAGGCTGCAAGTCATACCTGCATGGGAATAGTAACTGTGGGGTGTGGAAGATACCGGCACTACTCATTTATACGTGTATAGTTATACTGTACATCAGACTAGGATCGGTGATGGCAAATAGATCTCGACTCTCGTGTCGTGATTCACTGGCAGACACGTGCCAATCCAACCGGCGGTTTACTATAGAGTATTGAGTGGCAAAGCTCGCGACCTCTTCACACTTGTTTTCGGAATTCGAAACACTATCTGACTTGGTGTTGTGATCAATTTCAACGTTCAACAGATATCAGTAGTACCCGTTGGATCGTCACGGCAATGCTCTCTTTACGCGAGCGAATATTCAGCTGCCCTACATTGAAATGGTATATAGCCCGATATTGATGGTTGAAGGCTTGCACCATCCTCTCACTTTATACCAAGGCAGACACCTGCTCCAAACCTACTCTCTCCCCTATAAAACATCGAGAAGGTTATTATTGATAAGCAACCTCCTATAGTTTCATTTTGACCAGCCAGACAGACCGATTTTCCGAGTTACCTAGCTGCTAACACGACGACAGACTTTCAAGATGGGCAACAGCCAGAGCAAGCCTCATCATTCGCGCCATAGATCCCATTCCAGCAAAAGCAAGAGCAGGGGACGGCATCACCACAGACGTACCGCTGGAGAAGATGAAGATTTTATCGACGCCCTCAATTATCTATGCTTTGGGACCTATACATCGTATGGGCATAGTTCCAATAAACACAGCAAGTCGAAACGGCATCATCATAAAGCAAAACACCACCGTTCCCGGAGTGTCGTCTCCGCTCCCGCGGACATGGAGGGCCGGAAGAACGAAGAGGGGCATCCTTTGTGTAGTCATTGCCAACACCGCCATCACGCATCCGAGCCTTCGCCATCGACAAATGAGGCGGAGGCGGCCGCTGGTCCTTCTGGATCTGCGGGTCCCGTCGAGCCGGTCGTCGCAGGCAAGTCCCGATTTTAGTTTTACCACGAACATGATAGAGCGCGGTCGTCAGCACGTGAGTATAGGATGAAGACGAGGTGGTGTAGTTGTTGTTGGCATGCTTGAGTCATAAACTACCTACGGCTGATGCTGCTTCTTGCCCCTTTCCCTTCCAGACGCTTCGTTTCACCCAGTCGCTGACGCTGACGCTTCTATTCGTACAGAAGAAGGCTCTTACCCCGATCCTCCTCCCGTGCCTGATCCCGTGTCTGCCACCGCGCCTAGTGCGGTTCCCGCTACCGGCCCTTATGGCACGGCGCCCCCGGAAGCGTCCGTATCAGCAGGTCAGTCTTGCCCATATCTTCCTCTCTCCATCCCCCCTAAATCCCCACCATCACCCCCTGAACCCCTATTACCACCCCTTTCCCCTATCTCCCCATCACCCTCCATCTCCTACCCCCATCATCTCCCCACCTCAACTCATTCATCCTCCAAAATTGACAAACACCAAAAGCAACAATCCCCTACCCAACGCTGGACCCGCCGTCAAACATCGCAGCCCCCAACATCATGCGCACGTACCTGTACGGCGTCCGCGAGGTCCTGCCGTCGGGCGTCGACCAGCCCCGGCAGCGCTATTGCAGTGACTCGCCCGAGGTGAAGGCGAGGTTGGCGCGGGAGCCGGCGGGGAAGTGAGGGATGAAGAGTAGGGAAGTGGTGAGGTTCGTGGACAGGGTGAGTATGACGTTTTGGTATGTGTTGATAGTTTTGGCTGGCCCGGCTTGCGTATGTGTATGTGGTGTGTATTGTGTTTTACTGTAAGGATGGAAGGATTGGTTGTTAGTAGGCTGCTTTCTTTGCTTCCTTCCCTTGGCTTGTTATTACAGTCTTCTGTTTTTGAACCAGACGGGTCTCAGGGTACGGATAAACTTCCTTCGTGAATTGTTTTCTTTGGTGGATAGCTCGCTATTATCTTGTCTGCCTTCGATACCACTACTATCCGATATCCAAATACATGGCGTTGCCCAGAGTGGTGCTCAACGTAGTTTTGTGAAGTTCAGGCATCTTGTAAATGTTGGTGTTACTGAGTTTAAGTGCTGTGTGACAGACCGTCTGCAGCCAGACTCTACGGTCTGCTATTCCGAAGACTGGTGGTATCGTTTAGTACTGCGCACCTTTACACAAGACACACCTCGCAGACGGCCTGGTCCGCACGCGGCAACGTCGTACGCGAAAACAATAGGTCAACACTTGTCACAACTGGAAGTATGAAGGATCATTGATAATGTATCATCATGTCGGATCATGTTGAGTACACGAGGCGATCCAGATCTAGCCCGAAATATTATGGTATGTATGTATTCACTGAGAAGCTTCTGCGTCTATCTCCCACACTGACCAAACCCTCTCATCAAAGCTCAGAGGGAAGGAGAAGAAATAGGGCCCCATGCCCCTGCTGCCACATAAACACATTTCACCCACACCAGCCCAAACTGCAAACCATACACGCCAGCATCTGCCCCGCCGGCTCCGCGCCAGCCTCGAACGCGGAAGCAGAGTAGCAACAAACGCCCCTCGCCCACCAGAACGGATACCAGCATAGATAGCAGGATGACGCACGACAAGATAGCCAAGAAGATGGGAACGGGAAATGAAGAATTCGACTCATCATATAACTTTAGCCCGACGCACCCAGCCGCCAGCGTTGCAATAACGATACCCGGCGCGATGCTTTGTATCACGTCGCACTGGCCATGGACACGGGCAGTTACAGCCATGCACCTGTCCACCTCGTTCGCTCATCCACGACGGCTGCGAAGCCCAGACTCATGAAGCCCAACCAACACACGCGGAACACTAGCTGCCCATGTCTTACCCATCATATGTACCTGGATGTGGATATGGAGCCTAGAGTCTGGAGTCTGGTACCTAGTACCCTGTGCCAACAACGGGATGCTCAGGAGCCGTGCCGAAGAAACCCTCTCACGAAACACTGCGTGCAAACAGGGTGCTGGTCCCTCATGTTCAACCATAAGTTACTGACTCGCAAACGACCCTTAGCTGCTAGCTATCCCTTTTAGCTGAACGAACACCTAGACACCACGCTCGGGAATCGCGGGTGTTTGTGTCTCACGTCTAGGCTGGGCGGACAGCGTTTATCCCCGGACTGCTGCTGGTTACACGTGTAGGTATGGTATGGATGGATGGGTGCGGGCTGCGGCGTTGGGTTTTTTCACATGTTGTTTTTTGACCGGGGCTGGCTTGTAGGTAAGTGGGAAGTACGGCGTGCCGCCTGCGTGCATGTATACATTAGGTAGATACATACAGGGCGGGAAGTTGCTCTTGCGGGCTCTTGCAGTCCCGTGGTGCTGATGCTTAATCCATGTGTCTACGGGTGGTGGCATTGGCATGCAGTGACATGGCGGGAACACGTATGCGAACGAGACAGGGAGGGAGGCCGCGTTTGCGGGCGCTGCTAGGGTTCGGGGGCCTATCTGGTGACGGCAGGTAGTCTTAATATATGTACAGGCAGGTAAAGGTATAGCAGTAGGGGCGTCTCAAGGTCGTAAGTCTTTCTCGTCGACATCCGGGAACTGATCGGTGAAGTTGGTCCCGCCCTCCAACAGCGTATCTGCATTCAGCCGCACGCTGTGCCGGACCATGTCGGTGAAGGCCTTGTCCCGGAAGCCGTCCCCGTAGTCGCCGATGTCGCTCGTCGCGCTCATGGGCCCCGCCATGCGGTGGTGGTGGAAGAAGGCCGGCTGCACCGTCAGGCAGTTGTGCACCTTGCGGCCTGCCGTGCCCTCGCAGAAGTACCGCATGAGGAGATCGACGGCCGTGTTCACGTCCTTGAGGGCGATCTCGTGCAGCAGCTTCCGGGCGCCCTGCTGGCTGACGGCGTAGCCGAGGTTGCAGACGCCCTCCTGCACGTGGTGCACCGCCCGCGTGTGGTCGGGGTACTTCTCCTTGAGGGTGAACGGGATGTTGAACGTCCAGAGGTACCGCCGCTGGGCGACTGTCTCGTCGTCCTTGTGGATCACGCGGCCTTTCGGTATGACGGGGTTGTCCTCAAACGGAAAATGCATGCCGCAGTGCCCAACCCACAGGACGTCCCAGTTGTCCCCGTAAGGCGACGCCTTGGGCGGCACGGTAGCAGGCAAGCGGTCAAACGGAATGTCGGGCACGGAAGCCGGGGACGTGTCCGACGGCTTCGGGAACGTGCTGTCGGCATACGAATTTGGAGATGTTAGCAGGGGCTGGGTCAGGGCGCGAGCCGACAGGGCGAAATCGCGTAGCTGATGTCTGACGCGGATGTCCCAGTCGCTATCGTCTTCCAGGATCAGGGCCGAGGTCAGGTTCCTCCGCACAATCCTTGGAGGGGTGTGAGCAAGACGAGCCGAGGCTGAAGTGGCAGATCCGTGCAAGAGACGTACTCATGAATAACATTGATGTGCGCGCGCCACGTCCCCAGGGGCGGGCCCTGGAGCTTGTCGGCGCTCATGGCCGGGACCGCCTTGTCCAGCACATCCTTGGGGTAGACGGCGTCCATGAACTCTATGTCCATGTTGCTGAGCGCGGCCTGCAGACGCATGCCATCGCGACGGTCTGTCCGTGTCGGCAGGCCGATGACGTAAATGTTCTGGAACTAGAAAGGAGACGCGACGCTGTTAACCCTAACCCCAACCCAGAACAGACGGCGGGGAAGAGGAGGGAACTGACACCCAGTGTGCTGTTGTTGATGTCATCGAGCAAGTCGCGATGGGAGGAAGCCGTGGTGTGTGCACCGGGACTGCTGGTGACACGGGGGATAACTGATGAGTTGAAGTAGAAGACTGAAATGACGAGTACTGTCGCAATTGCGACGACCGCGCGGGTCAGGGGAACACGCGGTAGCATTGAAACGAGAGACCATATAAGGTAATAATACTATTAATAACGGCCGAGCGGGCGAATGAAAGGAGCGTTTAATGCCGCGGCATACTTAGTTAGGTTGAATCAAAGTTTTTACCGGCAAGGTCAAATGATGATAGGGTTACAAAGGGCAGCGCGCGCCTTGCAGCCTTTATGGAGTATTGATCATTGATGAGTGTCGCGAGTCGGGAGGCCGGAAAAGGAAAAGGAAAAGGAAAGTGATCGCAACTTAGCTAACAATAGCAAGGGATTTAGTGCCGCGCTTGGCTCCCTACAACCACTCTCACTGGCTGGTTTTGCCGCCCGCTCGCTGATCATGTGACCTCATCCCATTTGAAACTTCGAGATTGGACCAAAAGGGGTGTCTTGACATGGGTCCGTCTCTATCTAGACGCTTGGGTCGGGTGCGATTCAGGGGGTGGCAAGATGCTGTTGGCTCCAGACTTCAGCCTTCGGGAAAGGCTGAGTCTTCATTCGAGCCTACCTTATTGTGTCGAAGCCCGCCCACAACAAGCTCCCAACACAGCCGGAACCACCTGCACCGCTCAAACATGTTGCAGCATCGTTGTTGGTTGCAGAGCTCTAGAACCGAGTCGGGTGGATGATCCAGAGGCTTGGGCCAGCAAGCGATGAAATGCTCAAGTCATGCGTGCCAGCCGGCCAGAAAGGACGCATCGTCCTCATTGTCACTCAGCGAATGCCTCTACGGCTCTCAAGCCCATAGCTGGAGTCCACACTACCGTCCGTTAAACTCTTCCGAGCATGATCCATCTCGGTCTCGTCTTGTCTTGTCTGCATTCGTCCTATCAGTCTCTCCCCAGCTCACCAATCCACACGATGAACCAGGAGGCAAAACGCTCTTCGAGGCCGGCGAAGTCCAATCCATACGGTACAACACCAAGCCCCCCAACTACACAATAGCCTTGTGGCAGCAAGGATATCTGGTGGGAGGAGCTTGATGTTATCATACCCTTTCGAGCGGTTCGACTGGCTGGTCCAACCCTACGACTTTGATCTTGGGGCAATCCAACCTCTTTTTCTCCTGGTTGTTCGCCGGCGATGCTTTTGCCCAGGGCAACATTCTACCAAGGGCTGCCTGCCTTATGGGACCAGCAGTGACGGGTGCTGCTTGCCTTAGACACAAGGCAAGGAGGGGCCGAACATTTCATTCCTCCCGTCCTCACGGCCCCGTCGTGCGGTCTTGATCGTTAGCCTGATCGACTTCTTCTCGACTGACTGCTCTGATCCTCGTCAAAGAAACGCATCACCGTCTACCGATGTCGAGGCAGGCGTACAAAGTCGAGACATGGGAACGGCACCTTTCCCGTGCGGCAGGTCTTCGATGGAAATAGCAGGAGCCACTCATGCCTACCTAGGTACTCTGACGCCAGTCCGCCCGTACGGATCCGGTTGCATAGCACATCCGATCATGGATGACCTGGATCGGCTGCGGTTATCTGGCCTCGGGCTGTGCAACCAGATTATGTTCTTTATTCTCATTACCTGTTATGCTCGTGAACAGGTTCCATGCGTGGTTGCCTCGGTTCTCTCCATGAATAAAACCCGGCTGATCCGCTATCAGCTGTACACGCCCCCTAGGCCCCCCGTGCGCGGTCCGCGAAACTTAGATGGGCAATGGCTGAACTGATGTATTAATGAGAAACACATGGTACTTGTGCCATTTGCCATTGATCAGGCTTCCTTGCAACCTCGTAGCTGAGGGTCCAGGTGCTCGGTCATCCACATTTTGAGTCACGCAGTCGATTTCAAGCAACGATAGTATGGGTCTAATGATGAAATTGATCTAGGTCAGAGGTTCTATCTTACAACGTCTTTCGGGTGGGCATATCCCCGATCTGAGGCTGAACGTAACTGGGGGCCAAGTGCTCATATTTGAAGCAGTAGCTATCCCTCGTCGAGTTAATGCGACCGCATTCGCAGCAGATCCATCAATCGGCAGACGTATTGGTGAAGTTCGGGGCCGCCCGTGCAGCTTCCGCAATTCATGTGCGAACATCTGGAGCAGTAGTCCTCCCTGCACGAGGAGAGGTCCCAGCCGTCCCTATTCTGATCGCCATACCCGGCCGGGAAAATGCAAAGTGTAGCGTCCATGCGGGCTCGTCAGACGGGGCAGAAATCGTTGACGGCTGGGCGAGAGCTTCGCAGCTTCGGGCACTCGTTTCTCTTGACCAGGTCAAGTGGCTGCCTATGCGGAGTTGCGGTTTAGAGACGGGAGGCTTCTGATATCACGTGTTGCGGGACCCTGGAAAGGAATGTTGCTGGCATGACCTTCACATGGGTACACACGTCTCGGCGCATTATAGTTTTGGCTCGGTGTGAGACAAACAGAGAGATTCCCGCGGGATGAGTTTCCACGATCTTGGGCGACGGTCACATCGGCATGATTGATGTGACACATCAGGGCCGAGGCGGGAAGTGGCAGCTCTGCTGCAGCCAGAGTGCGAGGCTCTACATGTAGGTTAGGTTGTAGGTCTGTGATTTTCAGTATGGCAGAGCGCACCGGTCAAGCTCGTGCAGAAGGTAAACGCATATGCTCACGCCTCCTCCTCCTGTTGGTAGAGACGGACCGGCAGCGTGCGTAGATCCCACCCTTCCCGTCAATAGCGGACCCGGCAGCGGTTTGCCGGTAGCCAGTCGCGTTGCAGAAGGCCACTGAACACCTCCCACTTGAGAATGCGAGGCAGCCATGCAGCGTGGCTCTAACCTACATGTATCATCTGACACTTCACACTTTCCCGGTTGCATCCAGCTGAGGGATACTGCTCAAGAGACAAGAAAAGTGACACACGCGCGTCCGGAACGCTGGACTTGCATACCGGCTCCGCTCTGGGCCGCATGACGGTGAGATGCATGCTGCCTTTAAAGTTGTGGGAGGAAGGTAGGTAGTGATGACCTACGGGGCGCGAACGAGGCTGGACAAACGCACGGACTGCTGGATAACCAACTTATTCACTAAAAGGATGGCGTGCTGACCTGACTGCTACATCGAGTGGTACGTGGGAGGGAAAGGTGGTATCGAGGCTTTTGCGTGGTGTGCTGATTCTTGTGAATTGGTGCCGGTTACACTCGTATTCCCCGAGAGATCGGCACAAGAGATCTACAGGTCGCTCACTAGTTGCCGCTATTCGTGCTTTGTAGCCAACCTTGTCCGCGATCTGCAAGTTACGTTTCAGGCACTCCTGTGATGCTGATAGTAGCGGACAACGGCCTTGTCTGTTGAGCAAGGTTTACCTACCTTGGACTGGGCAGCAGATGGCCGTGTGGTGCGCCCGAGGTAAAGGCATATGATCAGCCTGAAAGTGAACCCAGCCATCTAGGTATCGTACGATACTGGGACTATGAATGGTGATAGGGCGTGTGGGATAAATGAGCCCTTTCTCACATGCTCGTGTAGCTTGGGCACGATGCCAGGATGAGCCCTCTAAACTCTAGAGCAGAGGCGCGTGTGGACGCCAGGCACCACCAGACCACTCAAGACATTTTAGTCGCCCGAGTGCAAGTCGGACGGTGCCAGGCTGGACAGTGGAAGCAGCATTTCCTTCTAGACGCATACACTTCCATATGAAGTGGCTGGGCGATCAGACGGTTCACATGTCGGTATCGCCAAAGAGCCTTCGCGCGCGTCGAGCGGCGGGCTGCTCTTCTCCATGATGTGCTGTCACCTCGTCTTGACATGTGTGAACATTCAAGATCCAGTCTCCAGGTAGGCAAATGTCCTTTGCCGCTAACGTTGACATGTGGGCAAACGAGTTCGGCATTGCCAATTGTGGCGTCGGAACTCTATGCTGAGCCGCCGCTCATGACCTCAGAACTATGCAGTATCATGATGTTCATCAGTATACTGTTGTTGACCTGTCAACTGTCAACTGTCAATCCTCATCGGCTCTCCACAGCTCGGCTACCCTACCTACCCTACCCGTTGGTCCGAGAGTGGCCCAGGCAGGCCGGGTGATTCTCTGCCGGCCGCAAACGCGCCATTGCGCGAGGCAGTGACCATCCATTTCTGCTACCGGCGGCCGTGAGTGCGGGCGCCGTGTAACCACGGGGATCGCGGCCCATCGCGCTCGTTGCAGAGACCCTGTTTGCCTTGCCCTAGTCGACAACACTGGGGGAAAATCGACAATAGCGAGAAGCCGGCGCTGAATAGCGTACGTGATATCAGAGCTATTGTCGTAGACCATCTTCTAGAGCGTACGTGATCGTTCGGTAGATCGGCTAGCGCCGCCATGCCACGTGGCCGAGGATGCGGCGGGGGCTGGGTCTGGAGTCTGAAGAGGCCTCGTCGACTCTAGAGCCCAGTAGAGAGGCCAGCTGCATTGCGCGCCACGTCGACAGTAAAGTGCTTCTGTCGGGCATCACAGGCAAGGTTGGCTGGTACTGTGTAGAGCTGCGTCTCGGTCGGGTCTTACTAATAAGTTAGGCTGCCAGACATCAGGCCGAGGATGACTGCGTGGGAAGGATTCAAACACACCAACAGACAAGTTGCAAGCAGGCTGGGCAGTTTTGTTTAGTCGTGCTGCAGGTTCGATTGGCCCATCACGATACGCCGTCGCAGGTAGGCTAGTATGGTAGGCCGATCGAGTCAGATTGGGGTTGCATCCAATGATCCATTTTAAGGTCCAATATCGAATCCTACCGGCGCTGCGCCCATGTTGTCAAGTGTGTGTAGCACAATCAGCCGGGAGCTTATCATGGGTGGTATATGCGACTTTTTTTATAGCACTCACCTACCACCCTTGGGGGTAGTAACATGGTTGGTTCACTGATGAGAGTGTTTCGGACGATGGTGTTCGGTGATAAGCTTACGTGAAATAAATAGCTGGACTGCGACCTGCATCAACATGCGTGCGTACACTTGCAAGAGGCGCAAGGCTGTGTGCGTACACGACGATTGCAGACGCGAACAGACAAGATGACATGTGGGCTTGCCGCTTGGGTAATGCAGCGACCGAAGCCAAACGCCGATGCTCTCGGTTGGTCTGTTGTCGCGGGTGCCATCACCTCATATCGGCAAGACAGCCGATGTTACCTCGCGATGCTACCGTGTCGTCGACCTTGTTTCTCTTCAGCGATTGTGCATACGGACCCGGGCCTGCCGGGGAAACACACATCCCACTCCAGGACTTCAGACTTCAGGTACCTATGTCGTTGCATCCCCCGTGTACTGTATCCTGAGTGGCCCCCAACCGGATTCCAAGACCAGGCTTCGGACGGGCACTCAAGAGTCTGATCAACGGGTCTGTCGCCAACGCACGTCCAGGCCGGAGGTTACCAGACGCGAAAATGTCGCAACGCTATATTTGGGTCAGCTGCAGGCTGCCGGCTGCAGGGAGTTCCGCGGGGAAGGAAAGGCATGGCCGCATGGGTGAGATACCAGGTAATGAGCGTGCGGGCGTGTCGAGGGGGCGAATGAAAAGACGATCTGCACAAGCCTCTCGGGGTGTTTGCCCCGTTTATCTTAATTTACTACCGCCGCACGTACTGGTGGGCAACTTAATGGGCAGGTAATTCTCCGACTTCTGAGACTCCAACCGCGCCCACCAACTCAGTTCTCTTCGCGTGACGTGAGATACCTATCCAATCATATGCCATATGTAAGTACGGACAGCTGAGCAGACAGTACATGAGGACTGTATGCAGATATATGCACGGTCCCTCAGGGCTATGTACCTTAATGAATAAGAGAACAGCCGGCAGGGATCAGATGCAAGAGCTTGTTCTAGCTTGGAGCCTACTGCGAGTATTGACGTAGCGCCTTGGACCTTGGCTGGCCAGTGGTGGGGCTGGACCGTCACGGGCTGATATGGAGACCCGACCGACGGCTGCCCTGGCTCCTGCACCTGCCTCCAAGTACTTGCATGTACCCCTGCTTCATAGCACCCCGCCTGCCGCCCCTTTCCCATTCCGCTGCTTCTCTCATTTCTCGACTGGATACTACCTAACCTTAGGAAAGTGATACCAACGGGGTTTCTCCAACAGCCTGCATCTCACATCTCACTCTGCGTCTGCTGCCTCGCCGTTCGTTGGAAGGCGTACCGTACCGTACGTACGACTTGATTCCAATTCCTCGCCTCCCGATCGCCCCGGACTGCTCCCTCAGAAAGTCCGGTGCACCGACCGACAAGACCCGTGGGCCGTAGGCCGTGGACCTCCATCTATCGTCCCTCCCCAATCGAGTTTGGACATGCTTCCCCTGAGACACGTCCTACCTCAACTTGCCATTGCCATTGCCGTCCAGCACCGCCATCTCTAATCATACAAGAGCCATTGCGACAGTGTTTACGGCGATATCGGGCCAATTGGGTATGTCGAGTCGATCCCAACCCGAGTGCTTGCTTGTTTCGAACACCATGCCTGCGTTTTGTGTCTCTGTCGTCCAAACCCCATGACTGCCGCAGGCCGGAGGCGCTCTACCCAGTGGTTTGGAGCTTCCGATGCCCGACCTACATCTGCTCAAGACTGTCTACAAACATGAACATATCAATATGTACCAGACTCAGCCACCATCATGCAAGTTGGCAGAGATAAGGGGGCCGTCCTTCCAGCCAGAGACGCAGAGGCAGCATGGGGGCGGCAACCAACACAACGCCTGCAGAGATAGCTCTCCATGTGTACCGTCACCCTGCTTGTCACACCACCACTCCTTGCTACATTCACGCAGACAGTTGTACATCACAACTGTACCTTCCTGGGCCCTCTCACCGCATGTCAGCAGCCTGAGCCTGCTGGCAACACGGCTGGGTCGGTCAGATCATGCTGCGTTGCGTGTCGCCTGCTTTCCGTCAGAACAATGCTGTACATAAGCCGGAGAGGCGTTCCTAGTTCGTCCAGCTGCCGCTTGTTTCATCTGCGCGTACCCTTAGGTTCAAGTCGCTAACTGCCTATCTTTTCTTTTCTTCGCACAGAAGCCCTCGAAGATCAATCCTGACATCCTGGAGGATCCGACTTCCGCGACTCGAACGGATCCCACGCTTCGATCGCCGATACGCCGTCCACTGAAGCCAGGGTCTCGGAGAGCGTTTGCTGCGGACAAGTCTGCAGCCCATTCCTCGCTTCACCCTGTCGTCACACGCCAGGCAGGGCGGCCTTCCCGGGTCTGCCGTGACGACAAATATACCCATCGAATCGCTTCCTGCCCTTGATACAGCCATGTCGAGCTCCCCCTCCACCGGCCTGGCGAACACGCCGCGACTTGTTCGCTCCAGGACCCAGAGTATCTCGAGTGACAGGCCGTCCACCATCGGCACGCACGGTCTGATGACGCCTCCGCTTGCTGTGTCGCCCGAGGCAGCCTTCATTGCTGCTTCTGCCGCGTCGCAAATCGTCACGAATGACCACGATATCCATTCGGCTACGTGGTACGATCAGTTCGGAATCGAGCCTTCGGGCGAGACGGCTTTGGTGTCCAACAGTGCCCTCCAGCTTGCAAACAACTTCGTTGATCAACTATTGTACAACGTTATCGCGAATGCCAGATCCACGACGCTATCGGCCTTGCGACCCGCCGTCAGCGAAGTTCTCAAACCGAAACTAGCCAAAGATGCCATCAACCAGGCCGACGAAGAACTGAGAGAATACTTGGGCGGCGGTGAAGTTGAAGACTTGGTCCGGTCGCAGTCCCCCGTGTCGTCAAGAGATTGGGATCTTGAGCTGGTATGGAAGAGAACACGGCTGCGATGCATGGTGTACTCCTCATTGGGAGATATGGAGGAAGAGGATGAGGACTACTACATGGAACAGGAACATCTCAATGGAGAAACCGACGATATCCTGGCAGAACTCGTTTCCCCTGCTGTGGCCATCTTCCTGACCTCCATTCTTGAATTCATGGGCGAACAGGTCCTCATCGTAGCTGGACAGGCAGCTTTCAACCGACAACGCGCCAAGTACGAGAAGGATTTGAAGGACAGCGCTCGATCACCGGGTGGGCTTTCCGATCGCATTGTAGTCGAAGAGCTAGACATGGAACGCGTCGCTCTAGATCGAACCCTCGGCAGACTTTGGCGAGCCTGGAAGAAGAGGATACGATCTCCGCTGGAACCAAACTATTCCCGTCCCTTTTCTCGCAGCTCGACGAGTGGCTCTGGCTTCCCCCACCAGAGACGTGAGAGTAGTGCCGCAGATGTGCTGCCATCATTACAGACGTCCAAAGACGCAGGCTCGAACAGCGAAGCAAAAGAAGACCGGTTGGAGCATGCTAGGGAACGACCAGCTCAGGAGACGGATGGCCATAATGTTGATCCCTCATCTCTTGAATTACCGGATAGCGATGTGGAGCCTACCTACAGCGATGAGGAAGAGAGTGAGGACGAAGAAGAGTCGCCTCGACGCCCTAAGAGTTGGATCGTGTCTCCCCAGAGCTCGGCAGCGGAAAGTTTCTTTCTTTCGCAAGTTCAAACTAGACGCCATCGCTCACTACCTCCCCAAAAGCGCTCGCGATACAATGCGTATCCAGTCTCGGGCGATAAGATTGATTCTGCAGAGGTCAAGGCCACAGATCAAATGTCTGCAGGCCAACAACGAGCAAGTGGCTCCGTCACAATAGCACAGGGCGCCACCGAATCAGTTTCCGATATCGACAAGGAGAGTGACTCGAGTGCAAGCAATTACGCTGAGAGCAAGCCCGAGTCTGACCCACCGTCAACCGCAGGAGGTCTCCTTGCCAGAATCACGACTGGCGCGGTGTCGATGGGGTCTGCCGCAGTCGCCGGCTTAACCGCAGTGGCTACCGGAAACGCACCCCAGACAGAAGTCGAAGATGGAGGGAAAGATGACGTGGTTGAGGATTTCGAAGAAGAGCCCGAAATCATGACCTCTTCGCGTGTGTCTATTGGGGGAAGAAGCTCACCGGCGGTCTCCGATGCCGGAAGGCCATCTTCCTTGATTCAAACCAGGTCGAACAGCGTGCGCTCCCTCCGGGTCATTGACGTTCAAGGACCTCGAAGCCCACTTGCGCAATCACGGTCGGGCTCGGATGGACAGGATCCTCTTCTTAGTCCGGTCCCACGCTCGACCAATGTTTCTCGCGAAAGCAGCATCTCGGGGACCCCTCCCATTGCCGAGGAAAATGATTCGAATGCCCCTTTCACCAGGGCCTCAAAGCGAAGTGCCATCATCGTGCCATCACCCACCGACGATAATCGAGACGCAACTTTCGCGCTTACCGCACCTCCGCGTAACCGATCACCTCCTAAGCCCACGCGCTCACCGGTGCAGGCTCAACGACCGGCACCCGCCAAGGTGACGATCATCAGCAATGCTGGGATGAACCCTCAGGGGGAAAGACCCGACATTACCCAGAGATCGCTCAGCAACGTGAAGAGCCCACCAATGCCTACCCTACCAGAGAGAAATACCAGTAGGCCTGTCCATGGGCATGGGTATTCGACATCGGTGCAGCGCGGATCCTCCGAATCCCCCGAAGTTCCGCGCGCTGTTCAGGCAGAGTCTCCCTCATCACTGACATCGAGCAAGTTCAAGGCGATGCGTTCGTCGGAGGATAGCACCACTCACCGCCCTGTGGACAAGGCTCGAAACTTCGAAGACCTGATCCAAAGCAACGAAACTCTGCAATACACATTAACGCCGGAGAACATGCGAGACATGGATGTGAGTGGAATACCCCCCGTGCTTACGCCTTCACGTCTGACAGTAAAACAGTCTGCCGCCTCTCAGCAAAATGGAAGCCCGAAGCCTCCCCATAGGACGCAAAAAAGCGAGGATGTCAGGCATATGGACCGCTCGAGGTCTTCTTCCATTAAGAGGTCCTTGTCCGTGACGAAGACGACAGGGTTGCGATCCCATCCCCCCACAGACTTGGGTAACAATGGCAAATTTCCCGGTGCTGCTCCGCCAGAGGCACCAGTCTCGATGCCTTCAAGGGGGCGCACCGGCAGTGCAGCACAAGCTAGGGATGCTAGGATCCCGAGGGAATCGATGCAAGACTTTGCCCAGTTCATTCGCTCGACTGGACCACCAGGGGGGGACAGCAGCACCCACGGTAACCGAGCCAATGCTGGGAGTACAACCGTGGTACGAAACATCAACGGACCTACCCCAGCGAAGGGCAGCATGGACAGTCGGCGCACAGATCTTAGCGCGCGCGCCCGTCTCCAAGCGAGAGAGGCCACAGTCAACCCGTCGAACGAGAGCTCCGAGCTCATTGACTTCATTCGCCGCGGGCCTCCCAGTGCGAGTAGCAACAGTCCCCGCATCCCTCGCCACGTGGCTCCGTTCCGGAACACGATGGACTCGGATCACATGCAAATGACCGGCGCTGTCGGTGGCAAGGCGGTGGATGCGGCAATCCCCAATCTCCGAAACAGTGAAGCATCGACGAACGTCACCGAGTCATCCGCTCCGTCGTCGATGAACTCCCAAAGCGCTCTCTTGAACAAGGCGAACAAGGCACCGCAATACTCGGGGGGCAACTTTGACGATGACGACATGATGCCCAAGCGGACCCAGCGACGAGTGAAGGATCCGTACGCGATTGATTTTAGTGACGAGGAGGAAGATGAGGTCGAGTTCACGCCAAAGCCAAAGCCAAAGCCGAAGAAAGAGGAGAGTTTGATCGATTTCTTGAACAACTATGCGCCCCCTCCAGAGCCATCGCCGCAGCCTATCGTCATGCCCAAGAAGAAATCCAGCGCGCCCAACTTGATAGCGCGGCTGAGGGCGGCGGGCAACTCAAGCTCGGCAAGCAATTCCAGCACATCAGGCCGCAGGACATCCACTGCCGCCGAGAACAGTGTGGTTAACAGCCAGCCACGCAGTCGCCCGACCCTCGCTAAGGCTTACACTCCCATCGTCATTCCACCTGGAGCGGAGAAGCTCGGCACCGATTTCCGCTCGGCAGCGGCACCTCGTGTCGCCTCGGCCGGCCGCGTCCCAATGAAGAAATTTGAGCCTCGAGAAGCTGTCTCTTCCACCTCACGAACAAATGACCTGGCCCAATTTCTGCGAGACTCGGAGCCGCCGCCCACCACCATGGCAAACCCACCCCCGCCGCCCGAGGACAAAAGCAGCAGCGGATTCTCACGCATGTTTGAGCGCCGCAAGAAGTCAAGCGCCTACTGAAGAGTTGACTAACCATCGGAATTATTCAGATTATTATTTGACCGCGGAGCGACAAAATTTTAATTCCACTTATTATGTACAATTTATATTTCTATCAGGATATATTATTGTAAGTATCGGACGCATCCCACTGTCTTTACGTGGACGGAACGAAATACGACGGCAGCTCTTAGTACGAGACATCTATGGCGACGCTGGACATATCTTCTGGGTCACCGAGTTGTACGTAGTATGTATCGCAGTCGCTCTCTCACATCTGGCACTCATGTATAAGGATATTTCCTTTTTTTTTCATTTATCGGATCTAGTTGATACCATTTTGTTTTCATATAATTGTGGGGAAAGACGACAGAATCACAAACCTTCGAGACAACGGCAGGGCAAGCTAGCAGATGAGGGGGATGGATAGTTGTGCAGCGTCTTCGCGATAGTTGGTCAGCTGAAGTTCAGGCGGATGTAACCTTGGATATAGCAACTACGATAGTTATGGCTGAAATGAGATGATTCGACTCGGTTCTGGTGGACTTAACTCTCCGTAGACCCTGTGAATTTCATTTCGATTTGGCATGACGTGGGACGTGGACCTGTGTGGTAGGTACTCCGGTTATGGAGTGCGAGGGTTTTTTCAAGGGCGAGTGAACCTTGCCGAGATGTCGACCAACTAGATAGATAGTGAGTCTGATGTGACTGCCGTCCTACGTAGCAAGAAAGGGACGGGGTAGTGTGCCCTTGTGAAGGATGTACTAGTGTGGCGGGGGCGTGCGAGGACGAGGAGGAGCGTTTCTGAGTTATTTGGCCCGTGTCGACTGTATTAAGACGAGGCGCTGTCCCGTCGAATAGGTAGACCTCTTAGTCTATTTCTATATGTATGTATTCATGCAGTCAGTCAGTCAGTCGCCTGCTGGTCCACACTTCCCAGCTGCTGTGGCTGAGGATCTCAGCTTGTTTATTGTATGAGTGATGAGTGACGGACGGCCCAGCGTGTCCAGTCGTTTTTCAACACGTGCCGCGGCCCTTTTGCGCCCCTCGTCGCCGGGGTCGTGGATCCGCACGCACGCGCGCGCGAGGTCTGTACTGTCTTTTTGATCGATTGCTCTGGACGACCTCGGCTGTTGGGGCTTTGGACGGTGTGGTTTGGCCTTTGGGGGTGTTATGGCGTGGTGGGTGGAGGGTGGAGGTGATGGAGGTCTCTTTGTGGATGCTGGGTATGGGAAGCTTGACTGGGAGGGGCTTTGCCTGTACTGCCTGGTCTGCTTGGCTTTAGGCTTATCAAGGATGGCTGGTTGGGTGAGGGGCACTTGCTGTTGTGGCTGCAGTTGGAGTCCTTGTGGTTGTGATGGATTACTATGTCTCTGCCGGGAGGTGGAGAGGCGGAGGGAGGGGCGCTGAGATTAGAGAGCCGAGCTCGGTAGGTCTGGCCATGGAAATTCTGGTGAAGGAGGAGGTGATAGATGGATTGGGACGAGGGTGTCGTGCTGCTGGGCTAGGCACTTCTGGTTGACTGGAGTGGTTGGTTTGCGGACTGGGTGGGACCCTCGGTCTGCTCTGGGGCGTTCAAACTTCAGGGGGGGTTCGGGGGCGAGCCCTGTCGTCTCGGGCGATAGGCAGAGAGTGAAATGCAACTCATCCAAAGCTCACAATGTCCTCGCCATCGGCTGTAGATAAGTCCTCGATGAGCGGTGAGATGACTTCTTACATTGAGACATACCAGTGAGTCTTGGGGCGGTCTGGTGTGTCTACTAGATGAGACAAGACGAGCTGTTAAGCACCCCACGTGTATTATACGAGAGTAAACAGCGAATTCTGAAGACCTCTGAGCGTTTGTGGCAGCAAAATACTCAGAACGGCCTCCCATGATTGCCTATGAGATGGCATCCCTCAGGCAAGAGCCCAGTGCACAAAGAGTTGTCCAACAAGCTCGTCTGATTCTGCGCTCTTTGTCCGCCTCCTGGTGCCTTCTACTAAGTCTTTGGACCTGATGCCGCGGCTGATCTCAAGGCTGCTAAACTCGCCATCCGCGACTTGAGCATCAGAAAGCAACAGCCGAATTTGGCCGGTGTAGGCTACGGGATATTTCCATCATTTCCCTTGACGTCGCGTATCCAGCCTGTTGGTGACGCTCAACCTCATTCAATAAGAAGTTGATTATGCTACAAATAGGACGGTGTATCACTGGATCTGCGTCATGTCTTCATCTGATTCCGATTCCGTCTCCGATTTAGAGCGTCGGCATAGTGTTCCTGTACATGACTGGACGTAAGTCTGAGCTCTCTAATAGATACTGTCTCGTCATCTCGCCAGATCCAGGTATCAAGTCTTACACAAAATCAATGTCTGACAGGTCGATATGGCATCACGACATAGCGTGCAGACAGTTGCATGTTCAGGGGCAATGACCGGCACGACTACAGACGCTTGCTTTGTTAAGTCGACAGAGGCACTACTTCCAATACTAGAAAAAGAGGCATTATTGCTGAGGTCAACGGTATTCCACAGCTGCAGCGCCGATGCTGTCGATGTCTTTGCGGTTCACAGGCGTTGCCTGGATCCCAGCCACCACGACGTCGGCAACGGTGGCAAAGGAAGAGCCCCTCAGCACCAACCCGTCGGATTTCTATCACAGTGACGACATTTGTCGAGACTTCGTCGTAATCGGCGGCGACTCATCTGGAACGTATACTGCAATCCGACTTCGAGACTACAAAAGAACCCTGGTCGTGGCGGTAATCGAGAATGAGGGTCAACTCGGGGGGTCACGCACTGGGCAAAGATATGAATACGGGGCTCACCACTTCATGGAGAGCGAGACTTTGAGATAGGACCCCGTGCGGATTCTCGTCAGAACGCCTTCTGGTCTCAACGTGGTCATCGCCAAGAAGGTACTCTCGACGGCACGGCCGATACTGGACCACCCCGGGGGTAGGCCCCTCTCACGAAGATTTGCTGTCCTTGTGTCTAGGAGTGGGCTTATGGGTTAAGGGGGTTATTTATAAGGGGGGTGACGCGTTATTTACTGGGTTTTATTTTTAATGATAGAGCTGTATTATTATAATTGCCTTCGGGGCCGCGCGACGGCGTAGCTAGATCTAAGACGGTTACGCCCCTTCCTCCTAATCCATGTACGGCTCTAACCGATTCCTTCGTCCACGTTGTCCTTGCTGTGAACGTCGAATCCTTAATTGTACCTTAGCGAGGCCTCCACCTACCAGCCACCTATAGCCCTCTATATTAGCACACCGACAACCTCGATTTACTCTGCCAGGCTGGATGGCTACCACGATCGGGTTCCGGATGGAGATGTCATACCATCTTAGACTATCATGTCCTTCATAGCTGGATACGTTGAGCTGCTGAACTGGATGGCGGTTTGTGTGTCGATGCCATACCAACACAGGTTATTATATTATATCCCTTGCACATGTACCTCCCAGTGAGCTTGGTGTTGAGGGAACGCACCAAGGTGCAATGAAGGATTTAGAGTTTGTTTGTTTGTTTGTTTGTTTGTTTGTTTGTTTTGTATTTAACGTGGGGGGTAGCTCCTTAGTAGTGCAAACCACGCCTCCCAGAGCCATTGCATCGCAAGGTTGTAGAGGTGTCAAATTAGATACATTCAGATCCGCGCACGAGCCTATCCTCGCTGTAGCGGTACCAATCTGGAGTGTTCAGATGGTTTTAGTCAATACCCAAACACGATTCCGTCAGAAAAACCTCCTATCTAGTGACAAAGCGACCCAGTGAACCTCAGTTCTCTGGTGTACATATCGTTCCAGTAGCCGTTCGATATATGTCGCATTGGTGAGTGGAATAGGTGTTTGTTATCTGCTGGCGAGGGAAACCACAAGGGGGAAAACCTCGCATGAGTGGGTATTGTGGAGACAAGCTGTTTGGCTATCGGGCTCTGCGATAAAATGGGGCCTCTCCACTGTCGTGTGCTGGTTATCAACTCGCACAAGCCGGGTCAGAAAGGGGGCCATAGCAGGATTCGAACCCACTTGTTCTCGTCGCCCACCGCACAAACGAGAACACAACCAGGCGCATTTGACCATTGCGCCATACGGCCGAAGGATTTAGAGTATTGCGTTTCTTACGCAACTCCTTAGTATACCACACGGACCATCCGCGCAACGCTCAGGCGTGGCTCGAAAAAGGCTGCAAGGTGTAAATAACCCATCTCTTTTTTTAGAGAGCCAGGGGTATTTATTTAGATTTATTAGATCCTGACATTGGTTATTTCTCTTCACCGGACAAGTTAAAATAGGCTCTCTCCAGAGGAGGCGATGCCTATTCTTGTAAAAACGGGTATTGAATCACCAAGGGTGCCTGTCTTCACTCCTTCGCGGCGATGTCCTATCTTCGGTGTCTTGGGAAGAGGGTATGAACGACGAAGAACGAACGAGTTGACATCATACCCCATACGTACTACAAACTTCGCTGCATTTCTTGCATCAGCAATCGGCTGAGAGTTTGTATTAAAGCAAATGGCCAGCCGTCGAGGTCACGTACTGTTACGAGAACCTCCGCTAGTTCCCTTCCATAAGCATGGCATGCTATATATAGACAACTAGGACCCCCAGAGCCGGCAGGCTCTTCTATCCCCCCTTTCCCTCCTTAATAGAACCAACATAACTTCGTTCACCCTACCTCTTAGGCTTCTTGTCAAAGGTCTGGACCGTTACACGCACTTGACCCATTCTCGAGGTCAATCGGGACCACATTGTCAGTCAATCGATCTCGTTTCCGCCGTGCCCAGCCCAACTCATGGCGACCAGATCGTCCGCGCTCCAGCTCCTCTGGCGGCTGCTTTTGCTTGCGATAGCCGTAAGGCCTGTGTGGTCAGAGTTAGAATGGGTGAGCCCTTTCACGCGGCTATGGAGAAGCATCCACTGACCATCTCGTAAGTCGATCCAACAAGCGGAAAATGTCCATGGCGATGATCGATACTATTTGGAATATGTCTGGAAAAGACCTTCGTCTGTTGAAACGGTCAGGTTGCTAGATGGTTCGGATGAGGGAGCCTTGATGTCGAATGAAAATGCTGGGCGAATGCTGAGATACGTCAACCGTTTCGGTAAGTCGAAAGTCCGACTCACCTCCTCCTGATGTGGGCCAACCTACTCGTCATCTTCAAGTGAGTTTGAGCTAATATGCCACTCTTGCAGACACCGTTGCTGCTTGTCAGCGAACAATTCTGGAAAATGATAATCTATGGCGCTGTCCTTTGCCATCAGACCTGTGGGACAGCTTCGCCACAGGCGACGACCTCAGCAAGATATATAATCGTCCTGACTTGACAAAAGACGAAGAGACGTTGGTCCAACTCATGAGCGACAACTTCTTCAAGTGGTACCTCGAAGATGACAAGGCCAAACTAGCCAAATTCCATTTGGTTAAGGCTGACCCCATCACCGAGTTCCTGGCTCAGGCCTTTCGACAAGGTAAAGGCGCTGATTTTACAAAAGCCGCTCGCAAGTTACTCCTCAAAAATGACTACAAAGGCCAAGACATAACGAAGGATTTGAACCTATGGCAGTCTCACTACACGATGTCTGATAATTTCCTGGGGATGTTGAAAGCTAGTACGTTATTCCAATGCACTTGACGGACAATGGCTGACTCCGCCTCTCTAAAGTTCCCGGGAGTCAGGGCTTGATGAACCGAATGACCAAGCTAGACGGATCGAGGCTCGAGATGCTGGTCAACTTCAAACGCAACGACGCGTTGTCTGTTACCGGTGACTTAACCCAATCTACGCACGGATGGGGAGTACGCCAACTAATATGAGATAGATATATATCAAGGCCTGCAGGACACGAGCAAGAGCGGCCAGGCAGCAACAGCAGCGGCTGCGTCCTTGGGAATCGGTGGTGTTGATAGGGGGTTCGCTTCCCGGGGTTTCATCTACGTTATCTACTCCCAATCCGGTCGAATACTGTCATTACTCAACAGTAAGGCCGAGTATCGTGAAGTACTCTTCGTGGAAGGCATAGCTGGAGAGTTCAAGGTTCTAGGTTATCAGAAGCTACTAGGGTTCAAAGACAAGCAGAAGATCTATAAGGAGGGCCATTACGCTGTTTTCTGGTAAGTACTCCCGGCACAAATCCCTCCATGCAGAGATGAAGCAGGCTCGCTCTTGGTGGGAAAATGCTGACCAGACGAAAGGTTGATGGAAGCCGGTGTAGGGATCAAGGACAACAAGAAGCTACTTTCTGATCTCAAAAAGGAGGTTAAGCTTTGAAGCCTCGAATCGTGCGATTATGATTAGAGCTGGGATCAAGGCAGTATGCCAGGAGCAGATTGTCATGGCGAGCTTGGATGGTGTATGTATGATAGGTAGATTGACTCTGAGAGTCCGAAGCTCACGCTGCGCAGCGTCGGAAAATAACACAAATGATTGTTCTGCGTTCTCGATGCACTGTGCGAAACATTCATCGCTTGTGTTGTCCTTCATCATGTCCACGCTTTTGCGCTTCGTGCCTTATTGCTTCGATGTTGTGAAACCTTCTTGCCTTGACCGTTGAGGGAGGAGAGAAAAGCTTCGGACCAGAGGAGCTGGAGTAGACGGTTCATTTCGGCGGCAACGTATGGTGGGAAACGTCATTGGTGGCTGAAACAGGAGTAAAGAGTCTTCCCAACCGTGTCGACCGTCTTCATCTTTAGACGCCCAATATGTTGAGATGTGGTGGAAAATGGTACATGAAACCTCTCAGAGTCTCCGTACACCTGTGACGGAACGCCCACCATAACCACCATGCCACGGCTGTTCCTCCCAAATGGATGTCGAATATCAAGCGTGGCAGCTTGACATTCAATGGTGGTACATGTACTCATGTCCGGGCTCCAGGACTCACCACCTGGGCTACCTGTACCAGACCATGACAACACCCTAGTTCTCCCTCTAAGGAATTCTCCAGCAGGAGTTCTTGCAGAGGCAATACGATGGCGTCACGGCCTACGACTCGGACGTTTAGACCAAAGACACCCTCTTGTTGGCAGGCTCCAAGTACAAGCTCGCAAGGAACCAACAAGGCTACAAAGGAACTTTCAGCTAGTTCCTGACTTCCAGAGACCAATACTCACCAAGCCATATAAAGAAAGCCCCCAATCCGAAAGGACAAAGACAAAAAGACAGAGCTCTTCAAGGAATGGTTATAAGAGAGAAATATGAACACTGACCTTGTCATCTACTCAGATGGATCATAATTGGACGACAAAGGCACAACCCGCACTAGATGGGGCTACACCATCAGGAAAAGTAACACTACACAAGAAGTATACCGGGGAAAGGGCAGACTTCTCTAAGCAGAAATAATAGATGCTAAAATCCATGGCGCTCTCCAAGGGCTTGCAGTAACCAGGGCAATTGGACACAGAAAACAGCTATATGTCTGCCTGGACAACACGTCAGTGGTAGATGAGCTCAATGGGACTCCACCCGAGACATCACAGAACATTTTTCTATGATTTCAAGAACTTGCCACAACACACACTCCTGGAGTGACCGTCAAGTGGATTCCTGGACACAGAGATATTGATAGCAACAAAGTTACCGACACACTAGCAAAAGAGGGTGCCATGCTAGAAACAGACACGACAAATCTTCCCACAATCTCATGGGTCAAAAGAGATCTCAAAAGAAAGGGCAAGAAAGAATTCAATCAATAATAAAAAGACTAATCAGAACCTAAATATCAAGAAATATACTCACATACAGTAACTAAAAGAGACCTTATATCTTTTAAAAGGAGAACTTTACACAGAATTCTAGCGGCCAGATCTGGATATGGCGACTTTGCCAGATACCACGAACGCTTTGGGCATACAGACTCGAATGATCACTACAACTGTGGTGAAAAGAAAACACCACAATACATTTTCTTTTGTAAGAGGCTGGGGAAAAATCGGCTGCTGCCTAGGTACTCGCCTAGGACAGCTTATTTACAATACTTAGGGGAGAGGAGCACAAAATGGGCAAAATTTGTGGAGAAGAACAAATTCTTTTCATCAATCTGTCCTCAATAGATAACTGTTCTTAAAGGACCAGATGGATGACCCAAGGTCATACCGCCACAATAATGGGGATGGGCTCGTGAGCGGGACTGACTGTACTTATTATCTTGATACCTCCACAACCCTGCGATGCAGAGGCTCTGGGAGGCGTGGTTTGCACTACTGAGGAGCAATCCCCCACGTTAAATACAAAACAAACAAACAAACAAACAAACCTCTAAGGAATTTATTAAATGAGGTTTATTAGGTTAAGTATATGTCTTGCCGTTCTTGGCGGTATCGCTGGCTTTTTATAATCGAGATTATTTATAGGCTTTTACACCCTGTGTCTTAAATTGCCCCGTATTAAGTATGATAATAAAGACTTATTAAATAGGTCGATAAAGGGTTAATTAGTAAATAAAGATAGCGGTAGCAGTATTAAATAAGGACGATAAATAAAGGTAGTAGTACGAGGAGTAATAAGGGCGTTAAAGGTTGATATAATGGTCGTTTCGAGGAATGAATTTTCGATATTATATTTAACGTATAAAATTTAAATGAAACCGTATTAAAGTAGTTATTACGGCTGATTATATGTTAAATTTATTATTGTTATTATATAAACTTAATAGTTACGAAAGTAAGGCTTAAAATTATAAAACTATTAGCTAGATAATAAAGGATTATAAAAGTAGTATAATTATTTTATATGAATACGTAGTTTTTTAACGATTTTATTCTTCTTATTAAACGAAAGCAGTAGCTACCTTAAAAACGGGTGCTACATCCATCCAACAACAAGATGCACTACTAGCGCTGGCGGTAACAATGCTTCGACGACCCCGATTTGGAACACAACTACTTCCGGTTCATCGAATGTTACATCGCCGCCGATGATTGCGACACCCAATGCCGGACCCAGAGAGACTGGATAGCCTGCCGCGGCCGCGGTGGCAATTGGACTGGTTGGCGTCATCGCGTCATTGTAGGCAGTAACTTACGGGCTTCGTAGCTAAACACATCATGATGGGCTGTCCAAGGGGAGCAGTAAACGGACCACCTCTCCAAGCCAAACAGGGACGGGAGGTATCAGTCACATGGAGAGCCACGTGCTTTAGTCTTGATACTGGATTGAGTCATGCTATTTGCAGCTTCGTTCATGCTTATGCTCCGGCCGGTGTCCGGCGCCCACGGGCGAAGAACATGGCGGTCTGTCCGACCCGCCCTGCCGCTATCCTTCGCCGCTGCCGGCAGGGGCAAAAAGTTCCTGTCCTTAAATCCACCGCGATTCCCTACCTTGCCTGATTAATCATGGCTCATGGCATCACTTCCGAACAGTCTGCGCGGGGGGTTTTGCATTATATTGGGTTTGCTTGGCCAACGTCGGTTTCGTTAGAAACCGGCAGTGCGGTAAATGATATAGACTGCATTCGTGTTCCGAGATAAGCCACAGTCGGAGATGAAGCAAGACTCGGAACAGCATGTGAGAAGTGATGGCCAGACCCCCTCCCCTGCACAGTACTGTACACTCTACGGTACTATGTACATAGGGGAAGTCGCAATATATCGAACTTGTTCGAGCACAGACGACGACTTGGAATACCGTGCGGACAACAAGGGGAGCTTCTCCGCTGGCACTAGTGTGTAACATCTTGTTATTAATAGACAGACTGACAGGCATCGATGAAGCTCAAGGCCCAGGTAATGGCGGTTCTGGACGATCTTGTAGAGGCGACAAAGCCGCCAGGGGCTACTACCAGTAGTAATAAGAAGCTAGGAAGCACCTGCCACCATGACCTCTCGAACCAGGACAGCGGATATCACAGTTATTGTCGAGGTGTGTATATAACACGAAGGTCCATGGCTGTCCAAACCGATCCTCTTCCTGGAGGCGCTTCACCCTAGACGCGCAGAGAAACCCACGGACCCGAATACATACGTCCCCGACCACAAGGGGCTGCTGAGGTAAGCCTGCAATATGCACATCCGAATACGTCCCCGACAACAAGGGTCTGCTGAGGTAAGCCTGCAATATGACCAAGCCACAGGCTCTAAATCCCACGTAGCGTCATGACTCATGGGCATATGGCACGATGCTGCATTGGTACATATCCGTGTGCCATCGTTTGAGGGTGTCCTTCCGCTTGGCAAGCCGTGAGTCCGGGACCGACCAGTTTCGCATGTACTACCGGCTCGATTGGTTAACGAAAAGGATTCAATACCTAGACTCCCTTGTGACGGTGGCGCCCGAAGAAAGTACCGGGGGTCATCTGGCTACAATCAACGTCAGCAGACGGCTTATCAGTCCGTTCGGTGATGATTTGAGGAGCACTGAATCGTATAGTCACGCCGTACTCCCCGTCAAACTCACAACTGGCGACATTTAACCAGTCATGCCGAAATTATCGGGATGCAGCCCGCCAACGTTGTCGGCACTCTTCCATGTATCTATATGAAGTTACTGGTGAGCCATTAGGGGGGTAAGCTGACAGGCCCAGGGGTAAGCTGACAGGCCCAGGGGTAAGCTGACAGGCCCAGGGGTAAAACAACCCAGCATGGACTTAAGGTGCACGGCGCATAAAAAGTTCCGAGACTAATAATATACATCATATCGTACAAGGTACTCGATTGAGAGCCTTATAACGGCAGATTATGTAATTTTAGACCTTGGAATTGAACAAGATATGCGACAAGTTGGGTTTAAAAGGGGCTTTGTCAAGCCCTATGACGGACTCCGGTTACCGAGACGAACTTATTAGTCTTAGTACCGGTTTGAGGTTCAGCGGGCAACAGAAGCGGCTAGCTCATCTGTGTGATATCACATGTACAGCAAGAGACAAGGGAGCGAACGGACGAACGAACGGGAGCTGGAGCTGACAGGATTGGAACTTGTTCCCTTATATATGTCTTTCTTCATCTTTCTGCCAGGATGACATGATCGCGATGGACTGTGCGAGGCTGGGGTGGGAGTAATCGACAGTTTTACTACCAATTTTACGTTGAGTATGGTGAAGAATCTGCTGATCTTGAACATGGAGACCATGTCTAGACTGCTAACTACCTAGTTGTTCTTTTTACCGCCACGATGACGTTGGCGAAGACTAGGTAGGTAGTAGTAGCTCGCTAAGCCCGGAGGTATAGAGAACTGATCGACCTCCCCAAGGAAACAACCTCACCTGTAGGAAGGAGCCTACAGGTTACCACAGAACTAGTACCGCTTGAAAATTTCTCGAAACCCTTGAACCTGGAATCCCAGCGCTTTCCGCATAATATCGATCTCTTGTTCCTGCGCGAACTTTGTTGCTATTCTCGTTCTTGTGAGCGTCATCTCGTGGCGAGATAGTCAATGGCGGCAACATGTTGCGACTCAGAGATTGAAGCATTCTCCTCGACGCTGAGGTATGGCAGCGGTTGGTCGCTACTGGCCAGTTGTCAACTATCTAGGTACACAGTCGCCTGTCTCAGGAGAGACTCGAATGTATAAAGGGAGGCAGCTTCGCATCTCAAAGTTGTGCTTTTCTTTTTCTCCACCACACTCACATTCCAAACACATTCGCATTCCAAACATTCAGACACTCCAAGATCATTAGTACCTCATCTCTCTGCAATCTCGCTCATATTGCCTCAACCACACCAAGAAAACCCACTCGCATCACCCGACCTTACCAAAATGCGTTTCTCCATCCTCGCCGTCCTCAGCCTCTCGGCTATTGCTACTGCCGGTACCATTGACACCCGGCGCTCCGACGATGCAGATGTCGCCGGTGTCCCACGAAACATACTCGACGATTGGCACTCCCACCATGACGCGGCAGGGTTGGACCTCCAGTAAGTTGAAGCATGTGTTCTGGCAAGACATAGGGAAAACAAGCTAACCGTGTTACTTCTAGTGGTTATGTGTATGATACGGAGACTATTTGCAACGATAACTGTAGATTTGATGGAAAAGCCGGAACATGCACTTATCACAGTGAAACCGGGGGCTGGCAATGCAAAAATGAGTAAACACTTGATCAATGGCGGTACCGCCCACGTCACTGAGTGGAGGACCCAGAGAAGGATAGTCAGCCCGGAAAGCATGGGGAGAATCTGGCGGGGTTTGAGGATGGATTGGAACATGGACGCTGTTGGCCTACGGCGAGCAGGCCCCTCTACACTCGCTTAAGGTTTAGAATTCGCATACAATATAGACACACTCGTTTTACCGCTATTACACCGACGCTGCACTCCCATATTTCGCCCATGGTGAACTGAACGGCTTGAACATGACAATACAGCACCGGGAGCGCAATGAAACTCACTTGCCTTTCGGGAGGTAGGTGGGAGCAACCGTCGACGTGTAGGTTTGGCGCGCCCCTTTTCCACTCTTCTCCGAGCCGTGATCAAGAACACTGGAAGGGTGAAGCCTAATAAGTCTACTCGCCTAGAAAGACGCTCGGTGATGAATTCTTTTGAATATATGTACACACATTGTGTTCAAGAGGCAGAGGGCTAGAATGATAGACAGCATGGAAGGTGGCCTTCTCATTTGGACAGCTCGACGCGAACTCCACCGCGTTCTCGGTCGACGTCTACTCCCTCCACGATGAGGAACCCATTTTCACGCACCACTCCACGCCCGAGCTTCTCGCCAGCTACAGTACTGATGGTGTCGCGGCCGTGGACTCCGACACCCTGTATGCCATCCGCAGAGAACCAAGCTCCACACGTGTCACGGCACTAGATACCAACCCCACAGCCCCACAGGTTAACCCCTATATATACCTCCTCCTGTCTCCTAGCTAGCTTCATAGTTTTCCTTCCTTCTTCACGTACATCAACAAAGACATTTCTGGAGTCACCAGCAGTCGAACTGTGACAACACGATCTATCGCAGGCTGACAGCCGCGGGCGACGAACCTTGTGCACCGGCCGATAACCGACTCTCTTCCAGAGCTCGGCGCCGAGAACCATGGCACCGGTTACGACGTTGATAGCCCTTCGTGGGACTCCATTACGGTGGGGTCCCTGGCCGCTCAGATGGCGGGTATTGCGAGGGATGTGTTGAACTCGGCTGATTTATCCACGGTGCTGCCAAGTTTGGGGCTTTCCGACTAATGTGAAAGCAATCATACGACCTACTGCGACGCTGCCATGGGTTGGCTGCCATGCAATCGCACAGGTAAGCCATATACCCTATTCGTCTTCTCATATTGCTAGCAAGTTCCCAGACTTCTTCGCCGATTTCCTCACCCAGCACCCAATCCCCCTGCCTCTCCACAGCCCCATCTGTAGCAATGCCGCATATCTATTCTTGGCTATGCCCTGGAGAACCCCACGGACCTTCTCCAAGACCATGAAGGTTCTGCAGCCGGAGTTTGACGACCGTCTCAACGAGCGGGCCGCCGGTAATACGAGCACCGCACAACCCAGGGTTGGTGTCCGACTTGGTCACGGCGGCATTCGTGCCGGCGCTGCAACCCGCGGCGAAGGCCGAAACCAGTGCGGCCTACACAGGGACGTACTCGGACGAAGCCACGAACTCTACCATGATTATCTTGGTTTTGGAAGACGACCCATACCGGGACTTATGTAGTTCGAAGTCGGTATTCTTCCGCGCCGTTCTATCAAGATGTTCTTTCGCGCTACATGTTCCGTGTCGGGATATCAATGGCAGGCATACCCACGGCGACGACGGCGATGGTGGTAAGGACGATGACCCCAGCCAGGGGGACTGAAGCGACTAGCTAGCAGTATTATTTTTACTTACACCAGCATTGACATTGACTGGGACAGCCGTGGTGTTTCAGCACGCGACCTCTACTGGCGGGCCGACATTCGAAAGCTCAGTAAATCGAGACGCAAGAACTTCGCTCCCACATCAGTTCGCCGATAGTTATGTCTACCCTGCTTCAAGAACTCAATGGACGAGGTGTGTTGGAACCCTACTTGCGATCGGGGCACGATGTGAGTACCGCAACCGTGTGCAGCTGGATGCTCTCTTGCGAGTGACATAGAATCAGCGTGGAGGGTTCTCGTGTGCGAATTTAAACGCTTGACAGTTTGACAGTTTGACGGACCAGACTAGATGCTGATAATTGTGGCACACGCTTGGGTTGCGGTTGCCTTTTGAGGCACCCTCTCCGACGTTGATTGGCTGTGTAACTTTAGACTTGCGACGTAGCGGCTGCGTACCGCGTATGTACCACGCTAGACAGCCCGATTTCAAGTCAGATGTGGAAAAGGCTACGACAGGTCTTGGCAAGTGCATCACGCGCAACGACAACTGGTATGGGCAGGGTAAGACGAGTCGAGTCGAGTCCGTCAATCCCGAGTGCCCGCCACATCTGCGCCGCAATGTGTCTGTGTCTGTAACTCAACACGATCGCATCATACCTGGCATCACTGGACCGAGTCCCATCGAAGGAGATGTATTGCGGCTGATACGAAGTCTGCCGAATCGCAAATCATCCGGTATCGACGTCATAGGCAACGAGTCGCTTAAGATGGTAGGGGACAATGAAATCATCGCGCCTTCCCTCGAGAACCTCTTCAACGCTTGCATGGAAGCGAAGCTACCACCCCGACTATTTCAAGCATTCTCGGACAATTGTATTCCTAAAGACTGGGAAGCCCGCCCGTGACCCCAAGTCTTATCGTCCTATTTCACTGTTGTCAACGGTGGGCAAAGTCCTGGAGAGATTGGTACTTGAGCGACTCAAAAGCTGGCTCGACGTGGTGTCTGCTCAAAAACAAGATGTTGTGCCTTTGATGCAGCTTGGGGGTTTGTCTGGGACGTCTAGCACAGTGGCTTTGCAGACCTTGATGAGTTTTGTTCACACCGGCTGGGCTTCCAATGGTCACAAGAAGGTCAGCATCCTACGCCTCGACATTTCAAGCGCATTTCCTCGCGTTGACCGCGAAAGGCTCTTGAAAACGCTAGTTAATAAAGATGCCCCTGATTAGATCATCAAGTTTGTCTGGTCATTCTTGTGTGATCGCCAGCGCTGCGCTCGAAATCCCAGGTCATACGCCCGAGCCGTTTTTGAGAATGGTGGACTCCCCCAGGGCAGTTGCTTGTCACCTCTCCTGTTTCTGTTCCGCGCCCCTCATCGACAACGACAAAGCGAATATGCTACACGGTGGTGCTATTGTTCAGCTCCTTGCTTTCGTCGATGACACATATATCATAGTGCGGTCTGAAATCTACGACACCGATTGCGCCAAACTAACTGCAGTACCCAATCTCCTCATGAGTTGGGCCAATGACAACAATGTGACGTTTGGTCCGCACAAATACACCTTGCCTCATTTCCGCGGGTTCGGCGAGACGGATCCCGCTCGTGCTCGCCCGGACATCAGAGAACTCCCGTGCGACGAGCAGCTCTTCGAGCACGACTATATAGATATCCTGGGAGTCAGGGTCGACGCCCGTCTGTCGTGGGTGGACCACATCGAGCTCATCATCACCAAGGTCAGCAAACAGGTAACTTACGACACTTGACTACCATATCAGGACCGACTTGGGGCCGGACCTGCTTCAGACGCGCCAGCTCTACATGTCATACGTGCATAGTATCATGTCATGCGCATGTCCCGTCTGGGCTTACCTGCCTGCCACCCGAGAGCACCATCGTCCATGGCCATATCAGACAAGACGTTCTAGGACGGCTGGACATTCTGCAGGGGCAGTGCCTGAACGAGATTTCTGACGCGTTGTGGGCTACTCCCAGAACCTTGTTGCTGAAAGAGCTGTTCATCGCGACACTCTCACACCATTTGCAGGTAAGCTGCGTCGCACACCAGGCCAAAGTCTACGATAACTACCCCCCAGGCACTTGAAACCCCGCCATCATCGGGCGAGAGCCCTCGATGGTGCTTCACTTTTGCGACATCACATGGAGCTGCTTACTTGAACGACGCGCACTGGAACTGCGGCAGGCAGGCGGCACAGGACCACATCTCCAAACATCCTGCCGATTGGCCACCGCCCAAGGACAGTCGAAAGCAGTTCCGCAACGCAATCGACCATGTGGCCAAAACCATACTTCATGATAGGCTCAATGTGATGTGGAAGGCATACAAGAGTCCCCCCAGAACAAAACCTGCCCCTGCCCAAGAAACGACAGGCCAAACAAAGCATGCCAGCAAGACTCATCGTCCACGGTGCCTGGCCCTCGATTCCCCTAAAAAGGGCCGCCACAATCTCACACTCTACAAAGGCCTCAACCGTGCTCAATCTTCTATATTGCTGCAGTGCAGGACGGGATGGATTGGACTCCGCCAGCATCTTGCATGGGCCACGTTGGAAGAGACGGGAAGTTGTCCCTTATGTCACCGGGGCCAGCATTGTGTTGAACACCTCTTCCTGCACTGTCAGGATGAAGCATTGGTCACCGCACGGAAGAAGCACTTCAAACATGTGCCGGAGTTTCGTCCACCGCGACTTGTCCACCATAATCAACTCCCGCCCGGTCGAGGCTGCTGATTTTGCCATCCTCAAATTGCGGCATCGACCAGTTTCGGCCCCTTGGCGCTCGCAGCGCAGCTGGAAGTGCGCCGCACCGGTCGCAACCAAGCGTGGTCACGAAGAAGTGGAACTGGATTCCGAAGAGGAATCGGAAGATGAGGGGGATGGGGACGGGGATGAGGCTGGGAAGAAGGCGAAGGAAGGCAAGAAGCAGAAGAAGAAGAAAAAGAAGGAGGAGGACAAGGGCCGGGAGAAATGGAAGTGGAAATATTCCACTTTGAGGATCAAGCGCAAAAAGCTCCCCGTGGTGGCTGGCTAGGTAGCTACACTCCCCGGCCAGAAGTCTCCGAGCCCACTTTTTAAGCAGCCCTCAACGCCTACACCCTCCAACTTTCAGCATTCACAACGCACCCATTTCTCACTGTAATAATATGGGGAAAAATTGTATTGTGTAGGTCATTTAATAGTGTGTGTACCAACCACCTACTCTTTTTACTGTGGTGATTCGGTTGCTGAGCGATTCGATGAGAACGCGTACGTCCTTAGGATCGATCTCTGACCACGCCCTTTTAATTGACTCTCTGGCATATGCCTTATGGGTAATATTAGCCTTTAAATTAGCGAAACCAGGCTCGATTCTCTATATCTGCTTCTTTAGAAGTACCTAAACGTGCTCGATCGGGTTCAAATCAGGGCTGTGAATAGGCCAGTCAATCGTCCAGATGCCGTGCTCCTCTAGCCACTCTGGAGTGCCTCCAAATCGATGGATGTGAGTATTATATTGCATAAAAGGATCCCCAGCCTCGTAGAACAGAAGGAGCCCTTCCTCAAGGACATCTTGGTATGAAGCTAAAGATACTCCTCCGCGAGGAGCATCCTTATCGGGCTCGCAAAAAATGATTTTGCCTAGGCCACCTTCTCTGCCGTGTAACCAAATCAAAGCCCAACACATAATAGAGATACAGGTCTCCCATGGCTCTGAGGGTTCATAAGATCCTGCCTGTAATGTTCAGAAGAGAGGCGGATCACCCAATCACCCGGATTATCGGGTGAATTCTGGACCATGACTTCGTCTGAGAAGAGCGTTCGCATCAGCTCCTCCAGAGCCTCTGAAGAGTCGTATTTATTGCAAAAAGCGAGCCTCTCTCATGCGTTATCTTTCATAAGCTCGATCCGCTTCACTGCCTTCTATTTGCAAAGCCTATGAGCACGAAGAACGCGCTTAATAATGGTATAAGAATAGAGGACCCTGTTCTTCTTTTTGAGCTTTTTATAGGTAATTTTAGGGTATTTTGTGCTATTTTAACTAGCTGAGTTTCTTTATACTTGTTTAGAGTCTTTGTGGCTTCCTCTCGAGGTTGAGAGACCGTGGTGTTATGCTCTTTAATAGTGTTGATAATGTCGGTCACAATTTGAGGCCGATCCAGATGGAACGTGCTCGCGACATTGTCGCGCCTTGCGCCTGCCGCCCTGGCAGCCATAATAGCTGTACGAGCTTCGGAAGTAAATTCCTGGTTTGGCCCGCGATTTGTGGTCAGAATTGTACCAACTTTTTATAAATCCATTGTTTTGGTATTGAGTAAATAAAATATGAAAAAGGAAGGGGGTCGCGAGCGCATAGACACGTTCTGAAACTAGCGTGGTGGATGCTCGGAGACTTTTGGAGGGTCAGTGTAGCTAGCTGGCACCGGGCTTTCAACTTGTACGTACCTACTTACTTGACCTGCCTGGTCTGTCTGCGGATTAGCATCGTCAAATATCAGTCCGCGTTTCCCCCTTTACCCTCCTGGGTATGGAGCGATAAGAGACCCGTTATTGTGCACACGTCAACTGCATTGTCCTGTCTGTTGTATCTAGATACAGCTTTCAGCTACTTCTGGTTGCACCTGTAAGTCCCTTCCATCCCCATCCCCATCCCCATCCTACCCAACTGCGTCGCCGCGCGCTGATTCCGACTGACGCTCTGCTGAACATAAGTCCAGCCATCTGGTACGTCGGCCGTCTGCCCCGAGCTCCATCCAGGTATCTCCTCATCCTCCCGGTCCCCTCAATGCTGCCCCGGGTCCCAACTAACGTCATAGGCCGAAGCTCAGCCGTCTGGTATGTCAGTTGTCCCGCCCTCTGAACCTAGATCTTCCGCCGAGTTCCTCACGGCCTTCAGGTCCCTTGACTGACGCCCTGGGCGACGCTCAGCCGTCTGACATGTACGTCTACTTCCGGGCCTGGGCCCTTCCTTACCTTTGTGCCTTCGTTCCCTGCTGTTGTGGGCTGGATCGCCCGACTGACGCTTCTAGGGTCATGTCCAGCCGTCTGGTATGTCTACCGAGCGATCTTGGTGTGCCTTGCCTGTCTCTGTCTTATCATCGCCATTGATTCATGGGCTAATGATGTTTGGATTCCGTCTAGATGTCTGATGAGTCGGTTTCCGTTTCCTGTACTGCGCGTTGCTTGGCTAATATTTCTCAACCAAGTCCAGTCGTCTCCCGTGCGCAACTAGTTCCCCACGGTGTCTTCGTTTGTTATTGTTTTGCTAATTTGTCGTTAGCTAGCTACCCTCGGTCGCTATGGATTTTAGTATACTTGGCCAGTACCTTCCGCGTCGCCTTGTTGAGCTTGCCTCACAGCTTCCGGTTGATACTGTCCAATGCCGGCCGAATCTTGGTGTCCTTGACGCTATCGGGAATGTTTTCGTTCTCGAGGTGGCTCTTCAGCTGTTGCGTAGAGGACGAGCCCTTCTTGGGGTCTGCCTTGGGAGGAGGCATGGCGTACGTGCTGTATGTCGTAAGCTCGGAACCACCTACGTGCTTCCTGGTTCTTTTCTAATAAGCTTCATACTTAGTGACTAGTCAGCGCAAGGTAGACAGTAAGTTTCCCTAGCTATGTCTCTCGCTTTCCTACTAATGTATCTTGTCAAGATGTCGCCGTGGGAGGGTCTCACCTTGATGGCTCTGGTAAGTTGCAACCGTCCGAGTAGACGAGTCTTTCTTTATTGCAAAAGCTTAGTTGCTCACCCTCAAGTTCATTTGGCTCCGCGGATTGACTGATTTCTCCCCCTTTCCTGAAGCAACAGGTCACAGACGTCTGGGACGGTGGTTGGTAGGTTGGTAGGTTGATACTTTTACTTGGTACGGTGTTTGAAATTGCTGACGTTCGGACTATTCGAAGCAGGGCGACGTCGTCTTGTGGGCGTGAGTGAGTAAGATTGTTACGTCTATCCGTGCAAGTGGCCCTACTGATGACCCTTACTCGGAAAGGGGCTGGGTTCGTTGAACTGCCGTGAAGTTGGTAAGTTGACCTCCAAGCCCCGCAGCCCAGACGATTGAAGAGTGTTCGGCGTTAGTCTGCGAAATCTTTGGAAGTCTGCAAGGACGGAGCTGGACGAGTTGGTGGCCCTGCACGCACGCACACACTACACTAACGTGCAGCTGACATGTATGTTCCGAAGCAGTTCGGAGCGGTTGTTGGATGATCCTGGTAAGTCATCGGACGCGTGTCGGGTTCACACAGAATAATGCTAACCTGCTGTGCCGGTGTTCAAGACGAGACGAGAGTGGTGAGTATGGAGCCAGGGAGCGCGCATCACAACGTCAACCTGGCGTGCAGGTGGCTAACGCTGGTCGAGGTTCTAGCTTGGGTTGGTTGTGCAGAAGGGAAGAGAGGAAGAGAGGTCTTGTACTCACCCTCGCCGCCCTCGAGGGCAACCGGACAGCAACTAACGTTGCGTACGGCTCTCGTCAGGCTCTTAAATGACTCATGGCGGGTGCGTCTCTTGATTCTCTCCTTGCTCCGGCCTTGTGCTATTTGTCGGTATCTCCAGCTTACTGTGGATGGCTGCTAATGTGACGCAACAGCAGAGACTTCTCGTGACGCGAGGCCGTGAACTCTATCACCATTAGAGTTCACCCCGGTGTTGGTGAGTAACATTGGAGTCTTTCCCCGAACTCGGCGTCCTCTCTACCGGACCGCGCTGATTTGCGCCGAGAGCTGACCTCGGGAGCCCAACCAGTAGCCGCGCGGTTTGGGAGAAACTCTCTCAACCACGTGACCAGGTAAGTCTGGCCCGACGTGCACTGCGACGCAACACGCTGATTCAAACTTGATGTTTTGTCGGCTGATGTTCAGAGTGGTGGCTGGCAGAGAGCCAGGCTGAAGCTGAAGGCTGTATCAGCAAGTTCGTGAGAGATCTATCGACCCCCGCCCCAGAGATGACGATCCGAGTTGCTGACGGTTGCCCAGTTTCCTAGTTACTGTTTCAGGCTTGAGGGTGTGGCCTTTATACTGTTTACTCTTCTTCCTTGTTACTGGACCTCTGGTCCCACCATATCTGAATGACCTGTGGTCACAAAACAAAACAACTCGATTTTGCGGCGGTACCCTCGTCGAATGCTGGTTCCCCGATGCATACATGGTGATAATGATGGTAATTCGTGCGTGCTGCCATGGCTGATTTGCTTGATCTGCTTGATATGTTGTGGTTGTTGCTGTTGTTACCTTTATCGTACCCGTGGGCAGAAGGTTCGGAGTCTTGATGTCCTATCTGGCGCGAGTGGCTTGCGTGTAAAACAACAGCCTCACCGCATGACGGAGTATTACCCACAGGTACGCAGCTTCTTATCTGGGTTCTCTGTTATCAAGCCACAGATAACCGCGTCTGGTATTGAACTTAAAGGTACGACCTAGGTACATGCCCCACCTGCATGAGTACCACGGGCATTTACGTTTTTCACGGTTCTGCACATTAGCCCCAATTGGGCTCGCCGAGTGACTTAAGGCTCAAGCGCAAAATCCTCAGGTTGCTTCTCATCCCATCCGCTTCCACCACTTCCACCACTTCCGTCTTCTACTTGATAAGTGATCCGCTTCAATTGCTCTTGCTCTTGCTCTTGCTCTTCCTCCTGCTCATACCTACCACACCACCCCCCTTGCCGGACATCACCTTCCAGCATCCCACTTCTCAGCATACCACTTCCCAGCACACCACCTTCCTCCACCCTACGTCAACTTGGATCTTTCCACCTACCCAGGATGGATTCCACGTTCCCATTTCTAGCCCTGCCCCGCGAGATCCGCGACGCCGTCTACGACCAATATGTCACAGTGGACGGTGGTCTCGTGTTCAATTTTGAGTCGGAGAAGCTCGAGACAAGCGACGACCAGCCGATCGACCAGGCTTTCATGCTGACGTGCAAGCAGGTGGCCGAGGAGATGACTGGTCTTGCCTTCCAGAAGAACACCATGCACTTCTACACTGCATACTCGGACGAGATGCGTGTCAAAGCAGCCCAGTTCCATTTCCCCCGCTGTGGCTTTGTAGCGTGGCGCGGGACACCATCCAACCCGTGGCGTACGGGCGCTTTGGTGAGCCCCTGGGGCCGCCAGTTTCCACCAGAGCCGTCATGGATGAGGTTGTGCTCACGTACCCGAAGTTTAGACCCATTCTGCAGGCAATTTTGGATGGTGTCAAGGTTGACTGGCCATCGGCGCGATACCATCATAGCCTAGCACCCTCGTACCTTACGGTACGTATAGAAACCTCCTGTCATGAAAATCCTGAGCCTTGGTTTCGAGAACAAGCTTTGTTATTCCCTTTCCTTCTTCGTCTAGAATTTGGCCATCCAGATTTGGAGACCAGATTTAAACGTACAAGCAGGAGGCTGTACTCCATACGCTCCAGGTTGCCGTGGACCAAGGATGCCTCGAGTCCGATTCTGTTGATGTATACATCAATGCAATGAATTTAGAGCATCATTTCCCGAGTTGGTATGTTCCACCGAGAGGGCCAGCATCTCCCGCCGACTTCACCAAACCGGGGTTCCCGAATATCCAATTCTGGATGATGGGCAGAAGCCAGACGGCCGACTATTGGGAAGGGGGAAACCACTTCAACAGATATGGAGTTGTACAGTACGGTATGTATGAAACATCACGCCATGCCCCGAAGATACATGTCTATCGTCGACCCGTACATCCCTGTGCCTGGTACTAATGTCGCGGCAGTAAGTAACATCTGCCCTGCAGCTTCTATGAACACGAGGTGACGGGTAATAACGACCTGTCCATATCCCAAACGGAAGGAAAGTACCGCTTCTCGGCAACCGCAGTGGCAATCGAGTTTCTATCAAATCTCTGTGAATAGCGCAAAACCCTGACAGCGCACTTGCGACACATTTGTCTACACGAGGTGAGTCGCCTCGGCCCTGTCAAGTCTTCGCGGTGCTTGACGCCTCTTGCTATTCGCTAATTTTGATCCTCAACAGGATCGTGTGGCTGTCGCACGGCCTGAACAGCATGCGCGGGGGCTGATCCCCTTCTGCCAGCAGTACCCCCATCTTCGCATCGAGCAGCGCCTCGACATGTTGCGTAGTCTTTTTCCAACACCAAGTACTGGGGATGATGAGAGTCATTTTTCGTTCGAGCGACACTTCATGAAGAGAGGTGTCCCCTGCCAGCTGGCTTCTGTCGACGCCACAGATCGCCTGGCTGAGTGGGCTTATGCCCATGTACCAATCTTGTGACGCTCATTGGCGTATTGTCTCTTACTTCGCGACGCGACGGCGAAGGAGACGAGACATCCTCTCTGTTGCAAAGTGGTGGTTTCAGGGCTCCTGGCTAGCTGGTCCACCAGATCCACCAGGTCCCACGTTCTACCACATCGGCCTCAACGTCCTTAGCAGCCTGCAGAGTGAGACGTCATTTACACGGCTCCCACGTGCCCGCAGGACGGTCCGGTCCGAACAGCGTGTCCCGCATTAGCGGTGTCCACGCCCTCGCCCGACGGGAGCATCAGGTGAGTTCGCACCGCCGACGACGGCGGGGCTCTCCCGGTGCTCCCATGTATCAAGCGCCAGGACGTCCGACCGAGCTCCCGGAGTCGCCTTGACGCGGCTGTGATTGCGGCATTCATCGCGATTCGTGGCTGGGCCGTGCTAGACTAGGGCGATGGATTAGGAGTAACGTAACTTTATGATGGTCGTTTGTCATTAGCCGATCACAAGGGGACGCTGGAGAGATGTTAAACCTGCGCGATTGGTCAGTCCGAGGGATTTGTCCTCTTATCATTATATCTATCGACCAGGGCTATCGCCCACTCTCTTCTGCATCGCCGACTGAATACTTCTAAGCCTCGGCGCCGTCAGTTGAGTCTTCGCCCCGGCAGTGGACGCGCCTGTCTTGTTCCGAAGTCAGTAACGGACCCGGGGCCGTCCGGCCTCTCGTCTTATAGGGGACAAGACGACGCAGACTGTCAGCGCAAGGCAGGTCGATAAAAGACCCGGGGAAGACGAACTGTCGGAGGATTACCCTCACCTAGGCTTTCCCTGGATCTCTGCCTTGCGAGAGGCTCGCCTGCGATCACTAGCCCCAGTCAGCGATTTCGCACCGCCTCGAGCATCAAGCGGGAGTCACTCACCTCGGCGCTTCTGTCGCCAAAGAGACGCTGCGCCTGCTCGTCCTTCCTCCTGCACACGGTGCACTTGCCCGCGACGCTGTGCACGGCGCTGTCCGTCCTGTGGTAGCAGCTCGCCCCCTTGCCATTCGCGCAGGTCGACACGACCACCGTCTGCTGTTTAGAGACGCGGCACATAGTGGATAGTTCAGGTTTTAGCTTGACTTACTGATATTGATGATGCCGTTCAAAAGAGTCGATGCCTTTGGCATTTTCGGTGTTGGGATGGAGGGTTGTGTTACTTGTGGTCACTACTCCCGGTTCGTTTACCCCAGGTTATATGTATGTATACCATGCTCGTATACACCGAAGACATGCGGTGTGGCTGAACAAAGAACTTGTGGACAGTGTCTACCTGACAATAGCATTGTTCGCGAACAACAGTGGGAGAGAGGAACGAACCTGGCAAAGACCCTTTAGTCGACAATGGGTACACAACAACATCGTTGAAACATAGGTCGCAATCAACTTTCTCAATATACCTACGCGCGAGTCGCGGACGTACTCCCCAACGCCAGAAGTGGGAGCAGGGCTCATAACCAAGCACCTCTTCGCTATGATCAATGGCAAGGTCTCGGTTATGAGAAGCTAGGCAGGTAGGGCACTTCCACTCCGTATAAGCCGGGAAGCTACTTGACACATATCAGACAACAGGTCTCTGCTGGAGCAGGAGACACGTCCTCGGCGATACCCGTCGGCGTTACCGGCGGAGATGTCGCACCGATATGTATAAGTAGACTCGCAATGTTGAGTCTTAGTCCGCTGGGTGGACAAAGGAAACCCGTTCGTTGAGACCTCGCGGATCAGCTTTGTTGTCGATGCAGCTCTTTGTCTCGTCCCCTTCATGAATTTTTCTTCATCGTTTCTCGTTCGGCATTGTCGACCCAGTCGGGCTTCTGGCTGTGAACTCTAAGCATAGAGCTTTTGTTTTTGGGCTATGAAATTCTATAGAGTATGGGTGAATATAGTGGTTTCCGGATGGTGAGTTGTATGAGTTGATCTGAGTAACGAAGGCATGAACACCACTTGGTCATTTAAAAGGCCGAATGTGGAAGGTTGCAAGAGCCCTAGCTTGGCATCGAACTGTCGAGAACGGAGGAGATAGGGCTGCTGTTTGGTCGCAATGCCTTATTGCGGAAGTTTGCAGTTGTGAAAGTAAAGAAGCGGCACGCATGCGGGGATGAGATCCTGGCAGTTCATGAGCACGCCAAGTGAACACCAAGCAAAGTGAACATCATTACAAGTCGGCAAATTGAGCTAGGGTCGGAGCCCTCCCATTCTCACCTTCGAAAGATTCACAGTGTCATACACAGTAGTCATGCAAAAGTCAGCCAGTAGACTTGGACTGTACATGTAGGTAGGTCGTGGTCGAAGGAAAGGAGGGCTTTTGGTGTTGACCCTCCCCTTTAAATCCGAGAGCACCACTTTATAAGCGGACCTGGACAGCCTAACCTAGTAGAGTAGCCGAGATTTCTGCAGCAAAATGCCGCCATCGATGCACGCGGGTAGGCGGGGCCCACAGCACAACCATGACTGCCTGACACCCTGAGCTGAGTCAAATCTTCTCCGATCGGTTCGCCTTTCAATGTTCATTCCCCAACTCCTCGCACAACGTCTTGGGGCCATTGCTGACACAAATCCCTTTCCCTAGACTCAGCGTGCCAGCACCCCTGCTTCTGATCTCACTCTTCATCGAAAGGCGGCCTGAAAAGACTGGTAGCACGCTCCTCCATTGCTCCACAGTCCAAGTATGGCCCGAGCCTCAGCGGAAGGGGAGGTCAAGCTCCCGTCTGACACCACAGCAGCCTACGATGCTGCCGCTCAGCAGGCGGAGGAGCCCCCAGCCCCAGTCGAGTATGACATCGAGCGGATCGAGAAGGTCTACAAGAAGCTGGATTTACGCATCATCCCGGGTAAGTCTAGCCTACCAAGTTGCGCAGCGGACACACATGATATGCTAAAGGCCAACTACAGCTTTCTGGATCTTGTACTTCCTCTGCTCCGCCATCCGTTCCAATATCGGACTGGCGCAGACCATGAACGCAGACGTCGGCCACGACCTCCTGACCGTGCTTGGGCTCTCGTCCAACGACGTGTCAACGGCACTAGCGCTGTTCTACGTCTCCTATGTCATCTTCGACTGCCCCTCCAATCTTGTCATGAGCAGACTCAGTCCTCGGGTCTGGATGGCACGTATCGTGCTTGCCGTCGGTGTGATAGGGGCGTGTTTTACCGCGGTCCGGGCTGCCTGGAGCTTGAAGTAAGTTTGTGCTAGGATTCTCTCGTCCCGACTGAAGATGCTTACCATCATTCGAGGCTGCTGCGTTTCCTTCTTGGGGTAGTAATCGCTGGCATGTGGCCGGGTATGTCTTACTACTTGACGCTGTTCTATCCGCCGTCGCGGACAGGCAAGCGGATTGGGCAGTACTTCACAGCTGCCCAGGTCTCTGCTGCTGTAGTTGGCCTGGTCTCCGCGGGCTTCCAGCTCATGGACGGTGTGAGGGGACTCGTGGGCTTCCAATGGATGTTTCTCATCTATGGCCTGGTTGCGATCGTCGTAGGCTTCACCCTCCTGTGGTGGCTGCCCGAGCGACCCTTACCACCTGGCCAGAAACGAGTTCACTCCGGGTTTATGAAATGGATTCCACCCACACCCGAAGCCCTCACGGGCGAGGATGCCCTTATCCACTATCAAGACCTCAAGCGAGTCTACCACCCGCGACCCTGGACCATGAAGGACCTAGGGCGTGTTCTGATTGACTGGCGACTATGGCCTTTGACGCTCATGTACTTTGGCGTTGTGGGCGTCGGCATTGGCACGCAACTGTACGGGACCGTGATCATCCATGGCATCGACTCCAGCTTCACGGGTGTGCAGCTAAGCCTACTTTTCGCACCTATCTGGATCGTGAGTTCACACAGTGCTGAAAACATTCGTTCGTTACCACTAACGCCTTTAGATGGACTTGATCGCCATTCTGCTCGTCACCCCTATTTCGGACCGTTTCCATCGCCTGCGACCCTTCTTCTTCTCAGCTGCTGTATGTATCCAGATTGCTGGACTCTTGACCACCACATTCGCGCCAAGAACGAACCCCTGGGCGAGATACGGCGGGCTTTTGATGGTCGGGTTCGGTCTTGGTCCAACTGTACCCATCTGCATGACCTGGACAAATGAGATTTTCCAGCCACGTCATGGTGAAGTTGGCGTAGCAGCAGCCGCTGCTCTCGTCTCCGGCCTGGGCAACCTCGGAAGTATCACGACAACATATGCCTTGTACACTGGATGGCCGGCCGACGCTGCGCCAGGACCGTATCAGTACCGCCGCAGCAATTTGACCATGATCGGAATCCTCTGCTTGAGCATTTTGAGCAGCTTCGTCATGTACTTCGCGCTGAAGTTTGTGGGCAATAACCCCAGTCACAAAGGCAGCAGTAGCGGCAGCTCCGCGTTGGACGACTCAGATGTGTTCCAGGATGGAGCGGCTCGTCGCGAGCTTGAGCAGCGAGGCTTCGGACGCATGTGGTGGAGCAAAAGGACCTAAAGCGGCTGCTGCACATACCACCCTGACAACACCCAGTCATGACAGTGCTCTTCCATGATCTTAAACAAAATGAGTCATGAAGCCACGGGTGGACTATTCGGGCAGTTCAACCTGTCAGCGACACCATTCACATTCCATTCTACGAAAATTCTTCTTTCATCATTATTGACTTTTCGACACGCCGATACGACGTTAGTATACGCCTAACTTACGAGTAGTTGGGTTCATGGGCTTCGACGGCGAAACTGCTACTACGCCATCGCTGGGATAGGCGTGTGCGAACAAGGGATGGGCAGGTGCGACAATGCTGCAACGCTATCGCCAGCAGCCCGTCCCGTGGGCGATATTTTCCTTGTTGGGTGTTCTCATCTTTTCTTTTCTGCCCTGGACCGGTGGAGGTTTTTCTTGGATTCGGCGCTCCTGCGATATGATACCCCATTCTGTGTTTGGATACGCTGTCATTCGAGAATGATTCTTCTAGAGAAAGGACTCGCCGGCGACAGTGCTCCTACGCCATCGCCCGGGACGGCGTGTTGCAGCCGAGGTTCGGGACCGGCGACAATGCTTCCGCGCTATCGTCTGGGAGCTCGCCTCGTGGGTGTTGCTTACACACGTTTCTCACTGAGACTTTTAGGAAGGGTCGTTCGTTTCCTTACCTATATAACGTTATATATTGGTGCTGAGCAGAGAACATGGAGGAGGACGGAATCGGCAATAGGAGGATTCGCCCGGGTTTGTTCATGTATGCTTGGCTGTACACTCATTACTCCGCCGTATACCAAATACGAACGTCGTTCTGGCCTCGCATTCCCCATTCTTCGGAGACCATCTGCCTCCAGTGATCCCGCGACGCCTCTGAGTAGGGATTGCAGTCCAGCATCTGCCCCCCCCCCTTCCCCACGCGAACTGATATGACCACAATATCATTGATTCCAGTCTGTCCCCTCTCGACACACTACCTGCCACCCCCAAACCCGGCCTAAGGCGCCCCTACTGCGGAAACGGATCCGTCTTCACCATGAAGAAGTCGGGCCCCGCCCGCTCGAGGATGTGGTACTCCCGCGGCTTGACGAACATGGGCTCGGTGACGGCAAGGTAGTCTTTGTAGTAGTCCTTGGTCATCTGATACTGCAGCACGCGCCGTCCCATGGCGGTGTTAGTCACGCAGGACGAAACTCGAATGATCGCAACTACCCAAGTTGCAGGGAATGGGACGCGAGTGGGGCAGACCAGGGCACGGCGCTGAGTGAACCTACCTCGGCGAACCATTGTGTAGATTTCGACCTGTTGCGCCGTTAGTACCTAACTTATGCACGTCTGCGTGGGAGGTGAGTACCAAGTCTACAAACAGACAAAAAGACACAGACAGAAAAACAGACAGACAGACAGCCAGAGAAATAAGAAAAACTTACCAGTTCTCGACCCAGCTCAGCTTGCCCGGCTCGGCGGCGTCGGTGTACAGCTCGAAGAAGAGACACTCGGGCTCGGCGGCCACGCGGTCGAAGACGGGCTTGAAGGCGACCTTGAACCGGTCCACGTTGGCGGGCGCTACGTAGACGGTTACGTGCAGGCTCATGCCTGGTGGTGGCGCTGGGGGCGGGAAGGGGGATGGGGATAGGGAGGACATTTTGTGTGGTGGCTGTGATGGTTGTGATGGTTGTGGCGATGGTGGTGGTGGTGGTGGTGGAGGTGGTGATATAGTGAAGTGGTGTGTCTGTCGTTGTCGGGGCGTGGTCATCTGGATGCTGCGTGCTGCGCGTTGCGTGTGGTGAGAAGACGGGTGGTGCAGCGCCGGACTTGTCATATATACATTCGCGCCCACGGCGGACTGGGGAAGGAAGTTATTCAAGACCCTGGAAGCACGGTACGGCACGGGGAAAGAATGGTAGCTGTTTGCTGTTTGCTGATTGCTGATTGCTGTGGCTGTCTGTCCGTAACGGTCGGTGAATCATCGACGAAGACCCAGGTGACTCAAAGGGGCATTTCCCACATGCCCATGGTCGATGCCCATGGCATTTATTATGGGAAATACTGCCATCATTAGGTTAGGTACCTAGTGAGATGCATCGTTGCTTTCCTCTCAGCTGAAGCTCGACCGACATCCATTCGACCCTCGCTTGCGCATTGCGGGATGCGGGATGCGGATCTAGGCCGCATCGGGGCTAGCCCGCTCCCGAGAGAAGAATAAAAAAATCAAGATGGAGGGACGCGAGGAAGGTCCCGCGCCTCCTTCCCCTGTTTCTGCAGCTGCGTTTATCGGCGGGATCATGCAAGGGTCTAATTTCTGACCATTGCATACGTGGACGACAATTGGCCCTTGGGACATTTTCTGCAGCGGGCGACGTGGGCTGTGATTGGGTGCGGCATAGGGCCTTTACTGTGTCAAATCGGTTGGCTGGCTGTTCGTTAACCCCGCCTTCTCTAAGTGCTTTCTTCCATCTTCTCCTCGCGAGTCGTGGGCTTCGTCAATGGCTCGTGTCTACCACGTTCCCCTACTCGTGGCTCCCACGTTCCTACCAGTACTTTAGGTAGAGCCTCTGAATGGCAAGTTGGCATTGGCTCCAGGGCCAGCCGGCGGAAGGTCCAACGCCGGTGACTTCTCCAAACCTGGAAGCGGCCAGTCAGTCTAGGTATCTGTTCGTGCAGTAGCAGCAGACCATCCGGAACCATGAACATTGACCTTTTCATTCGCAAACCTGTACCAGTTGCGGAGGGGCCATATGACAGGTACTTCATGTCAGACTTGTCAACGCCAAAATCATCCCATGTCCAGACACCCAGATTACTGATGTCAAGTCTGGCTGGCAGACGAATGCTGCATTATCTAGCCCCGTGTGGAAGTGAGCTTACAATCTGGGTCCATGCTCCGCCGGCCCCGGTCTTGCCCCGTCCTTCGTTCTCGTTCTCCCAGGATCTGAGCCGTCGCAACCCCGATGTCGAATGTCCGCTTCAGACGGTATGGAAATCAACTTGATCATCCCTTGAAAGCACGGTATCTATTTGCAATTGGCTAACAATGTTGCCATCGTCAAAAGTCCTAGGTGTGCCTACGAATGACCACAATACCGAGGGCCAGAACCCGTGGACCCAGAACCCCAGAGACCCGGCGCGCAACAAGAAAGTTCTTAGCTCTGCGCCGCGCCCGGCTCCGCTTTTCGCTGGGGCTGCGCCCGACAAAGGAACATCACGCACCGATTCGGAAGTCCGAGCGAGCCGTACGTGGCACCCGTGTCATTCCTTTAATCCCCCGCACATTATATACTGTGAACTATCGCCGCGGGACTCCCATGACTCACTCCTATGTCCGGTACGGTAGGGTAGGGGAATACACCTTTGAGTTAAGTGTTAAGTCCGGATCCGAATTCGAATCCGAGTCCGAAAAATGTGTCAGCGAGTGCGGACCTGCACGTCTAAGTTGCGGAGCAGCCCGAGGTATACTAGGCGAGAGGTTGGATATCTCTCTCATACAGATGCCGGGGATGGTAAATGTTAGCGGCTCAATATGCTGGGGGGTCTAGGTCTATATGTGGCGGTATATTCTGTGCTATCACATAATGGGAAGTGACCGTAGCATGGTCCATGGAGCTTTTTACAGCACTGTGAGAAAATTTCGATTGGAACCTGCGGTGATGTATGTTTTCGCGCACACCTAGCAGGCGGCATACGGACCCAGAAAGACCCCCGTATATGGAGCCTCCAACATTAACCATCCCCGACATCTGTATGCACTGGGCTTCCACGCGAAATTATGGCAAGATCTCATACTCGCCGTGGTGGACTAGATCACCCAGTCCACAGCAGCACCAGTCCCACAAGCGGGGTGCATGCGTCTGATCCCCCACGAAACGGAAAAATACCATCAGCACGTGTCATGAGTTTGAATACCCCCGTACAGATGCCTTCTGACTCACCGCCAGCTTTCAAGTGGAGACTGCTCGCTGCACAGATGTCCAGTCCGTGCCGGCTGTCCAACTTTTACTGCGACTCTGTCCCCATCCCCCTCTCTTTGAATGCAAAAGTATGTCCTGCCTGCCCTGTGATTACCTTTTTTTGCGAGGAGCAATCTGTCCCCGAAGGCTGGGCTTCAGTTCGCCAATGCTGGCGGAAGGAACAAAAGACAGATACGATTTGCTTTGAATAGCTATGCTGTCATCCTATGTTGTGGTCCCCCATAGAGAATCTGACGCGCTGGCCTCGTGATCACGTCCCACCGGTTCCTCGCGTGACCGAATTTAATAAGATTGATCCATCCGTGGTAGGATATCAGGGGCTATGGAGAATGACTGACAGGTGCGGTCTATTTCCAGGGGAATATGCGGAAAAGTCACTCATATCTCATGGCAGCTTTTCTGTGGTCATCTAAAAATGCAGTATAAGGGGCAATGAGCTCCTGGGATCTACCCCTGTCTAGCATGGATTCGATGGTAGGTCTCGCCTTGAGCAATGGTACCCTCACGATCTGCCAGTTCCTCAATGTCCCTTCGTTCGTCCAAAGAACGGACCTGTCCAAGACCGTCACCTTCCGTCCAGGACTGCCCTTATCTCACAGAGTGGCCCAATACGTCCAAGGCGTTGACTCCCTGTTAAACGATCATGCTAACCTTAGGTATGTCTCTTATACATTGTCACGGTTGCTTTACAGGTAAGGGACCTTAATAAGACCCTCGGACCTATTCTTGTCAAACTGCGTTGCTACAAGACCCAAGCTTGCAAGGGTTGCGCTGTCACTTCCCTGGAACCAGTTGCATTATGTTGGGCGATGGTGTAGCATGTACCCCCTCAGACCCAACACTTATACGTATGTAACCTGATCGTGTAGCCCCTTCCTTAACAAATGATCGGAATACCGGAGAAGAGAATACAACGATACATGTCAGTACATTGATCGTCGCTGTACCTCGAGGCCCTTCTTCATACGGTGACTTCTCGATGGGTGGTTGCACATCAAGTGGCATATCCTGCAGGGCGAGCAGGACCACGTGAATTAAGCGGGGGTACGCGCGGATCCAAGTAGTTATCCGTTTTGTCAATGGACAATGTATAGCTTCTCACCTGGAAGAGCCTGCTTTCCAAGCATCCTGTGCGTCACAGAAGGTTCGCATAACTCAAACAAAATCCTAAACGTTTAGGGAGTTGATTGACCTGATGATAGCTGTGTTCTTGGTCTGCATCCAACGGTGTCTATCCGCAGTTCACCTCGAGAATAGACACAAGAACACAATTCATACCGTATCAAGATCCAAGGCGGCTTCATGTCAACATCTTCATAGTACCACGGATTTCCAGCTGAAAAGGGACCCATACAGGCTTTACTTCTCTCCCGCGCTAATCAGCCGGTGTCGGTTGTCTGGCGAGGAAGGCACTGCCCCAGCGCCATTGCCGCGCAAGTGTTACACGACAGCACTAAATGCAGCTGTACTCCAACTCCCCCCATTTGGGAGCGAGATACGGCTTTGCATAAACCACGTAACTCCTCAAAGGCGAGGTCAGGCAGAGATGAGGCTACGGGGATGGAAGTGTTGCGAGCTTTTCTTCCATCTTCAATATTGCCTCTGCCTGCACAAAGGTACGCCGGGCCATGTCTTAGTGTACTATCCGTTCTCGACAACCACGAGAATAACGACACAAAGGCTCAATACCCGAACAGCCACAACATGGACCCGTTCGCCGCGATCGGCCTGGCCGGCAACATTGTCGCCTTCGTGGATTTCGGGTACAAGCTAGTCGCCGCTGCAAAATCCATACATACGTCGGCCTCCGGCTCCAGTGAGCATAATGAGGACCTTGCTTCCATGACGCGACACTTCAGGAGTGTTGTGGCCGACCTCCAAGGAGCGAATTCTGCTGGATCGATGTCCGACGGAGAGGTTGCTTTGCATCAAATCGCCACCGAATGCGACAGCGTCTCCAAAGACATATTGAAGTTCCTGGATGAAGTGAAGACGAAGAAATCCAACTCGAAGCGTGAGAGTCTTCGAACTGCCTTCCGCGACTGGAGGAAGAAGGATCGTAAAGATGAGCTGGAGTTGAAATTGGATCGCTGCAGGCAGCAGCTGAACTTACAGATCGCCAGTCTATCAAGGTGAGGGCGCTCAAGATAGCGGCTAGCGAACGTGCAACTGACGAGTCCAGGTCCGAAATGTTGGAACGACTCCAGAAGCTGATCCGGCATGGGCAAGCTAGTGAATCTGAGCTCCAGTCCCTCACGAAGAATATGGACTCTTTGCGTCGAGGCAGCCACATCTCAACTCTCAGCCAGGAAGCGCTGAAACAGATCAGATCGCTCATTCAGCAGTCCGATGAAGCTGTTCTAGCAGTTCGTCATGCTCGTGTCCTCGACGGACTACGATTCGAGTCCATGAATGAGAGATTTGAGGACATTGGGGAAGCACACCAGAAGACGTTTACATGGATTTTTGACGGCAACGACGACGCCCAAGAAAGTGTCAGCAGAACTTCCCTCATCAGTGAAGATACCGACGTGGATCAGTGCAGTCCGGCGATAATGAATCTGACTCTAGTGGAAATGCCAATCAAGACGATGGCACCGATAGAAGTTACTCCCCAGCCCAACATCACCAAACCGAAAAGTCGACTTCCAATGTTCCGAATGGCGGGCCTCTATATTCTAGGCAGAGCTCACTTCAGGAGGACTTCAACATAAGTCCGCCTCTTGAAGAAACATGCGACGATGACGGCGATTCTAATACCGAGTCTGCGGAGATGGAATCGCGTGCGTCCCTTCCAGGATCCTATGCAGAATCTTTTTGGGGCTGGGATATGGGTCGCCCTGTAAAGACGGAGTTGGATATATCTTCGGAGTCATCAGAGGACGAGAGATCCATATCATCATCGGAGGCTGGGACCCAGGCGCAAACCAACCGCATTGCCTCACAACGTGTGCTTAGACATCTTCCGAAGGCAATGACAGAGGCTCGAGAACAGTTCGTCAACGGGCTTCGACACGATGCTGGAATTTTCCATATCGCAGGGAAGCTGGGGTCGGGCAAATCAACATTGGTGAAGTTCATCTGCCAACACTACAAAACTAAGGATCACTTGCGCGTGTGGGCAGAAGACAATCAGCTGGTGACTGGGAAGTTCTTCTTCTGGAAGCCAGGGTCTGTTTCTCAAAAAACCACCAAAGGGCTGGTGCGTGGATTGTTGCACTGCCTGCTTTCAAGCTGTCCGGATCTTATCCCTCATGCATTTCCGGTGCCGTGGGAAGCATCTATGTACAGGGAGAAGATCCATGTCGAAGACCGCGAATGCGAAGAATGCTTCGAAAGACTCATCGCTGCGAGGCATAATCACGAAAATCATAAGCTTTGTTTCTTCATCGATGGCCTCGATGAGTTGGAAGGCAACCATGCGGCCTTGGTTCGGAGGTTGTTCAAGTGGACCACCAATGACCAGACTATTAAGATCTGTGTTTCCAGCCGTGAATGGACTCTCTTCAACGAAAGCTTCAGCAACTGTCCTCGCTTCCAGCTACACAACATTACCCGGTCTGACATTCAGATATTCGTACATAATCGACTCTGCGAAATGGATTTTAGCTGTCTCGAAGCCAAAGGCGGGTGGGTGGTCGCGCTCACTCGACATGTCCGACCTAGAGGAAGATATAACTGAGAATTCAGAAGGGGTTTTTCTCTGGGTATCTCTGGTTCTTTCACTCATTGAAAGTGGGCTTGTCAACGGTGACCAGATTGCAGATCTGAGAAATATCATCTACTCTCTCCCGACAGAGCTCCAACCAATGCTCGAACAGCTCCTGAACCTGATCCCCTCCCATAACCGAAAGCTGGCATATGGTATGCTATCGGTGGCATCCATGTGCGCTTCAGAAGGACTCACCTGCTGTTTGATGCAGTTCTCTTTCCTGGACGAATTTTGCAGAGATAAAAGATTTGCAGATGCTTCGCATTCCGAACTATTAACCCCCATGGAGACCACATTGAGACTGGCACGAGCTCTCAAGAGGATATATGGCGTAACCGCGGGCTTCCTACAGCTTCGTCCGTATCCCTTAAAGCTTTGGAGTCGAAGTTGTGACGTCTCCACCGTGCTCGGGGAAGACGTCAAACTCACGCACCGCTCCATTGCTGAGTTCCTCGAAAGTCGCGACTTTAACAAAGCGATGAGGCTTGAGATGCCTGGGTTCGACCCTCACGACGCCCACTGTCAAACATTCGTCGGCTTGCTCAAACGTATCGATATCCCGAGTCTCTATTTCACCTTAAGCCCCCAGGGAGAGTATAACTTCAGTGCCCGTAGGCGCAGGAAGCGCATTGATATAGTCCTCGCGAACAGGGCTCCATCCTTCATAAACGATCTGGCTGAATACGTCTGGTATCTCAGACTCGTCAGCCCCACAGATGATGATGCACGGCTGGGAAGGTTTCTCGAAGGCAGCCACCGCGCACTTGACGGCCTAGAAATCGGCGCATCTACCGCTCTCTTTCCAATCGAATTTGGGGCAAATGGCAGGACCGTCATCTTGTGCCCTGTCACAGGGCTGGTGCCCAGACTTGCTGCTGCGATGCACGCGCATGGGTGCATCATGTTGCTTCGCCAGGAAGACATGAACAACAAGCTCTTGGAAGATTGTGTCAGTTTGTGTATGATGGCATTCACCAAAAGCAATTATGAGGAAGCACCCTTTGGATTTTGGGCATATTGGAGAAGGGGGATGAGGACGTTTGAAGTCCTGTTCGACCGTGGTGGTTCACCGGATGCCCGCCAACCACGTCATCGTACGCCCATGTTTCATGTCTATCTCGCAGATGCATGCCGTTCGATTAGGACTCTAGCGTCAATTTCGTTCATGCGGTATCACGGAGCGAACCCGAGGCTTAGCATCCAACTCAGCGATTCAAAGTACCTCGCGAGCGATTCCCAAAGCCGATTTACAAAGCATGCTTCAGATCGCAGCGGCCAGGAAATGAGTCACAGCAGCGCGTGTCAACAACCACGCAGAAGAGTATAGACCATGAACATTACAGTCCATGGGAGAACGAGCTATCATCAACTGAAATTCTCTTCCAGCATTCGGCGCCTGAACATATCCTCTTTTGTGCAACTTCAGAGATGCGCGGCCTCATCGCTCGTCACGGTCGAGATATTGATCTAAGAAGCTTGGTGGCGATTTGGTTTCCGGCCCAATGCGACGTGTTGCAACAAGTCATCGGCCGGATTATCTCCATGGGCTATCCCCTCAACAGCGCTCATCGCAAGTAGCTACAGTCCGAGTCTGGACAGTTGCTCCGTCCGTTCTTTGATCCAGACTGCCCTAACTTCATTGGCTGGTATCGCGCTAAAGAAGAATGGCCTCTTCGTAGGATGGGTTTAATGGCGCTGGGAAGCGAAATGCGAAACCTCCGAAAGGTAAAAGACGAGGATAGTTAAGAGGACGAACCCCCCGCCTCGGAATCAAAGTTCTCTACGGACTAGTACCAGCTCTTGTCCCAGCGGACTGCCGAGGGCTTTATTCTGTCAATATATGAACCCCCATCATCTTCAAAACTTCCGTCGTTCCGGATAACCCCTTTGAACGACACCTTCGTTGACGAAGAGACTGTGCCACTTGTTGGCAATTCTGGCGAAGCATCCCACCGAGCACCAATCGCACAGCCGGGACCTCCGAACTCAGAATCAGTCCTCCTACTTGGTTTGAGTAATTCCCGACGTTTCATCTGTTCTCGGGTTTCCGGTAGAAGAAGACATCTTTCCGGTCACCGTCTTCTTTCGCAAAGTCCTCAAGATTGCCATCTTGGTTGATGCCATGTTCCAGGCACAGCTGCTGCCAGAACTCACTTCCAACTGCCTAGAGGTCAGCGACTGCGCTGTCGCTTCGCAGCGCATCGATAACTGCGTGGAGGTTGAACTGACTGCTGTTGCCGCATTGGCCCGCCTGGATTGTGATGATTTCCCTGGACCGTATTAGAAAGCTGAATGTTCCTACCAGGCAATGCCTCTGAACAGGGCAGGCCTACCTGGGCATTCTTGCGACATCTGTTGGCTCATGGCAGACTTCGCAGCAGTGGAAGCCTCCGATGTCGACGCCCCGCAAGAGCTGTTTGGGAGCTCGCGCCCGATACTACCTATACCTACAGTACCTCACTTCAAGTTCAGATGGCTTCTCCATCTACCATCAACTCACAATACTAACCTCCACACAATGGCTGGTACTCTGGAGAAGGATCCGTTCGAGGAACTGCCCCCGTACGACGCAGACAATGACAGCACCGCCGCCTTCGCCGCCGCCAGAGGCACAGCCAACTCGGACGGCGAGGATGGCCACACAGTCACGAGGAACCAACGAAACGTGTTTGATTACATGTCATACTGCTGGTATAAACAAGGGATATATGGATGAAGTTATGTCATGCGACCAAGAGCTCTTTGCGCAGCTGAGCTGTGGGCGAACCCAATCCGCCTACTTCGTCTGGGTGAGGTTCTCTTCCAGTAGGTGGATCGCATTCTCGGTAGGACATAGCTACTGCGGGGAGGGCACGGAGGCTCCAAACGCCTGATGGATACGAGGGGAAGAAGAAGGAACACGGATCAAGCAGGGAAGACGGAGATATGATGGGTTTCGACTTGCCAGTGTTTAGCGCAGCAGTAGTCGCTGCGGCCGATAAGTCAAGCAGACATGTCGATATGGCGTCGACGGACAAACCACTGCTCAGAAAAACCCACGGAAGGCAGCGATATTTGGATTGGAGGATTTCGCTGTATTTCTTGAGAGCTCATGGCTAGAACGTCATCTTTGGTCAATGAACGCAGTACAATTTGGCTTGCTGCATCCTACTGTAACGACACACCCGCCAGAGCACCACATTGCAATGTTTATGATCAAAGCTTATGCTCACTTATATCACATCTCGAAGGCTGGTAGAGTGTTCGAATCCCTTCTACCACGCGCAATACACACATGCTCTCTTGAAGACAAACACGAACGCGCAGGGACCCAAGCAAACACATCCGCCCGTGGGTAAACATGCATTAATAATCCAGTGTAATTTTGGAATGTCGCGTGTTCAAGGTTCATACTTGTACACAACCCATTCTTCCGCCCCAGTAGTAACGTAAACAGAACAACAGCCCATCAGCTCGAACCACGAACTTACAGACCCCATCCCAGCACAAAGACCGAGCAATAATTCCCGAAGAGACGCTGGAGGGAGTATATTCAATCAGAGCCTAACGTTATCTACACTAAACAAGTTCCACGCGCCGAGCAAACGGTACGCATCTGGCAGCACCTCAAACAGCCATTACTTGCCTCTTCCCCGCCCACGTCCACGTCCCCCCCGAAACCCACCCCGACCGCCCCGGCCGCCCCTACTGCCCGAGGCAGGGCCACCACCAGCACCGAAGGACTGTGGGCGCGGAGGCAGCGACCCCGGCGGCGCAGACGTCAATGGTCGCTGGAAGCCGCTGCCGCTGCTGCCGTTTCTGAGCGGCGGAGGGGGACCAGGGGGCAAGGGCGGCCTCCACAATGATGACGACGATGACGCACCGTTCGCCTGCCCGTACGAGGACCGACCGAGATCGCGCGGCGGCGCCGGCGGCGGGGAGAAATCGCGCTCGTTCTGGCGTCGGCGGCTCTGGTCGCTGGCGCGGCCGCGTCGCGCACCGTTGCCATTGCCGTTGCCATTGCGACCGCGGGGCGCACCACCGCCGATGTTGCTCGCTATCCGGATCTCGCCGCGCGCCTTGGGCTTGTGGATGGGCGCGTGGATCAGGTCCTCGTCCGAGTCGTCGCTGGAGATGTAGTACGTGTGCGTCTTGCGCGTCGCGCGTCCGCGGATGTGGAAATCGGGGGGCGCCGAGGAGCCGCCGTTCAACAGTGCGTTCGGGTCGACGTCGGTCCAGGCCATGGCCACTGCGGTGCTCGCCGGATCGACGTAGAGATCACGGTTCGCCTGGGACCAGGTCGTTGGACCCGACACGTCGTCGCCTCTGCCTGGCAGCGCACACTCTGGTCCGTAGTGGTTCTGGCCGCCGCAGGTGTAGCAGAACGCCGGGATGTTCTTGACTTTCTTCCTTTCTTGCTCTGATGGAGTATAGCTTCTCCATATCTCGGGGCAGAGACTGTCCGGATGAGATGCAGAGCAGAAGGCACACCCGCCTCGCTCGTCATGAGCCAGGGCGAGCTTTTCCTCGCAGGTCTCAATGCCATGACCGACCTGACGGCACTTTGTGCATCTCCGTCGTGTCGGGCAGCCGAAAGAATTGTGGCTCTTGCTGCCACAGAACCGGCAACTCTGTTGGGGGCACTCCAGCGCGCGATGACCGATCCCAGAGCAGGATATGCAGTATTGTGAAGGGTCGTCCGCGCTGGGGAAGTATTTCTGCTGTTGCCGCAGTTCCTCCTCATCATTTGGCCCAAGAGTAACATCGTGTCCATCTCCGTTAGCCATGGCTTGGTCCTCTGCCTCCGGTTCCTGAGGTTCATATGATGCCTTGAGTTGACTTCGTGCTCCCGATATGATGCGCTCGACATCGCGCTTGTTCAACGAGGCCATGACCTCTTGAGCAGCTATCCTGGCACTGGCAATTTGCTTCTTGGTTCCTTGCAAGAGACCCATCTTACGGGTGATGTAGAGTTCCCATCCCGTGCGCACAACTTTGTCGGTTACACGATCGCTATCGTCAAAGTTGGCCTGAAGCAGCAACGTGATCCAGGGTTGAACCCTCCCGACCCAGAAAGCAGCCTCGCTGGCGGCACCATTAGTACTTGTGTCAACTCTCAGAGAAGTCGCGGTGGGAAAGTTCCAGGTTTTCTTGCTGGCATCGAAGGTCGAAATGGGCTCGTGGGACCGTTTCGGATCTTTGCGGGATTTCTTCTTCTTCGTCTCTTGACTGAGAGTGCTACTTTCGCCTTGGTTGTCGCTGGAGTCCTGGGTTGTCTCTTTTGCGTGGTCTTCGTTGTCGGAAGACGCAGAGGAATGTAGCGTAGAAGCTTTCGTGATCATTACCGGGGGTTTATCCGGCAATAGCGTAGCAGGTCCTTTTCCAAATGAAGTGCGCGACCCCAGACCGATGCCACGATTAAAACCACCATGCGGCGCGGGTTTTTGGTCCTTGGCATCTTTCTGAATTGACGCCGCAGATCCCTGGGGCTCCTGAAGCTCCTCAGGCGCAGGGTCTCCAAGCTCCTTCGGTGCCTCTAGATCTCTGGGCTCTCCAGTCTCACCAAGTGCTTCAGTGTTCCTAGTTTCTCCCGATGCCTCAGGATCTAGCACGGCACTGTCAATTTCGCCATCTTCTGAGACTTCTTGCGGTGCCTCGTGCATAACACTGTCGTGCGTTTGCGGCTGAGGACGAGCATGCGGCTCGACAGGATTCTCAGGTAGATCCGACTCTACTATCTCGCCGTCGTCCAAACCTTCTGATTCGCTACCGCTGCCATCGTGTTCTGTCTTTCGTTTCTTGGACGATGGGCTTGATTTGGCATCCTGGTCATCTTCTTCACCATCCGATGTCAAGCCCTTGAGTTCTTCGGCGTAATCGGGCGGCCGCTTCAGAGAAGAGGGGATCGGATTGGCGACAGCATCCGATGCTTGCTGGTCCGTGGCGGGACCAGGGACGACAGATGTCTGATCCATGAGATTGACCGAATTGCAAGGTCAACGTGGTCGGGCGCTCTCTGGTGTTGATGCTAGGTAACCAAAAATTCATGCGAGCATGTGTGTCTCGGAAATGAGATAGACTGCCGCATTAAGTTTTGTTTACCAGCAGGCTTCAGATGAAGTCAGAGTGAGATCGGGTTTTCCCTCTACTCCTGCTGCAGGGAAATTGAGATGCGTCCCCGTCCCCGTCACTGCTGCAGTTGTGAAAATGATTTGCAGGCACTGCGACGCAAGTAGGTACGAAGGTTGTGAGTATTGGCGTCGTCTTGGCTACACGGCAGCTGCAATGTTGGCCAAATCTGTGTGATGAGAATCCGATATCAATCATCGAATTGCGGCTCCACTAAAGATTTTCCTGGTCTCATCTTTGCCATTTGGGGCCACAGCCACAGCCACAGCCACAGAGGCCATCGGCATCTACATGCCAAGCCATTCAATACAAGCTAAGATATGATTGCTGACATAAGTCCGAACGCTGTCGGGACGTCTGCGGCAGAATAGGGACTTTTCAATTGTCTCAGGTGTTTCGTTCACTCCCAACCACTGTCCGGTGTGTGTATTATCATGAACATCGCGAACATTCATTGTTCATGTGATGTTGATTTGGTAGAATCAGCAGATAATAACGTGCACAATTCATGAGACATCGCAGAGGGCCGTCCACTCCATGAAGCATCCTCAGACTATTCTTGTATCGTGCAGCCCTTCTCTTTCCTCAATGGCTGTACAGACGGGATGCATATGGCAAAGGTCAGGGAAGGGAGGAACCCTAATCCCTAAGCATTCCGAAATGGCTATCGATGGGATCAGGGTGGTATTGAAATCACGAGCCACGCATGGAGAGGAGACCAGACATGGAATGAAGGCTTCCATTGTGAAGGCTTGAGCTGAGCTGCCCAGGTGAGCACTGGCAGAACTGGACAGTTAGACGGTGGAAGCTCAACATTTCCAACCGCCGAGGCTCCGACTTCTCCGCGCCAAATTAGGGGAATTGCAGCGGACCCCTTGCCCCCCGAGCCCCTGTATGCGCACTGTCTTACCTGCAGCTGTCAGCCAAGCCTGCCCGGTCACGCCGGCCTGTCGGAGCCCGTCGCGGCCCATCCCAGCCGGACACAGCCTGGTGCCAGCTGCCGACATCTCAGCCTGCTGCAACTTCAATTTCCTGAGTGTTCTTTCATCTTCACGACCTTCCAGCATCGTCGAGTTCCAGTCACTCACGCCTTGTACAGCTCTTCCTCTTGTCACCGCCAGCCCGCCTCTAACTCTTCGAAATAAAAGTTCCCAATCTCGCTGACACGCCGCGATTCGACGTGCGCCCTTGCCGACATTCATGACCCCTCCTTAGTTCTGTACTATTGCAGCATCGCTAGCTTTTCCCTTTTCCCTTTCCTTTTCCCTCCAGGCTCGCCAGGGTCTTGTTGTATTCTTTAGGATACCCCTACGCACATTTAATATTCTGCTGCCAGAGTACTACCCCAGTACTGCGATCCGAGCGACCGGCAACCCCAAACCACAGACCTCCGCCAACTGTCGTGATAGTGACCGCGACCCCAGCACGTGCTGCTCCCGTAACTTTCGCTGCACCAGCCGTCAGACCAGCCAACCCGAACCGCATCCGACACCTGCATGACCGTCACGGCATGACCGTCACCTCCGAAAAACGAGCCTCGCCTGCGACTACCCCCCTCAATACCGCCAAAGTGTCTTCCCCAATCCTCCTCCCGCGAACCGTCTCGTACGACGCTGGTACCAACCCTCCCAGAGGTGGTAATAATACCTACCTCAACATGGTCGATACGAAGTCCAGTAGGAGAAGGAGGTCTAGTAGCATCCTCCAGATCTATCAGGAACCACAAGAGCCTCTAGAGCAGCTGAGCGACCAGTCTGCTCTTCCGAATCTCAATGCGAACTGGGTCAACGCCAAAGGTACGTTGCCATCCCAGCCCTGTGCCGGCTTGCTGGCCTCTTTGCCCTGCCCGCCCTTCCGCCCTTCCGCCCATCGAGAGCTTGCATTAATAAGACTGGACGATTGCTAATGCGCTTTGCGCGATTATAGGGGCGTGGACCATCCACATTGTCCTAATTCTCGCCCTCAAGATCCTCTGGGACGTCATACCCGGCGTCTCCCAAGAAACCTCGTGGACGTTGACGAATATCTCGTACATGTTCGGCTCGTATATCATGTTCCACTGGGTCCGTGGCGTTCCATTTGACTTCAACAGTGGAGCCTACGACAACTTGAACATGTGGGAGCAGATCGACGATGGCGCGCAGTACACTCCGGCCAAGAAATTCTTACTCAGTGTGCCCATCGTGCTGTTCCTCCTGAGTACGCATTATACCCATTACGACCTGACCTACTTCACCATCAACTTTCTGGCGGTCCTAGGAGTAGTCATACCGAAATTACCCTTTGTACGTTTTCCTGCCGATAACCAACTTTCTGGTTTCATATCGTGGCCAGACTGACTGACAAACTTACAGAGCCACCGAATGAGGGTGGGTCTGTTTTCTGGCGTGCCGGAGGACTAAGAAGACGGCAGCCGCTCGGCACTATGGTAACGACCTTTGGACGGGGCTACAAGAACCGCGGGAAGTATGAGAGTTGCTAAAGTGCGGTACATAAGAGCAGGCCATCAGTGGTGTATGCTGGTGAATCGGGCGCGTTCGATTAGGGGAATACAGGCAGTCAGGAAAACAAATGCGCCATATTTCAGGACTCATCTAACACGTCGCCTCCGCTATTCCAATTCCCAATTGCCTGGCAAATACTCTCGAAAACAGACCCACCCTCATTCGGTGACTTCTATCGTCATGTCGATTTTGCGCCTCCTTGTCAGACTAGACGTGCTGGGGCTGGTCTTCAAGACCTTGGGCTAGTCTACGCCTCGTGTTACCTATCACCTCGCTTTCAAGGAGACCGATCAAGGGACGCCAACCGCCCGGAACCCGTGCATCAGTCTCGATGGTCTATCTTCTCGGTCCGAGGAGAGAGTTCCCATTGGATGCTTGCTAGCGTATCACAGGTCAAAATGTTGTTCAACACCATGAGTTCGAAAGCTATCGCAATTAGCAGGGCCTTAGATCCTCCTTACCATTCCTCACCATTCAATTGACTTTCGCCGGTCCAATACTCAATCCAGTTGCTGTCCGGCCATTGGCTAGCAAATCAAAACAAGCCCATTGATGTTGAGGTTTACACCGTGGTGAATATTACTCAGTCCTAGTCATGAGTTTCGGTATATATAATGCTCCAGCCGGCCCTTGGAGGTGAATCTGTTCTTCTCCTCATCATTGAGTTCACTTCCACACAAACTGTCTCTCGTTACTCCAACTAGAGCCTGCAACACTCGTTCATTGGGACATCGTGACTCCTCAAGATGAAAGTCTCTAGCGGTGTTCTCCTAGCCATTGCTGGGCTTGGCCGAGCCACCCGTGAGGGTGCCGTCGCCAACAGTCCCACCCTGGCTACTGTGAACTCGCACACTCTGTCGAGCACATACTACTCTCATTATTCTACTCTTCCTCCTCCGTCGTCCGCGTCGACCCCCTACTCAAGCACGAAGCAGGGTCTATCGCCTTCTTCGTCGCCGACCACCAACCCTTACCATTATACTCCTCCGTCCTCATCGACCACGGCCACCTTTCACTATACTCCTCCTTCGTCGTGGTCAACCACGGCCACCTTCCATTATACTCCGTCGACGACCTTCTCGTCAAGCACGAAGCAAGATCCGTCGCCTTCTTCGTCAACCTCCTCCACCTATCACTATACTCCTCCTGTTCAGTCATCGTCAACAACCTCGTCATCAACCACGAAGCAGGTTCCGTCGCCTTCTTCGCGGACCATCACCACCTATCATTATACTCCTCTGCCGTCGTCGTCAGCCACCTTCTCGTCGAGCACGAGACAGGGTCCATCGCCTTCTTCTTCGTCGACCACTACCACCTATCATTATACCCCTCCTGTTCCTGTTCCGTCGTCGCCAACAACCTTCTCCTCAAGCACGGAGCAGCCTCATTCGTCGTCGATCATCTTCTCCTCGAGCACGGCGCAGCCTCATTCGTCGTCAATTCCCTACTCCTCGAGCACTAACGGGGCTCCGCAGCCACCTCCGTCGTCTTTCTCTCATACCCTCACCACCAGCTTAATCTCGTCGACCTCATCTGCCGTTGCTACAATCACCTTCTCCTCAAGCACGAAGCAGCCTCATTCGTCGTCGATCATCTACACCTCAAGCGCTAACGGGGGTCCGCAGCCGCCTCCTTCGTATTCTGCCCCTGATTACACTCTCACCACCAGCTCGATCTGGTCGAGCTCGTCTGCTGTTGCCTCTACCTCCTGCCCCACAAGCAGTACGTGGGTTCCGTCACCTTTTCTGCCTCCGCTGCCTCCGCCGCCGGCAAGCTCGCCGTACTCCCCAACCACCGCACCGGGGACATGGATTGAACCGTCGACCTGGGCTAGTACCTCGATTTGGGTGCTGCCAACCACTACGTCTGGCACGACCTCCACCTGGACAACCTCAAGCTACGTGCCGCCGGGCACAACCCTCTCCTTTATCACGGTTACGGTGACCAAGCCCTGTCCCACACTGAGCACCAGCTGGGGGCCGACGGGCATCCCCACCACCACGCATGCCGAGCCTGCTCACACGGAGCCCGCTCACACGGAGCCTGCTCATACCGTGCCTGCTCATACCGTGCCTGCCCACACGGAGCCTGCTCATACGGAGTCTGCCCACACCGAGCCCGCACAAACCGAGCCTGCCCACACCGAGCCTGCCCACACCGAGCCTGCTCACACGGAACCTGCCTACACGGAGCCCGCTCACAGCGAGCCCGCTCACACCGGGCCCGTGTACAGCCCGTCCTCTTCGCACCCGTCGTCCAAGTCCTCTGAGACCCCCTCCTCCAAGCCCTCTTCCTCCAAGCCCTCCTCCACGCCCTCGGGGCCGAAGGCCACCCACGAACCGCACGCGAAGCCAAACCACTCTACCGGCGCCGTTGCCGTTGTCACGCCCGCGATCGGCCAGAGTGCCGCCTTGGCGGCTTTCGTCTTTGTGGCTGTGGTACTGCTGTAGGCTGTTCTCGATGAGTCTTGAATGGTGCACCTCGTCGTATGTTGCTCCACCTCGTATTAGTATGGTAGTTTTGTTTCCATTGATTTGACACTGAGATGCTTTAATTGGAGGAGGTAATAGGAATAGAAAAGCGAGCAGGATGTGTTGGGTTTCCTTGGTTCTCATGAAGGGTTTAAGGGGCGGAATCGGGATAGAGAAATGGCAATCCCTCCGGCAACAATAAGCCTTCCATTCCTGTGCTCTTTTGACTGTGAATCGGTGCCTTCGGGTTGTTTGTGTGGATGCCATCAGAGGTCCCCCGCGCCGAGAGGGCAGCCGAGCTTTTCGGGGTCCCGTAAGGTCGGGTGCGGGCGTGTATGGGTCCGGATCACCGCCAAGTGGGCTGGGCGATTGCCTACTCATTGCCTATGACTCGATTATTGAGTGCTTTCTTGCCTTGGCCCTTGAGACTCACCAGGAAACGCTGCTTGATCGTTAGTCGCGGCGTAATCTTGCAATGGTTCCACAAGATGATCAATGCGAACTTTCCCGGTCAATCCAGGACAGGTATGAGTGACTCAGGCTCCGTCAGTTGACCGCCCTCTGTGTGTTACTTAGGTATGAGTATCTTCGCACCAGGTACACTGTTCGCCTGATGCAGGCTCGTGGGCGTGGAATTTGGTTGAATTTCATAAGCAAACATAAGGTATTCCGGATGAACCATCCACTCCTGTGACGCTTTGACGCTACAACGCCCACCGCTGAGAAAATGTAGGCCATGCATTGCGCTTGCCGGAAACTTGTGGCCGACTGTATAATATCGAGGAAGGTGTGGGTTCTAAAAGCCCATTGTTCTCTCTGTTCCCATCGAACCATTGTCCCTTCCCGCCCCGATTCCCAGTACGCAGATATCTATAAATCTGCCCACACAAGCACAGATTCTTCCTTCTAGACACACACCACACACAAGCCCAGGCTCCCTTTCTACATACCAACACAAGTACGAGACCAGATACCGCACCCAACCGCAAACATGAAGGCAGACCAGTGCGAACTCTACGCCACCAAGCTCCTGGGCGAGCGCGTGACCGCCTACTCGGAGGCGCACTCGATGGCGCTGCCGCAGTTCCTGCGAGATTACAACGCCAAGATCCTGCATGAGCAGCCCACCACGTCCAACTACATGATCTCGACGTTCCAGTCGCAGGCGCTGGTGTGGCTGGCCCGGCTGATGGGGGCCAAGCGCGGTACGTCCCTACTTCTATCCACCCTCTTCATCACCTGCCCATGTAACATCCATGGATTCGTGGATGTGTACGTCTCTGTAACCTGCCGATCCATCTGCCTGATTAGAGGGGAGGTGCCATAATCACAGGAGAGAAAGAGTACTGACAGATACACGCACTAGTCCTCGAGATCGGCGTCTTCGTCGGGTACTCGACCATGGCGTGGAGCCACGCCGTCGGGCCCGAAGGCACGGTCACGGGCTTCGAGTTCAACGCCGACTACGCCAAGCAGGCAGAGGCCGCGTTCGAGCAGAACGGCGTGAAGAAGTGCGAACTGATCGTTGGTGATGCCGTCAAGCAGTAGGCCTTTGCTCACTTCTTTTCGTCAGACACCAGTGTTGCTCACCTACTGGAACAACAGGCTTCCCTCCTTCAAGCCGGCCGAACCGTACGACCTCATCTTCATCGACGCGCAGAAGAGCGGATACCCGGCCTACCTGAAGACGATCCTCGCGAACTCGCAGCCGGGCTCGCAGAACCGTCGTAAGTTGCATCACCTACCTACCTTAACCTGTCTAGTCCTATCCCCATGGTCGGGGGCCCAATGCTAACAACTAATTACCATAGTCCTTCGTGCCGGCGGACTCATTATCGCAGACAACGCGCTGCGCTGGGGCCTAGTCGCCGACGCGAGCGAGGCGAACCCAAGACGCACCATGGAGAGCAGCGGCACGAGCGAGTACTGGAAGAGCGACGACATCAAGTGTCTGCGCGAGTACAACGAGAGCGTGCATGCGAGCGAGCGACTGGAGGAGTTCCTGTGCCCGCTCTGGGACGGGGTCAATCTGGCGCGGCTGCTGGACTGATGGGTTGGTTGACCGTGGCTGAAGCATAGACCGGGCCTGGTGAACATATGATTATGAGGGCGGTTGAGGATGAAGATTGAGGAGTACCTACCTAGAGGATGCGTTAGGGGATGGGGCCTGCGCAGAGTAGGACTGGGAATACCTGATTCTGATGAGGCTAGATAGTCTTTCATAGCGTATGGTTTCTCCTCCTATTGTGTTTCACCTCAGGCTATTAATAAAGTGTGAAAGGTGAAATGCAGAAGAAAGAGGGGGCAGGATCACACCTACCTCCGAGCCTCCATTCCAAGGTGACACCCGATCAGATCATCAGGGGAGTTGCGCCTACATGCGGGGGCTAAAGCTTCCCGAGCCCCCCTGCTTAGTGGCTACTATAATAAGCTTATCAGCTTGCTTGGCAGGTCTCTTATCAGACAATCTGCTTTCAAGCCACAGCCTACAGGTCGCCACCTGATTGATAGTGAGGCTGCATTCGATGTCTATCTGCACGCAAGTCACTTGCGCTGAAGCAGGGACGGCGGTCTCTTGACACTTCGACCCCAAAGATATCACACCTCATCGTCACACATGTCGTCTTCAAGTGCCGTTGCTGACACCTTCACGACACCCGTGCCGCAATGCAGCCTCATGTATCATGCCTGTGAAGCAAAATGCTATCACCGGCCCCCAAATCCAGCCATTGCGCAACCTGCAATTTGCAGACTCGCGCTCCCGCAGCCAGCAGGATGCCAGGATCCATCACCTCCATGTTGGATCGCCAACCCGGCTGTGTTCGTTTCGGCGAGTGTGCCTTGCCATCCATCCGATCTCCATGCACGGCATGCCTGATTGGGCCCAGCTGCGCCGCTTGGTACGCGGATGGCTATGAATAAAGACGTGATGTGTCCCGGCCCGGCTCTCGTCATGTTCCATCTCTTTCCACCGTACATGTGCGCCCGGGAACCACACGTACCAAGCTGTTGGGTCAGGCCGTGAAGGAAAATCGTTGAGTCGGCAATACCGAATGCTCATAATTCACCAACGAGACAGTCGCAATGCCCTCCTTCGCATGTCCCGACTATTACGAATGCCTCCAGGCCCATGGCGGCAACGAGGATGAATGTGTGAAGCACGATCTTTGCCACGGCAAAGGAAACCATAGCCACCTACCAGAAGTCTCTTCATCTTCTTCTTCGTCGACTTCCTCTTCTTCTACATCATCATATTCGTCGCCTTCATCCTTGTCGCCTTCATCGTCGTCGACTTCACCGACGCCAGCCACCGCCTCTATTCTCGACCCCACCCAGGCACCCGGCAGCAGCTATGACAATACGGCCACGACGTCAGGGCCCTCGACCGTGTCTTCGCACCAACCTCATATCCCTCCTTGGACCATTGCCTTGATCATCGGGGCCGGACTTCACGTTTTGGCATTCTTTGTGTCGCTCTTCATCTTCTGCGCAAAGGGTAAGCCCTGTCCCACTACTATGCTCACTATAACCGCGCAGTACAAGACAGTACTAACACGCAACCTCAGAGCGGCGAAGACACCATGAAACGGGCGAGAAGCCAAGCTACACCCGCGCCCTCAAACGCGCCGTCGTTGCCGCGACGGGCATTGCTGTAATCGCCTGGCTCGTCAACAAACTGCGCCCGAAGCCCAAGGGGCAGGTCGAGGACGACGCATACAAGCAGATCGAGGTGTATGTCACGCACAAAGAGGCAAACGTCGAAAAGCACCAGCCCCCGGAATATGAGGTGCACAGGGCGCCGTCGGTGGCTGCTGTACAGCGGAGCGTCTCCGTGATCTCGTCACTGTCGGCGCAAAGTCGACGCAGTCAGGAGCGTTACTCGACGAGGTTGGAGCCGAGCCCAGTCTCGGATACGCCTTCGCCATTTCGGATGCCAGAGCGCCCGCCTGGCGTACAGATGAGGGCTTTGGGTACGGACGTGCGCCATGGTTGGGAGCGAGGACCGAGGGATGGGTGATGGGATTGGCCGAAGAAAGCTGATGTCGCTTCTTGGAAATGGTACCCCGGAAAGGGGACTCACGGGAAGTGTTGTGTATACTCACGCCTTAGGGGGCGAATTGCAAGTCTCTTTGGGCTCAGCACCCCAACTCACAACGATGATTCGCCTAGTACCCGGTTTCCTCAACTGATACTCGGTGACTCACGCGATGATCACTGCTCGGGGAAACGCAAAGTGATCTTGATTGTCACATGGGATGATCATCGATACAAAGACCTATGCTAATACTGTGATGTAACGAGGACATACAGTCGCAAAACAGTGACTTGTGAGTATACGGGCGGCATCACTGGCGAGGGACGAATGATACTTCTGAGGTACTCACAGGCATATAAGTAATGGATAGAGACTCCATGTGGTCAGCGGTTCCAATGCAGCACGCACTTCATCGACACCTACGCAGAAGGCACCACGACTCGCAGCTCAGTATTCCACACCGGCACAGACTTGTTTCTCGTGCACCTTGATCATGTTTGGCCGCGCCCATAATCGAGGCCGGAAGGAATCCAAGCCTCCACACAAATCCAAAAATCGAAGCAAGCCTAAGAATCGCAGCAGATCCATGCCTCCAAGCAAACCAAAGCATCGAAGCAAAGATCGCGGCCACCACAGTGACCCTTCACATCAACGACGCCGTGATCCTTCACGTCAGCCACACCGCGGTGCTTCGCGTCAGCCATACCGTGAACAGAACTCCGATAGTGAAGAGGACTCCGATCATGCTTATGATCAATCGAAATCCAAACATGAGCAAGGCACGAGCACCAACTTATCCTTCGATCAAAAATGGGCTACCCGGTTCCAAGTCTATGACAAACAACTATGCTTTTACGATCAGCACAAGAAAGTAATTGCTAAATCCGTTGGCGCGATACTCGACCCCGACAAGACCACCACCATCGAATCAGTATTCCACCTCGACCTACGCCCCGTCACGCTGGCACGCGATATGACGGTCGTCCGAATCCCAAATGACCTGTCCGAGATCAACGAGATGCTCGGTGCGCCTTCCATCTTCGCACTCGAGATCAGAGTTGGGGTCCCCCAGTGCGGCGCAGACGAGCGCTTCGATATCATCGTGTCTCGCATCGTCGAGCAGCTTTTTAGGAGTGATGAAGAAGGTAGGCCCCCTCAGCGAGGCCAGCGTGAATGCCCTTCGTGCCTGCGCCTTGGCATTCGTTCAGGCGGATGACGATGGTAAGACGATCTCAAGAAGATGGGTCTCGCCTGGGGCTGTGTTCCTGCCCACCAACGAGAGGATTACCAATGCCATTGGAGACTGGCGTAGAACCTACCGCTTTCACAAAGTTGGCGACCGGGACGGTTTCAGGGATTGGGTTGACAGCTGGGGAGTTTATGAACATGAGGTGGGCGGCCGTGGTAGAGACCGGAAGGGAAAGGGGGTTGATCAGGGTTAGAGATGAAGGGACAGGATGTCTCTCACCCACTCAACTTCAAAAGATCAAGAGGCCTGGAGGATGTTGGGGTATAGACAGCTTGTCTTTAGTGATTAGTATGAATCACAAGTGTGTTGGACGATGAGGCGAGTTTGTGGAATGTACTCAACCCAACCACATTCTCGATTGATAACTTTCACTTGGGCGAGTTGTGCTCTTCTACCCTCAAGAATCTGCGTAACCCACCGTGAGGCTAATTGCAAAAGGGCCTTTTAGAAGGCATGAGGACTAATCAGACTTCACAGTATTAAAAGAACCAGGTTGGCACGTAGCCGTACTATGACCCCGAACGCCGCAGCTCTGTTCTGTAATTAGCTGATACATGTGTATCTGGTGATGTTTTCTTACCAACCTGTGATTCCATTCTTATACCAACTACCACTGGTCGTCCACTCAACAGGCAGCGTATTACGGCCTAGCCGATAACCATGAATGGGTTGATCAATCCTCCGGGACAAAATCGCCACATTCCACCTCCCACTCGTTGAACTGGGGGTCCCAATCCTCGCATTTCTCGTCCTCGTCGACCCAGAGGCCATCGTCCTTGGCGTCTTCCCAGAAATGAACGGCGCACTCCCCGCCTAGACGAGCCCAAACATTTTTAGGCCATTTCTCATCGCCCGCGTCGCTGCCGGAGCCTGCGTCACTCCCGTGATCTGAAACCAGTGAGGGAGGTGAGTCTGGTCCTGGGGTTTCTTCGTGATCGTCGGAGCTATGCTATTACGAGATCTCGAGCGGCGCCCAGGCACTGGAGCCGGCTCCTGATTTTACCCATGCGGTCTCCCCTCTGCAATGGTCGCCTTTGAAGACCTCGAAGGTCCACTCATTGGACTGCAGGTCGGCCGCGGCGAGGTACCATCCCCCCCCACATCTCGTACACCCCCACATCTCGTACAGCCAAACCCCACCAACACCACCAAAACACCCCCTTATTCACCCACATGTAAAGAAAGTCATTCAGGTCAGAGAAATTCAGCAAATTTATCATTCGAGAGCGCAGAAGCTGTTCATTCGTAATATCTAGTGGGCGCCCGAATGGACCGCCCCGAACGGGTCTGCCTAGGCTCCTGTATGGCCTCCAAAGCGGCCTCTTCAGCCGAGTCTTCGTCTTCTTCTTCTTCTTCCTCGTCATCATTAACCACAACGTCTGGTACATTCGCAGAGGCACCAGGGGTGATTTTACTACCCGTACTTAGTACCTCCGTGACTGTTCTGAACTTCTTGTTAAGATTAGGGATCTTCTGGCGCTTCTTTGGCCGTAGCTGCTCCAGTTCAGCCTTCAGGGCCTTGATCTTCCTGTCCTTGATAACAAGGTCGGTCTCCTTAGCCTCGAACGCAGTGGCTATCTTCCTGTACTTCAGCCGGGTGCCAGGAGACTTATTTTTGCCGAAATTCATGATCTGGCGGCTCGTAGTAGGGGTCCGTTGGTCCTCTGGTTCAGAGCTTTCAGGGGTCTCAGGCTCAGGGGTTTTCTGCTTCTCTTCCTGGATTTCTGGATGCGCTAAGCACTTCCTGCAGCTGATAGGATAATATCCAGTTGTTCTGAAGCCAGAGAGGATATTTGCCTTAATAAAAGCAGCAGTTCTGGCCTGGCTATAGCACCGAATGAAGTTGATCTTATTAACAGGCGAGGCATCCATCAAAGAATTTAGCTGAGAGAGGAATTTCTGGTAGTGAGCCTTCAAGGCGTTGTAGGGCCCGTTATCTAGGGGTTGTATGCCGTGACTAGTGTGCGCAGGAAGAAACAGAGTAATATATTGGCGAAATAACAAATGGTCATGAATTCGTCCTTATAATACGCGTTAACCCATATTAAGTCAGGAAGAAATAGAGAAAGTCTATATAAAATAAGGAAAAATCATATACGTATGGAGGTGTGGCTACCATGGCCATCTAGTATCAAAAGAACAGACTCAGCCTGATCTTCTCCTCGTATCTTGTCTACCTGCGGGATAAAGACATCTTTTAGCCACTGGCAGGCTATGTTATTCGAATTCCAGCCATTTTCTGAGCATATGTAATACCAATTGGCGGTCTTTTAAAACTCCTCAATGAACCACTGGGCCTGGAGGTCCTTCCCCTTGAAGATAATACCTGGTTTGAGGATTTTTCTAATTGCAGAGATGGCCTCGATAAAGGAGGTCCAGCTACGGCTCTGGGGGCTTTTTAAGAAGGCCTTCTTAGTAACAGAATTACTTAAAACCAGAGAATCGATGCCTATAAAGCTAATTAGAATTTCTACGGATTTAAAGGGGTAATTATAGTCACCAAAACCCGCCATGATGCCGCCCTTATCGACATTATACGTGTTTTCTGGCTTGACCCAGCCGTAATCCTCTAGGATTTCAAAGAACCAGTTAACTGCCTTCGGCGTGAAGCCCTTAAAGCGCGCTGATTCCATCCTTTTGCCAACTTTGGTCTTTATTTATGGGTTGCGGCGCTTAAAGCTGGTCATGAAGTGGTCTCTAAGGGGGCCTGAATTTCCGTTCTTTCTCAACACCTTTACGATGATCTCACGCACCAGGGAGTGCGAAGGGGCTAGTCCTAGCTTCTCTTGACGCAAAATTCAGTTGACTATAGTGCTTTCTTGAGCAAGAGAAAGTCTTTGTTGGTATATATGGCCTTCGCCTTTTGAGGGCTTGCTGTTAAGTCGGTCAGAGAGCGTTGTGACAGGGACGCCGTGTTTCTGAGCGCTTTTTTGCAGCGAAAGGCCCTCATCCGTGATATCTAAGATGGCATTCGCCATCTGATCCTCCGTATACGGTTTGGGAGGCATTCTAGGCGGCTATACGATGCTGCGGTGCATACAGAACAAGGCTTCAGACGAGGCTCCAGCACCCGAAAATCTCTATTCGGGGTAAGAAACGCGGGGTAATAGACAGCCAATCACGTACGCTGCGCGGGGTAAATTCTATATTGAATTCTACCTTAAGATCAGGGCTATCTAGTGCACTAAATACATTCTGAACAGCTTCAATATTGGGCTGAAAGCGTATAAGTGAACATATAGGGTTTAGGTGGTGGTGGTGGGGTTTTGCTGTACGAGATGTGGGGGTGTCCGAGATGTAGGGGGGGGGATGGTATGAGAGGCGAAGGGAGGCCATCTTAGCTTGTTTGGCTGATGTGTAGCTCTTGTGCAATGTGTCGTCTTGTGGGGTGTGGGTGTTCGGGGGATGTTCAGTTGATGTAGTGTGTGCTTGCGTCGAAGAAGAAACGACAAGAGGCAGAAAGTCGTAAAGGACCTTTTCTAGTCTAACAGCTACATGCAGGATCCTCATATACACTCTGATGGCATGGTCTTGTCGTGGGTAGAAGCGAAGGATCAGAACCCGCTGCCTGTTTTTCAGCCCAGCCCGTCGCCACAATGACGCCCGGCTTGCCTCCTCCTAACGGGGTTCACCCCGTGTCGGACACACCGGTTTTCCACCAAGTCCGCAAAGGAATCCAGAATTATCCTTTCTCGGGTCGAGCCTCTGTGTAAGCGCATGATTGGTGGCCAGTAGGAGTTGGTCTCTAAATATAGGATCACTGGCTTTTCATCGGCCGTTCCGCTCACCCCACTTCTTGCAGGAAACCGTCCCTGCATGTTCTAAGCACATCACCAGTAGAGTGGGTAAACTCCACGGCCCAAGGAAGGCCCAATACGAAGATGGATAATGTACGGTATGCCCCATCATGCCGCAAAGAAAAGCTTGCTCGCTTCGACAGATCTGTCATTATATAACGTGAAATGTCAACCGCCATTGCAACCGCAACCAACTATTCTCCAACACATTCGGTCAACCAACATACACTCTACTGAAATCCCAGGTCTTCACCCACATAACGCCATTCACCATGCGATTCAACACCTTTGCCGCGACTCTCCTCGGCCTCTCGAGCGTCACCGTCATATGCGCCCTCAGCTTCCCTAGATCTCCGCAAGGAGACACAGTCCCACCTAAGCTTTCGACTCGCTTTGACACCAAGCTCGCAGACCGCCATACTGAAGGACTTGATTTCGCGGCGCAGGGCCTGCAGAAAAAGGACGACAAGATAAAAGGGTCGAAAGCACTAGAGGAAGGCCAGGTGTTAAACACAAAGCATAGCGTTGAGGTCAAAGCGGATAAAGTTGAGACTTCCGGCGATGATATGAAGATCGAAAAAGATGCCCAGGTCCCCAAGTTGCTGGAAAGCTTTGCCGCAAAGCTCGGCATCGTCGACGGCAGAGGAGTCAACACCATGGCGGCGATAGGCGGTTTGTCCAGTAAGACCCCTCACAATACCAAAATCTCCAATTGATTGGAACTGTCCAAGTGGGGTGCTTATTACGGACGCGGAGGCTTGGAATACCATCCTGCAGGCCATGTACCTGAGGGTGCTAGATGAGAAGAAGGATGTCGAAGTCACATTCGAGGTAGATGACTCCTATCAGATGCATTTCCAAATGCAGACCAAGTTCGATGAAAACAGGTGGCTCTAGACTAAAAGGTCACTGGTTGCTGAGGCCATCAATACATGGCCTCATCGCACACTTGAGGCTGCGTTCGGTCTTACAGCAAATCGGGGTCGTTTGGAGATAGTGGCGGAATATAGGGACCATGATGATGAGATCGCTATCGTGAGATAATCCGACATCAGCGAATGGAGATTAGAATCGAAACAGTGCAAGACACCGTGTTTACATAATCGTCCACTATCACCGTTGTCATTCACTAGATAAGAGGTTCTCTCAGCACTTGCAAAAGATTCTTCCAGTATATCCTGTAATAGTTTGGGTACCTCGGCATCAACCAGGGGGAGGGTGGGTCGCGACGCCCAAGTAAAGCCTGCATATCTTGACCCAGCGACCGAAAGTTCTCATGTAACATCTTATCGAGCTACATCACACTGGCGCGTAGCTGGCATAGCTGAGTGGGCCAAAGTGTTGCGAGTCAATCAGCAGCAAACGACCCCGAATCAGATCCCAAGGAACCCTAGCCGTTCTACTTCAAGCATGTACATTGTGTTAAACAGCGTGTATTATGGTTGATCTGGTTGATAACGTGTATTCTGGTGATTCTGATTTGAGTGTTGTGTCTCTGTGAAAATCCTTCTGTGGGCTAGGTGGCCTAAAAATGCCCTATTGGCCTTGTTGGTGCACTGCCACCTCCCTGAACGCCACGGTGGATTGTGCGCCATTCAACACATTGTCCCTCCGGTCCACAAGTGTCAGAAGTAGACTTTTGTAGCCCCCGGTTGATGCTAATTGAAGCTCCGTTCCACACCGTCTGCAGTGAGCACACATGTGGCTCATTGGCTCAGGAGGGCTTGGATAGTTCCCTAATGGCAATCAGCTGATGCTGCTTAGAGAAATGAGTCAGTTTTAGTATTGAGGTTTATGTTTATATTGAAACAATTTACTTCTCAAGCATGAAAGCTTGCTTTACGCTAGACTATGGCTAAAGAGGTGACAAGCTGTGAGATTTCAAACCGTTCTAGATTTAAAGGGAAGAGAAGAGAAGAAGATCTCTGGGGAGAAGCCCCCATCTATGTGTACAGGTGTGCCATCAGGGTGACCAGATAATTATATGATGATGATTACATCTGAATGTCCGGAAAGTATAAGCCCATTAGCGCATTCAGCCCCGAAAGCTTAAGCCTCGTATGATATCCAACACAAGCATATAGGCATACTAGAGAAAACAAGGCTTTTGATTGCTTGTAACTTTACCTAACAGATACGCATAAGATAGAGGCATAGTATTAAGAATGAAGAGAGCTGAAGTACTAATGCACTGACTTTTACTCCGATAAACTTTGGGGCTGCAGTCATATGGTATTGCTATACGTCGTTCGCTATGAGTGTCACGGGTACGTACCTAGGTACGTACCGTGCCACCCTATGTGTATATAACCAGGTCTGGACCCCCAGCTACTTGTTTTCCTTCCTCTTCCTTCTTTAACAGCTACAATATACATTGGTCTACATATCAAGCTCTTCGGGTTCATCCCTTAGACCTTGTTCGTTACAATGAGAGCTTAAGAAATGTCTGATATATGCCTGTAGATGATGAGCTTCCGAAACTTATTAAGACGAGGAGATGTTTGCATTCCGCCAGGCATATTGTCCCCCCTACATGCCATTGTGCCTTCACTGTAGCAGCGAAGGGTGGTAAATGCCCAGGAATAGAGCAACGCAGCTACTGGCACCCAGAAACCAACTAACCGTCTGGGCAACACGGTTGTGACCCAGGCAATATTTCCCCGACTATCGCATGTCATTCCATTTCGACTTTTCATACCAGACTCCGCAGCACGCACGGAAATCACGAACGGCTGAGAATTGGAGACTTTCCAAAGACGGCCATGAATTGGCATCAAGATGGAGAGGACAGCGTCGGGCCCGCGGTTGCATCAGTCTATGCTCATTGGAAGGCTTAGCTTCTATGAACTTTGCACTGTATAATGAGCTGTTAACCGGCAAGGGAAAAGAACTGAGTAAGACTATTCTGCCTGGATGCATGGAGGAAGACGCGAAGCGAGAACTACTCCTTTCAATGGTCTCAAAAGGCCTAAGTGAAGCAGAGTACGAGCGTCGGTACAGACAAACTGTCGGAAAATTTAAAGCGAAAAGAAGCCCCAAGCCAATACTGAAATTTCCTTTACCCGGCTCTGGATCCATTATGATCCAGATCGGCGTCAACCTCAATCGATACTACGTATACATGGTCAAAAACAAGGGACGTAAATATTACCGGGGTCAATACGAGGTTAGTTTTGAGATGACCCTAAAGGCTTTGCCCACCGCCGATCTTGCATAATTAAAATGATTAGGTTTTATAAACTAAAAGGTCTATTCGTATAACTTTCTTTTTATAAGTATAAACTTTGAAAGCGTTGTAATCGCGCAATCGATTTATTTTTATATTATTTTTATATTATTTTTACTATAATTTTACTATACCTTTATTTTTTTACCTTTAACGTTCATTTTATCGTATATAGTTTTCTTTTAACTTGTATAATAGAGATAGAAACCTCTATGTTACGAACCAACGAACAGTGCGGCCTGATAACAGGCCCAGAGGAGACGATTGGAAACAGGTTGACCAGTAAGTGGGCTGCTGATCAGTGGAGAGATCGGAGCAACAGAGCAACGGTACACAGATCACGTGACCAGCAGAACCTGGGTCACGTGACTAAGAATTTGGATCACTGGATCACCGTGGTGATCCAGTGAGCAGGATCACCTTGGATCACCGGTGATCCAGGGTGAGCCACCTAATTAGTGAGGGAGAGATTGGATATATAAGGACAGACATTTCCCAACCAGATAGATAGACAGTCTCTATCTCAATGATCAATCTAAGCATCTTAGCCAACCCTAAGGTGGGAGAAATCTCCTGACGACTTGACTACATAGTGAACCCAGTTCAGACCAAGCCCTAGTATCTGAGTGTCTTCTAGTTGATAGCAGCCTTTATCGTCCTTTGTGTTGACTTACCTCAGAACATAAACCCTATAGAACCCTCTAGCCTTATCGGTTAGGCGGCTCGTCACACTCTAAAGAAAAGGCACGTTCAACAACTGATATGTATTCACACCCACGCACGACCTGGATGGTTCTTCTAACTTATCATATCGCCTCACCTGATGGAACCGGCTAGAGAGGCCTGGGGAGCAACTTGGAAACCCAGCCCGAAAACATCAGGTTTAAGCAGTCACAGGTGGGCACTTGGGACACGTGACTATCAACTTCTGAATTACTTTTTCCGTCTATTACTACACTAGAGTATCATATACCCCAGTAAGGGATATGTGGTTTCGGGGAGGAAGGGGTGGGAGGTTCGGAACAGGAAGTCTTTTACACGGGAACGGCAAACGCCGTTGCTGACTTGCTCCTGAGAAGATAGCCCCTGAGAAGATATCGTGGCCCCATGTCCTCCGGTGAACGTGCCAACCCACGCTAAAACGCGACGACCATAACACCAGCAAGTAGCCCACCGAAACTCCATTATCAAAGAGACAACGGCCCAACGGCGAACCTGTCACTGTAGTTGTGTCGCCTTCCTAGTCGTGTTCTGGAATGCACAACCCGCTATGCGCCAAGCCATGGCCGAAGCATGATCAAGTCATGCTTGGTCACATGGAGATGCCAAGCGCCCACGGGGTATACGTCTCCTTTATACCACAAAAAAATTCCGTTGACATAGGCGTACCAATTCACCGTCAACATCTGACAATCGCAATCATCTCCAATCAAATGGCTCAGAGGGTCTCTCAGACCCGCTGGTAGAATAGCAGGTACGCGACCTTGTTGTCCTTGATGTTGTCCTTGGCAGGCTTCCCCTTGGCTGGTGCAGCGGTGTTTGGTCCACCACCATTGACCACAGTGCTCCATTTCTTAGCACCATTGACGGGAGCACTGACTTTGTTCCAACCCTCCTCGTCGCCGGCGTCGTCGTCTCCAATGCCATCGAATCGGTTTCCAGAGGGAACCATGACGCTATCTTTCTTGTCAACCCACGTGGTTGTCTTGCTCCTGTCTTCTTCAACGCCACCTTCAGCCACATCTTCGCTCCTGATTCGCCGAATGACAGTATCATCCAGCCGAATCCATTCGCGACAGTCCTGACGTCGGAGATCCACCGTGTAATGGCCACCGCTCGCGTTTTTGCCATGATGATAGACCGCTGCAATCAGCCTGTACTTAGGGAGACCAGCGCCTTCGGCCAGTAGGGCGTTTCTCTTCTGGCGCGAGAGGATTTCTTTCGGCAGTTCAAGTTCCAAGGGGTAGCCAATTTTCTTCCAGATCTTAACAGTTCCGGTACCCTCAGCATCGAATTGAAAACGCTTTAGGTGGAGAATGAGAACCGGGGGCAGGCTCTCGATGAATACTTGTTTTGTAGCACTCGTACCCGGTCCTCTAGGTGATCCGAATTCCCCATGGAGAGTCTCGGGCTTGGTAAGGCCCTTCAGCGCGTCCACGATGTTGTGAATCTGTGGAGAGCCAATATCAAGCTGTAATGGTTGGAATGGCTCCAGAGTGATGGAGTCTTTGCGTCCTGTGATACGCAACTCTGATCGCAACTGTCCACTAAAGATCTTAGTAATTGGGGATGATGCAATGGGATGTCCGGAAGACCGAGTTACGGCCGGCTTTTGTCGTCGTCCTACTTCCAGCCAATCGCTGGAGTCCGCAACGTTCGTGGGTGACACTGCAGCTGTAGGAGTAGCGGCAGACGAGTTTGCTGCCGTAGTGGTCGCAGAGGAATCAGAAAATTGTTGCATGACCTTGGCGCACTCATCGTGGAGGGATTCGAGAAGAAAACCGAGGAATTCTTCAGCATCCTGTTGATGCCCGCGCTGCAGAAGCCTGTTAGCCCGCCTCAGATAAATGTGTGGGAATGCCTACCCTCATGCTTGCGAATCTAGGCAGCTCCCGAATAGCATTGTAGACAAATTTGGGGGTAAAGGCCTCGCCGTACTGTTCTAGTTCCTCGCTCTTCAATCTTCTCCGAAGCTGTTCCACAGAAATTGCAGAGTCGATGACCTTGTACTCGCGCATGAACATAATCCTAGATGACCGGTCAGACCAGGGGCACAGAAACGTTGCCGCCAAATTTGATGGAACTTACATGGCTTCAATTAGGGGTGTTTCGCTCTTGAAACTGTGCGCCGCTTTCTTGCTAACTTGATCCAAGAAATCGTAAAACGGAAGGCAGAAGATAAGAACTTGAAGAACCTAGGGAATAATAAGTCAACCGATAGTCCTCAACCAGCTCAAAGGAACATACTTACGGAATTCATATAACACATGTTCCCAGTGTTGATCAAACCCCTGGGCTCTAGGAACGCAATCTTTTCCGAACTAGAAACACGATAAGAATGCAGCGCCTCCGCCAAAGAGGAGGCCTTTGATTCCGCAAAGCCCCCGCCGCTTCCGCTTCCTTCTCCGACGACAGCATCAGCAGCGGACGGCGCACCACAAGCAGCAATAGATCCCAGGGCACCAGCGCCAGCTAATGCCGTGGCGGTGGCTGCTGGGCGCATGAACAGATTACTCCAAAGCTTCGGTGCCGTCTTGGCCGGAGCGGGGGCAGCATTGAGTTCTGTCTGAGGAACACCGGTAGAAGACGCGTCGACTTCAACAACTTTCTCTGATGCGGCTTGTGCCACATCCTGTCTGCCATCTGATGGATGTGACTCGGAGCCCGATGTTGTCTTTACTTCCTTCGGGCTCGCTTTGGACTTTGGGGGAACGATCGGGAGGGCCGGGACTGCGGTGCGAGAGATGGTCTTGTTGGACAGTGTGGGAGTGATTGACGCCGCAGTGGTCTTTACTGATGCAGGTGTCGATGGTGAAGTCGGCCGAATATCCTCGGAGGGATGATTTTGGGTTGATGGCTTCTCGGGTGTCGCTTGAGCCTCGATAGGAACAGCAGAGGAAGTGACAGATGCTGCCGCTTTGGATTTTGGGGTTCCTGGAGCAGCGACTTTATCGGATGTTGCCTCGTTTGCCTCGGCTACTGCTTCAACAGCAGCCTGAGGGTTAGTAGGAAGCTCGACTGACTCAGCGTCCGCGTTGAATCTCGACCGCTTGCCCTTCGATCTCGTAGTTCGTGTAGGAAAAGGAAGGTCGGGTCGTGATAACCAAGGCAACTAAGGATGAGCACGTCAGTAATTGGCTATTTACTCAGAGTTGCATGGAAACAACGTACAGGAGCTCTGAATTCCCCCCGCGGAGGTATGACTTCGACTTCTGATGGATGAGGGGCGACATCTTGGATTTTAGGTGTGGGTGGTGTTAAGGGAGCTTGGACCGCTTGGGATGAGTGTGTCGAGTGTGTCGAGTGCGTCGAGGATGGTGCCTGTGGTATAGGGTCCTGGGAAGGCGGCGCGGCTATGGAATACAGTGGAGGTGTCGACATGGCTGGGGACGGTTGCTGCGGCGGTGGAGGCGGTCGAGAGTAAGGCTGAGGGGGCTGTTGCATGCTGGAAGAGACGATGGGAGGATATGGCTGATGCATAGCGACGGGTGGTGAGCGCTGAGGATGCTGAGGATATTGATTGTACGGCATGCTGTATGGCGCGTTCATGGCGCCATTCGGATAGTGATGCGGTATCTGGGGATAGTAGCTGTTGGCGTACGGGTTCATGAAGCTGTGCTGGTGCTGGTACATGGGGTTGACGTGCTGTGATTGATACTGTTGATGCGAGTATTGCGACTGTGGCCGTCGTCTCCCCCCAGTTGGCGCTGATCCTCCTCCTCCTCCTCCTGCTGCTGCAGCGGCGCCAGGCATGGTCTGCCCAGCCGGCAGATGACTACCGTTCATCTTGCCGGCTTGGGGTTGATGAAGCAGTGGCTATCCACCACTTCAGCGACTGCTATAGCCGCGTGCACTCGAGTCGCCGAATGGGTGTCGCGAGGATGATGGGCTCTGAATACCGAGGATTGACGGTTGACGGTTGCCGGTCGCAGGTTTGTTGGTTTCGCGTAGGTGGTCTCCCGGTGAAGCGGCGTCGCGCTCTATTAGCAGATCCGATCCACTTCTGCAACAACGCAAATGAGTGGCGTGGCCTTGGATGAGCGCAAAGAAGCACTGCACTTTCGTCGAGACCTACAGAGAGGACAGAACAGAAATGAAATGGATAACGGCTTGCGTCGCAGGTTCAGCTTCGTACAGGGCGTTCGTCTGTTGGAGGAGCAGGGGCGATGAGGAAGGGAAGCTTGCCCGAGGTGACGTGAGGTCAACCGAAAGCCAATTTGCTTTCTCACTTTTTCGAAGGTTTTCGGACCTTGCTGGAGATTAGCACAGTTGGGTCGGGTCTGGTGCAGGTCCTTCGTCAAGCCACTTCGGGTGTAGCCACTGCTCCCCTTATGTATGTATCCGGTGGGAGCTTGTGTGGCACAGTTCAACGTGCTCCCGTCAGTTTGCATATGTCTCGATAGGACCGCGTCTAATTCTCCGAGACACTTCTGCGCAGAGGAGAAACATTCACCATAAACTAACAGCGCATATATCACACTGGTCTTTATAGATCCATTGATGGCAGGCTATACTTTTAGGAGCTTAGAATAACCTTGATGCACGTAGACGCTTGGTGTGAATCTCTGGGTAGTTCACGGATATCGGTGGAGGATGTCTCGGCTGCAAAAGGGACAAGTGAATGTGGCTTCCTCTGTGGTCAAAGAGTCACTCTTGGCTATGCCTGTAGGCGTGTTGTGACTATTCAACTTCAAGACCAGCTGGTGATGAAGACAGATCATTCTAGTGAAACTGGACTCCAGTTAAAGGCTTTCAATTGACTTTCATACCAGGAGAACTTTGCAGTTTTCAATTATGCGGCCAAGTGCAGAGTGAGATGCAAGTAGGTCAGCCAGACAGTTAGAACACCAATGTCAAGCGCCATGCCAGCTATCTATATGCAATAGTCATGTCCATGTCCATGCTCCTTGGTTCGACCCTCCACAGTGCTTTAGCAAGGACCAAAACCAACCCTTAGAAGAGGAGGGCTGCCCCATCCGTCTTTGTCTATATTGGCAGATGTTGCCCTATTCGTCTCTGAACTTCCATCTGCCACCAGGCCTCATGGCCTCCCGGTATCTGTCGTTGATCATCTGGCGTTCCATCTTGGCACCCTCCTTGTTGTGCTGTTCAGCTTCCTGTGTGCTTGGGAAATCCATCCTCCAGTAGCCGTCGGGTGACACTGGGCGAGGAAACCTTTCGCGATGCCTGCCATGTGCATTGGCAAGTTCTCTTGCTTTCGCTTCAATCCATAATTCCTCCTTTTCCGAGTCGGACATGGACGACAATATATGACATTCATCCCCGAGGTATGATTCCAAGAGGGATTGAAATCCAAACGGTCCAGTTGTTTCACGCATCACGCGTGCTTCTGCGCGGCGCGCGGGCCCACAACAGTTCGCTTTGACACACCCTTGCAGTTGCGCCCGCTCCTCCTTGCTCCGGACAACCTCAGTAAAGGCGTAATCCAGACCTTCGTTGGGGTTGGGGTTGATTTTGAAGTCACCAAGCCGGAGCCTTGACTTAGGACACTCCCGCAAGGGCGTCACGTCCTTACCAGAGTCGCCCTTGCTCGCGGCCCCTTCGACGCTGCCCTTAGGGTTGATCGCTGTAGTTGCATTGTATGTCGATACCGTTGGACTTGCGGGTGCTTGTAGCGCGCCGCTGACTCTTTTGCGTCCGTCCTTACCAAAGGGGAGTTCTCGTTTCTGGGGCATTCTGAATTGGATGGCGTTCGACGTGGGTATCTCTTTATCCTGCACGCTTGATGGAAGTGCACCACGCTCATGTTCTGGAGACGGTGAGTTGAGGAGCTCATGGAGAACCCGGTTCTTTTGTTTCTTCTTGCTGGTCGATTTTCGTGGCATATCGTCATGACCGCCATCCTCTGCCAGGCTGTCAATCCCATGCAATAACGACCGCTTCTGATGCTGAGCTTTAGTTTGTGTGCCCAGATCTCGCTGAGCGACGATGTTGGGATCGAGTGGACGTAGGACAGAGGGACCTTCTGGATGTAACTCCGAGGTAGCTGCTTGCTCAATCGCGTGTGTGCCCGGGGGTTTGCCTCCAGGCAACGCAGCGTTGCGCTCATTGAGATTTGTCGGTGTGGCGGCTGCACGATCCCGGCGATCAGTTGAGTCTGGGCTACCTTCTTGTATGCCCGAAATGTCGATAGATCCTATGGGCTTATCTTCGTGTATTCGAAGGACTCTGTGGTGCTTTTTGGGGGTCTGCACTCTACGTGCTTCAACATCAAAGTCCATGCTTTCCTGAGGTTCGAAACGGCGACGTTCCACTGTACTAAGTGTCTCAGGGGCATGTTCCGCTTTCAGTCTCGTAGGAGCCCGAGTATGCTCGGACTCATCATGGCCGTGCTTCCTCTTGCCCACCCAGCGCTCTGATACCACAACGGGCGTGTCCGATGATGGCTCGTTCTTGCCCAGTTGTTTCTCTGCTGTGGCACCGTGACACTGGGGTAAAGGAGGAAGAAAAGGCGCTAGGCCTTGCTCGCCATTATCGTCATCATCAGGCTCTGGCGTAGAACTTCCGTTTTGAGACTTTTCGGTATCCCTGTTAGCCCTTGCTCCCGAATTGTGGTCAGGATTGGCAGAGTTAAAGTCTGCTTCATCAAGATTCTCAGGCGGCCATAGTATCGGTGAGTTTCGTGACACGGGGTCAAGTCGAGCCCGGCCAAGTTCGTCGGGTTCCTCGACATGTGCTGGTCCGGGTGTATGAGCTGCTCGTCTTGTTCCCGGTTGTGCATCTCCAGTATCGGAGGAGAAGCTCGAATTCAAGGGCCCCTGAGCAGATTCAACCAGCTTAGCCTCCAATCTCTGGATCCTCCTATTGCGGCTTTGAGATTGTTTGTCCAACTTTGTTGCGTGGTCTACCCATTTGTGGTAGGCTGTGGTCCTCTTTCGAAGCAGCGCGTTGGATTCCTTGTGGATATCCTGAAGCTCCCGGTACTTGTCGTATAGTTTCGCGTAGCTACTCTCCACCTTGAGATATTCCGCCCTGAGCTCCGAAAGATTGACTGCGTCGATGTCGACACGGTCAAGTTTTGTAGATCGCTTGGAAGTAGAGACCGGATTGGCGGATCGAGGCGCGAGAGGGGTACGAACGCCTCGATCGTCAACTGTAGGCTTCACTTGGCCTTTGGGCAGGAGTTCGTTGCGGCATGACTTCTTAGCAATTTCTAGTTCCGACTTCAGGGACTGGTTTTCCTCCTCTAAACGATCCACCTGGAAGGCCTTCTGTTTGAGGGTTTCGAGCTCGGCGGCAAGTCGGGCCTTGTCTTGGGATAAAGATTGGACATCTGTTTGCACAAGTGAGAGTGACTCGTCAGCGCTGTCGTCGATGCATGCCATAGCTGTAAGGGCACGCACCAGATTTGTAGTCGTTGTCGATTCGGTCGCAGACTCCCGCAAGAGCCTCGAACAGGGCCGGCCTGCCCACGTCCTTGAACCAGTCCTCCATTTGGGCTGAACTTCCAGAGCCAGTTCAATCACCATCCACTACCTAGTCCATGACCACAGCATCCAGGAACTCCAATGCACTCAGGTACACAGCGAAGAGAGTCCCGATTGAGAGCCCCGTCAAGGGAGGAAATACTTGCGATGATTGAACGTGGGTAGGCGACGACATGGGCCGGTTGGAAGTTGTATTACCGGTAGCTCGCCAGCTCCCGAGTCCAGCTCGCCACCCCTTTCAATGGTGACGGGTGATTGGAAGCTTGACACGCGCCTTCCCTGGAGCCCCGGGTCCCAAGCCATGCCAAGCCAGCGGCCAGCCAGCCAGCTGGTACCGGCTAGCCCGTTTTTCCCATGGGCGGATCAGGTGGCCTGTGCTTCTTCTTTAGGTTTGAACTGGCGAGAATTGAATTGCTGGGCATCTAATGTTGAATGGGAGCCGGAGATAGACACCGGAAGATCTCCAGTGGGGCAGAGACGCACAGGGCATCTGTCCCACCAAGAAGACAGATGATCAATCTCTGCACGCAGAGCAGAACAATGAATAGAATAAATGAACATCCGTGCATTCAACACAATACGAGATACGATGCATTCCCCTTATTATGGCTAAACGTCATCTCACATCAAACACCATTGGACTGGACCTTCGCCAGTCAAAACCGCACCGCTAACGTTGGTAGCACTCGGTCTCGAATTCATAGTGCTAGGCCATGTGCTTCCGCATTCGCCATGTGCTCCTTGCAGCACCGTTCATCTGCCCACTACCATTGAAGCGCAACACGTCTTCTGGTGGTGTGCTTCGATAGAACCGAACATGTGAACAGATGGGCGGATACTTCATACATCAGAGTATACCCGATTCTCCTGCCTGACAGAGAGAAGCACCAGCTCGTGTTTCTTCATATCAAGCCCTACCCGGACCCCCGAGTTCAAAGAGGTAGCATGGGTAGAATAGTCGTTAGTATAATGTGCGAGACTCGAGCGGCAAAACACTGTCCATAAGGGATTGATATACTGGAGCTATGAGGTTCCGACACGATATAGCCATGTATCATCCTTTGCGTAAACCTCGGCCCAGAGGTTGATCTGTCTGGATTTGGCAGCGAATGACGAAAGGTAGAAGTACGAACACAACTCACGCACTCGGCGAAGGGAGGAAGGGAGGAACGCTGGAGGTTGCGACTTGATGAGTTGCGTGGCGTGCATGCGACGGATGCACGTGCTATGCAGGCACAGACCAGCAGCAGCTTGACTCGAACGCATCGAATTTTGACATGCTCGGCAATCAGCTCAATCGGATTTCAAGATTCCCACAACTACATTATTTTGCAGATGGCAGGTTTCTGCCGAGCGTGCTCGGAACCACAATAGACAACCTAGGTTAAGAGCGGGTGCATGCTTCAGACACCTACTTACCTGTACATGGGGCACATCACCTTATGGTTGATATAGCAGCAGGGCCACATGATGCCGGGTAGGTAGGTAGGTAGATACCTTATCAACCTGTTCAAGGCGTAGCACAAGATACAGCAGGCGCATCTGGAGGAGGTGATACTGGCCGGGCCTTCCATTCTGATTTTGCGCGGTGGAGTAATAGAGAACAAAATTAATACCAATTCACGTGCACTTTGGACCTCATGAACCGGAGGGCGCCAATGACGGATGCATCTCCTCGAATGTGAAGTTGGCAATCATTGATGAGGCACAATCGCTCGCCCCGGCTCCGTACCAAGTACAAACCTGCAGCCGTCTGATGTCCATCCGATTGACTGCCTTAGGTACTTTAATTAATAAAGTACCCAGGTGGCAAAAGCCGTACCTTACCGCCTCTTCCACTCCCACTCACCCACTCCCACCTTTTCCAAGTCGCCTCGCCGCTTGGTCCCTTTCACAATCCACACGCGCCAATTCGACTTTTTCTCTTCCCTTCACCAAACAAAACCACTCTCTCTCCTTCTTCCTCTCGCCGACTCTCCCTCCACGCGGAAAGTCAAGGGAAACGAACGAAGAACTCGACCAAGTCCTCGCCGATTACCTCTCCATTTCCCACGGTTTCTGTTCTGCTACTGGTAAGTTCAAGCCCAAACTCAAAGTCTGGTCCTCTGACCACTTTGGTGTATCGTCTATTTTTTTATTCTCGTGCGTCGCCCGCGCGCTCTTGATTCACCCCTCCATAACCCCACCATCGTCCGCCACTGCCCACCACCCACCGCCCGCCCCCTCCCCACTCCCTTCTCCTTCGTCTGCTACCCCACCCGCCGCCCACCAGCATCACCACCACCCAGCGCGTCGGGGAACGTTCCAACCTACCGTTTTTCTTTTTTCCCTTGCATCCTACCGCACGCATTCGCACTCAGGTCGTCACCCATCCCAACCACGTTCCTGTCCCTCTCGACTGTAGGTATCCCTCTGTACCACTATACCCAATCTTTCTAGCATTGGCGGACTGCATTGCCACTGGTCGGAATTATCTGCCACTCCTCCATACTTTCAAGTTCGACTGGTTTGCGCCGCTCGCTGCCCACGTTGCCCGATAGATACAACGGCGCGCACAACGGCGCACAAACTTTCATTACCTTCAACGTCCCTCTTTTCAACGGCTGACATATTTCCGCGCACCACAGAACATACACCGTTTTCGTCAATCCACCAAGAACAGCAACATCAAGAGCCGCAGACATGGACTACCAAGGTCAAAGTGGCGGCGGACGTGCCTGCTTCACCTGTAAGTCCCGACGACAAATGAACCTCCTATTCGAAAGCGAGTGATTCATCACCGCTCATACACTTGCCCCGTACCTCTGCAACCTGCAGTCGTCCATATACTTCCTCTCCTGCACGTTCACCACATCTTCGCACCGTGCAAGCCGCGTTTGGGCGATTCTGCTTGATGCCTGTGCGATTGACCAATCGAGCAAACATCAGTCAACAATCAAACTTGTGTGGCCAAATTCTGAGATGTCAGATCGATGGTTGCCCGCCATACCATTCGACCTGACCTCGGGGCCGATCTCACAGCACCATATTTGGGCTACCTGCCTGTTATCTGATTCACTTCTGGGCGGGGCGGTATGATCTGACTTTTTTTCTCACTTAGGCGGCCAGACCACTCATCAGGTATGCTATGATACTGCAGCAGCACACCACCAAGCGAAGGAGTAATTCCGTTTGACATGTCTTGCTGACTACCATCTCGCCAGGCCCGCGATTGTCCCAACCGTGGTGCAGCCAAGTGGTAAGTTTCATTTCCCATGCGCGACAGACCTTATGCTAATTGCGTGGTAGCTACAACTGCGGCAACGAGGGACATATCAGCCGTGACTGCCCCGACGGTCCCAAGGACACTAAGACCTGCTACCGATGCGGTCAGAGTGGCCACATCAGCCGTGACTGTCCCCAGAGCGGTGGTGCTCCCCAAATAGGTGGTGGCGGCGGTGGCTCCCAGGAGTGCTACAAGGTCAGTATTTCTTCTCACTTCTGGCTTCATACAACCTAACTTGTCCGAATTCTAGTGCGGCAAGGTTGGCCACATCGCGCGCAGCTGCCCTGATGCCTACGGAGGTAACAGCTACGGAGGCGGAGGCGGCGGCTACGACCGTGGTGGCTACGGCGGCGGTGCCGGTGCCGGCGGTGCGCAGAAGACCTGCTACTCGTGCGGCGGATTCGGACACATGTCTCGTGAGTGCATTGAATCTGGACCCGAAGACCAACACTAACGTATGCTTCAGGCGAGTGTGTCAACGGAAGCAAATGCTACAACTGCGGCGAGAATGGCCACTTCTCTCGCGATTGCCCCAAGGAATCCTCTGGTGGCGAGAAGATCTGCTACAAGTGCCAGCAGCCTGGACATGTCCAGTCTCAGTGCCCCAACTAAAGGCAGGATCTCGTCACGGCAACTCGACCTGTGCCAGGTACATACAACACGCAATCTTCACGACGGCGCGTTCTAATATCGCAAATGATTCCTAAGGTGGACGGTTCGCCTGATCCTTGGGAAGGATACTAGACGCTGTGATAGACTGGGGTGGCAATCTCCATCGCAATCTTTCATCAGAGACCCTTGTATATTCGATTCTGGTGGTGATCCTTCGCGCAAGCTACAGGTGTCCCCAATCGGTTTCATTGGCACGGTCGAGGACTGTCACTCGACGCCACGACTATTTCTTCACGTTTCATACCCTTCGCTCATTCTTGTCTTGATCACCGTCACGGGTTCAAAGCAGGGCAAAAGGGTTCAACACTAAAACAACCCTGGCATGCGGAAAAGTTCTCACGAAATCAAAACGTTGGGAGTCACGGGTCATTGCTTTGCTGGAATTACGCTGGTTTTTCATGACATGTTGAGGTCTGGCATCATTGACGACCACGCTCGCAGATATGGCACTGATTTTTTCGGTCACGTCGTCATTTTCGGGGGTGGATTTGCAAAGCACTCGATAGGTACTTACGAACTCGTCAATGCGAAATGAAGTCTACATGGGCATGCAATTTGTCCCACCCGCCTCGTGTGACACGCTAATGGATGTAACTACTGTTACAATGCTATGCCGCTATGTTGAGTACCCTATCCACTGCCGAGCTACAATTCGTTGCTGAGGCGCTGTAAAGTGACGATGCGTAATTACCTCGCAAGAATGGCATATTCTTGAGCTGCCATGAGATGAATATGACACAAGAACACGCACGAGCTGGTATCCAATATGCCTTAACCTCACGCACACATACCTATCTACCTTTTGTGTCCGTGGACAATATGTATGCTTATTCCGGGCGCACGAAGGGAACAGAGGCGGGATCAAGTTCATTAAGCTATCCGGGGGTATATTCGACATCCGTCGCCCGTGGCCTCGTGGATGAAGTACACACCTACGTACAACAAACATCATAAGCTTCCGTCCCGTCTCCTTCACCATTAAATGCAGACAGTCATGGTCGAACAAACGCGGACGAAACACCACACCCGGGAACACCTCAAACCCAAAATCAAAGGAATTCGAGCCAATTGACAGTGACTGCATGTGGTTGGTACTCCTCTTCCGACTCCAAAGCCAGCCTTATCACTCAATGTAGGTAAGTAGGTAGGTACCCAGTCAGTCTATGGGAGATATGATGTGTGAAAGTCTACCCGTTATACTCCCCCCGTCCCTCTCCTGGTCCCATATGTAGGTATGGATACCAGGGTAGCTAGCTGGCTGTCCGCTATCTAAAAGCTGTAGGACAACACGTCAAGGTCCGAACAGGGTTTGTCCATTTAGGCACGACCTGTTGCGGTATTACTGCCGTTGGCGCTGGTGGTGTTGCTGGCGTGCCCAGGAGTCGCAACCTGCTTCCCCTTGCTGGGGGCCTAGTTTGGCTCTGTTTGCCCGGTTTGTGAGCAGTTGCGAGATGCTATAGTACATAGGGTTAGCCATTATGTCTTCAAGTAGGATTTGATGGGTCTTCGGTTCGGTGACCTATTTCCAGTCTGCCACCCTGCAACAGATGGGCTGAGAAAGATGTCGGGGGAATCAATGGAAACAAATGGGCTGAAGTGGACTTACATGAAGTGGCTGACGTCTTCGTCTTGCCAATAGCTCATATGGGATGCGATGGTATTCAGGGGGTTGTAATCGAGTGCACTCCTGGTTAGACGTGTTAGTAATAGCCGCGGGTCCTCGAAACAGGTCGGTAGGGGTCATGATAGCCATTCGTCGGTAATGGAGTATCAAGAAACGAAAGCGGAAAGGACCAGAGAATAAGACAGAGGCAGACACAATAGTGGAGGACTCACTCTTGGATATTATAGTCGACCCTCCCATTCCAGTTCAGCGCCCTCACTTTCATTTCCTCTCGTCTCAGTTTCTGGGCCTTGAGCTCCTCGGCAGCCCACGCGTCGCCCATCTGCTGGCCCTCGTCCGCCCGGCTGACGCTGTCCTTGTATTCTTCAACACGCTTCTTCTGATAACGAGCGTACAGAGTCTCCAGCTCATCATCAATGAGCGTTGTATCTTGACTGTTACCGCTGGGAGTCGTAGACCCCGACCCGGACGTATTGCGGCGAGCCAACGCCTTCTTCCGAACGTCTGACTTCTCGGATTGTGCATTAGTGTCGGAGATGACCTCACCCGCCACAATGTTCGTGCCAGCACCAGGCGGTAGGGCCTGGTTCTGCAGGGAGGGGTTGTTGGTCGCTGGTAGGTTGGCTGCATTGAAATTCGCTACGTCCTCGTTGCTCAATCCAAGACTGCGGTTAAGCAGACTGCTCGCAATACCAGCGCTGAGACTTGACCACAGTCCGCTGACGCTTTGCCCAACCTTAACCCCGATCCCCGATAGGCCTTGCGGTGCTACAGCGCCGAAGATGCCCTTCTTCGTGTATGGCAGTGCCTGGGGTTTGAGTGAAGACATTGCTGGAGAGATTAGAGGCTCTATACGGTACGAGATGGGATCCGATGGATGGAAGATATTGAAAAGCTGCCGAACTTTAGGTGACGATACCGACGACGGTAGTCCGGTGATCGCTGAGACACGTTCGTTTGATGAGACAGATGGAGAGAAAAAAGGATCTTCTTTATACTCCGAGTTGAGAGGACTGTCAGAAGGTGCCGCATAGAGTTGATGCCGAGCTGCGACTGTACGCCCCTTAAGCATCTGGAAAAGTCCAATCGGCGATCCCAAGGCATAGAAATCGTCCACGTGAAAGTTAAAAGCAAGGTCTCGAGGATTCTTAGACGGCTCGAGGCGCTCCTGGGATGGCCAGAAGCGAAGTGGATTACGGAGAGCCTCTTGAGGCTTAGATGATTCCTTTTGCCGACACAGTATGTCGAACATGATCGCGGAACCCAAGCTATGGCCGATTACGTGGATCTTGCCTTTGAATTCCGGGTTACGCTCCATGAAGAGCTTGTGGATTCTGTTGGATTCCGTAAGGACTATCTCGGCGATTTGCTCTCGATAGGCGCTTTGGTAAAGCAGGACGTCCAGGGCCAGATCAGAAATTAGTGAGCGGGCGAAAGCAACACCCTCGATAGTGATATCTTCCAAGGAAGGGTCTGACATCGTTAGTGATATGCAGCGAAAGACCAAACTAGCGACTCTACTCACAGTCGTCTTCCTCGTCCACGACATCCCCAATGTCTGTCTCGCCCTTCTTTTCACGCCGCTTGGGGAAATCCAGCAGATGTCGCCAGCAGACAGGTAAGACTTGAATCTTGCAGTTACCTGGGCCACTGCCTTTGTCGGCGTTGAGCGCTTTCAAGTCTGCCGAGTGAGAATAGACTCCTTTTAGGGTCTTTCTTAACACGTTCACATCATGGACAAAGTTGACACTCTCCATCCTGCGCAGAGGTCAGTACGAGAAGAAAAGAAGCATAGTTGATCGTAGACCAAGATGTACCTGAGACCTAACAGCTGGCCTATGCCATGAGTGACCAGGACTAGATGTTCGATCTCGCGTCCCTGGGTCTCCCCGTCTTGGCCTGTATAGTCGTCCCGGATTTCCTGCTCTTCACGTTTTCTGATATGTTCTTCTTGCTTTTCGGGGTCTTCAGATTCAATGTAAGATGAGAATTGACGCTTCAGGCGGTTCTCCTCAGTCTCGTCCCCGTCCTCCTGTTTGTCTATCGGGGCGTCTGAGCGTGTGCTGGGTGGAGCGGATCTTCGTTTGAGAGATTTGTCCTGCTTCTCATCGCCTCCGTGATGAGGTAGAGTAGTTGTCGTCGGCGTAGTAGGTCTCTTGCCTTCCTTTGTGGCTCCCGGCTCTGTATAGCCACGCACGAGTTTGATACCATTCATGTATCCACCTCCGGCGAATTTTTGATACACAGTCGAAGTGACCCATGAGAACACACTCTCGGAGGATAACCAAGCCGTATTTGCGTCCTGGTATGTGGTTATGCTGTTCATGTAAGTACCAAAGAGGCGATAAGTCTGCGGTTGGTGTTGCGCTCCAGGCTGTGAAGGCAAGGGCTTCAAAGCCCCTTCAGCTTGCGCCTTGGCTGCAGACTCCAGATTCTCTGCAGATGCTTTGGGTGTGATGTCTTGCGTCCCTGGGTTGCTGCGAACAGGATTCGCAGGATATGTCCAGGGCTTGATCTTCAAGTACCCTTCCTCGAGCTGGGCTGCTAGGTTCTCCTCGCAAGGACGTAGCGTTGTACCCTCTTGGTAGAACCAAGTGCCCCGACGGACGTCGTAGACGGGACCTAGCCAGTACACTGGTGCCAACTCACGTTCCTCAATGTCCACATCGAAGAGAAAATCCTCGTTGACCGGAACTCGCAAGCCCCCTTGTTGACCAGTCGCCTCTTGATCGATACTGGTATTGGGCGTATCGTCCACCGACACAGCCTGCTTACGCTGAGAGCTAGACCGTATGTGTTTGTTCGCCTTGGCATTACCGCGCTCAGTCTCGAGCTCTTCTAGTAGTTTCTGATAGGCATTTTCGATCGATCGAGAATCGTGATTGGAGAAGGCCGTGAACTTCTTTGGCGCTGGCGTGGGCTTAGGATTCTGCACCTCCTTCTTGGACCTGAGGAAGTTCGGTTTGCGCTTGGGAACCTGAAAGCCAACAAGTCAGACATTAGTAGAGTACGTGTGCCGTGACGGAAGGGGAACAGACATCAACGGCATGAAACCACATGACATTCAGCGGCGGACAGTCGGTGGGGTATTTCCTGAAGCTCTGGCCATAGAGAGTATTGCTCCTGTGATCGTCGGCTTTCGTGGCAGGTGCAGGCTTGGGTTTGCCTGTAGACGCAGACGGGTTATCTCTGAGAGTGGGAGTGGTGCTCCGGGTGGTGTTCCACGGGTTGAAGGAGTCGACAGCGCTTGCTAGATACGACCTTTCGGCCTTCTTCTCCGTCTTCTTCTCTCCTTTCTTCTCCGGGTTCTTGTCGCTAGGGGCGGCATCGGAGCCACTAGTCGCAGGCGGCATCTTGTCGGAATGGCCAAATGGCCATCCGAAGACACTCCTAGATGTGCTACCGAGAAGTGTTGCACGGGGTTGGAAGGGCGCAACACGGGGCCTTTGGCGAATACGCAACAAAGGGCTATAAGTACGCGACGCCAACTTGCTTGAGCGCGATGACGACAGGCCGAAGTAGAAACACCGGAAGATCTGGTGCAAGATGGACGGGGCGCGCAGTTGGCTCAATGGGTGGAAGCGACGAGTGAAAGGCAACCTCCCAATGGATTGGTTGGTGGCTGGTTTAAAGCCTCGGTATAGTAACCATGGAAGGTGATCAGAAGCACGGCAACGACTTGACTTGATACCAACACGTGGACGTTATCACATGCCGTTGTACTGTGTAGGTAGGTATGTAGATGATCTCCAGCTGGCAGCTCAGCTCAAGCTGTCAATCTTGGGATCTGGCGTCATCAGGCACAGTGCCGCACAGGGCTTCGGCATCTGACAGCTTGCCCGTCTGCCACGACGCCCTAGGTACCACTGGACGCCCGGGCCTCTGCGGCTGTATTCCGCCCCCCTTTTAGGTCTACTGCAGGTGCAGGTGGAAGCTCAGGACGACCCCGCCAGCCCCGCCTTGCCCATCTACGCCGCCTTCACATGGCGCGCCACGGTCGGAATCAACTCGAGTACAGTGGTGGGGCACAACCGGATGACTCTGAACCTCCAGCCAGCAAAATTTCGAGCCAGTTCACCGAATGCCACCATCCGCACGCATCCTTGGTATATATCCAAACCTCGTCTCTACAACCACAACCCTGTCGGAGTCTCGGCATCGTGGCGCCCAGTGCAGCTACTGCGCGTCCTTCCCACCGCTGCGCAGAATTACCGGCGATGAAACGGCGCCTCGGCTCAGCACCTGCATTGAGCTAGCAGCAATACCACCGCCATCATACCATTGCTCGACCAGCCCGACCAGCTCGACCACCAACATCGACGGCAACCATCGCGCTTCGAACACCAAGAGTCACGCCCTGAACACCGTCCGCAAGCCTCGTCGCCATCGTCTCCAGCACCACTGCATTCCAGCTTGCGCTGCTGACCTCGAGCGAGAATGGCAACCATGACGACCACCAGCGCCGCAGCGCCGGTAAAGCACCAAGTGGTCGACAAGATACCCAAGAGATTCAAGCGCCTCAAGTTCGGCATCCAGTCAAACCAGGACATCGTCAATCAGGGCGTCATGGAAGTCTCTGATCGGAACATGTACGATATGGACAGGGGACGAGAGCCCACGGTGAACGGTGTTTTGGACAAGCGCCTGGTAAGTACGCCGACACGATTTCATGCGCCACCTTGACTGACACCCATGTGTGCCAGGGAACCTCGAGCAAGACGGGCCAATGCACCACCTGCGGGCTGAAGCTACAAGACTGCAGCGGCCATTTTGGTCATGTCCGCCTACCGCTGCCGGCCTTCCACATTGGTTATATCAAGTTCACCATCAGCATTCTGCAAGAAATATGCAAAGATTGCTCGCGAGTTCTCCTGATCGAGTCTGAACGACGGTCGTTTCTGGCCGAGCTGAGACGGCCTGGTATAGACAACATGAGACGGGTCGCCATCTGCAAGAAGATCAACGAACTGTGCAGGAAGGTAAAGCATTGCCCCTACTGCGGTGCTGTCAATGGCCAGATTCGGAAAGTGGGCGCCCTGAAGCTTGTCCATGACAAGTTTGTTGCCTTCAACAAGTCGACTTCGGTAAAAAAGCAGCCGCCCCCTAGCAAGGTCATGTTCGACAACTCCTTCAACGAGGCTAGAAAGCATGTTAACGACCTCGACAAGCATCTGAGAAAGGCTTTTGAGGACCTGAACCCTCTCCGAGTCCTCAATCTCTTCAAGCAAATCAGCCTCACCGATTGTGAATTACTTGGTCTTAACCCCTCCGAGGGACGGCCCGAGATGTTCCTATGGCAGTATTTACCAGCCCCTCCTGTGTGCATCCGCCCCTCGGTCGCTCAAGAAGGTGCGAGTAATGAAGACGACCTCACCACCCGACTGGGTGATATCGTCTTCGCGTGCGGTCTCATCCGGGCTGCCTTGCAAAAGGGCACCGCCCTCCAAACCATCATGGAGCAATGGGAATATCTGCAACTGCAAATCGCCGTTTACGTGAACAGCGATGTTCCTGGCCTTCAGCAAAGTGGCGTCGCCAAGACGATGAGAGGTTTCTGTCAACGCCTAAAGGGTAAACAGGGACGGTTTCGTGGCAACTTGTCCGGAAAGCGTGTCGATTTCTCTGGCCGAACTGTCATTTCGCCCGACCCAAACCTCGCTGTCAACGAAGTTGCTGTACCGGAACTGGTTGCAAAGAATCTCACATACCCAGAAAGAGCCCATCGCGACAACCTGGAGAAGCTGAGGCAGTGCATTTTACGAGGACCAGCTGTATGGCCTGGAGCGCAGGCAGTGTTGAAGCAAGATGGTGATCACCCGCCATTCAAGGTGTCCCTGAGATTTGCCGACAAAGAGACAGCTGCAAGGGATCTCCGTGTCGGCGACGTCGTTGAGCGCCATTTAGAAGATGGTGATATCGTTCTTTTCAACCGGCAGCCGTCTCTCCACAGGCTCAGTATAATGTGCCATCTGGCCAAGGTCCGGCCCTGGAGAACCTTCCGTCTGAATGAATGTGCCTGTGGACCTTACAACGCCGACTTCGACGGGGATGAGATGAACCTTCACGTTCCCCAGACAGAAGAAGCTCGCGCTGAGGCTCTGACTCTCATGGGCGTCAAACACAATTTGGCGACGCCCAAGAACGGAGAACCCATCATTGCAGCTACGCAAGATTTCATCACAGCCGCGTACGTTCTAAGCACCAAGGACAACTTCTACGACCGCAGGACTTTCACGTACCTCGTCATGCACATGATGGATGGCGCCACCCATCTTGACATCCCGCCTCCCGCAATCATGGCTCCCAAGCGACTATGGACCGGAAAACAACTTTTCAGCATGCTTCTGAGACCCAACAAATCGTCCCCGGTCAAGATCAACCTTGATGCCAAGTGTAGAGAGTACTCGGAACCGCCCAAGCCTTTGCCTGGCAAAAGGAAGCGGGCGCCAGACATGTGCCCCAACGATGGCTGGCTGGTTGTAAGAAACTCGGTAGTGATGTGTGGCCGAATGGACAAGTCCACCGTCGGAGCAGGCAAGAAAGACTCTATCTTTTACGTGCTCCTGAGAGATTTTGGCCCGGACGCCGCCATTGCCGCAATGAATCGACTGGCCAAACTTTGTGCACGTGCGCTGACCAACCAAGGCTTCTCCATCGGCATTGGAGATGTATATCCTACGGCCTCTTTGACCGAAGCCAAGAATAAGCTCGTCGAAGAAGCATACATCATGTCGGATGATCTCATCAAGCAGTTCAACGAGAACACGTTACCCAAGGCACCTGGTTGCACCATGGAAGAGACGCTCGAAAGTAAGATTTCCGGTGCGTTGAGCAAAGTTCGTCAAAATGCAGGAGATCTCTGCATAGCGTCCTTGAGCAGAAACAATGCTCCATGGATCATGGCATCCTCCGGGTCCAAGGGCTCTAACATCAACGTTGCCCAGATGGTTGCTGCGGTCGGACAGCAGATCATCGGGGGTTCTCGTGTCGCCGACGGATTCCAGGATCGTACCTTGCCACATTTCCATAAGAATACACGTCACGCTCCGGCAAAGGGTTTTGTACGGAACAGTTTCTACACTGGCCTTCTGCCGACCGAGTTTCTCTTCCACGCCATTTCTGGGCGAGAGGGTCTGGTCGATACAGCGGTCAAGACAGCTGAAACAGGATACATGTCCCGGCGTCTCATGAAATCTCTGGAGGATCTTTCTACTCAATACGATGACACAGTGAGAACATCTGCTGGAGGTGTGGTTCAATTCGAATTCGGTGCGGATAAGCTCGACCCGCTTGACATGGAAGGCAAAGCGAAGCCAGTCAATTTTGCACGCACATTCTCCCATTCCGAGAATCTGACATGGAACAATACCGATCGATCATTGTTGCCTTTCGAAGTCCTGGCGCTCTGCAACTCACTCCTCCGACCGGAGCGCGAGCGTCGACGTAGACGTGGCTTACTAAACGGCGAACCCCTCAAGTACGAGGACCAGTCCGATTATGCCATTGATGAAAAGGACAGCGGTCGTAAATTCCTTGATACCATCGTTGCACATGTGACGGACTTGGCGAAGAAGTTAGCCCGTTTCCGGAGAAAAGCTGGACTTCAGGGAATGCGTGCGAAACCCACCAACACTCACTTGAAGTCAGACAAGATGGAACACGAGCAGCTGGCAAAATTGTCAGCCGAACTCGACCAGCTAGAACGGAAAGTTTTCTCCAAGCCTGAATCTGGAGATGAAGAGAAGGAATACAATCGGCTCAAAGAACTCATCTACCCGCCGCGTCGAGCTCCACAAGCCAAGATGGAAATCGACGAGGAATCATCCGACGAAGAAGCATCCGACGATTTCTCCAGACTCAAGTCTAGAGCCGAGGAGTTAGAGTTCAAGCAGCTCTCTCGAAACATAGGGAAGGGGGAGAAGGAAGACTACGGCCAGCTTTTGAGGATACAGTCAAAAATCGACGACTTGGAGCTCAACCAACTCTCACGAATTGCATCTGAAATCGAGAAGCGAGAACGCGGAAAGCTTTCTAGGCTCGCGTCTGAGCGGGTGGCAAAAATATCCGAAAATACCCTCCGGCACTTCGTGGGACTATGCCTGGAGAAGTTCAATAAAGCCCATGTTGAGCCAGGTCATGCAGTGGGAGCTGTTGGCGCACAGTCCATTGGTGAACCTGGTACACAGATGACCCTGAAGACTTTCCACTTCGCTGGCGTAGCTGGTATGAGCATCACTCAAGGTGTGCCGCGTATCAAAGAGATCATCAATGCATCCAAGACTATCAGCACGCCAATCATCACTTGTCCTCTGCAGAACGAGACAATTCTCGAAGCAGCAAAGGTGGTCAGAGCTCGCATCGAGAAGACGTATATTGAGGATATTGTCCGATACATCGACGACGAATGGCAGCAACATCGAGCTTTCATTACGCTTCACATCAATATGGAGGTAATGGAAGGGATGCATCTCGGCGTAACCCTCGGGGACATCTCGAAAGCGATCCTCAAGCAGAAGAAACTCAAGATCCCAGCGAGCGACATCCACATCTTCGAAGAAGATGCCACAATCGAGATCACCGTGAGGAATCCAGACACGGATGCAGCGGCTAAGCGAGCGCCCAGAAGTAAGGCAGCTATTGCAGAGGCCATGACGGACCTGTCGGTGCGCGTAAGCCACCTCAAACGTGTTTTGCCTTCGATCGCCGTCTCTGGTCACCCCGAAGCCACCCGTGCAATCGTGCAACAGGAGCCAGTCAAGAACAGCCCGAAGAAAGCAAACGGTGAACCTGAGATGACAAATACTATTCTCGTTGAAGGCTACGGATTGAGGCAATGTATGAACACCGAAGGGGTGATCGGCGAGAAGGTTATATCCAACAGCGTCGTAGAATGCAGAGATGTTCTCGGCATCGAGGCTGCACGTACTACCATCGCGAAGGAAATCAACACTGTCATGGGTGATATGGACATTGATCCTCGCCACATGCAGCTGCTGGCTGACGTTATGACATTCAAGGGTGAGATTCTCGGCATCACGCGTTTCGGTCTCGCCAAGATGCGCGACAGTGTGCTGCAGCTCGCCTCTTTCGAGAAGACCTCAGATCATTTGTTCGACGCAGCAATAGGGATGAAGAACGATCCGATCGAGGGCGTGAGTGAAAAGATCATCATGGGCGAGACCATGTCGGTCGGCACGGGGGCATTCGAAGTTGTTCGCAAGTTGGGCCTTGGTCCGGATAACTTCGCGGCATCCCCCACAGTTTTCGAGGATGCATGGGCGGAGGAGCAGGGCCTGCGGCGCAAGAGTTCGAAACTGACGAAGAAGAGGGGCCTCTAGGAGAGACCTCGCCCTCGCCGCAGGCTCTCGATCGACCGTGCGCGCGCATCTAGTGCGACTATGGAGGATGATCCCGAAGATTGGATCAAGGCTGAGCCATGTGATTAGGCTGGAGTTGCGACATTGGTCATGACAGTGGCCCGTGAGAGATAAGATGATGCTTGTCGAGGCGTTACTGGCGTACATCAGGAAGCTACGTGTGGTCATGGAAAGCATAGGAACATTGTCCTACCTGACACGCTGATGTGTCAGATGCTCATTATATACGGCTAATGCCTGTACCTGTACCAGTCAATACCAGCAAGATCACTAAAAGAAGATTCGATAGGTGCAAGGACGCATGGCATTTAGTTGATGTGACAAGACACCAACGTTCCTTTGCATGCCGAGAAAATAACCATTAAATCTAATAGGCCGTATTGATTTTCCGACGTGTTGACATCCCTTGCTTCTTTGAAGTCCCCAATCATTCTTATCGCTGGACTTCCTCAGTTGCGAGCTGCTGCTGCTTCTAGCGATGGATGTAGCCATATCCTGTCAGGCCACCTCGTTCTCCTCTAGTACTCATGATACCTCGGGCAAATAGGTCGATGGGCCTTCATATTGGGGATTCGAAGCAGCAAGTATCTATGTCTGCAATGGGAGCACTTTACCGCATTGCTGTGTTAGGTATTTCTCGTTGAAGATGCCACAACCCGCATGGATGGGGGCACGAGGTTGGCCGGTCGTACGTGGGTGGGCCTGGTGCTGTCGTTGTGCGATCATCCGATGTGGCTCGAGACGAGCTGGATGGTAGTTGCTCGACGTTGAGGACGAGAACGAGAACGAGAATCTGCGCGACGAGCACATACATAGATCTGGACGAAACCTCCAGCGGCTTCTACATAATCACTCTACCCGTCCAATCTCAAGGTCATCTAATCGCGTGGTTTGCCCGATGAATTCATAGAGCCTCTTCTCGTCCAAGATCTCACCCTCCATCAACCGTCCCGTCTCCGCCGGCGCCGCGCCGTCCACACGCTGGTAGCGCACCAGGGCCGGGACGTTGTGGATGTTCCACTTGGTCCGGAAGGGGTTTTTGGGATCTTTCCACCTGGATTGAAAGGGTCAGCCACCTAGTTTAGGAGGTATGTGTTCACCCTCGGTAAGGAGACGGAAGGAAGTACTGTGGTTTCTGCCCGACTTCGATGATGGTTAGGTGTGGTCGAGTGTCCCCGGCGAACGCGGCGTCGAGGTATGGCAGCGCGGCCCGGACGTCGGGACACCAGGGCTGGCCTGTGGCGGGGTCGGCGGAGGCGATGAAGGCGAGGTAAAGCGGCGTGGCTGGGTTGGCTGGTAGGGTGAGGTGCGCTGCGGTGTCTGGGACTTTGAAGCCCTTGGTGATTGGCATGGTTGTGAGATTGCTGTTGTTCTGGGGGTGGAAATGAGGGCAGGTGGTATTGATGTGTCGAAAAGGAGCTGTTTACTTTTGGTGTGTCTTCCTGAGCCTGGTTTGTGGCGTGGTGTTGAAGGTCATGTGAAGCCGAAGGCGAAGACGAATAAGAGGGGTGAGGTGATACCATTTAGGTGCGGCCGAGCCGGGTCTCAACTCGGAACCCTCTGGCAGCCACGACTGCTTCGTGGAACATTTATTTTAATCGCAGTGTCTTCTTGGGCTTGGTCGCCTGACTCCGTCGCCGAAGTCATGGAAGATTTTCGACCCCTCTATGAGACTCATTCGCAAGATGGGTATGCTCGAGCATAATCTACGAGCTGCAGCACATCGCCTTCTAGGCTTCGACGGCGGACCCCTATTCGTTTCGCCAGATTGTCGAAGATCTGCCTTGTCCGGAGGCTACATTTTGCTCCTCGTAACTAGACCCTCGAGGATAGAGTCGCTGAAGGCGTGACAGGGGACGAGCTTGAGCCGCCCGTCTCCTTCTCTGTAATTGAGGTGGTTCGCGATCACGGCGTGCTCCTGCTGATCGGACCAAGCAGCAGTGGCAAGGCGAGCTTCGCCAATCGCCCTCAAGGAACTTACAGCGCTCGAATGGTTTTCGGATCGACTTCCTTCTGTAAAGTCTCGCAGGTGTGCACCTACGTCGCATGCCAATCGAATGGGTGTTGCCTGGGAGATATTAAGGCAATATGTCAAATCTTAGGGTGTACCAAAGGGGGGTTGCATTCCCGTCTTCGGATTTGTAACGAATAAACTAAGGCGACCGTATTGGAAATTCATGTGAAAGTACCGCAGTGATGACAGGATAGGGGATTAATCACTGGGCTTGTTGGCTGGGCGAGTTGGCGAGGAATGGAAAATTGCCAGCAGACAAGTATGCATCCGAATGAGCATGCCTAGGAGGTAGGCAGCTTGGGTGCGGGTGGGCAGCTAACACTGGTACGTGAACAAGTGCACAAGAATGACCAACATGTAGGTGGGATGGGGAATAAGGGTTATACATATAAATGTCGAAGTAAAAGCGAAATCTTTCATCAAATGAGGTGGAAGCTGATGGGGTGTGAATTGGCTCAAGTTATGCAGTTAATACGATACGGAGTAGGCACACTAAAAAAGGGTGTAGGCTTTGGTTGACCATTTTTGTAGGTCGTGGGTTCGAGACCTGCTGTTGCTTCTTGTTCCTTTTTTTATTTTTGTTCTCGTGTCGAAATCCTCGCTGCCCTTCAATATCCCCTCTCGTGTACCAGCCTAGCAGCACCTCCTCCTCCCCTATACTTGCCTCTTGCGTCCCAGGTCATGTATCTAATGTTTCCGAGTTATATCTAAACGTTGCAGCACGACATCTCATGGCATAACCGCCAATACCGGACCCTTGTAGTCTACAACTTAGCATATATTCGAGAGAAGCCGCGGCTAAATGTGTTCGCAGCTTGCTCTGTTCGGGCCTTGACTCAAGCCACTTACAGTTGAATGAAGATCCCAGTGACCTCAGCCTGGGCTTTCTACTTTCCATCTATCGAGGGACGAGCTTATGAGGCCTTCGCTTGGGTGATACGGATTCCTCAGCCGTTCCCCGGTCAATACTATACGGAGGGCGTTTCCAAATATGATGCACAATTCGCAGTCGTTTTAAGGGCATTCGAAAGCTTTAAGAATGAGTCATTGCGGACGGAGGACTGACCACCTCGCTCGAGGCTTCGCGGGTGTTGAGTGTGCTGCAGGTTTTCCAGGACTTGATCTCCATGCTGATACTTTCTCAAGGGTTGCAAGTATCATGTGAGGGTGAGGATCCAGAGGAACATATAAAGGTAACGTGCAGCTACGAGTAGTCCATGAATATCGTGGCTCGACGAGACTGGATCAAGCTTTGTGTTCGAATATGGGAATTATCTATTCATACTGCCCTCCAGCCTGCGAGGCCTTCCTCTTGGGGAACATATGGCATCAGATCCCCGACGTGATGTTGGCAGTGGGGTCCGCGGGGTGGATTTCAACCGAAAATGTTTCCAGCGAGGACGATCATCGGCCGTTCAGGAAATGTAACGTTATTATAGCTTCCAAGGGCCTCATCGATACTACCTTACAGGATTGCCCCGTAGACTGCTATCTAGAGCGGGGAAGATAGCTCCTATCTGATGTGCGAGTATATACGGCCTTCCGGGCACATCAGTGTCAGACATGTGGTTCCAGGCGACGATACATATTCTCATAAGTAAAGCAGACGACAAGGAAACATGCGTTGGTGTATATGTTTGGCAGGCCTCTTCAGTGCCCTTGCCTCTTCGGCAAGGGCATCGGACACGCCGTCTTCAACCGTGTCGGCAGCTGCAGCCGAATTTACCTACGATAATAATTCATTCTATCTCAATGGCGACAGCTACGTCATAATCGGCGGACAGATGGATCCCCAGAGGATACCGCCCGTGTACTGGCGAGACCGACTCGCAAAAGCGCGTGCCATGGGCCTGAACACGATCTTCAGCTACGTGTACTGGAACCTGCTCGAGCCGTCACAAGGGCAGTGGCTGAGCAGCGAAGCGGGCAACGATATCGCGCGGTACTTCCAGATCGCGCACGAGGAGGGTTTGAACGTGGTCCTGCGGCCCGGGCCCTACATCTGCGGCGAGAGGGAATGGGGCGGGTTCCCGGCCTGGCTTAGCCAGGTCTCCGGGATGCAAGTGCGGACGTTCAACGGGCCGTTCATGGCGGCTGCGCAGAGTTATTTAGAAAGGCTCGCGGACGACGTGAGGGCGTCGCAGGTCACCCGCGGCGGGCCGTTGCTCATGGTCCAGGTGGAGAACGAGTACGGGTCCTACGGCGAGAACCACAACTACACGCAGGCGCTGCGCGACATCCTGCTCGCGAACTTCGACGTCCCGCTGTACACCAACGACGGCGGCGTGAACTGGACGCTAGCCGGCGGCGAGGTACCAGGCGTGCTGGCCGAAGTCGACGGCGACCCGCGGAGCGGGTTCGCAGCGCGTGACGCGTACATCACCTCCCCCACGGAGCTGGGGCCCCTCATGGACGGCGAGTACTACACGTTCGCGCCGGACTTCTGGGGCGCGGCCAACGCGCACAACACGACAACCAATCAACCCGCGCAGGTCGAGCAGTTCGTCGCGGACCTCGACTACGTGCTGCGCGCCAACAACTCTATCAGCTTGTACATGGTGCACGGCGGGACCAACTTCGCCTTCAGCAACGGCGCCATCTGGAAGAATTTCACCGCGGCCTTCACGACGAGTTATGATTATGGGGCCCCGCTGGATGAGAGCGGGCGCACGACCGAGCTGTACTACGTGCTTCGGGAGGCGATCCAGAAGTATGTTCCTGCGGGCAGCATCCCGGAGCCGCCGGCCGACGTGCCGAGGCTCGCGATTGCGAATTTCACGGCGGTGCCGATGGTGGCGCTGTTCGACGCGCTGGGGACGCGGACCACGAGTACGCAACCCATGACAATGGAGGTGCTAGGGCAGGCATACGGACTGATCCTCTACGAGCACACAGTCACGGTCAACACCACCACCAGCAACACCACGACGCTCTCAGGCGTCCTGCAGCCGGGCGACCGCGCCCGAGACCGCGTCCTCGTCTACGTGAACGGCGCGCGCAGCGGCGTCATCGACAGCACGTACCCCACGCCCGCTGCGGTCACGGTGTCGCTGAAGCGCGGGGACAAGCTGCAGCTGCTGGTCGAGAACCTCGGTCGGGTGGACTACTGGTCGCGCGAGTCCGGGACGTTTGTCGCGCTGGAAGATCCCTTCAAGGGCATCAGGGGTGATGTCACGGTCGGGGGGACCGTTGTGTCTGGGTGGGATATCTACTCACTGCCCCTGGATGCGCCTCCTCCCGCCGTTGTATTTAGCAACGCGACGCTCGGCGGCGTCGCCGTGGGCTCGCCGCCGGTGTTCTACTGCGCCACGTTTCGGGTCGAGGGCGATAGTGCGACCGACCCGGCCGCGCTGGATACGTTCCTGGCGGTGCCGGATGGGGTCAAGGGCAACGTGTGGGTGAACAGGTTCAACCTCGGGCGCTACTGGGTCATCGGGCCACAGCAGTCTCTGTACCTCCCCGGCACGGTCCTGAAGGCGGGCGCGGAGAACGAGGTCGTCGTTCTTGAGCTGGAACCGAATGCTGGGAACTTAACCTTGTTCGGGGCGGCTGAGAGGGAATGGGGGAACAACCCGGATCCTGATTACCCCTAATGCTGCTTGAGGATGGCACGTTGTTGGGTTGTTTGGTTCTAGTGCTCTGTCAATACACATTGTTACAACGCGGATACCATCTGGCGGTTAGTAGGTGCTTCTGGTGGCCCTGAATGGTGATGCATGACACACTATCCAAGCGCCCAATGGATGCATTTATATACCATATATAATTATCATCCCATCACTCAAGCCTCCACTTTGGGGCACATGCTCTTGATCTATAACTCAACAACGCTGTGCAAGGCCAGAACATGAACGTACCCTTAAGCCTTCAGAATACTGCTTAGTGGTATTCCCCAGTACCACCCTGCGACCACCATAGCACTGGTGCTCATCGTAAAAGCCATCAGGAAGTTGACATCGTTGTTGTCCAACAGGTCGAATCCGCTCTCTGCAACGCGGGTGGGCTTGTGGTCCCCGAAATTGGACGTTCGGTGCTTGTCGTTTGGATCGTAGGGGTATTTCTCGTCACTGCTGGCATCAACCGCCGATGAACCCTGCGGCTTCTCGACTGCATCTTTGCCTTCTCCCTTGAGGACTTTGGCCTTGGTGTCGACGGATTTGTTGAAATGCTCCATCGAGTTCGGATTGGCCTCTGTGGAGGTCAAGACACGAACGCCACCTTCACCTTCGACGATCTTGCCGGTCCGTACGTCTCGCACACTCTTTTGGAGCCAGCCGCCCAAGAAGCTGTCGAGGAGGCTTCCCAGTGCGCCCCAGATAGTCAAGCCCCAGGCGAGTGTGCCTTTCTGACTCATAGTCCAGGCATCGCCGCCGCCGACTTTGCCCTTCGTCTGCTCGCCGCACAGGGGAAGGAACATCAACGACGTCGTGACGATGATCATGGAGCCGAGCAAGCCCGCCACCAAACCCCAAAGCGTAACACCCCCGTTAGTGCCCCGGGGTACCTTTCGGAAGGAGAGCGACGTGATCAGCCGAGGAGCGGTGCGCGACAGGATGCCCAGCTCGGAGGAGAACGTGTCGGCGGCCACAGCAGCATAGTTCGCAATGATGCCGATGACCAGCAGGTCGCCACCCCAGCTGTAGCAGAAAGAGCCCCCGGGGAACTCTCGCGCGCCGATTGCTTCCCGTCGTTGGCGCAGCTGATACGCGTGTAGCAGCGTGAAGATGGAGCTCATGAGTGAGTTGGCCAGGACCTGGACGTGCGTCCGCGGGCCCTCGCCGCCGGAGCTGCCCGCGGAGTGCAGGGTCAGGCCGGCCTTGGTGTCCTTCTTGATGGCGGTGGCGCGCGTGCCGGCGAGGAAGAAGACGCAGAGCAGCACGAAGGGGAGGTTCCACGGGTGGATGGCGTGGACGGTGGCGGTGAGTGCGGCGACGAAGATGCCGATAGGCGTCAGCGAGTTGTGCGAATAGGCCCGGTACATGAGCGCGAGCGTGGCGGGAACGGCGATTATGGCCTTCATGGTCGTCGACGAAGGGGTCTGGACTTAGGGAATCTGAACTCAATACGTTGATCGTGCTGGCGCTTGAGGTGAACCTTATATCATCATGAGCAGACTCGGTCAGCTGTGGCCTAACAAATCCCCCAGCTGTGCCTCTCTCATCTGGCCCCGTGACGTGACATGACTTGAACCAGACCTAAGCTCCTTATCGATAAGGCTATATCGGAGCTAGTCACAAGCGGTCTAGCTCGGAACGAAGATCATTAAAGTGGGATCATTCGAAGAGGCTGAAGGAGTCAAGGTGGCGCCCATGCAGCCATTCTCATGGAAGTGTCAGATTTGAGCCAATTGTCAGAGTGAAGTGTGTGTGTGTATTCTCCCTGTCTAGAGTGTCCTTGTGCGACCGTGGCAGTTTTGTGCCAGAGGGGGCTGGATCGGGACAGAACAACTAGGTTCCGTTGTCTACCTGTCAGGGTGCCTTCTAGGCGTACCTTTAATCCAACAGGAAGAGACACTCGAACATGAACTGAATGATCCATGGAATCCTCTTTCAACGAGACAGTCGTCTTCTATTTTGGCAACGACGAGGAGATATCGAAGTCCTAGGGGCGATGCGGGTTCCAGGGGCTGCTTCTCAACTTCGTGCGTACCTTGCAACACGATGCCTTAACGGCGGGGCCATATAAATGGGACACCCCCATATGTGGGACAGCTTTCACACCAAAAGGGTACGCTTCCACCCACCAATAACTCAATCGGAATTAAAGCTCTAGATAATCTATATAATGCATTCGAATTGCCTTTTCTTAGAATTTCCAGCAATATTATATATTTTAGTGGTAGCGCGCAGGCTGGCGGATTGCGCGGCGTGAAGATCGCACCACAATGGGCTCGTCAGACTCCTCATACGTGCTATCACCCCTTTCATCAGTAGTAACCCCTTTATCCTCAGAGGGCCCAAGTTCTCTGATTCTGAATCTGATTCCAAAGAGGGTTTAGACATTGATCTCTCTGACTTGTCAGTATTTAGGTTCTATAATTCACGCATAATTTGTTATTATTTTTCTCGCTGTTTAATGGCAGCTTGTGCGGCCTCTGTATGCTCGATTTGCTTCTAAATAACGTCCCTAATTCTCTAAAGCCGTTGATCAGGCTCTTCTTGGGCTGCTTTACGGCGCTTCTTTGGCTGTAGACGCTCGATTTTGTCGTCTTTTGCTTCCAACAGTTTCCTTGCGTGCGCTAGCTCAACCACCATCTCATCGTAGGACTTCGCAACTGAGCGGACTGCTGCTCGCTGCTCAGGGGTCTCAGCAATTTATGATAGCGTTAGGGCTATATCTTACCCTGATTTATGGGCTTTCAGTGCTTTTGGGGTGCTATGAGGGTTTATTATAGCTGTTACTGCTGCTTGAATCTCTCCTGCTTTCACCATATGCTCGTCTGTTAGTGTTTTTTACCTATTTACTGGCCAAAGCCCAGCAGTATGCCATTGTGAATGTACAATAATTGACGTAGCTTCATCACGAGCTTTTGCTATACAAGAAAGAAACTTAATCTTCTCAATAGGGGCCGAATCATTGAACTGGCCAAGCTGGGCGATCAGGCGGCAGTAGGCGGCTTTGATAACCGAGAAAACGGTCAAATTTAGCGGCTGGAAGATGTGAGACTGTCCTTATTAGCTACTAATTGATTATATAACCTATCATATAGACAGGAAAAAAGCTCATATAAACATTATTTATATATGGGGGTGTCCCATTTATATGGCCCCGCCGTTACATGGTGTTTTCATCGCGAAATCGACCATCCTTACACGATACAAACTTTGAAGTCGCCCGACCATACAGTTATCAAAACGACACAAGGGACACGCCTGAGGGCCATAGTAACACACCCGGAGTCTAATGGAATAGTATACCCGGTATTGTTATTGACAGGTTCGTAATTCTGCTTGATTCTCATGGTGTAAGATGCCCACTTTGCGTGTCTATCAGAAGTCTGGATAGAAAGCAGAAACGATATTGCTTTAGCGTTGCCCATTCACGGGTGAACTAGCGTCTAATTATGTTTCCGTGCTAAGGCGTTAGAGAGCTCTGCGATATTCTGCATTTTTATTCCCTTGGGTACGCCCATTTCTGTGTGTAGATTTTCATGCATAGAGCCCATCCTGCTTCGATCGTGGCGCTGGCCCAAGTTCCTGGCTCCAACAGTATCATATCATTGGAGGCCGGCACATAGTGCTGTATGTATCCTGTCGATAGGAGGATGTTATCGAGAAGCTGATACAGGGTGACAGACCACTCACATAGCAAGGCCTAATATCCTGATGGTCTTCGTGTACCTCTTATCATTCATGACCTAATAGACCCGTACTTTCACGAGTAAGATCGGGATATCAACCTGACCATCTCAAAATGGTAGATCCAGTCACACCGATCGGGTTGGAGAGCCCAGACCGCTGACACTTCGAGGAGGTTTCATGATGAGGCACCGATGCTGGTGTGGGAGATGCTTAATCCCAACAAGACGAGGTTCCAGCCGCCGCAACCCCATGGTTATCATGGAAAATGAGGCGGCGACGGTAAGATCCCCGTCGAGGCAACTTGTCCGCCTTGGCTGCTGCCTTTGTCGAGGCCAACTCGCAGACCATGGACCTCATCGCGATGGACGCGAGTAGGTCTCACAGCCAGACTGCGCACTACACGGACGACTGGACCGGCACGACGGACCGTCACCATCTACGCCAACTCGCACGCCGTGCTGCGCATCGTCGCGAACAACCTGGGCGTCTTCCTGTCACACTGTCACATCGAGTTGAGCATCGAAATGGGCGGGTCGGCTGCCCTGCTCGAGGCTCCCGAGCATCTTGTGGGTTACCGGATCCGACATGAGCACATCGACGTCTGTGAGGCGATGAACATATCGACGACGGGCAACGCGCTGTGGTCCGACGCGGCTGGCTTGGTTACGGTATCGCCTACTGTCTATACCGGGTGAGTCTTCAGCTGTATCTACGTTCAGAGGTGTGAGTAGACCTGCTGACACGGTACTTGTGGGTAGCTCCCAATACCCTAGTAGTTGAATCATGATGGCAGGGGAAAGACCAATGGTCAAATGTGCATGGGGCTTGGACATTTCGTATTATATGCCGCGAGGAGATGGGGTCGTGATGATCAGATCTCGTCATGATGGTAAGATCTGGGAGAGGCTGGTCACATGTAGAGATAGGGGGTATTGGGGATGGTCCGAGTCTGGAGTCGTAGTTCTTATGGCCTGGCACTGTGTCGTCTTTACTTATCTCTTCCTCGTATGAATATCTGCGTTTATCGTCTTTCACTATCAGCAGCAAGTCTGAGCGCCTTCACGTGGGAATGCCAAAGTGTTGTGTTGACTTGTTGGATTCGTGCTTTGAAATTCATCAAACTCATAGCAGTAGTTGGTGGCGTTGAGAGTTCCGAACTTGCCAATCGCGTTCTGTCAGGTGCCAGAAATACCTTAATATCAGCAAACCGGCGTTCGTCGGCTTTCAAGAAGTAGTTGATCGTCGTGACCGCTTGTCCTGTCGTATGGACCTGCCAATGGGGAAGCACTGGCCCGAAGGCAGCTTTATGCGATCTAACGGCTCGCACGGGCGATGTCGTGAGCATGGAGCAGCACCGTGCCCGGTTGTATGATTTTCGCATGATTCTTGCACGTGAAAGCCCGACAACGTTAACTTACTTGCGAAGGCGGCGGCGAGACGATGCCATCTCGACCTCGTCTTACACGAGCAGCACACCCGCCAGGCTAACAGCTGCAGGCAATCCACCGAGACAGGCATGGGATTTCATAAAATGTCCGCGAGATTGGGCTCCCACGAGACACGCCCCCCTTCCAGAGCCGCACGAGATGTGGATGCCGGTGAGTGGACGCCGGCTTGTGAATAGGAGCTGAAGCTATTACTGCCACATCGTCGCCTAGTCGAATAGCCGCCGTTGTTTATATTGATCGCCTGGCGTATCCAGCTTCCAGTTGGTCAGGGAGCATAGCCTTGTCTTTCGGACGTGCGTTGTGGTGGCTTGCCCGTCATTCCCCGCTGGCTGAAATTCAGGCAGAGTTTCGCTTATGGCCTCATGCCCGCTTCGGCCTCATGGCAAATCTCCAGACCGTACGTTGACAGGTGACGATGAGATGACTGAGCTAAAGATACTTCACTGTTGCCGACATGTGGAAGTAGAAGAACTGCAGCACTAGCTGTGCCCGTACGGCTTGCCCATGACCGTTGAATCTCAACAATAAGCCCCGCTGTACTGACTATGAGGTTTACGTTCATGTGTATGAGTTGTATTACGCTTTTGTAGATAAACCTTCAATCTCGTGGTAGGGAGTCTCGGCCAGGGCTACCTTGTCTCTATCAGCACTGCGAAACCGATCAGTACGAGGGCAGTCTGGTCTAGGCTCTTCGAGCCAGTATGACAACCATCGTCAAAGGCGTACGTACAATACCGTCTCATATACGCTGGACCTAGCTACATAGTCATACTCGTGAGGTTAGCAATGAGATGGTTGGGTGTCTTTGGCTGTCGCAGTATGGACCGCTTCTCGCCACAAAGTGACGCGGATATGACACTTAGATTTTCGGTCAAATTGCGGTTCATTCAAACGGAATATGGTCTGCTCTTTCGGATCTGGCCGAGTAATTATATGTTGCAGGGTGGTTCGTTGTGAATCATCCGGTGCGGTGGGCGAGATGTCTAGAAGGGCCGAAATCCCTCGGTGTGGTAGGCCAGATGTCTCGAAGGGCCGAAACCTGGGTTCTGAGAGATAGCTAGCTATCACGATGATATCACCCGGCCAAGTGGATGGGACCAATATCCTACCCAGATCAGTTAGCCTTTGCGGCTCCGAAGATGATGGCCAGGCACAGAGGGTTAAACTGCATCGATCTCAAATCTTTCAAGCCGCGTCCGTGCGTCGGTAGGCTTTCTAGGCTACAGCAAGGCAATGCTCAGTTTCCTGTCACACCAAACTTAGCTGGTTACACTGAAGGGGCCGGGCCTCGTATAATGCTACATGGATGCTGAGGTTGTCTTACTGTGTTCATCCGTCACGATAACAGACCGGAGGTCCGAAGTTCAAACTGTGCGGTGGCGGCCAGCACTCCTGGCACGATTCTCCTATGGGCCATGCAGGTCCTGCCTGGCATCCGGCAACGTGCTTCAAGCTCGTGGGTAACCGGGTCTTCTGGTGATGTGACGTAAGTGCAAGGGTCGCGATGAAGCAGCTCCGACCAGCAACGTGTGCCCACGGCGTGATTGACAGAGGAATGACATCTCAAAATTTGATGGTAGAAAGATCAGATGATGAGGACGCCGCCGCATACTAAGGCTACCCGAGTACCGATGTAAATGTAAATGCGAGACAAGGAGTCACTGGTGAAGAGGATGGAGCGCGGCACCGTGGGCTTTGGCAGCCAGGCACTCGGTGGACGCACTGTCAGACGCGATTCTTACGCGTTTAGGTGGTGTTCAGGGTCGTCGATCATCGGTCGGCGATGCAAGTATTCAACGTCGCGAGCTAACGATTGAGGCGTAGACGGTAGGTTGTAGTCAGCTGGAGGCTTTCGAAAGCATCGATGACGGTGAAGACTGGCGAAAGATGGGAAGATGACGGTGGCAGGGGGTCATCAACCCCTAACCTACATACTATTCGTGAGCGGGCCGATAACCGATAATCTAGCCGGGCTTGGCCGTCAGCTGAGATCAGCTGTTATCGGCTGGTATCAGCTGCGGGCTCCGAGCTGCCCGGGACCATCTCCGGGCAGCTTCATTCAATCTGGTCTGGCAAAAGCTCGGCCTCGAATCATACTGCACACATTCTGAACCGAGAACTGAATCGAGTTGTGCAATGTGGTGACCCTTTCATCCACCCCTTCTCGCGGATCTTCCTGTATTATCTGAATGACAGCAGCAACACCAGGTCGTCATTGAGAATTCAGACGTCTCCCGCTCGACTGGCTCTGAAGGTTTGAGATTGGCTTTTGCCTATGCATTCGCCTGGGAGTCACGTTGGCATCAATTACATCGGCATGCGAGCCGGCATCAGAAGACAGCCCGCGCGAGCTCCGAGACAGTGCCGGGGAACAAGCGGGTGAGACCCCAGGTTCTGCTCCTCGACGGCCATAGCAGGACAGAGCGACAGCAGGGTGGCTGGCCTGAGATACTTCCCCGGCTGCTGTCGATAGGGAGCACAGATCAACCTCCTCTGGCATGGCACGTCCATAGACACGCGCAAGGCTTACAACGACAGCACTGCTTGGTATCAAGCCTTCACGCTCACGCTCAATGTCATTATGCAAAGCTTCCGATGCAGCTCTGCCGTTGCATCCGTCGCCGCGTAACGGATAGCACCGTCAACTGCTTCGCGGACTATAATCTCACGAAACGAGGGGTTGCCCACTGACCGCTTACAGCCAGCGCTTCTCGTAGACAGCCGTATCACTGTGCGCAGCTTGTGCGACACCGATATGGGGACTCCACCACCCCAGGTCACCCAGGCTGAGGCTCAGCCCGTCCCAGCCCGCAGGTCCGGACAATTTACAGTTCGGCGCACGAAGAGGACAGGGGTCGGACTGAGCAAGGGGTGGAACACCCCATGGACCAACTTCCATGCTTTTCCTCTTGTGAGACAAAATTGTTCCTATTTCTGCGTTGTAATCGAGACTCTACCTTAAGTTCTTTATTGTGGTTCCCTGCTTAGTCGGTGGAGTTACTGAAAATGGCACAGCTCTCTCCATGAAGGTAGTTGTGCTGCGGTCTGGACGCCTCGACGTGCGGACATCCCCAACGGTCGACACACATGATCCACTGCGCCTGGGTGAGACGGGTAGCAATACCTTGGGCCCCATGATCGAGGGAGCCTTGTGTCTTTTCCGTGCACCGTTTCAAGAGGCCATTCTGCATAGTGTCAGATTATGCGCATATCGCCAGCACTGCGCGGCCGCAGGAACCAAGCGCAATCCCATGCCAACGCAGGCTTTGCTGTCGGTTTGTGCTAGGAAGTCTGTTCTGTGCGATGGTCAGGACAACCCGGTCATCTCCCAGGTGCCTTTGGGGCTGGCCGCCCATTATACGCTCGGACAACATGGGTGACAGCCCTATCTGCCCGATTCTGGTTCCCAGAATCGAATCTGATGCTCATCATTCATGAGACTTCGGTGACCGAGGACTGATCAAGGCCGAACCACTCTCTGGAAGAATGAGGGCCAGGGTGCACTGTAGGTTTGTTGCCTCCTCCCCTCCCCACACCCCCTTCGCCGCGCCCGGTAGCGATTCGATTCGGCCGTCATTGCGATGGAATTTCGCACGTTGACTGTTGTTGTTATATTTGGCACAGTCTAAGCTGCTGAACTGGGCGGTTGATATATAGATGTGAAAGACGCCTCGTCAACAGCCTCCAACTGAAGCATCAACCATCACCCCTAAACACGCGCCCAATCCTACCCATCACATACACGATGGTGGAACAGATGGCATTTCTCCTCTTTGGAGATCAGTCACTGGACACACATGGCTTCCTAGCCAATTTCTTCAGACAAGGGAACCCGAGTGTTCTCTCGAAGGAATTCCTCAAGAACGCTGGTGATGCTCTCAAAGACGAGATAAACCAGCTGCCACGGGTGGAACGAGACAAGATCCCGATATTCCGAACATTACCCCAGCTCAACGAGAGTTATCACCACCAAATCACCAAATGCCCTGGCGTCGATAGCGCCCTGCTCTGCATCGCACAAATAGCACACTACCTTGAGTAAGTGTTAACAAATCAACGCGTGGCCACGGGGAAGTCTTCCATACTTACGCGTTGTCAGTTGGTCCGAGAAGGAATACGAAGATGTGACCGATTCCGAGAATACGAAGCTCTCCGGCCTATGCACCGGCCTGTTCGCCGCAAGCGCGATCGCTTCGAGCCCTTCCCTATCCTCTCTCCCGCCATTAGCAGTGCAGGCTGTCTTGATGGCATTCAGAACTGGCTCTTTCGTGGCCTCAGTAGCAGAAAGTCTAAGCTCTCGGACGGAAAAGTCGGAGAGCTGGACATATGTTGTGCCGTCAGTCAAGGAAGCTCATGCGAAGTCCATACTTGAGGATTTCCACAAGTCAGAGGTAAGGTTACCTTGGAATTTCAACGGGCTTCAATGTGTTCTAACCGCTTCTTAGGGAATTTCTCAGGCTACACAGGCATACATCAGTGCTGTGTCCGCGAGTAACATTGCGATATCTGGCCCGCCAGCGACGTTGAAGTCTCTGTTCAGCAAGGATCTGTTCGATTCGAGACCAACGGCCATCCCCGTGTATGGTCCCTACCATGCTGCACATTTGCATGGGCCGTGTGACATCGAGCATATGCTACGAATCAACGATGAGTCTGTCACCGCTGTGCTTGCTGGCTCAAGACCGCGAAGCGGTGTCATGTCATGCGTCACAGGGACCGCCTTCTCCGAGACGGACACCAAGGCTTTGTTCACAGCCGTCGTTCATGAAATATTGAATGAGCCACTCATGTTTCACAAGGCTCTCAATGGCAGCCTGAACGAGGCTCGTCAATTCCCGGGATCCCGCGTTCTGGTGATCCCTTGCGGCCCGACCCAGGCTGCAAGCACGCTGGCTAATCTGCTGAAGTCGGAGACCAAGCTAGAGGTCGTACTTCGATCACCCCCCCAGGTGTCTCGAGAGAACATGGTTTTCTCCATCGGAAACCATGGGTCTACCGGGAAGTGCAAGTTGGCCATCGTGGGAATGGCTGGCCGCTTCCCGGACTCTGCCAGTCACGAGGAACTTTGGCAGCTGTTGGAGAAGGGCATCGACGCCCACCGGATGGTACCAGCTGATCGATTCCCGGTCGAGACCCATTACGATCCTGCTGGCAAGGCCATCAACACCAGTCACACGCCAAACGGCAACTGGATCAAGAATCCAGGGCACTTCGACCCGAGATTCTTCAACATGTCTCCTCGGGAGGCATTCCAGACAGATCCCATGCAACGCATGGCTTTGACCACCGCATACGAGGCGCTTGAGATGTCTGGTTATGTTCCAAACCGGACACCATCCACAAGGTTGGACCGTATTGGTACTTTCTACGGGCAGACTTCTGATGACTGGCGCGAGATCAACGCCGCCCAAGAGGTCGACACCTACTTTATCACAGGTGGTGTGCGTGCGTTCGGTCCAGGCCGAATCAACTACCATTTCGGTTTCAGTGGTCCTAGTCTAAACATCGACACAGCGTGCTCGTCCAGTGCAGCGGCTCTCCAGGTGGCATGCTCGTCTTTGAGGGCCAACGAGTGTGACACGGCCATTGTCGGTGGTTTGTCCTGCATGACCAACTCGGACATTTTCTCGGGCCTTAGCCGTGGCCAGTTCCTGTCCAAGCACAACAACTGCAACACTTTCGATAATGAAGCTGATGGCTACTGCCGAGCTGATGCTTGTGCATCTGTTGTCGTGAAGCGTCTTGAGGATGCTCTGGCAGATAAGGACAACATTCTTGCTATTGTACTTGACTCCCAGACCAACCACTCGGCTGATGCCATCTCCATCACGCACCCTCACGGACCCACCCAGTCCATCCTGTCGCGCTCAATCCTAAACGACTCTGGCGTCGACCCTCTCGATGTGGATTACGTCGAGATGCACGGGACTGGCACCCAAGCTGGCGATGGCACTGAGATGATATCCGTCACAGATGTATTCGCTCCTGCCGACCGACACCGAGCAGCTGATCGCCCGCTCTATCTCGGAGCCGTGAAGTCCAATGTGGGCCACGGAGAAGCGGCTTCAGGTGTGACGGCACTCATCAAGGTCTTGATGATGCTGAAGAAGAACGCCATCCCCCCTCACATCGGCATCAAAGGAGAGATAAACAAGACATTCCCCACGGACCTCGGTGATCGCGGTGTCAATATTGCCTTCCACAAGACGCCTTTCACTCGCAAGGATGGAAGGCCTCGTCGAGTATTCGTCAACAACTTCAGCGCCGCTGGTGGCAACACTGGACTCCTGCTCGAAGACGGTCCGCGCTACAAGAATGCGACTGTCGATCCCCGTAGCCAGCATGTCATCACAGTCACGGCGAAGTCGAAGTCTGCCATGATCCGCAATGCCGAGCAGCTGGTGGAGTGGATGGAGCAGAACCCGTCTACTTCAGTCGCCCACGTTGCCTACACCACTACTGCTCGCAAGATTCAGCACTACTGGCGGATGAACATCGTGGCTGGCAGCTTGGCTGAAGCCAAAGAAGCTATCACTGAGAGACTAAAGTCCAACTTTGTACCTGTCTCTCCCGAGCAACCCAAAGTCGCTTTCATGTTCACCGGCCAGGGTTCCCACTATGCTGGCCTCGGCAGGGAGCTGTATTCTCACTACGCGGTGTTCCGCCAAGCCATTGACGAGTACGACCAGCTCGCTACCATCCACGGCTTCCTGTCGTTCAGGCCTCTCATCGACGGCAGTGAAACTGAGGTTCAGAAGTTATCCCCTGTTGTTGTACAGCTTGGCCTGGCTTCCTTCGAGATGGCGCTTGCTAAGCTATGGAGCTCCTGGGGCATCCTGCCTGGCGTCGTCCTTGGCCACAGCCTTGGCGAATACGCCGCTCTTCACGTGGCTGGGGTCCTGTCTGCCAGTGACACCATTTACCTTGTCGGTGCTCGAGCCCAAATGCTTGTGGAGAAGTGCACTGCTGGCACCCATGCCATGCTGGCTGTCAAGGGGTCGGTTGAGAGCATCACTGAGGCTCTCGGTGATCGTGCACCGTCTACCGACATTGCCTGCATCAACGGTCCCTGCGAGACTGTTCTCAGCGGCAGCTCCACCGAGATCGCTGAAATCGCTGAGCAGCTGGGCGTGGCTGGCTTCAAGAGCACCCAGCTTAAGGTGCCATTTGCCTTCCACTCTGCTCAGGTTGAGCCCATCTTGGACGACTTCGAGCGCCTCGCCCGATCCGTCAATTTCGAGACGCCCAAGATTCCTGTCATTTCTCCTCTTCTTGGCAAGCTTGTAGAGGATGAGCCCATCAACCCTGCCTATCTCCGCAACCATGCCCGTGAGGCGGTCAACTTCTTGGGTGGTCTGGTCTCCGCTCAGCAGTCTGGTGTCATTGATGAGAAGACCGTTTGGCTGGAGGTTGGACCTCACCCGGTGTGTGCTGGTATGGTGAAGGCCGCATTCGGCAATTCTACCATTGCAACCCCCTCTCTGCGCCGTAACGAGGCTACGTACAAGACTCTCAGCAGCACCTTGTGCACCCTTCACTCGGCTGGTATGAACCTCGATTGGAACGAATACCACCGCGACTTCGATGCTTCAGTCCGGCTTTTGGATTTGCCAACCTACTCGTTCGACTTGAAGAACTACTGGCTCCAGTACACTGGAGATTGGTGTTTGACGAAGAACCGTGGTGCTCTTGCTGCGCCCCAGGCTAAAGCGATTGAGGCACCCAAGCCCAAGCTGTCAACCACCACTGTTCAGAAGATCACCAAGGAAGAAGTGATCGGTGACATCGTCACCATTGAGACGGAGTCAGACTTGACCGAAGACAAGCTACGACTGGTCTGTTCGGGTCATCTTGTCAACGGCACGGCTCTTACTCCATCGTCTCTCTATGGTGACATGGCTATGACCATCTGCGAGTACGCCTACAAGTTGGTTCGGCCTCATGCCGAGAACGTTGGCATCAACGTTGCTCATGTGGAGGTTCCGAAAACACTCATCTTCGACACCAAAGCCAAGAGTCAGATCCTGCGCATGCATGTCAAGGTCGATGCTACCGAAAAGGTCGCCGTGGTTTCATGGTCAACAGGTGAAGGTGCCAAGAAGACTGAGCATGCCAACTGCAAGGTCTTTATTGGCGACACGCGGGAATGGCTGGGCGAGTTCGAGCGTGTCAGCTACCTCATCAAGTCTCGCATCGACGGACTCAAGGCTGCTGAACAGCGAGGTGACGCTTCCAAGATTGGTCGCGGTCTTGCCTACAAGCTGTTTGGTGCCCTTGTCGACTATGACCGCCGATACAGAGGTATGGAGTCTGTCATTCTCGACAGCGAGACATGCGAGGCAACGGCGAAGGTCGTCTTCCAAACCTCACCCGAGGATGGCAACTTCCACACTGCGCCTTACTGGATTGACTCCGTCTGTCACATCTCCGGTTTCATCCTTAACGGCTCCGATGCGGTCGACTCTCGCGAGCAGGTCTTCATCTCTCACGGTTGGGGCAATATGAGGTTCGCTGAACGCTTGGATGCATCCAAGACCTACCAGTCCTACATTCGCATGCAGAACGTCAAGGGCACCAAGATGATGTCCGGTGACGCCTACATCTTCGACGGCGAGAGGCTCGTCGGTATTGCCGGTGATGTCCGCTTCCAGGCCATCCCCCGCAAGGTCCTCAACATCGTTTTGCCTCCCCAGGGCGCCGCTGCCGCCGCCGCCGCGCCTGCTCGAGCCGCGCCAGCTGCCAGGCCCGCTGTTGCTACCAAGGCTCCCGCCAAGGAGAAGCAGGTTACGGTGAAGAACCTTCCTGCTGTCAACAAGAAACTTGCCAAGCCCTCTGTTATCATCCAGGTGATGAACATCGTCGCCAAGGAAACTGGTGTCAGCCACGACGAGCTAGCTGACAACATCGCTTTCTCTGATCTTGGTGTCGATTCCTTGATGGGTCTTACCATCAGCGGTCGCCTCCGCGAAGAGTTGGAACTGAGCATTGATTCTCACTCATTCAACGATCACTCCACCGTCGGTGCTTTCAAGAAGTTCCTTGTCCAGTTTGAGACAGCTACTGCTGTGGTCCAAGCCTCCAGCAACTCTAGCGGTACTTCCGACAGTGACGAGGAGGACATGGAGTCTGATGATTCTGATCTCACCACTCCTCCCGATGAGAGCGAGAAAGGTTCAGTCAAGGGCGAATTGGCAGCTCCCGCTGACAACGCTGGTGAGCTCCAGCAGATTATTCGCGAGACCATCTGTGCCGAAATGGGTGTCGAAGTCGAGGAAATCGTCGCCGCCCCCGACTTGGCCGCCCTTGGCATGGATTCACTCATGAGCTTGTCTATCCTCGGTATACTGCGTGAGAAGACGGGGCTCAACATCCCCGGCGACCTTCTAGGCCACAACCCGTCTCTGAAGGACATTGAGCGCACACTCGGTGTCGAGGATAAGCCCAAGGTGAAAGCGACCTTGTCGAAGTCATCCAAGACCACCATCAAGACCGGCTCTGCCGTCGTTTCTGTTGAGAAGACTAAGTCGACTGTCGTTGAGAAGAGTGAGTCGGCTGTCGTTGATCCCTACCCCCACCGCAAGGCCACTTCAGTGCTTCTTCAGGGCAACCACCGTACCGCCACCCGACAACTTTTCATGATTCCCGACGGGAGTGGGAGCGCCACCTCGTACACAGAAATCGCGGAGCTAGGTCCCAACGTTGCTGTCTGGGGCATGTTCTCTCCCTTCATGAAGACCCCAGAGGAGTATAAGTGTGGTGTCTATGGTATGGCTACGAAGTTCATCCAAGAGATGAAGCGCCGCCAGCCTGAGGGCCCATACGCTGTCTCTGGCTGGTCTGCAGGAGGTGTTATCGCCTACGAGATCGTCAACCAGCTCACAAAGGCTGGCGATGAGGTTTCCCACCTTCTCCTCATCGATGCGCCCTGCCCTATCACCATCGAGCCCCTCCCCTCTGGACTTCACGCCTGGTTCGCCTCGATCGGCCTTCTCGGCGAGGGTGACTCTGCTGAGGCTAAGAAGATTCCTTCATGGCTGCTCCCTCACTTCGCCGCGTCCGTCACTGCGCTCTCCAACTACACTGCTGAGCCCATCGCCAAGGAGAAGTGCCCCAAGGTGATGGGCATCTGGTGTGAGGATGGTGTCTGCCACCAGCCTTCGGACCCTCGCCCGGACCCGTACCCCACCGGTCACGCTCTCTTCCTGCTCGATAACCGCACCGACTTTGGTCCCAACCGCTGGGACGAGTACCTCGACATCGACAAGATGACCTTCCGCCACATGCCTGGCAACCACTTCTCGATGATGCATGGCGACCTTGCGAAGCAGCTTGGCGGCTTCATGAAGGAAGGCATCAACGCATAGAGCCTTGGCCCCACTTCTCTCCTTTCCTATCTGTCACTGCCATCGGTTTCAGATACATGGGCCATGCGCACTTGGTTTGTTGGTGTTGGATACCATATATGTTCACGCTCCTTGTAAAAAAGTACAAAGTTTTTGATTTGCGGCACCATTACTCAATACAAGTCCTCTGTGGTAGGCCCTTCGAGGTCACAGGATTACATAGGCGTTGGCAATGGGCTGGTCGCCGGATTGGGTAATTTCTATAGAGGATAGTTTCATGGTGGTTAGTTTACGGTTTGGTACCTTATATAGAAACCATTCACTTATGAATCGTTACATCACTCCTCATTCCTCGTGATGATTTTTCGATTGCTTCTTGTGTTCTCGTACTTTTTCTCCCGTAGTCCAGTCCATTGTCGCGCACGGGTGATCAAGGAACTGCGCAGCAACTGTCATTTGTTACTGAACCTGCCGGAGACCCCGGGCAGTGGTCTGTCTTCCTCTGGAGCTCGTTACTGATCTGGGTCCTGATGTCGACTCCAGACTAAGCTGCCGCTGGTATCGTGCTGGTCAAGAACACAGACCCAAGGGACGTCCCCGAATCTGTAGTCTGAAGGCGATCATTACGCCCAGAACGACATGCCGTACTTCGGTGTACCGTCAGCTCTAACTTATCAGATCCCTTCTCGTCACATGACGTCAAGATAGATAGCCTACCCAAGACAGCTTGTTCAAAATCGCAAGTATGCCCAAGCATCATTCAGTTCACGTTGCTTTTCTGAAGCCCTATTTTATGCTCCTGGTGATGCTCGGCATTCATACGTAACGTAGTCCAGAATGTCGGACGGCACTCTCGCGCAGATGAAATCCTCAGATGGGCCAACCACAAGAGACTTGACCAGCAGAGTGATGGTACCAGCTCACCTTCCAAGAGCCTGTAACGGCAGGGGTTTTTGCGCTCGAGTCTCGAGTCTCGAGTAGATGAGCCACGAGGAAGGAATCCGGATACCACGCAATGTGGGATTAGGTACCTCAACCCATTCATCCTTGAGGTTCCAGAGGCACCAGCTCGTACCACCCGGCAATATATTTCCCACGCGGTAACATCATGCAACATCCCAGCCCCAGCCCAGGCGCCAGCCCGAGACGTACCGTCCATTGGCGTTGAGGGTCAGACTGTGAAGCAACAGCGTCATCAAATGAACAAATCCATGGGGAATACCGAACCAACCAGCCACCTCCCAGCTTGCAAGTTACAAACCCGATCCGCAACCCGCACACCGCCCGCTTCGATCTTGAACTAGTCGGGTTACCGTTACCCGGCATACCCAATAGTGAGCAAATGATCTACGTGACGAACAGGAGCACGAGCACGAGCACAGACACAGGTACACGCACGACAGGTTCGGGAATTTGCATTTGCGGGCGAGGGATCCTCCACCTTACTTAGCCAGCCCGGCGGCGGCGGCGCACCCCAGCCCCTGTCAGATGCACGACATGTGCGACATGCAGCAGCAGCACTGCCGGGCTGTTCGTTCCGTCGGGTCCATCCTACGCCAGAATACTACAAGAGTGTGGCGCACAGCACACATAGCACAGTGCACAACAAATAACGCACAGCTAGAGATATAGCATGGGCCCGACCGCGCACCGCGTCCTGTGGTGAAGAGTGATACATTTCTCGTGCTGTGCACCGCCGACCTCGCGGAAACGGGTTGGTTGCGGGTCTGTTAAAGCAAGGGCGGTGATGGGACCAGAGAGGTCAGGACAGTACAGTGTGGGAAGCAGGACAGTGAACGCAGCGGGATGAACGAACCTGCTTTCCAATTCGAAACGTTTCTTCAAGGGGCTCGCATACTTATAATTGCTTCTGCAATGCCTGCAGTGCCAGCTGTACGGATAGACTATCCGTGTCTCTGGTATAAGCAAATCGTCACAGCAAACGCCCTTACGGCCCCGACTTGGGGAGGCTGAACCCCAAGAGCGCTGCTGCCGGCAGTGAACGCGGCCAGCATGCACGACATTGCCTCAGAGAGATTGAGCTGGGAAGGCGATGTCTCAGAATCCGCACTCCAGCCTCCCACGCACCGCCACCGCAGCGGACCCGACCCGACGGCGGACACACGCCGTGGGTTCCCTTACCGTGGATCTGCAAATCTGCAAAGGAAGTAACCGAAGCGGCCGGTGCCGCAGCTGAGATCTGATCCCGCCGCAGGTAAACCGGATATCGGTAGCACCATGGCTGGCTCTTCTGGACCTTCAGCTGGCCAGCCGATGCGGTCCGCCTGCAGTGAAGTCGAGAATCGTGGGGCATCGGAGGATAAGTCAGGGAACTGGGCTTTGGAGTTCGTCGGTGAGGTGGTACAGGACGACGCGGAGATCAGACGCGGTGCGACATGACTTGAGTGAGCCGGGTACTATCATATGTACATAGCAGCGCAGGAGGCAGCACGGCGACGGTATTGGTTGGGCTGCCACGAACGCATAGTATCGCTTGCCCGAAAGTAGTTAGGTAAGCAGTAGGCGACACGCTTTCAATGTTCTCGTCTTAGCGCGTGTAACGGCCTTGGTGGTCAGGTTGTTGTCGTTGTCATTGTAGTATGGTGCCTAAGGGTTCAGTAATGAGCAATCCAGGGTTCGTTCCACTGCCATCGAAGGATGACCGCGACGAATACGACGAGTTCGTCTGGCCCGGAGGAGAGAGGAAGACACAGGGAGAGACGGAGGGACAGCAGCGGAACGTGCAGCTGCAGCAAGCAACGAACAAGCCGCGGCCTGGTTCGATTGCGTAGACACACACGTACCCAGTTGGCACTGCGCACGAGATAGCCGTAAACGTGCCCGGAATCGTACAAGGCGAGCAAGGTGTCCGCTGCGGCCTTTAGAGAGTACCTAGCGTGTGTACGCGCCTCTCACCCCCTCATCGTATGGTGTGTTACCTTGAGGGCAAGTTGAAGTAGGTTCTCGTTGAGTTCCTCATCCGATGTTTTCAGCCCCCGTTGCTGGGGTGATCCTGACTACCATGACGTCGTGCCACCAAAAGCGTGCTCGCTTCGGCCAGGTTCACCTAGCCCTTTAGTTGACGTCAGGAGCCCGAGCAAGGCCAATTCGACAGGACGATGTGGTGGATCTTGCCAGGTCTCGCGAGTAGATCGGGAGTTGTACACTATATCGGGATGGCCCCCGGAGAATGCCGCGGAACTTCACAGTGTAGTCACCGTAGTTGCCATTATCGTGTGACACTGGATCCCAGAAAGATCCTCTCACTGTTCCTAATCTGGGGATCAGTTTCGACGATGAATCCAGATGTGAGAACTGTCTTTGCTTCATCGGGTGTGCTGTCGAAAGCATGATGCCATATCGTATGATCCCACGGGGCCCCGTAGCTTGCATATGTGAAGCTAGATGGTGTGGTGATTCTCTGCCAGTGCTTACATTTGTCTAGAAATGTCGTCCATCTCTTCTTTGGGAATGATGCTCCCGCACACCCACACACAATAACAGTGAAGGATACGGCTCCCACTCAGATCTTTTCTACTGTGCCATATGTCAGTCAGATGTGGAGTTGAAGTTACGGTTAGTCCCCAGAGCCTCCTAAGTAGTAACCCCCTCCTCAGCACATGAAAGCGTATATAGTCTTACCTTCCTTGAATACAGCTACCCCAGTCTTGCTTCTGTCAGAACGTCATTCGCTTCAATGTTTGCCCCAGATTGGATTTGAGAGCTCAACTGGGTAACGGATGTGCAGTAGCTTCGAGTCAGCCAGGTTCATCGAGCTGGCATGTGAAAGGGAAACGTCCCTGTGTGCATCTCACAGCCCAATCAATTCCCAGGAATATGACGAAAGCTCCAGGGCATAAACCTACACATGATTTAACCGGCCCAAATAGGTTATTGTGGCTCGCGAGTACTGTTATCGATTGGGTCCAAGGTCTCGAGAGTATAATCTGCACAACCCCCTCTACTGTGTATATGCAGGGCCTGTCGGTTGGGAGATACCCTCGGTGGCAGAAGTGACGCGAAATCTCCGGCTAGATCCACACTCATCAGATGTTTTATGCGTCCCGGAAAGGATCCGGCGCGTATAATTTTGGGACTCGTCGCTATCCAGGCCTGGGATGTCGGTGAAAATAGTTCCGCATATATGTTAGAGAGAGTTGGGGGTTCAAGCCATGGTTACCTTGTCACGGTAGTCCATTGCCATGACATGGGTATTGGCCTTTCTGCCTCGCAGGGTGGATCGTGAGATGAAATAGAAGGTAGTCGTGGCCAAGTACCGCCTGGTGAAACTCTGCTGCTTCCCGTTACTGTCGTCCGGGATGAGAAAGCAACGAGGAAGACCTTGTAGACGCATGGCAAGTGCTGTGGGAAGCGGTGAGTGCTGCTCCTCATGTTGATGAAGTAGTATCGACGGCATCCACAAATGTGCGGCTCTTGTCGTAGCTTCGTTTAGACTTCTTCAGACCGCGTGGACTTATTTTGGCGTGGTTTTTCTTTTCAGCGTACGCCCTATTGGTGGTACAGGTAGTGGCGAACAAGGATGTCCCGCGTCATGCCATGCGAGTGAGTCCACGCTAGCCCCGGTATTGCGTGCCTCAACTTTGCTTTCTTCTGAATTTTGCACACCGCTCGGCAGCTATGTCGAGTATGGAATCAGTCCTGATTTGTCTGGTCTGGGTTGGACAAACGCGAAGATGCTGTTGCCTCGTCATTCTCTGGCGACCTTCCACACAAACTCCAGCCTTCCTGAGCCAGTTGTTCGTAATTGATAATCACTCATACGGCCTCTTCTCTTAGGTTAATGGGTAGGAGCAAATACTGTTCTGGACATCCTTCATACAGAAGTATCAGCCGAACAAATGCAGCTGCAGGTTTCAGTAGATCTTCACCAAAGCAGGCTTATTAACTCGAGTCGAGATGGGTGCGTCGACTGTGGCGATGAATTTCTCCATCAGATCGAATGTTGAAACTCGAGACTGGCCATTCTCAGAGGAAACAACGTGTCTTGGCTTTCGGCTAAGGTATGGCGGCGTAACTGCCCAATTGAGTGACATGCCGTTACCTTAAAGGTGGCACAGCGAGCCGCCTGTTGTCCCGACGAGGCTGTAGGAAAGATGACGACTAAGTAACTAGCCTAGCCGGATCTGAGGGAGTGAAAGGGTCACCGCTCGATAGGACCAGACCGCCAGTGGACTTAGGGGCCGACCAAACAGGATGCAATCAGAGCCATTTCCCGGAATGGTAATCGGCTTTCCTCGTATGACTGTTGCGCACGCGGACCAGCCTCGACTATCCTTGCAGTACGGTACCCATTTGTGGAGAAATGCTCGGAGCGGTTGATATGAGACAGCGATGATGATATGCAGCCGGACAGCGATGACATGCAGGCGGAATGATGCAGTCTTCCAAAATGGAGTCCGTCACTGTCAGTCCGAGTCCATAAAGGGGGTGTATACGAGTCGAGAGACACGTTGAAAGACCTTGAGCCTTGGGAAGGCTGTGGTGCCGGTTGGCTAAGAAACCCAGGTACATAGGCAAAGGAAGAACCTCTTCCATAAAGAGCAGTCCTGTTGCTGGTATGACGCGATACCGAGCAACTCAAACTCAAGCTCATCGCTAAACGCCATGCAGCTCAACGCAGGTGTGAGCTCTACTGTGGATTCTGGCGGGGATGAGCTTCGTATATGCAGGGTGATGGCCACCAAGGCCCCCAAGGCGGCCGTGTCATCGTATCCATGTCGATGAGATGTAGTAGCAAACTTTGACGTAGATTGTAGTTGCGCTTGGCTCGTCTCGTCGTTACAAACGGTCATGGCGAAGAGGCTTCGCGGTGAAGGACTGTTGACGAGCGAATGGCGGCGGCGATGGCAGCGGCGATGGAAGGCATGGTCGAAACGTGACCATTACAACATATAACATGACTAGCTGCTTGAAGAAAATAACTTAAAAAGTCGCATGGATCGGGTAACATTGAAGGATCCGATAGGGCTGAGGAGTGGCGGTAGATGGTAGATGGTAGATGGTAGATGGTAGATCTGGGACCAGCCAGAGTGCCGGAATGAGGAATGAGGTGTGGGCGGTGTCAAGTGTTCATGTGGATCCGAGTCAACGGACCGTACACGATGGACTGTGCACGCATTGATGAGACTTGGACCGTGCACGCATGTACAAGACCCCAGGACCTGGAGATGCCCTCAGGCTACCCTAATGGCGCGGCATCCATGACAATCACGGATCACCGCCGCGATCCTGTCTGCCTGTCTCCCTGTCTGCCCTCTCTTCGAACTTTGAACTTTTGAACTTTCCACCCCTGGCCTACCCTTAAACCCTCGAGGTAGGTAAGCCGAAAGGTAGGTAGGTATGCTCTGATGCCGATTGTCGCAGCATGACAAGATAACGTTCGTCGTTCGAAACGCCGCCCCAGCCCCATGGTCGAGAGCAAAATTCGCCGAATCCCTGTGCTTCTCCGCGAAAGGGAAAACCTTCAACCTTGTTGCTGTATTTGAACTCCAGCCGTCTTTCTCGCATGCTTCTCCCAGCTCCCAGCTGCAGGATTACCTCAGAGATGAGGAATCCGTCTGTTTCGAGTATGCTACGTCCACAAACGACCTGGCCCTGCGGCTGTGGCCTGTCTCTCGGGCCCGAACTCCGTGACGTTGACATACGCCTTCAACAAGGCAATGGCAATGCCCAGTGCCCAGTGCCCAGTGCCCAGTGCCCAGAGACACCAATGAAGCTCTGGATAGACCTGCATGTATCTACATGGACTATGGACTCTGATCGTCTCCAGTCTCCAGTCCCGCATCGAGAGAGTCTCGTTCACCGCACACCAATTCAGCCCGCCTCGTTGGCGATGATGCATACATAGTCGATACCCTGTCCATGGAACCCCTCGAGTCTCGGTGGCTTTTGTCTATCTCCCTGCGAGGCCTACCTATGACTACCGATGTGGTTAGTCTATAGGTACCTCTGCTTCCTCGTCTCTCTGCCACCCGTATCCGTACCCGAACCCAATATGCTCTCGCACAATGGGCACATTGAAGCCGGTATCTATGGCGACCTTTGCCAGTTATCTCAAGGGTCTCTGTTATGTGCATCATCGAAGAAGATCTGCATTCCGGGTTACTGCCCGTGTCCGCCTTTGCCCTCCCTTGCTATGCTTCTTCACACCTTTACCATTTCGGGACAAACGGACTGAACCCTTTGATACCCGTCAACAACTCAATGCACATACTAATGGGAACCAAAAGGACCCAAACCTTCCAAAGGACATCTGCTGGAATATTTGTACTAGCACCATCATTCCCCAGTGTCCGGAGGGGACCGCCTGCAGCTCACAAATGGGGTTGCTGGCAGCGCTCCTCAACCAGGTACACCAACTTACACAGTACTGGCGTTGCCGTCCGCTGTGTAACATACGTGCCCTCACCCCTGCCGCCGCCATCATGTCTTCTGATGACGGCGCTGACTTACGGTATGTAGCCAAGGGCCTGCCTTGGGTTCAGCCGTTCCCTACAGGCTACCAGCTCATATCCCAGCCGCCATGTACCGCATCCTGGCTTGTTCCATAAACGCGAACATGCGCTGGGCCCTGACCAAGCTAAGCGCCTCTTGTCACTCTTCTTTGATGCTCACAGGTTTCCTTCACCACCATCTGCCGCCGCCCTCGCGGGTTCGTTCTCGCAGACAACACGCCTCCCAAGTGGGTCTGGTCTCTCTGGCTGCCTTTTCTCCCCTTTCACCAGTGCCCAATTAGGCCTGGGCACGTCCTCCCGACGCCTTTCAACGGCGTCCGCTACGGTTTAAAGGTAGACAGACTCCCTCGCCATGCTTGACCTCCCACCTCCTTCGCCCCTTCCCATATACAGCCTGCCTGGCAGCTCAGCTGAGTTTCTCTCGCTTTTGGCTTCGCCTACACCTATCCATGGGGGATGACATGTGTCGTGTCCATATTGCGTAAGCACAGGAGCGATTTATCCCCGTAGCTCGTTCTTATCTCCTCAACCTGCATCCTCGTAAGCTCTGTGCTACCATTCCACGTCTGAGTCTGCTGCCACTCCCACACGCCCAGTTTATATTACTTCTCGATACCTGAACTCCTTCTGCTTCGACACCGTTATGTTTACAGTCACCTCACCTGGAGCTTGAACGACCCCTTTCGCGAATAGACCTTTTCGAACGTCTTCGCAAGTTCACAATAAGACCCATGGCCTCCGCTAAGTCTCGCCAACCTCGCCTTCGGGCATCTTGTGACGGCTGCTTTTTAGCCAAGGTCAAGTGCTCCAAAGCCAGGCCGATTTGTTCTCGCTGCCTAGCCTGTGGCATCGATTGTCGATACTCGCCCTCGAGCAGGGCAGGAAAACCCAAGGCCGACCCAAATGGCAACCTTCATACCAATGGTCATCACAATCCCCAGCACATGTACGGCCTTGTGAAGGACGAGCCCATGGCGTATTCCACGCCACACCAAGCTCACTCGGAGCACATGTTTCGGATCGAGACAGGCTGGACAACTCCTCCGACCAGCGCCGACGGCAGCATGAGCCGGGATCCGTCCATATCCACCGGCCTGTCAATGCTCGGAGTTGACGACAGGGCAATGCACGAACACGACCCAATGTCGGCCCCACCAGAACTGTACTCTTCCACGATGCCGTGGACCCCTCCTACCGACTTCCCCTTTGCGGAGGTGCCCATCTCGACGGCTCATATGACTGGTGCACACATGCGATCTCAGTCGTTCGATGTCTCCATGGCCACTCCAATGCCCTGGTCAGATCCGGCAGCACACGACATGGTCTCATACTCCCAGGTGCCAACGCCGGCAAGCGGAACCACAAACTTTTTCCCAAGCCCAACAGCAACGCCTACTATGCGTCCGACAAGCTCGCGGCAGAAATCTTCCTCCTCACTCGGCGGAGGCTCTTGCAACTGCTTCACGGTCTGCCTCCAGTCACTCCAAGCTCTACATAATGCCTCATCGCCGGCGTTGCCACCGTTCGACGTCGTCCTGTCTGTTAATAGCAAGGCTGTCGAGGGATGTGCAGCTATGCTGGCGTGTAACAGGTGTTTCAGTCGCTCCGGAACACAAACTGCTACTATGCTGCTCGCAACCGTCATCGGCAAGATAACCTCATTTTACAAGAACGCCTCGTTTTCGTACCTCGACACTGGTAGCATGGGCTTTCCGTACAACACCCCAGGGGGTCCATTGGGGGTCAGTCTTGGTGTATATCAGCTAAACGGCGAAGATGGAAAATGGTTTGAGCTCGAAATACTGGCTCGTGAGCTTCGCAAATTGGAAGAGGTTTACGCCAAGTTCCGCGACGTATGCCACGACGTATCCGACGACCAGGAAGTCACCAACGCGATGCTAGGATATCTTGGGCAAAACCTTGACTCTACACTGGAAGTACTCAACCACAGGAAAGGCGACATGACATTTGTTGCTTGAGGACTGTGACCAAGGACACCGATGAGTTCTGAACCACACCACACGTCCTGGTAACACGGCATCCAAAAACGGCAGGATACAGAGGCCAGCACTGTATCAGCGGCGATAGATCTCTATGAGTCTTGTTGGTGGAAGTTGCTTCCAACATCCCCCCTCTTTCTACGATACACGAGTTCGGGAGTCAGTCACCAGTATTCAGCGTCACAGAAGACTATCTGGGGATTCGTTCAGCCCCACAACATCAGCGCAGGCTGTTGGACTGTGCCGTAATGATTGATTGAGGTGCGAACCGGAGAAGGGTCTGGCAGGGCATGACATGATGATATGAGGCTTGCTTCGGAGTACTCGGCGTTATGGCGTTGATTGTGGCTCATCGTGCTTGGACAAGGCACCGCGTTGACGGTGGATACCCATCTCACGTTTGGATCTTCTTAGAGATGATACCATCATGTACAGATAGCATGATGCATGATAACTGCAGACATGTGTACGTTTGAGAATTGCATTGGCCAGAACAGCAGAGGTAGTCCTTAGTAAAAGTTGATGATGTCTTCTTTACCTTATGTCGCTCTTCCCTCTGACTTGAGTCTACTATCGACCAAGTCATCCGGGACACTCACAGAATTCAATGACAGTGACATCTGGCAGTTGTGTCTCATCCGCAGAACTTTTGGATATTTTGGGATTCACATGATCGAGCTACCGGCCGTAATTGAAGCCACTTGGCTTGCGGGCCGTTAATAACTGTCACTGGACCAAGCCATGTTTCTAGTCGAGGGTAGGGTCTCCCTCAACGGTCATGAGCGTTATTGTCTCATCGACAGCCAGCCCATCTGAAGCTGGCAGCTGCCGTAATCAACCGCCTCGTCACCTCGAAGCTGGCTGGCTGCTGACACGAGTTTCTACTTCCGAAGCTTCCGCGAAACGCCATCCATCCGTAATCACCCGGTCAACGGAGGCTTCCACATCTCAACAAATCGGATCAACGAACGCAGATCTAGCAATGCGCATTCTCGATAAAAGAGATTGTGATGACGGCTTCACCTCTATCTATCGGGCTGCACCCTACCTAGAAGATTAGGTATGGACGCATCACTGCGAGAAGCCGACATCCGGGGCCCGGCCACCCATTTCAGGAAAAGCCGATACGCAAAGTAGCAGTTCTTCCCAATCGGTCGGCAATCTACGAACGAGCCTGGTGGTCATCTGCAGGCTCAGTCACACTGCGAGTCTCCCGATTGGCTCTTCAGATGGTTGGTTGTATTTGGGAGAGATTGGAGGCTCTTCCCGGCTGCTACGATGCCCCCCAAAGCCAAGAACTGACGCGAGATTGATCTTGCTATCCGCAAGATGCGATGCGATGCGACCTCGCGCATTATACCAAGCGTGGGGCTCAGGCTATATAAGCTGCGGTATAGAGTCGGATTCTCTATGCCGGTATCGCCGCGTTCGCTTACCTTATCTTACCTTACCTGCAAGCAGACCCGGCCAGACAGACAGACGACCCTGAGATGGCGTTCGAGTTTGGAGTAAGCGGTGGGAGCTGTCAGGAGGCGGTCACTGTCGTATAATGACAGCGTAAGGTAGCCTATTGAAAGATTTGGGATTTCACCGGTCCCAGACGAACGTCAAGTGCAAATGAGGCGAGGTCTGGCCCTGGACGCCTCTGGAGACTGGCTGTCAAAACCGAGGTAGGTAGATAGAAGGACACCTCCTGTCTCGTCCCCTTTGTCCGTTGCAGGCAGCGTCAGCTGGCACTTCTTCCCATGCAACATAGACGCAGCACGAAACGCAACCGAACGACCGCGCGTCTTCGTGACTGGTATACTTCAGCCGCCAAATACTACGTCGGTTTCACATGTTGTTGTTGGGGTGGCATTGGAGGCAGTTGGTTGGCATGACGTGCTGAGGGGAACGAGGTTTGTGACTTCCAAGATTGTGAAGGCGATCATTAAAATTGCAGAGCTGATGCAACTCTAACTCTGACGATGGAGAGGCACGGGGAAGGACCCTGCAGATAGCACGTATATAACCAGATAGGGAAATAGGGGGATAGATGAGGTTGGCTTTGAGTTCGCCTACTAAACCTCAAGGGATGATCATTGATCCCCGCGCTCTCCCTTAAACCCCTGCTAGTGCTCCCTAGAGCCCGTGCTTCTTCAGTGGGCTCAGTGGGGTCAGTGTGCTACGAATCTTATAAGTTAGGAAATTTAAGCTTGCGCCTGTTCCTCGGGTGCCGGCACACTAAGGTAGCGCTCGCGGGTGGTGTGATTAACGTGAGGTCGTATCTGATACTAGAGGATGGTCCGGGCAGATCCCCATGGGAGGTGGGAGGTGGGAGGCCCGCAGTTCACTAAACCTTATCTTGGAATAAACCGTTGGCCCGGGATCGCATCGGTGGTCGGTATGTCTGCCTCCCGTCGTCTTCCCGTGTCCGACGCTAGTCCTCGACTCTAGACTCTAGATTCTATACTCCCACAGACGGCACACACACACACACACACACACACACACACTTCATCGATGCTCGGTAGGGGGCGTCTCACCATCATCATCCTGCCATTCAGCCAACCAGCTCGCTCTCAGCCAATGTATCTGGATATCCATCCACCCATCCATCAATCCATCTACTTAGTACTTTCCCTCTCCACTCGGTTGTCACTCACACCAGCGCCTCGAACTGCGACGCCCCATCATCCCGACGTTCCGGTTCTCGTGCCTGATCGAAAGGGACCACCATCTTCTCAGATCTAGCCCATACGCCTCTCACGCCACCAAGGTACCCCACGAGTCCATGGTCCCCTACCTAACTCTACGCCCAGTTGAAATGTTCCGAATCGACGCCTCTAGACTGCATCAAAAGTCATGACGGGATTCTCTCGGAATACGGCACGGGACAACGCGCAGCCGCTGCTGCTGCTGCTGCTGCTTTACGATTGGCCTCCCACCAGTGCGGAATGCTAGACCTAGTCGTAACGCAGGCGGCAAATGATATCTATGGTCCCTTCTCTATTGATCCGAGCAAGTAGCGCGGCGCGTATCGGGCTGGACTACCTTAGCCTGGACTGGTCTGCGAAGGACACCAGTGACCGGCCTCTTTCACGAGAACGCACCTTGACGCGGACATACCGCATGCTGAGGTATCATTTCCCACTTTCTGTCGTCTGCAGGGCCCACTGATCCAGCCGAATGCACGATCGATTTGAAGCTGGAGATCGCCCAGGCTGGTGCTTTGCGCGGCATGCACTGTACAGCACCTGGCCTGAGGCTGAAGAGTAATCTGCCTCCACCGTTCCGGGATGCCACGTCTAACCTCCAACGTCGTTGGTCGCGAAACTCTCTTGGAGGCTATGCGGTTCGCTTCCAGTCTATTGTCTCGTGCAGCGAGGCGCTGCTCGAGCTGACGTGCTACTCCTCCTGAGCTATCTTGGGATCTCTATAAGCCCCTTGGGTACCTCGCAATCGTTCCGCCGCCTAGCGATCCTTGACTTCCAGGGATTATGCGTACTCTGGGGTAAACATATGATGCTCCGCTGGAAGATCACTTCCTATATATGAACTGCCATCGATGTGTCGCTCATGTCAAGCCTTGGCACTTGTCAGAGCCGAGCATCTTCATTCGCTGGTGGTGACAGCTCATAAGCCTGCAAGCCGGGGTGAGCTTGTCTTCACTTCTGGCTGATATGCAGTCTTGCTGCTACGACAACCTCCATCTCTCAGCTGCCTAGACCCCATGAGCCTGGCCTAGCTTCGCTTCCCGGGTGGCTTCCCTGTCGTACCGACCAATCTTGTCAAATAGGGAAACCTTGCTCACCGACCTTCGCCACCCACTGTCGCAAGACCAAAGCCCCATACATCCAAGTCCTGGATAGGTACGGCCCGCCAGCGATCTGCCGTCTGAAGATTGCTTGGGGTTGGGGTATTGGAGTATGGAGATTGTACTGAGCCGGAATACACCAGCACTCGATCTAGCCCCTTCGGGGAATTGGGGGGGGGGGGGTCCCCAGTTGCTCCTGATTGAAGCTGGTCATGCGGTTCTCAGCCTTACCATCCTTCTGTGTCACGAATCCCGTTGTCTTCTGATCTGACACCGGCATCTGCTGTTCCATGCCGCTGATATCTCCAACAGCCACCCACCCAGTACGACATTGTCCGCCAAGAATGCCACCTGCACGTCACTTCTTGGACGCCGCAAGGAGCGCCATAAGCAGTAACACTTGAAAGCGACTCGGTCCCGAAATGTCCAGGCGGCACCGGTGACCCAGGTCATGTTTCCGAACCCAAACATCAGCATCCACGAAAGCCACGGACCCTCAAGGGAGATGACCGCTGATGATCATCTCATCTATGTAGCGTTTTGTCAGAGGCGTGCCCGCGGTACTCTGCGGGGCCCAATCACCGACATGCTGCTCACTCAAACAGGGACATGCGACTTTCTTATTGCTGGTGTTGGTATATGCGTTGCCCTTTATGTTGCCTTCTCTATCAACGAGTCACAAACGCGGCATGGAAACATCCGGTTGGAATCAAATAGCGGCCGTTGTGTGACCGGATATCGCCATAAGTCGTCCTGACAGCTGGGCTTGGCAGCTCCAAGCCTTCAAGCTGTATCGAGGAAGTATGAGATACCCTCATCGGAACTGACCGAAGAAGTATAGTTGCATATTTACTCCAATCTCGATCAGTCACTTTTACTCGTAAGTGCTTTATCAAGGTAAACAGCAAGGTGCAGCGTTAGGGATTTGCTTGACGTAAATAGACCTCGTGTTGGACTCTGGAAGATCAGCTCGGATAGGCTACGTATTAAGGCCTAGATGCGGAAATTTTATGCCATGCGGCCTCTGCCATTGAAACCTGAGATATCAGTTGCTTCGTCTACATTTCTTCCTTCAATCGCACGTCATGAGCCACTCGTATGTCATCCCCTGAAAGTCCCCTGCAATCAAGTTGTTTCTACAAAAACGAGGAGCAAATCTAATATAGTTAATTAATACTTCACAATCCATTATCAATGCTATCGTCGTCCTAGGTAGGGACGGACTCAGATAGGCAAGTCGAATTGATCATGTACCAAACGTACATACATGTGAGGTACCGATACAGTGGACTGCATATGTACGCAGGCCTTTCCATCAGCATTTTTTGGACTATGCCCAGTCACATATCAAGGACGAAGATTGCGAGACGATGAAAGCTGACTGCAAAGCAGCAGACAGGCAACTGGCTCGCTCGTACAGCTACCCCTATCAAAAGGCACACAGCGTCCCCAGCAGATAGGGGTCCAGGATCCATTGTGCCGAATGAGTACGACACCAGCTGCGCCAGCCTGTGCTCCTCATCCATCGCCGTTACCAAACAGAGCTGAGTCCAGCCACTCGGCGCCATGACTATGCCTTCTTTTCCTTTCCTCCGTTCTCCTGGCGTTCACCCCGTGCATGATCGACCATCATCTGCAGGAAGATCTGGTAGGTCTGGTAGGTCCAGTGCGCCACCTCGTCAGTCTGAAACGCATGCCACGAGTGTTTGGGGGTGGTGGGCCGTCAAACGAGCTGATCCTCGAGCTGATCCTGACGCCCGGGTGTGCAGATCTGCTCTGATCTGGGGCGTCACCTGCTGGGCGAGGGTGAGGGTGAGATCGCATCTGACCTGCATAGATGCAGAGAGACGCATTGATGGCCAGGCTGCGTCACGCATGCAGGACCTTGGCTGTGTCGGTGTGTTTAGTTGGGTATAATTGGTTTGGTTTGGTCTGTTCTGAGTACCTGGGTTGACGAGATGGGTCGATGATATGGGGCAGAGAGGCTTGAGCGTCATGCGAGGACGCAGGCCGTGCTTGTGTGCTAGCTGGTAGCTGCATGTACAAACATGCTTGACAAGTGAGGCTCAATATAGATTATGGAGGGACTTTAGGACCTAGGTATTTTTGGTGACATTTACGGATAGTTGATCGTACCGTCGTACTGATACTGGTAGTCTCATATTGAGCCCCTGAACGCAGCGCAGCGCATCAACTCATCTCATGCGAAGCAACAGCTGACGACGACCAACTGTCCGGCTAGTCTTGGCGGGATATGTGAGGAGACGGTTTGCATGTAGAAAAACAGATGTATGTATTGTGCGTTCCAGTAAACCTGCCTCGCCTCATGGCGATAAGATGTGATGTGAGGTCATGACGAGGTCGTCTAGTCGTGTATAGCGTGTTACGGGGTATGAAGTATGGAGCCTCAAGACATGCCGACGCCTACCTGAGTGACTGAGGGCATCAGCATGCGCCCACGCCGAAGCCCTCGCATACCCCTCTGGTTCCTATATTGCAGCACTTACCAACTCCCCCATCCACCACCGTTCCAGCCTGATATCACGTTAGTTCACAACCCCGTGCCGGCAGCACGAAGGAGGTGAAGATCTCCAAGCAGTAGGTTAGGTAGCCCAGTCATAAACGCCCAAGAGCCTATGCATACGTATATGTAAGTGTATGCCGTCGAATCGTTTCGATCTACATCATAAGCCTCCCGACGGGACGACACGGGAGGGTGGCGAGAGTCAGTTTCAATTTACGCCGCTCACCGCTCGCTCACCGAGAACAGGACCTCGTGGGTGCGCAATGCGACGCTGGGACCTAGCGATGGGGCGTGTGGGGTTGGGGGTAGGTGGGAGATGGTAGAAGGTAGACGCTGCACGTCAAATGTCTTACTTGCATGTTGCTTATGAGTTGCATTATTCAGTTCTCATTCCGTGTCATTGTGACTGTGTGTGGGGGATGTAATGCTACGGTGAGATGTACCTTAAGCTAATCTTGCATGTGGCCATGCACATTATATGGGGTTGACAAAGGTGGGGTTACATTCCTAGGGGGCACAGGACGCGTGCTGCATAGGAGTAAACTGCTCTCCTTTCGTTTCTAGATCTATGTATATGAGGCGTTGATGGTAGATAACATGCGATCAAGGTCCAGAATGACCTAATCTGGTGCAGGCTATAGCTCATCCGCTATGGTGACGGGCGGATCAAGCTCATTTTCCTCTGCTTGCAATCTCATTGTGCTGACTTTTCTTCCGAACTCCTAGCGGTGGGTGCCAGTATCTGTGCCACGGGTGGAACGTGTAGTGCCATAACGGCATGCTAACCTAAACGCCACCACCTGAGCAGCGGATAACTTGGCCTAGGTGGGATTAGCGACAGGTTGCAATGGAGTGGGCAGTTGGGAAAGAGGGACAGGAAGAAAGCAGAGGGACGATTGTGAGTACTGACCATTGATCCATTCGCCCTCCTCACTGATCAGGCAGTAGACGGCCTTGCCGATGTCAGCGGGGACACCGACACGGTCCAGGGGGCACATCTTGCGCAGGCCGTCCTTGATGTGGTTGATGTCCATGCCCTTGTGGCCGCCAGGCACGTAGTGCCAGCTGTTCTCGTCGAACATGTCGGTCTGGATACCGCCGGGGGCGATGGCGTTGCAGGTGATGCGGCGCGGGCCGCAGTCGACGGCGAAGGCGCGCGTGAAGCCCTCGACGGCGGCCTTGGAGCCGGCGTACAGCGCGTGATTGCCGATGCCGGCCATCTGGGCGGCGATGGACGAGGTCAGCACGATGCGGCCGCCCTCGTTGCAGTGCTTGAGGCCCTGCTGCGCGACGAAGAACTGGCCGCGGCAGTTGAGGCTGAAGACCTCGTCGAAGAGCTCCTGCGTCACCTCGGTCTCCTCGCACCAGACCTCCATGCCCGAGTTGGACACGGCGTAGTCGATCTGGCCAAAGTGCGCCAAGGCCTTCTCGAAGAGGCCCGCGATCTCCGCGGGCTTGGTGATGTCGGCCTGCATGGCGACCGACTTGGAGCCCAGCTTGCCGAGCTCGGCGACGACCTCCTCGGCCGAGCTGGAGCTGCGGCTGTAGTTGACTACGATGGAGGCACCGCGCTTACCGAGCTCGAGGGCGATGCCGCGCCCGATACCTCGGCCGGCGCCGGTGATCAGAGCCACCTTGCCAGCCAGAGGCTTGGTCTGGTTGCTCATTGGCACGTCAGATCCTGTGCTGAGATCTGAGGTGGCAGTAGGCATGATGACTGCGTGAAAATTGGGAGAACACAGGGTATCTGTGAAGGGGAAACGGGGAAGAGTGTGGCAGTCGACACCAAGTAGGGGCTTGTCTGGTGATAATGGATGGGAAAAAGCACTTAGGACCCTTTATCCCCTCTCTTATAACGGACCATGTCTGGAGCTCCGGCATGTGGAGGACTTCACTTGGGGTAAAGTTATAAGACAGCTCGAGAGTGGCCAGGGTCCATCGGAGACGGACGCCAACCTCCTGGGGAAAGCAAGCGCTCAGAATCCTTTTGGGCCCGGAGATGTCGACTCGCGCCATGGAATGCCGCAGTTCGGAGGCGATATCAACGCGAGCCCGAAAATGCAATGGAGAGTGTCCGCCTGAAGCTCTCTGTCAATCTCTACATGTAGAGTGGATGGTTGCTGGCGATGCTCGCGCGCGTTGAATACCTCATACAAGAGCCGCGAAGTTCTTGCCCGAAAGTTCTCCCATGCTTACTGGGCACTATATGCAGAGTTTCCGGCGATGTACGACACAGCTGTGCGCTTTAGATGTCTGCTGAGATGCCGCACGGATAGCTTGTCCTACATCGTCCAAAGTCGTGTCACTTACGCCTGCATGGCGATCCTGGACCCCATCGGACTTCCGTACTGAGACTTCCCACTCTCTGGACCTCGATATTGATAGGATTAATTATCTTGCGGTTTCCGAGCGGATATACGTCCGCCTCAGGTTCGGAAACGCGAATGCGCGAGAGGTGGTGATCTAAGTTCACCGCTGGGCGTCTTCCAAGGTTGCAAAATCCCCTGACGTCGGTTTCAAATTTGACGTCGGACCCCAAGACGGCCGGCGTAGGGCTCCCAGTTGTCAGCCAGCTGGCTAGCTTCTCTTCATTTCTCATTCCGCCAAAATTGATCCGGTTTCTTCTCATGACCTTCACTAACACTTCAATACAGACATCTCCCGCCTCGTGAATAATCCAAGAAGAACGACAGTCGCCTATGCCCCTGAAGAATCGAGGTTCGTAGCCGCACCCTGCAGTGAATTCAGAGCCGTGGATTACAGGTGGCGATGAGGCCGTTGGTTGTTGGTTGTTGGTTGGTTGATCCAAAGCTTCAGGGCCTAATTCTTTCACATGGACACGAGTTACATCACAGCCCACACCATCACAAGATCGTCCGAAGCTTAGGTATAACAGCGGATACCAAAACATTTTGAGTGGTTGTGGCTGAGCAGCCCCCATCGATGTGACCCTGCCAGGTAGGTAAGCCGGACCACGTTATGCTGTTGGCTCCTGTCAGCTGCAAGAATATCAATCTTCCTAGCTGCGTCTGTGACTCGTGAGTCCTCGTGCTTGCGTAGTAGTGAGGCTTCATCCGGGTACGTGGTACGAGGTATGTCGTGGGGTGGTGCCAGAGAGAGAACAGATGGCCCTCGTGAACTACCCTGCGCCATCCTATATTGACATATAGGACTGATAGCAAAAGCAGCCCAGCTCGGCGCACAAAGGCCCCCGGTGTCTGTCACTCCGGTGTGCCGGGATTTTCTCCTGTACGCCCCGACCGAAGATAAGGCTCCGTCAGAACCGACTGTACTACTACATTTCCAATCCCCAATTCAGTCCGCCGCCACCCATTGAACGCCTCCATGTAGAAGAAGCCTCTATGCTTCGTGGACTCATGGGACTGGAGAACCCTGAACTGGGCTTCTGATATTGGTAGGATCCTGCGCCGCCTCGATCCTACCTGCGACTAGAACGGCGATCATCCGGGGGTATCACCGCAGCCCTGACCAGTGGATGCCTGCCGGCAAATCACGAGGCATATCATAGGTAGCAGCTGCATACTTGGCAGCCGCATCAGGACACAGCAGCGTCAGATCGCCGGTAACCAATCAGCCGCGAGCTGCACTGGTGTTGGGCTGAACGGAGCCAAGCCGGGGGGAGGGTGGGCTTCCAGATGACGGAAAGGGGTGTCCTCATCTGCTCCACAGGTCTACCCCAGAGCAGGGCGCGGATCCGGCTGAAAGTCTGCTGCAGGGTCGCCGCAAGGGGGCCCCAGGATGTATCCCACAAGGCGGCAGCCTGTCTCGGCAGATATACGATCGCAGGGCCAACCACGACCCTGGTCTTGCCATGCCAAGTCGTGGATCTGTGTGATCTGTAAGGCTCCAAGCCCGGGGTCTGCTGGTTGGAATCGGTACCACGTACCGGTATCGCGAGAGGCGCGCAGAGAACGAAAGCGATGGGGTTATCTCGCAGCGCATCGTGGCAGGCCGGCCAACTAGTAGTCTATCCTGTTGCTCGTAATCCAGCCGTGCAGACGCAGCGCACCATCCCCACCGTGGCACATCCGTCATGTTTCTATTTTCGAAAGAACTCCAACGGTTGGACGGGTGGAGAGATATGCGCATCGTTCCAACACGATCACATCCCGTACCAACTGTCGATCTAGACTTTGGACGTACCTATCTCGTAATGAGTGGACATTGAGCACTGCCCTCGAAGTTTAACCCCAACCTTGGAATCTTGCGAGCTGGGGTTCCCCTCCCCAGGTTTCCCTGATATCATACTCGACTTGGCACCGTCACGGTGGTGCCATATAGACATAGCCCGGCACATTGGGCACAAAGGTGCTATCTCGGCAGCTTTAGGGCCGAGACCCCTGAAGTTTATGAAGTAGATCCCTCTTGCTAATGGCATGGCGGAGATCCAGGCAATATCGCTGTGCTTAACCGCAAACTGTAAAGTCTTCATGTCCGTATACCCTCACCGGTGATTAGTAACTGCACTGGCAGGGGGCGTCTGTGCGAGCACAAGAACCCGAAAGTCCCATCCCAGCAGCGATCCTTCTCTGGCGACCAATGGCTCGGTCTGCCGCTCACTAATCAAGTAGTCCAATCCAACAACCAAACATGAAGCCAGAACTCCGTAGGTGAGGCTTGGTCATCAGCACCAGTAGAGCACCAGCACAATGACATCGTAGAATTCGACGCTGGACTGCTCCCTTACCTTGATAAAGGGATAATTATAGAGCTGCTATCTCGGTCAGCGTCCCCCACGTACGTCGCAAAGGTCCCAGTCCTGCCGCGCGTCGTTGCACCCACGCCCGTAAGGCTGAGGTCAGCACCACACACACAGACGCATACACGCAGGACCCGGACAGCCAGCGGGTGAGCATCCAGACGAAGGGCAGATGGAGGGAGGGACGTTCACACCAACTTGCGGCGTAGTGCATGGATGCTACCACCCGTTCAGGGGTTGGACAGGACAAGGAGGGTGGGTAGAGCTAGGTATGAAGTGGGATCACGATGACTGATAGCCCGCAGGGTGGGTGACGCCGCAGACGTGCGTTTTGGTCTTCTTGACCACCCACTTATCTCAAGGCTCGGGGTCTAGGCCAGGAGATGCCAAGGTATGTATGGAAGTACTTACCTTAAAGTACGTGTGCATAAAGTACGAAGTACGACGGCGCGGGAGAGCGGGAGCGAGCGCACACCGCACACAGACACGGATTCACTGTCAGTTCATTGCCCTAGTCAGGGTGTCCAACGACTCAGATTTCATACTCCTGATGCTGGTGGGCTTCCTCCAACCCCGGGTTTCCCTTTGTCTTACGTATTTTCCACCTCCACTCCACCACCACACACACTGATAGTTGGTGGGCGGCGGGCTAATCTAACCCACGGCGCAGTGATGAAATTCAGAAAATCGGAGCATTAAGCTAGTGTATCAGAGTGTGAGGGTGTGGATGTGAGATTGGGTGACAAAGAGATCTGCACTCAGCGCTGCCGCTTCACTCTATCTTAAGTCAGGCAGTCTGGTAATAGTCTGCTTATGCTTCGAGGCAGACGCACAGAGTCAGACCGTTCCTGTTCGTATGACGACATGCGCCCTCGTTTGCGGAAAGCGAATCTTCAGACGAAACGCGGGCTGCAGTAGAGAGAAGCCTAAGTTTGATCGGGGGTCAAAGTCACACGCTGCCTGTAGCTTCCAATGATGCGGAGTGCATGGCGGGAGAATCGCAAATCTGGAATCTGGGTATCTGGACGTGAACCCAAACCGGGGCTTCGGACTCAGAGACGATGCTTGTAGCGGTAATCCATGAGCATGACCAAACTCTCTGCGGAGATTCAGGGGTCGGTGCGGGTCGATGTAGATTTCAAACTTTCCAAACAGATATCTAGCGATTGCCTAGCCAAAAGCCAAAAGTCAAAAGTCAAAAGCGCCTATCTCCAGGTCCGGGAGCGCCTCATTAAATGTGATCTATCTGATTATATCATGTACAATGAAATTCGGGAGAAACCAAACACCAAAGCCAATGGCCCAGATTCCGGGCTCTAACTCTAACAAGTGAACCTCACCAGTGAAAGAGTTTCGAAAGTCTAGTCAGAAATAGAGGCAAAAGCAGCCAGCCCAAGACTCCAAGGTCCTACATTCATCGGCTCCCCAGGTATCACACATCATGATCCGGCCTGTTCCCCAGCGTCAGTCCAAACGCCCCGTAGCCCAGTGTCCGTACGTCAACGTACATCCTGAAAGAAGACATTGACCGTGGTAACTCCTCGTCTCTTCGTGTATATTATGTATGTTATGTGTGTATCGTGTATGTTGTGTGTGCATCGTGTATGTGCTTGCGTTTCGTATGTAGCGGCCTCGCCACGACTCTAGAACTGTATACAACCGCCACGATGGAAATGACCTGGAGCCAACACATAGAAAAGGAGATGAAGGAAGAATAAGCTGGTGATGTGCTTCCTAGACATTGGTAGTGCTGAGCGCATCGACGTTCCAGTTGTTGGCCAGCGTGATCAGCTTCCGCCTGATGCCGTCGCCAAACCGGGAGCTGATGCTACTCCCAATCATCTTGATGGCGTACTCAAGGACCTCATTCGGTTTCTCCAGACTGGCAGCCGTGCCGTCCTGGTGGGTCAAGACGGGCACGCCGGTGTTGTGCCACAGGTAGTTGATCACGGCTTGGTCCTCCGGGGTGACCTGATCGATGGCGACGGGGCTTCCCGCATCGCGCTTCTGGAAGTTGGGATCCAGCCGCGAGATGCTGTCGGTCCAGAGGATGAGCGTTGTTCGGTAGAGCGCCGCACTCCACCAGCTGGGACGGCGGTCGCCGGCCATCGAACGCAGTAGGCGGCACACCTGGCCGCAGCGGAAGATGGCCTCCTCGCGCTGGTAGATGCACCGCTTGTGCCGGAGCGACAGCTCCCAGTATGACGGGCCGTCGAAGCCCTCTCGCCTTGCCAGCTTCTCGATCTCGGGGAAGTTGGTGACGGCGTTGAGGGAGATCAGGTGGTATAGAACCAGGTTGGTCTTGCTTATGGGACAAATGGGGTTCGCCTTGCAATAGGTGATGCTGAGCTCGTACCACTTCTGCAGGAGTGCCTGAACCTCCACCAGGCGCTCCTGGGTGGAATCCTTCGTCACCGTTCTTGCGCCGGTGCGGCGTGCGCTCAGGACGTCAGAGAAGCACGAGAGCATCTGGCGTAGGTGGCACAAGAGCGTCTGCAAGGGGTGCAACAACAACCTCAGTTCATGGGGTGTCAGTTCGCCGTGCGCCTGTCTCCTTTGCAAGTTGTCGTGGAGGAAGCCTTGGAACAAATCATAGAGCGATGGCGTCAGTGCAGGCGCAGTGGTGAGCAGCTGCGGGCTGACATTCACACAGCCGTAGACGTTTTGCATCGTGGCGACCCATTGCTGCGCGTTGGTTGACAGCCAACACAGCTCGGAGGCGGGTAAAGGAGCGCACAGGTCGCTGATGGAGAGCATGGGGGCTATATCGTGGAATAAGCTGAGCTCTTGGTCGACCAGGACCCAGTTATACGCCAGTCTGACCATGAAGTCAGCATTCCGCGTCAAGTATTGGCCGTAGCACAGCGACAGATGAGACATACCTGTTCTGTGTCTCCCGCTGCAGCCACGCCCGCCATTGCAGCTCGGCATTGGTCGAGCTGTTGAATGAAGGGATCATCGAGGCCTGGGACTCGAACATCCCCGCATGTCTCAACATCTGCGCCGCACTTGGTCAACATCGACGTCCTTAACAGTTCTTAGGACTTCAAATGGATATGGAGGGAGCCTTACCGAGAGGTACATCCCACGCTGGCCCATTGCAATGTCCATGAGCCACTTGTCACCACTCCAGGCGCCCAGGAGTGTGAAGAGCAGGGCGCATCGGAGAGCTGTCGGATCAGCGCACATCTCGACATCCTTCTCAATAATGTCGAACAGTGAGATGCGGCAGGTCTCAATCAAGCCCGCGGCAAGAGCCCGAGCCTCTGCTGTCGGTATCGCCGAGGCTCCTTGCGCGACCATAAGTAGGACTAGGAGTGTTGCGGCCTGGTTGTTTTCGAGCATTTCATTTGGGTCCACACTGCCGGTCGAGACTAGGGAGTAGAAGAACGACAGGTTCCGGACGTAGCTCCGCAGGAAGTATTCCAAAATATTTGACGGTGGGAGGACGAGGAACGTAAGAAGGTCGGGGCTGGCGTAGCGCTTGTTGCGGCTATGGACACCGCCGCCATGGATCTCAAGGGCCTTGTGCAGAAAGGTCTGGGTGATGGCGAGCATCTTGTCGCGGGTCCGAGTGGTGATGGTCACTACGGAAGCCAGATCGGCAGCATCCCAGTCCACCTGCTCGAGATATTGCTCCAGAGTGTGCCAGGTTCCTTCGTGCTTCGACTTCTGTTCCAGGCATTCCAGGTGCACAATGGCTGTCCGTGGACATGTGCCCGAGTACATGGGGGGGTTGCACCGAGCGAGGGGCCAAGCAGCTTCGGCGGCGATGACGACCTCGAACTCAGGGATCATGGTGTCTGATGGGGCATTCAAAGCCATGTTCGCCGGTTTTACGGCAGGTTCGAACTCGACATTGGACGTTATGCTAGTGCTTCTTGTGTAGATCGATCCGGAAGACGAGTTGACCTGCTCCGACTTTGATGGTGACCTGGACCCGGAAGACGAGGTGACATGCTCTGGGTTTGACGATGACATGTCGCTGAGCTCTGGGAATGCGGTAATTGACAAATCAGCTGGCACCAGTGGCATGTTGCCCGAGTACATGTCGAAGTCGAGAGGATAGTCTGACCAGAGGAACAATTCCTGGTAGTTATGGTCATGTGGCATAAAATCTGCTCCATGCTGGACGAACTCGTCGACGAAGTTGTCTATCCTCGTATGCGGAGACGGGTAGTCTTCAGAACTTATATTGGAGCTGCAAGGGGAGTTCTTCTTGAGCCGACTTTCATGTTGTGGTATACTCGGATCCAGCGTCATGCCAACTTCAGGGGATATCGGCGCCTTGATCGGTTGGTCTGAACTAGCTGCAGTCTGGTCTATGTCCATGAACGCAGGGTTGACCGTTGAGGGTGGTGATGCTAGCTTGGGTAAGGATACCGAATTGTTGATTGTGCCATGTGCCTGGGCAGCACGCATGGCAGCTTTCGAAGACCGTCGTGCGAAGCGCGCAGCGCATTGGAGACCTTTGTCCTTGCACCGCGCACACGGGACACCTTTATCACACCCCGTCTTCGCTTGAGCACAGTTCTGGCAAGCAATGGGAGTCCGCCCGGCGACGGTGGGAACACCGCCAGGTCGCGGTTCCATGGGATCTCTTGCTTCGTGATATGTTGAGTGATGTCTTTGGAGTAGATCCCTGTAGAGTCCCAAGTCAGCGAGAGAGTACACGGCTGGGATAGGTGAGATTGTCTCTACCTTCGAGCGAAGGAAAGCTGGCAAGCGCTACAGCGATGTGGTTTCACGTTGGTATCTGAAGTATGGGTGTCAGTCTGGCCGCAATATGAGCATAATCAGCTGGGCAACTCACGGCTGGGTATATGCCTCTCCAAATGTTCTTTCCGCGTGAAGCTCTTCCCGCAATATGCGCAGTACACCACCATATTGGCAAGCAGGATGAGGTTGACTGAATGTGTCGTCCTTGCGAGTAGCTCTCACATCAGTGCTTGGGAACCTTCTTGAGGCAGTGGTCAAAGATACGCCGACCAGACACACGTTTTGAAATGCTCGTTTGGTTTCGAAAAGAGAGAGCAACGATCTGAAGGCGACCACGTAGAGGAAGAAGTACGACCAGGGGCCTTGAATGGTTTATTAAGTGTATGGGGTAGGAGACGGGGCAGGTCGATGCTGCCACCAGTAGGTCATTTCTAATAAGACAAGATAACAGCGCCAAGAGGTGACAGTATGCAAGATCAAACAAGCATGCATGAGCCGGGAACTGGGTTTCTAAGTATGGCTGCGCAGGTTGCTGTTATCGGAACGCTTAGCAAGACAATCATCGAGGCAGAGCATACTCGTGTGGACAAGGCAGCGCCAGCTCCTTATCAGCACAGTCGCATCGCACCAAGCTTGGGAATTCGGGACGAGGGTCGACCGTCAGTCAAGCAGGTCACTATGCGGGTATCTCAGACATGTGGGAGGCATAGGCGACAACGCACTGCTCGGCCTAGCTCAGACAATCCAGTCGCCATGATGTACATAATCGGTACAACTCACGCCTGCTCGACCAGGGCCCCTGCGCCTCGGCGACGAGGACGTGTGGCAGCAAGACCACTGGGCGTTCGACTACTCCCACAGAAGGAGCTGCACGAACCTTGAAGCGGGTAACTAACACCTTGGACGAGGCGATGAGATCCTCAGCTAGGACCGTGCAGACCTCTAGGTTTGCATAAAGCTATTTAGAGCAACCCAGTCTCTACCAAAACACTATACCAAAGTGGAAACCACGGGGAGCAAAACGGTGTGTTGGTACCTTTCGAGTCTCTGAGGCACCGGCGCGAACTCTCTCGACGACACCCTCAGCCCAAGGCTGAACCATGTTAACAGCGATGATGCTGATGATAATGGCGGTGGAGATGACTGTTAGGCGGTACTTTACCGCTGATACTCGATTACAAGGTGATAATCAAAGTGATGATTGCGAGACATGAGAAACCTGGGGGCCCAGAACTCGACTGCCCATCATCGAGGCCGGTGTCGGATGTGTTCCTCGCAATGGTCCTGCACGGTAATGACAAAAGGGGGTGTAGAGCAGCGAGGCGGAAGAGAAGACGCAGCATACATACCAGGCTGTTGCTGTCATCGACCTGGCCGTCAGCATATCGAGCATCGTAAGCGAGATAGCGAGCCATGTGCAGGCAGTATTAGGTGAGGATGACAGAGAGGCTGATAGTACCCTAAGGTAGTACCCCAGGATACGACCCCACGGCCCTCGGAGGCTCGACCGCCGCTATTGGATTTCCCTGGCTGCCGAAGTGTGGTGCTGCGGGTAGCTTATGCTGCAGGGTTTTTCTTCTACCGAGACTTGCATAGATCTGCAGGTCTGGGCCGAGAATAATCAAGCCCCCGGCGTGGCCGTAAGCCGCCACTAAACCAGCTGGTCGGGGCGCAACCTTGTATTGTTCCTCTATTCGATGGTCGGCGTTTACCCCTTGTAGAGGTGTCATGGAGATAGAGAGGTACATAAGGTAGGTATGTACCTAGTCGATGCTTACATACTCATCTCTATGCACTGTTACATCCCGCCTTCAAGTTTGGCCTTCGTCGATGTCAACGACTATATAGTCTACGTTATATAATGTATATATTATAGTGCGTGCATAGTGTATATCCTGCTAATTACAGAAGGGGCTATCGTAACAACCTTCAAACCGAGGTCTAAGGTTCAGTTGAGGCGACTAACAACGTTTGGGCTCGTGCATGGCTTCCCTAGCCCTCCACACTTGTTGGAGACATGAAGAGATGTGGAGGTGCGGAGAACTTTCGACATGACCCAGACAATGGGATTTGTGGCTTCGAAGACTAGGTCGTCGGGGAACTAAATGATTGTATTCGGGCGAGATGGCCTCAAGGTCATGACACAGATGTTTGTTATCTATCCTATTGTTGGGCCGCTTCCTTCGTGGGATTAGTGTCTAACGTCATTCACTCCACGGCGAGCAGTTTCTCTATTCTCGTGCTGTGCATCACATGTGCGACTGGAATAAGCAATATTTAGTTTGAGAGTGGCACCAGCTCGCGCGTTCGTTACCCTTGACCTAGAGTTCGTACTGCGCGACTCCATCTGATAGCCTATAGAGCCGCAGTTGATGCAGACTATGCTCGCGATCATGACAATGCAAATGCATGCAGAGATGAAGCCCGTGCCCATCCTGATGACATGGGACGGACTGTAATGCCGCTTGGCTGGGCGTCTTGCGTCCACGAGATTCCATGCGTCCCGACCTGATGGTACATTAGCGGCCAGTGGACCGACGGTCAACCATCAACCGTCAACGTCCCGCAGCAGGAATTCAGACATCGGCAATGGAAAGCATTCCAGCTGACGCCTTTATCTCAACTGATAGCTATGCCGATGTGCCTATAAGTTACTCACGAGAGCCGGGCCAGCAGAGCACCGGGAGTCTCACGGCCGAACCTGCCGCATGTCTATGATTGTGAGACCCTTCTCGAAGGCCAATGGCACTCTGCGCATAGTCCCGAACGGGCAACCCAGGCCCAAAGCAGTAAGTAGCAGGGGTAAGGGGGTAGTTTCTATAGCTGAACAAGTAACGGCCCGAGCACTACTAGATTCCTCGCCGTGCTAGGGCCTCTGTGATGTGCTGGTTGGTGTGCTTGCCTAACGTTTAGTCGCCTAACCTAGTTCCCGCCCAGGGGTATAGGTAGATTCGGCCGCCTGCTTCTATGATCGTCACTACATGTAGGCAAATATCCCGAAGGGTCTTTTGGTCGAGGTACACCAACCATATTAGACTTCGCATCCGTGTCTCAGATCGGGATCTTTCCGCTTGCGTGGCTCGAGGCATGTTCCTGTCACCGCCGTTGGAAACTACTATTAGTGTCTGTCTATGTTTATCCATGCTTCTTTGGCTGTCTGGCGCCAGCGCCCCGGGTCTTATAGGCTCTAGTGACGGTCCGAGAGCCATTGTGCGGAACTGGTAAGCTGAGCGCTTCGGGTCATCCGCTGCTGAGTGACCCGAAAGTGACAGCAGCAGACTGTCTGCCGTCGACGAGGCAGTGTCTTGCGGTGCAACATGCTTCCTTGTGTCGCCGTGCCGCGTGCGTCTCAGGTGCGGCAACCTTGGTTTTCGCTGATGTTAGCTGATCAACTACCTATGTTACAGCGCCGACGTGCCCGCAGTAGCTGATTCTCGTGACGTGGCGGTGAGCCTGCTGATGATTAATGACTTGATGTGGCTTTAGGCGTTTGCGTGGCTTGTACTACGGATAGCTACTGTTATACTCTATTCCTCTCGCCATCCACGGCGCTCAGCCCTCAACTCTCGTTGATTCAGCCAGCGGCTTCGGACACGAGCTGTGACGCTTGGAGTTCCTTTAATCATTGTGTCGACATGACCCAAGACGCAATCAGCCGCCAGATGCAAGCGGAGGCGTACGCCACATGTCCAGCGTATGGGTACCCTTTCCATGGCACAAGGTTCAACGGCCGCCATGTCGCCATGTAGATACCATGGGATACGCCATCTATCGTCTCATCCATTGGTTCCAGGGGAAGACGAGGCGTCCACGGCTTCGAGGACCGAGCTGCCCTCGCTTCAGGTACCTACCTGGCTGCGGAAAGTAACCTTATAATCTCCAGGATGGTAGATCCAGATCTGGCAGGTATCGCGCCATTGGATCTGAGTTTCGCCTCAAGTGGTGATTCTTCGATTATAGGTAGAAGCCGAGTATCGTTCGACTCCTTTCCCATATGTGAATCTCCTCATTGTGCCTTCCACTAGGCCATCCGGGGTCTTGACGCGCAAAGCATGCATGTGAGTCTGACGCCGCCGTGGAGCTGATACGAGCCAGTATCACCTACGACCTCTCAGCTCGAGCACCATGCAGTGACACGCGCCTGACAGTGGGGGCATGGGCGGCAGTTGGATGGAATTATTTACCTGGGTATGTTGGAGTAGTTCTACGCAGATCGAAGGACCACCACATCAGCTTGCGCACCTTCGCAAATCAGCTCTGCGGGAGAGAGATGCCTCGAGCATATTACGAATCTCGCCTCAGCGTTGCATTCGGTGCCATGCAGTGTGACACGAGCCGATAACCTCGTGGGGCGCCCTTTGCGATGATTCTCCGGAAGCCACAACCACTTGTTCGGTCCCGAAGCTGACCCTCCAAAGCGAAGAGCAGGCACTGCATATCTATCTGCTGGCCTTAGGGTGGCCGCAGACACGTGGATTTCCCTCACAGCAGAGAACACCGCAAAAATCCATGACCGCTTCATTAAGGGTCTGGTAGTATTCCGTGTTCCCCTATCGGATCGTGGAATCCCGCTACCGGCCGAAGGCGCTCGACCACCTTGATTTTCGTTGGGTTCTGCATATTAATCGTGTGCGGCTGCCAATGGCTCGCCGCCGGGCTGTATTCCGCTGTGGGCTATTCAAGCCATACCGTAATGCATGGTGATGATACTAGAGGTATCAGCAGCAGCCCGACTAGCTGAAATTCATGACTGCCGAGCCAGGGAAGTTCTTGCGAGTCCTAGATCCATTCATACAGCTCTCCTGGACCATCATCTCCAAGAGCCATGTTCCCAGTCCTTGCCTGCAGCCTTCGGTATGCGTGCTCTCCTAACCTCATGAGACCGTTGGATTAACTCGCCTATTTTCGGGATCCTGAATGCAGTGAAATGACGCACAGGACTGCGCCTCTGAGGCGCCGGCATACAGGGTTTCGGTAGGGCTGATGGAACGTTCTCCTTGATGCCCCATGTGCCAGCCTAGCATCTCAAGATAGAAGTTCATGCACGACCATAGAGAATGAGAGCTGCCTCGATCCTTCTGGACTTAGGGGCTGTGAGATATCGTGCGGGAACTCTGGGTTGGTGTTGCAGAGCTTCATATGTGCCTGCTCGTCGGGGCTTTGATACTCGAATCACCGTTCGCCGATACAGAGCGAGTCGCTCGGGGCCCACAATCCCTTCCCTCGCGACCCAGGGAGACTGGCTAGACTCGGCCGTGGTGATCTGCCTGGCCGGGCTTCGGACTTCGACGGACGACCTACCCCGGATCCCCAACGCAGGTAGAGAGGATTAGCCGCAAGGTGCGCACATACCGGGCATGCAACTCACGTTTATCATGTCTTCACCAATGGAATCATCAAGGCTTTACACCACACGTGTTTCCTTGAGTATCGTTGGCCGGGGTGGCGACGCACTGATTCCGCTGACAGAGGACACCGGACTGCGAGCCAGACTCTACCGGCACAGCGATATCGATGTCAACATCGTGACACCTTCGGGCGGAAGACCTCGTCGTCACCACGGGATCGATGGTACCCTGATTATATGCTTGAAACGGGTGTTCGTCGGCGCATAATCAGGCATAGGCCTCCGTATGGGGTTGTCAGCCTTAGGCAGAAGCTGGATCGAAACCGTTGCCAGTTGCTTGCGAGTGTTACCTATATCAAGACAACGAAGATACCAGATGGGAAACCAATGCTCTCGTGAATGTCAATCCATATCCCACTCTGTGCCTTACATAACAACATGTCTAGTGAGACACAATCATGGCCGGGCCGCGGATGAGAGACATGCGCTTCTTCATCGACCACCGAGACATGCGGTCCCATCTGGACTCCTAGGCACAGCATCGGTGCCGACTATGTCCGTCGTGGGATTGTGTCCGCCGACCACCGATGTGGATGTCCTATGGCAGCTGGCATTGACTGGGCCAGCCGAGCGACTACGTGTGGGTTCGTTGAAGGGCGTCTCAGTCGTTGTCCCCCTGACGGACATTGCTAGCACCGAGCAGACATCACCAGCTTGGTGAGGCAAATCTGTTTGCTGTTGGGCCTCATAGAAACACCGGTTGTCGGTACTCCAGGGAGAGGCTCGTGCTTGACTAGGCGATGTATAATTTAGCTGAGCTCTACGGATCGTCCTGGTGCATTCCAATGGTAGGAGGGGTGGTATTCGGTTCACGGACGTCGCGTCTTCGGCGGACTGTATGACTATTGGAGTCAGCCGCTGCTAGTCGGTAATGAGCACGGTGACTTCGGTCCCGAGATTTCTTGTTGTTGTAGATTTTAACGTCGGGGGGATGAAACCTTGAAAGGATGATCAACCTAGGTGAACTTCGCGTTGTCACGAAGCCTGGTCCGAAGTGACCAGTCTCGCACATGTAGACACCAATGTCCTCCTTCTGGGCTACAAGAATTTTGCTGGAAGATAAAGGACGAGGTCAAGGAGGATGAGGCATATACAGGTTACCATAATACGTCAGTTCAACCCCGCGCCGTATGTTTGCTGCATGTTGGCAACCGTTCTTGACGAAGGGACCAGTGAGAGCGTGAAAGACTCATGCAAGTATCAGTCTGAAACCGGTGGCATAAGTTGTACGCGTACACGCTCAACGTCATGTCTAGCATCCGACCAATGTCCATAGAAGTGAGTTCCGCTTGGAGCCTTGAAAATTGGGTATTTAGGCTCATTGTACCGACGGGACTTGCCGCTTGTCGTGTTCACCACACACCAGAAGTCCCAGCAAACAGGTATGAAGCTGGTGTCATATGTTTTTGGACATCGTCCATCACGATGACGGACAAGTAGTGTGGGTTTGGACGGCAAATCAAGGGGTGCATGGGGAGCCGAAGCTGCGAACTCCTGCTGGTTTACCGGCTCCGAGACACTTGCTGTGGATAGGACTATGCAGTCCATGTCCCTCAAGGCTATTCTTTCCATGTGTTTCATGCAGTTCAAGCAGGAACGTCGCGGCCACCGGCATACGCGGCCCTTTACCTGCAAGGGGACCACTAGATTAAGCCCAAGTGGTTAATGATATGTTATATGATATTGTACGAGGCGTATGCTGAGCCGAAGAGGCCGGCCTGGCTCCTGACTAGAGCATATAAAAGCCATTTCCTGCTTTTACTATAAAGTCCTCCGCTGCTTGTCCCTGCCCCACGTCCGTCTGATCCTAGGATCCCGTCCCGTCACGGAACATCTTCGACAACCTCCAGGATATCACTGTACGGTTACAAGGAAAGAACGGCTCGAATCATACGGATTTCGGTTTTCAGCTTTCACGATACCCGATTCGAAGAGGTCGACGATTCATGGGGGGTTCCAAGACCGCAAGAGACGTAGTGTGTCCATATGGATCACGGAAGGAAGGAGACCACATCGGTTGGAAGAAGGTCGACATAGGATATTGCGGACTCACGGCCTTGCTCCCCGCCACGACTAACACTACCATCATTCACGGCCAGGAAGAGCGCTCTACCTTCCGGAGTTCGACTTGACGATATCAAAAGGCAATATTCTGCACGAAACAGTTGGAAAGAAATAGGAGGTTGAGATGATGATTCGGTCCCGGTACGCCCGCGACTGAGTCTCTCAGAGCATGAGGTGTATCAGCTATTTGGAAGGCCACAACGACGATGTCAGCTCTATGACACGGTGAACGGCACGAAGACATACCACGGGACACTCGAACGGTACACATGGACCAGCATATTAATACCGAAAACGAGCTAGAATATCACACGGACCCAAAATCTTCGCAACGACGAACACTGATCGACTCAAAGGCTCGAGAGCAGCGACCTGACTCGACCACTTCCCATATCAGCGGGTATCACTTACCACATTACCCAAGTACAGTTGCGTGGATTTGCAATGTGCAGAACAGGGTGAAGCAACCCGTCACCGCAGTTGCCGGACCCTCACGATAGTATAAGCCACCAAGAAAACCTCTTCTCTCGAACCGTCGCCAACCTCGATGGACTACCCCCTCCTATTCAACATCAGCATACGACACACTATCTGCGCGCCCCAAGCAAGGGACCACAACATAACATAGGTCCCAAGTCGCCATCCCAGGGGTATCGGAAAGGATCAGGATTCGGTAGCCGTAGTCCCGTCCAGGAGCAATCGTGTCCAGAGAACAACACCACTCTCGTTATCCACCCCAGCATGCTCAAAGCAAGTCTCTGGTAGGAATCCAGCAGCATATGATATCTAGAACAACCTTTGTACCCAGAGACCCCACGGGTATGACACAATAGACGAAATAGCACCAAGTAGCAGCCTCAGTTCAGGGTCACCTGTGTCTAGGCCAGAACCCCATGCTCCCCATCTCGTGACAGAACCACGTTTGGAAGAACCACAGCAGCCGAAGGACCTCACCTCACGACCAATCCTGACATGGTTGCCAGCGCAGGTATAAGAAAGGTAGTAAGTATGCGAGCACGAGCGCGGGTCTGGGAATGGTCCCAGTGGGAGGTAGCAAGATGTTCGACATCGCATCCAACGGCCAGCAGGCTACCCAGGAGGAAGCAGCATCTTGCGCGTGCGATCTGTAGAAACATCATTCATCTGAAACAAGTTGGGCTCAACTCCTGTCGTCGGGTTGACGACAATGATCAACCGAGTTATAAAATAGCTCCGGCCTCTGCATGAATGTCATCTATAAGGCTGAGGAGCGGAATGCCATCCACACCCTACACTTCCCACTTGACATTGTAGACGCTCGAACGCCCGTACATATACCACATGCATCTGGCACTATGATGTTCCAGCACTAGGCCCGCCCATCTCTCTATGAATCTACTGTTCATTTGGTACATCAAATATCCTCTCCACGTTCTTCCACTCGCCTCGTCCCCTCTCTTCCCAGTAGCTGTCTTTCCCGCCCTTGAGCCGCCACATCTCTTCTCCCTCGGGAGCATCGGCCACCTTGATAAACCACTTAGGCTTGTGCTCTTCACCCTTCTCCTCCAAGACCCTCCTCCTGGCGCGCTGTGCCTCTTCGAGGTTTACCTTCCAAGTCTCAGCATCGTCGAGCTTCCCCTGTTCGGCGAGGCGTTGGTCGGGGCGAAGCCGGCTGTCAGTTGGTGGCAGTCGACCCTTCTCGATAGGTGTCACCTCGTTCAAGGTGGCAGCGAAAGAGGTCATACCATACGTGGTCGGTGCGTTCGGCACCAGCTGACCAACTTTCCAGATCTCCTGGCCTGTGTTCTTGCCCGCCTCGACGACCTGAAGAGACTTGGTCCACGTTCCTGTCAGACTTGTGCCAGTAGGTGCGCCATCCGACCCGTACATGTCAACGTGTACGTCTTCGCTACGACCGCCGAACATGCCCTTGGATCGGAACTCGATATTGGCCTTCGCACCAGTAGACTCATTGGATACCGTCATGGTCCCAACTGGCTCTACATACTTCTCACCCATCACCACGTTCCGTAGGAACATCGTACCAATGTTCCAAGAGTATAGCTCATCCGTCCCATCAGATAGCCGGAGTGCTACACGGACTCGACCCTCCGTGGTTATCTCGGCACTCTTGCCCCAAAACTTGTTTGCGGGCGCCGGGCTTTGCGTCAACGACCAATATGCCGAGTCGGCCTGCATAGCGAGGCGGACAGGACGATGAGTTACTTTCTCGACTATAAGACGGAAGCCGCCTGGCACTTCGCTTTCAGTGCGAAGAAGTTCGTAGGTTTCGCCAAGTAAGGGGTTGAAGGGTTTCCGGATGGCACGCTCTTTGACTCGGTTGACACTGAAAGATGAGATTGCGAAAGCAGTGACGAAGAGCAACCGGTCTCTCGGGAACTTCTGCTGCGAGGCATTGTCGAGGAGCTGAGCATATTCCAGCTGTTCCGCTACCCGCTGCAACATTGAACTGGGTTCGTTGGACGAGACAGGCATGCTGATCGTGCTGAGATCCTTGCCGACATTCTTACGTAGGAATGCAATGAGGCTAGGTGGAGGGACAGAAGCAGGCGGGACTGTCTCCCGACGGTCGACTGCAATATCAACCGGCAGAGGATGAAGAGCTTTGGGCTTCGCTGGAAAGAATGCCGCTGCGCCACTGGTACCCGCGAGCTCCGCTGCTTCTTCCTCCACAGAAGAAATTGAAGACGAATCGTCGATAGAGGCATCATCGGCACCAGAGTCATGCGAATCCTCGTCACTCCCAGGACGGTCGATCCTCATAACTTGCGTTCTGCTCTCGGTATCTCCCGCCTCGGCGTCGAAGAACTCATCTGCCGACATCGTCGATTCAAAGCTCATCCTCGACGTCGATGAATGAGGCATGGGGATGCGCCGCCGTTTGCTATTAGCGAGGACATTAGTGAATTCAGCCACGACCAGATCCAAGTCGTTAAGCAATGCAGCGCAGTGGTCCTCGGTGCTTTTCTCCTCTGGCTCGGCTCCATTGGACCTTCGTTTAGACTGTGACCCATTTGATGTGATCCTCGTTACTGAACTGGGCATGGGTACAGCTAGTGCAGAGGATACCGCCGGTGCGACTGAGCTGGGCGTCGTCAGGGGCGAGGCACTCGACTTTCTCTTCCAGAAGGACCGTCTCTCCTGCGCTGGAGGGGGAAAATACCCGTCGCCGTCTTCTGGCATGGCTTGTGTGCCTGGAGACAGGTGCGAGCTTACAGGACGCTGCGGTTGCTTCTGTACAGCCAAGTCCTTGACGAGGCGGCGCAGAGCATCCCGCGTCCCGACAATCCGGCTCACAAGGGCTTCCACCTGTTGCCAATCTCGATCTTCCTCCAGGCAGTTGTTCGGCGGGTTCACATATGATGGTGTGGCCACGGTAAGCTTCTCCCCTTTGTCCCGGGCCGGTTCCTGCACGGCTTCGAGTCCCCTCGCGATTCTGCTAGCCTTCTCCAGGGCTCGGGCCCAGTCATTGAACTCTTTGACGTTGGATGCTCGAAGATGCCAAACCTCAGCCCCAGAATCGATAGTGATCTCCTTTCTCTGTTCGTCAGCAGCAATAGCGGCCAGACTCAGGGGTATTGCGCCCCGGAGCGCTGACGAGTTGCGGTTGTGGTAATATGATAGGGTGCATGAGGAGTAGTCCAAGGAGAAGAACCTGCGAGCATGACCCTGGCCCTTTTTTCTCCGTCTCTTCATTAGTGTACCCGTATGGCATGTGGAAGATGATGCCCCTCCGTCGCTACGGCCGGCGATCGATACAGTTTTCCCTCCCGCCACATGACTGTGAAGACTTTCGGTTGAATCAAAGACGACGGCACCTATATGGGGGCTTTGTTTCCCTAGACTGGTCTTGCTCGTGTTGGCGTGGGCACCGGCCTGTAGGTTGGGGAGGTAATGGGCGCCCTGCGGTGGCGCATTGGTCGGATACGTGAGCAGAACGAATGTTGCGGTCTTGGACGTCTGTTTCGAGAAGGTGTTGTCGAATATGAGGCCGTACATCCCTCCCTGGCTGGCCAGCACGTCGTGGGTGCCCATCGACACCTTATCAGCCTCGCACTTCCCATGCCACCTGATCAGGATGAACCCCTTGCTGGCTAGCTGTTCCTTCGCGGTGCTGGCATCGTTCTTGGAGCGACCGGCTTTGGCGGTGCTGGCAGTGCCGTCGACTTGTTCGACAGAGGTATTCGGATCGCCGGCAACGGAGTGTAGGTTTGTTGCGCCCGAGCCAGGGTGCTTGACGATGCCGAAATTGCTAGTGACACGTGGGTGTCAGCGACGCGTCAAGGCACACGCCAGAGGCCACTGCAGTCTGCGGGGTGGTTGAGAGAAATAGAAAGGGGTATTCACATTGACTTTTTATGCGGCTGGACGCTCCACGAGATGGTATGGCCCTCGTCGACTTTGACCCATCGGACAATGTACGACTGTTGTTGAGAAAAGAAGCGTATTAGCCCCGGCAGTCCGGGCTGCAAAGCGAATATCGACTATGTTCGTTCGAGCGTACCTTACTATGAATTTCCAAACGTTCTATTCCAGCCATTTCGGATGTCGCGACTGGGTAGCCGAGGATTGGATTACAGCGGTGCTTGCTCGGAATGTGGTAGTGACTGGTAAACCATGCTGGGGGAAACAAGAGTCGTGGTTCTTCTAGGCGTGGTCCTTCTCGTCGTGGTTCTTCGGTTGGGAACGGAAGCGCATTAGAGTAGGGTAGGCAAGCGATGGTCCGCTCAGGGGCTATAGCACTCCAGAGAAGGTAAGATAAGTAAGGCCAAGGCTGTGTATTGAATCAATGGATGTTCGTTCGCTCAGGTACGAAGATAGCTGGTAGAGATGCAGATCGACCTCAACATTCCTCTGCGCGTCGACGTACATAACCAAGGTAAGGTGGTATGGTATGCATGTGCTGCTCGCTGCTGGTGCTGACGGCGGGCCGGAATGACAGAATTCAAGATTGTCGAAACGAGTGTGACGTCGCCATGTGATTGGGCGTCTCTCTTTCTGCCGGCCCGTCTAATGACGACTGCCAGCTGCCAGCTGAAGGCCCTCTCAGCCCTGCAGCCCCTGCCCTGCCAGGCCCCTGCAGCGCTCAGCTTTTAGAGCGCCTCATTCCAGCCTCACCTCGGCACCTCCTTTTCCGGGACGTCATTACCTTATGTTCCCTTTTCGCTTTAACAATAAGGTTGCATTCAAGACTGCTTTGAGGTTTCGAAATCTCTGTTGCCTTCCAAGACATGTATAATCGATCTGAACGTAGGTCTTTTCTATTTGCTGCCAGCGTGTTCTACCCTAAAAACTACTATTCTTGGCCTGCCAGCAGGTTTCTAAAATCATCGCTACTCCTTCGTGTGTCAGGTCAAGCGAAGTGATATCCATCGTGTCACGTCGTATGCCTGGTTAGGGAGGCGCCTGCTCCCATACCGCCACTACTACTTGCGGTATAAATAAGGCCGCAAGCCAACCTGTGCTGACACGAACACTACCGCCGCCATAATCAATATGAAAATCGCACCCACGAAAACCCAGTAGATCGCCATGTTGGTACTTTTGTAAAGTCCCTTGGTGTCAACCTCATGTACCTTGCGGTCTCTTCGCTGGTCCCACTCCCGCTGGTCCCACTCCCGCTAGTCCCACTCCCGCTAGAACCACGCCCGCTAGAACCATCGGGCGATCTGCTTCTGCGCGTCCTGTTGTCCTCTGGTAGCTGCAGGGCACCTGTTGAAATGCATGATGGGGTACGTATCCGGCTTAAACTGCGCCTTCACAAGCCGGTCTTTCACCACCTCGACAGAGGGCAAGTCCTGGCCACCGTCATTCTCAGAATTGACATCAAAGGCGACATCAAGCGTGCCGCGGTCTATGTAGCGCTCAGCGCTGCGCGGACTGAGACACTGGTGGCCTTCGACGAAGCTGCCGCCGCTCTTGGAGACGGCCGAGTAGACGAGGCCGGGCGGCTTGAAGGCGATCTCCTTTTGCCCCTTTTTGACGCCCATTACGATGTTATTGGCGGGGTCGTCATGCGAGTTGAATTCTATATCGCCCTTGACGATAAGGTGGGTGTTGGGTCCGTGGTGTGAGTGTGCTAGTAGACGATCGATGCCTTGGTTTCGGTCGAATGGGCCCTTGCGCGTGGGGAGGACATCGTTGATGCGCACCCAGGGGTAGCCAGCTTTCTGGACGGCCTTCTCGTGGAGACTCTCGGACTCTCCTTGCACATAATTGAAGGGCATGTTTACTGACTGAGTTACGAAGTGCGCTGGGGTTTGGATGTTCCGTTGTGTGTTGGTTCAGTGGAAGCCTTGATGACTGGTGTGCTGTTTGGGAGTATTTCAACTGGACACGTTGAGCGTAATATAGATGTCAGTAATTCGTGAAGAATAATTGGCTTGAACTTGTACGTTCCCTAAGCTTCCAGATTGAGTATATGGAGAACATGAAAGTGCAGTTCTTTGTCCTGCTGGCTTATCCTGGAAGTTTCCCGGGGCACCTCATTATCCAGAATAGCAGCAAGACCTGTAACACCCTGTACAGGCTTGCCATCGACCTCACGAGGTCATCTGAGTTTGGAAACTCATACTATGCGTTACGCTAACCAGAGCCGCGATATGAGCAACGGTATGGGCTCTTGGTTCGAGAATTTGGGTGAGCAAGCTATTAAGTAGCCCATCGACCGACACATGAGACACAAGCTCTAATGCTCCACGTATATCGGCATCCGGGCAAAATTTAAGCTGGACCGGCTGTACAATGAGGTAGACAGTGCAAGTAGAAAATCGCGCGCGAGGGTTGCTAATGCTAACAACACCAAGGTACTCTCCCTGAGGACTCTGAGCAACCAATTTGTATCAAGCACTCCCGTCTCCAAGCCTTCCCCAACAGCCGACAAAACTCATCATCGGCAGCGACGTCCCCCAGTCCCCACTTGCGACACAGAGACCACGGCCGCTCTTGCCTGAACCGTACCTGGACCAGCACGCGCCTTCCATGTCAAGATATTACCACGGGCGGACATCGGCCGGGACTGCCCCCAGTCATGCCTTCCATATACGATGAGATTAGACGCGGAATTTTCAAGTGCCCGTGAGGAGTGGCCAACATAAGATTCGCGATGCCAGTTCATGGTAATGACGACCTGTGAATGGCGACCAGCCCCTGCTGAGAAAGGTGAACGAACGAACCTCCTAGCATTTTCTGAGGCGCGACTTGGGCCAGTTGGAACAGTGCCATTTTTTGGCACCTAACAAGCCATCTTTAGAGACAAGGTACAGGTAGGTACAGGTAGTCTCGGGTTCGAACTGAGTTGTATCTAGAAGTTCATTGAGGTGTAAGTGGCATCGATCCGTCTTTAGTAGATCTGTGGTAGCACAGAACAAGTCAGCCCACTACTGCCGCGAAGGAGATGGGAGCTGGAGGACAGTCATTATGCACCTTGGTCCCCTCGAAAACCTAGATACACATGTCGTAGGGTTCGCAACCGACCAAGACCTCCAGCCCGTATGGTTCCGTCACACGTTGCATCCTTTTTGACTGACAAATACCATTCGACAACCAGCTCGTGTTCAGTCCAAGACACGCGCCGAAGCTCAACACGCATGGTTGGAGTATTCAATAAACGAAAACTCTCCACTGCGTTTTGAAGCTAGCGGCCCAAACTAATTACACGGCAGGCGTTATGTTGTAACCACCACTACTACCAGATAACGGTGGAAAGCTGATTCGTGAATAATACTCATATGTCTCACAATATGCTCCGTCAACAGCGGTCTGTATATTATTCTATTTCGAGACCAAAAGCAGCACCATGAAGGAGATTGCCGAGATATTTGACGGTATCCAGGTTGCGAACCAGGTCGTGGCCGAGGTAGAGAAGGGCAGGGGCCATGGCGATGGTTCGGCTATTAGGAAGGACACCGATGTAGTGATTGGCGGCAAGGGTGCCGCCGCGAATACTGTGGACGAGGTCAAGGCGAAGCGATGTACTTGAACGTGGTCTAGTGGACTGCTTGATGTGTCCCCGACAGTCCAGTGCGGTAATTAGATGGGAACATGCCACGCTGAATATTAACCGCGTTTGGATGGAACGGCATCGACGAACTGATAGCGTCCACCATATGGCATACGTGGGTAGGTAAGTAGGCATGGGCTGTAGCGCTTACTCAGCCCTCAGCTTCGAGGAGGTCAATTGGCAGCTAGAATAATTCACAGCGAACTACAGTGTCGAAATCAACGTCTTCATAAATCCTACAGCTTAAGACTACCTAACTCCAGCTAGGAGACCCGAGCGAGTCATGAAGCTCAACCAGAGGGGACCTGCATCTTTCGCCGAAGTCCATGATCGCCCCTGAGAAGCAACGGCAACTGCTATTCAATACAACTAACACAAACACTCATTTCACCATAGAGCCCAACGGTACTGGAGCGGCGCGGAAAAAGCCCATTCAGGCTGCTCCTTATCTTCTCGTCTGCTGTTGACCAATCTCGCTGTTGAACCTCAGCTTGAAGCCGTTGCATAGCGCTCGCATATCGGGGTATGCGTTCTTCATCATCTCAAAAGCATGAGGTATGACCTTGACAGGCCACATTCCAATCGGCGAGTTTCTACTGGCCTTGAAGCACAGCGAGAAGTACCCTGGATGTTTCGGATCGATGCAGAATAAGTAGATTGAGCGATTCGGATTGGCATCCGAGTATGAAGTCAACCATCGTTCTGTTGTCAATGTGTTAGCATCTTCTTTCGCGACAAGAGCCAAGATATTGCTACTTACCGAGATCTGCGAGGCTTCCTTTCTTGAACTTCTCGTGGCCCATCAATTCGTCGACCTTCTTAGCCATCGCCTTAACGTGGTCCACGATTAGCTCGTCCAGATCTGTGTATGTGTACTTGCCACCGATGCGCAGCGTCTTGCCCACCTGGAACTCGGACTCTTTGCCCAGCTCAAGCACATCGATATGTTGGTAGACTCCATCTGCAACCTTCCAGGTAATCGTGAGATGGTCGTTGCCCTTGGACGATGGACGAATGACGACGTCACCAGCGGATTGAGAGCCCAGGTACTCTTCGGCTTGGGTGGAGTTGAATGGACGGAACAGGGGGTGCTTGATGACGCGCTGGGTGCGGCCGGTGACCGAATTCTTCTCTTTCAAGTCTTCTCGATCTTTGTTTTCAAGCTCGAAGTTCCAGGTCATGTGATCGTGGTTATTGTGCTTCTTGTAAGGCTTCCTAAGCGCTTCCTCACGTAATGTAAGTTTGGCCAAGAAGTCTTTACGATTCAGATCCATGAGCGACGCCTGAACAGTCTGGCCAACCTGCAGCACGTCACGGATGGACGAGCCGCCACGATGGCTCACCTCATGGACTTCGATGCGACCTTCGATGCCACAATCAAGCTTGACGATTGCGAAATCATCCTTGACCACGCGGACGTTGACTGGTACAACCATGCCCTCCGCCAGAGAATCCGCCGTTTCGCCCGTAAACATGACGAATATCTGATCAGGGACAAGGGTGCTGAAATTGCGTCGGAGTTCTTCGTACGGCGCCTGCAGCTCCGCTCTAATGGTTTCTAGCGTAGCTCGCTTTCTTTGGCTGTAGTTCTTCTCCAGCTGCTCGGCATACTCCTCCAGAATCAGCTCATTGACCTTCTCTTGCTCATCCTCCTTGAATAGCTTGCGGACGATGGCTCCGGGTCCATTCTCGTCAGTCTCTGCTTTGACGTCTTCTTCGTCCAGCTCGAGTGCATCCGCAGCCATTTTGCGACCGAGCTCGTAATCCTCAGGATGGACACGTGTGTTGTCCAGCGGTTCCGAAGATGGGTTTGTGGCATCATACTCGATATAAAGGAAACTAGCGCAGTTGTTCCAAACTCGAGGACCAACGACGGGCAACTTCTTATTGTCCGGGTCGCCAACGAGTTCCTCTCTCGAGTTGACGACACCGCCATTAGAGTTGATGGCCTTGATCACGCTAGTGGCCTTGCGAGGTCCCAGACCGGCGACGTATGGGAGTAGGTTCGCAGTGTAAGCATCGCCGACCGCTTCATTGATGTCAACACCACAGAGGTTCACCATATCGACCATTGATGTCTCAAGGTGCTTCAATAGTTTGTCCTGGGGCAGGAGGTGCTGGCAGGTGTTGAATGACAAGGACGTGACGTCCTTTCCAAGAGCAGCATATTCTTTCATCGGGTTCTGGAGGTACCTGGCTAGGCCGATGCAGTACCTGGTGACGGAGCTTAGAGTCGGGTGTTCGCGTTGCGCCCGAGGGCTATCTTTGTAGAGCCTCGCTACCTCGTCATTGACAGTAACAACCTCGAGTAGATCGCTGCGGTAATCGTCCGTATCAGGGTCAGGGTATTCAGGACCCATCAAGTTCTTCTCGTTAACCAAGCTTTCCAAATCGCGAATCACACGGTGTGTATCAGTCGAGTAACCGGAAACACCAATGACGTCTGGCTTTCGGCGTTCAACAAGCTCAACAAAGGCATCGCGCTGCGCTTCGTCGCGGACCAGGTTTAGGAACTGTCCCTGTTCGATAACACGGCCGTCCTCTTCAACCCAGGCCCAGTGTATCGGGTCCCGATTCGCATCACCCATGCCATTTGACAGAGCCAGGACTCGGGGCGCCGTGCCCAGAACCATGCCCTTTGGCTTGTATGGTGCTTGATCAAGTCGTTTGGAATACTCCTCGCGACAGAGCTTCAGAAGTTCTTCTTGGCAAGCCGTTCGCAGTGTGTCCTTCACTCCCTTCACTACGACTCTCTCGAGTTTCGCAAAAGCGACATCAATCACCTTCTTTCGCTCCTCGTTCCATGCATCGGCAAGATCGCTGTAGTTATCCGATGCAAATTCGGCGTGCAGCTGCCGGCGAAACTCGCGCTCATTCTGTAATCGAAGCTTGATTTCGATCAGGCCTTCCTCTTCTGCCTTCATCATCTTCAAAAACAGCTCAGGCCGCCGCGCAAGATCCGAGATAGTCTGACTAATGAGATACTTGATTTCGTAGTAGGGGTGCGACTCGTCAATTCTCCGAAGGCCCTTGTCAGTCCGTTGACAGCTAACCTCGCCCATCATGTAGAAATTCGTCCTGAAGTGCTTGCGCATCCTGGGGCTCATGAAGAGCTCCTCAGCATACATGTGTCTGGCTTGGTACAAGACTTGGTCTCCGGTGGGAAAATCGCTGTCCGTGAGGCTGTCCGCGAGATCGATCGGCAAGTTCTGTTCATCGTCGGCTATGACTTTTTTGCCCTCGCGAAGAGCATTCTGTGCAAGCCGGTCCGGGGAAATCCCGTAGGCGCTGACGAACTTGTACGCCCTGCTCTTCCGTACTCTATCGGAAACTGAAGATTTAGCCCCAGGCCGCTTGTTGCCTTTCAAGACCCCGTTCATAGCTGCAATGTCCCTCAACTGAGATGTATACTGGAAGTTGACGTAGTCCTGAATATCCTGGAGTTCTTCCATATTGAGAGCTTGCCCTGTTAATTCTGGTATCATCTCGTCGTTGATGTTTGCAGCTTCCCTCAGATTGTCGTATATCTTCTCCAGCGCATTGCGTTTCTCGACCAAGGAGCGGAATTTGATGTCGAGTTCGAGAATTCGCCACAGATCATCCTGCGTGAGCAACTTTTCCGCGTTGATGATGTACTCTGGGGCTTCGGGGTCATCGCGGTGATCTGGGTTACGGGTCTTGCGGGCGTGGATAAGGTAGTCCTTGCGGTGTTGGAAGACGTAAGGAACTTCGAGCTCCTCGACGACGAAATACTCGAGCACCTTGCCAACAGCTTTCTGAAATGGTCCTTCCAGATCACTGGGAAGCTGCTTCTTGGGCCACATCAGGTTCGCAATCCACTGCGCCTCCTCCCTAAACTGGTCGGCGGAGATCTGCAATTTCCTGAAAGGCTTGCGGTCCAGCTGGAATCGCTCGGGCTCATCGGCGAATCGAATGGCATTATCTTCGTCCGTCAAGAGCTTTTCGGCAAGCTGGGATGGCTCAAAAACGTCCTTGAGCTCGAGCTGCTGCTCTCCTTGTTGGCGCTCTTCATCTTCTTCTTCGAAGTCCAAGGCCCACTGATACTCGTCTCCATTTCCGAAAATGTTGTCCAGATCGTCGAGAACATCTTTGTCCAGTCCGGCCCGATCAACGATGCGCCCGACCATGCCCTTATCCCGAGGCCGGGCAACCTCCATATCCTCCATCCGGCGCTGTCGCTCGTCATCATCTTCAGGGAAATCTTCTTCGATGAAGTCGTCGAACTCGTCAGCAGGACCACGGTGGTTTGGTCGGGAGTATGCTCGCTCTTCGGCGGGTTCGTCATCTTCGTCGGAGAAGATCTGATCGAGGCCGCGGCTCCGTTCGTTGCCACGGGTTTCATCATCTCTGTGGCCGCGCTTGAGTCGCTTGAATTTACTCTGTCCGTTCCCATTAGTACACGCCCAGTGATAGGTTTTCGCCGACTCATACCTGGGATGGCTGTTTGCGTTCCCACTCGGGGATTGACTCGCCAATAAGGTCCAAATCTTCGTCATCAAGTTGAGCTTCTTCTTCTCGTTCCTGACGTCGCTTCCGCTTTCGCTTTTTCCGCGCCTCGTCGGAGTCCTCGGCATCTTCCTCTTCATCATCATCCTCGTCGACTATGAAGCCTTCGCGAACCTATGGACAGACTTGCGGTTAGTCATATAGCAGCACAACCAACAGTGGGTGGATATTATTTCTCGTAGCTGACCTTCCGGGCTTCCTCTTCGTCATCGTCATCTTCGTCCTCCTCACTCGAATCGTCCATTCCACGGTCGCGGTTCTGCGGTCGCTTGCGAGCTTCGCCCGTCTCCTCGTCGAAGGATTCGTCGTCTTCCTCATCGTCCAACTCGGCTTCGCCGACGATAAGGTCTCTCATGGCGTTACTCATGATGACTAGGGCGCAGCTGAGGCGGGTGGGACAGGAGGTCGTTGATCGTTCTTTGTCTACTGTTTGGACCTGCGCGGTAGGTGCATCGGCGTGCCACACGTTGGGACGAGGCGATGGTTACCTGGTGTACCAAGACTCGGTTCGTAAGGAGATTCCGAACCAGGTGCTAGGTTGAAGAAGGGATAGGTCGGGAAAGGCGCGGATGGGAGGGCAAAGAATATAGCTGCACGTCTATGTTTGTGCAGCTAGAAATTTGTACAGTTCGCGCTCCCTGACCATCAGCCTCGCGATTGGGTTGCACTGGTGTCCGAGCTCAGGCCAGGGATTAGGATGTGCACCGCCACATCCCCTAGGCTTTCTACGCCACACCTGCTGGAATGCACACACTGGGCTGGTGCGTGTGGGGTACAGGTTTGCAATAGGGGCACCTGTAAAAGTAGGGGTGAGAACTCAACATTTCCGACTTGCACCATACTCACACCATAGATGACTGCGGAAATTCGTAAAATTACCATTCGCTCTGCGAGGTGCTGCGTTGCATAGGCCTTGAATTTGAGTAGTCAAGACAATAGCTACGATCCTATATGGCCATTGATGCTTGAGGGCAGATATAATAGACGGCGACAGGTACTCGTGGGTACATAGGTCAATAAATCGTGATATAGGCCTATGACCAGTCGTTCTTGCGCACAATTATCTTCCCCCATCAGTTTTCAGCGATAAGTAGGTCGGGTGTGTTCTTCCATTGGACCCCAAGACTCGGCCATAGTGAATAATCCCATGCAGAAACATTACCCAGTGGCCAATATAGATACCTTGAGGCCAGGAGCTAACCTGTTAATGCGCTTTTTGATTGGTGTTCATTCCATCGTGAGATAGGCTCTTTCAGGGTTAATACCAGCCAGTTAAGACGGACATGTCGCCTTTACAGCAAGATCAAGGCCCTCAACCTCAGCCAGGGCAGTATGCCGTAAGTCTTAAGTCCGAACATTGCCTTCTAGAGGACGACGATAGGTGATTTCAAACCAGGGATGCGAGCTTGGCATAGTTGCGCATCAACAACTGCGAGGCAGCATGTAGCTGGTACGCTAGAAAGACCTCGGCAAGCGACCATGACCCTCAATCCGCTTGCTACAACTTTAACTGTTCGAGTAGCAGACTGGCTGAGAACCAACCTTGGCCGATGGACGTCGAAAACCGTGGCTATTATGGAATCAGCGCTGGTTTGGAAGGACATTGGAGCGAAGCCGCATGAAATGATCTCTTGTATTCGATGCACCTTACATGCCATTCTGGGCCCGTCCACCTTCATCGTGGTTAGCAATATTGATGCATGTCAGTGGCGTGGGTGTCGAATAAGCCCATGTTGCAGATATCATAGCTCGTATGCAGATACAACATGATGCTAGACTCGTTGCGCTTATAATGAGGAGATGGTGTTTGTGGATGGACTATACCAATCAAGGCCCGTCAGGACAGGAGAAGGATGGGAAGTTGTTTGGAGGAGGCATAATATGAATAGGGGTACCTAATGGTCTTTACAGCAAGCAGTCTACCGGTAACGTTCATTACGAGTAGGATCAAGATATTGTTGAGAAAACATGTTTTTAGAAGTAAGAGTCCTTCGTGAAGGTATTATAACGGTGCCTTATTAGTAAGGGTGTTACGGCTTTCGAAGGCTCTTATTTAAGCTATTAAGAGTTAAATATAAGGTATAACTAGGCCGTACAAGGGCCTAAATATGTTATAATCGTAAGAGTAGCTAGCTTAAATAAGGTTTTAAAAAGGAGCAACATTTTAAAGAAATAATTTATTAATTAAAACGCCATGAGTTTTTTATATAGCACTAATATAACCTTTTTTTCTTTTTATAAGTCAGGATCATAAGTAGGTAAAAAAGAGATAACTTTTAAGCAGATTTATATATAATAATAATAATAATAATAATAATAATAATAATAATAATAATAATAATAATAATAATAATAATAATAATAATAATAATAATAATAATAATAATAATAATAATAATAATAATAATAATAATAATAATAATAATAATAATAATAATAATAATAATAATAATAATAATAATAATAATAATAATATTTTTGAAATTTAAAATCTTTATCGATTTTATCATTAATATCATAAGGGGTTTTTGTTCGATCCATGTGATTCCACAGTCAAACCATCCATATAGAACCCACATGTATGATTAGATAAGAGATTAGATACCCGATTGTGAGGTCACTTAGCCAGACCTGCAGGTCCAGCTAGAATTCCTAATTCAACCATCAGCAACATCATGACCTTGACCCCATATTCGAGTATTATGATTGATTGTTTAAGCCTGTTCCAACAGTTTTAAAATTAAAAATAAGATATATATAATTTAAAATTAAAATTTCTATAAAATATCGGATAAAGCTTTATATATAGAGATGCCGTAAATATATTTTATTAAAGCGTTAAGATATTTAAAAAGGCTAATTTACTAGTTTCTAAGCTGTAATAAGCTTAAAAAGTCGATTAAAGATATGTTATTAAGGTTAAAAATTGTAAAGAGTAATCAAATATTAATATTAAGTCTTACTTTAATAATATTTCGTATAAAAAGTATTTATATCACTTAAAATACGAATTTAAGTAATAGAAAAGGTTCGCTTTTTATTATAACTATAATATCAGCACGTAGTTGTGTTACGAACCAACGAACAGTGCGGCCTGATAGAAGGCCTAGAAGGGACGATTGGAAACAGATTGACCAGAGAGTGGGGTGCTGATCAGTGGAGAGATTGGAGCAACGGAGCAACAGTACACAGATCACGTGACCAGCAGAACCTGGGTCACGTGACTAAGAATTTGGATTACTGGATCACCTTGGTGATCCAGTGAGCAGGATCACCTTGGATCACCGGTGATCCAGGGTGAGCCACCTAATCAGTGAGGGAGAGATTGGATATATAAGGACAGACATTTCCCAATCAGATAGATAGACAGTCTCTACCTCAGTGATTAATCTAAGCATCTTAGCCAACTCTAAGGTGGGAGAAATCTCCTGACAACTCGACTACACAGTGAACCCAGTTCAGACCAAGCCCCAGCATCTGAGTGTCTTCTAGTTGACAGAAGCCTCTATCGTCTTTCGTGTTGACTTATCTCAGAACATAAACCCTATAGAACCCTTTAACCTTATAGGTTAGACGGCTCGTCAAAGAATGTTAAAGAAATTGTTAAGCTTTTTAAAAAACCTTATTAACGTAGAATTTTTGTCGGGTCATGTAGCATTTAAAACGACTTAAATTTACTTATAATTAAAGTTAAATTATACGGAATTTGATTAAAGATAATAAAAATAGCTTTAAATCAAAAATATTGATTAATTCATAAGTATATCACTAAAAGAGAAAAGAATTTAAAGTGAATTCGAATAGAAAAGTAATAGAAAAATAGCTAATTTGATGATTTAACCGTATTTTAAATAAGCTTTTATTGGTTTAAAACCTATATATCAACCGGCTAATAGCCGATTAATATTAATAACAGCCGGATAGCAGTTATAAGCCTTAACACTCGGTATTATATACTTATAAACTATAACCAGAGTTTTTATAAGCAGGGATAGTAAAGCTTAAAGCTTATAATAACCTTAATCGTTAATAAGATTATAAAATACGATACTTAATATCGTATTTAAGTTATATGATACAATCTAAATTTATATTATCATATATAATTCGTATATAATAGTATTAAACAGGTGCATAAGAATGGGGCTTTTTGATATAACTTATATGTTTTTAAAAAGAGAAATAATAATAATTAAAAACGTATTTAAGCGTTTTTTGATACTGTTACTATTTTAATAACTATTAAGCTTTTGTCAGATGCAAGCGAGTTCAGATTATTCAGGTTATCAAGTGTGTTCTGTTGTTGTGCTTGTCCTTCTCTACTTCTTCAGCATACAGAGATTGATCATCTGTCTTGGTGGGTCAGATGCCCTGTGCGTCTCTGCCCCACTGGAGATCTTCTGGTGTCTATTTCCGGCTCCCATTCAACAGCTTTAAACATCGTAATATTTATTTATAAATATATATATGATTTTTATATAAAAATCTTATATATTATATATAAATATCATACTTATATTATAATTGAGAACTAATAGGATTGTTATATTGTAAAAAAAAAACTTTTTTTATTTTTTATAAATTTATAATAATTGAATGTAACTATTTAAAACAACCTTTAAAACGTGTTTGAAATAAAGTAAATCAAATTTATCAAAATATATATTACTATATAATGTAATATATAGTATCGAAATCTTATACGATACGATACGATATGATATGATATGATACATACGATACTAAGTACGAATACGATTCGTATTTTTTGCCACCCTGATCGTAAGTGTGGGCGACAATCAATCAGCAGCTCGTTGCGACGTTGCGCATAGGTCACGAACACTTCCCCTTGCAGCCATCCACACGAAGCCAGTAGACGCGCTGTTTTAGTTTCAACGAAGTCTCAAATGTGCTGACACTCCAAAATAGTCGAACAGCTCTTTGTGCTGGATGAATCCCCTTTGTATGAAATAAATGAAGCACCCACACATTGGAATCAGTACGTAGCATCGGCATCGCTCGATACCTTTGTATTCCTCCAACTGTGTGTTGCTGCCAATAACTTTTGATGACGGTTTCCCCAGGGCGGACCGCTTTCCTGATCGCTTAAGACGGTTGTGACATTTCTGCAGGTCACTGTCGCTTGCCTCCTTGATTCCACTTCACCTCAACCAACAGCTACATGTACCTAATATTAGAACGTATCTTCAATGTTGCTTGTGTATTTCCTTCAAAATCCGCTCAAGTCCTAAGAGGACCAGATGCGAGGCAACCCATCCGCCCATTCATTCATTCGTTGTTGATCCTCTGCCAACCATACACCTCCAACTGAGCATCGATGCATGTGCCCATGGATATGTCGATAGCCTGATAGGTACCTGAAGAGGCCCAAACGGGAAGCGATAAGGAGCGATCACACCCCACCAACATGCCCTTCCCGTTTCAATCACGACCCAACTTCCGCAAGCCTTGCATTAGGTTTCGTTTGCAGTTGCAGTTGCCGTTGCCTTTGCATTTGCCTTCCCATTATTTTCTCAATCCTCTGTATGATTACAGCCAAAGTTCTTGCTTCCTGTCTGTCATCGTACTACGCCTAAGGTATTGTCCTGCAGGATAAAGGAGCTTGTGTTCGCTGCTGCATTCCGTCCGATACCCCCCATTCTTTGCCCACCAAAGCCCACCTGCACCTGCACCTGCACCTGCACCTTCGCACGTCGGTGTTTGGGAGGGGCTAGACCACAGGCACGCCGCATACTGCCACAACTGCGTACCTCCATTCAACTTCACCCGCTTGTCTGGTTGCTGGAAATGCCATCGTAAACCCTTGGCCCATTCGCGCTGTCCAACGGACTTGCCTCTGGAATACCTTCAAGTGTTTCCGTCACATCTACAGTCACCCGAATCGCTTCGCAGTCCCATCGAGCCGATTCCTAGACGGGCCTGACCGACACCGCCCATCATGACCGACTCGTTCGCCCCGCGCTCTATGAAGCGCAAGAACGTCAAGGGTCTAGCACTCGCCGCCCCAAAGGTCGCCGCACCCTCGGTCAATAGCAATAACAACGGTCAACAGCCGGGTTGGGGTGCTGGTGGCTCGAGAGCGGACGACGGAGGGAACGAGGCGCAGTTGGAGATCGGAATAGAGTTCAATCTCGACCTGCGACAAGAGGACCTGGAGATCGTAAAGGACCTGGGAGCTGGAAATGGAGGCACCGTCAGTAAGGTCAAGCACCTGCCGACTGGAACTATGATGGCTCGCAAGGTAATCCCTCCGCCCTCCGCCGCCGCATCATCAGACGGAAAGGAAGACGCGACTAAACCGCTTACCAGGTCATCCATGTCGAAGCCAAGAAAGAGTTGCGGAAACGAATCGTGCGCGAGCTGCAGATCATGCACGGCTGCCACTCCGACTTCATCGTCACCTTCTACGGCGCCTTCCTGAACGACCACAACGACGTAATAATGTGTATGGAGTATATGGATGTTGGGTGAGTGGATCATGGATCATGGGATATGGGATCATGCATATCGGGTATCCGATCCGCCGCTGACGGGCCAACTACAGATCTCTCGACCGAGTCTCTCGCGTCTGCGGACCGATCCGAGTCGACGTGCTGGGCAAGATCGCCGAGGCGACACTGGGTGGTTTGACCTATCTATACTCAAAGTTGCATATTATGCACCGCGACATCAAACCCTCCAACATCCTCACGAATTCCAAGGGGCATATCAAACTGTGCGATTTTGGTGTTTCGGGTGAGCTTGTCAACTCCATTGCCGACACCTTTGTCGGCACATCGACATACATGGCGCCAGAGCGAATTCAGGGCGAGAGGTACACGGTAAAGTCGGACGTCTGGAGTTTTGGCTTAACGATTATGGAATTGGCTATTGGCAAATTCCCTTTCGCTGCTAGTGAACAGCTCTCGGACGGAGATGGCGCGCCTGCTGGCATCCTTGATTTGTTACAGCAAATCGTACACGAACCTGCGCCGAGACTACCCAAGAGCGATGCTTTCCCGTCGATTATGGAAGACATGATCCAGAAATGCATGTCCAAGGTTCCTGATGAACGGCCTACGCCCCAGGAGCTCTGGGTGAGTCATTAACGCCGAAGAGACTTGGGATGAGATGCTGACTTTAACGTCTATAGGAAAATGACCCCTTTGTCCAGGCAGCGAAACGGACACCCGTTGACCTCCGTGCATGGGCAGTAGGTCTGATGGAGAAGGACAATCGAAAATCTCATCTTGCGCCACAGCTTTCACCAGCTACTCAGGAACTCCTTCGGTCTGGTGACTCCCCAAGTCTCCAGCATGACACGAACCCGGCCTTCACGCCGACTTCGGGTGAGATCCCCATCGCGGGTGCCATGATTTCGCCCCGGGATCATCACCATATGCAAAATCGATCGCCGACGAGAAACGGAGTTGGCAGCGTCGGACGAGCCGCTGGATCTAATATGCATCCAGGATTGGGTCAGAGATCTGCCACATCTTCATCCATTCCCAAGGTCGGAACACCGGACCTATCTCACCCGGCCAGCGCTGGCGCATCATTCACACTCCCAGTCCGGCCGGCACCACCCGGAGGCCCACTGCCTCCACCTCCACCGAGAAAGGAGACACCGGACGAAATGCGTAGGGAGAACCGACGACAGGCACAGTTTGGACCACCATCGAATGGCAACTATGGGGCGATGGGTTATCCACAAAAATAGAGTTTATTGGGCCCGTTGCTCGATCCAGAGTCCGAGTACTATGTTTCCGCCGTTGACAAGCCAGGTAGCCCGCGCAACTCGACAGCATCAGCATTTGTCCTACATCAACTTATCAGCCCTAGCCGTCGAAAATGACCGGCATGGACCCCGGTACCTGCATTGCCTGGCGTCCATGATATTATTCTCGACCTCAGCATGCACATGGCATACCTTGCTCACATTTTACAGGCTGTCACCGCCGCCACTGCGCATTTGCGGGATGTTGGGGACATTTTGACGCGAAACGAAGATCATTTTGGGAGTATTGTCTTCTCCACAGTCATCTTCTCAGTCGAGATACAAGCTGTCAGCTTCATGTAGGTAGCTAGTTACACAGATGCGTGGAAACGTAATGTCCAGCATCTGTTACCATAATAGAGCCCGCCAATGAAGAAACACATAAGCTGGGACATTCTTTCTATATTCTAAGTGAATTTGCGCTGATGAGCCTATGTATGCCCGTCGCTGCGTGCGTACGTAATGCAGCATACCCTCTATGTTGTGATCCAACAGGCTCAATCCCGATCATGAACTTCAGCAACCGTTGGCAGGAGATACGGTCTCTACCAGGTCTCATCAGTCCGACGCCCCTATCTCCTTACCCACGAATCCAAAATCCAACACCTGAACCAGGTCGTCCAGCCGCTCGATAACGAGGTCCGTGTGCTCGTGCTCGGCCAGATGCCGGTTCGCATCATTGACCAACAGGACGGTGGCGGCGCCGGCGCGGCGGCCCGCCGTCTGCGTGCACGTTAACATTCTGTTTTTGAACCCGTACAGCCATTTTCCAGATGAAGAAGGAAAGGGAACAACAAAGCCTGTTCTCGAACCCAAATCTCGGGGTCTTGTGACGGGATGTTTTTATACGTACCATGTCGTCGATGGAGTCGCCCACCATGATGAGGGCCGAGGCGTCGCCGACTTCGCTAATCTCCCCCTCTCCCTTTTCATCCGTCTTTCCGTCTACACCCACAGCCCCCTCCCTCTCCCCCTCAGTCCCGGCGCTCGATAGCAGCAACTCCCGCACCGCCCCCTCATCCGCTGGGCCCTCGACGCGCCGCACTAGGCCCCAGCTGCGCGCGATGAACAGCAGGCCCGCCGGTTCCGGCTTCGGCGGGCGGAAGTCGCGCGTCACGATGGGGTGGAAGGGTTTGGAAGTGGAGGATGGAGGTAGGAATTTTGTTAGGAGGTGCGTGACGGGCTGCTCGAAGTTGCGCGTGCAGATGCCCTTGCGGATGTCGTGGGCGTCTAGGTGGGCCATTAGGGTTGTCAGGCCTGGTTGGGGGGTTTGTTCGGACACTGGGGAGGGTTAGCTGGGGAGCTGGGGGTTGAAGGGGTTGGGGGGTTTGGGTTCTTGGGGCTTTGACGACGGTGTTGGGTGTTTGGGTGTTTGGGTGTTTGGGTGTTTGGGATCTGGGGAATAGGGGCGAGAGTGGGTTGGAATAAGGGGTGAGTGGTTGGTCTGGTGGGATGGCTGGTTAAGAGGTGGTCCTTGTGGAGTTGGAAAGGGACGAAAGGGGCGAAAGGGCAAAGGGGAGATTGTCTGATGGTGCTGAACTCACTGCTCTTCCGTTCGATGGCCCGGATGGACTCCATGGCTTCCTCTTGTGGTCCCGGGGTCGGCAGCGAAAAGATGTGCTCGAGAATGTCGGTGCTCTTGGTGATACCCAATACGTCGCGCATTGCGGTGAACATGTGATTTTGCGGTTCACTCCACTCGTGTTAGTCTGTCTCTTGAGGGCCGTTTCATGGTACATGTAGACAGCTTGCATGCTTCTCGGGCTGAAGGCATGATGTTGGAACGGCGATGCATTGGGTGAGCTCAAAGAAGCAGAGAAATAGGTACTAATGGTGGTTGACCCAAGTCTGGCTATGAGCTTTGGGAATGGACACGAGCTTCATGGGGATAGGGGAGCACGATCATCATACGGCCTCATCAGTGATAGATAGACCCCTCACACGTTGACATTGAAGTCCAGGCCCAGCTTACCCCATCTGAAAAGTGACGCATCTCAACTCGGGGTCAACTCACCACAAGGTCCCGTCCACATCGAATATGATTCCTTGTAACTTCGGCAAGTCGCTCTTGTGTCCTCGAACCTCCTTTAATGGCGCAAACCGTCGTGGGTTGGCTTTCGACATGGCGGATAGGAACCTGCGCATGAATTGGGATTCCGACTTGGTGACAGCGCGCCTCTGTGATAGAGTTCCGGCTTCTTGAAGCCTACTCAGTCGAAATATTGTATCTTGGAACTTGTTAGTGAATTGTTCAAGTAGTCGTCGATGTATCTCACGGACCGCATTGCTTCTTCTAGAGTGAGTGAATCATGCTGCAGTCGGGAAGCTGCCGGTCGTCGCGGGGTCCGTGCGTACGATCTAACGGTTAGGGGGTCCAGGGTAAGCTACGAAGAAGGTGCGTTACCGACGCGGCGCGGAAAGCTAATTCGGGACACATAAGCTCATCCTCCATCTACTGATCAGACCAACACCTCCCAAGCCGTCCACCAAGTACAGTACATACAGACTACTACGAGCACCCAGGACCTACCTATACTCTCGAGATCTAGAACCAGCGGAGAAAACTGCGAATATGGCCGACGTGGACAAGGCAAAGGCGGAGAAGCTCGCTGCGGCCAAGAAGCGGGTATGCTCCCCATGGTTGCAAAGCTATGCGCCCGCTAGCTTCCACTCGATGCTGACGATATCCAACAGGTCGAGCAGATGAAGAAGCAGAAAGAGAAGGCGAAGAAGGGCGGCGCCGCAAAGAAGGATAAGGACGAAACTCCCGCAGAGTCGAAAGCCGAGGAGAGTACCGCCAGCGCGGCCGAAGCCGAGGAGCCCCAACCTTCCGCCGTGTCAGAGGAGACACCCGAAGAGCCACCATCTCCGACCCAGACCACGTCCTCTCTATCCAGGCAATCGAAGCTCCGGTCCTCCTCGTTTCGTCAGGGGCCCTTGTCGCCCAGTGGCTCCTTTCCCCTGAGCCCCGAAGGCGAGACAGCACCCGAGATCTATCGAAAGCAAGTCGCGCGCATCGAGGACCTGGAGAAGGAGAACAAAAGATTGGCCAAGGAGGCGGGTGACACAGAGAAAAGGTGGAAGAAGGCAGAGGAAGAGCTTGCTGATCTACGGGAGGCTGATCGAGATGGGACCGACGACAGTCAAGTTGAGAAGCTGGTATGGCGCAGTCTATTTGCGAGTGTTACTGACATGGTTCACTGACAGGTCACATCATAGAAGTCGGAAATCGCAGCACTGCAACGACAAAACTCGCAACTACAGTCATCTGCTACGAAACGCCATGTCTCCTCGCCCTCTATCTCCATGTCCACTCCTCCAGGCGAACTGCAAGCGCAACTTGCTTCCAAATCGGCCACGATCGAGACGATGGAGCTGGAGATCTCACGGCTACGGGCGCAGGCCGAAAGGCAGTCGTCTGCAGGTGGCACCGACCGCGAGCAGATAGTCGCTTTGGAAGAGAAGCTCGCACGTGCCGAACAAGCCGCAATGAAAGCGCAGCGCGAGCTGGCCGACCGCAAGCGCAACCTCGAGCGGACCACCGAGCGGGCCGTGAAAGAAGGCAGCGAACGCACGAGCGCCGAGACTAAGCTGCGCACGTTGGGGCAGGACGTCGAGCGTCTCACCAGCGAGAAAGCGGAATTGGAGAAGAAAGCCGAGGCTCTAGACAAGAAGGTCACGGCGCTGGGCAATCTACACAAAGAACATGACAGCCGCTCGCAAGCGTTGCGCAAGGAGAAGGAACGGGCCGAGAAGGACGCCCAGGAGGTGAAATCGAAGGTCGAGCGCCTGGAGGCTGAGAACGCGCGGCTGCGCAAGAAGGACGCCGCGGAGGGTGGTGGCGACGACGATGGCGTCGATGAGCTCGAGGACGAGGAGCGCCTGCGCATGGAGAAGAAGATCCGCGATCTCGAGAGCGAAGTCTACGACCTGCGCCGCGGCATCTGGCACCAGCGCCGTCGCGACATGGAGTCCGGTGCTGGCGACGACCCGACTAGTCCCAACAGCGGCGGGGGCTTCACCAACATCGATCTGGGCAACGGCCTTGTGTCGCCCAGTACGTCGCGCAAGCCGGCCGCCAAGGGTCTGGGCGACTTGTTCACAAGCGGCATCAACGCGCTGACGGGTGCTGCGCCAGAGGAGAAGGACGAGCTCCTCGAGGACGACGATTTGGAATTCGACGAGGAGGCGTTCCGGCGCGCGCAGGAGGAGGATGCCAAGAGGCGGCTTGAGCGTATCAAGGATATCAAGCGTGGCTTGAAGAATTGGGAGGGCTGGAGGTTGGACCTTGTCGACGGCCGGAGGGGCGGTGGTGGGTATGGGGCTGGCGAGGTGTTTGAGATCTGATATCTGAGCTTGCCCGTTTGGTCTGGATTGGTCTGGCTCTTGTTGGCTGACGCTGGCTCGGTGGCTTCTGGTCCTGATCCTGATCTTGTATAGTATAGACTAGTCGCAGAATATCGAGAACTTTGACGTCTGTACGTCTTTTCACAAGAGTATCATAGGTCATGATCGACAGGAGAAGGTCTCTACCACAGGAAGATCGAGCAATAAACTGAAATATACCCTTCAAGGGCATACATGAATACATTCCAAAGCGCCATCTTAATTGTATCCTACAGCGTTTGAACCTTCCAGGTGCTAGGTACTGAACACCCGCCGTCCACCGCTAGGAGAACGGGGGTCATTACAATTTCTTGGTTCCGAAGCTTAATAGTACGTCCTCGAGGAGCTGATGCGTAACCTGAGGGGAATCCTTCGGGTACGCTGGAAGATAGAATTTTGAATGGGATACAGTAATATGTAAGCTTAGGACATCGATGCCAGGATAAAAAGTGAAACGGATCATTGGACTGTTGTTAATATCAAGGGCGATTCTGGGAGTAAAGGGTGCTTAGCCACTCGGTGCTCACGGAAGCCCGCACTGGGAGTTATACTGTTTTGGATATTGAAAGTAGGTAATCTCCTGATTACCCACCACACTGCCGATGCACCTCAGCCTGTCCGGGGGTGGGCGACGGTGTTCGACGGCTTCGTGCTCGTCGGTGACGTACCGTATCGCTGTGTCCACGACGACGACGATGACGATGCCGACCACCACCACTTGGCAGACACTGAGTAGTAACTACTGGTCCTGCACGACGCATGTTCGAATCTGCTGCGTGCTTCGTCTGACCCTTCCATTCCTGGACCTCCACCATGCCTGTTAATAGCAGCTAGCTCACTAGGACGCAGCACTTGCGAGCAAGTCACGCCCGGTTGATCCGCATTGAGGAACTAGTCGAATCATCACTAGTAACGCGCCTTGACCAGTCTCTTCGAGGGAAGCCGGTCACTCCGCCCTGCCGCCCTGGTCTCCCCGGAATGTCTGCCGGGCCCGAACTGCGCCGTACTACCCTTGTCCATTCCGCCCGACGCCGCCCTCCGGTCAGGAGCAGGTCGAAGCCAGTGATTTCGGCTGAGGTCGTAGCTCTTGTTGGTCAACGGACCACCGTATTCTTGCCTTTTTTTCGTGGGCCAGGCCAGAAGTCCAGCCTATGTGGGATCGGGCGTGTCGGGTTTTGGATGGATGGGTGAAGGACATGAGGGTGAGTATGGGTTTGGAGGGAGGGAGGACGTACGTGTAGCTGGCGCAGCACCAGCTTCCTTCGTTGTCGCCGGCGGTGTTGGCCGCGGCGAAGCCATAGGCTAGCGAGTACCTAGGCCCAGGGGGTCTATCGGAGCAGGTGAATCCTGAGCCGCCCCCTCCATCGCGCCAGGCGCTCGAGGTGTTAGGTCGTTCGGGTGGTTGTCATTCTTGTCCCATAGCATATTAGACGGAGGTGGTCGGACGGTTGGTGGCCATGAGCACCGTGTAGTCAGGCATCAGTGCGTAATGTATTAGGAAATGGAATGGACATAAAGTAGTTATGCCACTGAGAACAGAGGATGTTAAGAGTAACTTGAAATTCCGGGTTACTTACTGATGATTCGCAATAGTCCCAGTATCACGTCGTCGCACAGTTTCAGGATGCTGTATATACCTGGAGCAAAGAGAACGCGAAGGTACCGGTATGTTCCTGGATTTCAGCGCTTTCACGCAAGACGACATGTGAAGATGAATTCTGAAAGGCACACGTCGGGCGGGATCTGAAGCAGCAGATATCTCGTACTGACACCAGTAACTAAGCCAGCCAACCCCAGGCTGCACGGTGCTAACCAAACGAATTCACCCAAGGCCTACCAAGGGTGGCAGGATAAGGTACGTATACAGAAATAAAACGAATTCCTCTAACCCAAATCATAGCCCATGGACGGGCGCTCCAGGACGTGTCCTTCGACCGTGGCCGCTCGCACCAGCGCCGGCAAGTCGCCTATGTGAAGCCGAGGCGGAATCGCCGCAACATGGCGACCTCCTTTCTAGTTTTGCGGTGCAGATCCCCCAACACCCCCGGCCTCGGCCATGAACCCGACCATGTTGAGTCTTTCCCCCGGAGCGACGGTGCCGTCGTTCTGGACTGTCCCGCCTTGGACGATAAGGGGAGGCTGCAAGATGGGGCGCGTACTCGTGGTAAAGGGGATCCATTGGGTGCGAGGCTCGAGTGCTGGTTGTCTTTTCCTGATTCGAAGTGGGCAAGGCTCCGACGGTGTCGCTGATGTCCGTGTTGGTTGCTTGGACGCGGAGTCCCTTTTGGGTCGTCACAGGTGTGTGAATTGCGGCGACGCTCGCATCCCAGTGTCCCCAGAGAATGGGAAATGAGAGAAACTCTATACATTCCACATGTTAGTCATCAGTTAACCCCAGGACTCTCTAGGAAGGCCAATAATGTTGACGTGACCTGGATAGTAGGGACTATGTGGTGATGATGGCATGTGAGTTGCATGATAAGAGTCCATAAAAATTGGGGAGGAAGCATCAAGTCGGGTCGAATTGCACTGCACTGCACTTACACTTCCCCTTTCCAGAACCACGCCTCATTCACGTAGCAGGAGTTTTGCCCATGTTTACTCATTCTCCGCTTCATCACCTTCGTCGCCTGACTATTTCGTCCCTATCCCCCTGAGATCGTTATGTGAACGAGGGCTGGGTTTCGTCTCGACGTCTCCCGCGATGTCAATTTCCTCTGTATATCTTCCCTACTATTAATGTATATGTCTATACATTACGGCTGGATATTGACGCCGAGATTGAGTAATGGGAAGAAGCTCGGCGCCTGACCTGGCTCGCACTGAATGAAAAGCTCAGATCTCAAGGGGATAGGGGGAAGAAAGGAGTAGTGCATAGTCGGTTCTGCTACGCTCCAGTATTCGCACCCCCACTTGAGATCGTCGGCGCCGTCATCGTAGACTCTTGCTGCGGGATCCGCCGGCCCCGCTCGGCGAGTAAAGACAAACAGAATAGCATTGGGAAATATCGATTTCGAGCTGCCCCTCGAATGCGAAACGCGCGCAGGATGGGACACCTGGAAAAGAACGCGCCAGCCGCTTACTGCCCCGGGATATTCCGCTACCATCATGGACACCAGGCAACAATTTACAAATGCTTACCTCGTGTTGCGGGCCAGTTTCAAACAACGCCTGACGGAAAGTCCCGTTGCAACGGGTTGGCTGAACTGTGGGTGATTGAAGGGGATTGAAGGTGTGGATGGGCGATTGGTTGAGATTCAGCCTCACAGACAGGGGCGACTAAAACGTCAACGCGTATCCGGAGTTTTAGGATGATTTGAGATGCCCGGGCGCCTTTGGCCCTGGCATAAGGTACCGGTAAGCCGGGACAACAAACGAAACACACTGCAAACGTTGGAATAATTGGTAAGCTGATAAGTGGCAGCCTAGCAGCCTGCATTCCTTCAGGGCTTGCACTGCCACTGAAGCCAGTAAGCCGGTTGCGCTGATTGGCTGGACAGAAGGATTCTGGTGCTCATTTCGTCAAAGGCTTATCTCCTACCCAAAGGCTCGGACTTGCTCCACTCATCCACTTCCCGTCGACGTGATTGGCCTACTCGTAAACCGCCCCTTGACGTGATTGGACGCCGAGCCAGCAGCATAGCCTGACTGGGCTGAGTTGAGACTCCGAGAGACGTGACAGATTCTCATCAATATTACCAAGGTCCAACAGCCCGTACGGACACGGAGGTGCGACAACACCAACACGCCTATGGGCCATGGCAACCCGTCAGCCCATGTCCGTATGGCCCACGCGTCTTTACGACAAGTTATCCAGTCTCCTACTATTAAATCCTTTTAGCTCGGCAGCTCAGCCGATAATGGACGACGAGTTCGCGTGGCTGAGTCCTGGACCCGACCCTGTAACCAACATCGCCAAGACTGGACGGATGCGAATGCGAGACTCTGGGGATCTGACCTGGGGTCCTCCGTCCTCACAGTCCTGCTTATGGTCAGTTATAAGTATGCGCACACCGGCGTCACTCTTGATCTCATCTCACCCCATCTCATCTGTCATTACCAGCCTTGCCATAATATATCTTTCCATCTTCCCGTTTCCCGGCCGTGTATTGACGCAACTCCCTCGTTGTCGTCTCGCGAGCTACTGACCCAACGCCGAACACTCCCGCCGCCGCCATGCCTTCGGTATCAGACTTCACGCCCTTCTGCAATCTCAGCGCCGTCGCGAACGGGACCGATCTCTGCACGCCAGAAACATGCTGCTTAGCGTTCGGGGAGATTAATTATCTGCCCAACTTCCCCGCCAACGTCTTCTTCGCCGCCGTCTTCCTCTTCCTCCTCATACCCAATGCCTTCTTCGGCATCCGGTACAAGACGTGGTCATTCATGACGTGGGTGACGCTGGGCCTGCTCGGCGAGGCCGTCGGGTACGCCGGCCGCATCATGCTGTACGAGAACATCTTCAGCTTCAACGCCTTCCTGGTCTACCTGATCCCGCTCACCCTGGCGCCGGCCTTGATCACCGCCAGCATCTACCTGTGCCTGGCTCGCTTGATCAACGTCCTCGACCCGGCCCTCGAGCATACGCGCCTGCAGCCCATGACTTATACCAAACTCTTCGTGACCTGCGACATCATCTCGCTGATTCTGCAGGCCGCCGGCGGCGCCCTAAGCGCAATCGCCGACACCAAGGCCCAGGAGGACACGGGCGTCCACATCATGATTGCCGGTCTGGCCTTCCAGGTCTTCTCGCTCCTGCTCTTCATCGGGCTCTGCACCGACTTTACCATCCGCCTGCGCAACGGCCGCAAAACCGGCATGTCGTGGCAGATGCAGGGCGGCGCCAAGTCCACCGGCTCCATCACGTCCAACGTCGACACCTCATACGAGTCCGAGGGCTCGCGCATCCCGCCCTTGATACAAGACAGCGAGGACGACGCTCTCCGGTACGCGCACATTACCAATACGTTCATGTTCAAGGCCTTCGTCGGCACGCTGATCGCCGCAACCCTCCTGATCCTCACCCGCTCCTGCTACCGCCTGGCCGAGCTGCAGGGCGGCTTCAACGGCAAACTCGCCAACGACGAGGTGCTCTTCATGATCCTCGAGCCCCCGCTGATCTTCCTGTCGTGTGCCCTTCTCATCACCTTCCACCCCGGCCTCGCGCTGAAGGGACTATGGAGCATGGGCGAATTCAAGAAGCCAACGGTGGACGCCGCGGCCGCTGTCAAGTCCAAGGCTGGCTTCTTCACGTTTCGAAAAGATCAGCGCCGCGGCACGTATGAGGGTGTTGCCGCTTGATAGACTGGGAACGAGACGGGGCGCGTCGTTGGATGAATCATGTCTTCAGGCATTTACATTTTGAGTTTTGTCTACTGTTTAAGAATACCTGTTTTGCATAGCATGTGGCGTTTAGATCTCTTAGATAGTTTTTAGAAACGATTATTTACTTTCCTCATGGCCCTCTGGCGCGTAACCTGGCTTTGGAATGTGCGTCATTTGATAGATCCTCTAGTATCGAAATGTACCTTTCCTCGCCCAAACGGTTGCTTTGTTATGTCATGACTTCCATGAGTGGACATTCGTGGACGTAGATGTGCCCTCAGCGGCGCTCAGAGGGTCCACCCCTTCTCGAGGATCCTCTAGTACGCAATGGAAGAAGGAGAAGCAGTGTTCATCCGAGTAGTCCGTGTCATGTGACAAGTACCCCATGCTAGTTGCAGCGGCCCGGTGTGCTGATTGACTTACTATACCCGACGCCCTCGTCATGCAAACGCATCCCGTCGCACGTCATGAAACGTCCTCAAGCTATTTGAGTAGTAAACAGTCAAGTCCTCACGGTCACACGGGGACTCTCGCCTGGACGTCAACACCGAAGGATGACAAACTCGCTGAATTCGTTTTCTTGTCTTCCATTTCCTCCTAGGATTCCCTCCTTGCATGCTCATTGCTTACAGGGCTGCTCCCTGTCATTGCGATTGCCATCGCCACCGGTCTCATCTGCAGATTTCCCATCATCAGCCTCCACCTCCTCTCACTCACGCAATCCCTCACTCTTGCCCACACCGCGCCTCAGCCTCCACATCTTGATCCCGACACAACTCCTACAACAACCTCCTCCAGCAAGAACTTGCAAAGGTCCCGCCGACTCATATCATCCACCGAACCCCGGGCCACTAGATCCTCCGCTTCTTGTATTATACTGTGTCGCCGACAATGTCAAGTAGCCGCGCCCTCAACTTTCTTATGTCTGACTCAGTGAACGCCCGTCTTCTTGTTTTTCATGGGCTGTCCCAGCAGTGTTAAGGTCGCCACTGTTGGGAAGCCTGAACTCTCGGAAGTTCATCAAGTTGACGTTGAACTCGTCTGCGTCCCGTAGAACTGAGCCCAAGTCATTGTATCACCTCTCTTGCACTGCTTGCAGAGTGCTGTTGTAGGAGGTACGAAGCCCTTGTGTGCAACAGTTTGGTCCTTCAAAAACGTTGACGCAAGTTCTGGCCTGGGAGCGGCATAACTGCAGGACGCTCGTTTGTACTGCAACCCTGCAGCAAGTTCCATTTGTTTGGCCGTTGGTTGGAACCTGTCGTCACGCATGCATGTTGGCACTCGGCCACCCAGACACATATTGTCGCAACTGATCATGTCACGGAGTAAGTTGTATATCTACCGTCCTTACAGAAGGGCGGCCAATTGCAGTCGCCCATGTGTTGTCCCCTGCCTAGAATCGAAGCGCCTCATAACAGTTCTTCCCACCTTGAACCATCCGAACTCCAATCTCTGCATCTTCCCCCCTAAGCTTCCGCGACTAGACACCCTCATTCTGTCCTATTTCCCCACTTAAGTCCAACCATGGACTTGCAAGAGCTCGCGAGCAGCCTCTTAGGCTCCAGCTTTGTCTACGTGCTCGCTGGTCTCGTTGCAATCTTCGTCTTCTTCGGGGATATCGCCGGAATTGGCAATCGTTACCGAAAGCTCCCAGGCGCTTCTGTGATCGGCGCAAGATGGTCATTCGAACCGGCCTGGATAAACCGATATCGATTAACGCTATCTGGATGGGCGGTCGCGCAACGTGGCTGGGAAGCTGTGACGCCCCCTCTCACGTCCTTGGTGTCGATTGTAGACGCTCATGATCATCCACAGACACCCTCCGGCTTTTTCACGGTCATCAGACCGGAATCGAACGTGACTGTTATACCCAGAAGATATGTGGACGAACTATCGAATATTCCTTACCACCGACTGGCGGCGAGTGAGGCTATCGTCAATGTACGAGGCAAACAGGACTGTATGCGTCGAAAATGAACTAACCAGTATGTAGGACATGATGCGCCAATACACACGATCGGACATCCTTTTGGGGGGCCATCTCGGCCACCATGCAGTGAAGAATAAGCTATCGCACCAGCTTAGCCATCTTGTGGACGTTATCGAGGAAGAACTTCTCAACGCAGCCAGCGATGATCCACTAGAAGTGACTGGTAAGTAAGACTTAGCGTACATCACGGGGGCTCTGCTTTTTGTTGTCTTTTGGGGTATTTGGGTTTGGCTCCTCCCTTCCGGTCGAAGAGCTTAAAGAATAAAAATAAATCATTCACTACCAACTACATCGTTGCTTCCCAAGGAGATATAATCTTAGGCTGACCTTACATGCACACTGAGACATGGTCCGAGCCTAATTTCTCTCGGTATATATCGGAGCTTATGGGACGAATAACATCTCGTCTCTTCCTCGGTCTTCCAATCTGTTGGAACGCCACTTGGCTGCAATTGCAATTGGACCTAGTGAAAGCCATATCTGAGACTACCATCATCATGCGAAGCCTTCCTCGCTACACCCATCCGCTTATTTGCGCTGTCTTACCATCACGGAGACGCCTGCTCAAGTGTATGGAGGGCTTGCATGGCTTCCTCGAGCCCCTCATTGCCGAGCGCCAACAGCAAGAGAGCGCCCAAAAATCCGCATACGAAAGACCGAATGATGTGATACAATGGACGATTGACCTTGCCAACGAAGAGGAATCCGCACCAAGCAGCTTAGCTGACAGGTTTGTTTACACGATTCTCGGCTTTGTGCAAACAGTGGTTGAAGTGATCATGAACTGTGTTTACGAACTCTGCGTGAGACCGGAATACATCGAGCCGCTACGAAAAGAGATGGGCATTGAAAAATGGTGGATGGGGGAAGCGTACTGCTGGCGGACTAGACATAACGGACAGTTTCATCAAGGAGATATCGCGACACTACCCTCCAAGTGCTCGTAAGTTGGTCGCCACTCAAGAAATATACAATATGACCCCGTCTACCCAAGCTGACTTCTACTTACAGTTGCGTTTCGACGAATCACCAAGGAAACCATCGTATTGTCCGACAGTCGAGCAAGCAGGCCTCGAAGTGTTAAGGTCTTGGAGTTACAATTTCTTGACCCGGAGGCTACTGTCATGCCGCGCAAGTCTGCGAAATAAGGTCATGGCAACTGACCATGTGTGGACTTCCACACGTGTCGCACAATTATTGTGGTTTATCACTGGTGGTCAATGAATATTACTCAGTCTACTACGGGGGGAAAAAACAAAAAAAGCCGGAACAATCGAGTCAGGCGTGTGAATCCGAAGCACATTTCTACATTTTGCCCTTCATACAAGCGATTTCGTAGCTTATGTACGCGCAATTGAACCTGAACTGTCCCTTACATGAGACACTATCCCCTTCATAGCCGCTCATGTCGTTCTCTACCCCCCACCCCGCCTTGCTTCTGACTGAGTCGCCCGCCAATACCAATCTGGCGTAGATCCAGGTTCAATCCCTCAGTTTTTTGCGTTGATTTTTGTTGAACGCCTTTCTGAGACGAATCTCCACGGTGGGGGCGTACAGCAGCCGTGTCGTCCCAATCAGAAGGCGACATAGATATCAAGCGTCATGATCGACCCGTCTTGCAGGCGAGTCGCATGTAATGAGGGCAGCGTCTACTGGTGGGGGGAACTTCGGGGTCATGTAGATGTCGAACTTTCGGGATTTTTCCAACATCCTCGTGTAGCCCTCGGTGGGCTGCAGCGATCGACCATGGCTGCAACCAGGTGTTCCACCAGAATGCGGGCAGAATGGGGTTCCTGGAAATGGTAGGTCGTTCGAGAAGTCCGAGGGAGCACCGTTGACGGCCCACGGCCCACTCGGCTAGGCGGCGCGTGACGTGTCAATTGTGCGCCTACGTGTAGTGGATGTGGTGGATGCGGTGGGTGTGGTCCACTTCCAAAGAAGGAACCTCAAGGCTGACTACCGGATCCTTTCTCCTTTTAGGAAGAATTGCCGTAACTGCCATGCTAACACATAACGAAAAAGTTCCCATCGCATGAAGTTCTGCTTATCACCATTGCAGATATTTATAGATCATAACTTTTGTGCCTAACGGGTCCTCTTTACGTGGTAGTATTAACCACTACCATTTCGAACACCGTCAGAACTGGAAATAGGCTACTCTAGAAATAGCAATTCTCCATTTTTGGTGAGATTATGACGTGGAACACTCAAGAGGATACATATTCAACCACGTCTCACTAGGTTGATACTTTCGCAGGTTGGAATCATCATAAAACCTCAAGCTCTAACACCGACTTGCCATTTCTACTCATCCACACATCCACACGCCTACAAGAAACACACATTGTACAGCACCCACAACAAACACACATCGCACAGCACCCACAACAAACACACATCGTACAGCATTCACCAGTCCAGCAAACAACATCTACCTACAATGCGCGTTCTTGCCGCCACCACCGCCGCCGCCTTAGCTCTAGCCTGGCAGATCACCGGTGCTGTCGCCAGCCCAGCAACACAAGACTTAGGGTCCGAACACGAGAGTACGCTGCGCATCCGTACGACCCCCTATACCGACGAATTTGTATGGTACAATGGCAAATGTGATCGAGGCTCCTGTAAATACGATGGGAAACGTTATCCTTGCTCAAACGGCGGTTGTAAGGCTCTCCATCCGATAGACAAGGAGGATTGCTGGGTGAAGCTTAGAAAGATTGGAGAGACTACCGTGACTACCGAAATCGAGCTTGGCGAAACCGATTGTCCCCTTGACGACGACGAGTAGCTCTAGCGATTAGGAAGAGCCCGCGGATGATTCCGGTTAGGAAACCGGGGGTTGAGGGCATGAAGTGATTCCGGTTATGTACAGGTCACCAGGATTGGAAGAAGTAGCGCGGCGCCATGTGGAGAGGGGGTATATCTTCTCTTAGATCTGGTGTGAATAGACTGTTGATCCCTTCATAAGTGTTGCGCTCTCAGGTCACAGAGGTATCTTCGCATAGAAATCTAAAAGAAAGATACCTATCCGGGGCCCATAGCCTAGCGTTTACGCTACTTCTTCCAATCCTGGCGACCTGTAGTATCGGTCGTGGCAGTCATACACGTGGAGTACCGCTCTGTCTAGTGGCGGTATTTTACTTAGACATATCTGAACATTTATGTAGACCAAGTCGAACGTTTATCCTCTCTGAATGGGCCTTAGCCGGCCAGTAGCTTGATGGCTAGAGAAATTCTGAAGGCTTGACAAAGCACCAGCCGGGATATGCCATTAGAGATACCTCGGAACAAACCACGGGTCCTGTGCAGCTAAGTAACAAATGGGTGTCTATAAGCCTAGAGACGGCGGGCTAATTGTGTTATAAAATGTTAAAAGAGAGAGTTATACGTTAACTAAAGGGGCCATGAAGTGTAGAAAAGGAGACTTATAGGTCAACCAAGGGGAACCAACCTCCGCAGTTTTACACTCTTATCCCATTCTTTTATCATCCTCTGGACCTTTGAATTGCGTCCTTCCGTAAATATCTTGAGCTCTTTCCGCTGATGATTGGCTATGGTTAGGTAGTCGGATGACGAGCTAGTCGTAAATGGGTAACGGCGTTACTCACTAAGAAGCCGTGTCAAGTGGCCATCGTCCGCAACGACGTTAATTTACGAGATGTCCCATGTCCAGGACTGAATGCTACGGTGGGGGTATCCGTGTTGAAACGCGACAGAAACGAGATCCCAGAAACCAAGGCATGGTCCTTTTTTTGAGAGCAGTCGGCTTTGCCTTTGATTCGTTAGACGTTATCCTCAGGTCGAATGCTCCGTTCTCGTCCATTTATTGTCCCTTGTATACCATCCCTCGGATCGTCTAACACTCTACTTCGTAGACCTCGTCCTCTTGTCCTATGTGTCTCGCGCTGTCACGATGGGAAGCTTGTTATACCTTTTGCTGACCCTTTCCGTTAATGACTTTCGAATCATCTAGACGGCTTTCAGAGTGTCCCAGTTTAAGTCTCTCCGTATCGCGTTTGGTTCCCCGGATCGTCCTGGGAGCAGGCTCTATGGGGACGTTTCGTATTTCAATGTTATGTGGACCGAGTATTGGTGGCTTCTTGAAGTACGGGATTTCTTACATCGCCTGGATTCGGATGTTAATGTACACTCGGCCAGAGGGTCTTGGTATTGTCCGGAGTTATTTTCAGAACACTACAAATATGCCACCTCGAATACCGCGACTTGTTGTTACCGAAATAGTAAAGCCTTTAAGCTTTAATGATAGACCACGTTTATCTGTAGCTGTGGCTAAGCGTGGCTTAGCTATATATCAGCTATACAGATATATTATCTGACCATTCTCGTCGGCCAGAGAGATAGGCCTAGACATAACAACAATAATAATAATAAATCAATACACCTAAAACTGGTTTATTAAATGGTAACATCTTTCTAACGACAAGAAACCATATAATATCCTATCTTAACGGACGATATTTTTTTCGCTTAAAGGGATTAAACAACTACCTTCCGACTATAATATTCGTCTTTTGTTGAATACACGGATGTTGATTGTCACGGCGAGCGCACTGAGGAGCTGGGACATGGCCGGCAGCAAGCAGCTATTACTCTATTGACGAGAATATCAAGACTAGAGAGGAAAGGAAGAGAGAGATTGATTGATTGATTGTATTTATCGTGGGTGCAGTCCCTCTATAGGGCAAACCACGCCTCCAAGAGCCATTGCATCGCAAGGTTGTAGAGGTGTCAGTCTAGATACATTCAGATCCGCGCACGAGCCTATCCTCGCTGTAGCGGTACCAACCTGGAGTGACCAGATGGTTTTAGTCAATATCAAAGCACGATTTCGTCAGAAAAATCTCTTGTCCAGTGACAAAGCGACCCAGTGAACCTCAGTCCTCTGGTGTACACATCGTTCCAGTAGCCGTTCGATATATGTCGCATTAGTGGGTGAAGTAGGTGTTTGTTATCTGCTGGCGAGGGAAACCACAAGGGGAAAAACCTCGCAGGAGTGGGTGTTATAGAGACAAGCTGCTTGGCTATCGGGCTCTGTGATAAGGGGCCTCTCCACTGTCGTGTGCTGGTTGTCGACTCGCACAAGCCGGGTCAGAAGGGGGCCATAGCAGGATTCGAACCCACTTGTTCTCGTCGCCCACCGCACAAACGAGAACACAACCAGGCGCATTTGACCATTGCGCCATACGGCCAAGGAAGAGAGAGAGAGAGATAGGTACAGCGGGAGGTTACCTCTTGAAGGGGATCCTCTGGTCAGATCCTTCCCTTATTGGGAAGTATTTGCTTGTCATGTAGGAAGGTGCGTGCAGGCCGTCACAGTTAAATTATTTTTATCAAGTCTGATTTTATCCATTTATTTATAATATTATAATTGATGTTTTATTACAAAACGTATTCAGTATATAAAGGCTTATAAATATTTTAATTATCGTTATTAACATTAAACAATCTTATAAATAATTGAAGTATTGATTTTGTCAGATTTTTGTTTCATTAAATTATTTTGTTTACTTAAATAGAATAGAATATAATTAAGAAATTCATGTATACCTTTCTAACACATTTTTTGGCCTTAAATTAGCCTTGTTTTATAAAGCCGTTTAGTAATTTGAACAACTTTTAAAGATATTGAAGCTTTTATAACGATATTTATATTATATTAACTTTTTTAATAACCCTTTATTTCTGTTTCCTCCGGTCAAAATGACGACTCTTTTCTACTAAATATAAATAACTATAAGAGATATTTTTATTGACTCAAATTTTACAGATCTGATGATATTTGTGACGGCCTTCTGTCAGATTTGAGCCAATCGTGAGGTTGAAGTGTGTGTGTGTATTCTGTGTGTCTGGAGTGTCCTTGTGCGACCGTGGCAGTTTTGTGCCAGAGGGGGCTGGATCGGGACGGAACAACTAGGTTCCGGTGTCTACCTATCAAGGTGCCCTCTGTGCTCACCTTTAATCCAACACCTTCACGGACCTTCCCACATGACAAGCTGATACTTCCCAATAAGGGAAGGATCTGACCAGAGGATCCCCTTCAAGGGGCAACCTCCCGCTGTACCTATCTCTCTCTCTCTTCCTTTCCTCTCTAGTCTTGATATTATCGTCAATAGAGTAATAGCTGCTTGCTGCCGGCCATGTCCCAGCTCCTCAGTACGCTCGCCGTGACAATATTTTAATATAGTAAAAATAATTAGGATTATAAACGTGTAATAATAAAATCAATTCTTTTAAAAGAGTAGATTAATAAATCACGTTTATTTCAAGCTGTAACTAAGCGTGGCTTAGCCATATATTAACTATGTAGATATTTATCTAATAAACCATTTTTATCGGTTAAAAAGATATACTTAAATATAATAATAACAATAAATTATTAATACTGTGAAGTTCAGGGGTTCAGATGGGGTCAGGATGGGATGGATCTGGTTCGGTGTCTTGGTTATGGATCCATGGGGGATATTCCCACCTAAAAACTGAGTCGGGGAAAACAACAACCACACCCACAATGGGGCTGCTTGCATAATGGATATAAGAAGGAGGAGGGGGAGCCATTGGCAAAGCCACGCAGTGAGTTTGAAGGGTGTGTCACATAGAGATAATACAATGTATGTCTGAACTGATCGCTCAATTATATGTGTTATGAGAGAGGAGTGGCTGTACAGGAAGACAAAAGAAAGTAACGAAAAATGAACGGTGGCCTTTATATGCCACAGACCTGGCTGTACATGACATCAACCCTGCCCCAAAACAATACAGCTGTGGGAGCCCTTTGATGGCCGTCTACTTGATACCAGACAACAGACCTGCCATACAACGCCCGAATGCTCCTCCTTTCACCCCTTTGAGGTCCCTATTCACCCCTTTCACCTCCCATACAGCCTGCTGTAAGCTGTAGCACACTGATAGGCACCAATATTCTCACAATTATAATTAAAACTAGATTACAATTTAAAAATTTAGAAATAATGTATAAAAAACAGTATTTAATTCTTATATTATAATTAAAGGCCCAGTTATAAGTCACGTATTAAATTAATATTCAACCTTTATAAGTAATGTTAGCTTATTAATACGTGGTTTTAAAAACTTCAAATCTTTAAAAGTTTATTTTATTTCTGTAAATATTTAAAGTATTTAGCCCAATTTTTTTTATTTTTTTTATATATGATAACGATAAAAGAACTGATTTTGACAACTATGCCTTTAAATTAACGGTTATATATGATAACGTATAGTTTTAAATAGCTTTAATTTATACTTATTTAAGATTATATATTTAATATATACGATCATTAATTTAAAACCCTTATAATATTTTTATCGTCGTTATTTTTAAGTTAATCGTATAAAAGGTAACAAACTTCAGTATCTTTTATTAATTATATTATAAATACGATAAAAATACGTTCTACGATCATTACGCTAACACATTAACGTCGTAAATATCAATTTAAGTATATATCAATACGTATAAACTAAGGCTATTAATATATATATATATATATATCGATATACACAACGTTTTAATGGTTATAATACTTTTAAATGTCTCAATTTTATCGTTATTATAAATTATATAATTATACGATAGGGTTTTCAAACTATTATTATATGTATTACTCCGTATATTTTGTAATAGCTGTGATGGATCTGACATCCATCCATCCATTCACGGTGGTGCGTGCGCTTATCAGGTGATCTGGTGGGGTGGACGCGTTGCCCCGCTGCACTCACTATAGACAATTGTGGAGCGGGATTGAAGATCTAATCCCCCACCAGAATTGGCTGGTGGTTCTGATCCTTCTTCCCTCCTCACCAGTAGATTCTTATTCATCTGGAGTAATAGATGGGCATCTTCGTCCTGAGCTGCCAGCTGTTCTGTGACAATAGCTTTAAGTTGTTAATATTTGAAATTATACGGAATAATATATACAACGGTAGTTAAAAAGCGTTATGTTACAAACCAACAAATACCACGGCCTGTTGGAGGGCCAAGGGGAGTACACCAAGAACCAATAGAATCAGAAGCCTGGAACGGAACAATGGGTATTACGGATTATATAACAAAAGGTCACGTGACAGATTACGGGATCACGGAGTAAGCCTGCAAGGATCACTGGATCACGGAATTAGCCAGTGAGCATCACTCTGGGACAAGGTGATCCTACTCCATCAGTGAAGGAGAGATTGGATATATAAGGACAGACATTTCCCAACTAGATAGATAGACAGTCTCTATCTTAGTGATCAATCTAATCGTCTTAACCAACCCTAAGGTGGGAGAAATCTCCTGACAACTCGACTACGCAGTGAACCCAGTTCAGACCAAGCCCCAGTATCTGAGTGTCTTCTAGTTGACAGAAGCCTCTATTGTCTTTTGTGTTCACTTACCTCAGAATATAAACCCTATAGAACCCTTTAGCCTTATAGGTTAGCCGGCTCGTCACACGTTATCGTCAAAAAACATACTTTTAATTATCTGGCACCAGCTTAGAATTGTGTGGTGTGTTTGTGTAAAAGTAATATGGGGCTGGACACCTCGAACGTTAAAGGCAGTACAGGCCAGCACTAGGGCTAGGGCAACACACGACCCAGGAAGGGTCCCATATAAAAGGGATTTCTGCCAGGCCGTGGGACGGGAGGAAAACTTCCTCTCTTCATCTCACGACCGTTATACGGGCCTCACGGGACGCAACGGTCGCGATTTCACCCGCCCGCCGTCCCTCGCGTACTGGAAGGTAGGATATCAACTGGGTGATCGGGGTCTGATTGGTACGCAGGGATAGGTACTGGTTTTGTTTTTTTCATAGTGTGTATGCTGCTTCAGGAGCCTGGCTGTCTACGGGCCTTACGGACGGCCAGCCAGGCCCCTGAGGCTCACACTCTCTCCCCAATACATGCAATTCACTCTCACTACCGGTAGCCCAATGTGCTGTGATCTGTAGATGGCTCCTATTCAGTGCACTGCCACCTCCCTGACGCCACGGTGGCTTGCGTGCCACTCAACAGTCCGTGCCAACCGAGATGTCGGCCATTTCCCACATAATGGCCCTCTTTGTAAGACCGAATGTGTACTGCATGGAATGTTTGAGTGAAGCATCGCCCCAACGTTGATATTTGCAGTTGGACTCTCAGATGAGATTGAAAGGAGTATTGGCACACATGCTTGTGTGGGGCAGTCGCTTATGCCATGCAATTGGTTGACCGGTGGTGAGCACTGAGCGCATATGGCCTAGCGCCTCTATCCTCTATTCTGAATGCTCTGGGGAGGAAGACTCGGAGTCTCCGCATCTCGAACCCCCAAAAGCCAGTCGTGCTCTCTCTATATAGCATTATGCTCTGTACGGGCACGGTCGCTCTGTTCTTGTTGGAGGACATCCTCCAACATACCCCTCTCTTGAACTTCGATGCCATTGGCTCGGTTAGGTCGTCGAAGCAGGCTCCGTTCTGCAGAGCACCAGTGGGCTTTTTAACAAGGCAGCCTGCTGCACCTGATGATAGGTATGACAGCATAGCCCCCATCGTTTACCTCCAGCTTCAAAAACCCGGACCCCAGACTTACCAGAGTTCACTCTACACATATATTCTCCTACAGCCTCAAGTTGTTCGTCCTTGTCCGGAGCCTATCACCACCACTTGGAAGGTTCACATCAGCTAACGACCAAGATGGCCGAGGCGCTCGGCGTTGTAGCTAGCGGCATTGCTATCGCCCAGGTGGCTGGGACTGCCGGGAAAGCGATCATCAAGCTGAGGGGTCTGTGGAACCAAGTCAGGACAGTCCCTGACACCATTGCCGACCTAATGGAGCCGATTGACTGTCTCCAGCCTGCCCTCTGGGAGTTCGAGAATAACTTGGCTCATCAAAACATCCCAAATCAATTCTGGGACGATAGTACCACAAGGCGCAGTTCAGAGTACTGCAGCAAGGCTCTAGCAGAGCTGTCGGACCTCGTCACCGATCTGTCAAGGCATATCAATTCCGAACGGCAGATTCATAGATCTACTGGGCGATGCAAGGCCATTTCGAAGAAGGAGCAGATAAATCTCCTGGAGCGGCGTTTGGAGAAGGCCGTCAGGATGCTTCAGTTCGCACAATAGGGTTACATCACGTTTCTCTCTCTCTGGGCCACTTGATATGGTTGATAGCGTTACGTGTGGCTAATTTCACCAGGGTTCATGAAACATCAACCCGACATCATTGCAGGCAAGGTTGTGAGTCAATCAAATGCGGCGCGGAATCGAACAGAGCCATCGGGAAGCCTGAAAAGAGAAGTGCCCGCAACCCATATTCAGCACCGTCCACAACCGCAGGAAGCTGGAACGAGTCGCCGAAAGTCCGACAAAAGGCAAAACACGGACGTCACAACAAAGGATGGGCCCGACACGGAAAGATTCACGCCCGGAGATAACCGACACGTCTTTCGGGCCCAGATACAGCCACCTTTCTGGCTCAAGGGTTTAATGTATGATTGGGAATTAAACCTGCAGAAGTCCCATGTGGGTTGGAGAATACACCTTCGCTACTACTCTGTCGTACCACGAAACTCCCAAGCATTCAAGGCTGTGGAGGAGGGGAACCTCAAACGTTTGATGGGAATGTTCACAGAGCGGATGGCGTCGCCATATGACCGACCCTCAAATGGCGTTACTCTGATGCGTGTAAGTGATAGCCTACCGCTGTGGGCTGGGCGTGCGCAGTTGAGTTAACTTGTCCATGAAAACTTCTAGTGCGCAGCTGTTTACAGGCAGACCGCTGTGTTCATGCAGTTGCTACCTCTGGGGTTGGATATCAACGAGGCAACAGATCAGCGACTGTAAGCAGAGCAAGGCCTGTCTATGCGAAGAATTCTAAACTCATCATCTCAGAACAGCAATAATGAACCCGAGTCGAGTGCACATCGCTAGTTCGTGTACCCTCATGTTGAGACCAATCTGCTTGGCCACATCGGCGGGCATGTCGCGAGACCGAGCATGTTGGCATGGTCTATTAGTAAGTCAAATGACAGCAATCAACAATGTCGGTGCAATGTGTGAGTGGACAGAGGGGAAAGGCTAAGTGCTGATACACTGGACCTTCAACAGTCCCTCGTTGAGCGAGCGAAAGGTCTATCTATTGTGATTGGAATAAGCACTCTGGAATAAGCATCGAACCTGGCGCACCGGATCAAATCTGCTTATTCCAGGCTGCTTATCCCATTAACATGATTATGGTAATGGTTTCCAAGAGTCGGTAGTGGCACTTCGGATGGAGATGTATGAGGGGTGACTGTACCTGACTGGTCGATAGTCAGATGCTGTATGACTTGCCCTTCATCGTCTGCAACAGAAGTGGCCCGAAGCATGTCGGAACCGCAGCCGGGTACAGGGCGCTTCAGCCCTAACTTGAAAGCTATAAATCACCATTAGAAGGTGCAGCAATCATATCACTATCACGGATGAATGCAAGACCAAAGAAGTATGTTCCAAATGTGATTGGTGGCAGCCTCAGATGGCAGTCTCTAGCTAGGTAGTTAGGCAAAGAATTGCAAGTGGCATTAGCCTCTATAGTAGTAGTACGAGTACAGGATGTCTAGTTATCCTCAGGCAAGATCCTGCGATGCCAGTTCCTGTAGTCGTGTGCCATGACCCGTGTCTCGTGTCTCTCGTGTCGGGAATATGCGAAAGCCTGTCCATCATTCATGCTCCGTGATGTGCAATGTCCATGCATTCCAACCCCGGTCTGGTATCGTCGCAAGAAACCAGAAAGGCCAGAAACAAAGGAGAGGGAAGATCCAGTAAAGGGGAAGTCCAGTCCAGAATAAAAGACCAGAGATCTGAGCGACAGGGGCCAATGATCCCAGCCTTCAGAAAAGTTCGTGCCAATCAACTACCAAATCTTCCAAGAGGAACAACGTAGAACGGTTTCGATCGGTGACTGCGGCTATGCGCGAGTGAATAGCCGGTCGAATCACTAGATCTTGAAGAAGTCGCGCGGGTAACACGCCTGCGCAGGGGCTGAGAAGGAATCTCGCTGCTGAAGCTGCTGCATCTGTCGCATCATCCCGCCGATCTTGCTTCGGAGGTCGCCGTTCTCGGTCTGCAGGCGCTTGACCTCGTCTCGGAGGTTTTCGTTGTCCGCCTTGCGCTTCTTGCCGCGAGGGCTCGCACCGAGGTCGGCATTCTCAACCTCGGGCTCCTCGTCGTCATCGTCGTCGAGGGCTGCGACACTGCCCGGTCGGCCAGGATGGACTCGTCGGATGTGCTCGTTAAGATTCTCCAGACGACTGAATCCGTTGTCGGGAAAGTGTCTCTTGCAGCCGACGTGGGGGCAGCTCATGGGGTTCTTGGGGCCGCCGTGCTTTCCGTGGACCTCCCGCTCGTGGCGGAGCAGGCCTCCCGAATAGGTGAAGCCTGGGAGGGCTTCACAGCCTTGAGTGGCACACTTGTAAGGACGCTCGTGCTTGTCCATATGCTTGCTGTTGGGAATCGGGTCAGTCTGCTGTTACTTGGGCATGAATACTGGACACACTTACTCCCACTTGCCCTTTTGATCCCACACCTTTGGACCCTTGCCCTCGGTGCAGTTAGGCACGGTACAAATCCAATTGCCGTCCGCGTTCTTGGTCTCTTCGCGGACAGGCTTGGCGATTGGCTTTGAACGAAGGCGGCGACGTCCGTTGCCCTCGGTGAACAGACGCTTGGGAATTGACGAAGGAGGTCCAACAGGAGAGGAGCCGAACGGGTCAGAGAGCGCGGGTGACGGAGGCATTGCCGTCGCGCCGCCAAGACTACGCTGAAGTGTGTGGACCACGGACATGGCATACTCAGCATCGTTACCATCGTTACGGCCGTTCATGCCGTGGTCATTGCCAATGATCGGGTTCGAAGCGAATGACTGGGCCGCTATGGCGGTGACGCCGCCATCGTAGACAACGATCATCTCATAGCCGTAGTGAACCAGGGCATTGTTGTGGGGCCGGTTGGTGTTGAACACCTGCATGAAGTCCAGGCGCATGCGATCGTTACCGCGGTGCTTGCTCGGAAGGGTGTAACGGCGGCAGAGACCGCCAGAACCATCCAGAGGCGCCTCCACAGTGAATCGGTAGGGGATCATCTTCTTGGTGAGAGCCTGCTGGACGTTCTCGGTGTGCGTTCTGACTGGACCCGCGGGATCTAACGCGAGAGCGCGAACGTCAGCGGCCTGACATTTTAAGCGACGGGAATGTGACAGCGCCGGTGATGGGCCCCTATTGGGACAGGGGGAGTATGCACAACAGGGAGCCAAGCCACGGCCCAAGATCAGGGTTTGTCATCGGGGCGCGTGGATGCTGCGGCGCAAAAGTAACAGAATAGGACTCTTGTCTGAAGGCAACCGTCCGAACAAAGGAGCAAAGGAAGACTCACCATTAGGATCGTCGTCCGTAACAGGGAATGCTTCAACAGCATAGGTCCAGTTCGGGTTCTTGGGGTCTGCCTCGAGGACTACGCGGGACTGCTCCGCCTTGCTGACCTGTCGGGGCTGCTGGGGGGCTGTCGTTTTTATATTAGCACATGTTCGGTAGGCGGACACCATTGATCGCACGCAACGAGGCGGACGATCAGGGTGGATGCACTCGCCAATGACTCACTTTGAACTTGAAGCACGTCCTGGCCGCCCGATCGCATGCTGGCAGTGCTACCCGGTCCGACGACAGGAGAGCTGGTGAACACGTCCTCGTTGCCCATTCCCATGCCGGCAGGGGTAATGGGTGCCACGAGAGGAGAGCTGCTGAACAGGTTCTGGTCACTGTTGCCGGGCATATAACTTCCGTACAGTCTGCTAGGCGTAGGCGTAGCAGGCGTCTGAGGCCAGGGAGCAAGATAATTCGGCGGGCCCCAGTTGTCCTGAGTCGGAGTCGTTCCTGTGTCAGAGGGAGTGAAGGGGTCCATGGTACCCGCAGAAGGCATCTCGTAGCCTACTTCCTCCGTAGAGTACAAGACGGGCGCAGGTAGCAACTCGCGCGGAGGTTGCATCTGGTACCCCCGAGAGTCGGCGTACGCGACCTGGGGAACCTTGACGCCGTTCATCATGCGGAAGTAGTGGACTTCTTGGACCATGATGAACTGGTGGTGTCAAAAGTCAGTGGATGTCACCGATGCATGTCGCGCGGCTCCAGCGATGGACTTACAGTTGGTGCTGGAGAACCGGTCTTGGAATTCGGGCTGGTCGTTCGGAATGTCAGCTGTTGCTCCAGGTTTGGTCAACCACGAGACTGTTGGCGACGGAAGACGAGGCCGGATGAAAATGGTGCGAAAGCGGGCTGTGGAATACTGGATTGCAGGTGTGGTCTGGTGCGAGCCCCAGTGCATGCAGTGGAAAGATGGATCGAAGAAGAGAGATGTGATGTTGTATCTTCTCCTTTGCGGGTAGTGAAGCTCCAAGATGGACGAAAGGGCCAGAGGCGATGGTGCGAGGGCAGGATGTGAAAAGGTTGATTTCAGATGCAGTCCGATCCAGTGCATGTAGTGAGAAGATGGATGGGAGGAAGAAGAGTCGAGATGTCGAGGTATCTTCCCAGTGATGCGAACTTTGTGGGATGGTGAAGGGTCGGACCGATGGAGTGCAATGGGAGATTTCCCGGGAGGTGAAGCATCAAGATGGGGGGAAAGGATGCAAGATGGGGGAAAGGATGCAAGAATGAGGGAAGGGAAGATACTAACCTGCGTTGGTAAGGCGAATGATGGAACGAAATCGAGGATTTCAGACGAAGGTTGCCTTGTGCAATCTGATGATCTGGGGCAAGCTGGATGTCAACTTGAGGAGTTTCGAAGGATGGGGACCTTATCCTCGGGATGCAGGCCTGGAGAGGAAGATGTGTTTGCAATGCGGGTGTAGAGGTACTTACTGCGTGGAGGAAAGGGTACTAGGCTGCGAGGCAGATGTCCTTGAGAGGCTGCAGAATTGTACGAGTTGTTTGGGCAACAATTCTGAATTTCCCTGAGCTTGCGTGGGTCTGGTGTGAAAGGCCCCGTATTAGGGCAAGACCGAGATGAGGTTGTAGGGCTGAGAATTGGCCTCGATGGGAGCATGGGGTACAGGTAGAACATACAACGTAGCTGGTGTGTTGAAATTCCGGAGACAAGGTCGTCGAGGAAGTGTGGTTTTCACCCGGGGGTAAAATGCCTTGGTCAAGGATCTCGAGTCCCTAGCAGCGATGTAGGTCTTGCACGCAAGCCTTATAATCAGGGCAGTCGAAAAGATGAAAGGAAATGGCAGTAATGTTCCCAATGGGTTCAGAAGATCGAAGCACCTCCGAGTTGTCGCAGCAACGTCCGCAGATGTATGCCGTTCCAAGAGAAGAGAGCAGCGATCCTTGAACGGGGGTTGTCTCGCAGGGCCTTGAGCTTTCGGGGGTGCAGTGGAGCTGGAAGCACAATGCACACAAGTGAGGAAATTCCAGAACAGTCCGGATTAACCTTGGCAACACTGGTCCCGAGTTTCACCTGGCATCTTCTCCCCCGGGCCGTCACCACCACCAGCCTCGCCCCGAGGTGGGCCTCAAAACACGGCGATGAAGTCTCCCACAGACTCCACCCTAGACCGATGTAATGCAGAGCCCCCCAATGGCTGGGTCCGAACCAATCAGTCACGTGAAGACATCATCTGGAACTACCAGCCGAGCGAATGTTGGTCTTGTGCACTTGGCAATCCATCCCGAGTACCAACTGCCACACAGTGAGCTGCCACTGCCCTTTCCTGCTTGGCCTGGTGTCTCAGTCAGGGGGCCCTTCAGTACCCATGCAGAGCTGACTTCTGTCCTTTTCTTCCCCCGTCACAAGGAAGATGCGAAAGGCCAGCGAGTGGCCACCGATATAATTCCACTGATCATTTGTCGATCCGGGAGATCTCCGTCTGATGCCCTTCCATATGCTGCAGGCCCCATTGGTGAGTGTCTCTGACCGAAAGTGCCCGGTCAATGGACCAGTATCTTAGCATCACTCGCTTGAGAGACGACGACATCTTGAACAGGATCGTTAATTTGCTCAAGGTTACGGCAGAACCTGAATTGATTCCACAACATCGATACCATCTCTCATTCTGCTGGGTTGGGAACACGAAGTCTCTTGAACAGACACAAACCCATACCATGGCATCACTGAATGCTTCCGGAGTGCTGGTTCTGAAGTATTCATCTGAAGACTCGCTTCGACTGAGAGTTCCTGCCAGAGGGACCCCGTCGCTCGAAGGGCCCAAACCCTCCGAAGACTCACTCCATCGGTACCTTCGAGTGTCGCATGGATAGCCGATGTTGGAACGTCGTCGAGGTCTCATGTATTTCGGTTGGAAAGTACTCGAAAGTACTCGGCCTCGACCATCACGGGACGTAGGCTGGCGCTGGGTCAAAGGGGCCCGAACCCCCAAAAGACAACGGATGTCTGTGTCTACAAGACATCGCGTCATGGTTGATGGTTTTTCTTTTATTTTTCTTTTCTTGCGCATCGACTGTCCTGCTGCCTTGTCGCCCCCGAGAGCTTCAGAGCTTTGACTGCTGTCAAAGGTTCCGCGGTGGCTGGAAGCCTTGGTCGTGTTCTTGCCGGCGGCGATCGTTGTTGTTGCGCTTGGAGGTATGGATACCTCACGGAGTACCGGCGAGCTGTTGGTACGGTGCGAAGCTACCTGCCGAGGGTTGGATACCTCACGAAGTAGATGTCGACTGTCAATGAAGAAGTCGAGCGGCGCGCTGTTGGCGTCGTTAGAATCGCGTCGATCAGCCCGGGGGCTCGCGATCAGAGTGACATGGCGACGTACACGAAGCTTTATCCGGGACGTGTACTTCTGAATAGAAGATCCGCCCCGCGAACGTTGAGTCTCAAATGCAGTTTAAGGTCGTGGTGTAGCTGAAGTGAGAAGCAGCCCCATCATCGAGAGTAGCTTGGCCGAGACGGTATGTCAGACCCTCGTGGTGATTGAAGAGGGAAGGCACCTGGTGGTAGCTTGCAAGGTCAGAAAATATGTCAGAAGAGGGCAAAATGCGTACCTACCTGGCTCCTCCCTCGCATTCCACCATTCTTGCTTGGTGGCCTGATCAATCTGAGGCATTCGTTTGGGTATGTATGAGGCTGGAAGAGATGGCTATTCCAGGCGATGCCTTGGAGAGCAATGAATCAAAGGCTCGGCACGACGGGGTAGGGTCAATTTGGTTGTAGCGGGCCCTCCTTTCGTCACGACGACAGTGTCGAGGATAGTACTGCTCAAGAACCGGGTCCGCTTTTGCCGCACCCCTCTCTCAAAACCTGCGTGTATGACCTACCACTCATTAAGGCTCTGTCAAATACCCGGGTGGGCAGGTTGGAAGGGCATCTGGGAAGGTGCGTCGAAGGGACCGTGTCTCGTGGTTGGATTCCGGAAGTTGGCAAGTGGTCGAGCTTGGATAGGTCTCGTCTAGGCTTGGTCCCTGCCTCCTGATCCTTCAAGCTTTGACCATTAAATTGTGTGCTTGCTGGGACCCCGTTGAGGGTACAGGCTGGAGTTGGTTAGGAAGGGCAAGCCAAAGTGAAAGAGCGTCTTGTTGGTGGGTGTCATAGCGTGGAAAGTTGAGCAAGGCATAGTGGAACTGGGAGCTGAGAGTTTGGAAGAGTGAAACGGTGGCGAGCATTACTTACTGGTCGTTGCGTCGATGTGGCGTCGTCCGGGTCGCCAGCCACAGGTACGTGGTGGCCAGGCCACCGTCGTCAAAAGACATGTGGTTGATTTAGCGACAAGTAAAACCTCCCTGAGGTACATCAACGGTGCTTGTATCAATGGGTCATCCTTTGACTCATTGATAGAGTGGTGGATGTAAGCCAGGCGGCGTTCACATGGGCGTGATACAGTCAAAGAGCTGACAGACACAACCAAGGAAGAGTAGTACAGGCCTGTGACAAGGTAGACAGAGACTGCAATCACAAGTGCGCGAACTCCCGACGAATAAAGAGAGTGGTTTACAGGTAGCCAGAGACGTCGACCAACTGGAACAAGTGAGAAAATCACGGTGGTCGGAGTGAAAAGTCTGACGGGCACCTCACTCGGCCCTCAGGTCTCTGTCACGGCAAGAGCACGGCCGTCGTGCCGAAGGAGACGGCTCCACCTGTAAGCCACAGGGGAGCAAACACGAGCCATTGACACTATTATCCATGCCCGTGCGCGGCAACGGAAGCAGTTACAGGGACTACAGTGGCCTAGAAGTGGTTGACGACATAGGTGGCCTGCCAGAGGCAACCTCTGGTACGCAAGAACAGCATGCTAACCCCCCTACGAGTACTAGATCCCGGACCTCGGCCGATACTGGAAAGGGGCTGACATAGTTGACTACCTAGGTAGTTGAGTGGGCTACTCGAGACGAGGCCTCTATCTATTCCAAGAGGGCTGCTGACACGGTGAACCGACAATGACAGAGTCTAAGACTCGCAGTTTCTACCAGTACTTGCATCATAAGATCGTCAAGATTGGGCTACCCGAAGATCAGCTTGCTGAAGCATGCGGGTGCCTCTCGCCAGGCTAAATGCTGGCAAAGGTCTTAAGATAGATTCAGGAGGTGCGGTCTCCTGAATCATCATCGGGAGCTACATAGGTTTCTTACACGGCCATCGGAGCCCTGAGGCCAGTCTTCTGATTGCGGTAGATCATCTCCCAGGAGCTACCCAGCGTGTGTAGCCAGCGTGAGTAGGGTTCTGTCCCTGCCCTGCAGTCTCGGGTTATTCTGGAGGTCCCGTTCTGAATGCATGGGACTGGCGAGACGGATCTGCCGTACAGCATCATTCCAGTTGGGCACCTCAATTGGCCACTCCCATACCCTAATCAGCTTCCCCTTGTCCACTACCTCTAGCAGCTCCTCGCCAATTGGTCTTGAATGTCTCCAACGGAAACCTTGGTCGGTTCTCGCTTCGTACGTTATACTTGTCAGCTCTCGCGCGCACCCCAACGCCTGGCAGCGCGGTCACATCGGGACAGTGCTTAGTATTGGACTACGTGCAGTGTCTTCCATGCTGACAGCCCCAAAGCCCCGAGTGAAACTTCTCTTGGAACCATGCCGAGCTTACATTCCAGGCGCGGTGCCCGCCGCCCACTGTGCTCCAAACACGATACGAAACACTCACAGCTCGGGCTGTCGTCTGCCTTGGTACTGACCTTGACCAGGGCCATGTAAACAACTTCCGTGCCCGAATCCACGGGTGGGAAAGAGCATATGTTCGAGCGAGATCGTCATTGACTACTGTCGGGGTCCGAGTCTCCCAACTTGAATTCGGCAGTTGTCCCTTTTAATGATGGACACCTATAATCTATTCACTACCGCTGTGTCTGTGCTGTCTCCCTGCCCTGCAGCCTGTAGGTAGTATGGATTTATTATTGAGAGTGGAAGCACAGTAATAATCAGATCGGAGCACAGCATAAGTGAGAGGCAATTAGAGGCAATTAGGCTGAAGTAGAGGTAGCTTTGCATCGGTAGTGACTGAGTGTTGCTTTCATTCTTTCCCCCAACCCCCGAAGAACGTCGACCTTGCCGCCATTGATCTAATTGAAACACTGCACTAGGTCGAAGGTCAAGGTTGCTCATGGCTTCCTAGCGTATCTCTTGTACAATGCAACTACGGCGTCTTCCCTCTTTTTCAGTTCCGATCGCAATCGGTCCTTGTGAACCGACCCTAAGTTCCTGAATTCCCACAGTGGCACCTCCCGAGTTGCTGCACGCCTTTGCAATATACATTCTCCTTGACGGGGCCGGTGCCATAGGCTTCGAATGCGCCGATCGATCCATCCCAGTATTTCTGGTCGAATTCGCTCAGCGCGTCAGGCCTTTCTCCTTGATCAATGCTTTCGATCCACGTTTTCACCGACAGTTCCTCTCCGCCCTCATCTGCGTCTTTCCAGGCCTGTTTCTCAAGCGTTCCCTTCACTTCTGGCTTCTCCACACTTCCGCCGCAGTAATCCTCGTCGAGTCTGCAATTTTGTGTCAGCGTCGTAGCGCGCCAAGCAGCGTATCAGGGCCATCCACTTACTTAACGTCCTCACTTGATCCAAATTGATAGCAAGCAAGAACGTTGATGATATCCCACAGGCTTCCGGGTATCTTGTCCTTGACATCCTCATAAACCGTTGTCCAGTAGACTCGCGGCGTAAATGAGACAAGCGCCTTTGCGCCGTGCGCGTCTAACACCGCACCCTTCAACTCTTGTGCGCTCTTGGCATATGTGAGAACTATCGAGAAGAACCCAAGGACATCCTTTGTGGCCCACGGGGCCGGGTTGTCGTCATCTGAGTCGGACTCAGAACGTGTTTTCATGCTCTGAAAGAATTTCGCTTTGAACCAATTCTGGTTCACAGAAGCATAGTAAGGCGCAACTGATTTATCAAATCCCACCAACGGATTATCTTGCGCCTTAGCCGTTGCTGTGATAACGTAACAATCGTGCCACAAAGGTTGATATGCGTTAAAACAGCATGTACCTGTTCACGTGGGACATGTTACAATTTTAGAGGCTTACTATACTAAGCCGCAACTCCCAGACCAACTGGCGTAAGACGAGACAATCTCTGGTGCAAAACTCTTGTGCCCTTTCGATTTGAATCAACTCCCTTGGCCTCCTAGTGGCTAACATCGTCCAAGATATGGGGAGCGAGTTTCCCATATTCAGGGGCGTTTTGTTGTAGCGGGTATGGCACGCCCCCAGGACCCTATCTTCCTCCTTCCGCTGCAAATGCCGAATAAAATAAATCCCTAGTCAACGCTCCCCCTGCTAGCAAGCCACACGCGACGGCCCTACAAAGGCGACATCTCTGAAGAACCCAAATTATTTCCCGTTTAAATAAAACTATAACTATCCTATGGTATTTAAAAAATCTTATATCTTTTATGCCGGTTTTTTTTTCTGCTTTATTATTCAAAGACTTTGTTAAAAAGGTACGAATTACAGCTTTTAATTTTATTTATGAAATCATAACTCATAAATCATTTACTTATTCAAAAGTAAATCGTATTTGTTTTTAACGCCGTACTATTTGCTCATAGAAAATACGTTAAATCTGTTAAATAATTCGATTTCTTTGAAGGGGAGATTAGTAAAATAAAGTATTAAATAAATTAAATCAAGCTTCATTCTTACTTTAAAAAAACCGTTTTTAAATAATAATATTGAAGAAAAAAAAACAGTAATAATCGAAATTTTAACATTATAAGGTTTGAAATTATATTATATATATATATAAGTAACATGATAATTTTTAAATAGTTATAAAGTTAGTAAGCTGTATAACATTTCAATTATTTCTTAATATAATTATAAGGAAATGAATATCGTATAGACCGTTAAAAGAGTTATTAGGTCATTTTTAGTTCTTTAATTGTGTCATGACCTTTAAATATATAACTATTTTTTGTAAAAACGTTATTATTAAAAATAATTTATAAATTTATAAATGTATAAATATAGTAATCTGTTGAATAAAAGCCATATCAAATCTAATATTTAATACTTTATTTATTACTGAATAAATACCTTTTTAGTTATATTACGTTAATATAATTTTATATACTTTTTATCATTTATATCTACAAAATAAATATAAGTAATTAAATCGTTTTAACTATGAACGGTTATAGTTTATATATAAGTAACGCCTTTTTAAAGTTATTTATAAAATAAAATACGACATATTTTATATAAGTTATGTTATTTTTACGTAATATAAACATGAAATATTAAGGGTTTTTATTATATCTAAAGATGTTGGAACAGGCTTGAACGATCAAGCGTAATACTCGAGTATTGGGTCAAGGTCATGATGTTGCTGATGGTTGGAATGGGAGGTCTAGCTGGACTTGCAGGTCTGGTTAAGTGACCTCACAATCGGGTATCTAATCTCTTATCTAATCATACATGTGGGTTCGGTATGGATGGTTTGAATGTGGAATCGCAGGGACCTAAAAAAAGAAGTTAATTTTTTTTGGGAAAAATCATGTTTTAAGTATTCTGTAAACTTTACCACTTTTAAAAGAAAAAGTTTGAGAATATCATTAGAAAACGTATAAATATATAATAATATAGAGATATTTTTTGTTAAACTCTTGGAATTATTTTAAAAGGTAAAAATGTTATCAAAAACGTTAAAAATATCAGTAAGTGGTTAAATAACCTTTTATTTCTTATTTTTTATTTTTACTAATAAACTTTGCTTAAAATTTTAATAAGTTTTTAAAATACCTTGTAAGCGTGAAAAGTTTATTCAAGAAGAGCGGTTAAAAAGCTTTTTCAATAAAAAAAATTCAAGGCTAATAAAGCGTTTAAAAATAACGCTATAAAATTACCTTTTAATAAACGTAAACCGATGTTTTTAGGCTTAGATTATTCGTAAAACTATTATAATAAATAAAGTAGTTAAACTCATAATCAAGTGAAAACTTCTTCAAATAATGAGTACATAAAGAGTCAAAAAATCACGCGTTTATAATATTGATAAAAATTAAACGTTAAACTTTTACGTAATTAATTAACCTTTAAATTTACATGAATACTTTAAATGTCAATGTTTTATTAAAAACAATTGTATTCGAATTAAATCTCCGAGGAATCAATATAAATACGTGTATTCGTTAAGGAAATAGCTTTAAAATGAACAGGTATTGTATGTAACGATGGTCGCTCGCGGTTGGGGGATCGTTTACTAGGGATTCATGTTAGGGTCACATTTTGCTTGCGGTGCTTGGGGATTGGAGATTTGGCTGGCAAACTCTATGTTGCGAGATCCTTCACAATTTCGATCACATTTTTCCTCATATCCTTCACATGTTCGTTATCCCGGCCTGTGCCTCCATAAGATGGCGTGAAAGGACATAAGATGGCGTGAAAGGACTTATGGTAGGGGCATTCGAATACAGGGTGAAACGAAGCTTGGTTGCTACATACCTCTTGACCTGGTCCGTCGCAGCGAGCAGGATTCCAGGAGAGTACACGAGCTCCAACGAGTACTTCCACACGCGCGCTATGCTTTACCATAGACCATGGCCCATCAGCCAGCACATAACGTCTTGTAACATCACTGCTCTCACATTTCACATCAAGACGGTTTACATGCAGCCTTACTTGCGCCCCGATTATCTGCAGACGGGCACGTTGTTCAGTGCCAAAAAGTCACTCAACCAGAGCACTGCACACAGCGTCAGCCGGCAATCTCTGGCCAGGACAAAACCAGCTCAAGAGAGCAGTGGACGACTCCAAATACTTGGAGAGAACAACGGTATAGTCTTTATAGCCATTACGGTGATTCTCTAGGTTGACGTTTGCGGGTTGTCGTGTTTTGGAAAAAGGGCGTGCCACAGTTCGACTGCTGGGAACTTTATGTTGACTTTCTGGGGTGCAGGTGAAGAGAAAAAGAAACTGTGATGCTAGATAGAAGACACATGGTCATTTATATAACTTATAGGGGTTGATCTTGTGGCGCTACCTAGTGCTGTGACAGGGCGTGATATAAGTCATCACCAGTCTGGCCCGTTCGAAACTCAATATGATGAACACGCCCAACGACAACAATATGCAGGACTAATCCAAGCTAAGTGAGGTTGTGAGAATCATTAAAGCCGGTGAGAAGTGGTTATCGGTGTCTATCCGCTTCTTCTGTCGTTAAACGGGTTACCCTCGAACTTTGAGAGACCCGGTGTCCGAATAGCCTTTGCGATATTCAAGCTTGGCGATATTGGCAGCGCATGAGACCTGTAGCTTAATATGGGCAGGAAAGGTATGTTGTCCATACGATTTGACCAACGCGATGACATCTCCACGTCTTATTTACTGCGGTACATCGGACTTCCTGATGGGATGTGGGCTTCTATGATATTCAATGGAAAGAGCACGCGGTCACGACATCCTTTTTGAACGTAACCAAAGGCTACTTCGGTGTGGATAGTAACCAGAACATGATTAATTTTACTAATGATGGGTCTCAAATCTCGGAGGCCTCAGACAATACGGTAACTGGTACCCCGGTATAGCGGAAGTCTGGATCGTTACCATCCACGCCATGAACAAGTTGCGTTTCGATTCCCACAGTGGAAATCTAGAAGGGCGAGGCCATATTCAAGGACGATTGCTGTGGGCTGGGGGCTAGCCATACCTCCATGGGAGATCCCAGCGTAGTAAAATCTTGATGAAAGTCCCCGCAATAGCGTGGCAGTATGATCCATACGGTAGATAAGAGTCGATGCCACCCAGTCATAGAGAGTGGGTTCGGTTGCATGGCCGGATATTTCACGAATGATATCGCTCTAACCATGACCGATAGGCGTGACATCCGGAATCGCCATTCTATAGTATCCACTGTTCTCCATCAAGCTAAACGGTCCGAACCCCACAAGGATCACGCCAGCGGGGAGTAGGAGTTGTCAAAACAGAGGAGTTCTGTGAAGCGAGCACGTGGCGGGATCCTGGGAAGAACTGCATGACAGTCTCGCATGAACCATCCGTGAGGCTGTACAGCAGATTCATCCTCGGAAGAACATGTCAGAAACAGCCAAATTGCAAAGGGACTGGCAGCTGATCGATGTGGCAACCAGAAATGCGCAAAGGAGGTAAGTTACGGCGACGAGAACGATCGAGGGTATCTGGGCAGGCTGTGACACTGGGGCTATCCCGATTAAAGCCTTTCCGCCGCAGCGGTCCGAGCAAACGGTGTGGCGTTACCCCGGAAAGGGGAATGCAGTATGGATTTTCATGAAAATCGGAGCCAGATAGGCTCAAGTTTTCGCGATGCCCAGTCATGCCCCTCTTCGCCCCATTTCAGAGATTCTGTACAGCACAGTCCATGTTCATAAGTCCCCAGCCTCTTCTGTACCAGTCTCCCCGTTGGGCACACCTACTTGTTCGCTCGAATCGAAGTCGTGGAGTTCCGAGTCAGATCGAAGACCCAGTTTCGCCATCATGGCATTGTGGGAAGAACCAGACTACGGCATTGTCGCCAACAAGGTTTGCTGGGCAATGTTTGCCGTGACCACAGGTTCGTGCGCCGCCTCGTAGAGTGCCCTCCGGATAAGTACTGACTTGGCGCTCCCCCTTTGTCTAGTTGTGGTAGCACTCCGTGTCTTTTGCCGTCTCTACTTCTCCCACAGAAGGGAGGCCGGTGGCTTGGGACTCGACGACTACATTGCGGTCGTGTGCCTCTTGGTCTTCCTCGCGACCTGCATCCTCGTCACCATCGGCTCCCACTACGGCCTCGGCAAACACATGGTCGACGTTGCGAAGAACCCGGAGAATCTCAAGCAGGCGCTCCGATACAACGTCATCATAAGCTCAGTTCTGGTCTGGTCGTTCTCGCTGCCCAAGTTCGCCGTCATCGCGACCCTCCAGCGGATCCTCCAATTCGGGACGAAGACGTCGATTCTGTTTTGGGGTCTCGCAATCAGCTCGCAGGCCTGCATCCTGGCCACGAGCGTCTGGTGGTTCCATCAGTGCACGCCGGTGGAATATGGCTGGGACACATCGATCAAAGGACATTGCGCCCCCATCAATATCCTGATCGACCTGGGATACTTCACGTCTGCCTACTCGGCGTTCCTCGATGTCTTCTTCGCGCTTTACCCGATCCCGTACATCATGCGACTCAACATGCCGCTCAAGACCCGCGTGGCAGTCTCGTGCGCCCTGAGTCTCGGTGTGCTGGCCATGATTATTTCCGTCTACAAGCTAGCGATATTCGACCAGGTATTTGGTCTACTGCCGACGGATCCAACGTGTGAGTCTAGCATAAAAATAGCTGTTAGACCTTTACGCTAACGGCTCCTAGATCCCGTCCCATTCCTCGACATCTTGGGCACCGCTGAAGGCGCCATCCTCTTAGTCTGCACCTCTTTCCCAACCCTGGGGCCGCTGTATCGCATGTGCCGAGGCAAGCTTTACGACAAGTACGGAAGCAGGGGCGCCACGACGCGCCGGACCACCGACGGCAACGCGATCAGTCGCCCGCATCATGGCGGCGGCACCAGTGGCGACTGGGACAACTTGAAGGGCATCAAGCTCGGCGAGCAAGGCAGCGTAAGCGGCAGCCGGCCTAGCACGGATGTCATGCCTCTCGTGCCGACGGCAAAATATGAACCCAACGCGCGCCGTTTCAGTTATGTTGATACAGCTCCCAATGATATCCACAAGACCGTGGAGATACAGATCTCGTCGGAGAGCATGGGCTATCCGGGACCGCACTCTAGAGGCGTTGCTATGTAACTGGTTTGGTCGTCTCACAGTACTCAACCTTGTACGATAGGTGTGCCCATACCATGAATGATATGTCCCGTCCGTATCGTCACTCGACTCACTCATTGAACCGTTAATGGCGCTGTGGTTTGACTACGATCTCCTATCCATTCTTGGAATGGTAAGTACTAAGCGGTCCCCTGGATGATAGCGTGACCCAGTCGCCGAACTCCACAGCCTAGAATACTTAGGTCAATCCACCAAGCTAACTGAAGCCGGAAGTGATATGAAAAGGATGTCGAGACCGCCCGGCGGGTTCCGTTCCTCTGATGACCAAAGCAATGATAAGTTGATAAGCGTGTGTGTCGAGGGAAACCTCGAAGAGGGTGCATCCTGGTCGTAGCTCCCTTATAGGCAAAATAGCACCTACCGGTATGGCGGTACCATCAGCAGGATCTGGTCGATTACAGGAATTGTGCTAAGGGGTACGTAGGCCAGTTGGTGGAGAGTTAGAGAAGGCACTCATCCTCGTCACGGAACTTACCCCTAATAACGTTGGCAGCTATGTAACGAGAAGCATACATCCAGGGTTCAAACTAGCCTCATTATCATCATGCCATTACCTATTTTGATTGCACCTGTCCCTAATCGGCTCTGGGCCGAAGGAGCTAATAGGTCCACTACTTATCTGTCAAATGGCAGCAGAACCCACAGCACGGGGACAGACCATATCGGACCACCCACCCGGAATTTAAGCGACAATTCCTGATTTCTTTGACGGGACATTCTCGCTGCGACGACGCTGCTACGTGGCTGCGACTCAACTTTCAGCCTCCAGGGGCATAGATAGAAGATGTGATAATAATAATAATAATATGGCCCATCGGTGCCTGGCGGTGGCCGTGGCTCTTTGCCGGAGCCTTGCGTGGAGCTCCCGACGTCTCGTTATTTCGGGGTTCAAACTGTCTCCATGAGCTTTGCCGGGGAACCTCGAGAAGCCAAGCGGGTCGCCGCGCCATCATGACAATACCCAACCCCGCTGGCCACTCACAACCGCGGTTGCAGCGCGACAACGATCGAGTAACGTCAGTGGTGTTCTCATCCGTAAACTTCATCATCTCTGTCGAATCAAATTTATACATCGCGATTAACGACCTCACTTGCTCCGTCAGTTCTCACGACTCGTCACTCCTTTTCACCATGACCGCCTCCGAGCAACTTCTAGCCGCCCTCCAGGGAATCGATTCCGGTTCCTACTCCAACGAGGCAGAAAGGGTGCAGGCCAGAGATGCTCTCTTCAATGCTTTGCGGAAGGTGCAATCACCATGGGATATCGCGTGGGATCACAACTGGGTCAACACCGCTGTCAACGCAGCTATCAAGACCCTCATAGATGCCGGCGTCTTCACCAAATGGGCAGAGGCTGGTGGAGAGCCCATCACCTGCACCGAGCTGGCGAAGCTGACCGGAGGAGACACTATACTCATCAGTAGGTCTAGTCCTCGGTCACACATTGACCGCCTGCAAGAGCTAGTAATGTTCTGACGAGTCACCGTAGGACGCATGATGAGATGTATCGGTGGGCAGAACCTCGTCATTGAGACGGCAGAAGACACCTACGCCCGCACGCCCTGGGCCAAGACCCTGGCCGAAGACAAGTCATTTCCAAGCATGTACGGCGGGTTCTACCACGAGCTCAACAGCCCCATGTTCCGGACCCTGCCCTTCTTCCTCAAGGAGACGGGCTACAAGAACCCGACCGACGTCAACGACTGCAACTTCCAGTACTGGCGCGGCAAGGACGCCAACATGTTCCAGTACTGCGGCACCAACCCGCTGCTCACCGACGACTTCAACAACACGATGGAGTGCCACTCCAAGTACAACCTCACGCCGTGGCCCGTCGTCTACCCGACGGACGCCCTCGTCGCGGGCGCGAAGCCCGGCCGCGCACTCGTCGTCGACGTCGGCGGCGGCAAGGGCCACGACCTGAAGAAGTTCCTGGCGCGCCACCCGGACGCGCCCATGGGCAGCCTCGTGCTGCAGGACCTGCCGGACATCCTGAAGAACGTCGAGAGCGGCGACAACGCGGCCATCACGATCCAGCCGCACGACTTCTTCACGCCTGAGCCCGTCAAGGGCGCGCGAGCGTACTTCATGCACAACGTGCTGCACGACTGGCCGGACGCCACGGCCAAGCGCATCATCGAGAACATCGCCGGCGCCATGGAGAAGGGCTACTCCAAGCTCCTGGTCCACGAGAGTCTGGTCACCGACGTGAAGCCCCTGTCGCGCGTCACCGTGTCGGATATCACCATGATGGCGTGTCTGGCAGCGGCGGAGCGGTCCGAGAGCCAGTGGCGCGACCTCATGGCCAGCGCTGGGTTGCGCGTTGTCAAGGTGTGGAGACCGGTGCAGTCTGTTGAGAGTATCATTGAGGCGGAACTTGCGTAAACAGTATGTAGCGTTATCGAATAGAGCAGTTCTTTCATCTCGCGGATTCAAGTCAGACAATGAAAAGTTTTCTGCATCGTCAGGGCTATACTTGTGTTTTGGTCTCACTGGCCAGTTCCGCTGGACAGCGACACCACACCACACCATCTCTCGGCAACCAAGTCACAAGAGTAGGGGGTCGCTATTGTGATCGCCTCGCAGGTACGGCTTTCATCCACGTTGGGACCACCCCTGTCCAATCGGTTTTGATGGCTTCTCGTTTCTCTTGTATGCCAAAGTCATGGAGCTTCAAGATTGCGGACACGGCACGGCATAGTGATCGGCATGGTCTCATCTGGCCAACAAGCGAATGCTTGTCTGAAATTCACCGAGATCTCACTTGTAAACTGCAGGGAAGGCAATAGGACCAGAGTGTTGGGCATTGCCATATAGCTGCGCAACGGCACAGCTTAGCGTGAATGCATCAGGCATGTTATCCAATAGCCTCTAACCTTCTGAGTACCTAAGAAGTTCGACCTTGGAGATCGTGGTTCTGCTATTGTGTATGTCGTCCCCACTGAATACCCAAGCCGCGTTTCCGTTGATGAGGTGGAAGAACGTGGGCCCATCTCCCCAGGGAATGGTGTAATCATTCCTGGTCGTCATCTCGCACGGAATCGATACTCGAGCGGAGCAACTCTTTGCCAGCAGTTAGTGAGTGTTTCTCGCGTTCGCGCTGTATATGCTTGGCTCCAACTTACCATTACATTCTGCATCGCCATCGGCTCGTTTTCCACCGACATCCTCGAGGCCGAATATCTGAGACATTTCCTCCAACGTACGACCTCTCGTTTCGACTGTCCCGAGTTAGCAACAAACCAGACCATATATATATCTTAGAGCCTTACTCAGGGCATATCTGACGAAGATGAACGCGATGACGCAGAACATCGCCAGGAGAATATAGAGCCCCCATCCAATGGCGCTAGCTATGGGTGGAGTCGTCTGCGCGACGATGAAGTTCGATACCCAAAGTGACGCTGTGCACAGAGCGCTGCCTTTGGCCTATAGAGAGGGGGTGAGCTTGCGTTGCGGACAAGATACCTAGTTGTACAATAGGACAATGGTCATGATGGCTTACACGAAGGGAGATCGGAAAGATCTCGGCGGCATAGATCCAAGACCCGGAGCTCCAGCTCATGTTGAAAAAGGTGTAAAACACATATGGGAAGATGACAATGGCGTTATTGGCTGCATCTCCAGGGTGGCTTTCGGCATGGCGCAGAAGCATGGCAATGCCGATGAGGGCAAAGAACATGCCAACTGTGCCAATCTGAAGCCAGGTTTTCCGGCCAAGCCTGTCAAAGTACATGACTGGTATCCATGCTGTCAGAAACAAAACAACACCAACGCCTGCTGTCGCCAGATTGGCGCCCTCTGCACTCAGACCACCTTCCATGAACAGAGTGGGTGCGCTAATATATCAAGTCAATAAATTATACCACATAAGATCAACTGTTGGTGACAACTTACTAATAGAATATGGCATTCGTTCCCGTAATCTGCTGCAGAAACTGGATGGTAGTGCCGAGGAACGTGATCCACAGAACAGGGCCTTTGAACATGTCGGACCACGTCCCCTGCGCCGACGCATCTTCAACTACGAGCGATTCCCGGATCTCCTTGATCTCGCGCTCAGCGACATCTGAACCGTGCAGGCGGCACAATACCTCATGCGCGCAATCATATCGCTCCTGTGCCACGAGCCATCGTGGCGATGGCGGGACCCAAGTCCAGCAGCCGACCGCCAGTATCAGCGCCGGGATGATCTGGATCGCGATCGGAAGCCGCCTGTAGAGCGCTGTAATTTAGCGGGCCGGAACAGTGCTGGGGGGCGTGGTGATTGACAAAGATGGCGGTACTCACCACCAGTTGTCCGAGTTCATGAAAAAGAAGCCGTATACGACAAAGAAGACGACCATCTCGGCAAAACAGAGAATCATCAAGTTGATGGCCCCTATCCGGCCCCGAATAGCCGCAGGGGCGATCTCGGTGATGTACAGGGGTACGGCAGCAGAGTAAGCACCCACACCGACGCCTAAGATCAATCGCCCCACGGTCTGGGGAAGATGATTAGCAAGGCTTGGAAGGAGACCTTGAAATCGGTGCAGTGTGGGAGATTTATGATACTAACCATCTGCGTGATGCTATATGAAGAGGCCTGAAGCAGGGCCCCGGCGACGAATATTATACTGGCCTTGAACGATGCCGTCAGTGAGCCAGGCCATGCGTCGAGGCTCGCAAGGGGTGAGGACAGCTTACCAACGACAGCGTACGCCCACGTCCAAGGGAATCGGCGAAGAAGCCAATCGTCATGGCGCCGACCGCGCAGCCAATATTATAGATACTGACAACGAAGCCGACCGCCCCTGTGATGACTGTGTGAGTTCTATGTTCGGTGATATGTCCGGACGTCAACATGTCCCGTGGAGGGGCTCACAGTCGTTGGCTGGCTGCATCAGATCCAACCATCGTCTATCCGCGATGATCATCGACATGACGCCCTGGTTCCAGCCGAACAAGAACGACCCGAGGCAGACAAAAGAGGTGAGGGTATAGACATAGCGAATGTTTGGCGGTCGTTGCTGGCCGGGCACTGCATCTCGCGGTGATCTGATGAGCTTGGTCTGCTTCAGTGTCACGGTCGAGGCTCCCATCTTGCCCCAAATCGCGTGTGTGGGCAGTGGCCGAGGCGGGATTGGTGCATGCGCAGATTGGGTGCCAGGAAATGGATAGAAACGCTGTCGCTTCTCAGCCGTGATGATGAGAATTGGGCACTTGATTGCGGTGATTGAACAGACGAGTGAGCCAGCAGTCGGAAACCAATCAACTCCCGCCGGTCAGTGACTGGCGGTGGCTAGGGTGACGGGCGACGGACCCCGTGGCCCGTGGGGAGGATCACAAACGGGGTGGGGACTCCGTGATCTCCAGCTGGGGCTGCTCAGGGGCCTGTGGCTGGTGTACCGTGGCGGTGCGCTGAGGCGCGTCAGGGTCAGGATCAAAAAACTTCAATTCGCGGAAATCGCCGGAGGAGTTGGAACTTCAGTCAACATTTGACATTGGACCCCGCTTTTCATTTTGGGCTTGGTCGTGTATTACTACTGTCTTCCCTTCTTCTCACTCTCATTATGTCCCTTAGTTTATCAGATCAGATCTCCTCTTGCTGCAGTACCATCACACCACGGGGGGTCTCGACAACGCCAAGCTTCATGCGTCAGCCCCCCTTTTCGCGGTTGTAATGAGCGGCTACACTGCAGGGTCGTCCACTACATCCAAGGCTGGAACCCGTCAACGACATGCCCAACACAATTCACCTTGGGCTTCCAGCGGGCCATACGCTCTTTGATCCATCCATCCATGGTCTCGGTCTCATGAAGGAGCTCCTTGGCCGCTGGGCATCTTAGCTCGACATCACGCGCTTAGGATCACTGGCCGCTTGCATAGGAGCCGCACCGGCAGCATGGCGCTTCCTGAGGGCAGCATGGCGTGAGGCGTACGGCTGGGTACGGCAGTTCTTCATCGCGTCCATGACGATCCCCGGCCGGGATCCGCTGAACAGGAACGTGATGAGCTGGGTCATGACCAACGTGATACAATATCGGGGCATACGGTCCTTTACCGCGCGCACGCAGATCCAAGCCGGGGACGCGGCGGACAGGGCGGCCTTGCTGAAAAAGAAGCGTCGAGACCTTCAATACCTGCCTCATTTTGAAACCACCTGGTTCTGGCACGGCGGCAGTCTTTTCGTCGTCAGGCGCTCGCTTGACAGCTTCAGTGCGTCTATGGGCGACCCTGGCTACGACGGCGTTGGCGGGGAAGAGCTCACAGTCGGCTGCCTCGGGCGATCTACGGGGCCCATCAAAAAGCTCATCCAGAGTTGCCAGGAGTATGCGGACGAGCAGACGCAGTTCTTCGTCATCATATATGCTCGTGATCGCTATGGGATGTCCTGGCAGCCCAAATCGCGCAAGCCCGTTCGTCGACTGGAGACAGTCCATTTCGATGACGAAGTCAAACAAGAACTCCTGGCCGACATCAGGAAGTACCTCGACCCGAGCACGAAGCGGCTTTACCAGAGCCGAAGTATGCCTTACAGAAGAGGGTACTTGTTCTACGGACCGCCTGGCACAGGGAAATCGTCTTTATCTACTGCCCTGGCCGGGGAGTTTGGCCTCGACCTTTACGAGGTGAAGATACCGAGTGTGGCCGCTGACTAGGTCCTGGAGCAGATGTTCCAAGAGGTTCCCCCTCAGTGCATCGTCCTCTTGGAGGACATTGATGCCATCTGGACAGATCGCGAGTCGCAAAAGGACGAGACTAAGAATGCTGCGAGGTCGAATTGTACATTGTCTGGTCTACTCAACGTCTTGGATGGTGTCGGCTCCCAAGAGGGTCGCATCGTGATCATGGCCACGAACAAACCAGAGAGGCTTGACAGTGCCCTGGTTCGACCCGGCCGCGTCGACATGAAGGTCCGCCTCGGAAACATCAGTCGGGAGTTAGCGAGGCAGATGTTCATTCGCATGTTTGCTCCGGACAACATGAGCCTCCTTGTGGCAGCTAGGAACGGCAAAGAAGATTCCAGTGCGAGCGATGATCTACCCGTTCTGCCCAGCCAGTTAGAGCAGCTTGCCTTCGAGTTTTCTACGCACATCCCTGAGAACACTCTCACTCCTTCGCAGCTCCAGGGCTTCTTCCAACTTTATTTGACCAGCGCTGTCGAGGCGTGCTCGAGTATTTCCGATTGGGTTCGGAGGGAAATGTCTAGGATGTCTTTGGATGTAGACATCGAGATCGTTGGCGATGGTGATGCTCAATGAGGTGCATATGTACTATCTGATGGACGTGTAGGGTCTAGTGTATGAGTTTTTTTGCTCTAGATTTCCTACCGGTATTGCTAGGGGAGGTCTGGCGTCAAGGAATTGCGTTAGTTGTCATAGATCTTTAGAGTATGACCTCTATGATGTACTAGGTTTTCTTGTCATCCTAATGAGTCGTCCAACGGAGCTGCGGCAGCTGTTCGCAAGGTTCGGATATTTCTGCATATAGAATTATCGGTTCAGGCATGTTTTGACGCCACGCAAATGAGTTAAGAAGGTGAGATTGGGATCCTGAGCCATCATCTGCATTGGTCTCTGGGTACTAATCTAGTGTTGGGCAATCTCCCAAGTATTCCTTTCTGCTATTACTCCCAGGCAGTCTTCATCATTACGCCCGCTGCGCACATCAAAAAGAGAAGTTGTGCTTGACCAGGGGACACTTCTGCTTCGGATGAGCTTTGCCGCCCTCCAACAGGTACTTTCTGACATCCCCATGAGCCACATACTGCGGTATGTCCTCCGGTTTCTGCATTTCCGGCCACATGAGTATCTTCCACGTCTGTCTTTCTCCTGCGTCGTCCCCGTCTTCATGATGTCCTTCCATGTACCCCCAGATTCTTGGGTCAGTGAGGTACAGCTGATGTCGAATATCCGAGAGCAGGTCGATCCATGAGGTACTGGCGAGGTAAATATCCGTTAGACGGAGTTCTCGAAGGATTTCCTTGTGCAGAAGAAGGAGCTTCATCAATTCTCCTCGTTCGGTCACAATGTCTTTCAGAGTTAGTGATCTGAGAGTGGGCCAAGCCAGGCCTGAAGGTATGATCTCTTTCAGGAAAACGCTGCGTTTCGGGGTCAAGGGAGTATTCATAGTCAACCCGGGGTTGTCAAACTCGATGCTTAGTGTGCGAAGGCACTTGACTACTGAAAGAGCTTTCCCGACAGCCCCAGTCTTCATCGTCCGGCGGAGAGCGTGAAATTCATCAGTGAATGTCATCCCATCGTCGAGATCGTAGTAGGTACCGCCACAATGAATTTGGAGTTCGAGGTGCTTCACGGCCGCAAGTGGCGCGAAGAGGTTGAGCATTAAAGCATCGTCGCGGTCGAAGAAGCGCCAGTCCATGTGTTTTGCAGTGAAGTGATCTATTGCACGTCCAGACTTCGACAAAGCGCGTAAGAGTGCTTCCAGACGCCATCTTCCAACTCGAGTCGCGAGACCTTCGGGCGGAAAGGTGCTACCAGGCAGATCGGGGCGGCGGTTGTCGAAAGTAATAGATACGTGTCGGAGACGGGCGAGGGTCGGTAAGGCATTCGACAAGATGGCGAATTCGATGTTGCTCATCAGGATTGCCCAGTGTTTCCTTTTGAGCTCCAACTGTCGTTGATGTAGGCGTTGAGATAGTAAACGGGTGTCTCTGCCGAACCCAAAATGAGTTGGTCTGAACACCGCGAAAGTCTCAGAAACATAGTTCAATCGCCGAAGGCCCCCAGAAATATGTGGCTGCTGGGAAAGTGCAGTGAGTCGTCGGTGATCGTTGAGGGTCTTCAGAAAGACCAGGAGCTCGGGACAAAGGTACTCGGCACCGACCTTGCCAAATATCCGGCAGACAAGACGAAAGCAAGCAACGTCGCGTGGGATCAAAAGCTTGCAGATGTCGGTCAAGAGTTCTGTCGGGAATTGCTCCAGGCTGAGTGACGGCCGGCTCGATGCCTCCATCGTGGGTGCACTTAGTGTGGGTGCGTCAATGTTGAGTCTCTCCATGCCGGGTGTGAGGGAGCTCCATATGGTTATGAAGGCACAACGATCTGCATTGACTCGAAGAACGTTCGCTGTCGCGTTGTGGTGTGTATATAGTGAACCTATGTGCCATATCAAGGTCGTTGGTGGTAACAGGGTCGGTTCGTAGTGACGAGGTAGGTAGGTAGGAGAGGAAAGATGGAAGAAGGTGGGAGTTATGGAGGTTTGGGTTCGTGCCCACCCAGAAGACGTCGTCTTCCAAGAGGAAACCCTAATCAAACCCTGGGAGTTTGTGGCAGTTGTTGTGATCTGGTGTAGGTGGTGTCAGAGGTGTTGCCGGGCATCCCAAGTGACCTCCCATGCGATTTGTTTGCTGCCCCACACGTACTTATTTGCACACCCTCAGGTACCTTAGGTACCTACGTACCTGAGCACTCTATTACACCCATACGTAGGTACATAAGTACATACATAGCAGGCCTCTACCATCATCCAATTCCACCCCTAATATGCCTCTACGTAGAAGCTTCATCAGTTGCCCCTAAACCAACTGCTCTCCTTTATCACCCACTACCAGTCCCCAGGCCACCCATCCTCCACCACATCCCCAGCATCCAGAAAGACTACCGGATCGCATGCAACGGCTATATGCCGCCGATTCGTCACCAATAGCACCGTGTAAGTACTAAGATCACTCTCAAGTACCCGAAGCAGGCGCCTCTCCATCTAATACCCGCACTCGACGCGATCTCGTCTGGCAGCAGCATGCCTCCGTCAATGTGTACCCTCATGCGCTCGCCTCAACATTTCCTGACCATCTTCGCAGCACGGTACGCGCGAGGCTGAACAGTTGTTTCTGGCCTGCGCCGAGCTCGGCTGCGTTGCGGGGCGGGGCCAGGTAAGCCACCATGTTAGAACCTGGGGGGAGATCGTCGATGATGATAGGGGGTGACCATCTGGAACGGTCCACTGCACTACTCGACGGCTCCACGGGGATGGAGTCAGCGAGACGAAGGATGATACTTATTCTGATAGAATGAAGCCTGACAGCAACTACTGTAGCTGACAAAACTCGACGATGCGTGTAGTTACTTGGCAGCGGAATAGGGGCAACGTACCTCACATACTGCCACTGTCTCTCCGGCCTCTAACGCCAATTCCAGACCCTTCTTATCTCTGTTTCTACCATCGCAATTAACCTTCACATCTTACTTCAGAACACTGTTGCGCATCGGCCAAATCCCACCTAGTATCCCATCTCCGCTCACCCCGTTCACTCTGCATTTCACTCCGTTTCCCAAGACTCTTGAGCCTGCTGTTTGTACTCAGCGATGTCTCGAGGCCAGTATACGCGATGACTATGGTAGTCAGGGTGGTGCCGAGCGTGATGAGCATCACCAGCCCCCCCGCACCGAAATTGCTTGCGTCGGAGCCTAGCAGGGCGGCTAGAACGACGAATATGACGGCCACAATGCCTACGAGCACGTGGATGGTGAGCCAACGTTTCCGCCATTGATAGCAATGCCAGGGACGCTGGGAATCGTCCGCCGTATCTTTTTACGCGCTTCAGTTTCGTGTTGTACGCACTCATCAGTGGTCCGCCTAACGTCAGATGATGGAGAACGAGCTTTTGAAAGGGGGCATTGAACAGAAGAACATAATAAAGCTAGGCCCCGGCCTCCAGGTCTAGAATGCGCATGTAGTAAAGCAAGGCTCTCGATGAGGAGAAAGAGACAGGACTTCGTATACCTTGAGAGTTTCTCACGCTAATTTCTGATCACTGATGTTCTCAGACATGCAACATGCTTACGGTATGTAGTCGCGAGCCTGGGATCTAGAGTCTCTTCTGACAGACAATGCCTTTTGAGCTGGCAAGAGCTTTACGCGCGTCAGGGTGGATTGACATAGAGAGTGTTATCATCTCAAGTCCTCGGGGCAATTGAAATGAAGGTCCTGCAATGGCCAATCAGCTTGCGATGGAGTCAACATCCCTGAGTATCAGCTGGGGAAGAGCTGCTCGCATCTAGATATCATTCAGGCTCCGCCAGAATTGCCAGCAACATATGTTGGCGAAGGTCGGTGACCTTTGGTTGGTAAGGGAGCAGGCTATTTTTAGTATAGAATACCTACATGGAAGCCAGATTCCAAAGCAGGATGCGAATGATCGCATCTCGGCATCCTGACAGGTGGATCAGATCCGTCGTCTCACGATCGCCCGGCCTGGGTGGCTGACGACAGCCAAGAGATCCTACGATCCTAGTGACCAACTCCAAGTCTATGGACAGGCTTAATAAAGGTAATGCTTGACTCTCAGGAACCACGAAGGCCTCAGAAAGGGACCGGAAAGGACAGTTCTTAGTCTCTGCAGACGTCTACGTTAAAAAGAAAACGCCTGGAGCATGGAGGACTGTAGTTGTGCTCCACGAAGTACAATTTCCATCTTGAGTTCTGCGAGATGCCGAGGAGGAAGGATCGATCGGCGCGGGTGGGTTTAAGAATAAGTTCTGGTCTGCCTGGCTCCCATTGTCGATCTGCCGCCTACGAGGCGTACCGTGTATTCTGATGAAGTCATACCACGATCCTAGACAAAGGAGGAACAAGTTAAGGTCTTCTCATTCCAGAACAGGAGCAAGTTCACCATTAGTACACATACTTTAGGGCTGCCTGGGTACCCTTTTTAGTCATCAGCAGGAGGAAAGATCCTATAAATTTGCAACATTGTCTTCTACCAGTGGGCCTTTCTTTCAACCATCTGCAACCTCTTTCGCCACTACTTCCTCTCCGGCCCACAAGCTCACTCCTAATAACCATTGATCTCAGAGGCTATTCCATCTACCCTTCAATCCAAAACCACAGGACCCCATCCACGATGCTCACAAACACGTCTCGAATCGCTCTAGCAGCCCTAGCCACCGCCATACCCGCCCTCGGCGCCACGATCGACCTTCAGGCTCGTCAGCCCAATCAAATGGTCGCCGCCATCTGGTCCGCCCCGGACGCGGACATCGACATCGCAGTCACCAAGGTCGCCAGCAACTTCGCCATCATCACCTGGGACGGAAAGGTAGTGTACGACGGCACTGCGGACGGCATCAAGTGCGACGGGAAGACCTACACCATCAGCGGCGGGTGTTTCGGATCCTCGCGCTCATTCAGCTGTGACATGGGCGACAAGAACCCTAAAACATGTAAAAGCGATTCCGAGGGCTTGAGCAATGTGGGACAGCCAGAGACCGACATCACTGGGGGGGCCAAGATCACGTCATTCGCTTGCACCACCTCGATCATCCTGGAGAGGTCCGAGAACTGCGAGCCGGACAGCACGGGGTTCAAGGTGGAGGTCGGGGAATAGGGCATTTTCATATTATCGTCTTACACTTTCATCATTTGGCCCATGGTGCGTAGGTTTTATAGAAACACCAAATTTATACAGTATACTCCATTTGTCAAAGGCAATTGAGGATCCGTTCTTCTATTCGCGCCAAGTTCTCCGGACCGGCGAGTGTTTGCCTCAAGGTAGTCCCGCAGAACCGGCATATAGCACTCCCCACCAAGCCCAGACCCGTCGGTGCCGCCTCCAAACTCTCACATTATAGCTTGCATAAGCCGTTTACCTTAGTCTCGGCCGTCTTGTGCTCTGTTACCAAGTGCAGGCAATAACACCACGATAACAGCCAGATATTTCCGCGGGCTAGACTTTGTCCTGCGGGAAGCGGTGGGTGCGCTTGGGGCCGGCATCCTACCCGAAGTCGGGCAGTCCCATCCATTCGTCGTGTAGGGCTAGGCCATGGCACTTCTCGTGGATACAGCCACCTTGTTCGGGTCCAGCACAGACTCACGGGCCGTGGCAACTTGTGGTGCTCCCGGTCGTCGCATTACGACGGGTTCTAGGCGAGACTGTAGTCCGCAGACGGGGCAAGCGCTGAACCTCCAGGGTTCAGAGGAGCTGTCATAGGGTTAGTACGACATGATCTAATCTGGATTTTTGTCCCGGGATCCTTATAGACCGAAACTTAAGTATGTCTGACGGTGGTATAGAAGGGGTTTATGATCATCCATAGCTCGGAAGAACGGATTCAGAAATTCATGTATTAGCTGAGCTTGCGTATTACTGCTTGACGCCCTACCTACTTTGGCATATGTACACTAGGGCATGTTGTCCATTGGGAAAAGGAGACTTACTCGTGATGTCTAATGCATCATCTTACGTGGAAAAGTGTTGATGACATTATCTGCTAAGCTAGATACGGTGAATAAGTTAAGGGCTTGCGCCAAGAGATTGGCCGGACCCCTACATAGAGTACCCCGGACACCAGGGCTGTTCCCTTGGTTCCGATTTCCAATCATCGCTGTAGTCAATCTCGCTATAGGGATACGGCATAGGGTCGTCGGTGGGCTTGGAAGCCCACCAAATCATATAGAAGATTGCCAACAAGAAAATGATACCAGTCACCCAGATCTGGACGGACGCGGAATCGGTGATGGAGTCCATGTTCAATACTGATGTGGGCGGAATGAGAACGATGCTTGTTTGGGATTGGTTGGTCTGCGAATGCTGCTTCAGGTCTTCTGTGTTTGGAGTGGATGGTGAGTAGGGGAAAGCATAGAGGACGACTGGAACGTCCAGCACTTTTATATGTGCAGAATTGGAACAAGATCCTTTATCCGAGAACACTAGCATCGTGCTGCTCCGCTGTATGACTTTTGTGGTTGGCGAACAAAGTCATTGTGTCGAATGAACAACGTCTTTGTGCGTTCAACTCGACGAGTGGCGAAGAGACTGGAATGAGACCCAATGTCTTGCAGAGGAAACAAGGGTCTGCACTGTATACGTGAATCAAACAATTGTTCGCATGCAATACAACAAGGGTAGGTAAAATGAATAGCACTCACGATCCCGTGTTAACGAAATACCTACCTAGGTATGTAGGTAGGCAGGTAAGGTTGTGGCTACTCAACCCATTTTCCAGCCACAACGACGGATGGGTCACGGATCAGGATACAAGGTACCTTGGAGCCCAACTGGTACCCGTTTGTACCTGATTTGTACCCAACTGGGATGATAGCTACTTCTGGGATGGGGACACCACCCATCCCTTCTTTCAATCAAGCAACTTCCAGAATACAGACCAATAGCCACCATTCGTGACCCTGGTCCTTATTCTGGATACCACTACCACAAGGCACAAGGTAATTGATATGCAGAGGCGAGGTAAGGGAAGGTGCTGCACCAACCAACAAACCCTCGGCATGAGGCGGGGTCCCCATAACCTCCATATAAGTCTCGATTTCTCCTCGGTACCTCCCTGCTGTCAACTCATCATCCACCACCCACCCATCTGCTACGAACTTGCGGCTGCCTTGTCCCAGTCTCAATGTGCTCAAGAGCTGGGCTCTAAACGGAATGCTGATCATGGAGCAGGAGGGTTCAGCTGAGTTCCATGTCCCCAGCCTATCCGAGCCCTGCAAGACCTGGTACAAGGTCATGGGGGACATCCAATCATCCACAACACCGTTAATCATACTCCACGGAGGTCCTGGAGCATGCCACGAGTACCTACTACCATTGACCGACCTCGCGCCCTCCGTTTCGCTCATCTTCTACGACCAGATCGGCAATGGGAGGTCCACCCATCTGCCGGACAAAGCCGGAGACGAGGCCTTCTGGTCCGTGGGTGCGCGCGGCCTATTCAAAGACGAGCTCGACAACCTCCTCTCGCATCTGGGGCTTCAGGAGCGACCCATCGACATCTACGGGCATTCTTGGGCGGCATGCTGGCGACCGAATGGGCGGCGACGCCCTCGAGGTCTCCGAAGCTGAGACGCCTTGTGCTCTCGAACAGCTTGGCGAGCATGGATGGATGGCGAGATGGTATGACGGCGCTGGGAAAGAAGCTACCAGAGGATGTACAGGAAGTACCCGATCGCGGAGACAAAAACCACGAATTCGAAACGCCGGAGTACGAGGCCGCCATGGAAGTCTTCTACAAAAGACACTTCAGTCTCGCCAGACCGTGGCCGGCGAAGGAGGTCCAGGTTGCAATGGACCGTTTAGGAGGGGATCCAACGACGTAGGTATGGGACTATGTGAGTCTTGACTGCATCTACGTCTGTCGAGTCGTGAAGCTGATCGAGGAGTTAACTAGGTATGGCCCAAGCGAGCTCTACATATCCGGGTCTCTACGCGACTGGACTTGCATCCCAATGTTGAAACACATCAAGGCTCCAACGCTTCTGATCAACGGGACGGATGATGAAGCTCAGGATGTGGCGATGCAGCCGTTCTTTGACCACATCGAGAAGGTGAAATGGATTACGCTGGAGAATGCCGCGCACTTTTCCCATGTCGACCAGAGAGAGGTATACATGAAACATCTGAGGTATTTCCTGTCAGTGGAGGTGTAAATGTAGCAATTGGTTATTCGGGAGCGGCGACTCGCATTTCCCCAAAAACTCTACTCTATACTCTCGCGACTATCCGCGTAGAGAAACCGTCTCCGAGAGCAGGGCAAAAAATATAGCCATTGTAGCCATTGTAGGTTGGTGGCTCAGGCGCAACCGAATGCGACCTCATGCAGGTTAGTCAGCTGACTTGAACTCGATCATAGCACTCAAACACTTTCCTCCCACCGTTGCTCGATATCCTCCAAGTATTGTTTCGACCCAGACACTGAGCCCCCTATCTCACTGTTCCGATCATCACTTGATATTGCGACTCATCATGCGGCTTCTCAATGCTTCATCCCTGCAACTGGAGAACTTTCCGGATCATGCTTTTATTCTGCACTACGCGATACTGTCCCACCACTTGGGAAGAAGAGAAGGTCCTTTTCCCGGATGTCGAGGGCCACACGCCCACCGCCTGGAGAGACAAAAAGGGGTTCCGAAAGATTGAGCTCTGCTCACAACAGGCCATTGAAGACGGATACAACTACATCTGGGTCGATACCTGCTGCATCGACAAGAGCAGCAGCGCCGAGCTGTCCGAAGCGATCAACTCCATGTTCGAATGGTACAGCCGGTCGCAGGTGTGCTACGCCTACCTCGGCGATGCCATTCCATCTTCGCCCTTCGACAAATGCCGCTGGTTCACAAGAGGATGGACGTTGCAGGAGCTCGTTGCCCCGAGAAAGGTCCACTTCTACAATCAGGACTGGCAGTTCGTTGGGTCGCGGTACAGCCTGGCTGACGAGCTGGTGCGCATCACACGCATTGACAGGTCGCTGTTTCGGACCGGGTTCGACGACAGCCTACAGCACGTGCTCGGTTCGTACAGCATCGCCACGCGCATGTCATGGGCATCTCGCCGCAACACGACGCGGCTGGAGGATACCGTGTACTGTCTCATGGGACTCTTCGGCGTCAACATGCCGCTGCTTTATGGCGAAGGTAAGCGCGCCTTCAGACGACTGCAGGATGAGATCATGCGCAAGTCCACGGACACGTCCGTTCTCGCCTGTGTCCTTCGCCCACAGGGGAACCATCTGCTCGCCGAGTCCCCCAGTAACTTCGAAAACCTACCTGTGATCTGGAACGCTGGGTCGAATCGGCGGAGGGTCAGGTGGGAAGAGGACAGAGTCGAGCTGGAAATGATACTCTGCCCTACAATTCATACCGATGGAATTAATTACTTTGGCCTGTTCGACTGTATGCTCCCGGGCGAGTACGACTCCTGGCCAGCGATACTTCTCACTCGCGACGACAGGGGACCGGATTGGTTTACCAGGATATTGCCCCACCGCTTGTTCCGTGTGTCTCCTTCCAGATCGGATTGTGCCGAGCCGTTGGTAGCTGGCCAACTTGATCATGCGGAGAGAGGTCACGAGCTTTCCTTCGAACATGCTACGCGGAAACTGATTACCATTTCACGAGAGCTGCAAGAAGGAAGGTGGGTGACCGACCCGGTTGCCAAGGTCGTGCTGGATTTTGACCACCGATGGTCGCTGCCGTACTACATAGATCGGTGCTATCCATCCATATCCGGCGGCATGATATGCCACTCCCCTAGGTTCGTTTGGTGGATCCATACCATCTCGGTCCACGGCATCGTAGCATTTTATGATGGCGCAACCAGCCGATTCTTCGTGGCGTGGGGTGGGCTCAACAAACCAGACACGTCTCCCTGGTGCAAGATCTGGCTTCGAGAGGAACTCCAGATCCAAGAGATCCCGTGGATGTCGGACACGCTCCAGTGGGACGACTCGGGTACCACCCCGGCGATCCAACGCGCTCGGCATAGCAGCCAAGCCCGGCTGATGGAGCTGCCATCCAGCCAGCTTTCAAGAGAGAGCAAAGTGAGCGTGCAGGGCGACAGGCCGCACACGGTGGAAGCGCGCATCTCGGAAACCACCATTCTAGAGAGGGTCACGGTACGTATTCAAAAATTCCATCCCAGGACCCTGAGCCCCCGAGTACCTCTTGTCACTCCCCACTCAGTCCCCCCAAATAAAAACAACAACATTCTTATCTCAAACGAGTTGCCGCGGGGTTGGGGACACGAAATCCTGACAGCAACGCAGTACGAGATTCTCGTCAGAACCAGAGAAGCATAGCATCAACGTTGCCCTAGGCTTTATCCATTCCATGGGCGGAAATCCAGCCTTGGTATGTTAGGACGCTGTCCATCTGTGCGTCCCATGCTGCCACACCATATGAAATGGAAATTCGAATAAAAATACAATCCAGCCAAAAACTTTCTTGACTGGATAACTCCCGAAAGCGAGGCCAGGCTTGACCGGCCATATCTTCTCTACTACATGTGGACAGCTATCATTGACTCTGAATCCATCGAGGTTGGTGTTTGGACGATAACGTAGTACCACCGATAGCATGGTAGCTCTACCAAGCATAGTTTTGCCCTTGTCTTTGCTCTTCAGCTTCGATATTCTCGTCAACAGGGTACATTCTCCTTGGCTGCTTAGCCCAACGCCAGCCTTCAGTAATTTCTGCCCGCCGTGACACAGCGGCAATGGCCTCGTCTCTGGATGCGTACCCCAAACGTCAACTCAATTGCAACCAGTGTATATTCCCATCAACGCCTTCGCCCTATCTTACTGTAACGATAGTGTATTCACACCCACTTCTTTCCTCTAATTGACCGTCATGGACGGAGTATTTCTTTATACATCCGCCACCTTCCACTCTTTCAACCCCTTTGACTTCAACGCCAACGTGTAAACCCAGTCACCCACTTCGAAGAGGGATTGAGAGACGACAAGGTGATCTAGAAGGTTCCAATCTGCACGCTGAAGGGTCCATTGTCCTGCGCCGCGCTGAATTGTCCCACCTTCTCATTGTCGTAGGTGCAAATCTTGAACAGCTCCTTGGCCGATTCGAACGCAACGTTGAATGGCGTTGGCTGGGATGTTCCTAATGTCACTGGGTTCATGACCCCGATTCTGACGTGTTCTCCGAGGAAAACGTACATCCCCGGCGTGTCTTTTTCGTCCTTATACCGCTTTGCCATAGGCTTGACCTCGACTTTGAGGGGAATGCCCTCCTCGCCCAAGACAGCATTTCCTTCCCGGTTGTAAGAAAAGTCATCCCATTTTAAGGCCTTCTGGACGAAATCAGGTATGGTGTCGCTGTCGCCGAGACCCAACGTCTTCGCCCACTGCCCTGTGGCTTGAAGGACATTCCACGCTTTTTCGGCATCGCAGGACTCGGGGAGGGTGGGGCTGGCTTGTGTCTTAATCTGCATGCCCCTTCCATCGCCACCGCAAGAGACCTGACGTGGGTTCATCAGATAAGTCGCCGCAAGGTCGGTCCGCAAGATTTATACAGGATGTCGCAAGTTACAAATTTGTCGTGGGCCTGCGCTTTCATCTCTTGCTTGTCTTCATCGCTTAGTCCTCGTTCTGCGAACGGCTGTGCAGGTTGCGCATAGAACGTTAGCGCGTGTCCTTCCAAAGTATACTTATACACACTGCGGCACCGCAAGGGGAACTTTGGATGGCTCGCCAGTGTAGCTCCCAAGGTTTGCCCAATGAGCATCGAGAGGAAGAAAAACCCTTGACATGCATGGTCGCAGTTCGAAGGACGGAAAAGACGCTGTGCTTGGTGTTCCAGGCGTGGCCGACAGCGACAGCGGCAAAGAGGGCAAGTATGAGATTAAGGCAAAGTATATCGAGTAGAGAAGACGGAGTAGGCGATAGCTGTGATAGAGTGTAGACATAGACGCAGGGAGAGAGTGAAGTTCTGGAGTTGGTAGGTACAGATGACGAGGATAGATAACACAGACGATATAACTGATTTATATAAAAAGGACATTTCAATGGCAAGCATAGACCTGCGCCATCCTTGTGGCAATATCACATCATCTGTCGTGCCGTCTGCTGTGCATCGAGACTCCCTGCCCAGGCTGCCCTGGATTGGGTTCTGGACTTTCGCCCGGTGTGCACATGCTGGGGGTTACGGGTAAGTAGAAGTCGCTATTCCGTAAAGTTCCATATTCCATGGCATAAAAAAAGATCTCAGAACAGCTGGTAATATTTTTTTTGCGGGTTTTGAGCGGCCAAAGTGCGGACCTAAAAAGTTCCCTTTATATAAAATCGCGAACTATATCATTTCGGATACTTGTAGTAAGCTGACAAAGGGGCTATTTAGGCACGGACGATTATCTGATTACTTCTAGTATATTCGAAAAGACAACATTGTAAACAACTAAGCCCCGGGCGTGCCGGGTTTCGCGCGACGGTTGGTGTACTCAGGAGGACAAGCTGACAAGTTCCATCAAACCCAGAACTTTACAACCTTCGGTCAGCGCTCTGAGAATCCCCACTCAGGGTGGCAAAGTGACAAAGGGGGCTACCGTTCGTGCCGTACTCTCTTATTAAAGATACACCGAAATGATGGATAGCAGTCAGTCTCTCGGCATCACCGTCAGTAGCCCTAGCATGAATTACAAGAGCGACACCGAGCGGTCATTTCGCCTACCAACCAGATCTGCACTTCAACGTGGTGAATGCGTGATGTGGAGGCTCTTAAGAAGACGATTTTGCCTCTTGTAACCTTGTAGGAGCGAGTCTCTGAGTTCTAGGTAGGTAGCGGACACTTTGTCTTTTCCCAGGAGGTCCTCAGCCATTATTCGTCTAGGCGCCTACCTTACTTGAACCTAGGGTGATAAAGTCTCTGTGACATTCTCGCGCGGTTGGCCAGACACCAGAAAGGAAGAAGATTCACAAGGCTCAAGTTCCAAAGAATCAAATTCCAGGTTCCCGTCCGTCGTGGTTTCAGTCTCTAAGAAAGTACACAGACGCTAGCAGTAGCAATAATAGAACGAACACGTTACCCGCCTGCCCAGAACCAATCGAATCCCAAATGGTGCGCCCTCTATGATGTAGGTATGCATGCATTCTTCGTTACATTCGTCGCGAAAGGGGTCATGCAAATAGGAAACGGGATGATACAAAAGAGAAGCGAGTTCAGACCCCCAAAAACAGATATGCCCCGGTACTCCATGCAGTCCCAACCGAACAGAATTAGAACGCCCAACCCAGCCCATTCAGAAACGATCAATGCCGCTTGTATTTCTGCGAAATCAGTCAGTATGCAAACGTGGCCCTCAAAGGGGGTAGAAGTCAAGGGTAAGCTCACCTCGTCCATCCGCCGCCGGTTCTGTGGGTCCAGCGAGTTTGTGGCCCCCATGAGCGTCTGTCCGATGGCCTTGCTCGAGCCAATGAGGGGCCTGAAGATGATGGTAGGTGCCCGTTTGAGGACGGCTTTGGCGGCTCCTTGTGCGCTCTGACTGTTCATCACCTCGCCAGGTACAGCAATGATGGCGTCCCTTGCCACGTTCAGGTCGCGGGCAAGGCTTGCGTATGCCCCTCTGAGGCCCTGGACGACACCCGTGGGCTGATCAGCGTATAGGCTGATCTGCTTCGTCTCCTCCGTATCCAGATCTTCATAGTCCCACCCGACGGCCTCGCGGGCCTCAGGCTGCTTGACTAGGATGCCCTCAGCACCTTGAAGTGCGTACTGTGTCCCAACAGCTAGCTTGGCACCAAGCTTGACTATCTCTGTGCCAGTCGTTTTCGCAAACGCAGCAGCACCCTTGCCTATGCTGCGCACGATCCTCCCATCTTTCTTGTACTCCTTGATAGGTATCTCCACCAGGTCTTTGAATCCACTGCCGACAGTGACCAGGGAGCGAACGGGGGCAAGACCAGCAAGAACCCCAGGAAGCTGGTTTCTCTTGACGTCAGGCATCCAGATATCGTTCAGCGTCTGGCCGAGTCGGTCGAAGCCGGAGACACCATAGATTATGGTATGCCTCATGGTCATCCGTGCCTGGTCGAGGACTAGAAAGTTCATAAACTCGGTGGTGTGACCTGATCGGAGGCCAGCGTAGTCGACCCGCTTCGGTTTGAAGTCGAGCTTGACAGGTACCGAGTTGACCTCGGCTCTTTGGATGAATGGAATGTCGCTGGGCGAGGCATGAGTCGGCGCAGAATCATTCTTGAATTCGAAAAACCGGGTTATGAAGTCCAGAGCGTCTTGGTCCACATGCAGCCGAAGAGGCAGCAGCGTCACCTTTAGCACGATCTCAGATGCCGCCAGTTCCGCCACAGGCTTGACATTCAAGATCTCCAGATGCGCCATGCTGGTCCCCATTTCTCGCTCGCCCGCATCCTGGTCATAGGTCGCGAACTTCTTCCATGTCGACGTTGGAACGTGGTCAAATACGTCCAGGTCCCGGACACGGACATCGACTGAACTCTGCGTCTCCCCAGAACCTGGAGGGAACGTGACCAAGTCGACGTTGATGCCTTTCAGCTCGAAGGTGATCTTATGGCGCTTGCTGCGGTTTAGCCTGAGCTTCTTCTTCGTTCGATAGGCGCCCCCTTGTCGACTCGGCGTGGCAGTCATCGCTGTAGTGGCTATAGACTCGGTCTCTGTGGCATTGTCATTCAACTCTTGATTGATGGCCTGTGCAAGCTCCCGAGGATCCCGATTCGCAGGGATGCCGATGTAGATCGAATTGAAGAGAAAGTCTCCGATGACAGTCTCCTCCTCAACGACTTCCATGTCGGTACTTGTGCGAGCACGATCGTGGCGGGACAGCCGCTCGGTGGCTGTTGTCTCAATATCGTAGACGGCCTTTGAGATCACATCTCGAGTATGATCCCAGTCGTAACCATCGAAGAGGTTCCAGATGAAGTGAACATCGCGAACACGTACTGCAATGGGGCTTCGCTGAACCTTGGCATTATTGGACTCATCGTACTTGTTCTTAACCGAGTTCCAACGATGTGCTGTGCCTTGTACCACAGATCCGGAACCGAAATAGTTCTCATGGATGACGAGATCCTCTTCGTCGAGCAGATCGGGCTGGCTGTTGAAGTTAGTGAGCAGAACACCGTCATTGGTGTCTTCAGCTGTGGTCCTCTCTGACATCATGGAATCTGCGGGGTCTATAAGTTGGTCCTGGACAGAAGGGTCATCGTAGAACTGCGAGTCAAAGGCAAGAGGGCTCGACTGTCCGGACTCCCCAAGATAGATGCTGTCATCATCCTCGCCACCGAGTTCCTGCGCGAGGCCGAAGTCATTGTCGAAGTTGTAATCACCTTCGGTCTGGCCGAATGCGTCCGCAGATATAGAAGCAAGCAGGTCTTGAACAGGGACAACCTTGGTCCTGTACTTGATCTCTTTGCTGGGCGGCGTCGGAGGGGCAAGTGCGTTGGCGAGTGCTATGAGTGTCTGTGTTGAATCTGCACAGGTCTCAAGGACAAGAAGATCATCACGCAGCTCAACATCGACCCATTTTCCCCCATCCCCTTGATTGACACCAGTCTGAATCACGACTTTTGCAGAAGAAAGGTAGCAAATGTCGACGTACCCCTGTTGACATAGCTCGACGATTTGTGGGGTGGAAGTGTTCGATGTCCTTCGCCTTGTCCTAGATGTGTCTTTGGACTCTGATACTGAAACATCGTCGATAAGAAGTATAGATGCCTTATTGAGGTTTCCAACAGCCTTCGCGTCGTCTCCAGTAGACAGAGATATTTCAACGTGGCAATCCGTCAGCGCAATCAACATCTTGGAAGTCAATCCGAGAGGATTCAGGCCCAGCAAACAGTCTCGGAGAATGATGTCGACCTTCGTAGGCTTGGCATCTTCTCCTTTGCCTTTGTCGGACCTCGCGGCCGAGGTGGTCTGCTTCCCCGTAAGCGTCATATGAGCGTGTTCTCCCAGATTTGCGACAGATGCTGCCAGAGTCGCCTCAAAGTCTTGCGGTGTTGCATCCTCCGCGAGGCCAAGGATATCCATGATAGTTGGTACGCGATACTCGATGTTCATATGCCGCATTCTGAGCTTGACAACGGGTTCCATCTCATCGCCAATTATCCGCATAGTCAAGATAGGCCCGTGACCAATTTTCTCCAAAGGGGGGATAACAGAGTGTACCAGCTCTTCGCTGTGGTTGCGCCGCACTGAGACGGTGCCGACTCCAAGCGCAGCCAAAGACGGAATAGTGATTTGGCCCAGCTCGAAGTCTTTCAGAGCAGCTTGTACAGAGCCGAATTTCCCGCCAACATCGACCGTAACATCTACATTGCGGACATGCGCCAGCACAAGAAGACCTGGGCGATCGTCTTCGGGGAGGTACTTGGCTACAGTCGCTAGTCGAGCAACCTCTTCACCAAGGACGGGTAAGACTTGAAGCTGCTGAATCTTTGCAACTTTGACCTCGAAATCATCGGCGTTGACTCGCAAAACGGAACCCTTCCTCCTCTGACGAAGCAGGGTATCAACCATAATCTCATCATCATTCTGGTCGAATTTATGCTTGGATGGAATGATGAGTTCCAATAGTCTTTCCAGGTCGTTATCTTTCGGCGTTATCAGATACTCAACGCGGGTGTTTGTTATCACGGCATTGATCGGTGGATCTCCCATAAATCGTCTCAAATGGGGTCCTGCGATATGGACCTTGGATATACCAACACCAACTCCTTCCTCTCTGCTCACTAGCTTCACTGCACTCGTGTCCAAGGAAACGCTACAATCTCTGCCAATGAGGTCAAGCCGGAGGCCACCAATCCTCATGTTGACTTTATTGTCTGAGTTTGCGGATGTGTCATCGGGCCGTATGGGCGCATCGAACCTCACACCGCGACTTTTCCGTGGTGCTTTTGTCGGGCTTCGCGGCGGCGGCGAGGTGTTCGACGTCATCGAGGAGCTCATGTTCAAGAAGCTGCTGAGTCCACCAAACCAGCTAAATGTCTCATCTAGCCTTTGGAGGTCTATCTTTACATGAAGAGGTAATGTCTTAACCTCACATTTCGTCGATTCAGGTGATTGAGTGATGGTCAGTGACACATCCGAACCGGTAGAAGGGAAAGCGTCTCTGACAGAGCCTCTCATCTGTATGCGCTGGTCGAACGCAAGGATATCATCATTCCCATATCTAAGTTTGAACTTGCCAAGGTCAACCGATGTCACAGTCGAGGAATTTGACATCGACAAGCCTATCTTTAGATTTTGAAGGGTCGCCGTGAGAAGCGCTTCGGCACCGAAGGTTGCTGGCCCCGCATTGAAGATTCTCTCAGGCGTGTCCGCGATACCGGACAAGGTTTCAAGGAAATGTATGGAAATCTGATCAGCGGCGATTTTGACGTCAGGTAGAGATGATGAGCCGCTCTTGGCTGCCGCCTTCTCTGGGGTTGGCTTTCCAGATTGTTGCTTTAAGGCCGCAAGTATTCGCGACACAACCATACCTAACAAAAACCCAGTCGAAAGGTCGACGTGCATCTCTAGGGGTGACAGCATCACCTCAAAGGACTTGCCCAGCGGCGTCTCTGAAGCTTGCAACCTAGGAGGTTCGGCTACAGATGCTGTAGGTTGGATGCTTTCATAAACAGAGAAGGCCCCTGGAATGGTGGGTGCAACCGAGCGAGACATTGAGCCAGGAGAAGCCGCAGATCCCAGGTCTTGATTCCTCCATGAGGAAGATGCAGGTTGCTGCTCTTTCGACGTCGATGGCATGTATAAAGCTATGGTATCCAATGACACAAGTTCCTTGACCAGTCGAGTTGGTCCTTTCGGTGTTGCGACCTCGTCCGCTGCTGTTTCACCTGCTGCAGCAACGGGCTCGTAACGTGATGGGTTGACATGCTCAGAGGCCGAATCTGAGACATCTTGAGGGAGGTCGCTGTGTTGGTGTACTGCTTCTTCGAGGTTATCCACGACGGGAGCTTCCTCCTGCACATGACTCCGCTGCTCAGCAGCCCAGAGCCGTTGTTCACTTTTAGTAGGGTCTTCCAGCAATCTCGTGCTTTTTGACTTGATTTTCGAGTTAGGTGAACTTTCGGTGCTCGAAGGCTCTGAATCCCAAGCCCCCGGCATAGCATGGTGCGCCTCAGACGGTTCAGCCTGCGAAAAGGCGCTCATATACATACTCTCAGCCTCTTCATGACTGAAGAGAGTTGATTGCGCGAGTTCCTCGCTAGGTGACGGCGAGGGTAAAGGCTCGTCACTTCCGCCTAGAGCTGGTGGTGGATTCGCATGGTCCCTTTGCGACTCCATGGAAGACTCCATCCACCGGCCGGGTTGCTCGAGCATTGGTTCGGATCGTGCGGTTTGATTTAATGGAGCCGCCCATCGGTCTTGCTGGGCCCCAATGGCCGATTGGGCTATTTGCATATAAGAATCACCCCTTGGAACGTTGCGAGGGGGTGCCTGAGGTACAAGAGCTCGCGGCGTCGATGGTGTAGATCGCAAATCATCCGCCTCGTGATCTTCGGTATCCTCGCTCGAGCCGCTCAGATCGTATGGGATATCGAAGGCATCCTCACTGTCCATCAACGGGTGATGATAGTGACTCTGCTCGAGACCAGTCGAATCAGCCAGACTTCCTCCAAGCGGAGGCATCGATGACACCGACGCGGAAGTGGATTCTCTAGAGACAGGTTGACGGCTTGTCATAGCTGGTGAGCTAGTCCCAACAGACGAGGGCATAGACGGAGTCCGCGACAGTGCAGAAAAAACATTGGCCTCGGATATCAAGCATGCGCGGATCTTGCTCAGCTCGACATATCGCTTCCCTTCCTTGTGTATTATCCTGGGCGGTACCTCTGCCGTCGTCTCGGCTCTGTCCATTGTCACACCCTCCGCAATGATCTCATCGATGGCGATCTGAAACGTGACCAGCTCGTTGACCGTTAAGTTAGGTTCGACCGGCATTTCGACGTCTAGTTGACACGTAACGCCCTTCACAGCAACTTGTAGTCGGTCGGTGATCCCATTCAAGAAGTCTGCAAGAAAGCCGGGTAGTGACAGTGCTTGCCCAGTTCCCAAAGGGGATTCCCCCTCGCTCTCATCCTCACTATTCGAAAGAGAGGCGGCTAGGTCGTGCTTCTCTGCGTTCAGAGCAGCCTCAAGCTCTGCTTTCTCCTTGGGCGGCTGTGTTTCCAGGAACGATTGGGCTAGATCGATAGTATCGGGCACCGGTTCCTCCTTGCCTGCACGTCTGGTGCCTTTCCGTCTAGAGGTCCCTTTCCGCGTCGCCTTAGGACCCTCCTGCGAGTCAACCCTCAGCCTTATCTCGACGCCGTCGGCTTCGACAGTGATTGGACTCGTATAGATGGCGGAAGGGACATTCACGCGGAGCACTAGGGCTTTTGCTTTGAGGATCTCGATCGACGGCGGGAGTTGCAGCAGCTCTTCAAGCTTCTATCACACCACGACACATGTTAGCTCTCAGCTGAACCGTTATGCGAGGGCTATGGATTGGGTATTTCGAGACATGCCTGTATCTTGATGCCAACATCCTGTAGCGTCACCTGGCTGTTCTTGCCCCAGGTAAGGTCGAAGCTATCTAAGTCCAAGTCATCGGTATCGAAGAAATCCAGCTTTGCCAAGCTGTATCGCAGCAGCCGCTTAGGCATGCTGGAGCTGAGGAAGGACTGGAAGTAGGTGGCCATGATGGGCAAGTTTGGCGGTGGCCGAGCCGGACGGGAGCTCCTCGATGGCTGCCGGGCCAGACGGGAATAGCGAGAGCTTGAGCTTCACCGCCGAGGCGCAAACCGCTTGTGGGTGTTCGAAGGGTGGTTATCACGATACCCCGATATTTCGGATGCGGGGTGGATGTTCATGTCGTCTGCACGGATGGCGTATTGGAGATTCGCGGCTAGGGCGTCAACGGACGGGGTGTTTGGAGCATAGGAAACGAGGTGGTGCGGCAGGCAAGTAGATGGAATACTTGACTCCCCAGGCTTTCCGGCCGTTTGACAGTATGAAGACCTACAGTACGTATGCAGGTATGTAATGCAGGGGAACGGTGACGGGGCAGTACTCCCGATGACGAAGAGATGCTGCTGAGTCCAAGGGTAGTTCTGGTGGTGATGGTGCAGGTGGTGTCTCTGTCAGTCGCCTCTTGTCCACCAGCGATACAGGCGGATACCCTGAGGGTGTGTCATTTGACCCACATTGCCCCCCCAAAAGGCTATCTCACGACGATAACGAGCCGGGGCCAGCCTATCGATAGCGACAGCTGTGCGCTAAACTGGCCCCTGTCAGTGGCCCTTGTCGCTGCTGACCCCAACATGATTCGCGCGTGCCGGCATGGAGCCTGGAGGTCCTCCACTGGAAGTGGGGTCCATTTGGGCACCTGAGCCGTCAACCACACGACACGTCTCGAGCATCAATCATCTTTTGTTAGATACTAGCACGAATGATGTCACGTGTGACGGTGTACAGCTGTATCCACCTGGTTGGATGCTGAGTCATCAGGTCACGGGTAGATTAGATACGGAGACCAGGACCATATGTGCTGCAGCCTCGGCTGTACGCACACCTGTTCCTTTTCTTCGACCTTGTCATTCTGGTAATCAACATCCAGACTCAATTGAGACCGCCACTTGTTGAATACACGGATGTTGATGGATTCTATTGATTGTTCTTGTTCTGCGTCCTTCTTCAGCGTACAGAGATTGATCATCTGTCTTCTTGGTGGGTCAGATGCCCTGTGCGTCTCTGCCCCACTGGAGATCTTCCGGTGTCTATCTCCGGCTCCCATTCAACACCACTGGCTGCACGGAGAGGCTCCGGTCCCAATTAGTCCGCATGGAGGCGGTCAATTTTAAGACTTACAATACTTCAAGAATTGCAGACGCTGTTTTAATACATGTACTAAAGGGAGTAGTGCTTGAGCAAGTTGAGTAGTCTTTAACACCTCACCGCCCTCTCGAACAGTCAACCATCCGCAACCACGAAGCCTAGGTTATCAATCTGCCAGCCCAGTCCCAGTTCCTCCATCACCAGTCCCAATCCCATCTCAAGCCACCACAGTCACGCCGTCCGTGCCCCTACAATAAGCCTGCGCAATCCTCCTACCCACCGCCTCGCCACTCCAATACGCGCCCGTGACCGTCCCCAGCGCAACAAACGGAGCCGTATGCTCGCCCGCAAGCCAGAGACCGCGTTCCGGTAAACCCTCCCGCATGACCTCGATATCCCTATCGCCCTCCTCCAGGCCGACCTGGAAGTTGGCATAGCTGCCGTTGCCCGCGAGGTCGTCTCGCACCCAGTCCGTCGCGAACCAGCCCGTGGGCCGGCAGTCCGCGGACGCCTCATCGTAGTGCGGGAGCTTCGAGTAGTACGGCTTGTACCAGTCGTACAGGAAGGCGTCTCGTTTCCCCTCTGAGGGGAGTTTTGCTACCTCGCTCGTCAGGAACTTCGACTGCTCGCCGTACGTGTAGAAGAGCAAGGTAGGCTGGGAAGTGGATGGGGACAGGGAGGCCAGCTCCACGGCCTCTTGATTCCATTTCTTCGGGTTCGAGTCTGGTGCGTAGTTGGGAGACAGCCATTGACAGAACCCCTGAATGGGGGGATCTTGCTGGTCCGGACATTGCCAGAACGCCTTCGGAAAACTGATGTAAACCTGGGGAGCCGTCAGCACCTAACCCTAACTCAGCGACTGCAGAGCATCAGACCTTTTCAAGACAGCCGTAGCCTATGCTTGAGATAGCCTTGGTTAATCTCGGTGTTATTGGCGGATCGAAAGCTTGCGGATGCTGTTTCAACCAGCCAAGCGGTGCAGTCACGACGACTTCGTCGAATTCCAAGGTCTCCCCACCATCAGTATAGACTCTCAGCGCATCACCATCCTCATCGGTACTCCGAATCATCTTGACGACGGTCTCATATCTAAAACTCGCACCTTCCACTGCGGGTTTCGCAATGGCTTCGAGTATCTTCTTGTAGGTGTCTGCACAGAAGAGGTTCTCTAGCCTATTGTCAGTTACCACAGTATGCAAATCCTTTTCAAACTGAAATGATGCCCTAGATTGACCATGAAAAAAGTTCGTAGGGATGCACGGTGTGAGCTTACCGCCATCTATGCATTCTTCCAACCAGAAAAACTTCAGGCTTTGTGTAAAAAAGTGGTTTCCCACGAACGCGCCCCACGACTCAGCTAACTGGTGAACGCTCTTCCGTTTCAGCTCGAAATCCGATGTGCTGTCCGGTATCCTCTTGGCGACCTCTTGCTGGAAAAAGTCCCAAAGGCTCTCGTTCGGACTAATTGTCGCGCAATTCTCGTTGCTGTGAGCGAATGCCGCCGTTATGATATCCCACATGATGGTTGAGTACGTCGAAGCGTCTGCGGACGAAAGTAGCTTTCCTGCGTCATCCACAACTGCATTCTTGTTGTCCCAAGAACCGACGGCGGTGTTGGTCTGTTTCGCAAGCTCCATTATTGGGTTGTTATTCGTTCCGTGGATCCAATTCGGGCCGGCATCTACCAGGCGTCCTGATGGTAGCGTCGCCTGGTGTACTCGCCCACCCAGCCGATTCCGCCCTTCGATTAGGGTTACCCGGAAATGGTGTTGAAGCAGAATGTCCGCGCAGCGTAATCCAGCTAGACCGGCTCCGATGACGCCGATATGAGGTTTGCGGCCGTGACTTCGCGCTCGGCGCTATGAAGAGTGTGAGTCTGGTGCTGCAAACTAGAGAGAACTCATCTGAACAGCCACTCCTAGGAGGGCCGGGTAAGATCTGGCCTCTTCAGCCATCAATCGTATCACGGCATACTCTCCCACAAGCTGAAGCCTTTGAGCTTTTGTGAGTTATACCTTGCTGATCTTGGTCCCCATTTCCATCTCCTCATTCGTGCCGTCTGTGCCAAGCTCGGCAACAGTAGCCCGGTGATGCGACTTCAAGTCCTCCCAAATTCGAGACGTAGTTCGTTCTGGGGCACTAGTGAATGATACTGAATAAGCATCCATATTTGTTGGTATGTGCGAACATGTGCGTGAGTGAGCTGTATATCATGACAATGCAGCGGGTAGTTGATCTGAACTACAGGGAAAGCTGTTTGGAGTTTGGGTAATGACCATAAATGAGAACGGTTCCTCCCAGGGAGCAAAGGCCAGAAAACTTGAAGTCTAATTCAATCTGACAAGCAGGGAAGAACGAGCCTTTGGGAAGGAGCAGAAGAATGTCCAAGCAGACTAAGTTAAGGTAGTCTCTGCAGGACTTGGGTTGAGGGAATAATGCAATAAGACGGCTCTGTCTCAAAAGTGATCCCCCAATCCCGAGGCAAAGCGGACTCAGAACTGCATGTGTCATCAACGGGGGAGGGAGGTGTCGATAGGGCGGTGCCAAAGAGCATCAAGACTGATTCTGAACATGATTGTCCCGATTATAACTTATCGATTGATGTCGGTTCCTGCTGCTGCTGGGAGGAGTATTCGCCGCATCTCTTCAGCCAAGCAAACTTACAAGAGCCTCACAGCAGGAGCATCGAGAACATCCCGCCGATTGGGCACAAGATCTAGGTTGCATCTCATAACCTAGAAGCCGCGTGGTGTTGGGGATCTCGGAAGGCGGATTGAGGAAGGAGGTCCAGGGTGTAACTTCAAGACAAGCAGCGCTGGGTGTGGGGGGGAAAGCACAGTTGAAAATAACAAAGCAGAGAAAGAAAAAACTCACCGCTGTAAAGCTTAACAATAGAGCAAGAATTGATGCCGACTTCAGTTGTGATCACACTTCGGATAGGTAGGTCTCGAATACTGGTAAGGTGCTTATAATGGATACCAGAAGCGACTCCATTCGGAGCTGGGGTCTGGTAGGCAAGTAAGGTAGTTACTAGTTGCAAGCAGGGCTGGCAGTCAATGTTGGGGCTGGCGGGGTTGAGGTTGTCACACACAGACGGCCCCAGCAGCCCCAGATCTTGAATCATGAAATGGCCCGAAGCGCCGCGTTTAAGCGGAGACCCGGGAACACCGGCTGACCGACGAGACCACGGGACCATCGACAGAGAGTCATCACTGATCAGCAAGCAGAGAGTCAAGCAAATGGCCTGTTGCATGGCACCTGCATGGGGGTCCTTCACCGGCGGTGCTCGGCTTCCGAGTCGATGGATGTCATGTGGTGGTTTGCTTCAGAGTGCGGCCATGAGGCTGCAAAGGTGGAATGAACGCGAGGACGATGACGAGCACGAGCTGTTGTCACTCAGCATCGTCGCTCTCAAACAAAATGTCGCATTCCGCTTGATCGGCTGATCCAGGCTGAGGTTAGGTAGCAGACATAAACGATCAATAACCTCAACCCGAAGGTCGAAGAGGATGCGGATATGCGGTATGGCGAGGTTGCATGTGAGAGATGTGAACATGCAATAGTCCAACAGGGGTATAACGGCTACCCCAGATCTTCACAGCCAATCAGGGCGCCGCAAACCCCATGACCACGACCGGCAGCGGATCCCCTCCCCCGAGCCGAGGCATCTTGACTTCCAATACGATGGCAAGGGAGGACCTTTAAAAGGGCAGCTCAAGTCTCGCGAGGCCTTCTTAGGTCTATCAGACTGAGTCCGTGGCTGTTGTTATAGGAGAGAGATATACGTGCTCTACAGAATTCCCAACTTCGAGTACATCCCGTCCTAGCCCGCCGAGTCGAGCTCCATCCTCCTCCAGACCAGACCCGAGTCTCCCTCCCGAAGCCACCCTCCCGCCCTCCCTAACCGCAGCGATGGCAGAGACATACACGCGCGACGAGGTCGCCAAGCACACCACCGCGGACTCGCTGTGGTTCATAATCGACAGCAAAGTCTACGATGCTAGCGAGTTCGTCGACGCGCACCCAGGCGGCGAGTCCGTCCTGCGACAAGTCGCCGGCACCGACGCAACGGTGGCCTTCTACAACCTGCACCGGCACGAGGTGCTCGCCAAGTACGACTCCGACCTAGTCATCGGCACCGTCGCAGGCGAGAAGCCCACCATCATCACACCAGCACCAGGCGACCTCTCGCCCGTGCCCTACGCCGAGCCGCTGTGGCTCACACCGACCTACAAGTCGCCGTACTACGGGGAGTCGCACCGGCGGCTGCGCAAGGCCGCGCGCGTCTTCACCGACACGTACATCACGCCCGAGGCCCAGGCGCGCGAGGCCGACGGCAAATACATATCGCAGGAGCTCGTGGAGCGTATGTCGAAAGTCGGGCTGTTGCACATGCGGCTCGGGCCGGGGAAGCACCTACACGGCGTAGACCTCCTAGACGGAGCCGTCAAGGGCGAGGAGTACGATTACTTCCACGACCTCCTCATGGCGCAGGAGGGCGTCAGGGCCAACGCGCGCGGGTTCCAGGACGGATCGTTGGCCGGAATGGTGATAGGGCTCCCGTGTGTTATGAATTTTATGAAGGACGAGAAGCGCAAGAAGGCCATCATGGACGAAGTCTTCAGCGGCAAGAAGTACATGTGCCTGGCCATCACCGAGGCGTTCGCCGGCTCCGACGTGGCCGGCCTGCGCACGACGGCGACCAAGACGCCCGACGGGAGGCACTACATCGTCAACGGGACCAAGAAGTGGATCACCAACGGCGTATTCAGCGACTACTTCGTCACGGGCGTCAAAACAGATAAAGGCTTGAGCGTGCTGCTGATCGAGCGCGGCGAGGGCGTCGAGACCAAGCCCATCAAGACGTCGTACTCGCCCGCCGCCGGTACCGCCTACATCACCTTCGACGACGTCAAGGTGCCTGCCGAGAACCTGCTCGGCGAGGAGAACAAGGGCATCTACGTCATCCTGAGCAACTTCAACCACGAGCGCTGGACCATGGCCTGTAAGCGTTTAATTTTATATTTAATATCTTCGATCGTGAGGGAAGAGCCAAACCCAAATACCCTAAAATACAGCAAAAATCAGCGCCCTCGCTGTCTTGCCTTTCCTACACATCGAAACAAGTGGAATGGAACATGCTGACACTGACCCTCCCTCTACGCAGGCGCAACCATCCGGCAATGCAGAACGGTCGTAGAAGAGTGCCTCAAGTGGTCACACCAACGCCTCGTCTTCGGCAAGCGCCTCATCGAGCAGCCCGTCATACGGCAGAAGTAAGGGTCGATTCCCCATCCCCATCCACCAATCCACCACCCACCACCCACCAAACTAACCACTCCCCCTTTGTAGACTAGCCAAAATGATCGCCCTCACCGAGTCGCACCAAGCCTGGCTCGAGACGATAACCTACCAGATGTGCCACATGCCCTACAAGGAGCAGTCCAAGCACCTGGGCGGGCCCATCGGCCTGCTCAAGATGAGCATCACGCGCGCCGCGCACGAGATCGCCGACGAGTCGGTGCAGATCTTCGGCGGTCGCGCCCTCACCCAGAGCGGCATGGGCAAGGTCATCGAGATGTTCCACCGCACCTACAAGTTCGACGCCATCCTCGGCGGCTCCGAGGAGGTGCTCGGGGACCTCGGCGTGCGGCAGGCCATGAGGCAGATGCCGAATGCGAAGTTGTGATATTTGTCAGTACATTAACAAGAATGCTCGGCTGTTTATAAATATATCATTCGCATGTAGCTTGTGTTATCAGCATCGTGTACGGAGTTATTACAGAGAAGTGGAATTCCAACATTGCGAGTATGGAAGTTATCACCGACAGTCGATATTATGTCAACAGCCAAACGAGCATATGGCGGAGAACATATGCGAATTTCAGACCCTGATTGAGTGAAATATGCTATCATAAGGTCCTCTGCATTGCCGATGGCTTCGGCTTCCAAAGGGGGTTCGTAAGAACCTACACCAATTCGTGCCCCCTATCAATACATCCCAAGAAAGCTCCAGTGAGTATCATATCTTCGTAGGCCTCAAAAGATGCTCGCCACCAAAATAGTTCCAATGTTCCTGCACGGCGTCCTATCACAATGAAACAGGCCGTAACCTGACCCGCCACGTTCAATAGAATGTTTCCCGATTTCCAGTATCTTTTTTCCAGGATAAATGCAAAAGTCGCGCGTCAGAAGAGCAGCTCCGGAGTGCCCTCACAGTTGGAACCCCTGAGTCAACATCTGATGGGTCATCAATTGACGGTTGACCATCGGCAGACGTCTGCGTCCACCAAACGGTCTCTGTGGCGCTGGTTGGTGCTCAGGCTGAGTGAGACTGGGACCAACAGGTTGATGATGGCGGTGAGGCTGCTCCTTGATCACGGTCGACCCTCCTCCGCAGGCAGGGTCATTGAAGTAACGTGCCGGGTCGCCCACGACCGCATGTGTTGTTTCCACGTGGCGCTTGCTCGCATGTGTTGTTTCCGCGTGGCGCTTGCTCGTGCCACACTCTTCACACACGACCCAGACGATCTTCTCCGATGGCGTGTGTCCTTGTTTGATGGTCGTCCTGGCCGTAGTCTCGGATCTGACCCGGATTTCTGACTTGGGGGGTTCCGCGCTTTTTTGTGACGACGACAACGACGACACAGACTTGGGGAGTTCTGCGCTTTTCTGCGATGATGACAACGAGGAAACGGAAGGGGCCAATGTAGAAGGTCGTCTTCCACTTACTGATCCGCCAGTTGTCGGTGTAGAAGGCAGTCTTCCACTCACTGATCCTCCAGTCAGGGTTGGGGTTAAGGTCCCTACTGGAGACCAGCGCTTGCTTGCCATGCTTGGGCGGTTGTCCTTGCTCCGTCTCTTCTCCAGCTCCAGCTCTCTTTCCAAGAAAGATTCCGGAAGTGGTGGCAGAAAGTCCATTTGCTCGGCGTCGTTTGTCTGGCTGTTTTCGATGTCTGGTACCTGGTTCTTAGTCTCGCTCTTAGTCCCGCCTTGCTTGCCAATGCGGAGGAACGGGACTAAAAGCAGTGCCAAGCCTGAAAACGCTGTCGTCGTGATGAACACATTGGTGTATGCAAGCTCGGGTTGGCCTCTGTCCCCCTTGCCATCGTACGAAGACCACACTGCGGTGGTGATTGCCATACCGAGTGGAACAGCAAGCCGGCTGGTGATTTGAAGAAGCGAAGCCCCTATCGAATGGTGCTTGAGTGGAAGAGAGGATAGTATGTATAGCTGGCGTTTAGTCAGCTTCGTTGTCATGATACCGGCAGTTATATAGAAGTGGCTTACAGATCCAACGTTCATGGTCCAGTCAAGTCCAACGGTGCTCAACATGAGCGATGGCAATATCCAAATCAAGTGGTAGTTCCCATGCTGCAAGAACATGAGCAACACATTGCTCAGCACCGTAGCAAATGCAGCGACTGTAATCAGGAAGGTTCCCGAAACTCGGTGCATGATCAAGCCGACAAGAGGGCTGAAAAGTAGACCGACTAGAGCTTGCGGCAATAGTCTCACGGCAACGTCGAATGGACTGAGACCCTCGATCTCTTGCATGAACATTGACACCCAGAATAGCTGAGAGTAATATGACATGGAGACACTGAGTGTGCAAAGAACGACCTAAGAATCGTCAGCCCTGTCTGCGAATCACCATAGTGCATGATCTCACCAGTGTCACATTCCAGTTATCCCATATTGACGGGGGGATCATGGGGCTCTTCGTGACAGTCTCCCAAAGAATGAATAATCCAAGCGAAAGCGCTCCCAATATCAGCAGGAAGATGACCGTTGGTGTCTTCCATGGCTCTGGACCTTCTGGTCCTATGGTGAGGGACACGGTCAGTAGCAGAATGCCTGCGATGAGCAAAATCAACCCAAGCCAGTCGAAATGTAGCAGCTCGGATGGCCTCTTGAGATCTAAGATGATCAGGGGCGAGTGTGGCTCGGTTAGCAATTCCAACTCGGGTTTCTCGTAGGAGTCTTCCGGCTCGGAGACCTTAGGGACAAATGCCCAGGCGAGAGCCGAGACGATAGCGTACAGTGCTCCTAATGCAACAAAGGGGGCTTTCCAACTCAACTGGAGCTCAAGCGCTCCTGATCCAAGACCGCCTATGATCGTCGCTGCCGGGGTTCCCATCAGGAAGGACGAGAAGACCAAATTCTTGCGACGAGACGAGACCGGGTATACGAGGCTCAGAATGCCGACAGCGATGGGAATGTTGGCAGCGCAAGCAAGGCCTGTTAGCCCAGAGATGATGTCAAGCACGGTGCCGTTCGTCGAGAACGACGTGCATGCCACCAACATCCCGAAGATTATCAGACTGGTTATCAGAAGCGCCTTGCGTGGCAATAGGCGACATGTATCAGCGACGTGTCCCAAGGGCAGCAAGAAAGCACCAGTCGTCAGTCTACAGCCGTGTCAGCAAGTGCTTCCAGTCGTCTCCAGGACAAGGCTTCCGCATACCCTGAGCTCGCTGTAGACCAAGCCATTTGTGCTGGTGTCATGTCCAGGGATTCTCCTATGGACGCGACGACAACCACGGTGGATCGTTGGAGGAAGACTGGCGTGGCCGCGGCGAAAGCGATGAGGGCAACGAAGAGACATTCGTGGGCGGCGTTCTTCAGGCATTCAGGCCGGCTTCCAGCAGGCAGAGGAATTCGAGTCTCGAAACCCGTAGCTTCGTCGTTGAGACAGACATCGTGGAGGTCGTCGGGAGTTGGTTCTGGGGATGCGTGGGAGAAAGCCCAGGGCTCTTTGTCGAGAGACATTCCGATGATTTGGTAGAAGGTTGAACAGTGTAAAGCAAGGACACAGGCACTGAAGTAGCAAAGCTATAGTAGGTGGTAGAGAGGTTCGCCAAAAAGCAGCGCTTGGAACGAGAGTAAGCTGGTTGGTTCGATTGGGAGATGAGACGCTGTCAACCTGAAATGGCCCGAGCTGACTTGGACGGTGTGAAGAGACAGGCAGGAAGTAACTCCCACATCGTGACATCGTGCGCTGGCAAGTGCGAGTGCGGTTAGGTTCCTCGCAACTTGGGAGGCACAGATGGAAGCGGCGACGTACAACAATAGTAGGGCCACCTTTAAACATGCTGGCAGGTGTGTTCATCGCTCTTTGATAGCATTAGCCATGAAGTTGGTGATATATCGCTCATGATATTTGTGATGGCCTTGGACCTTGCGTGCATTTGAGATTGCTTGATTTCTATTTGGCCACTATCTGAAATCTACTCGACCTGCGTGATGTTCCCCCGTTCCAGACTCATCGCCAACGCTGACATGTACTCGTCCTTCCAGACTCAGAACTCCCACCAGGATATCCTACGTGTCGTTGCTCCGTGCTTCAAGCGTCCTGCTCTAAACTGATTCATGTACGTAAGGTAAGTCAAGCCCACAAGAGTCTCTTGTAAATGACTGTAGATAGATGGAGGGTCATTGACATACTTCGGACTATCAGAACCTTGCCACGCCGAAGTCGTCGCAGAAGCTACCAAGGGAAGCGACGTGGTGAAAATGGGGTTTCGATATTCACAGACCACGTTGACGATAATCATGATGACCGGAAAACAGCCACTAGAGAGGCTCAAAAGACACCGACAGCTTCACTCGTTCTGGGACCATTGACGATGCAAGTCTCGATCTCGTCGATTTTCGGCTCATCGTGGTTCCAGACCATCGTCAGTGGGACCTCATAATTGATCGTGGCGCCGACTTTTGGATACCGCGGCGTTTCTGGTCAGGCTTGACCTTGATCCTGGGGTTCTCACCTATGACCTTGGTCGACCATTGACTTGAGTTCGATATTATAGCGGCCTCAACTTCAGGGGCCAGGCTGTATGATTGCCCCCTTTCCCCGCGCCCACCTGGACTACGTCGGATCTACGCAACGGGTTCATTGCTGGCGTACATGCGAGATAACTTTACCTGTATTCCAGTGTGAACACTTGACGCCAACCCGGCATCGTAAGGCGCTGGGTGTATCTCAATGCGGGCACTAGTTCGCACAAAGCGCATAACAATTGACCTCGGGAAGCAATTAGGCCCGATCCTCACATGAAGAGTGGGACTGGAGTTGACGATGATGTGTTGCTTCCAGGTCCAAGGTTGTCAGCACTTGACTCATATAGGTTTGAAGGCGCATGCAACTACGTAGGTATCTACCTCATATTTCCCCCTTTGAGGTATGTTACACCTACTTACCTGATGCGGAGTGCACTTTCCTTGCACTGCTCATCTCGGGATCGTTGCAGTTGCCAGATATATCTCCCCAGATGTTTGCACGGGAAGGAGTCGCACCGTTCTAAAACACTCCCGTCACCTGCTCTCGCGGGCCGCTGCATGGAGATCTCGAGTGCAAACAGCCCGCCGTGTCTCAAGTCTTCCCAGCTCAATACCCAAGCCTCAACCACACATCAGACCACACGAGAGCAACCGAAGTACACATCCACAGCTCTACAACACTGCAGCCAGAAACACCCCCACAAGACACATCAGACACGGCCGACACACAAGATGCACGCACTCAGCCTCCTCGGTCTCCTCTGCACCTCGACACTCGTCGAGCTCGCAACGGCAACGGCCCCCCTCTTCACCGTCATGGTGGCACCCTTCCCCAACTCCACCAACACGACCAGCGGCACCAACACAACCAGCGGCAGCAACAGCACCGACACGCCCATCCCATGCTTCCCCTTTGAGGATCCCGACTGCTGCATCGACTATGCTGTCTGCCAATGCAATAACGGTAAGTCCTCGTTCCCGCACATCCGGTCTGCGACGAGTTGAAGCTGACTGTTCCTGCCTACCTACCTAGGCAGCTTCTACACGACCAACCAGCAATACGGGGCCCGGAGCATGTGCCACCCGCCTGGCAGCTTCCAGTACGGAGAGGACGTCAGCTCCGTTCCGGGCTTTTGCTGCTTGGACATAAAGATGGCACACAATATTCTGGCTTAGGTGCATAAGTGGCCATCGTGGAGGGTCCGAGGATAGGGCGGGCAATGGGCATAGGGTATATGGGAGTTGAACGAGAACGATTGCTCGAGCAGATCATTATGAGGCAATCTCGCACGCTTTTTGGACCAGCGACACAGCTGTGGCGGTTATCATTCCAACTTAGTAATTTGGGGTTAGAGATTCGATGGTTTTTGATTTCGAGAGCTCGCACAATTAAAGCCTACTATTCATCTTGAGACATCCGCTAAAGTTACATCGCCTTTCTTGCGCAGTGCCACGAAATATGCCTCCTTCGATTCCTGAGAGAGGTGTTAGACATGGGAGAAGTAGTGATTGCAGGCCAACTTACGTTTCTTGACGATTCGGGCTTCTCGCGATGGACCTTGCCGAACATCTTCTTCAACTTCATCTCGAGATCTTTGTCCTCGGCGCCTTGGTAGAACTTGCACACGAAGTGTCCACCGGTCCGTAGAGTCCCGCTTGCAAACTGTAATGCTGCCAGACAGAGGTCCTACATGAGTCATGGTCAGCAAATCAGCTCATCCCGTACACACACATATGCCCCTCGTATCAGAACGTGGATGACTCACCATACTACCCGCGTGGTCACGGAAACTCATGCCGCTCGTGTTCATCATCCTAGAATACGGGTTACTCAATGTGTTGCTGGAAAAGCCCGAAGTTTGCATCCAGGGTGCTGACATGTCGCTTAGAACCACCTGGAATCCACCAGTCAGCGCATAACCCAGGACACACAACCAACCGAGCATTGATTGTCTTGATTGTCATACATCGATGAGCTTTCCATCATTCTCCGGCAGTGCCGGCCAATCCGAATCGACCGACTCGGCCCGCTCGGCATCGATATAGCTTTGCCGTTCCATGATTTTCATGTCGTCCTCTTCCTCTGAGGTCTCGGACGCGGGGGGACTTGGAGGTTTCCGACCGGCGAATTCCACGAGGTATTCCTTCACGAGGTTCTGGACACCCGGATTCAGGAAGTTGCCCTGGATAGTCGACACTCCCCTCGGCGGCTGTGCCGGGATGATGTCGATGCCGACAACGCGTCCGTTCGGCCTCGTCCGTTCCACGGCAACCTGAACGGGATGAGCGGGGTTTGTTCGCAAGCAGGGTTCGCACTCATCTTACCTGGGACCAGCTACCTGGCGCGTAACCCTTTGAATCTTCAGCATCGCACATCGAGCTGCGAGCGAGGCACTCACCAGATCCAACACAGTCTGTCCTTTCTTAAACAGCCTGTACTTCGAATCCATCTGTACGCGACGGTTGTCAGTTCTGACACACATCTGCCCACGCTGTGCTCATCCATCAACTCACCTCGAGTAGCTTGAACGCGGCGCGGCTCTTCAGGCCCTGCACCTTGGCCTCCCGTGCGAAATAGTCGCTGCCCTGACGTTGCTTCCATCTCGAATTCGACGCAGCCCATCGTACACTCCCCCCAGCGACCCGCGCAGGGGGTGTGAACTGCGCGAGAGACCCGCCGACAGGGACAGGTCGTGCAGCAGCTGTCACAGCTGCCACTGCAGCCGGCCTCACGAGCCGTCCATGGCAAGGCGCTGCAGCAGCCCTGAGCAGCAACGCGTGCATGAACAAGAGATCTCAACGGAAGGCGGTCATACGCGATCCGATGTGAAGTGGGCAATGAACGTGATGGGAGACATGGGGAATGCTGGAGTCGATGATGAAAGCCTCTTCGTTCAGTGAAATTGGCAGTGCCCGATTCGGACATGTAAGCGTCGAAGAGGCATAATCCCGCTATATACATAGGTACATCAACCAGCATTGTATATTTGTTTATCGGTGCTACCCACGCAGCCAAGAAACTGGACAAACTCCATTCCGCCCACCGTGACATGGACATTAAACACCACCAAAAGATGTATCGATCCATCGCACCACTCAAGTGATTGGTCTCTCCAGATTTGGCTCTGTCTCTCTGGATTATCTGGTCAGAATAGGGACGCGGCCAGGTCTTATTACAATTTACCGGAGCTACCGGGACTGCCAGGTCATGTTCATCTCGATTCTCCGCGACAATTGAGCCAGCAGACCTGGTTAGCAAGGGCTATCGTGCAGGTGGCCACTCCACCGAATTGCCCTTGAAGCATCGCTAAAATCAGGTGACTTTGCTAATTATTCCGTATCGTGTCCCGAATCCCGGTAGGCGGCAGGATCTGGAGATGTCAGCAATCCCTCAGCTTGGCTCCACTCTATGAAGATGAACCCCTTATTAATAAAAGGTAGCGTGCGTCCGCTCCCCGAGCTCACAAGGCTGGGCGGCTCTCTCATTCCTCTAGAAGTCCCAAGTCGGAATCACAGTAAACTCGAGGCCGGATAGATACCTTACCCTACGTTAACAAGTTGCACGTATTCAGCAAAGGGCCCAAAATGGCGCGGACCAAGACGCCCAGGAAGGCAAAGGCCGCCAAGCCATCGTCGCCATCATCAGCATCAGCAACAGCATCAGCATCATCCAAGACCTCGCGGCCGCTCACGGGGCTATACGTCGCCATCTTCGCCGCCATCTCGGGCCTCTGCCTGTGGATCATGCGCATCGAGACGGTCCTGGCCGACGTGCCGGCCAATTTCATGCCGCAGGTCGAGGCGGCGCGCTACGACAACGGCCTGCCGATGCGCACGCGGTACACCGGCGTCGCGGCCCTCGACGACACGTTCCGCTACCTGGTGCTGTCGTTCATCGCGGGCCCCGCGGGCTGGGACGACGGCGTGCGCCTGCAGCAGATCCATTTCTTGGTCAATTTCTTTGCCGTCGTTTGCGTGTGGAATGTCGAGGCGTGTCGGCGGCGGAACGCAGGGAGGCTTATTAGTTAGTGAGTTACTCCCTTCTCCATCTCCATCTGCATCTACATCCACATGATCAACATGCTCGCCTGTGATACAAAAATGTCACATGGTCGATATGGTGTAATCTAGAAGAACAAGTCCACTGACAACCCGCCCAGCACGGCCATCTTCGCATGTTTCTACCAGACCGTAGGCGGCGCCGTCATCATCCCGCTCTACTACCTGGCCTACACGCTCAGCTCATCGAGCAACGCATACTACACCTCCGGCCGCGAAGTTGCCCTGCCCTACGCGCGGGGCCTGCTCTTCGCCGCCGTCGTGGGCTACCTCGTGCCCACCATCGCCCTGTACATCCCCTGGTTCAGCTTCGAGACGACGCAGCTGCTCACCATGGTCTGGCAGCCCGCCCCGCTCTTCGTCAACTTGCTGCTCTTCCTCTCGTCCCTCATCCTACCCTCATCCTCATCCTCATCCCCATCCACCTCTTCCACCACCACCTCATCCTCATCTTCCACCACCCCCTCCAAGCCCAAGAAAAACGCAGACATAAAGCACCTCAAGCGCCTTTATCTCATCGCCGGCCTAATCAGCGCCCTAACCCACCTCACCACGCTCTACTTATCCCTAACCTCATCCCCCTCCAACCCTTCACTCGCCCTCCGCCGCATCTTCCTGCCCTCTACCACCTCCCGCCGCGACAGCACCGTGCTCGGGCTGCACTACATCTTCCAGGTGGACTGGTGGGGCATCTTCGCGCCGACGCTGCTGTGGGCCTGGGTCGCCGTGTGCGACGTGATGCGCATACTACTAAAGCCAGCCGGCGGCGACAAGAATAACCACAACAACAATGCGTCGTCGCTGCTGGCCGCGGTTTATATCGCCTGCGCGACCGTCGTGCTAGGCCCGGGGGCCGCGCTCGCGCTGGTGTGGAGCTGGAGGGAGGACCGGCTGGCTATGATTGAGGATGGGGTTCGGGGCACGATTCGGAAGCCCAAGCCCAAGTCGGCGTGAGCGGGTGCGCAAACAGTCGAGATGGTGGTTTGCATATATACCTCACTCAGGTAGCTGGCCACTCGGACTGAGGTTTTGATCTACCTATGGATTGGGCTTGCCGCAGTGAGCCTCCAGGTCGCTGCTTACTCACTGTACTGCGATATATTCATTTATCGGCCTGAGTGATATGCTCGGGATCGATCCCCGCAGTATCAAAGACTGAGTCGAGGCGCCTGGGATCAGGGATGAGTAGGAGTGATATCCGGTCTTTGTGAAGGAAAACACAGTGCTCCAGGTGTTATGAGTCAGTGGGAGCCTTTCAGAGGGAAGACCGCGGAGGTGATTGCAACAACAGTAGCACTCGATCCAAGTGTATTCATGCTCGTAATTGTACATAGCAATGCAACCTTATCCCTACTCCTACAACCATGCCCAACTCCGTACCCTTGAGAACATCCAGTAACCGAAACAATAACGGCGAATTATGCATCATGAAGACCCTTCATTCCGTCGCCCATTATATCTACTCCCTCATCGTACTCGACGAATGATTACCAAACCGCCATCATGCAAGGAAACTAGCACCCACACCACGACGATCTCGCTTCAAGGGCGAGAAAGAAGCAGTGCCGGCAAACGCGTTCCTCTTAACACCAGCGAGCGCCTTGCCCACTACTCTCTTGCCGCCGAGCAGGACCTTGGGCGCCGGCTTGCGCGCGGCTGGTGCTTCGCCCTCTTCTTCGTCGAACAGCGTCTTGGTAGAGCCGAGGACCTTGCGCTTCTTCTTCTTGGGCGGCTCGCCGTTCAAGCTGGAGGACGTGCTCTCGTCCTGCGGAAGAGTGAAATTGAACTTAACAGTTGTCGTTCTTTCCGCGGGCACTTTGGCGACGGGCAGATTCTCTTGGTTTTCGACAGGGGCCTCCTCGGCCACCTTCTCAAGACTGCCCTTGGCTTTGACGGTCTTCTTCGTGGCCGGTTTTGTCAGTGCGTTCTTTTTGGCGGATGGTGCCTCTCCAAGTACTTTCTTTGGTCTACCACGGGTCTTTGGCTGGGGCTGGGGCTTCTCGTCCTCATCTGGAGCAGCAGCCGCAGGGTCGCGCTCCACCGGATCGGCCGAGGCGTCCACAGGAACTGTCGTGGTGGCTTCGACGACTTCGGTCACTTGCTGTGGCCCAGTAATATAATCATTTGACGCTCCCTCGTCTGTGTCGGGTGCGTCGTCCGACATGACCCTGGTGCGGTTCAGGAAAGGCGTTATAGAGAACGCTGACTTTTCACCGACAAGGGTAGGCTCGAAAGGTCGCTTTTTGAAGGCACGTCTGCCCTTCGTGGTGTCCTCCGCTCCCGGTGTTTGAATTTCGATATTCGTGAAGTCATCTGCCGCTATTTCCTGAGCTTTCCTCTTACGGAAGGCCTGAGACTTAGCATTTGTCTTCGTGTTCTCGTCGGACCCTGCAGAGCGTGAGAGTTGTTGCTGGGCTTTGCGAAGATCCGCTTGGCACTGCTTCAGCTGTTCGTGAGTCTCTCGCGCTTTTGTCTTGATCTTCTCGAGCTTCTTTGTAAGCTGTTCGGTATGCGCGTCCGCTTCAACAGCAGCTGTCTGGCTGTCCTGGCGAAGCTTCGCGTTCTCCTCCTGCAATGCCTCCAGGTCGCTTTGTAATTGCTGCAGCTGGGCACGTAGCCCATCCTCTTCGGCAGTGTTGACCTTGACCTTCTGCGACTTCTTGGATGCTCGGGTCGCGGCTTGTAGCTCTTCCTCTATTCTCTCCTTGTCTTCTTTCTCTTGTCTCAGCTCCTTTTGAACGTCCTGTAGTTTCTTACGAAGATCTGCCTCCAATTCGCGTGTGTTGTCCTGCTCCTGTAGAGCAAATTGACGTGTGCGCTTCTCCTGTTCAAGCTGGTCTTCCAGTCTCTCCCGTTCGGTTTTCTCGGCGGTCAATTTCTTCTCCATTTCTCGTAGCTTCTTTCGGAGCTCGTCCTCGACCCGGTCGTTGCTTTCGCGTTTCTGCATAGCTCGCCTTGTTGCCTTCTTCTCATTTGCCAGCTCGACCTCGAGGGTGTTGACTTGGCGCTCGAGCGCCAGCTTCTCGGCAAGGGTTTCTTGTTGGTGATTGACTTGTGATCGTAAGTGCTCAATCTCTGGCTTCAAGACAGCCAACTCGCGACTGAGTGAGAGCTTTTCCGAGAGTAGGTTGGTCGAGTCTTGGGTCATGTTGTTCATTGATTGGAGCTCTGCCTGGATTAACAGGTTAGGAGCTGGAGACTGAATCGCACAAAGTGGGAAAGTGGTGATGGCATACCTTCAGATTTTTGTACTCTCTTTCCTGCTTACGTAGCTCTTGTTCCTGTGAGCGGACTACTTCCATTTCGGCCTCAATCCTCGCGCCAAGATCATCGCACTGAGCAGTAAGCTTCGTATTCGTGTCCATGTTAAGTTCCACTTGATCGCGCAATGAGGTGTTCTCGTCTCGTAGCAACAGGATTCGTAGTCTCAGTCGACGGATGTCCTCATCTTTGACCAGAATATGGGCCTCGCCCGCGTTCTGCTGGTGTTTCATCTCGAGATCGTGCAGTAACTGTGTGCGCTACACAAAGCAGAAGTTAGTCTTGACTAAAGTATCATAGACAGTGACAGGGGCACCCTTAGGTTTCTCTGATGTGCTCGCAGGTCTGAGAACGTACCTCGTCGGCGTCCATGTTCGTTTGTCCACGGCCCGTGGTGGCCTTTGCAGTCCTACCCATTGTGACAGACGCGTGTCTAGACGTAGAGAAAGCGCGTCAAAGATGGATACTGGGCGACTACGAGGGGAAAGAGTCGTGTAAAACAAATCAGTGAAGATCGCTTGAGCTCGACTGGGAGCATGTGGTGTATGTGTGGTCCGTGTCACCTGGTGGTTGGTCCAGAGCAGATGGATGGGCATTGGGTGGTTGACTTGGAGGAAGCGGCATGTTTGTGGGGGAGTTGGCGATGCGGATCCAGGTCAACAAGATACCCTTAACGGTTTAGCGCAGACGGGACCCTTCCATCTTGAGCTCTGACCACACATCGGGCCGCCTAGCACAAATTCCGACTCACGGGGATCCACCTTAGAGTGGGTTCCGTGTCTGCATAGACCCGATGCTTACAAGCAGTACCTGACCAGCTGGCAGCCAAGTGGTTAGAGCTGTCAAGAAACTGGAGCTTGCGACTCCGAAACTCGTCAGCTCATTCAATCATTCAATTGAGGCCACCTCTTGAAATCCAAGCTTCAAGCTGGACTCGTAGCCAGCCTCGACCCCCGACGATAACTTCAATTTTCCCGCCCGCCGATCGTTCAATGCGAATAGACAGTAGTCCACCCCTTGGTTCTTGACCGTACACTCACTCACCGGACTTTCGTTCAAGACCGCCATCATGCGCTGGCTCCCGGCCTTGCTGTCCTTCGCCCTGCCCTTCGGGGCCCTGGCCGCCAAGAAGTCGCCCTCAGTCGACCGATTTCAGGAATTCCACACCAAAGCTGTGGCATCCTCCCCGATAAAGCTTGCCGACAATTCCTACAAGAAGCTCACGTCCGCCCCTCGAGACCATTCCGTTGCTGTTCTTCTGACGGCCCTCGACGCACGATACGGCTGCCAGCTCTGCGGCGAGTTCCAGCCGGAATGGGATGTACTTGGCAAGAGTTGGGTCAGGGGCGACAAGAAGGGCGAATCTCGGATCATCTTTGGAACGCTGGACTTCGCTGACGGCAGAGATACCTTCCTCTCTGTATGGCGTCCTAAACACAAGCTTTGTGGCTGCGTTGCTGATTCTCTCTACTACCTATAGCTCGGCCTGCAAACTGCTCCGGTGCTCCTCCTCTTCCAGCCTACCACTGGGCCCCATGCCGTGCCGGCCGCCGACCCTATCCGTTACGACTTCACGAGCGGGTAAGTAATCATATAGCCATGTTGGCTTGGATCGATACTAAGCAGTATAAAGCCCCCAATCCGCCGAGACGGTCTATGCATGGATCGCCCGTCATCTACCGGACCGCCCGCATCCCCCGATCTACCGGCCAGTCAACTATGTGGGATGGGTGGTTACAATTGTCAGCGTCCTCGGCATTGCTGGTGCTCTCTTCAAGCTCTCGCCGTGGATCCTGCCCGTGCTCCAAAACCGCAATGTGTGGGCGGGTCTGAGCTTGATTGGTATTCTCCTCTTCACCAGCGGCCACATGTTCAACCAGATTCGAAAGGTTCCATACGTATCCGGAAATGGGAAGGGTGGCATCACTTACTTTGCAGGCGGCTTTCAGAGCCAATTTGGACTTGAAACACAAATTGTGGCTTTCATCTGTGAGCAATGCCAACGCGCTTATGCCCTTCCAATTCCGCTGCTAACGTAGATTAGATGGCCTTTTGTCTTTCGCCGCGATTTCTCTAGCCATAAAGGCCCCAAGGACTCGGGACACGAAACTCCAGCAGATCATGGTTATCGGCTGGGGTCTCGTCATGGTCATCACGTACAGCTTCTTGATGTCCATCTTCCGAATCAAGAATGGCGGTTATCCATTCAAGCTCCCTCCCTTCATGTAAAGTACAGCAGACACCCCGGAAGGATTGAGCATGTGATGCCGCGGCAGACTGGTGATCAGTCGGAAGAGCTTCACAAAGCGACTCACGACAACGCGAATGTAGATTATGACTCGGAGGTTTCCGTGACAGACGAATAGAGAGCTGAGAGTCGTGCAAAAAGGATTCTAGCATTTCCCTGTACCAGCACTGGCACTGGCAGTCTACTTGGGATTGCTGCAACGCCGACATAATATCGCTTTCCAATCAACACGTGTGAAGGCAGACCGATGATTGCGCTTGGTCTAGGCCGGTCCAGTCAATGCCACTGTCGCCGTCGATGACCTGTGATTGTATGGCAAAAGACTTCGCCCGCGGGCTTAGGACGTACAGTCAGCCGAGGGCATGTTGCAATGCGCTGATTACATATGCCTATTGGAGGAATTCAAGGGGTGATGGTTGCATTCGGAGCATATGTGCCAGTATCAGTTCTCAACGAACACACAGGAGGCAGGATCGTCGAGGGGTGACTGCTCAATCTCGGTTTCGACACATGATCTCTCCCATCCCGCATCAACTGTCGATCCGTTGCCACTGCAGTTATTACTTCGGCGATACTGTGTGTGCATTCCAACTTTACTCGGATAGTTCCCGAAGCATTGGACAGATCTGCAATCTGCCATATTGCTTTTCGCCTCAGGTTCCTTGGGTAGCAGTCTCTTTGATGAACAACTTCCAAGATGTTGCATTTACGGACTTTGCAGTCGCAGAGATGGGGTTCTTATTCTGTCACACTAGCGAATGCATAGGTAGGCACTTCATTTCCTTGACAGTGAAAAGCATGGCGGCCTGGTATGTGGCTTCTTGGTAGTCCTGGCTCGTCACTCCTGAAAGAGATGGTCTGCTACGGCCAGTCGTTTGGCTGGTCATATGACTTGTGACACATAGATGACCCCAACCATCTTCCTCTTATGTCCATTCGGAGCCTCGTTCCGAGCCATGGCCAAAGGTGGCGAACTCACGCGGTTCACGACGGAAAAACTCTCCTTTCCTGCTGTCATTGGCCACCATGTTGTCGACCTCCCAATTCGGGAGTTGAGGCTTTAGCCGAGGCCGTGATTTGTTGACCCAGACGGCAACCTTGCGGCTAAATAGTCCGTACACCCGTTGTCCTAATGGGCTGTCTATGATCTTCGTTTCACCTAACGAGCCGTTGAGCCATACATGATGTCGCCTCACGTCCCCTTTCATCAAAGGAATGGTACCTTGCTCCTCTTGGCTCGATCACGCCTTGGCACTGCCCACTGGTGATCGCCTCCCGCTTAGATGAGGAAGCAATCTACCATATAGCAACCTGCTTGATATGCAGAAAGCTTGGCATATCATACTCAACCTCGAGTGCGTCTAGATGTGCGGGGGACCTTCCCCAGCCACTGGCCCCTTTCATTACCGCCCGCAAGCTTTCTCCCACGGGAGGCCTACTCCACATGACTTGCAGCCGTCCGATACCTCCTCCGCCGCAGCCTACCAGAAGGCTTCATCACCTAGGACCCGACGTTCTTCAAGCTCGCCTCGCAAGGAACCAGGAGGCTCCGGCTAGGCCAAGCCGACAGGGCCCAAGGGCGCTGCATGACCGAGTATAATGGGATATTAAACTACTCTGGCGTGCTCTTCCCCACACGAAGCCAATAGACCCAGACGGAAGACTACACGAGACGATCTTGCCCAGCGGGGACCCCGCAGACTTGTCCCCGTGGCGGAGTTGCATATGGCAGTGGCCCTGCTCGGAGTCTACATACCGAGATCTGTCGCGGTGTTCACGGGCCTGGTTCCTGATTGCCACCTTGGTGCAGACGAAGAGAACACCTGCGTAGATGTCAGCTACTTGGCGTGCCTCTGTCTGCTCGGATGGGTGTGTATAAGAGGTAGACAGGTCCCTGTGTCGGCAAACTCCCTTCCACCACCTCACTCGCTCCTTACAGCTCACATCATCTACCCTGGGTCGAATCGAATATGAAGGTCACTCAGACTACTGCGGCGCTCTTCGCCGCCGGCGCCACCGCCGCGCCTTCGGCCAAAATCCAATCCCGGGCTGCCTGCTCGTCGGCGGTCACGCTCGATGCCACCACCAACGTGTGGGACTCGTACACGCTGCACCCGAACAGCTTCTACCGCGCTGAGGTCACCGCGGCCGTCGCGAACCTGAGCGACGCCAGCTTGTCGACGGCCGCCGCCAAGGTCGCCGACGTCGGTAGCTTCCTGTGGCTGTGAGTTCGAAGGACAGCCAGACTGGGCGCAAAATTGTGACTAACAAGGGGACCAGTGACTCCATCGCGAACATCGCCAAGTTCGATGACGCCGTTGCCGACCTCCCTTGCGAGAACATCCTCGGTCTCGTCATCTACGACTTGCCCGGCCGTGACTGCGCCGCCAAGGCCTCGAACGGTGAGCTGGCGGCTACCGACATCGCCAAGTACAAGACCTCGTACATTGACCGTATGTTCAACTCCAACCTTTGTTTATCACATCCAGCATGAGGCATTTTTCTGACCTTGATACAGCCATTGTCGCCAAGATCAAGGCCAACCCCAACTCGGCCTTCGCGCTCCTGATCGAGCCCGACTCCCTGCCCAACCTGGTCACCAACAGCGACCTGGCAACCTGCCAGGCCGCCGCATCGGCCTACGAGACGGGTGTCGCGTACGCCCTGACCAACCTCAACCTCCCCAACGTCGTCATGTACGTCGACGCTGGCCACGGAGGCTGGCTCGGCTGGGACGCCAACCTCGCGCCCGGCGCCGCTGAGCTCGCCAAGGTCTACAAGGCCGCCGGCAGCCCCGCGCAGGTCCGTGGCTTCGCCACCAACATTGCCGGCTGGAACTCATTGTACGTGACCACCACGACCGCAGCACCCTGAGAAATGTGGGGGTTCCTATGACGCGTGGAAGTAGTGCTGACACTCTTTTCTTCCTCCTCACACAGTGACCAGACCCCCGGCGAGTTCTCCGGCACCTCGGACGCGCAGTACAACTCGTGCCAGAACGAGAAGACGTACATCTCGAAATTCTCCGCTGCGCTCAGCAGCGCGGGTTTCCCGACGCACGCCATCACCGACACGGGCCGCAACGCCGTCACGGGCCTGCGCCTCGAGTGGGGTGACTGGTGCAACGTCAACGGCGCCGGGTTCGGCGTGCGACCGACGAGCGACACGGGCGACGAGTTGACCGACGCCTTCGTCTGGGGCAAGCCCGGCGGCGAGTCCGACGGTACTTCCGACACCACCGCCACGCGCTACGACTCGTTCTGCGGCAAGGACGACGCCTACAAGCCCTCGCCCGAGGCCGGCGCCTGGAACCAGCCCTACTTCGAGATGCTGCTCAAGAACGCCAACCCGGCCTTCTAGATAAGCATGTCTGTCTCGAGAGAGGAACGCGCGGCGCGACCCCCTAGTAGCACTTGCTGCTTTGCGGATTTCGCGCAGGCGAGAGAGGGGGGTTGGTGAGAGAAAAGGGGGGAGGCGCGGAACCTGGTGTTGCGTCGCATTGTATCTGGCGTCGTCGTGCAGCTGGTTGAACCTACCTTACCATGGATCGACGCGTCTTTGACGATTGGACCAAAGACTGGCTACTCGGACTGACGGTGTCGCTCACTACTTTTCACGTCTCGTGTAGTTGGATTCGACTGTATATAGCCTTTGCAGTACATACATACATATATGTTTCCTTTCCTGCCACCAAAACTCCCAAACTCCAGATCGGATCGTGAGTGTGAGTGACGTTGTTGATGAGGCTCGTTGACCAAGCCCACTTTGTCCCCGTTTTTACGAGAAGACGGGAGTGCCGGAACTTAAGCTACGATGTTAGCGGGCGGGTATCGGGCCGTAGATGTGATAATAGGGTCCTAGTCTTCCTGCTTCAACTACTAGAGGATCCTTTAGTATTGTCTTCCTTGAAAATTCTCGGGTTGGTGGTGGTTTCGTCATTTCCTTGGTTGCAGTTGATCGTGATGAGACGTCCAGTCGTTGATTAGGCAGTTAGGCTCGATTGCCATGGTTTGGTACTGATGACTCAGCTACCACCGGATTGGGGGAAGAAACGTGCGACCTGATGCGCTGGGCAGGTACTACTACTACCTCGATTCCCTCTATTCGGGATTGATTAAAGCTCTCAAACCCGTCCGCATCTGGTCCAACAGTCGTTACATTACCTACCTCCTACATAGGTACCTACATTCTCTCCGCGAGTTGTTTATGACCGTAAGACAACGGTAACTACGTCCCTACCTATCCCAAATGGCTGCACAACAATACCACCACCGGTCAAGCGACGCGAGCAGCAAGCAGCAGGATGCACCAAAGCGACGACGGACACGCGGTAAACCGCCCACGGGCTTCCTGGCCCGGCTGGAGCACTTCACCTGGGCCAACTTCACCTTCCCGATGAGCACGGGCGGTCTGGCCCTGATACTGGCAGAGCAGACGCAGGGGTACACATTTCACGGGCTGCAGACCATCGGCAAGGTCGTCTACATCTTCGACCTGGTCATCTTCAGCCTCATCTGCGCGGCCATCACCTACCGCTTCGTCAAGTTCCCGGGGACCCTGCGCGCGTCCATCACGCACCCCACCGAGGGCTTGTTTCTCAGCACGTCGACGCTGAGCCTGGCGTCCATTATCGCCGGCATGGCGCGCTACGGCATCCCGGCCGCCGGCGTCGGGCCCTGGCTGGTGCGCGCGTACATGGTCCTGTTCTGGGTCTACTTTGCGCTCACCTTTTGCATCGCCGTCGGCCAGTACGTCTTGTTGTTCACGTCCGCGCAGCTCAAGATCCAGGACATGACCCCCGCGTGGGACCTGCCGATCTTTCCGTTCATGCTCTCGGGGACCATCGCGGCCGTGGGCGCCTCGCTGCAGCCGGCGTGGTCGGCGCTTCCTATGATCATTGGCGGGTTGACGGCCCAGGGACTGGGCATGCTCGTCTCGGTGCTGATGTACGCGAATTACGTCCGGAGAATGATCCAGTACGGCTTCCCGTCGGCTAACTCCCGGCCGGGTATGTTCATCGCCGTCGGGCCGCCGGCATTCACGAGCCTCGCGCTGATGGGCATGGCGAGCGCCTACCCGGAGCACCACGCCTACTTCGGCGCCGACGCCCTGACCGTACAGATCCTGCGTGTCATCGCGACCATGACGAGCGTCTTCATCTGGTCTCTCAGTCTCTGGTTCTTCTGCATCGCCGTGCTCGCCAACCTGGCCGTCTGGCGGCAGCTGAGCTTCCGCCTCAACTGGTACGCCTTCGTGTTCCCCAACGTCGGGTTCACCATCACGGTCATCCTCATCGGCAAGGCGTTCGACAGCCGCGCCGTCAAGGCCGTCGGCAGCGCCATGACCATCCTCATCGTCGCGACGTGGATCTTTGTCGTCTGCTGTCATGCGAGGGCTGTTTGGAGACACGACATCATGGAGGATGGCAAGGATGAGGATGTTTACGCCGATGAGACGGACCATCGCCATGTCAAACCTGGTGGACATGACCCGGAGAAGCAGGCTTGATGAGGGTGGTATGGTGCTCATGAGTGGTGGAAGTGTCTTGTGAGGTTTAGATTGCTACAAGGCACGAAGATTGTCTACGCACTGAGTGGTCGCTGTGCAGTCCCATGTTATTGATACCCGGTTTCATTGAAACCCATGTTGGTCTAATACAAGAAGAATTATATCTCAATCCTTACTAAAACAGTTCGCTTGTTCTCTCAGTCCTCACTCGAACAGTTCGCTTGTTCTCTAAGTGTAACAGTGTGTATACTCTTGGTTTGGCAGTTCCCTATCGGCCAAGGTGGGTAATCATGGTGAGCCCATTTGATCTGCTGACCGTCGTCTTCCCGCTCGCTGGCGGCGCCCCATCTCTGCCAGGACGCGACTCATCTCCGCCATGACGCGACGTAATATCCTGTCTTCCAAAGCCTTTAGTTTTATCCTTCTCCGTTTTGCTTTCCGTTCCGCCCACGTCCCTCGGCTTGTGCCACTGACCTGTGCTGGGCGTGGCTGGAGCGGCTCGTCCATGTGCCGTAGCTTGGGGGCCTGTGGGCGGGGCTCGGTGAGGTCTGATAGGGCTTCTTGAACCTCCGTCGGACTTAAATGGGCTCTCGAATTCCACTTCTCGAGGGCCTCGACGACCTGTGCTGAGCGTAGCTCGGTGGCCTGTGGGCTGGGCTGGGCGACGTTTGGTCGGGCTTTTGCAACCCTCGGACGCAACCTCTTGGCTCTGAAATACCACTTCTGGAGGGCCTGGACATCCGTGTACTCGTACCGGGCCCAGCCCTCCTCGTCTTTATCTTCAGGCAACCAGATATATCTGGGATGCGAATAACCAATGGGTACGTGCCCCAGAGGTCCAAACGCAATCGCGAAATCCTCCAGGGAGGGATGCTGTTTTCTCAATACCACGGCACACTTCTGGAGGGCCCAGGTTCTCAGTCTTTGCTTCGAGGTCTGTCTGGCGAGGATCGGTCTCCCTTCATTGTCGATGAGGACCTGTTTCCCTCGTTTGCTGACGAACCACCTTGCCGGTATCACCTCCATAGGTAGGCCCACGGTGAGTGTCGGCATCAAACCGGGACACTGGCGCCCACGCATTTCCAGACGGACTACCCCCTTCGCGCGAACTCTGGCTGGCAGCGAATGAAAGCCCAAGTAGGGATGGCCGATGTCTGGGCCCAGTTTTTGCATAATGGTGTCTCTCCATTCAGCTCTGTGTTTGTCCAATATCTTTACGTAATCAGCATGTTTTGGAACGAATAGGTTTTCATCCTCATCGCTCCATTCATCTTCAGTGGCGAAGGCACCTTCCATTGGTATCTCCTCATCCTCTTTTTCAATGGTAGGTCGTTCCTCGGGTAATGCCAACATGGACGGCGCGGTGACAAATGCCGGGACTGCCTTGCGTGGTCGTGGGGGTGGCGGCATGTCAGGCATCGCTGGTGGTGGGATATCAGGCATCGATGGTGGTGGGATGTCAGGCATCGCTAGTGGTGGGATGTCAGGCTCCGCTGCTGGTGGGAGGCTTATGGGGTCTAGGAGAGGTATGGGGTCTGAAAGAGGGAGAGGGAGAGGGCCGCGGGTGGTGAAGAGGGTCGAGAGGTTGTGCTGTTCGCCCTCGTCCGACATTTTGCGTTATATGAGCAGTACTGAAGTGTGTGCTAGTCGATAGCAAGTGTGCTGGATCGTCTGCGGGGTTGAACGCAGGATAGAAATATGTTTCGGAAAGGGGTAAGACCGGGTCGGGTAGTCAGGCGGCGCCGTATCGATGGACGGAGGTGAGGATGCTTGAATAATGCAAAATCTTGGCCAAAACACTGTTCTGCAAGTTGATGTTGTTGTGTCTTGGAGATCAAGAATACGACGATGGAACGTCTCGCTGAGCCAGTCTCTACGTTTTACCATTCGGGGTTTCTTCGTCCCTTCCGATAAGATCCAACATCGTGGGCAGGTCCGTTGGTTGGATTTTACCTCGGCCAGGAGCAACCGACAAAGCCGGTCAGTTTGCCCGCATCTCCGTCTCCAAGGAAGTAGCAGTAGTGACATGATTGCGCTCGGCTGAGCATGTACCATACCCGCGGGAAGGTAGTATGATAAGGGTGATAATGTGAGATCGGAACGTAAGGTAGGCTTGCTTCTAGTTGACTGAATGAAGAAACCGCGAAGAGACCGCGAGAAAGACAGCCAGGAATACATTCAAATGGATTGATTGAGACAAGAAGAGAGGATTGGATTTCTTCCATTTGATTAATATTCGACCGACTCGATCTATGAGAGACAACCCCTCCCGAAAATATAACTCATTATCTAACGAAACGAAACCTATACTTATAGTAATACTAGTAAAATACCAGCTTATTACAATTACAAGTCGTCCTGCCGATGACATTAAACATGCGTTAATACTATTAATTTCTTCTTAACTTTTTATTAATATAACTTTTTAATATATGGATTACCGTTCATTTTAATTTGTCCTTTCGTTACGGCCTTTGTAAGTAAAAAGCTTCTTACTATCCGTCGCGCCTTTTAAGCTTCTAAGTTTTAATTACCGATTAGGTTTTTCTTTTTAAGTTATTGTTAACTGTGCGAAAGATTAATATTAACCGCTATATGCGGGTATAGTTTACGTCAATAAGATCTTTTATTTTTTTACGGTTGCTTTTACTTAATCTTTTATAATATATTTAACTAAAATCTTAATTATAAGGCAGTATATAAGGAAATAAGTTTTAAAAGTTAAATGAAAATAGTTTTATTTATTTATTTATAGAAAGTAAGTTTTATAACGATAATATCGCTCATATCGTTTTTAATTACTATTAGATTTTATTAAAAATACTTTTTAAAATTGTCGTAATGTTAAAACGTTATAATCGATATTACTATCAAAGGTTTTATTTACTTTTAATAAACTGATAGTTGCCGGATAATTTCGTTGCGTATAAAAAGAGCTATTTAATCTATATGATTATATATAGTACGTAGAAAAGATCTTTACGAAATTCTCGTACGAAGATCTGTCCTTATATAAAGATTTCGTAACTTATCGAATAAAAATATACGATTGGTTTATTAATAGCGTTAAGGTTAAAGGAAAAAAACAAATAAAGTCTAGCTATAAGCTATTAAGAAAAAACTTTATCTATTTACTTAAAATTATAGCAAAGCCTGAATTGATTTTATAACATCGATATTATTTTAATTTGCTAGGTTAGGAATATAAAGTCATAATTACAAGCAGCCTGCAAGATAACATTCACCATCGATAGTACTTTCCACTCCACAGCTCCCGATCTTTGGGACACGCTCGTCCCCTAGTACGTTTCGTCGCACCAGGGAAGTGGCTAAGTGCCGGTGCTAGAAAGTACTTGATAGTAGGTCCTTCTCCGGCACAGGGCCAAGACGTTGGCGACTTCTACAGCAGCAAAGGAAAGAAAGACTCAAGAGACCGCCCATCGGAGAAGGATGTACTTCCTGAAGCATCCTGCCACGACAATATCGCACCTTCAATCCCTCCCCGCATTCCTTCCCTGCATGCGCAACTGCCGCAACTCATGGACCCGAAAGCTATTTGTGGGTAGCCGGTTGCGGACCTTGCGTTGGCGTCGGTAGAGTCCCCTGCTGTCGCATCTTCTGCACAGCGGCTTCCGTGGGCGTTCCGTAGTCGCCATCAGAGATCACAGCGACTCTGTTCCTGCAGGCCGAGCAGAAGATGTTGGTCTCCTCGAACCAGTGACACACGCACGGCAGACAGACCAGAGGTACGCAGATGAGGCAGCATAAGACACTTGAGAGTCTACAGACACGATGTTGTTCAGTATGCGCTCGCGATGACAGAAGAACAACTGGATGCATGGGGGACTGAGGGGATGAGGAGATCGTCACGCACATCTGCATCGCAGTGCCCTCCACCGAGCTCTGTGTCTTGGTCCGCTTGTTGCAGAACGGGCAGTTGATCCACAAGGGCGTGTCCGTCAGCTGGTGGAGGGGCGTGACGACCTGGGCCTCGTAGAAAATCTCTGCATTCGGATTCGGATGGCCTGGTATGCCTGGTGTACCCATGGGATGGTGGGCCTTCCTGCATTGAATTCCAGTCAGATTCACACATTCATTGTGTGGGGTGTAGGAATGGTAGGAGGTGTCATACTCTGGATGCATTGGACTAGCAGACTGTGTCGGACCTTGCTGGTTGACGCCAGCTGTCGCAGGTTCAGACTGTGATTGAGCCGGCTGAGTGACCTCGAGTGTCTCAGGAGCGGCTGGGGTAGCATCAGGCCTGGGCTGCGCCTCATAGGCCGGTGGCATGTCAGCGTTGCCAGCGCCGTTGGTCTGGGTCTTCTCGGCCATGTCGTCGCTGGGAGGCTGCTGAGAGAGATCGATAGGATGAATAGATGAAGTACGGATCAAATATTGAAAGAGAGAGTAGAATGAGGCTCGCAGTCCGTCTTGGCCCTCCAGATATATATGGGTAGGACAACTCCTAACTCATACTACGGTAACAGGGGTAAGTGACAACTGCGCCCCCAATCCCAAGCCCCCAATCCCGCGTTGGGGGCAATGCAGATGAGCTGAACCCCAGAATAGGATCCCATCTGCAACCAGCGGCACAGTCGCGATATACGGTATGTAGTACCAGATGCCTTGAGAATGTACATCAATGTTCGTGATTCAGCCTGCAGGTCAATCTCGGCTGCCCGGTCGCTTGCTTGAGATGTCGTCACTTGGTGTTGTAGAGCCTCCGTGCAGCCCTATGGCTACCTCCGGGGCTGGACTCCTCGGGCCCGCTCGTGCATCAGAAAGACTGCAGAGCAACTCTCATGAGCAGCGACTCTGTCGACGCAAGTGGTGCACTGATGACTGCTTCCGAGCACTCCGCCAAAGGCAACGAAGGAGCACCTTTTGCCGGAAAACTCCACGATATGACCGAGCTCTCTCATTTCGTCGACGCGGGGGTCTGTCCATGGAACGTAGCGGTCTCCGGATGTGTAGTCGGCCGCGACTGAGGCGGCCATGGAGGTCACTTTCTGGGCCATGCTTCGCTATTTCTCGTGGTTTTTATCACTTCTGGAATTTATGGCTTTTTGAGTATCAATTTTTGTGCAAATGCACCTCGGACTGAATTATCTTAGGGAAAGAGATTCTTGTCTTTTGAAGATGCCATGGTGACGTAGATGTTTAGGGGTGGCTGATTGCATCGTTACGTTTAGCGCTGAGACTACTCTTCTATACCTTCGGTAAATCATCTAAGCCATACCCTCCCTACTAGTCCTCAAAGTTACTGCTTACCTACACCCTGACCATGCGCTCAACTTGACGGTGTTTTCCAGTTGCGCCATTGCAGCGCCAGTGCTAACACCTCATCAGAGCACTCACGCCCGCGGCTCCAATCATGAAGAGCACCCGAGAAATGCCGCTCGTGATGTGCCTCCCAACCCTCGTTTAATGTTCCGGCGAATGGCAGGGACGCCAGAGCCACCGACTCCTCAAAGTCGCGCAGCGTCTGCCTCGCCTCCTTGGCGAGGTCGTCCCGGAGAGCGCGAATGTCCATCATTATCGCCCCATCTTCTAGGCATACTGCCAGGCGCTGCGCCGATTTCAGCATCACGTCGATTGACCAGGAATTCTGTAGCCTCTCGCTTGGGTGGCAGACGGCGTTGCGCAGGTCCACGTTGTCCATGATTGCGTCTTTCAGGCGCCACGACGATTCCGCGCTGTTCGCTGCAAGGTCGGAGCAGCCGATGTGCTCTCCGCCAAAGACGCGGTGCAATTCGTCCCGGCCGAGTCTCACAGCGTGTGGCCCATCTCTATAATGGGCCAGGTGGATATCAGGCCAGCGTGCTCGCACGGTGTCGTACAGGAGCTTCTGGACTTTCTTATACGCCGTTTGCAGATAATCGAAGCCGGATGCGCCTCTGAAGTATACGTAAGATCGGGCGTTGGGGGACGCAGTGGCGAGAAACCCAGGAGCTTCTAAACCGTCGTGCAGTCGCGATCGTTTACTCAAGTCATCAACAATGGAGTCGAAGCTCGTCCCAGAAAAGGGGCACTCGTCAGCTTCCAATGTGTCTTGCTGCTCGTTGGATTCTTCCAGCTCCTCAATGGTGTCTTCTGAGGTAAGATCTGGCGTTACCGATGACGACGCTCTACTCGACCGCCTAAGAAACTCAGACTTGAACCAGCCGTCCATAGCCTTTCTATATGAAGAAGAAGTGCCATTCATAAATCTAGGTCGGGCCGGAATACACCAATATCCTCGGAAGAACCGATGTGTATAGGTCGTCCCTTTGATTGATTGATTGATTGTATTTATCGTGGGTGCAGTCCTTCCATAGGGAAAACCACGCCTCCCAGGGCCATTGCATCGCGAGGTTGTAAAGGTGTCAGTCTAGATACATTCACATCCGCGCACGAGCCTATCCTCGCTGTAGCGGTCCCAATCTGGAGTGACCAGATGGTTTTAGTCAATACCCAAGCACAATTCCGTCAGAAAAACCTCCTGTCCAGTGACAAAGCGACCCAGTGGACCTCAGTCCTCTGGTGTACACAACGTTTCAGTAGCCGTGCGATATATGTCGCATTGGTGGGTAAAGTAGGTGTTTGTTATCTGCTAACGAGGGAAACCACAAGGGGGAAAACCTCGCAGGAATGGGTATTATGGAGACAAGCTACTTGGCTATCGGGCTCTGCGATAATGGGGCCTCTCCATTGTCGTGTGCTGGTTGTCGACTCGCACAAGCCGGGACAGAAGGGGGCCGGGCCATAGCAGGATTCGAACCCACTTGTTCTCGTCGCCCACCGCACAAACGAGAACACAACCAGGCGCATTTGACCATTGCGCCATACGGCCTAGGTCGTCCCTTGCTGTATATGTAGCGACCTGTCCCGACTGTTACTGAGACGTTTCGACAATATCTGTTCAGATTGGTAGTCCACCTTCGGTTTTTCCATGCGGTTGTCGGCTTCATGTAGGACTTCGGTCTGCTTTTATCGTTTTGAACCTTCAAATGGCCGGCGATGAGGTCGCCGCTCCGGTGATTGGCAGTGAATACCGAGCATTTTTCGCATCTAGACGACCGTAAGGTATTGTTTCCTCGAGTGAGACGATCAACCTTCTGCTGAAGCTGCGAAATAATCCTTCTGGGTTGTGCAAGCTTGTTAGCAGGGGTGGTGATGTATTTCGCCATAGTATTGAAGATGGGACGTCACGTTAATCTTCCTTCAGTGGTATGAATATAGGACGTAAGTGTTTGACTTTCAAAACCCTTGCCTGGTTTCATTAACATCTTATATAATTTCATAACAGCAAGCATACTTTTTCACAAGGGGATTTCGTGTACGAAAATAGACGTGGGCACGATATCTCAAAGACCGAGTACAATACCTGTCAAGGCTTAGACGAACAAAGATTGGCCGGTGGGTAGATTGACACTGATATTGCTATCTTATGTACTAGTAATAGAGTACAAGACAAGAGACAAAAAGAAAAAAAAGGAAACAAGCAAAGAGACATTTCATGAGCCAACTATATAGAATCTCGGACAGAGATTCTATCTCGTTCCACGATGTTCTATGCGTGCTTCCAAACTATTCCAGATCGTTCTATGACATTATTCCCTTTTCAAGGCGGAGCTCTTGCGACGCGTCGTACTGAACACTGCCAGCACCGTCGGGCATTATAGATTCGAGGTTGATATGGTGATATACAGCACCTCTTGTCGTGACAAGGTGAAACATGAGGCCCAGGACGGGCAGGGTGGACATGGTGGAAGGCAGTCATAGCATCTGTCATGTCTTGTTCGACGAGATACCACGGTTCCCAAGTGTCATCCCAGTCGCCTTTCCATTCAATTCGATATTCCAATTGTCCACGACGGCCGTCGATACGTGAGTCCTTAATGGCTTCCCAAAGCCATAGTGGTTCCTCTGTCTCTTTGTCCACGAGAGGAGCAGGGTTTTCGATTCGTTGTCCTGGTAATGGGTCAGTTCCAGCGCAGTGTAATAAGTTAACATGAAAGACTGGATATATGTTCATTCCATCAAGGAGTTCCAGCTTCACGATCAGCGGGTTCGAATCGTAAACCTTAGAAACAGGGTATGGGCCAAGGGCAAAATTGTCGAGCTTAACGGATGGGCGGTTGGTACGGATATTCTCGGCGGCAAGGTACAGCATGTCTCCTACTTCGTATCTCTCAGCAGGACGACGTTGTCGGTTTGCGGCAAATTTGTGCAATGTTTGCGCCACAAGCATAGACTCGTGCAAGTGTTCGTCAAGTCGTTTCATTTTGTCCACCAGGTTACTGACTTCTGGCAGGAGATCTTGTACTTCTGTCACCTCTTCTATTCCTATTCTTGAATGCTGACCATAGTTGGCCAAAAATGGCGAAATGCCTGTGGTAGATGACTCGGTGTTGTTGGCAGCAAATTCTGCCGCTAGCAAAAACTGGACCCAGTCATTCTGAAGGTGGCTGACATAAGCCCAAAGATAGTAAATCATGGATTGGTTGTTTCGCTCGGACTGTCCATCTGTCTCCAGATGGTACGAGGTTGAATATTGCGATTCGATTCCGAGTCGTTTGGTCAAGTGCTGCCAGAATTCGGAGAGCCACTGCGTACCTCTGTCGGATACTTGTCGTTCGGGCGTCCCATGAAGCTTCCAGACGAACCAGTAGAAGGCACTGGCAGCCTCTTCTGCTGTCTGGCCCGTTGTGGGCACGAAATGACGCATCTTGGTCAGTCGGTTGGTCACGACTAGGACGTATCGGTACGTGACTCCCATGAAGGTACTGGGGGGAAGCGGCCCGACGTAATCCAATGCGATATCTGTCCAACGTGTATGGGGTGGCTCTAAGGGGCGCAGCCATCCCTGATACTGTTCCCGCGACGGCTTGGTGCGTTTGTAAACATGACAGTTTCGAATCCATCGAGCAACAAAACGAGGAAGCCTGGGGAACCAGAAATTGCGGTACATTAGGGATATCATCTTCGTACGGCCCGGGTGGCCGGTTGCTATCGAGTCGTGCAATGTCTGGCAGATTTTGGCGCAAACACTGGTCGAGTTGGGTACGTATTGTTTTTCATTGACATATAATCTGCCAAGCCGGATCTTGCAGTCGGCGAGCTGTACTTGAGCATGACGGCGGTCATTCTTATCCAATGCCTTTTGTACCGAGAGGGTGAACCTATTGCGGTTGCGTGCAATGGTCCACAAGTCTTCCAAGTCAAGACTTTTATCAAAGCGTTCCATTTCTTCTTTTGAATCAAGCTCTGGTTCCGCGTCTGGTTCTGCAGTCAAGTCTTCCAGGTCGATTGGCGACAACAGGATTTGCGTAGGCGACAGCGTTGGTGTAAACTTGTTGGTATCGATACTTGCCAGGTCGATCTGTGCAAGCTTTAACAGCGGGCGATGACGAATCTTGTTACGGGGGTCCCACAAATCCCCTTCGATGGGAAGATCGGCTGTGCGGCGGGTGAGGGCATCAGGCTTCCCTCCCTGAGTTCTGGGGCGATAGCGTATCTCAAAATTGAATCTTGACAGGAACTCGGACCACCGGGCCTGTCATCGGCTGAGGAGCTTGGTGGTCATAAAGTACTCAAGATTCTTGTGGTTGGTGACTACGTCAATAGGGTGAGCAGAGCCTTCAAGCTCTGGTCTCTAATTCTCAAATGCTCGGACGATCGCTATAAGTTCCTTGTCATATATCTCGAAATTACATTCCACTGGTGTGTACTTCTTCGAGAAATAAGCTACGGGGCGGAGGACGCCATCGTCGTCATATTGGGAGAGGATCCCAGCCGATACGTAGTTGGAGGCGTCGGTTTCCACAACAATCTTGCGTTCCGGGTTGTAGTGGGCTAGTACCACTCCCAACGTGAATGCGGCACGCAGCGTGTCGAAGGCTTGTTGGCATTCCGATGTCCAATCCCACTTGGCGTCCTTCCTAGTCAGGCGTGTCAATGGCGTGACAATTTTGCTAAAATTATAGATAAATCGGCAGTAAAAGTTGGCAAAGCCTAAGAAGGACTGTACATCTTTAACGTTCTGGATGGCGGGCCACTTGGTGATAGTTCGAATCTTGTCAGGGTCCATATGTACTCCGTTGGTACTGATAATCAATCCAAGATACTTGACTTCTTTCGCAAAAAACGCACACTTGGTCACATCAATTTGTAGATCAAACTCGTCAAGGCGACAAAGAACCTTGTGAACATGCTCCGTATGTTCGAGCTCATTGTCGCTGTAAATCAGGATATCGTCAAGGTACGCCGTGCAGAAGTCGTCCAGATAGCCCCAAAGGGCTTCGTTGATATAACTTTGGAATGTGGCGGGTCCATTGCACAAGCCGAAAGGCATTACCAAGTACTCAAACAACCCTTGGCAAGTGCGAAACGCTGTCAGGTGCTCCTGTCCTTCCTTGATGCGAATGCGGTTAAAGGCGGAGATGATGTCGAGCTTGGTGTACACCTTTGCTCGAGAGAGGTGGTCGAGCGTTTCGGAGATCAAAGGGAGCGGGTAGCGGTTCTTGACCATGATGGCGTTCAAGCCTCTGTAATCGACGCAGAATCGCAATCCACCCCCAGGCTTCTTGACGAAAAGGATGGGCAAAGCAACTTCTGATTTGCTGGCATGGATGAAACCCTTGGCCAGGGTTTCCTTGAGGTAATGGTCAAGCTCCAGAAGCTCGTCCCTGCTCATTCTATATAGCCGTCCTTTGGGTAACTTGTCCAGCCGTTCCGTCTGGATCTCGATGGTGTGGTCGGTTGAGCGATGCGGAGGCAATTTATCGGCCTCCTGTCAGGAAAATACGTGCAACCAGTTATAGAATTCTAAGGGGACAATTGTGGCAGGATCTATATCCTTGCTCTTCCGGTACTGTTCTAACTCGGCAGCAGTGTCGATGGATACGATGATGAGTTCTCACTGCATCATAAATATGTCTCTATTATGGTCATTCTCAGCACCACACTTCGTCAGGTCGGGTCGAAAGGAGACTGCTTTGGCTCCAGTGGGTTCGTGTCGAATCGGTTCGGTTCTCTGTAGGGCACGGTCGATATCTCTGAGCGAGACTGAATATCTCGGTTCCTGGCTGTCTTGCCAGGAGGCCGAAGGAAACAGCACTTACTTCAAGAGGCACGGGCGAATGAGACGGGTCATTTTCGATGGTCGGTTCATGGTTAGATTCCTCTACCTCGGATTCCTGTCCTGATCTGGGCAGGTGTCGATTGAGCTTACGCTGCTCACGATAACGCATAGTTGAGGGACTCTTACGCTGAGGCCTCGGTTCTTTCGGTTCAAGTTCGATGGGACAGAGTTCCACGATATCAGCCTTGGGGAGGGCTTGAACAGTAACGGGTCTATCATAGTAACGCTGCAGACAGCGGGACGATACAAACGTAAGAGTAACGGTCCAGTCCGGTAATGCCTGGATCGTGGCTGCGTGCTGGCAGAACCAGGGCAGCCCAATAATGATTCGAGAATTGTTTCAAAGAGGGGTCACAAGAAAGTGTGATGTAGAGCGGTGACCATTCAGATCCAGCATAAGCAGGGCTGTGTGGGTAATGCCGGAGTGGACATTGCCCTCAAAGTCAGTGGCAAAACGTGGCTTCTTAAGGGGCGAGAGTGGGAGCTCGAGGTACTGCGCTAAGGGAAGATCTATAAATGAATATCCGGAGGCTCCAGTATCGCACAAGATGGGCAGGGAAGATTGCCTGCGAGGGCCGTGTGCTGTGCCCTGAACAAGAAAGTGTTGGTCCTGTGTTTCGGGGTCATCCTCATATTCCTTAAGGATAGGGAAGTCGTCGTCCTGTTCTTCCGGTGGTGCCTCCTGTACGCGACTTAGCGCAGGAGGTCTTCGTTTCCCACGACGGGGGTGGTGACAATTTCAGCAACAGTATCGAGAGCGCGAACTTGGGTCACCAGCAAACACTCTTTGACCCGATGGCCCGGTTCACGGCAAAAGAGACACAAGTTGAAGCGGTCGCAGACCAGTCAAATCCAATCTGTCAATTTCTTTCCTTTGATAAGTTGGGTGGCTTGCTGTGGGGTCTGAATTGCGTCGATGTCCATCGGATCTCCTGCAGGAACGATAGGACTGGACTGGGGCACCGTTGCCGTAACACCAGGGGCTTGGTTGATCGGGAAGTGTCTTGGTTGGCGGGTGGTACGAGGTTGTGACATCCTAACAGCTGTGGGTGCCGACCCCTTCCAGTGATTCTTGTCTGACTTGATCTGTTCGTCCTCAACAAACACTTTATTGAGGTGCTGGGCAAGAGCCCGCCAGTTTGGGGTGGCTGCCTTGCTGGGGACCGGTCTAGCAAGTCGTCGTAGCCAGGCAGGGCTTCCCATGACAAGTTGGTCATACTTGGTTTCATCTGTCTTTAATGACTTTCCTGCAAGAACACAAAACTCGGCAAAAAACGCAGCAAAGGACTGGTGGCAATTCTTATCGAAATAGAACTCCATGAGCTTCCGGTTGGCCTTTTCCTGGGCCCCTGTATCTTGACAGAGCTCCGTCAAGCAGGCCTTCCAATCGTCGAATTGGGTTATTGTGGTTTGCCCTAACACACGGTATGCCTTAATCAGCTGGTCAGCGCTTTTCCCTTTGATGAGAAGACTCTTAGCAATGACAATCTTATCGCTCTCGTCAGTCCATTTCTTTAGTTTGATCTTGGCGGTAAGCTCCGCAAGAAAGCGGTGCAGGGATTCAGGATCCCCTTTGTACGGGGTAACGGTCAGGCCTTGCTTCCGGGCGGGCGATGTGGTTGATGTCATGGGGCTCATTGCCACCAGCTGCTGGAGTGCGCTGATCAGCTGGCTTAGCTGCGTCTCCTTGGGTTGTGGTGGATCTGAGGAGTTTAGCGGCTCCATGGTGGGAGGGACTTGCGAGGACGGGCCAGAAGGGGCGCTGTCCGCCTGTCGTCCAAGGCTTAAGAGGCGTATGAGTTCATTGGGATCCGACTTTGCCAGCTACAGGGCTGACGCTAGCGTTGTTGGTGATGATGGCATAGGGTCGGGTGTCATCAAAGTGGTATCTACTGTTTCAGAGGACTGAGACATGATGTTTGACTTCGTGTTGTGGCATAGGCTTGTGTGGAGGTCTCTCGTAATGTCAAGGCTTAGACAAACAAAGATTGGCCAGTGGGTAGATTGACACTGATATTGCTATCCTATGTATTAGTGGTAGAGTATAAGACAAGAGACAAAAAGAAAAAAAAGGAAACAAACAAAGAGACATTTCACGAGCCAACTATATAGAATCTCGGACAAAGATTCCATCTCGTTCCACGATGTTCTACGCGTGCTTCCAAACTATTCCAAATCGTTCCATGACAATACCCATGTAACAAGCGGCAAACAAGGCGGCATTAAATAGCGACGAAACAAACACATTGGCTCAAAAGCCTTCTTTGTTAAAGTTACTATTTTTAGTAGAAATCGGAGAAAGGTGTGTAAACAAAGGTTCCGCTAGAGCCATTTTAAGCAGTGGCGTCGAGGTTAAAGAAGAAGACGAGCAGAGTTCAGCCATGAGCCACCGAAAAAAATGTAAAAAATCCTAATTTGCTCAAGGTTGCGACAAAAGCTGGATTGACGCCAACATTGATATCATCTTTCGATCTGCTGGGTTGAGAACAACAAGATTATGGTGAGCACAATGAATGGCTGGTGCCATTATGAGTGAATATTGTGTGAGAAAATAGAGGTCTTTGACAACAATGAAACTAGCGCACAGTGATAGCACCGCCGGTCAATTAAATTCCTATTCATAGATTACCAAAAAAACCCCAAAGAGCATTTGAGATGAATTCAAAGGCATATACAACAATCTGATTTTGCACCTTGTGTGCGAGCTCCTGTTGAGCACTATGTACCAACGCACGCCTTACATAGCTTCACAGCCACTCTGCAAGGCGTGGAAGTCCCTGGAAAAATCGGCAACATTGACTTAGGGAGCTACAACCAATAGGCAGCGTAGCCACTGGGGACTATAGTCAATTCACAAGTCATGACAAAACAGGGCACTAAATTGCCAAAGACCCACGGGTGAAATCAACCTCCGAGTAAAAATATAGGGATGTTGCCACTTCAAGCATTTAAGCCGTCCGAGGTGAACGAATGAAGGTGGTGCTGGAATTCCGGGGAGCACATCTCTATCGGTTCTTCTTTCGCGGCTACGGAGGTAAAGGCATATGCTCGCCAGAATTATGAGCTCCTGGCGCTCCCAGCCAACATCATACTTGATGATCACGTTGGAGCTTTCCAGGGGAGATCCCTGACATATAAGCACATTCGCACTCGTAGTGAGGTCAAGAAACGCAAACAGGTCTTTGTGTGATTCAGCCGCGCAACACCTTGTACCTAGAGACCATGGATCCAGGGCCATCACCAAGATAAGCAAACACGCCAATGAAGTGATGGTAGTGGAGACCATTTCCACTGACCATGATTTAGGACTGCCCTAATGTGTATCAGAAGTGGCGATTTCCGATGACGATGTATGAACGTAGGCTCATGCGTGCTTATTGAGGTCGTACGACGGCGATCATTTCAACCAACCCATCACATCACGTTGGGAAGACCCCACTAATGCGCCTTCGCTGCCATCGACCCCAAATAAGTACTTGTCATCCGCCATCCACAAACATCCATCGAGACATCAACTACACCTCGCACATCGCACCTTCAGAGAATACCATCTCTAGAGAATCACGCTAATGGCCACCGAAGAACCGCACCCCGCCGTCGCAGCAGGCGACCACACGGCGTACATGGAGTACACGCTCGAGCGGGCGCGTCTCTCTCCGCCCGCGCCAACCAAATTCTGCGTCGGGGCCGTCCTAGTCGACGCAGACAAGGACGAGATCCTAGCGACGGGTTTCTCAATGGAACTACCCGGCGACCGCCCCGGCGACCCAGGAACCACCCACGCCGAGCAATGCTACTTCATCAAGGTCGCCGAGAGGCACAGAGTCGCGGAGGAGAGGCTACACGAGGTCTTGCCCAAGAATACAGTCCTCTGCACGACGATGGAGCCCTGCAATGAGCGACTGAGCGGCAACAAGACCTGCGTGGAGCGGATACTGGGGCTCAGAGGTGCGGTTGGGACTGTGTATGTTGGGATCAAGGAGCCCGAAACTTTTGTTGGTGAGAATAAGGGGATCAAGAGGCTGGAAGATGGAGGTGTCGAGGTTGTGCTTGTCGAGGGGATGAGGGAGCGCATTATGCAGGTGTCGACTGCGGGCCACGGCAGCCAGACGTTGTAGTACCGGAGCTTCACCTCGATCGTCTCCTGTTGGCTCGTGTGTACTGCACAAGGGGGTCCAACCGGCCACTCGGACACCGGTCCTAAGCGCTCCCTTCAGCGCCCACAGCCTTGTGGCACATGAGGATCTTCGAGGCAGGCGTCACAATCCCATGAGGAGCCAACTGGGAATACTGTTAGATCGTGTAGCTAGGGGAAGAGGACCCTGGAGCGGTAAGCCGGAACAAGTCGTGGCTCCGATATGATCAATGAAACCCTCCGGTCTAGAAACAATGAACAAAGTTCACTGCACTCGTGGAAACGATCAATGATGTGCAAGCCTACGATGTGCCGCACCAGAAAAGTGGTGAGAAGATGATTGGGGTGGAAATTCCATGAGGCCGACATTCGAATGGGTCTTTGGTCATTATCCTCCAGCTTCTCAAGACCGATATACACGATGGTCAGCCCAACGCCACTGCCGACAGGCGCCATTGCCGCCAGAAGTCTCGACCACAGAGACTGCGACTCAGAGCTCGATCCCGTCTAGGCTCTTCCCTTGGCTCTGAAGGATCTCCTGAAACATCTTTACACAACTCTTAGTCCGCCAATGGTCTACGCCGAGCAATCCCAGCATCTGTTGATACACTTCTCGACATACCTTCTCGGCCTCTTCCGACTTACTTTGAACGAAGAGCGCTCTGGCGAGAACTTGTTTGCTTGCCATCACCATATCGTGATCGCGATCGAAGATCACGAGATTGCCTTCCATTACCCGTCTCAAGAGTTGTTCAGCCTCGAAGCTTTCTCAACAGTGCCGCTCTTTGCGAGAGCGAATCCAAGATTGTGGTTGGCTTGCAAAGTGGTGGGATGGTTGAGCCCGAATATCTCCTCCTCCGTTCTCACTAGCTGTCGGTAGGCTTGTGCCGAATCCTCCCATCGCTCTTCCTGCTGGAGAACGAAGGCCTGAGTCTCAAGCGAAATCAAGGTCTGTGCATGAGTGCGGCCCAGGTGCTCAATATTGTACACTATAGCACGGTTGATCAGCCGATGCGCCTCTGCAAAGCTCCCGATGAGACCCATCGACTCTGCAAGTGCGCACACAGTCTGGATGGTGTCAGGGTTATCGGGCCCTAGGGTTCGTTCCTGTATTTCCAGCACTTCCTTCTCGATCTCGGCGCCTTTCGCTTCATCGGTGCTATCCTTCCAGCATTTGCCGATGTTGCGGCGGATGCGCAGCGAGAGAGGATGTTCGGGCCCGGCATTCTGCACATTCTTTCTGAGGGCGTCTTCCAGGATCTCCATGGATTCGGCGTAGAGCCCGGTTGTTATCTTGATGTTGGCAAGATGGTTGAGACTCTCGAGAGTTGTGGGATGGTCGTGTCCGAAAACCTAAGTCTATCAGCATTGTGTAACTCGTGTGCCGCAGGTGACATACTCTGTCCTGTAAGTCGATAAGGTTCTGCGGTAATTTGGCCACTTCTTTCAACTTGCCTTGCCTTTCCTGGTTATCGATCAATGCAGACAATGCGTCGAGCGTTTTCGGATGCTCTGGGCCAAGTACTTCACTCTTAGATTCGTGAGCCCTTGCAAGCATTGACGCCGCCTCGGTCCACAGACCAAGGACAGAAAGCGTTCGCCCGAGGTGGTTGACCGTCTCAAGGGTTGCAGGATGTTCGGAGCTGTAAAATTGATCTTGCATTTCAAGAACGCTCCGATAGATGTCGGCAGCCTCCAAGAAACGTCCTTGATGCTCCAACACCAGCCCCAGATAAGTCATCGAATCCAACCTCACATGATGCTTATTATCGAGCGACTTCTCCAAGTCGAGCGCCTGTCGTAAGAGAATCTCTGCTTCGTCATATTCGCCCTCATCTATGAGATCTAGGCAAAGACTGTTCTCTGCCTCCAGCGTTTGCACGTCAGAATCTCCATACAACCGGCGCCTTATAGCCAGTGTCTTGCGATGTGTCGTCTCAGCTTCTCGCCAATGCCCTTCCCTCTCTAGCACGCTCCCAAGTGCATTAAGCGAATCAAGTGTTGAGGCGTGCTCTTCGCCGAACGGTCGCTGGCGAATGTAGTATGAAGCCGTCAAGCGTTGATGAGCTGCTTCATAGCGGCCCTGTCCCATGTCATAAACACCTCCTTTTCGAAACAACTCTGAGAGCGGCTGATCGGAGGAAGGTGAGCTGAATTGTCGGCTTGCCACAAGCTGGGCATGCGGCAACAGTGCAGAGCACATCTTCCAGTTGTCATGATTATCCTCAGGGAAAGCCATTGTTAGGGACTTCAAGGCTTCTTCCCACCAGTGCGTCTGCCGCTTCTGAGTCTCGAGCCAGCTCTGCGTCGTCAGCTGTACCAAGCGGTGCATGTTGTAGTTGTCATCCTCAGAGTTCTCGGTAACGAGAGAGTAGTTGATCAGCAGGCCAATGTCGTCTTCGAAGTCCAAGTCATCTTCTTCCTCGCACAGCAAATACCGCGGGATGCCCTGGCGATCGAACGAGCTCATGAGAGACAGCAGCTCAGCCGCCGAAGGGTTGCTCGAGCGAATTTTATTGAAAGAGATCTCCCAGGTTAGGATGATGGAGTTCTTCGAGGTCCAATCGCGGCTTTCATCGTTGAACTCCTTCATCAAGAGCTTAGTTTGCGACCCTGAGCTCTTGGTGAACTGCCGAAGATATTTCGAGACGGTCATATGTCCTCGATTCAGACTAACATAAGCAGCTGCTTGCTTCAGCGCGAGCGGTATATGGCCCAGCTCGTCCGCCAAAGCCGTGAATTCGGCGTCTGACGACCGGTCATTTGGTAGCTTTGCGCGCAGCAATTTTCGCGCTTCATCGATGCTCATCTCGGTGACTGCAATGAGAGCTTGCTCATCGCTGTACATCATCTCCATGGCGACGTCGCGGCTACGACATGTTGCGAGGATCTTGCCATGCTCGGCTTTAGGGATGTATTCTATAAGTGGCTTCTCCTCAACGCCACCGAACCTGGACGACCCGGTGAGCCCATGTTCGATGTTCCTGATCACGTCCAGATCATCACAGTTGTCGAAGATCAAAAGCCAACGCCCATGTGACTTGTCATTGAGCCAATCGGTGACTTCTTGCAATGCGTCGTGTTCCGGATGCTCAATCTTTGGAAGCTGCACTTTGCGCGCGACGTCCGCGAAAGACTGCTTGCAGCGCGCCCGTGTGTTAACATGAACCCAGAATACCCAGGTATCCGGCTCTTGTTCGACCAGACGGTAGGCATACTCAATGGCGACCTGAGATTTCCCCACGCCGCCCAGCCCAACCAGTGCAAGTCGATTGCGGTCATTAAACCCCCCATCGAGCGACCGCATGAGATCTGCCCTTCCCACAAAGTGCTCTGCATCTCGCTTGAATGGAATCAGGATGCTCGGCTTCGGACGTGGCGGTGCGGTCGACGGCTGCAGTGAGCGATCTACGAGACCAGCTCTATGTTGCGTCATATCCACCATGAGATGGTTGGTAAGATAGACAACATGATGGCGAAGCGCATCGGAGATCTCTTTGATCCTATCATCGTACTTTGCGATGCTTAAGAGCGCCTTTTGGCCTGTTCTCCAGGTTGAATCGCCTTGTTGTGGGCCGACTGCTGTCAGTATACTGTACAAAGCCTGGCGAGTCCTGTGTTAGCTGTTCGAACCAGGGACCAGTGATCAATGGTGGTACCGATCGAGGACACACCTGCGTATCTTCATGACAACCTTCCACAATCGCAAGAACGGCTCGCCTGGTATCATTGTCCAGTCCATCGTCTTCGGCCTGTTCCTTGATTCGTTCCAAGTCACCCACCAACAGCGGTAGCTGTAGGCGGATCTCCTTCAATGCTGCTGGTATCGTCTCCGCCGAAGATCGGTAATCGTTTATTCGAGAGATGACCTTCGCACTGAAATCGACCAGTCCGATAATGGATGATATTACGGAGATGGTCGCTATCACTTCGGCCATTTCGACTTCCTAAGGTACTGGGAAAGCGTGGTGTCTACCACAACGTTCGTGGAATAAAGAAGCATCCGCAGATCACCATCGCCACTGGACTTGAGAAGCCCGGCAGGCAGATGCTGCACCTTGGTGTGTCAGCATTGTGGCTTCAAGGTTCCTTCTGTGTCATGCTGTCTGGATGCTCGACCGGCGAGGAGGCGTGGAAATTTGTCATGCTTCCACTGTGCCACAGTCGTATCGTGGCCAATGAGGCAATATCGGTGAATTAGGCGACGGAACGCGATCCTACGCAGGCTACGGGGCGGTATGCCCAGAAGGGGGAAGATGAGTTCTCGCCAGCGGGCATCTAGATGGTCGTGGTGGTCCGTGCGCCGCCAGCCAGCTGGCGGGGGCAGTGAGCTGTAGGTCAGCCATACAGGGCTTAGCGCCGGAGCGGAATCCTAAGCTTCCGCATCAATTAGATCGCCTCAGCTGGGTGACAGTCTCCCTTTTTTGGTACGGGGCCAAGAGTGCCGATTTCGTTTTTCTACTTCGTTTTGCAACTTATCTTCCATACCTACAGGATAACCCCTAAATAATGTATCCGTTGCTGAGGCCTGACCAATGAACACCCGAGGTGAGCCTTAGCCACCCAAAAGCCTGGGTACCACTTTGCAAGAGGATTTGAAGCTGCTTGCTAGTTCAAGTTCGTGTTCAGGACCTAGAGACCCTTTTATAGGTCACATTCACCACGCAACTGCAGGTACCATATATCATCTGAACTTTTGCGGACGATCATAGCCGCAAGACCACGTGCCACTGCCTACATCCGCTTCTGCTCCATGGAGCAAGAAAGAGAAGGAGAAGTAGAAGTAAACTTCAGGGGCACCGGATGGATAGACCCAGCAGTGTACGCGTGTAAGCCGTACGCCTTGTTGTCTCCGAGTACGAACGTGGAAGCATTGACCAAAACATAGTGCTTCCCCCAGGGTGCCGCGTGATTTCTACGCCGAAAATGGGGTCAGCTACTGGGCCAAGACAAGCCGCATCGATGTAGAACTCGATAACGGGACATCACAGTCGTTCTTCATCAAGGTCATACCGGGGGACAATGGCAGGCAAATGACGTGCGGAGAATTTGAATCCATGCAGGCCATCTACTCGACCGTGCCCGAATTCGCACCAAAGCCCATTGCCTGTGGTACATACGATGCAAACCCGGACACTTACTTCTTCCTCTGCGAGTTCAGGGACATGACCGAAGACATGCCAGATCCGCACAAGTTCAGCGCCCGTCTCGCAGCACTGCACCAGGAAAGCAAGTCTCCCAGTGGGAAGTTCGGCTTCCATGTAACGACGTACAGTGGTAACTTGCCGCAGATGAACGACTGGGAAGACAGCTGGGAGACTTACTTCACAAAGAATCTGAAGCTTGCTCTTGAATTGGAGCTCGCAGCCAAAGGCTCAGACCCGGAGTTCGAGGTCTTGTTGCCAGTTCTGTTCGACACAGTCATCCCGCGCTTGCTTCGCCCCATGAAAAGCAATGGACGATCGGTCAAGCCCAGTCTCGTGCACGGCGATCTCTGGTACGCCAATTCTGGCTTTGATGTTATGACTGGAGATCCTCTTATCTTCGACGCCTGCTCTTTCTATGCACACAATGAGTGTGAGTTAGCCCTAGCCAAGAAGTACACCGAGCGCGACGAGAAGGAGGCTGATCCCTAATGGTCGCATAGATGAATTCGGCCAATGGCGCCCAGCCTGGAATCGGTTTGGCACTGAGTACCTCGACGCCTACCACGCCCTTGTTCCCAAAGCAGAACCGGTGGAAGACTATGACGGTCGAATAGACCTCTATAAGCTGTGAGTTGCGATAGTCGTGGCATTCTGCGACTATCACTGACACACTCCCAGAAGGTTCAATACGCATGTCTCGGCCCTGTTCACGGAGGATCTAGGACTGAGAGAACAGTGAGGACTTTTCTGAACCCAAAGCATTTGCGACGAGAGGTTACTGATATTAACAGGGTGCTTGACGATATTCGCGACCTGGTTGAAAGGTACGGGAACTCAGGAATAAATTCTATGTCGGCGACTGGTACTGTTGCATCAAGTAGCCCTGGCGCCGCTTCAGATAACCATACTATACAATTCACGGGCAGCTAGCTCTTCTATCCTTTCCGTCTTTTACATTCCCTTCGTATCATCAGCTATCCTCAGTCGCCTCTGTCGTGTTGCCTCCCATTGCAGCACTGCACCTCGGTCCCACCAGTCGAACCCCCTCGCACCGATGCCTCGGTTCCAAAGGCCCAAGCCGCTGCTCACACTTCTTCGTCCTGCCGTCTCTCCTTTTGGTATCCCAGCATTGAAACTCCATCATGAGCCCACGCGGCTTCCGTCCGCGGAACAACTCCCTAAGTGCCCATAACAGTCCAGCCGTGCGGCTTCGTTGAACCTATCACCGTTCGTCTGGGGCAGCGAAGCTCCGCAAACACGCATAGTCGCGCATGTGTCCGATGTGATGTCCAAGAGTAGGGTGTGCACGTGTAGCTTGTACTCCTTATCGACAGCTATGCGGCCTCCGCCGTAGGTTGTGTGGTATCAGGCGGCGTCTAGTGGGATGCTGTCCGGCCGGAAGGGATGCTTGAATGTAAGTTGGGATATCGTGTCTTTGGTGGGTTCGGGGCTGTGTTGGCTATACGTATTTCGTCGGATTGAGGCCTGGGTCTTGCATTCTTCGGGACCATGTGATCAGATCCCAGTGCCCCCGGCCCGCTTTGAGCAGTTGACTGGGTGAAAGTGTGGCATGTTGTCTGCTGGTTGCTTTTGATGACAGATCTGACCGCCGCGGCTAGCTGCTCTGCGTGTCTGGCTTTCTCGGGAGACGTAAGGGCAAAAGAGTTGTCGTGCGGCTTTGATATGCTAGATTGTGAGGGTTGAAGATAAAAATGATGAACTAAGGGCATAGCCGGATCAACCAGTACTCGTGCATGCTTTTCCCAGCGCTATTCACTCTGCGAGGAGTTACACAGCGAACATAGTTGCTGGATCAAATCACGAAATCTGGTATTTGAAGAGAGTACTATAACAGGTCGATTTCCCTTCTATTATATTCAGCCTCAGAAACTACCTTCAAGGGCTTGATCGGAGTGCCCTCTGCCCCGTGAGACTATGAGCTGACCAGGCGGCTCTACTTCTCTTGTGCCGTAGTCCAATGTAGGCCTGGCCGTGGAGTACCGGATTCTGATACGTGTGCCAAAGTCCAATAATCTGGACAATTGCCGCAACAACGGGGATGGGCCCGTGAGCGGGACTGACTGTACTTATTATCTTGAGACCTCCACAACCCTGCGATACAGAGGCTCTGGGAGGCGTGGTTTGCACTACTGAGGAGCTACCCCCCACGTTAAATACAAAACAAACAAACAAGCAAACAAACAATCTGGACAATTTGCGCCAAATGATGGAGCAACTGTCAACGTTCATTCCTGGCTTTCAAGCTAACATGTCTAGCTTGGCAGTTGAAAACGAGGTATTATAGAACTATGACAATCTGCTTAGAAAGCATATTGCAACAACTCCACCATCGTTGGACTGAGCAAGGCTCATGTCGATAGGTCCCAGTGTTTTGAGGCATTTGCTTGTTAATCTCTGATTGAAGATTACTGGATGGACGAAGCGGTGAGCGTTCATCGATCATTTGTACGTGATGAGATCGGATAAGCAGGGCTAGGCGTTATGGCGGGTCAAGAATGCGTAAGCCCTATATCGATCCATGTTCAGATCAAGGATGATCAGATGCAAGGTATCGATAGTCGTTTTGTTTATCTAGGTACGCCAATCACACAGGCCGGTGAGACATTCGTGGTGTTGGCTGCATGTTGTTACTCATGGCCGAACTGGACCAGCCAATGTCGTATATTGGTTGATGTCGTGATAAGCCTGAAAGGAACGAGGATTGGAATCCTGCCAGACGTTTGACCCTGGCAGCTTTTATGTAAAAACGAAGCACGATAACTCCCAGACATGCTGATTGGAGCGCATGTTGTTTACCAAGGTGTCATTAGCAGGGTTTTTTCCGCCATGATCGGAACCGCCCGCCTGGGTCTCCATTGTCCGGATGCTGTCCGGATGCGACGCCGGAAAAACTAGAGTACCTCAGTTCTTGAACCTCGACCACCACCGTAATATGGTACATATGCATGCGCAACCTGCAAGAGCGAGACACTTCCTCCGAACAAGTTACCTAGTCTTCAGAGTTCGAGACCGTGGCTCGTGTCGTCACTGAAGGTGGTTTGTCGAATCGGGGGATTTCTGGCCAAGCGCTGCATCGTGGGCGCCACACCAAGCATCCTAGCAGGCATTCTCTTCATATCTTTTGATATCGGTGAGCCGGATTCCTCCCCTATCTTCCTGGGGGCAATTGACTGGAGATGTGTACCCCTAGAACCAATGCCAACAGTTCCTGACATGGTTCTTTTGGCACTGGCCTGGCAGCCTGACAAGCTGACTTGCAGACAAGGTGCCATCGAACCGGTGAGGCTGAGTTCAGATATGCCGCCCTAGCCCAATAGGTGAGAATTGGGCCGTCGTCGATGCAGGCAGCCAGCCGGGTTGTCCGCGAACCAGTGCACAACTGCATTGGAAGCAGATGCAATCATATGCACACCGAACCGAGTCTCCCGACAGGGCAGTTCAACAAACGCCATGCATAAGCTTTTTCGCTGACAGGCGCACCCGATCCTAGTTTAGAGCTGTCAGTTCCTTGATGTGAACAGAAAGCTTCATCAACGACAACTGCGGGAAGAGGACCGTGGCTCCACCGGTCAGTTTCGCTGCTGCAAGTCGTTAGACAGCACACACCGCGTACTTACTATAAAGACCTGCTCGCACCGACTCTTGAAAGATGGATGATCACTCATTTGTACCATTACAACTCGAACCACCGCACACTTAACCCAACCCATAAATACTCCTCGTCTCTTCCGCCATCAAGATGCGCTTCTCTCTGACCAACGCAGTGGCAGCTGCCCTCACCCTGTTCGGCACCGCTGCCGCTCTCACTACCGGACCATTCTACATCACCATCGTCCCTGAAGACGGATCCGCGGCCTATCCCGCCACCATCGCCACCGTCTCCCGTGGCGCCCAGATCCTCTCCTCCGCTCTCACATACGACACCGAGTTCATATTCAACGTGTAAGTTCCCATCTCATCTCCACCTTAAGACCGACAGCTCACACCACCACAGAACGGCTGACCGCCTGGTCAAGGCGGCCGAGACCAACCTCGCTCTTGGAAGCGGTGCCCTCACCGTTGGTGCTCCCCTCCTCTTTGCCCAGACCACGGGAGCCGCCCTTGCCCAGGTCACCATCAGCGGCGAGACGTACCTGGTTCAGAGCGGCACGACCGACATCAACCAGTGGTGGAGCTCGCCCACCACCACCGGCCTCCCGGTCGAGGTCGACTGGGAGGGACCCGGCTCCGACGGCGCCAACGCCGCTCTCAGGATCGATCTTACGGTCTAGGAGGATTGCGGCTTAGCAACGGTCTCAATTTGACGGGGAATGCATTGGTTCTAGAAGACATGGCTGGCAGCAATGAATTACGGAAGTGACCGGCTTCATACAGCTGGTGTTGATGACTTTCAAATGACGTTTGCTTGAGATGATAGATCCTGCCCAAGGCTAATGTCTAATGAATCGCCAGCCATGTAAGAAGAAGAGCGCGCAACTAAGATAAAAGATTGTTATAGCATTCAGTTCAGGCGACACATGCTATTCCAAGAAGATGAGATGCGATTTGGCCATGCCTGTTTGTTTAATTGTCATTTGTATCAGGCACGCTACACCACGACCGATATCCGCCGTAGATCGATGCTTCCTAGGGCGAGGCCAGGTGATCCCATTCTAAGCCGAGCTACCTAGTATGTGGGGAAAGTTAAAAAGAAAACCCCGAAATATTCTATTCGAGGTGCAGCACATCTTAACCGAAAAGAGGGTGATGTTGTGAGTGCACGAATCCCTGTTCCTTCCGCTCCTGCCATGCTGTAAGACCTCGCAACTGCTCTTCAAGTGATTGCTTGCCCTCTCGGTCCTGAACATTCGGGCTATCGAGAGCTTGCCGGATTTCCTGTAACTTCTGTGCGTAGAAGCCCTCCCAATTCAAAGCAGTCTCCAGTCCGCAATAACGCGTAGCAAGTTGCAATGTTGGTCGGCGATAGAACACGGACTGTTTTTGGCGTTCACCCATGTACTTGTCGAGACTATAGATTTCGAGCCAATGGTCGGTGAGCCCTGCCTTCTCAAACACGTCGCTCCAGAGCTTTCGTGCACACTGTGCCCACAGAGGACTGATGTCCAGCTCTTCCTCAGGATCGACGCGCATTTGTTCTGGGGCATGAATCTGGACGGTTGAGTACTTCATCCCCGGTATAGTGCCCCAGAAAGCAGGGTGAATGACGGCGGCGCTGAGCTGGGTCTCGTGGTCACCTTTCAACACCACGTGCACGACGCCGTAGGTGATGCGATCCTTGACTTCATTGGACTGTGAGGCCATGCTGTTAGAACTGGAGCTCCTTGAAGATGATGGTCTCGAGAGTTTCCTGAAATTTGCTTGATAGAGGTGATTCGACAGGGGGAACATCGGTGTTGATCGACCCCGGTGGCTGTGAGGCTCGGGTCGAGGCCATGCTTTCAGGCAAGTTGTGTTTGGCAGTTGGGATGGAGGAGAATAGGCCGAAGGGAACGGACCAAGCTTGGAATGGTGAGGAGGGAAAGATGACAGGGATGAGGTTGCAATTCCTGGCCGCGAGGGGCGCGTTTATGTAGAGAAACCAGAACGCACTTGCCAGCCTTTGACAGCGTGGTGTCGTTGGTCAGAGTGGCAGCATTCTTCGCTTCAAGTTCCCGTTCGGGACAACTTACACCAACAGGTCCAGTTGGGCTGACGAGACTGACCCGTTTCTCGGGTAGCGGGGTCACTGTGTCACGCTGTTCCCAACTGTCGGATCTGTGAGACTGCAATGACCGGATCCGGTTCTTGACTCGACAGGAGCAGCTTACCAACATCAGCTTCTCCAGCGGAAAGGTAGCTCAGCATCATGTCGAGCCGGTTGTAAATCCAGTTATACGGCTGTCCGTCCCCATTCTTTGTGAGTAGAGTTAGATTGACACGTCCAACTTCAGGGCCTGGAGGACAAAGAAGTCGTCAGGTTTGCGTGGTGCCGTGTCCCTCTTTGTTCAATCTGCTACACTGACCCTCCAAAAGTCTCCGAGCATCCACCACGCTAGTTTCAAAACCCGTCTACGCGCTCGCGACCCCCTTCCTTCTTCACCTTTTATTTACTCAACACCAAAACGATAGATTTATAAAAGGTTAGTACAATTCTGACCGCAAATCGCGGGCCAAACCAGGAATTTATTTCTAAAGCTCGTGCAGCTATTGTGGCTGCCAGGGCAGCAGGCGCAAGGCGCGACGACGTCACGAGCGCGTTCCATCTGGATCGGCCTCAAACCGTGACCGACATTATCAACACTATTAGAGAGCATAACACCACGGTCTCTCGACCTCGAGAGGGAGCCACAAGGACTCTAAACAAGCGCAAAGAAGCTCAGCTAGTTAAAACGGCACAAAAATACCCCAGAGCTACCTATAAAGAGCTCAAAAAGGAGAGCAGGGTCCTCAGCTCCTATACCACTATCAAGCACATTCTTCGTGCTCACGGGCTTCACAAGTGGAAGACAATGAAACAGATTGAGCTTACAAAAGATGACGTACGAGAGAGGCTCGCTTTTTATAATAAATACGATTCCCCAGAGGTTCTGGAGGAGTTGATACGAACGCTCTTTTCAGACGAAGTCACGGTCCAGAATTCACCCGATAATCCGGGCGATTGGGTCATCCACCTCTCTTCTAAACATTACAGTCAGGATCTCGTGAACCCTCGGAGTCATGGGAGACCCAGTATCTCCATTATGTGTTAGGCCTTGATCTGATTACGCGGCAGAGAAGATGGCCTAGATAAAATCATCTTTTGCAAGCCTGATGAGGATACTCCTTGCGGAGGAGTATCTTCAGCTTCATATCAAGACGTCCGTGAGGAAGGGCTCCTTCCGTTCTACGAGGCTGGAGATCCTTTTATGCAAGATAACGCTCGCATCCATCGATTTGGAGGCACTCCAGAGTGGCTAGAGGAGCACGGCATCTAGACGATTGACTGGCCTGTTCACAGCCCTGATTTGAACCCGATTGAGCACGTTTAGGCACTTCTAAAGAAGCAGATACAGAGAATTGAGCCTGGTTTCGCTGATTTGAAGGCTAATATTGCCCACGAGGCATATGCCAGACAGTTAATCGAAAGGGTGTGGTCAGAGATCGATCCTGAGGATGTACGCGTTCTCGTCGAATCTCTCGGCAACCGAATTGCCGCAGTGAAAAGGGCAGGTGGTTGGTACACACACTATTGAATGGCTTATACAATACAGTTTTTTTCATATTATTACAGTGAGAGATGGGTGCGTGGTAAATGCTGAAAGTTGGAAGGTGTAGGCGTGTAGAGCTGCTCGAAAAGTGGGCTCGGAGACTTCTGGTCGGGGAGTGTAACTCGGTACAGCCGACGGGCCTGAATGAAGTATTGAGTGCCCAACATGGGCAGCTTCTCCAGCTGGCTGAGCAAGCAAGCAGTGTCGTTCTACTCTCCTCACACTGAGCAGCCACAGTCAACTGTAGAAGTGTTGAATGCCACGCAAGCCACCGTGGCGTCAGGGAGGTGGCAGTGCACCGATCAAGGGCCATCAGGGCGCCATTTGACCAAAACAACAACTTCAGAACAACACAATCAGCACTGAATACACGAATATCAACCAACGAACCATCTACGCACTATTTGACAAGCAGTAGTATTTCAATTGACAAGGACCTTAACAGTGAAGGGTGAATTTAGCCTTCAACCCCGGCCCGGTCTCGTTTGATATCCACTTGATGTCCCACGTGTTAGGGTTGGTGGCATTGAGATACCGAAGTCACCAATCCATTGGGTCGCGATATCTTGGAACATTACTCGAACAATGCCAGGCGGCCGGGGCTACATAGCCTAGTTTCCGATTCAAGGCAGGACCCCAGCATCTGACATGCTCGTATGGTTGCGGCTATACTCCTTTGAGTATGCATCGCGCAAGGTTCAATATCAGCTGGCCCACAGAGCCGCCCGTGCGGCACCGCATGGCTGCGCCGCAAGCTTGAACCCTTCAATCGATGAAGAAGCGGCGCAGCAGAATATAATGGCCCAGCTATGTCTCCATAGCAGCTGTTATTTTTTTACTCTCGCTATCTCATTCAAGCCCATCCCACCTCTCCGACCTGAACCAAAGTTCCCGGTAGCTTATCAAGCCTGTTCTCCCAAAGCAGTCGACTCAACCGGTCGTGAGTACCCTCGCCTCTTGATCAACATACAGTCTACTAAAGAACCACCCACATAGACCAAAGCAATCATGCGCACATCAATCATGGCCCTGGCCGCCATGGCCCTGCCCATCGCGATGGCGCTCCCCTCGGGCAACGGAACGTGCGCAACGGACCCGTACACGCCCGATGATGGCCTGAAGTGCATTTGGGGCCAGTTGGCGGCCATTTTCGATTGCCAGGGGGGCACTACGTGCACGGAAGATGGGATCCCATGCTACGCGGACCAGAGTTGTGACGGCTGCGCTTGGTATGTGCACTGCACATGAGGAGGTACTTGATGGGTTATAACGGAGGGCTATTCGATTCCGCTAGAGTACCTAAGATAGATCGCGACGTTCTCCGCGGGAGTGGGATGCAGCGACCAGATGGAGGATGAGCCGGACTGTATAAACGTCGTGGCAAGGCATCGTTGTTGCTAGTATTGGTATCGTCGGCATGCTCCATTCAATACTCCAGATCGTCTGCTTCTAGGTCCTCCAATCTTTTCAATATGTCCCCAATGTCGGGGATTTTCTCCTGGAAGACGTATGCGAAGAACTTCACAGCCTTTGTCTTCATCTTCTTGCCCCCCATGCTCTTACTGAACGACTCCTGAATCTCTTCAATGCTTCTGCTGCTATCAAGCCGGGTGCGCTCTCGAGGTGTTTGAGCCAGAGATACGCCATAGAACATCCGGTAAGAGACCTTTGCCATCTGTACCAAGTCTCGCTTTCGTACAACTTCGTAGTGCGCTTCATGGTCTGTTAGTAAATGCAGTTACCACATAATTATGGGCATCTGACCTACCCTTCTTGTCTGAAAGACTCTGTGCCATACCGAAATCCACGATTAAGATCTGCCCCGGCGGGCCTTCTTTCCGGTCCACCCATTCTTCTTCGAACACCAGATTTCGTGATTTGATATCACCGTCTGCCCAACCGGCGCCGTGAACCTTAGATAGAGTCTTCCATAGTTCCTTCGTAGCCCGCAGGCGATTTTTGTTAGTCTCGATCTTGACGTACGTTTCCATGGAATCTGCCAGAGTCCCGCCTTTTCCTAGGGTCATGATGAAGCGTAAGACTGGTACCAGTTTGCCTCGGTCGAGTTCTTCCGTGTGCTGAGAGGCGAAGATCTTGGGGATATTGATATCCTTGACCCTCTCGTGCAGCTCTGAGATCGCCCTTATCTCCTTCTCACAACTCTTGACGTGTTGGGCGCCCCTGCATTCCTTGATTGCAACTTCTGTTGGCATGTCCTTACCACCGGTGGTTTTTCCCTGCACGTTTCCCCTATAGACTGAACCAAAATCGCCCTTCCCGAGGAACTTCAAGTCATCTACAACGATCCCATCAATCCGAAGGGAATCGCGAGTCCTGATCTTTCCTCCGCGCCCGATCAGTGTGCGATGAGGTTCATCTCTGTAGTGCCGAGTCCAACCCGAAGTTGCCGCAGGATAATGAAGACCGAACGACAGAGCTGGGATGATGGCTATGAGAAAAATTGCAAGCTTGGCTGCCGACAGCATGATGGCTGCGTGCTTAGCGTGCGGGAGTGTTGTGTGTAAAGAGAATAAGATAAGGAGGCGTGTAGTTTTATGTGAAAGGATAGGATTGTAAAATTGTGACTTCAGGATTGCTGAAGCCCGAGGTGAGAAGAATCTCTTTTCTTAAATGACACAAGCAATCGCCACGTAAACTAGGAACCTAAAGATAGGGCCTCGCCGCGTGGCGAGCTGTAAGTTACCGTGGAGACAGACGGAACGACGTTGGAATCCTTCAAGGTCTCCATATCAAACTAGCCCTCATCCTTTTACCGAACCTAACTTCCTAGCGAAAATCTCAAACGTATAGACTCTCCGTAAGATACCTTCGACCATTAATTTGTACTTCAATTGATTTTCAGACGCCGGGAAGGAAGTGTAGCGGACTCAGTCTGTAACGTTATTCAGGTTAAAGGGGCTGAATCAAGGCGACTGCAGAGGATTCTGACGCTGTTCTGATAAATTAATACGGGGTCCCCGTCTCCGGTTGTGCCCATGATCCACTATCAGGATTGGAACCAAGCCCATCCTAAAAGGAAGTTTTCCTGATTGATGGGGGCGTGGTCTTCAAGGGTGCAAATATGAGATGGTTTATGACGCATGGTGTGGCAAAAGGAAACTCGTCAGCATGTAACAGTCAGGCTGTCAGTCTTGGCTGACATCGCCACAATACGGACTAGTGTAAGTGGTCGCGTTTGGTCCCGTACGACGAAACAGTCTTTGCCTAAGGACACGTGAATACATCTTGGACAGACCTCCCCCTGTTCAAGAGCCAGCATATTTTAAGCCGTTGGAGATCGAAGTCCGTATATCTTGGTGTATATCTTGCCGAAACGCGATGGGAAGCAGGCATCGCATGGAGCTTGGGACACGCAAAGAAAGAACCTGAGTCTATCAGCAACTGCAACTGCCCCTTTGCGACCACCGAAGATGCCATGTAGTTAGGTGAACCCGCGTGGCTGACCATACAAACCAAGGCAGTCTCCTTTGGATACCTAGGTAAGGCTCGGTATATTTCCTGGACGAGTCGGCTTGGTGCGAACTACTTGGCCGCTTGTTATGATAAGGACTGGGAATATCAGAAGACACTTGTAGCTCGGTGTTGAAAGAACCCCTGATAGCTTGGTAGGTCGTAGATATGGGATTATATGGGATTATATGGGATTAAATGGGATTAAACGGGATTAAATGGGAAAAGTGGCTCGGCTTGACATTGCCTTTAGTCTTGAACGCCTAGGAGACGAAATCCCTTGTAACAAGAGGCAATAATAGATAAGATCCTCTGAATTGCATGTTACGAACCAACAAATACCATGGCCTGTTGAAGGGCCAAGGGGAGTACACCAAGAACCAATGGAATCAGAAGCCAGGAACGGAACAATGGGTATTATGGATTACATAACAAAGGTCACATGACGGATCACTGGATCACGAAGTGAGCCAGTGAGCATCACTCTGGAACAAGGTGATCTTACTCCATCAGTGAGGGAGAGATTGGATATATAAGGACGGACATTTCCCAGCTAGATAGATAGACAGTCTCTACCTCAGTGATCAATCTAATCATCTTAGCCAACCCTAAGGTAGGAGAAATCTCCTGACGACTCGACTATGCAGTGAACCCAGTTCAGACCAAGCCCCAGTATCTGAGTGTCTTGTAGTTGACAGAAGCCTCTATCATCTTTTGTGTTGACTTACCTCAGAACATAAACCATATAGCACCCTTTAGCCTTATAGGTTAGACGGCTCGTCACATTGTATTAGGTCCTCGACCGCGATGACTCTAGGATAACCTAAAAAGGCGAAGAGCGTGATTCCTCCTCCGCCTTCGCCTTCAAGGTTCTGAATAACTTAACGAATGTCAACATGTTGGTTAAGTTAACGTTAATATCTACGTTAACTTAATCTATTAAAACCTTTATAGCCTTAGTAACTAACTTAACGATAAAGCTATCATAAGTTGATATTAAATTAATATTCGTTATGTTGGATCCATGCGATTCCAGACTGCAAACCATCTATACCAGGACCCACATGTATGATTAGATAAGATAAGATAGTGGATTGAGAGGGCACTTGGCCAGACCTTCGAGTCCAGCTAGATTCCTCTCAATCCAACCATCAGCAACATCATGACCTTGACCCCATACTCGAGTATTATGATTGATCGTTCAAGCCTGTTCCAACACGTTAATTTATAATAAACTATTGCCTTAATATTATTTTAAAAACTAAGGATATATTTACGTAACAATAGCTCTTTAAATACGATGTTTAACAGGACTTTATTCGTAAATAAATCTACCGCGCATGTATTAAAGATAAGGTTTAAAACCTGTAAACTTACGTGTTTTTTAACATTTATATGTTACTTATAAAATATTAACAGTTCTAAAGAAAACGCTATTTAAAACTTAAGTAAAAGCCAAAAAAAGCCGTTAATAAAGCTAAAGTCTATTTATTTTTCGTAAAATAAAACAACTTAAATATAAACAATTTGAAAGAATAACAAATAGCCGCTTTTTATAAATGAATTTAGAAAAAAGCATTTTTAAAACCTTTTATTTAAGATGATTATAAAAGATAATATTTTTTTACAATAATAAAATCTTCACGGCTTAATGTTATATTTAACTACCTTGATATATTTACTTTTAATATAAAAGCTAATAGTATTAGCAATATAATATGTACAAAGATATGAGGTGCGTTTTCAAGCCTGGTAAAAAGTCAAGACTGTATTAAAAAAAGCGCCAAGCTTTATTTTTTTTTCGTTCGATAAATAAAAGTCTGCCAAACGTTATAAGTTATATAAAATTACGTGTCACGGCGCTAGACCCTGCCTATGGGCAGGAAGTGGAGGGACCCCGGGCGCCAGCTGTCGGCGGCCCGGGTGGACCAATGTGGACCTGAGAACTGAGGATATCTTCACTGTTCCCGCCCAAACCTGAACTGTAGCTCTTTGAGCTACGTCCTGTCAATAGAATTACCTGTAACCCTGTCTAACCATAGAGAATAGACTGTTATACGATCGCCTATACTGCCTGTACCGGAGCCCGTGACATTACGTAGCTCCTACCTTATAGGCGCCGTATCTACCGCGAGAATGTCCCAAGAGCGGCCTGAACCGCCTTTGGGAGCGGACTCTCCAGAAGAGCTCGTTACCCACATTACCAACAACCCGTCTGACTGGCTGTTATACTTGCGCCATATCAATGGCTACGCTGCCGCCTTGAAGGAAGAGAACGATTTCTTCCGCCTCACCGAATCTGACCATGATAACTCCCTCCAGTCCCTCCGATCGATTATTGCCAAGCAAGAGGGAATTATTGAATACCAAAAGCAACAACACTAAGAAGATACTGTCCTTCTCCAGAAAGAAATTACCCATCTGGAGGTTGAGAAATTCTGCCTGCTCGATGCCGCCATGCCTGCTATACAGATTTCCTGACCCGTCCCTGCCGCTACCCCGAGTCCCCCGGCTGAGCAGCCTGCAGATTCTGCACCGGGATCGACTACGCTTGTTCCTCCTGTCCGTTCCGGATCTTCTCATCTCAGTGAGAAGATCCCTGACCCAAAAGAATTTGATGGCTCTCAAAGCGACCTTTGCCGGTTCACGCAACAGATCTATGGCAAGATGACCGCCAACACTGATTGATTCCCGACCGTTACTGCCTGGCTGACTTATGTTGCCGGACGTCTGACCAGGAAAGCCTACGAATTGATCCTGCCGAAGACCCGCTACGGAGTTCCCGACTTCCTCGATTACCCGGAAATGCTTGCTTACCTGGAGAACGCCTTTAGAGACCCCGACCGTATTCAGAATGCCCAGAATAAGCTATACCAGTTGAAGAAGAGAGCCTATGGACTTGAGCTCCAAGAGAAGATTTGCCCCTGGTGGAAGGAAAGAGCGCGGAGAATGCTTCCACTGCGGTTCCAAGGATCATCGCGTCGTTACCTGCCCCGAACCTGATACTCGCCCCTCGTCCCAACTTTGTCAATTCCGTGCCAGCTATGTGCACCATTCCGATAGCCCTGATTCTGTCCGATCTGTCAGCCCGCCTCGCAGCCCGTCGAGCTCGACAAATGGAGTGAGTCTGGATTAAGTCGCACCCAGGCTCCCAAGAAGGAGCGCTGCCTAAGAACCGCTGCCAGCGTCCGACTATCTGCTGCCGCCGCCAAGGGAGTCTCTGTCCAAGAAGAAACGGATCAGAGGTCCCATTTGATAATTCTATCTGTTACCCTGGAGTTAGGAAGCAAGACGCTCCCGACTTACGCTATGACCGATACCGGAGCCGAAAAAAAAGGCTTCATAGACCAGAGCTGGGCCGCGAGCCACGAGCTACCCCTGAAGAAACTAAAGAAACCATTCGGATTAGAAATGTTCGATGGAAGAGACGCTGAGAGTGGAATGATCACCCACTATATCGAGACCCAACTGAGAACTGAAGACCATTGCGAAAAGATCAAGCTTTTTGTGACCCAACTGGCCCATTACCCCGTTATTCTAGGAATGCCCTGGCTAAAGAAGCACGACCCAAAGATTGGATTTGCAAGCCATACCTTCATTTTTGACAGCAAATACTGCCAGAAACACTGCAATACTCCTGCCCGCCCGACAAAGATCCGAGCATTGCATGACGTCCCTGCCAAGGCCCGACCGCACAACTTGCCTCCCCGACCGCCTGAGCTGCAATATTTGGATATTGCCTGAGTATCGTTGAGAGCCTGTACGATATACAGCCGAAGGAACTGCCAGCTCTTTACTGTCACAATCGATGATATCAACTGGTACCTGCAGAATGCCAGTCCGCCGGAGCCCCGAGACCTGCTGCCTAAGGAACTGGAGGATTATGCCGACGTCTTTTTACCCAAGGAAGCCGAAAGACTCCCCCCACACCGGGATTATGATCACGATATCCGCCTACAGGATGGCAAGACGCCCCCATTTGGACCACTATACCCCATGTCCCGCAACGAGCTGCTCACACTGAAAGAATGGCTGGAAAAGAATCTGCGCAAGGGGTTCGTCCGTCCCAGCTCGTCGCCTGCCGCCTCCCCGGTCCTATTTGTTAAAAAGGCTGATAGAAGCCTCCATTTCTGTGTCGACTACTGAGGACTGAACAACATCTCTGTTAAGGACCGATATCCGCTGCCCTTAACCAAAGAATCTCTGAACAATCTGAAAGGAATAAAATACTTCACGAAGATCGATATCGTGTATGCTTTCAATAATATCCGCATAAAGAAAGGACAAGAGTACCTGACCGCATTCCGTACCCGCTTTGGCCTGTACGAGTCCTTGGTGATGCCCTTTGGACTGACTGGGGCCCTCGCAACCTTCCAAAGGTTCATGAACGATACCTTGCGAGAGTATCTGGATGTATTTTGCACTGCCTATCTGGACGATATCCTGATCTACAGCCGTACCCGAGAAGAGCACCTGAAACACGTCCGCCAGGTATTAGAGTCCCTGAGACAGGCCGGCCTATACGCCAAGATCCAGAAGTGCGAATTCTTCAAGGATGAGACCACCTTTTTGGGTGTAATTGTCGGGAAGAATGGGATTCGCATGGACCCAAAGAAGATCAAGACCATTCAGAACTGGCAATCCCTGTCCTGCCTGACAGACGTCCAAGCGTTTATCGGATTCAGCAACTTTTACCGACGCTTCGTGAAGGATTTCTCAAAGATCATCGCCCTGATGGTAGCCCTTACGAGAAAAGGGATGCGTTTCGACTGGAACCCGGCCTGCCAGACTGCCTTTGACCGTCTGAAGCACGCTTTTACCACAGCGCCTGTCCTGGCCCCATTCGATTGGGAAAAAGAGATCATCATAGAGACCGACACGTCTGATTACGTGTCCGCCGGAGTGTTGTCCCAGTATGGGGACAATGGAATCCTGAGGCCAGTAGCTTTCTTTTCGAAAAAATACTTGATGACGGAGTATAATTACGAAATTTACGACAAGGAACTGCTGGCAATTATCCGCTGCTTCAAAAAATGGAGACCCGAGCTGGAGGGGACAAGTTCCCCGATTAAGGTTATTACCGACTACCGGAACCTAGAGTATTTCACAACGATGAAGTTACTAAACCGCCGCCAAGCCAGATGGTCCGAATTCCTGTCCCATTTTAACTTCAAGATTGTCTACTGCCCCGGAAAGCAAGGAGCAAAGCCGGATGTTCTGACCAAGAGGTCAGAGGACCTGCCTAAAGAAGGGGATGAACGCCTGTTGCACCAGAGTCAGGTAGTGCTGAAAAGAGCCAACCTTGACGATTTCTTACCTATAGATAGGAAACCGGAAGACCAGCCCGTCGAGTTGCCGCCAACTCCAGCACAGACTCCTGAGGTTCCTGAACCAGTGCCTGCTGCCCCAGAACCCGTGCTGGGACCAGCCCGCCCCGCCAAGTGAGTACGATTCGCAGACCCGATCCTGAAGCTGTACCCGATCACTCGCAGCCAGCTCCGGGGACCTGGAGCTCCAGACCACCGACCACAGCCCGATTTGGAACCACCACGGCCTGCACTGCCCGTCAAAAGAACTGCACCGCTGCTACCTCCCCAGATCCAGGACCTTTTCAACCAAGGATACGCCACAGACAAAGAACTACAGTCGATTGTCCGAGCCCTAAAGAAGAAGGAGTCTTGCCACTGCAAGATATCACTGGCCGAGTGCGAACTGTCCGGAGAACACTTGTATTACCGCGAATACTTGTATGTCCCTGCGAACGAAAGGCTGCACGCTGAGCTCTTATGCCTGTACCATGCTAGCCCTGTCGCCGGCCACATGGGTCGAGCCCGTACATACGAAATACTGTCCCGAGAATACTACTGGCCTGGTATGTTGTCTTATGTTGAACGATGGGTTCACAACTGCCATACCTACAAGAGGACTACCGCCTTGAGAGAAGCCTGTCAAGGAGTCCTGAGACCCCTCCTGATTCCCTAGAGAGCCTGACAAGATATTTCGATAGACTTCATTACGCACCTGCCCGACAACTACGGCTATAACGCGATCCTGGTAGTCGTCGACCGCCTGACCACAATGAAGCACTTCATTCACTATAAGGGAACCTACGATTCTGAAGAAGTCGCCCGCCTATATGTTAAGTATGTCTGGAAACTGCACAGCCTGCCCAGAACCATTGTATCCGACCGAGGACCCCAGTTCGTATCCGATTTCTGGAAGCACCTGACCAAACGCCTGGGAATCACCGCACTGCTGTCGACCGCCTACCACCTCGAGACCGATAGGCAGACCGAGATCGCTAATTCCTTCCTGGAACAGTACCTGCGGGGCCACGTATCATACCTTCAAGACGACTAGGTACGCTGGCTACCGTTAGCCGAATTCGCAATCAACAATGCACTGAACGAGAGCCTGAAAATCACGCCCTTTTTTGCGAATTATGGATATCATCCCCGTTTCGGATTCGAACCTGCCCTACCCGGACGCCGCGTTGCCGCCAAGGATGCCGAGGGGGTCGCCCTGAAGATGGCCACTGTACACGAGTACCTGAAGTCTGAGATCTGCATCGCCCAAGCCCGCCACGAGGAGTATGCCAACCGGAAACGCCGACCTGTTCGCAGATTCTACGTCGGTCAGAAGGTCTGGCTAGACGCAAGGAACATCAAGACTGCCCGCTCCCAAAAGAAGCTGGACTGGAAGAACCTGGGCCCGTAGGAAATAACTAAGGTTGTTAGCCCGTACGCCTACCGCCTGGAGCTGCCTGCGTCCATGAAAATATATCCTGTCTTCTATGTAAACCTGTTGCGACCTGATTCCACCGACCCCCAGCCTGGACAACAGCAAGAACTGCCACCCTCTGTCAAAGTAAACGGCCTGCAAGAATGGACTGTAGAAGAGATACTTGATTCCTGCTGGGATCGCCAAGGACGTGGAGGAAGGCCTAACCTAAAGTATACTGTTAAGTGGGAAGGATACGACGAGCCCACAGAGTCCCCTGCTGCCTGGCTCGAGAATGCACAGGAGGTTGTTAATAACTTCCATCGCCAGTACCCAAATAAGCCCGGACCTGGACCTCTAGTATAAGGATAAATTGGAAGCCTGTGAACCTGTTAGGCGCGTCGTTAGAGCTCCGCTTGGAGAGGGGAGTACTGTCACGGCGCTGGACCCTGCCTATGGGCAGGAAGTGGAAGGACCCCGGGCGCCAGCTGTCGGCGGCCCGGGTGGACCAATGTGGACCTGAGAACTGACGATATCTTCACTGTTCCTGCCCGAACCTGAACTGTAGCTCTTTGAGCTACGTCCTGTCAATAGAGTTACCTATAACCCTGCCAGAACCATAGAGAATAGACTGTCATACGATCGCCTATACTGCCCGTACCGGAGCCCGTGACATTACGTGTTTTTTTCGTAACGAATATAATAAGCTTTATCAATTAATTATTAACATATTAAACGTCTTTTAAAGGAATATTAGCGAGAATATTAGAGATGTGATTTACGGATATATCCAAAACTATAACATGAAGAATAAAATCGGCTACATTATTTTCAATAACGTAAATAATATAAAAATAATAATATACCGCTTTAATATTAAGCTTAGCTTTAACAGTAAAGAAAGAAAATTACGCTACGTTAGTTATACATTTAATATTTTCGTTAAATCTATCCTTTTTAATTTAGATTATACTAACTTTAAAAAATAAGTCGATGAAAAATAACTGATAAATGTATTCGAGTATAAATTGTAATTAAAAAAGCGTGTTGGATCTATGCGATTCTACATTCAAACCATCTATACCAAACCCACATGTATGATTAGATAAGAGATTAGATACCGGATTGTGAGGTCACTTAGCCAGACCTGCGAGTCCAGCTAGACCTCTCAATCCAACTATCAGCGACATCATAACCTTGACCCAATACTCGAGTATTATGATTGATCGTTCAAGCCTGCTCCAACAAAGCGGGTATTAAGCAACATATATAATATTAACCGTTAGATTAACGTAAAAGATCGTTTTATCATTATACTTTGTTAATTATAATAAAACGAGTTTAATAAATCTTTAAACTTGAGAATCAAGACTTAAAAACCAAAAAGTATAGTTTTATATAAAATAACGCGTTAGTTTTAATAATACTATATAATTAAGCGCCTTTTTAAACTTTATTTATATGTTAAACTCTTTTGTAAAAGTTTAAGATAAAGTAAAAGTGAAAAAAACCGTGTAGAGAAGGGAGGCATTAAAAAGTTATTTAAAAAATAACGTTTTTATGTTATCTAAAAAACTGGTTAATATGGAACGATTAAAAAACCTTAGTGGCTATTTTCGATATTCTTTCGACGTACAAAAACTTTATAAGAAATGTCACAAAGCGTAAATAGGATGAGGACATAAAAGTCCTAATTGCACTACCTACGTATAAGAATCTCTTGGTGGAGAGGGAAAGAAGGATCTGACCCGCCAGCCAATTCTGGTGGGATTAATGATCCTTCCATCCGCCACACTATTACCTAGCCTAGTACAGTTCTGGCCACACGTCTTGTGCGCCAGGTCATGTGATGCTGCGCACAGGCCACCCTGATGGGTTGACAGACTTCCAGGAGGTCAGACCGTCACAAGGAACCTTAAAAGTAACGGTATAATTCGTTACTGTAAACATAGATAAACTGGTTTATACAGCAATATTTAAGATGTTTTTTTTTCGAGGTTTTTTTGAAAAAAAAAGCTAAGAAAAGCTAAGATTCGGGCTAACAATAAAGATTTCTATAATAATAAGTATATTAAGGCTATTAGTAATAATGGATAAAATATTTTAAACAAATATTCTAATAAAATCAACGAGCTTTTTATTTATTACACCGATATAACTTTCTATTTCACTTATCGTTAAAATTAGGTTCAAAATTTTAATTCAATCGCTTTAGATAAATCTTAACTGTTAAATTTTTTTAAAATATAGCTAGATTTAAACAAAAAGTTAGTAAATGTTATAAAGTATAAGAGTGATAATAAAGATCTGTTTATAAAGCGTTGAAAATGCTAGGTTAAAAGCTTCATATGAAACAATAAAAATAAATTAATATAAACATTGGTAAAGTATTTATTATAAAACACCGCATATATGAAAAATATTATTTAATATTAATACGAAAAACAGTTTAAATATTTATAATTATAATAAATAGCTTTCGACTTTTTTACGGTTTGACTTATATTTACTCAATACGAAAGGCTTTTTTAAAAATAATAAATCTGATAGTAATAAGCTTAAAATAAACCTTAGATATTATTATTATTACCATATATTCTACGCTTAGGTTTCGATTACGAATAAGTATAGTTTAAAAAGTTAAAAAGTTATTACGGCTTTTACAGCTTAAAAAAACTAAAAGATCCCTACACTTATAAAAAAAGCTTCAAATAAATAAGCAAAGTTATAATAGCTATTTGAAGAAGATTTGGATAATAAGGATGTTATAAAGGCATTAAAAGTGGTTAAAATGTACAATTGAAAGTAATATTACGACAGTAGATTTAAAAAATCTAATTTGTTTATATTTATAATAATAATTGAGACGAATAGCAATAATATCAATTTCTTTAATAATTATTTTCCGAATCGGGCGATTTTGCCGACTTATATATAATAACAAGTATATGTTTGCCTTTACTTGAAATTAATTTTATTAAGTTCAAAAAGAATTGATTCGTTTAAATTTATACTAAAATTCAAAACCAATAATAATAACCTTTTTTTACACCGCTTTTTTAGTCGGGCAATTTTACCGATGTATATATATGCATATATAAAGCGTGCTTTTTCACAGCATTTATACCTTCTGGTTAACTTAGAAATAAAATAAGCTTTTAAAAAAATTATATTATTAACTTCTTTTATTCATTAAAATTATAACAAATAACTTATTTATTACTTGTATTAAAAGCTAAACGTTATCTATGTTTCAAAATAAAAAAGATGTACGTCGTTCGTAATAATAAAGGTATATAACCATGCTACTTCGCTATTTATTATTACCCCTATTTATATATATTTAATAATTTTTCCTTATTATTAAACCCGTTTTAATTTTCTAATTTTTTATTTTAGAATAAATTCGTACCACTTTGCTTTTTTACGCTTAATGAAAATAAACAACCTTCTAAATGCTTATGTTAAAATGAACTTTTTTTAGAATGTTATATATGATTATAAAAGTGTATATATTTGTAATTTGCATTAAAACAAACCTTTTTAATTAACAAGCTTAAAAAAAGCTAATTCGCTTGAATTTATAGTAACAATTAAATAACTATATAAATAGTATTACTGTATCGCTTTTTCGATATAATAATTTACCGTTACGTATATATAAAGCGTACTTTTTTTCAAACTACGTACTTTTTTTCCGGCTTATTTATAGCTATATAATTACTTTTAAAACTATATATATGTGAGAATCCAGAAGGGCCACAAGCCTTGGGGGTATGAGCGGTCGCTGCAAAATATGTTGTCATTCTCAAGTATGCTCGGCAGGGCTAATTTACAGCTAAATACCATACTGCACTATACCAGGGTGTATTCACTGTTCCCTTGACAGCACCCTAGTGGGTACTGCACCTAAGGGCATCATATCTGGGATCCAACATCTGACAATATACGATAAAATAAATAAATTCTTAACAATAATAAAATAGTTTAATAGTTTATAATGTAAATATTTTGAATTGGTTTTTTTTATAAGTATTTATAAATAAATGCTTATTAAAAAGCTATAAAAAGCTGTTAAATACACGGATGTTAATTGATTCTATTGTGTTCTGCTCTACTTCTTTAGTGTGCAAAGATTGATCATCTGTCTTCTTAGTGGGTCAGATGCCATGTGCGTCTCTGCCTCACTGGAGATCTTCCAGTGTCTATTTCTGGCTCTCATTCAACACATTCGTGCTAGTATATAACAAAAGCCACTTAATAAACCTAAGTTTGAATCTTAACCATGCGATTTTCTATTTTTGTAAGATATTTACTAATAAACAATATTATGTGAAGGTAGCTACGGCTTTTTTAAACATTTAAAAGTATAAATTTCGTTGTTATTATTTTCATAAGATTTTTAAATAATCAATTTTTTGAAACAAAGCGCTGTAAAAAGGTAAAAATCCCCTTTAGCTGCATGAAATATTTCGAAGAAAAAAACAATTACTCATAAATAACATCATATAAAGTTCATTACGGCTTTTTTAAACGCTTAAATGTTTAAATCTTGCTAGTAGCATTTTAAAAAAAAAATTATTAAAGAAAATAACCCGGAAAAAAGTCCCTTTACCTTTTATTAACCTACGAATATATTAATTTCTGAAAACAATACTTTTCGTTAATATATTGAACTTAATAAAGTAATGACAAAGTTATAAATAGTATTAACTTAACTCAACAAAAAGATCCCGTTAACGTGGATTAAGTTATTCGGGACTTTCTTCGCTTTAGCCTTTTTCTTTTCTAAGGCCTTCTTCTAGTCATACTTAGCTATGAAAAAAATTTGCCCCATTGATGTAACTCCCCGTCTTCTTCGCCACTACGTAATCTACATAATAGGTCTAAGCTGGGCAAGAACCTTTGCTGTATACGTTGGCGAGGATGCTCTTCATTCCAACGGTCGATCAGGTGGTCAAATGCTTCAAAATCTTCGAATCCTGTCAGGTCATCTGGTGATCCCATCTCCCCATCTAGTCGGTCATGCGGCACAGTCCATGCGCGGGAAAAGTCAATGAGTTTTCCGTCCAGGTACGCGTCTGCGCGAATATTGCCTCCAACATAGATGCCAAGTTTGTGCAGACTCTCGATGTCTTTCATCATTTGAGGAATCATCGACCGTCTGAACTCCGGCTTGTCCTGCACAAGCTGTTTCACAATTCCACGGCCGGGACGAACATCTTCTGTAACCCGCAAGTGCGTCGGGTTAAAGCGGTGATAATCATTTCCCCTAAATGCTTTCTGGGTAGAAGGTTCACCATCGCTGATGATCGTGTCAACAAATTCGTCATTGTCGGAATCCGAGTCGAAGATGATGTAGCCGTACGTCTTAATTGCGAGATTTTCATTCCTTGTCTCTTTGAGACGACCATAAGCACGGCATTCGCAGTAGAAGGGGTCCTCTTGCTGTTGTTTCCGAGTCTCTCCATATTTCTCATGTTGCCACTTAATCCAGTAGGTGGGTTTGAACTTATATAAGATGTCAGACATCACACAGCTTGGTGGTCTCTCGGTACTCAATCACGCAGCTTACCATCTTGAGGGCATAGATCTCGGTTTGAATTGCGACTTTCCAGACAACGGCATCATAGCCTTGCCCCATCAACCTTATGAATTCCACTGCAGGAGGGCTACCGTTAAATGAGAAACGGCCAGCTTTGGGCCTTCAATCCTTGGGAGCGGCTCCATCTCAACTGGTGAGTGACATGGGGAACTAAGGAATGGGGGGGCGACCTTATGATCCTAATCTCTCGTAGAAGGGACGAAGGGCTACATTCCATCCCCGGACTAGACCTACGCCCATGTGGCGCGACGTTTTCAGAAAGTGCTAAAGCTATTCTTTCAAACGCGTCTTCTACCAAACCGTGGATGAGCCGTGGAAGTATAATTCCAGAGGTGGCTCTACTTCTTATACCACGTTGTAAGCAGCTCATCAATCTTTGGTCTCCTACCTTTGTCCCTGAAAGGAGGACAAGAGTATGACACACCATCACCATGTATCTACTTTCTCTTGAATCCCTCAATCTGCATCACGTCAATTCAATCTTAGTTGATATCAAATCATGTCCGCTCTGCGCCGTAGAACCTCCTCGACCACTCGAGTACCGCTCCGAGAACTGCCAATGTGGCATAGGCGTGTAGACAACTCATCGATCTTTGCTACTCTGACCGACGAGAATCCCAAGTTACACCAGATAGAAGAAGAACTGACTAGCTGCCCCAAACCTGCCGATCCCATTCGCATAACTCAGGCGGACGTCCATAGATGGACGGACTTCGACTATGAGCGGGTCGCCTCCTCATTAGGGAAGATTCTTCGTTCAAAGTTCGACAACCCGATCGAAACCGTCCTCGAGCCCCGCCATCTCCGGGTCCGGGTGGAGGAGAACATCGACGATGTATTCAATCTTTGGCACGGCTACATACTCAACTTAATCCTCTACCTCCTCACACCTCATCTGGAAAGTTTTCTTGGAGACGGCGAGCTGAACGGCTTCTTTTTCGGTAAGAAGCCTTTCTCGATTACGAACACGGAAGATGGTGGCGATACCTACCCGGACTGGGGTGTAGCGACATCGGGCAATAGACTGCTTCTTGGCGATACGAAGATGGACCAAGCTTGGACATCCCTGGATCTCGAAAAGGGGAGGAAGGCCAGTCTCTATGCTGTGCAACAGTTGGGCCAATACTGCGTTCGTTGCAACACCAGATACGGCTTTATCATTACACCAGCCGAATTGGTAGTCTTTAGATTTTACAGGATCAAGGAGGTAGACGGAGAAATCGTCCATGTCGGTTCGCAATCGCGGAGCATTCCTTGGTCTAGCTACGGGCAAGACGAGTTGACTGTAAACCTCGCAATGTTTACAATTATCATGATGAGCCTCCGAAAAGGAAAGCAAGATATCGATACCTACGCAAAAACACAACAAGATGACATATGGGATTGGTTATTTGATCTTTCTAGAGCAGAGCACATTACGACCAAACATACGATTTGTCGTCCGCCACGGAAGCAGGGACCACACTGGGAACTGACCAGTCCGTAAAAAGCCCGCCCCCCGCCTCGGCAGCTACCAAGCGCAAGCTTCGCTTGCTGGATGTTATCACTGAAGAAGAGGACGAAGAGAAGCCCCCCGTCTCGGCGGCTCTCAAGCACAAGCCTCGCTCGTTGGATGTTGTCACTGAAGAAGAGGACGGGGAGAGCATCAAGAGGCCTAAAGCCAAGAAGCGACGCTACAGGCTTTAATTCAATTGATTGGGTTCGTACACGAGCATGTTGCTAAGTCCGTCGACGATTGCGACTATCAGGATTCAGGGGCGGTCGAGTCTTCAAGACATAAGAGTTTTTCTCACAAGTTGGGAGATGCGGGGCCATACGAGGATTGCGGCTCAGTGTCATACATCTAATAGACCGACCAGATCTACGAGTTAAATAGAAAAGTTCAATTCGAACTCACTGGCATCAGCCCGACATTGAAAGGCGGGCGACCCGACGTCTGTCCATCACGTGTAGGCCTCTCGGTTGTACAGTGGGTCAGCACAAATACCGAACACCCAACTCTTATAAAAGAACCCTCCTCATTATAACCACACTCAAAGCTTTACGCGAGAGAGCAAAAATACGGGATGAAGATAAATATATAAAGTTTTAAAGGTGTAATAAAGTCAGATTTTAAAGAGTACTTTAACTTGAATAATTATAAAGACTTTAATAAAACTACGTAAAACTAGCTATTTTATACTTATTCTTATATATTTTGATATAATTGATGTATTTGAATGTCCTTTTGAAAACAAAATAGATATTTTACTTTACAAAACATAGCGTGGTTAGTTTTTTTATACTTATTTTCATGAAATTGTTATAGAAGGGTAAATTTATATGAATATATACCTAGTTTTTAAGCGGTGCCATTAATTAAAGAAAAACCGTTTATAAATGAAATAAAACTGGTTGTTAAATATTTATATAGTAAAGTTAAGTTTGATATTTTCCCCCTTATTTCTAATTTAATAAAGTCTTTAACAAGCGTGCGTCAATGTGCGAGAAGTAAAATTAAAAGGTGTTCGGTTTTTTTGTCTACCCACTGTACCTGTTGAATAGGAGCCGGAGATAGACACCGGAAGATCTCCAGTGGGGCAGAGACGCACAGGGCATCTAACCCACCAAGAAGACAGATAATCAATCTCTGCACACAGAGCACAACAATCAATAGAATCAATCATCATCCGTGTATTCAACAGTACCTGTACCTGTAGTTGGGGAGGAGGCGAGCCACAGGCGGCGCTGGCCAGCACAGCGCGCTAAAGCCAGCGGCGAGCGCAGCCAATGACAGCTTAGCGCCCTCGTCTCACAGCCAGAAGGCACTGGCCAGTCAATGCCACCCGCGCAGCAGCCCGCGCGACAAAGAGCCGCGGCGCACGGTCCACTCCACAGGCCTCTCTTCTTTCCCCAGTCTCTTTGTTGGTCCAGAGAGCCTCCTTCTTCCAGACAGCCCCATCCACGGCCACCAAGCGGCCCAGACTCGAATCGTCTTTGTTTCGTCTTGCGAGGAACAATGAACCTTTGGATCCTGTGACTGTTTCGTTTGACTGTTACACGCTGACGAGCTGAAGAAAGGTAAGGGTGTCTGTTGGCGCTTGTCATTCAGCGGTCGTCGACGGACGGCACGGTGAGTCTTCATTGTCTTCGTGATTCAAATATCAACCCAGCGCCCGCGTGGAACTTTCCCTCTACCCTTCTGATTCAGATTTCCATATTCCCAACAGTTTTTTCCTTCGACGCTGGATATCACTTTGCTCTCTCACTCTCAATCTCTCGGGTTCCCTCTTTACTTAATACTCTACCTACCACATTCACTCACTACAAGCCCATTTCTCGGGTCAACAATCTATCTGCCCTTGTTCGCGATATTTGATACAGTCGTGCAACCATCCACTCACTCAACCAACGAATACCCATACACCCACCGAACCAAGCAACAAACCAACCAACACACAAAGCAATATGGGTTTCAAAGGTCTCGCCACCGAGTTCGCCAAAGGCCAAGCCAAAAGCGCCTTCTCATCCACTCAACCAACCAACCAACAAACCCACCAGCCAGCAAGTAAAGGACTCAAAAAATTCGTCAAGAAGTTCGGCAAAGGCGCCGTCTCGAAACAATTCTACATCTACGAGACCTGGCTGCGCTGGGCGGCGCGGGGTCTGCAATTCATCCTCGCCCTCATCGTAGTCGGCCTGTACGCGCACCGCGTAGACAAGGACCGCCGGGCCAACAGCCCCCAATCCGTCGCCTGGGTCTACGCCGTCTTCGTTTCCGGCCTGTCGTGCATAACCTGCGTCGTGTTCGCGATCCCGAGCCCGTTCTGGCGCTCGCACCGCCTGTTCGCGTGGGATCTATTCCTGTCCACCCTCTGGATCGCCGTGTTCGGCACCTTTGCGCGCGTGTTCCTCCCCCTCAAGGCCGGGGACCCGGAGTACGAGGGCACGGACGTGCGCGTCATGCGCGGCGCCGTCTGGCTCGACCTCGTCAACGCCATCTTCTGGCTCGGGACGGGCGTCTATGGCTGCCTGCGCACTTTCGCGAGCAAGAAGATCGATGCTAAGATCAACAGCCTCGAGGCCAAGGTCAACAAGAAGGTGCAGGACAAGCAGGACAAGATCGCCCAGAAGGTCCAGGGCAAGATGCAGAGCAAGATGGACCAGTACTACAGCAAGGAGGCGGCGGCGTCGAAGGAGTCGTGGGGGTCTGACAACACTGTGTAGATACTCATCTGGCGATGGAGCCGGGAGTATATATTAGAGGAGGGAATATAATCGCCGGGGAGGCGCTGTGATTTCATAAGCTGTATTCTATCATTCTGCTATGTTGCATTTCATAGCGAGACCTGGGTTTTGATGGTTGGATATGGCGTCCGGTTATGGCGTCCGGATCTTGCATCCTGGGTCGGCGGGGCTTGCTATGACTTTCAGAAATCATCACATGATCTATACCTGCTGCTACCTTGTAGTGTTCTGTGACGTGGAAGTAGCTGTGAATGTACTTGTAGGTGTAAACACATTCGTCATGCGCAAACCCTCCACCGTTTCAAACAGCGCACTATGATTCGACTTCTTGAAAGCGTGGTCAACCGGACGTACCGAAATCACATACGCTCTATTGCCCGATCCGAAAAGAGCCCGCTGTCTAAGTTATCAGGTAAGACTCCCCTCAGAAGCAGCCGAAGCAGATTTCTAACCCAGAGACGCACAGCCTTACTGGCTATGCCCCGTCCATCTGATCCAGTGAAGCCCATCCTCGACGCTCGCAATGGCGAAATCCTGGTAACGACCGAAGGAGATACATCTCTCTCCATATGCGTCGCTTTGTCGCCCATGCCAATAGTATAAGCCCGTATATACATTCATACCTCATGCCAATGTATACAAACGAGCGCCCTGAAGTGCGGAGTGTCCTATTCTACCACTCGCGCGTCGTGGTAATCATTCCAGCCACCCCAACACCTGCCTGGCCTCTAGCACGCCCACAACTTCCCCATTCTCCATGACTGCCAGCACAGAGTCTTCATTGTAAATCGTCTCGCCATATCCAGGCAATGACATGAACGGGTCCCTGATCCAGCCAGCAGCCTGCGATATTCTGGTGTGGGTATCAATAGAGATCCACTCGCTGCGCTCAACCAGAAAGTCCGCCACGTCGGAGGCGGCCCGCGTCAGCTCTGCCGCATCGAGCCGCCGTATGCGACCGGGACTAGCCAGCGAGTCGCTGACGCGGACCCATCCGGAGGGCGACTCATAGCCTGTTTTAAGGATTTCCGCGCAGAGCACCCCGTCTAATGACGTGGCGCAGACTGGGATCTCGCAGAGCGGCACGGCCAAATGGCCAATCTTACTCGGTTTGCTGAACGAAGCGCCGATGGCCCCGCCCGGGTGGTTTTGGGAGAAAACGGAAGACACGCTCGGGTGCAGCTCCTGCGACACGACGACAGCCAGGGCATCGCCTAGCGCTAGGGCCACGGTCGTAGATGTAGTCGGCGCCGAGACGCCGAAGGAGACGGTCTCGGGCTCGTGGATCGGCGCCGGGAGCAGGATAGCGGTCGGGCGTTGACGGATGAGTTCACAGCCTAGTGGCTGTGCGTGCGAGGTGAGCACGATTGTCGGCAGAGCCGGGTCGATGTGTGGCAGGAGCGCAAGGAGTTCCGGTGTCATGCCCGAAAATGTGATGAAAAGAACGACATCGTGCTTCCGGATCTTGCCGAGATCGCCGTGCAGCGCTTCCGTCGGGTGCAGAAACGTCGCATGCAGTCCGAGGCTGTTGAATGTCGCCACCAACTTCTTGCCAATGTGCCCCGATTTGCCAACGCCGATGATGACCAGTTTGCCCCTATCGCCGCTTTGCCGTACTATGACTTCCACCGCCGCATTGAAGCCATCTGCCGCTATCGTATCGGTCTTGTACACGTGTGTCAAGCTCCGTAGAGCTGTCGCCTCCGTGTTCAGCACATGAACAGCCCCTGTTATCCGCTGTTTCGCAAGGGTACTTGCTTCCGGTCGGGTACTTGCTTCCGGTACATTTTCAGGGTCCTCGACGTCATCCAGACATAGCTGTTCGATCGGGGTGCTGGGTTCGACGGCGGTTGGTGTTAAAGGAGAGGGGGGAGACGGTGGAGGCACCGTTGGGCGAGGAGACAATCCTAATAGATAGACCTCGCTGTTATGTACGGGATGATGCTCAACCATGATAGAGAAGATGTCGCACGCGGATGAAAGTGGCGAAGCTGGGCAGGCTTGGACGGTACGGGAGTCTTCGTTGGGTCAAAGATCATACACGACTGGTCGTCCTGTATGTAAGATTGGAGCTGCTCATGGCATCAGACCGCGACAGGCAGCGTCAATGGCGCATTGCGACACTGTGAATGATAAACAGAAGCTGCAGCAGACGTTGATGATATTTGTTTCGGGACAACTGAGACACAATGGACACAATGGTACTGCTGACTCGATCCAAAAGTCGGACGGTGGGGCCGGGATGATGGTTTCGGGCGAGGAAGTTGCAGGATCTTGAAATACCTGCGACTCGCACAATGAGGATCTGACTGCCAGATGCCCTCGAACGGCAGAAAAGGAAGCAAGAGAGATAGGAGTCCAATCGAAGACAGCGAAACGGCGTAGATTACATACGTGATCCGTAGTGCCCGCCGCTAGAAGCCGGTTTTAGACAAAGCGCGAGCCTCATACCCACCAGCGCAGTCGCAAGGAGGGCCGATAATTGATGAATCATTGATCAACCGTGGTCTAGAATGTCCCAAGCCTAGACCATGTCGACGCCTCATTGGAGAGCCGTAGTGACGCCTTCAGCTTCGGCCTCTTGCGTGCTCTGGTAGTCTGGGTGGAACGCGGTCATCATGGATGTTTGCACATGCACTTGGGCAGACAGCATCTTGTGTTGCATGTGGGATGACTCGCATCGAATCTCTGCAGTTCAGGTCTCTGCAGGCGAATAATGTTGCAGTGTTGCATCGACGGCGACCCACATCTGCGATAATGCTGATCCTCCAGCGCGGGGTCGAGACTCACCAAGGGTCTTCATGTGCATACTCGTCGGTGTGCTTGCTGACCAATCTGTCTAGGGATTCGAAGCCATCGCAGCAAAGCGATGACTAGAGCAGATAACGTCCTTCGTTCGCTATTGGTGGTAGGCCACGAGATGGCTGTCCACGCACCACCACGGGTGCGAAACGTAAGCCTGGATTGGTGGACAGAAACTCAATGGGTCAAGAAAAGTTCCGACTTCCAAAGCGAAAAGGAAAAGGACGGGCACTTGCGCACCCTGCCAAGACTCTCAGCAGCCTCCCATATTGGCGATGGATGATATCTACCAGATGTTGACTGCAAGGTCGGCAGCAGACACGGCAGTCTCTTGACCATTGGAACAATTCGATCAACGTGGATCCTGAGGTAGGCTCCTTTGATAAAGAAGAAGGGGTGGAAAGAGTTGTGTCGGATGCTAGCATGCCGTTCAGGCTCAGTCAGCTCAGGGAAACATGAACTTACAATCGCGCGATGTCTTTTGTATCACACTTCGTCTTGTCCTTCCCAAAATAGGTGTATCCATCTTCTGATGGTCAGGAGGACAGAATTCAGGCTGGCTGATTGGAATCGTGGAATCGTGGAATCGTGGGCAGCATTGGCAGATAAGATAAGGCAGACGTCGCACCTTCTTGGACACCGTAATCCCTGCTGGTGATGGCTGGAAGTCCTCAACTTGACTTCCGAAGCAGAGGCGGTGAAGCCATCCATCCTGCCATCTAGGTACAGGTCGCCTGCAAGCTCATTGGGAGAACTGCCATGATATAATGTAGAATGGGCGTCGGAGGGCGCTTGCAGTTCAAGATAATAATTTGAACTTTCAGGTTGCACGTCGTAGCAGTGGGAGCGGGCACCAGCCACATGATCGACAGCGGGGAGTCGGGACCGTTTCAACTTCCCCACATCTTCCCATCTGTCTGTCTGTGCACCTTCCCCAAGCCACCGACCAACCACCTGTACCCACACCCAAGGCTGCAACACAGCGGACAACTTGAGTGATATTCCGACATTTACAAGAACGGGCCGCGAAGCCTTGCTACGAGGCATACTCTGCGACGTTCGCTTGCAGAGAACGAATAGCCTGAGGGATACCCTTCTCCGAGGTCATATTTACCAGAGTCACCATGACGCGCCAAATAGTGTACAGCGTCGCCCTCGGCGTCTTTTTCTGCAGTACGTCATCTCTCATATTTGTACCGTTTCACTGCACCACAGCGCACCGCCATTCGCCCCCTCACCTTAGGAATGCCCTCACTATATACACCGAGACTCGATAGATCTCAGAGTCGCGATGAGTCGAGCTTTGATCTGCAAGCGCAGATTGCGTTGTTTGCCGGCCTTTGCTGAACAGGTGGACTCCATGACCTCGAGCTTACCTACGAGAGAGGGCATCGTAAGACGGGGAAGAGGTAGCAAGAAACATACATGTTATCATCACCCTCGCACACCAACATGACGCAAATCCACACAAGCTGACAAACCCCCCTTCGCACCCCAACAGCCACGGCAATGACAATAGCCTCGATCCTGACGCCGCACTGGGTGTCGTACTCGGTGACGGCCGACAACACGGGGTCGACCTTCACCAAGCACATCGGTTTGCACACGAGCTGCTCGTCGGTCGACGAACCGTCCTGCCGGCCCTTCCCCACCGACGACGACTGCCGCGACGACAAGTTCTTCTGCTCCATGTGGCGCAGCAGCGGCTTCCTGCTGTCCTTCGCCACCATCGTCGAGCTCGCCACCCTCATCACCTTCCTCGTCGTCATGGCCGGCGGCAAGTACAAGCGCGAGATGGGCTGGAAGCTGATCGGCGGCTTCCTGATGGCCGATGCTGTGGTGGAGTTTGCGAGCATGGGCATTGTGGTGAGTCTGTCTCAGTTCTGTTCACCTAGCTGAACGAACGGTCTGCGTTTCTTGTTGCGTCTGCGTACGGTGGCTAATTGCGGAAACACGAAACAGGCCTATCTCTTCGACAACGACTCCCAGTTCGCCATTCCCGGGTGGGAGCTCGACTGGTCCTTCGTCCTGTGTACCATCAGCGCCAGCGTGTCGGTCTTGATAGCAGCAAGTCTGGCCGCCTCGGCTTGGGTTCTGCCGCCCGAGGACGACTACGAATACCTCGACGATCCCGAAGATCCCTTCGATGCGTAAATCCGACCCGTACGCTGCTGAACTGGTGGACCATACATAGGAACGCCTTCTCAACGCACCTACAGAAGCATGAGCTGCTTTGATTCGGCTCACCTGAGTTACAATGCCGTCGAGCCCCCAAAATGCACCGAACTTTACGTGTTACCCGCGTTGTCTGGAGTGCTGGGACATCTTGCGACTGCGTGTCGGGAGATACCATTTGATGAATTTTATCCAACATTCCCCTTCGCACACCGCAGTATATAGGGGATCGGCGTTTCTGGAGTCTCGGTTTCAGGGCTACATGATATGGCATTTTCTCGACGTTACATGTTATACTCGCATTGGCTTGTTTCTATTCATCTGACGATAATGGGGCCGATTACGGGACATGATAATAGTAATCAAATATGCAGCGGTTTAGCTTCTTTTATTCAAACTCGGCCATGCATTCAGACCATCCTCACTCTGACATATGACTTCTGCTCCTGCTTCTGGGTATCAATCCTGACGTGATGCATCTACACTGGTGGTGATATGTGAATTGTTTCTTCGACTCATTCGTCTTCTTCGGAGTCAGACGACTCCGAAGATGAAGAGCTACTGGACGATGTATCCGCCTCATTCGCCGTGCCGGAGCCCGCTGCCGTCTTAGCTCCACCGTCCTTCTCCTCATCCTCCTCATCCTCCTCGTCTTCGGATGAGCTGCTGCTGTCGCTCGAGCTCGTGTCTGAATCACTTTCTGATTCCGACTCGGAGCTGGTCTCATCCTCGACAACCGCAGTCCTTGTCTTCTTCTTTCGCTTGACTCTTTGTTGTGAGCCGTCGTTAAGCTTGAGCCGTTTGTCCCCTTCGGCTACACCCGCCGCGTTTTGAGAGGAAGTATTCTCAGGTTGCCCACTACCGTTAGCCCCCTTTTCTGTAGATGTTGTCGTTGTCGTAGTAGTTGATGTCGTCTCAGTGTCGTCGCTATCAGACAGCTCATCCAGCACCATCTCCGTGCGCATGCGCTTGACCACGCGCCGCTGCATCTCCATGTCGGTAGTGCGCAGGACGTAGTCGACCTCGTCGAAGCGGCGCTTCTCGGGCGTCCGGGTTTGGCTTAGGAACGACTGCACGACGTCCTCATACTCCTTCTGCTTGCGCTCGGCCATCTCCTTTTGGTTGTTGTTAGAGTTCTTCACGGCCTCGAAGCCCGCGCTGCCCTGCTCCATGTCCTGCGCCTTGATCCCGCTGGCGACCTGCCGCAGCCGCGTCCGCACGCCCCCCTGCAGGCCCCGGATGTAAGCGTAGAAGACGCCGATGTCGACGGCTGGGATCGTCGTCTCGTCCGTCGCGAACACCTGCTCCAGCAGCCGCGTCTGGTGGTTCTTGTTGAACTTCCAGCCGTCGCGCGCCGCGTGCCACTGCCGCAGGTACGCGAGCGCCGGCTCCAGGTTGACGGGAGCTTTCCGGACTGGTTTCGGCGGTGCGGGGGTCGTGGTCGAGGCGGACTTCTTGCTCGCGGGCTGCTGCTTCTTCTTGTTTGGTACGGGCGTCTTTGGGGCGGGAGACTTCGCCTGGGACTCGGTGGCTTCGGCCGTAAACGAGACGTTCTTCTTCAGCGCTTGGGGGGTGCGGTCCCACGAGTTGTTGTCCTGCTTGGCCCTCTTGTTCGGTTGTTGCTCTACTGCGGGCGAGCCGAAGGATTTCCTCTTCGCATTGAAGTTGGTGTTGGGCACCGAAGGTGAGACAGCGGCGGCGGTAGCAGCATCAGCACCGTTGGTATTTGTAGAAGTAGGCAGGCCTTGTTGCTCGTCGGATGCAGGTTTGAGCTTGAGACCCAATCGCTTCCAGGCCGGGACTCGCTGCGCTGGCGCGTTCCCAGTGGACGAGAGGATGGAAGACGACATTGTGCGAAGGACTCGATCGGGGCGAATCGGGGGATAGTGAGGGAATGGGTGTGGGAATGCAGAAAATATGCACGATGGCTTTTTTTTGGCTCCTCGCTTGATTGCTTTGCGGTGCGACCACTTGCGGGCGGTCGATCGATTTGCTACGTGGGCGTTGGCGGGCTCCACGTTGCGTGCCGTGCGTCTGTCTTGTCGGTCGCCCTTTGGCTTGACGTGTCTCGGACCTCGCAGTGTGTTATATTGGAGGAGAGATGTGCGAGACCAATGGACACAATCGTGGCAGCACGCTGTACAAGCTCCTGTACTGTAGGGTGAACTCGCGGGTGAAGCCGCCGCCAATGAATTTTCTATGAGGCAGCTCTTCTGATAAGGAGATAAGGAGATTGCAGCCACATCTATCTGAGGCGTAATCGATACCAGTATGGTACCTAGAACAGTCCGTGCTTCGTCCATCGTCATGTTCAAACATCTTCCAAGTTGTCTTGTCTTGTTGTCTTTACATTGATACGTACTGGTATGTCACTCTCAAATTCATCCCGTCGGCAGTACTTGGCGTTTCTTGAGTATGTCAAGAACACCCGTCTAACGGTGATAGCAACGCGGTACCTTTGACAGAGTCTGGTGTCTGGTGTCACCCAGCAAGTAACCCGACCTCACATGAGGCCTGACTGGCTATGCTGCTGGCCTGGCCATGCAGTATGGCGTGGATGTTACCCTGCCCGGCCTCCGGGCTGCCTCGTCACCCCCGCGTTTCCTTGACCGAAAGCCAGCCGCGATCCCTCATTTGAGAAACTCTCAAATTTTCTGCGTTGTCTCGTCAGGATGATTTTCCCTAGTCTCAAGACAATCGACCGCTTCATCGTATAGCCAACTATCACTCAAGGCGTCAGCCCTTCTCGCTGTTCCGTTTCCATCGGATGTCCAGTCGGCTGAGGCCAGCCAGACAGGCCGCCTACCAAATCCTCAGTAGATATGGATCCTGTTTCGGCAATCGGTCTTGTGTCCTCGATCATCACAATTGTCGATACTAGCTGTGAAGCCGTTCAGTTGTACCGCGAGATCAGGGAAACGGGGAGTATCCGGGCGAATAAAGATCGAGAGGACATCGCAAGATGGCTCGGAAACGGTGCAGATGCTCTGGCGGCCCGCATCCGCAGCACAGCTGAGCCGGTGTCGTCTGAGAACCGTGAATTCCTCCAGATATCTGAGGCCTGTTGTGACACGGCGAAGGCCCTGAGCAAGGAGATTCATCGCCTTCAAGATACCAAGAAACCGGCAGTGCTCAAGCTTGCAGCGTCAATCTGGAGTAGCAGAAAGATCGCAAAGATTGAAAGCCAACTCGAACACTACTCGAACGTACTCGACTCCACCATCCTTCGAAGACTGGACTCAGAATCTGTGATGCAGCTGCATAACTTCGAGGACCTCAATTTGAAGACTCAGCAGCTGTCCATTGCCGTTTCCACCGGCTTTCAAACGGTGGACCAATTACGGCCGAAGCTTCTGGCAGACATGGAGAATGCTACTCAGATCATCACCAAGCACCAGGAAGATCAAGCTCAACAAATGCGAGACGTGTTCATTCGGCAGGAGGTACAGAACCGGGCGATTGCAGCTCGCGAGAGCAACATCAAATCACTCCTTGGAAGCCTTTTCTTCGCCGAAATATTTGCCCGCGAAGAAGTGATTGCAGAGCCAGATGAGACATCTTGCAGCTTCATTTTCTCTGCCAAATGGGATGACAAACGCCACCGTATCGACGAAACAGGAGCATCCCTCTTCGCCGACTGGCTTCAGAGCAGTCAAAGCTTGTTCTGGCTCACTGGCAAGGCCGGCACTGGAAAGAGCGTGATCATGAAGTATGTCCATGCTCACAAGACGACTTTGGAGAATCTCACGCTCTGGGCTAGCCAGTCTTCTGCTAGCCAGTCTTCTAGAACGGGCCTGACGACGTCTGATGTGATTATACTTCGCCATTTTTTCTGGAAGCCCGGTTCCGATCTCCAACGCTCCCCGAAGGGGTTTCTTCAATCGTTACTATGGCCACTCTTGAAAAAGTCCACACGTATCCTGGGATGCCGTACTGAAATCGACGCACTCCCCTCTCTTTGATCTCACTCAACTTCATACGTGGACGTTGTCGCGACTGAAGAACACGTTTGAGTGGGTTCTGGCCAATCTACGCAATAACGCTTACATATGTGTCTTCATCGACGCCCTTGATGAATGTGTCGACGAAGGTGACCATTTATTGGGCTTGATAGATGACCTTCAGCAATCACCCAATGTCAAAGTGTGTGTGTCCAGTCGACCTGAGGAGGTCAGTATCGAGTACGGGAAAATGCCATCACTCCGGTTGCAGGATATCAACCGGAACGCAATACTTCGTGTAGCTGAAAGCAGGCTACGTCCCCTCTTGGTGAAGTATATCGCCATGGAACGCGAGAAAGCCCCAGACTTCCCATCATAATTGCCATTCGGGATAGGTCAGAAGGTGTTTTCTTGTGGGCGGAGTTGGTTATCAGGGAGATCAAGAAGCCAATACAGGTTGGGGAAAACCTTCAAGAGATTCTCCGCATCATCAGAGGAAACTCCCAAAGATATTGCCAACCTGTTTCAGCACATGATCGACAAGATAGATCCTCGCTACGCAGACGAAATGCGCCAGTATTTTGCTATTCTCTCCATCTGCGAGCATGCCAGTTTGCTATCGTCGAACCTGCTATTCTTGGCATTTGTCAATGGGGATGTTTGGGACCATGTCCGTTCGGAGGATTGGGAGTATTTCACCAGTGCGGCCTTCTTGTCAACATGTGAAAGCGTCCAATCGCGCATAGAAGTTTGTGCGGGCGGGCTTATGGAAATATCTGCGCGATTCTCCTGGCCGATAGAGCCGAGAGGCGGAGACGAGTGCATACTCAAGCAGGCATCTCATGGAGATGCTGATGCCCCTCTATTGCGCTTTTGTCGCCAAGTCAAATTTGTTCACCGCTGCTCCGTTGGCGAACTTCTTTGCGTCGGCGATGGTCGAAACTTCAGCGGCTCCGGCGCAAAGGAATGTCAGCAACTGAGCCTCGGGGCATGCATCCGCGGCATTCAGGGCTTTATAGGACTTTTGCCAACATTACCGTGTCACAGAATCTCGACGCCTCGCGTGTATGACTTATTCGACAGTTTACAAGCGTTGCTCCTCCTATTAGAACCAGTGGCCCAGCTGGAAACAGTAGTGGACTCTGTGTCACGAATCTATACGATGTGCGAGTTCACGAGTAAAAGATGGCAATCTATTCCGTACCACTCCCGGAGAGGGTGGGTGACATCATTCCCAGAGGGCTGGTATATTGAACAACGGCCCGCGCAATCATCGTTTTCACACATTCCCTTCTTTCCCAAAAAGACGTATTGAAGTCTTCAACCAGCCCTGCTTCGCCGCAATTCGGGAGCTTGAATTTTACCTCGCCCATTGGATATCCTCGTCCAGGCCATCAAAGCAACAGCTCAGTGAAGCTTTGTGGTATGCAAGTATCTTTCAAAAAGAGCAAGACTTTGCGCGTCAGTCTCGCTGCTTATCTACGCTTGTGATGGCTGGGGCAGACCCAAATCACCCGCTCCGCAAAATACGGTTGGACATATTAGAAGACAACTCTTGGCCGGTGGGGTTTGCCAGCGACATATCGCCTTGGACATTGTTTCTTTCGGAATTTGATCCGGATAAATATCGAAGCCACACTGCGCGCATATTCATTGAGGGCGGTGCTTCGGCCAACAGCACTAGCCTAACGGCCTGCTTCGGCTGGGCTGAGAATTCCGGATGGGGCCTTAGCATCCAATTCCTCTTCGAAGCTTCCCCCTTGTCCATTGTGAAGCAAGCGACTTTGTGTAACTAATTTTTCTGGGAGATGATGAGAGGGCACGGAGATATCGTGAAGGTCTACGGAAGCTTACACGTGAACTCACGAATCGTGGTGCAGTGGAGTATTTACGGATCCGGGGCGCCACGATGGATTATTCGTGGGACAACGAGGCCAGGAACAACAAGGCCAAGAAGGCCAGCCATGGCGCGTCTGAGGAGGCTTCAGTGGACGAAAACACTAAGGAAATTATCCATTCGCTGCGATCGGATTTTCCTCCAGTCGAACGTCTCTCGTGGCCATACTCCTCTGGAAAGAGACTTGAAACCCTGTCCCCCTATTCCTAGGCCGAACCACATTGCCGTCTGCACATCTACAACGAGGAAGATTCTCTCAGATTCCACAGCCTCCTCGTCAAGCACTCTCCGAAGTTTCCAGCGGACCTGGATAAAGGAGGTACTCTGGAGGAGGCGTTCAAGGATCCGGAGGTTATGCGTTTGCTAGTGTCAAGCCCAGTGAGACGGAAAGGGCAATTCCCATACCGCTGTGGTTCGATAACAACCGCGAGGCCCAGTATTCAAAGGGACACGGAGCAGATGAACACGAGCTACAGTCACCCCACATAAGTCTTCGTACGGCGTACCTCAATCAACTCTTGGATATCAATGCTATATCTATGTTAATGGGATAAGCACGCTGGAATAAGCAGCTCTGACCCAAGAGGTCACCTCTGATGCCTATTCCAGCGTGCTTATCCCATTTATAATAGACGCACCTTTCGCTTGGTGAATTAGGGTGTACGGAGACTTATGAGGGTTCAGTGTACCTCCTAGAGGGGCTTTTGTAACCATGTGGGCGCTCAGGCAGTTGGCAGCATCCTGGGTTGGCAGCGGGAAAAGCAGCAATTTGGTGGTGATTGAAGACTTACCACCTGGAACAAGCGCTTAGTTAGTCTCGGTAGTCTTACAGATTGTTTTTCTGGCAGCTTAGAGGTCTTCCGATTTTTCGATCTACCTCACGACAAGACACTGTACGATTAATACCTGCTTAAACTTGCTGAAAAGACATTGTATAGGTATATACAGGTATGTCTGGCTATATTTCAGATTTGACTTCATGCTTATCCGTACCTTTCAGACTTCGTGTTCCCAAACTAGCAGATTAAGATGCTATTGATGTTATAAAATGAATTCAGGCTTTATTACAACCTTAAGTAAATAAATAAATAAAATTTAATAGCTTATAGCTAAATTTTATTCAATGTTTTTCTTTAAGTTTTAACGTTATTAGTAAAATTTTCGTTTTTATCTGATGGATTACGAAAGCCTTATATAAGGACGGATTTTTATACGAAAATCTTACAAAGATTTTCTTTACGTATAATATATAGCTATATTAATTAAATAGCTCTTATTATATATAGCGACGTTAATTAGTAATTGACGGTTTATTAAAAGTAAATAAAAACTTTAATAATAGTATCGATTATAACGTTTTAATATTACGATAATTTCGAGGAATATTTCCGATAAAACCTAGGGGTAGTTAAAAATTACGTAAGCAGCACTATCATTATACGGCTTACTTTTGACAAAAAGATATAATTACTTTAACTCGATTTTTAAAGCTTATTTATGTTACGAACCAACAAATACCACGGCGTGTTGGAGGGCCAAGGGGAGTACACCAAGAACCAATGGAATCAGAAGCCGGGAACGGAACAATGGGTATTACGGATTACATAACAAAAGGTCACGTGACGTATCACTGGACACAAAGTGAGCCTGCAAGGATCACTGGATCAAAGAGTGAGCCAGTGAGCATCACTTTGGGACAAGGTGATCCTACTCCATCAGTAAGAGGAAGATTAGATATATAAGGACATACATTTCCCAGCTAGATAGATAGACAGTCTTTACCTCAGTAATCAATCCAAGCATCTTAGCCAACCCTAAGATAGGAGAAATCTCCTGACGACTCGACTATGCAGTGAACCCAGTTCAGACCAAGCCCCAGTATCTGAGTGTCTTGTAGTTGACAGAAGCCTCTATCGTCTTTTGTGTTGACTTACCTCAGAACATAAACCATATAGAAACCTTTAGCCTTATATGTTAGACGGCTCGTCACAATTTATCTATATACCAATTTAAATTAAAGCTTTATTTAAATATATTATAATAATAAAATAAAAGCAGCCGCGATAATATAAAGGATTTTATTGACATAACTTATACGCGTATATAGCGGTTAATGTTTATATTCCATGTCGTAAAAAATAACCTAAACGGCAAGACCTAATTGGTAATAAAGGCTCGGAAGCTCGGAAGGCGTAACGTAACGGCAATCACGCAATAGCAGGGAATAAAAGCCGTAGCGAAAAGATAGATCAAACTAAACGGTAATCCGTATGCCATTAGGTTATATCAATTAAAGATTACTAATAAATCAATGGTATTAACGTATATTTAATGTCCGTACCTGTCAGAACCCTCCCCTGTCTAGGTCAGGCTGTCAGATTTGAGAGACTGCCTTACGCGAGCGTACTATAGTTTCTATGTAACCGTCATTTCAGTGTTGCATATTAGAGAATAGGTAAAGCCTTTATATATTGGTATGGCTCAGATGATGGGTACATAGGTAGACCGTCTCAAATGGTTCGAAGGCTCCGGTCCGTAGCAGTCAAGGTGCTGCGTGCAAGCAGACATCCGCACTAGTCCCAAACGGAAGTAGCGGATGGCAAGGGTGGCCCAAGCTCGAACCTCGCAGGCAGCTCAACCGCGTCAACAGCTCAGCTTTCGGGTGCGAGGCTGCAAGCAAGCTCCGGCCCTTCAAACAACACCCATACTTGATTGCGCTGACATCCTCACCTCGACGACCCCACGATCCGCTCATCTACTCGTCTCTGGAGACTATATCTGACTGCCGGCTTCCCTTCTGACTACACGACCTGACCTGCTCTCCGCTATTTGCGAGCATTTGTCACCATGTCGGGCGGTGCGTTTGACCTTGCATTGCTCCTTCTCAGCTCCGTGTCTTGCCCGGGGCATTGCTAACTCCAATACTCCGCAACAGGTAGTGCAGGCTTCGATCGCCATATCACCATCTTCTCCGAGCAAGGACGGCTATATCAAGTCGGTACGTTCCACCGAGCCCTACTTCAGTCAACGAGACGAGCATCAGCCCCTCGCGGCTTCACGCCAGACCACCCATAGACGGAAGCATGGGATGAACTGATTGGCTAACTATGGGATCTTCATGCAGAATATGCGTTCAAGGCAATCACCGCTGCGAACATCATGGCGATAGGTGTTCGGGGCAAGGACTGCGCCGTAGTCCTGTCCCAGAAGAAGGTCCCTGTACGTACTTCTCAGCCTTCTGCAGTGAACCGCGAGTCGTGGGGCTGAAGCTGATCCAACGTACTAGGACAAATTGATCGACCCTTCCTCCGTCTCACACATCTTCCAAATCTCCCCGCTGGTTGGCTGCGTCATGACCGGATCGATCGCGGATGCCCGGGCGTTCGCACAGCGAGCTCAGGGTGAGGCGGCCGAGTTCAAGTACAAGTACGGCTACGAGATGCCGTGCGACGTTCTGGCCAAGAGACTGGCCAACATCAGTCAGGTGTATACTCAAAGAGTGAGGCTCCAACACGGCTCCATCCGTCGGTCTAATTGCCAACTTCTGCTGACTCTTACTGCTAGGCATACATGCGCCCGTACGGGGTAGCGACGACACTGGTGTCCTTGGATCAGGAGTTCGGACCGCAACTCTACAAGTGCGATCCGGCAGGTTACTACATCGGATACAAGGGCACGGCTGCGGGACCTAAGCAGCAGGAGGCTCTCAACCACCTCGAGAAGAAGCTCAAGAACAAGGACCATGCAGAAGGCAGCTGGGAGGATGTTGTGGAGCTGGCCATCACTACACTTTCCACGGTTCTGAGCATGGACTTTAAGAAGGGCGAGATCGAGATCGGAATCGTTGGAGGCCCCCGGGCGGATGGCAAGGAAGGGTCGGACCCAGCCTTCAGAACCCTGACCGAGGACGAGATAGACGACCGACTACAGGCCATTGCCGAGAAGGACTAGTGCCCCTGGCGCCAGGCCCGTAAGGCCGAGCGTTTGGATGGGTGTGAGTTGCTCCCTACAGTGGGAGCTTCCGATAGAGGCATGGGTGCTTCTACCCATATCCTTGTGTGCTATTAGTTTCATGACCATCCCATAGACTCGTCAAGGAATACTCGATTTTCGCAATACCCAGTTCCAAAGCCTATTAGCATACCCGCCACGCGTGTTCAGCTTCTAGCTGGAAGCACAAGCTATGGGAGTTGGTTCTTGTTTCGGTGAATGTACTTTTGTATGGAATAGCTGGCTCCGGCGGTAAACAAGCGGTCTTCCAAAGCTCCCATTCTGTCGGGGGTTGACGTAACATCAAGATCAGCTCAGATGACAGCTGCGACCTCTTTGTATTATATCAACAGTCTTTGAACACCACGAACGTGTCGAAAACGCCAGCGCGAATGATACGCCCCTATGGAATGGCCAACTGTAGACCTTCAGCAGCCCAGCAGCCATGTTCTGCAATGCTGAACCGCAAGTCTGGTAACCCATGCAGTCCACCATTGACGCACGCACATTCATGGCTTACAATACCTGACAAGCCGGACAGTGGACGCCCAGAAAGCTCTTATTTCTTGTTTCTCCGAATCAGTGTCGTGTTGGATCTGCACGACAAGCAGCAGCTGGAATCTGAAGGTAGGAACAGAAGAGCGGTGGCTGAAGCCGCAGCAAGATTGAATTGACACGTCCAGAAATATCCCGCTCAGCTGCGCCCGACAGTGGCTCACAGCTCAGAGTCCAGCAACAACTCCCTATTGGTCGGATCTCTTCCACACTACATCGCGGCAAGCCATGAACTGGTAGCAACCAACTCCATCTCACCTGAAAGCCGCAGAGAACCACGCTACATTGGGAACTAGTCATCACTCGTGGCGCGCTGAAATATTGACTTGTTCTTCACCCCCCTGACAATCGATCTTGATACCTCCACACTGACAGGCACTAGCCTCCAAATGGCACCCCTTACCCCTGGGCCCTACAGCACGGTTCCCACCGCCTCGGGATGATGCCGTGCCAGTCACGACTAGGGACACACGTTGTGACCTTGCAGACGGGGGCATAGAATGCCACGCGACGACGGGCGCTGGTCGCATGTACCTAATTGCCATGGGTTAGTGCATCAGGGCTTATCAGTCCCAAGCCCGGGAGGGAGTAGACAAAGACAAAGAGCTCAACGTCCAGCTCGTTCAGGATACCTACTACCGCCAGGTCTGAGCCTACTGGTTGGTGGCCCCGTGTGCCTGTCCGAGACCTCGATGGCATCTTTGATTCGGCGAGCGTGTTGGTCGGCGGTGTGGGTTTGGAGCTGACCCGTGAGGCCGTCCGCTTGCTTGGGATCGACCGTATGGACTGACTGGGGAGGGACGCAGAAAGCTCCCTCCCTCCCGGGAGTCTGTCAACAACTAGCTCCCGCCTTGTGAGGATGTCAGATGGGGCTCTTGATGACGATGCGTAAGAAGCTTATGTGTTCGTTCTACAAAAGCAGAGTAGATTCGTCACCGTTGATACGTTTCATGATGGCGTCTCTTTCTGTATCGTTCGAAGGAGGTGTCTACACTTCTGAAGCCTTGCCGCTCCTTGGTTGCCCCCTTGGTTCAACGCCGATTTTTGCCAGTTCCTCTGCTGCTGTTTGGCTTGATATTCGTCGCAGTATAATACTTCCATTGTCTTTTCTGGCTCGAAGGCGGTGCCGATACATCCAAGCCCTACAGCCCAAGCCAGTGCATCTAGCCAGCCACCCAGCCAGCCACTGCCGGAAAGGAAAGGAAAATGGACGGACGTAAGTTGTACCACCCACCCCCAGCTCCTCGCTCTCCGAGCCCCAATAGGACTCCAGGCGGTACCTCTTCCTCCATAAGTTAGCGTTCTTCCCCTACTAACCTGAACACCACCTAGTCAACGAGTACCGCCGGGCCCACGTCGCCGAGGTCCTGTCGGATTTCCGCACGCTGCAGTTCCACATCGCGGCCGCGCCCACGGACCCGCCCAACGGCGCCGACTACCAGACCGAGGGCTGGGCCGCGCTGCGGCAGTGCGGGCTCGATGGGCTGCATATTTTGAATTGCGCGGCTGATACCTCGGTGCCGCAGACGGGGGCCGGCGGCGAGGTGGAGCAGGAGAAGGCGGAGTTGAGACAGTGGGTTTTTTTTTTTTCGTTTTTGAGTACCTTCCTCTCTTCCCTTTCCTTTTTGAGGCATGAAGCATGAAGCATGATGATGTACGATGAGTGGCGAAGACTTTGATAATGAGGAGACGTGCTGATGATAAGGCTTGGCCGGCTTCACAGAGTCCTCCTCGACGCCTGCGCCCGCAGACACGTGGCCCAGAAGATCTACCTCCGGCAGGCGGCGGCGCAGCGCTGGGTCGAGTACCGCGAGCAGGTGCTGCAGGGCCAGCGACCGAACTTGTCGCATCGGCGGCTGCTGAGGGCTTGCGATGAGCACTTGCGGAATGTACGTTTTTACCTAGTGGCTTCCGTGTTCTGCCCCGTCCGTTTTTACCCTCCCTGTCTTACTGATAGGTCTTGCATTGCCTACCCCTGAATCCTCTAACGAGGTAGAAGGGTTTCGTGGTGGTACACGGTTGGTGTGTTGAGTGTGTTGACTGACGAGCGGTGGCAGGAACTGGCCCAGGTCACGGACGACGCTGTCTACCAGGAGCTTCAGAGTTCCGACTTGGCGATGGGACGCTGGATTGCGGAGGACCCAGGCTTGAGGCAGGTGCAGCGCTGGGTGCGGGCTCGGCCGCAGACGACGTAGCTTGGACTTCTCCATTGGGAATGGCAAAGGGGTACGGTAGCCCCTGAGGCGCCGTGGATCACGGATTCAAGTCGCACGGACGAACGATCAAGGGCGAGGTGGAAGAGATAAGGGAGAGAGAGTATTTTGGCCGGACGAGGGCGTTGGTGAGAAGGACGACACTCTGGGGCTGGGACCCCTGACGGGACGGAGATGCCAGGCGCATCTCATACACACACACACACATACTTTACAGCCGCTGCGACGAGCTTACTTTTCGCTTCCGGTACCTATGATACAAACTCTACTGGCATCGAGTGCTAGTAGATCGACGGTTTCGATGGTGTAAGAAGACACATTGTGGAGACGATGGAGAGACGGGCAACTATCTATCTGCCTGGCGCAGAAAAAGGCTTCGTGTACTTAGATGAAAGATACCAATATGGCTTGTAACATTTGTACATACTATTGCTTCGCCTCTCGTTGCGGGGGCAGGACCGGTGCTTCGGTCCAAGCCGTGTTCCTCGCGAAGCTATGGCCGATGTGAGCGTCGAGGACCAGCCGGGAGCGGACGTGGAATGGTAAAGGTATCCGCGGAGCAGGGAGACCGTTGCTCCTTTTCCCTTATGAACCTGGCATTAGAAGAGCTTGACAGACCGTTTCCATTCCTGCGCAACTAGAAATTGTCGTGGTCTTTTCTAGCTCATCGTCGGGATCTTCGACTTCTTGACGTTGCCAAATGGCACTCGTTTCACGAACTGATTACAATGGCCACTCCCTGGCAACCAGCTGCTTCGGCTTCGGCTCGGCTCTGCTACCTTTGCGGAGAGATGGGTGCCACATGGCATCGGAGCCCCACGGGGGACCACGATGCGCTCAGATGCAGCCGGCTGATTCACCCCATTGTATCTACATCCAATCACGAGCCAGGGCACTACCGATCCTCCCACCTGACAGTCTCTGTCCGCTACGCCAATGATTCAGCCAACCATGGGCTCACTCAGTGCTTCGGCGTGCACTATGACTTCGACCGTTGTTTCCGCGGGAGCTACACGATAGACAGCTAGAGCTACTTCGGTACTGCAACCGAGAGGCCTCTTTCACAACCCACTTGGGTATACCCTAGTGTCAAGCTAAGGTATCAATCTTCAGCTTCCAATGTTCGCGGCGGCGATGCTAGAGAACTATTGGATGTCGGTTCGTTGTCCAGAAGAAGAAAAGACTTCGTTGCGGGCCGTCCCTTCGAGGTCAAGTTCTCCGGCCAATCAGAACATGCACCGGCAGGATCAATAAGGCCCCGCACCTAGATCCGAGCCCGTGGGACATGACCCATTTAAATATGTACACCCCCAGACGGCATCGTGACGTTCACCTTTTTCCACTTTTCGGGAGGCACCTGCAACAGAACTGGAAATTTCCATTTCCATCAATTCCTGCCCAAGCATCTCTTACGCATAATTGAAAGACTGCAACAGTACGGGCAACCATCGAGGAATTCGCATGTCGACACATGCAGCAACTAGAACCGAGCATTAGCCCTCAGCTGAGACTGCGCGGCTGCATTGCCAACCGAGCTGCACTCAACTGCAACCCGGTCAGCTGATCAATCACCCAGACAGAAGCTGAGACTTCGGTAAGTCCGAGCCACGACAACACCGTCGTCGTTGTCATATCCTCCCGACACCCGCCATCTTCTTTGTATCCCGCAACTCTCTGCCTACATAGTGCGTGGATACACTCGGATGGCGGAGATGGATAGATCCCGTCTTCGTCCCCTAGGCCATGACAAGTCAATTCGCTGAACCATCTCTTGCACCATGGTGGGATCAGACATCATGGCTTTGGACCACATTCACACCGTCCATCATTTCGTTTTTCTCGTTTACTCATTCCTGTTAGGCCCTTTCTGATTAACTTGCTTGTTCATCAGTCCGCTCTCAGAGATGGCCGCAGCCACCTGCAAAGTCTGCGATGACCCTCTTGTTCTCGAAGTCGATGATGATGAAGAGGGCGGCAACGCTGAGACGCAGCCCGTCCCTGACGATCTAGAGCTGTCGTGCGGCTGTCACTTCCACTGGCAATGCCTACTTGACCAATCTTCAGAAATTGCCATCTCCCTCAAGTGCCCGTCCTGTGATTCGCAGGTCGCTGCGAACACGGCAGGACCATCGGTCACCAACCCCTTTCTACATGCATCCTCGGGTGCATCGATCTTAACAAGATACAAAAACGAAGGTGGTGTGCAAGAGAACCTTGACATCCTCCCGGCCGTCACCGAGGAAGCCTACCTGGAAGCCAACCCGGCGGCTCGGCCAGCACGTGCGTTCCATGTCATGTGCTGCGAGGGCGATTTCGGCGGCATCGTAGAGCTGCTCCGCGATGCCGATCAAGCAGACGGTGAAGAGCCGACAATGGATCCAGCGCAGCTACTCCGCTATCAAGACCCCCTTGCTGATAAGAAGAGTGGCTTGCATCTCGCGGTGGAAAAAAGACAGGAGGAGGTAGTGTGGTTGCTGCTGTGGATAGCATCCTCACTAAGCACGGAGACCTTCCCCGAACCGGCGATGCAGGCGGCTCAGGCGATGGGCCTACACCGTCCCGCCACGTCTGCTTCCGATGACATTCGCTCGCTCCGGGACGATCAGGGCCGGACGGCGGAGACGGTCGCGGCCGAGATGGGTGGCGTATGGGCAGCGATGTTGCAGGCTGGCGCGCTGCACCCGGGGTCGTCATTACCTTAACTGGCCAATGTCTACTAACCGGAGAAGGCAGTGCACTTCTACGACAGGCGGCTTCAGCACAGCATGGTGTCTACCTACATATATCCACACAGCTCTTACGGTACCTACGGCTCCAGCACAAACCCCGTTGCTCCGCTCGGGACTTGCTGAGAACAATGGATACATGTCGTCTTCAACTTCACATAGTGCCTATCTGCTCGCATTCGATGCAGCGCTTGTCCAAGTCTTGAGTACTGATCCACTAACTGACTGACTAAGTACTAATAAGGTGCAAAGGCCGATCATCTACGACATACCGGACTGAAACATCTTCGGTATCCCAGGGGACGCTGCTGTGACCATTGATTGACATGACTGCAGCGTCTGACTGTGACCACGTAATCAGAAACAGCAGCACTGCAACACGGTCAGATTTCCTCTAGAGATAAGGGCCAGCCCGGCCATTCAGACAACCTAGCTCAAGTGTGTGAGGGTCCATGGGATATCCACGCACACACTGCCTGCATTTGCTCAACCCCCTTCGGCCCCCCTACTTGGAGGTATGCAAAGTGTGTTACCTTAAACCAGAGTGGGACGCAGCACACCTACTGTGCACAATCAGTTGCCAAGTCCCCGACGTACGTAGCACATGCATACACACATCTGCAGCAGATATGTAACTCATCCATGATCAATTACCCCGTAAGGTAAGGCGTCTGACATGGCAGAGAGGAAAGTCATCCTTTTCTGCCATCCCCTTTTACCCCTCATCCACAATTGGCGACGGCCACCGCCGAATCCTACCCTGGGGTGACCTCTTGGGGAGTACATCTGCCTGTCTAGTCCTGCATCTACATCGACCACACGACCGTTGGTCACATGGAGTGACAGCACTGCACTATGGTCCAGACTCTGTGGGTTACGGTGTAGGTAGCAGTGTAGCAGTGAAGGAGTCTCTTCTCAGCAGTCCGTCGCTGATGCTCCTGCAGATTTTGAGTCATGGCGTGCCTGCGGCACACACTTCTACTTGCAGAAAAGCTACCCTGGACTGCACGTTTGGAGCACGTGGGTGATCCCTTCTGCCTTTTGCCTTTCGCTTCTCGCACCCCTCCCCGCCCCCTTGCTGTACTTGCACCTGCGCCTGCACTTGCGTCTGTGCCTCCGCCAAAGCCAGACAGCGATGCTCCTCTAGTCCACGGCCGCGTCTCGACTTGCTGTGTTGGTTGCGTGTTGGTGCGCACTGCTACCATGTGCTGAAGAAACAATGCTTGGCGTATGAGTTATCACCCGGCCCATTGCCTTTGGCCTTACCGCAGCTCGACGGCGACGCTGCCGTGCCCTTGAAGTCACCGTCGGGCCTGTGCGCTGCAGCGTCGAGGCTGGGTCGGCTACGGTACAGGTACAGGTACAGGTAGGCATTTCGGAAGGAAGGCCAGCTGCTTATTGCTTATAGGGGCTCTTCCTGCTCGCAAAATCTTGCTGTGTTGGAACTGAAGGGGGGCGGGGGGTGCTGTGAGTGGCGCCTGCTTGTATGCATGTAGAGAGGTTTTGAACAATGTGTATGGAGTTACATGTATGTGAGTACGTAGATGCGTAGGGTTTCAGTAAGGTGGTGAAGGTTGCTGTCCCGTTTGGGACGGTGACCACGGCGATGGTTCGTGGGTAGTTGCTAAGGTATATTTGGGGGTTCTGAGCTGTAGACATCGGCCGAACGTGATAAGGGCCAAGCACACCTGACTTTGACCATGCTCGACGTAAGGTGGCACGACGAAACGACACTTTTGTCAAGGTGCACAAACAGCGAACTGATCTGGGATCCTTCCCCGTCGCCGTAAACCCAGATTGCCCCGTCTACGGACGAACCGGCGTGGGGGGCAAACCTCCCGGTTTGCGTGCAACACACCGCGGTATACACTGCTATCCCACCTTGTCCCCCCTTTATTCAACTTCCGCCCTGGGTACCCCCTCGTGGTCGGCGATAGGTGATCCTCCGCAGCCAGTTTGACGAAACAAGGCGGCGGGCCTTCTTCTGGATCTGGTCCCCGTGGCTTGGGGGATCGACTTGAAAGGGAAAGGGGAAACAAAACGCCGTGGCACACGAAACGGACGTCGGCAGAATGAAATCGCATCGTAAACGGACATGCGAATTGAAATAAGCATCGACCCAGAGGGAGGATTCTGCGGCGGCGGAGGCGGTGCAAGGCATGCTTATGCTGTTGGCAGCTGACGCAGAAAGTCTGGGAATCCTTCCACCTGTCGTGTAAGGGGACTAATACGCAGTCGCGTTGGGGTCCAAGACGCAAGCTGCCATGCAGCTGAAGAAGCCGCAGGATTTGCTTGCTTGCTTGCGTCGCCACGCGTTGCTTCCGTCCATCGTGCATGCAGCGTGCAGAATCAGGATCAAGAAGCCTTTTGCATTTTAGGGGTTTGGGGTTCCAGGGGTTTCAGGAGGATGCTCGCACATATGCAATATCGATGGTGTTTTCGAAAGAGGAGCGGAGAGGAAGGCAGGAGAGGGGCGCAGCGCGGCTGGAGGATGACGAAGAAACATGATCTCGGTGGGAGATACTCTAGATGGATGCATGGTGTTCGCGCCTCTGTGATCGGGAAGGATGTTCCACGATCCTCTTCTTTCTCCGCAGGAGTAGCATTCGTGGTGGTGGTCGCGGTGGCGGAGGTGGTAGATACCACGAGACGAAGGCGTGGCCAGCTAGGTACACCGAGGAAGGATGGAACCAAGGAACATGGGACATGGGATATGCCTTGGCGCGCATGAGGTAAAGGAAGAGGGTGCATGGGGATACCGGCATGGGATAACTACCGTATACGGAATATGGAATATGGGGAGACGGCAGATCTGTACCCTACCTCATACATCATGTACTTCACACCAAGCAGAAGCTTGCGCGCGGTACTTGTGCAACCTTATTTTCATCCTTCATCCTTCATCCTTCATCCTTCAGACGCACATCAAGCACGAGCTGAAGAACCGAAGAAGAAAAAAACGTGGTGGTGTGCAGAGGTACCATACATGAAGGATCAAGCCGGGGCATGCCCATTCGACGAAGAGCAGGAGCCGGCTGTTTGGAGTGAGGTACAGCAGCAGCAGCAGCAGCAGCAGCAGCAGCAGCAGCAGAAGCAGAACCAACTGCAGCTGGCGGGAAGGATTCAGGCCTCGTTCTTCATGTGGGAGGAATCCTGCGGGAACGAGCTGCGTCATTTGCCGTAACGTGACGTGCATGACTTCTTTATTGATATGGATCACTCGGCCGAGATGGTGTCAAGTCCACGTTGTTGCATGCATGCTTGCATGGTTTCCATGCCGTTGGTGTTGAAGGTGCGCGAAGGGGGAAGGCGGAATCAGGGGGAAACACGACGGGCTGGCTTGTGCTGACAGGAAGGCGTGGCGTTGTCAGATGGAGGAGCGTGGTGACGGCAAGAAGCAGTGATGATCATCAGGCTCCGGCCCTGGCTCATAGGATCCTGGGAGCGTCACATTGGCATTGGCACAGGCAAGGTAATATTGGTTGGTTGGTTGGTCGTTGCAAGTGTCTTTGCATTGTCAATAGCTAGCTAGCTAGGTAGGTAGACAGCTCTATCTGCAGCCATGTGAGAAGCGTTTAATGTTACAGTACAAGCCTTTTGAGCAGATCTTAGGAGAGGGCTCCCGATGGGCGAGTAGGCTCGCCAGCCTCCCTCAAGCCTATGGAAATGGCATGCTGCTAAGGACTCAAGTGATGATGACCACCTTGGAGTCCGATGGCTCCTTGCTGCTGTCTTGGTCCTTTGTTTGTACAGTGGTCCTCCGAGTTTTCCAATACGGGACTTCATCCACGACAGTGATGAGTCTCTGGTACGTATATATCCTAGCCAAGGAGATATGAAAATACAGGCGGAGATCGGCCCCCTTTGAGAATGATAGCGATACTTTCTTTTCTGCCGTTAGAACATGCTTTGACTTGGCGGTACCTGGCGCACTGGGTATAATTGGCTGCCGTTCAGTCGTGATACAAATGTGAATAGTCGATGAATCGCCTCTATAACGCCTGTCAAATGACAAGGGGATAAATGGGTTGAAGATCTAGTAGAGATGTAAATGTAGATAATATAGGATTGGAAGTCGGGGCCGATAGCCCATTGTACTGTGTCGGTAACTGGCACAGCCGAGATGAAACGGGAAAAGATACAGATGTGGAGAAGTCATGGAAGAATGACATGATGCTGGTCATGATGAATGCAAATGAGCGGCTGTCGGTCGGCCGTAAGTCGTCGATCGTGGTGTATCGTAAAGTGAGCGTGATTGGCATGTGGAAAGAGATTGACGTGTTAAGGGAAATGTAAAGAACGAGGAGTGCGGTTATCATGCGCCAACTGATGTTGGTTGGGGCTGGAAGACTGCAGCAGTCAGGAAGAGATCGTCATCCCTGTGAATAGGAAAGCTCTGCGTGGGAGAGTCCTTCATGGGCGGCGAGGGAGCCGGTGGAGACATGGGAGGGGTCTTGTTGAGACACTTTAAAATAGTAGTAGCATCGCCGTTGAGAATATTATGACTGCGTGATCGATGCAGCTCCCTGTGCTCCCCTTCGGTGGATCGTCGTGGGGAAAGCTCGGGACTGGTAACTTCGCCATTGAGCTTGGTAAATTCGCTCTCCACATCCGCGAGCAGAGCGTAGACCTCGCTGTCAGCGTAGATGCGAATGCTCTCCATCCGCTGTATGGCCGACTCGGCATCGGCGCTCTTGCGGCTTTGCGAGGGGCCGCTGGCTTCGGTCCCCTCGGCAGGTTGTTCAGATATGGCCGATGGGACCCGCGCGACGACACGGTGCGGGGACGGAGACGGTGAAGGGGATGGGGGCTGGCGGTGGAATGAACCGGCATTTTTCGTTGGGCTGCGCGGCGGCGTTGAGATATCCTGAGGGCTGGGAGCCACCCGGACCCCCATGGCTTGCTCTAGGGTCTCGCTCACGCCTAGGACGTTGGTAAATGAAGAGAGCGTGGCGGCGGCGGCAACGTGCTCAAGCAGCTTCTGTCTGACGCGGGTGCGTCTATTCTCGGCGTGTTCTAACTTGGTAACCCAGTCATCGATAGATGCGTCAAGTTCGGCTAAAGCTTCTTCTTGTTTCAGCATGGACTCGTAGCTGAATTTCGCAACTCGTGGCGATCGGAGGTACTGGCATATGCGGGTATGCAAATTACGACGGCCGGCACGAAGGGATGTATACGTGCGGCGGAGGTAATCAGTCCTTTCGTCTAGATGGCGAAGCTCCTATTTCCGGTTAGATGGTCTTATGATCTCGGGTCTGAGTGGAGTTGCCTACCTTTGACAGGCTTTCGACGTCGTCCTTCTTGAGCACCTCGAACCTTAGCGCTTGGCCGAGTGCCTGTTGCTGTAGATAGGCGACCTCGGTCTGGTCCAGATTCTTGACCGCCTCGCTCGACTTCCAGCCTTGTGGCAGCGACTCGAAGGCCAGTCGACCAGCACTCGTGCTTCTCTTCGATTCTTCGCGCCGATGACCGCCACCTACAGGAGTGCCGTCGGTTCGTTTCCGTGGACGTCCGCGCTCCATGACGCTCCCAGAATCCGATACGCCCCTTCGGTGTGACATGGCAGACGCGGTTCGGGGCTCAACTTCGGCTCTCGGTGTTGTACCGAGGCTACTTTGACTCCTGGCGTGTGGGCTCGAGCTCACTTTTTCCCACGGCCTTGGCGATTCTCGTGATTCTGCCAGAGCTGACACTGGAGTAGGAAGCGTCGAAGCAGTAGCAGCCGATTGTGGCGTATACGGGGTGAAAGGAGTGCGTGATCTTGGTGAATCCTCGGTGCGGGCGGATCGGGCAGCTGGTTCCTGCTGTTTATTTCCGGATCGAAGACGACCGAGTGATAGCTTTCGAGCAAGTCCGGGAAGTGCCCCTTCTTGATTGGGTATCGTAAGAGGTGCTAGGTCTCTGGGCGAAATCTGCTGTCTCAATGGCGAAGCGTGGGCCTTCAGTGAATACATGGGACGAGTATACCAGGTCTCTTCAGAATTCTCGTCTGGTTCATCCTTAGTACAATTCATAGCATCCGCCAGGTGATGTTGCCGCCAGGTGTTGTTAACGGGAGAGCTGTTGGAACGCTCGTGAAGTGCAGGCCGCCCTGGGATTGTTGCTATGGCTTGTCAGTGCAAGCCATGGCACACAGGTATCGTCTTGACTTACGGGAATCCATAGGAACCTCCTGCACCGTCGTCATAGGACCAAGTTCAGGAACGCTGACTTTCCTCCTCCGGTTCAGATTGTGCTCCTTGATCCGCATACGAAGCGACGATTTGTCCGATTTTTCAGATTTCTCGGGGGACTGCGCCGTTGTCATGGCGGCCGCCGGCTCCGGGTCAAGCTGCTTCCCAGCATTTAAAGCTGGGAGCTGCTTCTCCCTAGGGAAAAGGTTGTACTTTCGAGCTTCGGGGTTATGCAACCTCCAAGTGAAGGATTTCTTTTCCTCAACCGACGTGATCGAAACTAGCTGCATCAGGAGGTTGGTAAGCTGTGAAGTGCTGAAGGGGTGAGCTGGCGAGCTCCGGTGTATAGAATCTTACCGAGTCTGTTGAAGTTTGTGGAGAGAAGGTATTTGCTACATAGCTCCGGATACTACTTGCTTCGCCGTCGCTGTCAAGCAGACATGCTGCTATATGGGCCATTGAACCTTGGAAGTCCAATCTGAGGTGAATGACGAACCACACCAGACGCGAGATGGAACTGATAACAAGGAAGACATATATAAAGCCCGAGTGATGGGCCGGCGAGTATGACGGGTGAGGATATATGTGTTTGTCTCGAGTTCAGTAGCGGAGGCGAGCCCACGCATTGTTCTCTTTTCGTGTGACAGGAGCATGCAAGCACTCAAGTGGGGTTGGGTGCCTTGACTTGGTACTGCATAGTGATGGACATAACGGGGGAAACGGGAAGTGCAGGGTACATCAGAAGCTTGTGCTTAATGCACGAATTATAACGTCTGTGTGCCGTTGCATGTCATAAGCAAAGCGGAAAAGTCCCTCTCAACGGTGCTTTCAGGGGGAGGTGGCACGCAACCTCCAGTGGCGGGTGGGTGAGACGAGACGCAGCATCTTCGCGGCCGATGACCAGCTGCAGCCAGGCCCATTCACACGCACTTGTTGCTGGGCTGCCACGAGGCCTGAAGATCTCACAGCCAGTCTGACACAGCACGCTGGCTTGCCTCGCTGATGAGGAAATACCACCAGAACCGGACCAGATACGGGAAGCGGTTAGGGGTATCGAGATATTGGGCAGGGGGCAGGGGAACTAAAGGGGGAGGTCCAGAATGCTGCATGGACAGGGGATGCTGAAACCGCTTAAGCTCTCGAGGCTCTCGAGTCTCGACCAGGGTCGCAGCAGTCGGGCCTTGACCCTGGTCTCAAGCTACGTACCAGCAGGGGCCCTGGATGCGGGTGATGCCCGTCTATAGTGGGATCGTGCTAATACTTAATTGAAAACGAAGGGTAGTTCCGATGCACCGCTTGAGGCTTGGGAATCCGCATGTTATGACTGTAGTGAATAAGATCAGTGTATCCGTTCGCGGCTTCCGACCAAGATACGGCTAACCTTAGAATATCAGGCCAATCGAACATGAGGTGCTCGCCCTTCCGAACTGCCAAAGCTGGGGCTTCAAATCATTGAGATGAAGTTGGGCAGGACTCTGGAGGTCTGGATCGATAAAGACTCATCCGTATGATGGCTATCTGTTGCTGACGAGTCTCATCACGGGTGTCTGAATTGCGATCCGCCGTCACTGTGACATTGTCATGCATCAGGCCAAAACAGCAGTCTGAATTGCTCCGCGATGCCGGTCATCCAGCACCAGCCCTCCCTCCGTTCCACTGCCGAGTATACAAGGTAACAGGGCACCAAGCGATATCAGGGCCCCAGGACAGTGACGCCTGTCGTATGGGATATGTCTGCCGCATGAAACTTGAAGGGTCCAACATGGAAAGGAACATGCCAGTATGCCGTAGGTCAAGCCATCGAATGAATCGATCTTGGGGTTTCAAACCCGGGTGTCTCGCCTTAATGAGATACCATGCTTCTATGGCACTCGCCTGCGAGTTCACGACTGGAGAGGGTGCTTCTCCAGCATCGTGAAGACGAGCCCTTCGGCACAGTCGATATAAACGAGTGGACGAAGATTGCAGGTACACGTTGCATAAACGTGCGTGGTGCTCAGGAATAGCTCATGATCGACAACCCTCTACAGTTGCATCACTGGTGGCCGGGTCGATAACGCGTATCTACTATGCTTCGTCTGCGCCAGGGATTCGCTGATCGTTGCACAATTGAGACTGAATCGGCCCGTTCGAGTTTGTGCTGTGAGCTGCAGTCGAAGGATTGAGACTGCTGACAGTGGCGGAACTGGTGTTTGAAGAGAGGGACCCGAGAGAGTTCCTATGTCATCAGCGGCAGAGACTTCCAGGGTTGCGGTTGAAGCTGGACGATTATTATGTCACCGCACGTCACAATGGTATGTTTTCGGACTCGAAATAGTGTGCGAGAGAGTACCGCAGAGCCGGGTGCTGCCACGGAGAATTTTGCCGCATGGCTCGGGGAGTTCAGTATTCAGTTGGAAATGTCCCGCCTCGAAACGAGTACCACTGTATAAGTGGCGAATTATGAAGGTGGGCGAGGCGGCACGCCACTCAACGGCATGGACTGTTACCTCCAGTCCCAGACAGGATTTTCTCGCGAGTGGCGAGCAGCGAGCAGCTAGGGTGAGCAGAGTATTCGTCCTGGATTCTCACCGAGGCATGATTGTAGTGACAAGCGAGGAGGTCATGACAGGCGAGACGGAGACAGGATGACTAGACGCTTGTTCTCGACTGGAAGCGAGCATCATCGAGTCCGGCGTCCGTAATGGCCGGTGTTGGTGTACCTATCTCGAAGGCATCGAACAGCCTTCATGCAGTTGCCCATACTCGCTCAAGCTGTGAAGGCGGACAGACTGCAATGACAGATTGAATGATTGAATGACTGCAAGGTGTCTGGGCGTCTGGGCGTCTTTCAGTCGGAGGGGTTGGCTTGACGAGGTCAATGCGTGCAGGTGCCGGCTGCGTTCCAACTTGCAACGTTCTGTGGTTCTGTGCTATAGCCGAGCCCGCAACGGGCATAGATGTTGCAAGGTTGTCGATCCAGACTCCGTACTCCAAAGGCATGTTGACGCTCCCAGTGCTCTCGTGCGGCGTGCCTGCAAAAGCGTCACCTCCACCTCGGGCTGGTCGGACAGACCACTGTAGCAAAAAGGAGGTTTGCAGGTTTGCAGGTTTGTGGGTTTGCGGGTTTGCGGGTTTGCCCATCCAACTCAAAACTCAAACGGGAAGAAGGAACATAGAAGTGGGGACTTGACCTCCTACCTGAGAGCCAGCTGCTTGCCAGCTGCCAGCTTCCCTCACCAGCCACAACCGATCGTGTGGATATCGGCATACCCAGAGCTAACCAGCATTGCTAAGGTACCGACCGTAGTAGCTAGTAGCTGGGACCAAATCGCTGGGCGCCATGTTTCGACTGACTTGCTTCCATTTGGCGAAACCGACATCTGGATTGCTTCTCCAGACTACCAACGTGGGCCAACCTGGGATATTATGAAAGTTAGACATCTGACAACGCCAACCCCGGGCCTCAGCGGTAGCGGGATCTCCATCCCACCGGCTCCCGTCTAACCGTCACAGCATCATCGAGCCGCCCTTCGTGACTTCTTACGGCTGGTCTAGCATGTCTGCTAGGCAACTAGTAGATGAAGCAAACAAGCCCAATCCCGGATGTCTCAGGCACAGCATCCCACAGGCAGGTTCCCTGCAGGCAGACAGCCACACACTCTTGTGACGCCGTTGAAGAATACTATTATAGTACATCTGCCGAGCTGGCACACGTACCGGTAGAAGCAACGCAAAGAGCAAGCACTGTCCGAGCTGTATGTGCTTCAATCACAGTATTTCCTCCAATCCCTTATCTGGAACACCGCAGCGGAAGGTCTTTGCATGCTGCTGTCCCTGCTGCTGAACCCAGCAACAAGGCAGAGCTCCTCGTCGTCATCATCGGATGTTTCGAGCCTTCTCGTCACTGCCAACTGCCCAGGTGCCATTGACAAGTTTTGATGCATGAAGTCATCACAAGTCACAGCCGACGACGCCTGTTTCGAACCCCGCCATTCGTATCGTCACCACGACGGGGGACAGTGATGATCGGCTACAATGGTTCTTGTCTAGACAATGGAAGCTCTGGCCGGACATATCCCTGCAACTGTCAGGTACACCGCCGTCACCTCCACCGGCACCATCACTCGTCTTGTTGATACCCGGCTTCGACATCAAGTTGGACAATGAGACTCTTCATGCAGCCAGACTGCGGGGTCGAAACGGCGAGACGCCGTTTCAGGCTCAAGTATATTCGTCTCAAGCATTCTCGTCTCAAGCATTTCGTCTCAAGCATTTCGTCTCAAGCTACGTCCATCTATCTGCGAAAGCCATGATTCGTCCAGTGTGTGAGCTTTGACCTCGGGACGCATCTGCCCGTATTCCAGTCTGATGTCGCACAGAATCCCTTCCACAGCACACCGGGGCACAAGTGACCTCCAAAGACATCTCCTCTGCAGCACCGACCACGAGCTGCAGGACGTCGTCTCTAGCTATTAGGAAATATTCCTTAGCCCGAGATCCAAACCCATGGGGTTGTATCGACGTTAAAGGCCCGGCAGTACTGTGCCATACGGCATTTGAGGATGGTCCCATTCCTGCAGCTCGACCAAAACCACCTGGCACTGGATTGAAACGCTGTCGATCACATCGAGCTGGTGGCGGTATTCTACTTGGCAATAATATTTGCAAACATGCAACAAACAGTGTGAGTGGACTGCCTCTGAAGGCGTGTTCGAATGCCGTTATATCCTTCAGGGGCTCCCCGATCGATGAGGATGCATCTCGTGAAATCCTGCGAAGGATTTTGTTGCAGCTTCGAGATGCTCGCCAAGCCACTTGCCTAGGACGACCGACATCAACCCGAATGCTCGTGACAATGCCGGACCCAGCCCATTCTGGTGCCGTAGTTAGATGAGAGACCCTCACAATCCGCCATGAGTCCATGACAGCAAGATAGCCATATGCTAAAATAGCAACTGAACTAATCGGGGGCCTATTTAGATCTGTGCGCATACACTCCCGCTGTCAGCATGTCTGATGTCGCACTGCAGGCCAGGTGACACCAAGAGGTCATAGCTAAACAAAGGGTCCATCCCGCTGGACTCGCCTGCGCCATCTCCCAACAAGCGTGCAAGATTCTGCTGAGGGCTCTCTGTACAACCCTGCGCGGCGAAAGCTTTCCGCACTACGAGGGGCCCGATTCCGGGAACCAAACCGGCGGATCACCATGATTCGCGCAATGAGGAGAAGGAAGGAGCACTGCCGTTATTGCTACTATCGGGAGGTAATACTGCAGTAGGATCACCTCATCTCCGGGTCCCAGAACCTGCGCCGGCTACCTACCAGGTAGAAATGTCAACGCCCTTCTCGCACTGATAAGAAGTTTAACCTTTAAGTTACGCAAGAAGAAGAAGCAATTGAGACGCTCTAGAACCGCCCCTTCGACAACCCCAACCGGTTCTATGTAGTGATTGTCTGGGTCCTGAAGACATCACCTCAGAATTGCCCCGATCAGACGGTGCCTGGAGCTGAATTGGAGGAGTCTATTCGATATGAATCTTCATGGGAAGACGAAAAGCTCCGCCAACCTGTCAACCTCCTAACCCTATCTGAGACGACGAGTTCCTGCAGGCAGCACGCCGGGGAGATACGACGCACGATGAAGGGAATATGAAGAATCTGAGATATACAGCATCCACCTGCCTGCCGCGGCATGTCTTCCCCAAAACGTGCACTCCTCCCGAGGTGCCCAGACCCTAGGCGATCTCAGGAACCAGATACTGGCACGGGCGGCCCCTGCGAGACACACCCTGGTCCCAGTCCGCCATGTGCGGAAGATGGGAGCCGGTGGGGGCCGGTGGGGAAGCGGCCGTTGCTGCTATGTCTTTTACGACCCCTGGATTTTGGAAGTTTCATAGCACTGATACTAGAACATCTCGGGCTAAAAAAAGTCGCTGAGACTTCAGCTCACCAAACGCAGGTAGGGCGAGGCAAGGTGAAGGGGGCCTGGTGCACAATCTCCATCGTGTCGACGCATGCTGGATGCTATGATGAATTCCCAGTGCCCTCTCTATTGCAAGCTGCAGATGTTCATCGCGGTTCAGCATAATTCCAAGGAAACACACAGACGCTGTCAATCGTTGATCTCCAAGGCCTGGATAGTGCCTGCGGGTAGGGCGATCCGTCATCTCGCTCGCGAGGGTATCATCTCCGGGCTGCCACTGCTGTCAGGCCTCGAAACTGGGAACCGAACCCACGGACGGGCCCGCAAGTGACGCCGACGCTCCGGCCGCGCCTGGGGTTCCATATAAACTTCCAAGTTGGGGTTTATTTCCTTCCCTCGTGGGTTGGAAAACTTATTAATGCCACGATGTTATTATTAGGCATGAAGTTGTGGTCCTTTCATATCAGAACCAAGGTATGCCATTCTCATCCTGAGCCGTGGCGCTGACAGCCAGGCTCGCGATAGTTGCAAATCCTTCCCCCACCCCGCCTCCGCACACCATATTTACCAAGTTTCCAAGATCACGAGACTGCGAGACCAGGTATTTTTTCGCATTGGGCAATATGCCCGAGAATCGTGCGTGTGATGATGCGCGGACACACGCATCCGGCTGCAGGCACGCAGATGCGCGGTCGGCGTTCCATTGCAATGAACTCCGGTTCCGTCACAATCACATTGAAGGTCTGAGAGCAGTGTAATGCTTGTCTGCCCCTAATACCTATCCAGCAGCAGCCTGTTCCTGCGCCAATTCGCGCTGTCCAATTTGCTATGACCGTGATTCCGAGTTCTCTAGACGAAGCGGTGTGATCTATCGCCTACCGGTACCTATATTCACGTCGAATATAGGGTTGGTCGGCAGTCGGGTCCCTATCCCGCAAGGGGCGCCCCGCGCATCGCAGCGGCTTTCGTGGTTATTGCGACGGCGTGCCCTGAGCGAGAGTCGTACGCAACATATCGTTACCACGGATGCGGGATGCTGCTGTTGCATTGCTAACCTTGGCGACGAGGTGGTGAGCCGTAAGCACCGAGGAAACGGGGTTTCCCGCGCCTCCAGACTACAACTCCTTGCTGCTCATTCACCTTGCATCGGTGCGTTAAAGTTAGGTACTTGTTCATGAACCTTCTTGCGACGGATGACGGCTTCATTCCGCGACTGGACTTCTCTCCTGGGTGCGTGGCTGGCGCACGACGGCGGCGTCGGGAGAACAGGAACAACTACTGTGCTTCAGGATAGAACATGGTGGTTGGTGATGCTCGTGTAGAGGTCTGTCAGCTTTGACCGTGACCGTGACCGTGACTGTGATTGATAAATGCGGTGTTACCTAGTACTGCGTGTAAGCAGTGATCCTCCGGGAGCGGGCTCGGGCCTCGTGGTCGACGCCACAGCATGGCCAAACATGAAGCACCTGCAGCAGTACATCTTCACACCACAGCTGCGGTGTGTTTCCTCACAGAGGACTCGGGAGCTATTTTGGACTCTACGAGGCGGAGGCGGAGGCGGAGGCGCAGTACTACCTACACTCCCAATCCGTCGCAGATCGCTTCGTGCGACACAGGCCGCCGAAGAAGCCGACGACAAGGAGAGTTTTGGTCCCAAGTAGAGGTCCCGGAAACCGCCCGCCTGCCTGTCTTGGACATGTTACCTTTACACAACCGTGGTGCTGGGAACCGACGTCTCACAATCGATTGATGCGAAGTATGTGGTGTTTCGCGGGCAGGTTTGTTTCAGCCGACGCACGCGCGGACGAGTGATTATTCTTGGCGTTCGGCGTGCTCTTGCTCGGATGAGCGTTTAGCGACCGAGAAACGAGGCGGCTTTCGTATGTAGATGGGATGAATTGCACGGATTAAGATGCGTGATGTGCCGGCATCCGTGAATGGGGTGCCGATGCACCAGACGGACCAGCGCCCACATGCCGTGTTCATCCCATCATCTCTGATCAAGCACGATGAGCTGGTCGATAAATCTCCGTCTTGGTGTAGTTATCTTCAACGCGACCAACTTATAGCAAAATATCATCAGTCAATGGCCACCTTGAGTTCTCAGCGGCACATCGTCGCAGCAGAACAGAGAACAGCCAGCTGAGGAGCATCCAATGTCTGCTCCCAGCTGCGCGCAGATGGAGGCAGCTGAAAGAGCGGGACAGAAAGACGGAGCTGTAAATTTGTCTAGTGCTTCAACTTCAGGCGGTTGGCAGCGGGAACAGCTGGAGCAGCTCAATGTACTAGCTTCCGAATACGGCAGGCAGTTTGAATCAATTCAATGAGTGGAAGACATCATCTCCTCGGTCCCATAGAGTCGGTCTCATGCGCGATAAACGTGGCTTCACGCCAGCCGGTGCCTTTTTGTTGAAGAGCATTCACATCGCCATCCGCAGCAGCCCCTCGTTCTCGCAATCGCCATCGCCATCACAGCTACGTCGCAGCTTCAGTGCCAGTGCCAGCAGTCTGAGAGCAAGCATGGCGCCACGCGACCCCAACACCCTCGCCAACTACGGCGAGTGGCTCACGAAGCACACGACCGCCAATTTCAAGATCAACTTCGAGGAGCAGCGCCTCGAGGGCTCCGTCGTCTTGGAGCTCGAGTCCCTGACAGACAGACTAAGTCGTGAGATCGTCCTGGACACCAACCACCTCTCGGTGCAGTCCGTCAAGCTTGATGACTCGTCCGACTCGAAGTGGGCCCTCAAGTATCGGATCGAGCCCTACGGCGCGCCGCTGAGCATCTCTGTGCCCGAGGGCGTGGCCCAGGGCCGCGTCGTCAAGCTCGACATCGCCGTCGAGACCACCAAGGACTGTGCTGGTCTGCAGTGGATGACGCTCGCCCAGACCGGCAACAAGAAGCACCCCTATGTCTACTCGCAGTGCCAGGCCATACTGGCCCGGTCCATCTTCCCCTGCCAAGACACACCGGATGTCAAGTCCACCTTCACCTTCAACATCACGTCGCCGCTGCCCGTCGTCGCGAGCGGTGTGCCCGTGCCGTCGGACAGCACCAGCAAGGACGGGGAGGGCGGCAAGCTTTTCCGCTTCGAGCAGAAGGTGCCGATCCCATCGTACCTCTTCGCGCTGGCGTCAGGTGACCTCGAGACCGCCCGCATCGGTAAGCGCTCGGTGGTCGCCACCGGCCCGGAGGCTCTGCAGGCCGCGAAGTGGGAGCTGGAAGACGACATGGACAAGTTCCTTGCCGTCGCCGAGAAGCTCGTTTTCGACTACCAGTGGGGCGAGTACAACGTGCTTGTTCTGCCTCCAAGCTTCGCCTACGGAGGCATGGAGAACCCCATCTTCACGTTTGCGACGCCGACCATCATCAGTGGCGACCGCCAGAATGTCGATGTCATTGCGCATGAGCTCAGCCATAGCTGGAGTGGTAACTTGGTGAGCTGTGCGTCGTGGGAACACTTGTAAGTCTGAGAGCTGATGAGTGCTTCGTGATGCTGACGTGGACATAGCTGGCTCAATGAGGGTTGGACCACGTATCTTGAGCGTCGTATCGGAGCTGCTATCCACGGCGAGCCGCAGTTTGACTTCTCCGCCATCATCGGATGGAAGGCTCTCGGTAAGAGCTCCAGAAATAGATGCAGGCATGATTTACTGTTCTAGACTGACGATTCCGTAGAGGACTTTGTCTCACTATTTGGCGCTGACAACGAATTCACCAAGCTCATCATCAACCACAAGGGAGTAGATCCCGAAGACGCATTCAGTAGCGTTCCTTACGAGAAGGGCTTCCATTTCATCTACTATCTCGACAGACTCGTGGGACGAGAAAACTTTGACAAGTTCATTCCTCACTACTTCAAGACCTGGGCCCGCAAGTCTTTAGACTCGTTCGAGTTCAAGAAGACATTCTTGGATTTCTTCGAGAACTATGGAAATGCGGAGATCAAGGAGAAAATTGCCCAGATCCCGTGGGAGGACCGGTTTTACAAGCCTGGCTTGCCGCCGAAGCCTGAGTTCAATACGGCTTATGTCGACAGCTGTCTGGCCCTCGCCGAGAAGTGGAAGCACGAGGTAGGCCACCATAGGACCATCATGCATGTGGTTTCCCTTCATGGTATACTGATTCGTCGCAGGACTACAAACCCAGCGCATCAGACATCGAGTCATTCAACGCCAACCAGACACTCGTCTTCCTCCAGGCCGTGCAGAACTTCGCGTCGCCGCTTAGCGCCGAGCGGTCGCACCTCCTCGGCACGACCTACAGCATCAGCTCGTCCAAGAACGTCGAGCTCAAGTCGGCCTACTACCTCATCGCCCTCAGGGCCGGTGACAAGAAGGAGCTGTCGGGTATTGTCGATTTGCTGGCGTCCGTAGGCCGCATGAAGTTCGTCAGGCCGCTGTACCGGAAGCTCAACGAGATCGATAGGGATTTGGCGGTCAGGACGTTCCAGGAGAATAGGGACTTTTATCCCTCGACGACGAAGGGGCAGATTGCGAAGGATTTGGGGTTGAAGTAGGCTGTGCATGTTTGGGTGATTGGTGGGTGTTTGTTTGTTTGTTTTGTATTTAACGTGGGGGGTAGCTCCTCAGTAGTGCAGACCACGCCTCCCAGAGCCTCTGCATCGCAGGGTTGTGGAGGTCTCAAGAAAATAAGTACAGTCAGTCCCGCTCACGGGCCCATCCCCGTTGTTGCGGCGGTATGACCTTGGGGTCATCCATCTGGTCCTTCGGTGATTGGTGGGTGGAGGGGTCAACTAGTCTATGGAAAGGGGGAGAGAAAAGTAGAGACTCACTATAATCAGCCACATCATCTTCCACTTGCTGATTGCCTGTCTGGGCGTCGCCAGGCTAAATGACTTAAGCACGCTGCTCGTGGATTACCAAATCAACATGAAGGTTGTGTACCCGTGGCTAATAGTACGTTTCCACTGTCCCGTCAACGCATCAGGCGTGCGACTGCTTAATTGAAGCTGAAATTTTCTTCATCTATACTGGACAGACTATTATCCGTTCCTTGTATGAGGCGTCGGGGTTAACGTTTTGCGTCTATACCAATTCTACTTGTACTCCACGTCTAGAGGTTTTGTCCACTCAGGAGATACTCTCTCTTAAGAGGAGAAGGCGTATTCACCCAGTCAAAGTCTATAAAATGTCTCCCCCCCCGTAAGGTGTCTGAAGACCAACCGTAGGAGGAGAATTTGTCCCTTCCATGCTTCCTGACGTAAGGTTTGTACCCGCTCAGAGAGGCCTCTAGCTTTCTAATCATTGAATAGTGGTGAATAGAAAGAAGCCACATAGTCTCACATAATGCTCTTCCCTTGATGAAAGGCCGTGCCGCCAATGACTCGTAGTTCATTGACTCTGGTTGTTCGGTGATTGGTGATGGCCTTTTACATCTCATCCCTTTTCGATTTCAAACACTTTAGCAACTCCATGAGTAAAGTCACTTCTCTTTTTCTTTCAGGGAACGTGCCTTATACGTGGAGATGTTACTGTTACTGCGCATTGACTGCTGGCACTCAAGTGAATAAACCATGAAGTTAGAAGTCTATAAATAAGCACTAAAAGGGCCGCTTCTGTTCTCACTCCTTCTCTCTACAGCACACGAACCATCTACAACCACCAACAATTCTCTCTACAGCACGCAAATCTTCCGTAACCAACAACATCTCCCCCTACAGCACACGATTCTTCCAATACCAACAGTAAACCTACCCGAGACCACAACACCGTGTGTACTCCCTCAACGAATCCCCCGCTCCCTCCCCAATCTTCGGAAGCAGATCCTAACTTGATCAAATTTTAGCTTCCCACCCAGCACGCAGACACGCCAGATTCACCCGACGATCTTACACCATGTGCGTCAATAGGACTTACATCTGCAGATATTGCCGCGAAACTGTGCTGTTATACCATGAGATAAGGTGTCGCCGACGGGATCAACACCCTATACGCATAAGCGTTAGATACCGGGGCTTGTGCTATGACCGCAGCATGATGCCAAACTAAGTCGGTCAATTGCGCCGACGTTGCTTTGGGGGAATACGGCATCGCAAGTATATCGGAAACGTTACTTGAGTTGTTAGGCACGAGGAGAAGGAATGAGCGGAGGATCGACGCGCTCTGAAGTAAACAGGTAATGTGGTGAGGCACGGAGGGGCAGGAGGTGCTGGCATTTTGGGGGAGGGTAGCATTTAGAGGTAGATTGTAAGAGTCTGATAGTAATACCCGGAATAGGGACTGGTCCATGCACACCACAGCAAGCCGGTTTTACGACTCACTAACATCGCTGGACACGGACGCATCTGTTCAAGGTCGAAACAATTCGAAGGTCCGCGGCGGCACACCACCTCCTGGCTGGGATGATGACCCTCGCAGGTTGATGGCAAGAACCGTGCGACTACTAGCGAGTCGAAGCTGGGTTGGCATTAAGACCAGCATGGAATGGCGAGGACTTCAACAATCAGGTCGAAGCAGCACGTTCGCGCCGTGTGCCTTTTGGTAGCTTTCCCAGATGCTGACAAATCACAAGTCTTGTTGTAATCTATCAGTGGTCTGGGTGGCGCTTGATTAAAAGGTCGGATGGAAAGGATTCCATCCGATATGTATCTAAATACCTAAATTACAGTGGTGAGGTACCTGGGGCAACAAAGGGTTGCCAGGCAGCCTTCATCAGGTAACCTCCAACATATCTGGTGGGGTTACCAGAATACTCCATAGGGGTCCATGCACTGGATCCACAGCCGTACCTAAGTATCTAACGGGTAGGTGTTGAATACACGGATGTTGATTGATGCTATTGATTGTTCTGCTCAGTGTGCCGAGATTGATTATCTGTCTTCTTGGTGGGTCAGATGCCCTGTGCGTCTCTGCCCCACTGGAGATCTTCCGGTGTCTATCTCCGGCTCCCATTCAATAGTAGGTTCCTCTTAACAATTATTAAGTCGTTTCCGTCGAAAGTTCTTTAAAAACTAGCAAATACGCCTAAAGTTAACGCCCTTACTTAAAGGCTATCTTTATATAAAAACTTGTTTATTTATTAACTTAGCTTATTAAGCTACCGTTTAATTTAACTTTTAATATTTATAATGGTTTTGTTACGCTTTTTATAAGCCGAACAATGATTTACTTTAAATAAACGATTAATATTTACGTCGGAAAAAAACCCCTTTTTCGTCTTTTTTAAGCTTATTTTAATAAACTTCTTTACTAATAATTTGAAGCCTTTTTTATAAGTTTAACTTTTCAAAAGTTTTTGAACTTAATTATCGCTATAAATAAATTTAAATTTAGATTTTATAATAGATTACGTTAACGATCGAAAAAAAACCGCTTTAATAAATACTATAACTGTCACGGGGCAGATACAAGCACAGGACGAAGATGCCCATCAATCACTCGTATTGTACAAAAATACTCTGGTAAGGAAAAGGAAGAAGGATCTAACATCCCACCAAAATCTGGTGGGGAGATAGATCCCCAATTCCGTCCCACTTCTATCTATCCAGCTGTGCAGCGGGGCAACACGTCCACCCCACCAAGTCACGTGGTGGGAGCGCACACACCATGATGGATGGCAAATCCATCACAATAACTACAATAAGCCTTAATTCTTTAACGAGTTTTTAAAGCTTGTAATTATAAGTATATATTAATATATATGTGCGGGTTAAAGATCTTAAACTAAAAAGGCTGCAGCAGCATATATTTAAAGTGTATGCGGCCTTATTAAATCATATCAGCCTTTATCTACGCTATTTACTTATATATAGTAAGGACTTCATTTACACCTCTTAGTAACCTATGTTAGTTTTATAAAGGTTTTATTTATAAAAATTCGAAAATACGCGTATATTATCTTATAAATAAAGATAGTATGAATATTATTCAACTTGCGTTGCTTTTAAAATAAAATTAAAAAGCTGAATATTTCGTTTGAAAAACAAATTATATTTACTTAGCTTTCATATGTCTTTTCATAATATATAAGGTAAAGAATTATAAAATAAACGTTTTCAAAAAGACATGGTTTAAAAATAATATATATTATATTTTTAATAACTTTAAAAAAGCTTAGTCGGCTATAAATAAATAACACAACTTTAAAAAGCTTTAAACAAAACTATTAATACCGCGTGAATTAGCCCTTAAAAATTAAAAACCCTTTTCAAAATGAAATAAAATATAGTCGATATATTTAAATTAAAACCGTAATTAACTTATTAAATTCAAAGTTTACGATTTAAATGTATTTTTCTTCATTATAATAAAAATAAACTAGGCTTATATGCTATTTTCTTTATATAAACTCGAAATTGTTTACTTATTATTTAAAAAAAAGGCATTGATCATTTCTCACCCATGGTGATTTATAAGAGGGGGCATGCCTGACTCCATCGATGTAAAGTGCTGTCTTAAGGAAAAATACCTCAGGTGATACCAAATTCTGATATCAAGTCTGAGGAAACTTGATATGTTTCAACAGCTTGCCATTCATGGTTGTTTCAAGCTGTCCAACTTCCACTAGGTTGCCAGTTCATGTCGGGCACTCATTCACTTCTGGGATCCCATTATTGTGAGCCCCTCTCTCAAGGTGAAAGGGGGACCCCTGGCACTCCTGGACCCCTCCGGTCTGTCGGGGTACAAGAATTGGCGGACTGCCCGCGTTGTGGGCAGCTGGCAGCGGCTAAGGGCCACTAGCACCTGTCAATTTCAGAGGCGCACATGCATGGCTGTGATTGGCTCATTGACTCGTCATGGTGGGAGATTAATGGAGCCTCCCGAGTCGCGACCGCGTGTCGGTCGGCCTTGCATTGCTGCTATTTCGTAGCCCTCCACTGTAGCCGAACCGCAATTCCATGTTGACAAGTTACATGACCACAATTTCACAACACCATCTCTAAGACAACGATCCGACCGTGAACCGACATTCCTCACGTCGCCTGCCGAAAGGAGTTTCGCTAGTCCAGTTGGCTCTTTGGATCTGCTGGTCAGCGCACTGCATATCGCTTCACGTCCTTGTGCAGCCCGTCGGTGGTCCGCCTGAACTTTGTTGACGACCGCCTCCTTTGCCCCATTGCGATCCTCCCCAGACGACGCACACGAAGCCTGCGACACCAGTAAAACAACGATCCACGAGCCCATCCCGCCGCCGCATGATCCCGTACAACAGAGGGGATGATGAGTATTGGGAGGTCATAACAAGACGGGCTTTGCTGGGAGCATATATGGTGGAAAGAAACCCTCCTCGCAGTGCGACAACTCCTGAAATCACGACAGACCACGTTGCGCATCACCACAAGCTGTATTAGGCCAAGCCAACAGCCGGTTCGCATGCCCATCTTGGTTGTTTCTCCTGTCGCGTGCCTCGACACTCTTCATATACCAGCGCATACCCATAGTAGACTCGAAGGATCTGCCTTGGGCTACCAAACATCATGGCTGGTGGAAATATCAAGGTGGTGGTGAGGTGTCGGCCTTTCAACGGCAGAGGTAGGTAGATCAGATACCCGGGCTGCACTTCTATCCAGCGTTTCCTGCAAAACACTGTAGATACAAAAGAGTTGTCACTAACATTCCTCAGAAATCGATCGTGGGGCAAAATGTATCGTCCAAATGAAAGGCGACCAGACCATCCTTACCACACCGAACGACGCTGCGCATTCTGGTAAAGGATCCAAGGATGGTGGTCCGAAGAACTTTGCCTTCGATCGATCCTACTGGTCATTCAATAAGAGCGATCCGAACTATGCAGGCCAAGAAAACTTGCACGATGATCTTGGAAAACCGCTTTTGGATAATGCATTTCAGGGTTACAACAACTGTATCTTTGCATATGGACAAACTGGGTCTGGAAAATCCTACTCCATGATGGGATACGGAAAGGATTCTGGTATCATACCCAAGATTTGCCAGGATATGTTTGGCAGGATCAACGGGTTGCAGGAGGACAAGAATACGAGGTGCACAGTCGAGGTGTCGTATCTGGAGATCTACAACGAAAAAGTCCGCGACCTGTTAAATCCTTCGACAAAAGGCAACCTGAAAGTCAGAGAACATCCTTCCACGGGTCCATATGTCGAAGATTTGGCCAAGTTGGTGGTTGGGAGCTTCCAGGAGATCGAGAACTTGATGGACGAAGGCAACAAAGCAAGAACAGTTGCCGCTACAAACATGAACGAGACATCGAGTCGAAGTCATGCTGTATTCACGCTCATTCTCACCCAGAAGTCGTTCGATACAGACACCAAAATGGAAATGGAGAAGCAGGCCAAGATCAGTCTGGTCGATCTTGCAGGCTCAGAAAGAGCCCAATCGACAGGTGCCACAGGAGCTCGACTCAAGGAGGGCGCTGAAATTAATAGATCCCTCTCGACGCTCGGCCGTGTGATAGCAGCATTGGCCGACCTTTCCACGGGGAAGAAAAAGAAAGGGGCCGGCAATACGGTCCCATACCGAGACAGTGTCTTGACATGGTTACTCAAGGACTCACTTGGTGGAAACAGTATGACTGCCATGATTGCGGCAATCAGTCCTGCTGACATCAACTACGACGAAACGCTGAGTACTCTACGATATGCCGACTCCGCCAAGCGAATCAAGAACCATGCTGTCATCAACGAGGATGCGAACGCCCGCATGATTAGAGAGTTGAAGGAGGAGCTGGCACAATTAAGAGGCAAGCTAGGTGGTGGATCAGCCGGCGCTGCTGGTGGCCCACCCGAGGAGGTGTACGCTGAAGGTACACCACTGGAGAAGCAAATCGTCAGTATTACTGCAGCAGACGGAACCGTCAAGAAGGTCTCCAAGGCCGAGATAGCGGAACAGCTCAGCCAGAGTGAGAAGCTCCTGACAGATCTCAACCAAACGTGGGAAGAGAAGCTCCTCAAGACGGAGGAGATCCACAAAGAGCGTGAAGCAGCTTTGGAGGAACTTGGGATCAGTATCGAGAAAGGATTCGTTGGTTTGCACACGCCAAAGAAGATGCCGCACTTGGTGAACTTATCAGACGACCCTCTCCTTGCAGAATGCTTGGTTTACAACCTCAAGCCTGGCAAGACCACCGTCGGCAACGTGGATTCGAACGCGGAGCACCAGGCTAATATCCGGCTCAACGGGACTCGGATTCTTCATGAACACTGCTCGTTCGACAATGGCGCTGACGGCGTGGTCACAATAACACCAAGTGAGGGCGCGTCGATCATGGTCAACGGCAAGCGCATTGACGAGCCGACAAGGCTGCATTCTGGCTTTCGCGTTATCCTGGGCGACTTCCACATATTCAGATTCAACCATCCCATGGAAGCCAAGGCAGAGCGGGACGAGAACCGGCAGAGTCTTCTTCGGCAGTCTGTGACAGTGAGCCAGCTGCAGAATCTGGATCGCACATCACCTTCTCCCCGACCGGGTCACGAACGGTCGTTTAGTAAAGCTGCCTCGGAGTTTGGAGAGGGTCGCCCAGAGTCGCCTGCACCACGTCCTGGGCGAGACTCGGACTGGTCGTTTGCGCGACGAGAAGCTGCCGGCGCTATTCTTGGCACAGATAAGAATCTTCAGAGCCTGACCGACGAAGAGCTCAACGCACTCTTTGAAGACGTTCAACGGGCGAGAGCTGAGCGTGTCAACGAGCGGGACGAAGACCTGGACTCGAATACCTCATACCCTATCCGAGAAAAGTATATGTCCACAGGTACCCTCGACAACTTTTCACTCGACACTGCTCTTACGATGCCTTCCACTCCGAGAGCTGGTGACTCAGATGACAAGTTCAAGGAGATCAGGGAGGGCATGCAGTCGCAATTGGATAGGCAAAGAGAGGAATACCAGGGCCAGCTCAACAGCGCAGAAGCCTCGAACGTTGCGGTGGAAGAAATCAAAGAGGAGAAAGCGAGGATGGAGGAGACTATGACACAACTGAAGGCCGACATGCAGAAGCAGCTCGAGGTGCAGAAACAGGAATTTGAGGCGAAAATCGAGAAGTTGGACCCGCTCAAGAGATCCAAGGCAAAGTCGAAGCTTTCCGAAGAGGAAATACAGCGAGCCAAGAAAGCTGTTGAACACTGGAGGAGCCGGCACTATGTACAGATGGCCGAGGCCGTACTTCAGCATGCTGCAACCTTGAAGGAGGCGCAGATTATGAGCGAAGAACTCGGAGAAAACGTCGTCTTCCAGTTCACTGTGGTTGACCAGGGCCATGGACTCTGCTCATCCTATGACATGGTTCTCAATGACGTCTCAAGCGAGGATGATATTGCGCTTGAGCAGGCAAAGAAGCCGTGCGTAGGGGTTCGAGTGGTCGACTACAAGAACACCGTGGTTCACCTCTGGAGTCTGGACAAGCTTCACGACCGTGTTCGACAGATGCGCCAAATGCATCAGTATCTCGACCAACCCGAGTACTGTCAGCATTTCAAGTTGGACAACCCATTCGTCGAGAACTGCATGCCCGAATACTCTCTCATTGGTGAGGTCGATGTTCCTCTGAGAGCGGTTTTCGACAGCCGAGTACAGGATTTCACTCTGGATGTTCTGTCACCCCACACCTCACATGTCATCGGCATCATCAAGGTCTCATTAGAGCCTTCCAGTGCCCGTGCTCCTTCAAGCACACTCAAGTACAATGTCGTCATGCACGACATGGTCGGGTTTGCTGAGCGGGAAGGCACAGATGTACACGCCCAGCTTTTCATCCCGGGCGTCTCAGAAAATGGGGTTACTACTACTCAGATGATCAAGGATTTTGACGAAGGCCCGGTACGCTTCGACAGCGTTCATAGCATGAGCGTCCCATTGTTCGGTCCCCAAGATGTCAATCTAAGGATCGCCCTTTATGCCAAAGTTTCTACGATGCATCTCGACAAGCTCCTCAGCTGGGACGACATGCGTGACTCTGCTCCTGGCTCTGACGCCAAGTCACAAGCCGCTCGTATCAACGAGACACAGTTCTATACCGCAGAAAAGCATGATCTGTTGGCCCGCATCCAGATCCTGGAAATGAACGAGAGCGGTGAGTATGTGCCTGTTGAGGTCACACAGACCAGTGAGTTAGACACTGGTGCTTTCCAGCTGCATCAGGGTCTGCAGAGGCGCATCGCGATCAATCTAACCCACAGCTCCGGAGATGCATTACCGTGGGAAGACGTCAGCTCGGTCCGAATCGGCAAAGTCCAGCTCGTTGATCACGCAGGGAAAGTGCCTGACATGGGGTCCCCGACTCCTGACATCCCTTTACGGCTTGGCTCAAAGCCTTCTTTCCGGCAAAACGCAAACGGTACGCGCAGTGTGACTATCACAGGACACTGGGATTCCAGCCTGCACAATTCACTATTGCTAGATCGAACGACTGCGGACAAATACAAGGTCCAGCTAACCCTGTCGTGGGACGTCACGTCAGACAAGCTTGCGGAGCCAATGAAGTTCACCACCAACTTGCAATGTCAAATCCTGGGCAGGACATACATCCGTCAAGCTTCTATGCTCTCGTCTCTGTGGCAGCATGTTAGAATCGTCCATTCTTCAACAGCAATCTTTACCCTGGGCATGAAACCAGCCCCGATCAAACGGGTTGGCGACCTATGGAGAATGAACAGTCAGCACGACTATGTGAAGGGCGAGGAGAACCTGAACAACTGGAGTCCCAGAGGCGTCTCGTTGATAGGTGACTTCATCGCTGCAAGGAAGAAGAAGAGGCGCATCACAGAAATCGGAGCTGCGCAATTGTTTCTGAAGAAGATCGGACTTCCTGAGCCCAAGAACAAACCTGACAATGAAGAAGAGCACTCTGATGACGACCTTTCTCCAGTTAAAGCTCACGATGATGATCAGGACTCCATTAACGCCTTGCTCAATGATACCCCTGAGACGTCCAGGCCATCTACGCCGAAACGGCCAGATTCCGCTGAAGAGCGGAATACCGAGTCAGTGGAGGAAGGACCGAGACCAGAAGCTACAGACAACGCAGACAACACAGATGCCGCAGATTCTGCAGTGCCTGTAAAGCCTACGGAGCTTGTTGAAGCTTCCGAAGCTCCCGGACCTGCCGAAGCCAACGAGTCTGCTGCTAAGCCGAGGGAGTCTGAATACAATGAGCAGGAGACTTTGATTTTGACCAAGTGCGTCGACCTCTGGAAGCGACATCCTGATCCAGTCTACAAAATCCTGAGCCCAACAAATATCTCACCTCCAACGAGCGGCATCGCCCCGGAATCGACGACCCCGCCTAGGTTGATCGCTACTGTCATTCGCGTTCCCAAGAATCCTGCCGTACTGAAAGGTGGCTATCTACTATTGCCCAACAACGACTCAACCAAATGGGTCAAGCGGTTCGTGGAACTTCGACGGCCATATCTACACATCCACAATGTTACGGACGGTGACGAAATCGCGATTGTCAGCCTACGCAACTCGAGGGTCGATAGCCAGCCAGAAATTCTGGCTCTCTTCAATGGGCAAGATGGGGAACAAGATGGTGAAGCCGCAACCAACGGTAATGGCACCTTCCAGCCAGGCCATCGTCGAACAGCTTCAGGACGCATCATCTCCTCCATCTGGTCTGGCAACCCAGGCTCAACAGGTCCTGGACTGGCCGGCTTGAGCGAACGCCTACAAGCGGGCGTGTTTGCCGTCTACGGGACGGATAACACCTGGTTGTTCGCCGCTAGGAATGAGCGCGAGAAGCTCGATTGGATTTTGCGCATCGATCAAAGCTATTACTCGGGGGCCAGCGGAAGCACAAGCGGTAGTGGTGCTGTGAGTCCGCAGCCCGGGAGCTACACCTTTAGCGATGATTGAAGCGTCACCTCCTCGTCACCCAGCTAGTCTGGCCCTTTGTCTTTTGGAACCCCACGAGGTCACGACAGTCTCTTTATAATGCAGCATATATCCGGTTGGGCATTTTAATGACTGAGGCGTTTGTTGCATTTTCTTCATTTATAAACCCCCTTCTCTATCACAAGACTCGTTCTTTTGTGTTATTTAGATTATACCCCGTGGTCTTGGAGTTGCGGCTGTAGAGGATAGACAGGCTGCATGTGTTTGGAAAGAAGATCTTCCCATCGGACTCCTCGGTGAATGGTGCTTGCCCAAGGGGGTCAAGAGGGGATACATAGGAAGCAGCAAGATCGAATCCCTTTTGTCTTATACCCGGTCTTGGAGAGGGGAAGAGGACACGAGCCGCTCGCCGGGCGAAGAGCGGGCCGGATGCCGGCTGCCTGGATAGTTTAATACGTACTGGCTACCGTTGCGACGGCCGTCAATCTGGATCGGAGCCGTGCTGGTACGACAACAATCAAATAAACCTGAAACTATCTATCTATGTCTTGACTTGCGAGTGGGTGTCATGCCGGACCGACTAAGAGCTGTGTGCTCAAGCCATGATGTCCCTCACACCCTCGATGATCTCAGTCGTCTTACCCTCCACATCAGCATTCACATCGATGCGGAGCTTCATCTCCCGATCCAGGCTTCCCCCTCTCTCCTTTTCCTCCCTAGCGGCAAAGTCATCGAACGACGCCGGGAAGCTTGTCATCGTTCTCGGATCCAGCGGGCGCAGGATCGGCAGGTCTTCTTCCTCTTCCTCCTCGCCTTCGTTCTTGTCTTCGTCATCGTTGTTCTCTTCGCGGTCTAAGGGAACCAGGATCACGCCGATGCCGTACTCCCCCACCGCGCTGCGGATGGCCTGCTTGTGCCACGCGGCCAGCTCCGGGTGCGTCAGCACCATCAGCGCCGGGCTGGCGCGCCGGCGGCGCTCCTCGTCTGATAGTGTGATGGTGGAGATGGCATTAAACTGGGCGCCCGGGATTGACGGGAACGTGCTGCTAGCAGGTCCCGGATGCGGCCCTGAGCCGAAGGACTCGCGCCGACTGCTGCTCGCGATGCTGCCGGAGGCTAACCGTTCCCGTTCCAAGCCCGACGATGATGTCGCTGATGCGATTGAGCTTGCAGATCCCCTGCGGCTAGTCGATGTGGATGCCGACGTCGACGCCGCAGTACCGCCAAAACCAGCGAACCCCTCCGTAGCAGCCCGCGCCTCCTCGGGAAACAGGAGTCCCGTGCGCGTCATCTTCGACAACCACATGCGGCGGTAACGAGCCTCGTTCATTCCTCCCCTCATTTCCCCCGCATGCATTCCCCCCCTTCCCCCCATTACCCCAGACTCCTTGTCTTTGACGCCGACGCCGGCGCCGACGCCGACAGCAGACGCCTTGGCCGCGGACTCATGCAGGCTGTCGCCCTGGTACAGCGGGCAGGACAGCGCGGCGGAGACGGAGCGGGCGATCTGCAGTTTGCCGGCGGAGGAGGTGGACGCGGTGATGAGGATGATGTACTTGGATGGCTTGATGGGGACGGTGGTGGAGGGGTCGATGGTGGGGAGGCGGTGGAGGAGGACTTGGGGGGTTGGGGGGCGTGGGGGGTCGGACATTTTGTTTGGGTGAGTGCTGTTGATTTTGAGGGTTGACTTTGTGTCTTGCTGGTTGGGGGCGGTATCTGTGAAGGGCGCTTGGTGTTTGGAGTTTTTGAGGGAAGTATGGTGGTGGTGGTGGTTTCGGAAAAGGGATGAAGGTAACGTGAACTTAAGGTGGGTTGCTTCAGCTGCGGGGTGCTTGCTGTCAGGTACGATCGGACTTTATACTGCTGACTTAAAGGCCGGACCTCGCAAAGGACTTCCAGCTGATTATTCCCTCCCCAAGTCCATGCCAGACGGGTTCTTCGAGTATATGCAAGACTAGTATCGGATCATCAGAGTCAGAACATGGGGGTGATGATCGGTCTAGTGCGTTGCGTTTTATCCATGGGTCTGGGGGACCAATCTAGTACTAAATACACACCAAAATACAAAGATGTACCCATCCATTGATCCTCCAGCCAAAGATCCCTTGTCTATCACCAATGAAAGCCACCTTTCCTGGTGCTTCCATCCCTTTATTTTGCCAAGGTGCCTGCCTGACCCCTTGTCAGCTGGCAGCCTCCCTGACTGCCACCATACTGCTACCACAATCCTCACAACTAGTTAGTAATGATGCTGCCCCGTCATGGTAATTTTAGTTGGAATGGCACTTCGGTGGTGACATTCCGATCACGAAGAGGTTGATGCGCAGCAGCAGGATACGGAGGCAACATTTCTATTAGTTACAATGATGAAGACTACGTGGGCTCGCTCATCATACCCGACCTCGACTTCTTGACTAGGGCTAATCACCCCCCTTGCCGTGATGATATTTCTCGATGAGTTTACTACGAACATACCTCATGCTTCATGTTCCTCTCATCCCCAGCATGCTCCTCCAGCAATCCCCTGCTCCCAACCGGAGAGCCTAACTCTTGGTCCTCAGTCTTGCATCGTGCTATAGTAACCGCAGTCGAATCCAGAAGCATATTCACCGCAAAGGCAACTGGAGGCACCCACGCGGTCAGCAGACGTCCCCAACCACGATGAAGAGAAATCAATGGGGGAAACGTACAAGAGATAGGTCACGGACGACCACCCGGCACCGTGAGTGTAACACTCGGTGAACTTGGTCTCGCACATCCCACTCCACAAGCAGCTGCCGGCCCGGGAGTACGACTCCGTGACGCCTTCGGTGAAGGGGTGAGGAGTGCCGTTGGAGAAGATGGTCGTGACGTGGGGCGGGGTGGTGGTGGTCTGGTCTGGAGTGTAGTCCGGGTCTGTAAACGGGTCGACGCTCTCGATGAGGCTCTCGCTGACGGTTTCACGTTCCGTGAAGGTGTTCGACCACCGTTGTGGGGAAGGCGTCTGCGTGGGCATGCCGCCGGCGGTGCGTGTCGCGGTGATGAAGGTGTCTGCTGTTGTGTATGCTGGAATCGCGCTGGCTAGAGCTGCGCTCACAAGGAGGAGGAGGGTTATGTAGTGCATTGTGAATTATTTTTGATGGGCGAGGGGCAGTTGTCGTGGTGCTGAGGGGAGTTAAAGCTGTTTACCGTGATGGATGAGAGGGAGAAACCAGGATTTCTTGTTGCGGGAGAGACTTTATATATGTCCAGGACGACGAACGGACCGGTGACGAGTCTCCGGTGCTCATTTACCAGGCCATACTTCACCAAGCATCCTGTCACCATCCCACAGCCAATTTGAACATCTGTAGAGAACGAAGTGATTAAGGGGACACTGGAAAACATATGCGGAAGGGCTCAGCCTCAACTGGCTCATTTTGACTTGCCTCGCATAGGCAAACACAGATTTGACTACGACACCGTGATTGGACCGTATGGTATTAAGTATCTTTACCGCTGTTGACCATCTTGGTTGTGCTCAGGTGTTACGGTATTACATAATACCTCCACATATTTATGTACATATATACCTCTAGCTTCCCCTTTCTCTTCTGACCTTGCCTCTTCTTCCTTAGATATCGTTGAATCTAGATATTTCATCCCATCAGCCCTGACCAGCGCAGCTGCAGGCCTGATTGTTACATCAGGCACCGCCATTCTGGTCAAACATCATTCGGATGCAAATAACGGAGCGGGCGAAGGTGTATACGACCGAGACTGATTGTAATAGAGTATAACATTGGCTATTACTACTGAGTGTAGTGCGGCATCCATCGCAACTGTCCAAAACAGCGGGATATCTTCTGGGCGGGACCTTTCATCCCGGCCCCAAGCGTAAGATGTAGCCTAGCCAATGCAGTCGCCAATCTTCGACGGTTCGCAATCACCAGAACACCCGTTACACATCATAAAAGGGTGAGGTTTTAGGTGAGATGTGTCACTGCAAACGTTGATCAGGGTCGCCGTATTACCATACGCACTGTTGATCCCAGCAACCTCACATCCATCACGGGCAGTGATTCCTCAACGTAGACGTTGCGCTGACACTGAGTGTCACACTACCAAGACGGACACACGTCAGTACTCAAATTGCAGGCCTATGCAAGGGGGAAGCACTCACGTTGCCACAAGAGCGGCAGAGATTGCCGTAGTCCTCGGCATAGAAGGTGATAAACTAGTGATCTAATCACTTCAAGGATTCGCAAATAATCGGACGTGACTCACCTTGATGGTGCCGCAGCCGTTATGCGGGGCAATCTTTTCACTGGCGTGATAGGGGCTCTGCCTCCCATGATTGAAGTCTCCTGTCCGACCTTGTTGTTTGTCCGTGACATATGCATCCATCAGTTCATGACTTGCCGCTTAACACCAAAGACGTGACTCACGATGGAGATGGGGTCCTAGCAAACATTCTCGAACCAAACTGCGTGCTCGTTAGTATGGTACTCCCAAAGCAAGTGGAGGACTGTTTCACCGTACTCGAGCGTGCAATGCCCGGCACAGTTCACATCCTTGGCCTGGTTGGCGCCGATGATGACGTTCTTCAGCGTCGAGCCCCTGTGGAGGTAGAAGACAGCATCTCTCCAATCTGATCATAAATTTTCCTGGGCCTTGGACTCGGGACTCGAACCTGAGAAAGAACCTACCGCCTTCCGACGGGCCAGCGCAGGCACCCGATCCGCGGTCGTACCTTGCCTACCTGAGATCTGATCGGCTGCGATCTCAATAACCTCTGAGTTTGAGTGTTTCGTCGCCGCCGCAGGGTCGCCTCCCTCGTATCCCAGGAATTCAAGGCAGCAGGTAGGCCGGGGGCCACGGCGACGAGGAGCTTTGCGAAAGAGTGCATCGTGGAAGGTTCAATGGGACTTGACAGATGAGTTCTATGCTATCACGTGGAACGGGATGTCTTGTATTCTTGATCGAGCTTCCCGGGAGAAGTAAAAATCTTCATGGTAAATATATAGGCGCCTTGTCCACGTCTGCATGTTGGCCGAAGTCGCATTGCTTCGTTCGGTGTTGTGGAATGTGTCATCATGATGTCGAAACGTAGAAGCAGAGTCGAGCCCGACTGTTAAGCGATAGCCTAACGGACAACGACTCAAGCCTCCAAGCCCTTCAGGCGGACCAAGGGCGCTGACCATCAAGTGGCATATGAGAACCGCGCAGGGCTTTGCCATCGTGGTATGATATTTGGCTATTCGAATAAAGGGGGGACAGGGAAGCCAAAGGAATCGAAGCTGATGGCAGCAGACAATAGGCCACCATATATATACCGATTCGCTGCGTAGCATTAGTTTTTCACGTGCGACTGTCTCTTATATGCATGCACTTTGCGACAGATCGTAGTGCCCTTTTAGTCAGTAGTCATCTGCGTGACAGTTCTGTTTACCTTCTAAACCCCACGTGGCCGGTCGTATTGAGATGCTGCAGCTCCGACATTCACGTTGCGAGAAGGAATAGCTAAAAACTACCATGTAGCCCATCGTACCCTCAACCCAAAACATATATAAAGCGCGGCAAAAACCATGGACTCTGGTTCTTCTTTTTTGCTACCATCGACTTATGACCTTACTGCCCCTTACCCATAATGTAGCGATTTATTTTACTTCGACCCATTTATCTAGCACCTTACCTTAACACGGCTAAAACAGAAGCAAATATCCTAGCGTCTTCAGAGCAACAACCGACAACATGCTTTACAGATCTCTCATCTCTCTAGCAGGATTGCTGCAGCACACCATGGCGGCATCAGTCGCGTGGATAGACACGCCAGACCCCAGCAGCAACTGCACTGTCTCAGCAGATCTGCCCAGCCATCTCCCAGACCAATACCTCGCCAAGGTAGCAGACTGCACCGCCATGGTAGCATGGTACCGCGACCACCCCGGCTACGCGGTAACCCACCAGTGGATCGACGACACGGCCGACGAGTTTGTGGACATCCACATTCTGGACAGCTGCTTCTTCTCCGTCAAGCACCGTGCAACGACGACCCAGAATACAGCGTAAGAGCCCCCTTTCCGTTTGAGAAATTGACCATATCTAGGGGTTTTGACATTTTATTTGTAGGATCGGGAATGTTGACGTCCAGCGGTACATGAAGCTCCTCCTGAACGAGGCGCTTGCGGACGGCTACACCAACGGCCACGGCAACATGACGTGCGTCGACGCCGACGACGCGGCGCAGAAGGTAGACCTAGGATACCGAGTCTGGAAACGGACCCCCAGCAGCCCGATCCAGACCCATAGCCCCCGTGACTCCTCCGCCGGATCCCGCCGCGCCGCGCCGCCGTCCTGGCTCACCCTCCGCTAGCTCGCAGCCCTGACCCTACCACTCTTCTTCACAAGCACTGCCAGCGCTTTCGACAAGACCTGGATCTCGACACGGGGGGATCGTTGCTGAGAAGACGTCCGGCTGTTTGGATAGCTGCGATACCGCAATAGAGTTAATGACGGCCACTTAATATTACAATGACCCTTACTGTACATGGCTTTACATGCTTGCTTCCGCTGTTTGCATCCAAGCAAAGTTTGTCCGGAGAGCGGAGCCTGTTCACAAACATATCGGCGTCTTTCGGTGTGAGCGCAGCATTCGCAGTTAGCCAGTTGCAAACTTGAAGCTCGAGCCCTTCTGCATGTACTTACTAGCTTCCCCTTAATCACTTCGTGCTTCGTTTTCCACAGATGTTCAGATTGGCGGTGGGATCATGTTGATTGGGATGCCTGTTGATGCAATTGCCTGATGAGTGAACGCCGCACCGGAGACTTGTCACCGGTCCTTCCTTTCGACGTCGTGTCGTGGGTATATAAGTCTCTCCCGCAACAAGAGATCATGGTTTCTCCCTCTCCCTCTCTCTCATCCATCACTAGAACAGCCAGCTCCAAAACCCCTCCACATCACACCACGACACTCAACCCTCGCGCAGCAGCAACCATCACCCACAATGCAGCCCACAACCCTCCTCCTCCTCGCGCTCAGCGCAGCTCCAGCCAGCGCCTTCGACAAGACCTGGATCTCGACGCAGGGCGACCGGACCGAGTGCGGCGAGCAGATCCAGGAGAACGCCGACCTGCCGGCCGAGAACCGCGCCAACACGGCCGACTGCAAGCAGATCGCCGACGTCATCGGCGTCAGCGAGGGCTACTGGCGCACCTACGACTGGGTCGACAACGCCGACCCGCGCTACACGTGGGTCGACCTCGAGTTCTCGGGCAACTGCGTGTTTTCTGTCAAGCATGCGGATCCGAAGTCGACGGCGGATATTCGGTAAGTCTGACTGGCCCCCCCTCTGACTCTCTCTGTCCATTTTTTGCGCTTTCCATCGATATGGTGTGGTATGATGCTGACACGGTGGCTCACCCACACAGAGTCGGCAATGCCGACATCGAGGACTACATCCGGATTGCTCTGCGGGACGGCGACCACGACGGCCAGATGGCCCAGCATGGCACCTTTTACTGCCAGAACGCCAGAGACTTCGCGTACACTGAGCTGCTTGAGTGGAGAGTCTGGAAGTATGTGTCGCACACTGACCGGGTCTCTGCTACGAGCTCAAAGGATGAAGAAAAGTAATCTGACCAGATGGTCGGTCTGCCGAGATGCCCTTATATTGGTATGGAGCAGTAGATATGGTGGACCAGGTAGACCAGCTAGCTAGAAGCCAGCTCTAAACTACCACTCTGCAACAAAGTACGAGTTTCCAGGGCTGTTACAAACCCTCGCATAGGCGGTGATGATGTGGTCGGTGCCGCACACCCTGTTTCTGATGATTGACGCTCGCTCGTCGCTGGAGGCCTCTTGCTGAGATAGCCTGCGTCGTGAGGTTCCGGGCTTATGCTCGGTGGGGATTCTTGGTTCAGCTGTATTTACATAAGTAGGTACCAGAAACACTGTCGTTTCATCGATCGTTTGACCGTTTTGTGAAAATGAAGTGACTAGCACCTAAAGAGGCTATTCGGGATATTATGTAATTAAAGATAATACTTCCGCGTGGAGTTTGGCGCTGGCTTCCTTGTGGCGTGTTGTCATACAGTTGGTTATAAGTACACTATCCAGGTGGTAACCTCTCATTGTGAGTCCAGCCGTTCCGGGTTGTGATTTCACGTAAACCGAGAGGACGGTGCCGGCCGTGAGTTCGTTAGCCACGGCGTTGATAACGACACCTTGACGCTCCTATCATATTCGCCTTCCAATTCCTGCTGGGGTGTTGTTGACTGCACATGGGCAGTTTGATATGGCGGCACGTGGGCAGTTTGATATTGCGGTACATGGGTCTCATGAGATGGCGTCACCTGTACATCCTGGAGTGGCGGCGGGTAGGCACCTGCATCGCGGGATGGCGGCGCATAGGTCTTATAGGGCATTGGCACGTAGGTGTTCTGAGACGTCGCACCGTCCATCTCTCCGTGGGGAACAATCCACGCTTGCGCGTGCGGGTCGTGCGCCGGCGCATATGCGTTTGGCGATGATGACTTGCTCCAAACTGTGGTTTCGTATGGCGAGTGCGCGGGTCTGTCGACCAGATTTATCGACTCTCGACTCTCGGGGTAGTATGTCGCAAAAACCTGCGTCTCTGATTTCGTTGGGCCTCCCGCAGTGTCACCGCCCCCGCGCCTCTCTTCGACGGGTTGCGAGCTCAGTGCCTTTCTCGCCCGGTACATCATGAATATGCCAGCTGCCAACATGGCGAGTCCGGTGACCCCCAATGATACACCGACACCGACACCGACCGCTGCGCCTGTTCCGAGCTGGTTGGCGGTCGCGCAAGTACTATTCCCTCCCCTCGATGCTGTCTCTGCGGCCTCACCGAGAGAGGCGGTCGAAGCCGGGCAATCGCCTGAGGTCCCGGTGGAAGAACTCGTCGGTATCGCAATCTTCCAGCCATTCACCGGGATGGCCGCAACGGTGGTATCTGCTGTGCAAGTCGAAGTCGTAGTGTGCCATGCCCCCGAAGAATCGCGCTCAGCGAATGTGGCGATATCACCTTGTTTGTACATTGATGTACACTGTCCCGTGTCTCCGGCTTGGTAGAACTTCCCCACAAAGTCATAGTCCCTGGTACAGACTGTCAGCATCGCCAGGGCGCGCCTATGCTTACAGGAAGAGACTCACACTGGACAGCATGCCACAAGGGAGCTGGACTCGTCTTTGGCAGACACGGACGCTGTGTAGTAGGCTTCCGGACAGGTGATGGGGCCTACGCTCAGGACTGTTTGGGTGTTGAGACCCAGCCGGTCTGCCAGCCACCATGTGGTCACGGCCTTTGGCAGACACGTCGCGTCCGTCTGGACACTGATTCCATAGCCAGGGTCCCAAGCAGCGATGGTGTCGGGCACGAACCTCCACTTGTAACCGTCGCAACCTGCTTGATCGGGGTGCGCTGTCGTGATTGGGATCCAGGACGTCACGACGCCGGCGTTGGTCTCGGGTAGCAGGTTCATCTCGATCGCGGCGTGGCCGTTGTCGCTGTCGTGAGGGAAGAGAGAGAGCGATCACCCCCTCGCGACGAGCTGGACAGGATCATCTGGCACGCAGCCCGGGCTTTAAGACGACCCCCATAGCGAATAGCCTATTCGAAGTCTTGTGAGGGATTGTGTGCAGGATTCCCACTCTAGTCATCCATGGTGATCCAATCGCGACAGCCGCCCAGGCAACCGGGCAGGGGCTATTCCTACATATCGCCCCAGCATGTTACCAGCAAAGTTGAATAAGGCCGGTGGCTAGGCTGCTTGTAGACGGCTTCTCAAGCTACCTAGCCGACCTAGACAATCAGAATGCAAGACGAGACCCGAAGGATCGGTAACCCAGCGCCTCGTGTTGAGTGAGCGATGTGGGTGGTTGATTTGCCGCGCTGAAGATGGAGCCGTTCAGGGCTGAGAGAGGGGCGCCGGCAGCCACAACCATCAATCTACATGTACTAGGCGCTGCCAAGCCATATACGATGGTTGCATGAATATTAAGATTGATCCATAGTTGCTCCCTGGCTGCTCCTGCTTCCCCATCAACGACGTCACATACGGTCTGGATCCAGCACATATTCCATCGCTATCCACATATTTTTCCTTCAGGTGTAGCTTGATAGTCACCAACGGTTTTGAGGGTTAGCTCATTTGCATTGAAGTAAAATTCCCTCGAACCAGTCCGGGCCGGAAGTCGAGGACACGGTCTCACCAGGCCTCTCAGCTGACGCCCAGACAGACCTTGAAATGGTTGCCAGAGTCTGGTGACGGCATTCTGTTAATAACCAACGAAGCTTCCAAGCTTGAACCCCGTTGACATCGACTACTACTCGAACAGGTTAGCCCATTACTCCAAGCTTTCTGATCGCCCATCGGGTCCACCGACGGCAGAAAGATGTCGCGGGATAGCCCCCATCACGAAATACACTGGGTAGACCAAAACTCGCGGGAGTTTCAGGCAAGGTCCGAACGATGGCTGGTTAGGGACACCTCATCCGTCGGCGCTCACGATACAATGCCGTCGGAATGGCAACGGCACGGTATCCAGCTTCCTGAGCGCGCTGACGGTTTCCACACGACTACTTCGAAACGTGATACGCTGACGTGAGCCATCGAGATGGCTACTGTTGGCACAGCCGGGACGCCAGACGAGAGGTTCGACTTGAAACCTCCCCCAGGCGTCGGCGCCGGACGCAAGCATCTACCAAAGAAGGCGAGTCCGAGAGCCACGAGGTGTTCAAGAAGGCCAAAGATGGCGTCGATTTCCGGAACGTCAGCTGGCCCCGGACCACTACCATCTTCCTCAAGCTCATCTTCGCCACTGGTGTGCTGAGTATGCCGACAGCCATGTACAGCCTTGGAGCTGTCGGGTGTTTCTTGTCAGTAGTAGGGTCGTCTTTTGGTGAACACATGTGAGCATGAGAACCCGTCGCATAGGATGTGGACGCTGACGTGGGGTTAGATACCGCTGTCATTCAGGGAGACTTCAAGGCAAGGCATCCCGAATGCCACTGTAAGCCCGAAGCTGTGATAAGGTACATACGGAACGACCATTGACGCAGGACAGCTCTCGCCGATATGGGCGGGTTTCTTTTCGATCTTCATTGCCGTACTCATCGTCGTGATCGCCGTTACCGCAGTCGACAGGCCAGCTGCGGCACGTCAACAAGGCGGTTTCGAGCTCGGATACTACGTGATCGCTCAACCGACCTTCGCCGAACGGATGACTGCGACGGCTACGGTCTTCCTGTCCAGTGCTGGAACGTCGGCGTTCCTCACAGTCAACTCTGAAACGGGAAATCCCCAGGACTATCGAAAGGCGCTCTACCTCTGCATGGGGCTTGTTCTCTGCGTAAGCGAACTTTCAACCGCCGCTTATTTTAACTATGGAAAGGGGAGATGAACGAGCCCTGTTTCTCGTCGGCATTGGGGGCTTTTAAGCTGTGAGCAGTGCTGACGCCTCGGGATGCAGATGTACCTGTCTTTCTCACTGGTTGTCTACCGATGGACAGGCCAGTGGGTCGTCAAACCCTCGTTATGAATTGCAGGCGGAACGATCAAGAAGGTGTCGTACGGTATTGGCTTAATTGTACTAATCGTCAGTGGTTGTGTTTACCAGCATGTCGCAGCGAAATACCTGTTCGTACGAGTGTTGCGCGACACTCGACACCTTCAGTCGAATACACGTGCACTTATTCACTGCACGACCTGGCTCGCATGCTTCATCGGCACCGGATCTGTCGTTTTTATCCTCGCCGACTCAGAGTCTATGCATTGGTTTCTGATACTATGGACAGGTACTCAACGATTCTCGCCATCAACGAGGCATATGCGACGGGCCTCATCGGGCCGGCCTTCAGCTGCGCGGATAATTCCAATAGTGGCCACTGAGCAGCAGGCCCAAGGATGAAGGAAGCTTGCGTTCCAGAGTAGAGAGGCTCCTTCGGGTTGCGAATCTTGCGGGTAGGATTATGGATCCCGCTTCTTCAATTTGTATGTCGATTGCGACCGTGTTAATGCTTCTAGGCAGCCATAGAAGGTATTAATAGAACCGAAGCTCATGACCTCATCCCGTGACGATCAAACGTTGTTAATCATCGGATCCGCCCGCCTGATTCCAGAACTTACTCTATTCATCCTACGGTCTCGTCATCGTGGTTGCCTAGCTAGCCATGCGGCTCCTCCACCCAGAAACGGTACGCATCCTCAAGATCCAAGATCAATCTTGTGCGACTATCCAGACCTGTCAGGATAGCTTCGCCAACCGCGCGCCGAGCCTCGCTCTTGTGAGACTCCACCGAGAACCGCAATCCGTGAAAGGCTTATTGGGCGCGAAGGCAAGGTCTTCCAACAGCTTTCGGCAACCTGCGCCATCACAGCGGTCCCAGCCGGCGTGGAAGCCGTACTGTAGGTTATCGTCGTTTTTTTGGCTCTGCGATCGTCGGGATCGTGGTTCATTTCTTAGGGAGTCATGCCAAGTCTTACAGCTTGTGGGAGAGATCTCCTGCTAGCTACGCCATCGCCAAGATGCTGTTCTCGATGGAAGTCAGCCACTACACGTACATAAATACGTGGCTCCACTGTCAAGAAGACCACCGGGACTCACTCCTCTGGCCAGCATTGGAGCTTCACGTATCTTGCCCTAGGCAACCGAACATGCACCCCATTCACATCATTGCCCTCATCGCCACGGGTCTCAGCGCCCGCGCGGCGCCCGTCGTCGAGCCTTGCGAGGCCCTCACATACGATAAAGTTGTGGGCTTCGAAGAGGCGGGCTCGAGCCTCGCGTTTTAGTTCAAGCCCTGGCTGGACGTCCAAGATGGCTGCACCCCGCTGTGGACGCCGAAGGCAACACCAAGTAAGCCGGTACTTCACGGTTCCGGAAACCTATCCACAGGCTGCTGACGGACGGTCTTGACGGATAGTAAGGGTCAGGACCAATACGCACCGATAGGTCGTGGTTGCGACGAAAGTACCGGGCAGGTTTATGCTCGGGGCGCGACTCATGGCGACCACTACGCAATTATGTACTCCTGGTAAGTCCTGACCTCAGTACGCCTATTTCAAGCCCGGCGAAGCTTACGAGAGCCCTGAAGGTATATGCCCAAGGACTCTCCAGCGATCTGGATGGGCCATCGCCACGATTGGGAGAACGCCATGGCCCATAGTGTGGATCGACAACGCTTTCGCCGCCGAGCCGAAGATGGTCGGCCTGTCCACCTCTGCGCATGGCAAAATCGCCACCATAACGAGCGACTTCCTAGTTGACGGCACCCGGCCGAGGATTAGATACTACAACACGTTCCCCTTAAACCATCAGCTTGGCACTGCGGACGAGGATGACAAGGTCGGCAAGGAGCAGCCTCTCATTGAGTGGGGGAACTTGACCGACGCTTCGAGGACCACCCTGCAGGACACCGATTTTGGCGATGCTACTGTGCCGTTCAAGGATAGTACCTTTGAAGGTCATTTGGCTCAGGTTACCCTTTAGCGGTGGAAAGGGGGCTTAGGGTGACTCGTACAAGGGGCGGGCTGCCGGCAGTCAAGCCACCGAATGAATTTCATGTTAATGATCGCTTGAAGACTCCAAATGAATCATGGATGGATGTGCATGGTACTCACTTCAGGGCCTTTATCTATATAGGACTGCGATTTAAGGGAAGCGGTAATTACTTTCCCCGGACAATGTTGCTTCTCAATGGAGTATCATCATAAACGATTGTCGCCACCAGGATGAAAACGAGGAGTATATTTTGTTATCTGAAGATCAAAGAATCAACCCTTGAGACTATACTGGAGTCCATGATTCGGAACGAGTGCAGCCATCGGCGTCCTTCGCGATATGTAAGAGGTATGCTCAGAATAAGCCATCAGCTCGTGCCAGAGTGTACTGTAGGTTAGCGGTAATACACTGATTACAAAGCTGAAGATAAAGCTCAGCCCCTACGGAAACTTGGAACACATCGAAGTGCGTTGACCGCCTGTCACCCTAATGCAGCATACAAGGATTTTATTTTGGGATGGGGGCTGGCCAGCGTTACAATGCATCCATTCGCTGGGGCTGTGATGCTCCCCACCTGGGAGGCAACCGGAGAGGAGAGAGGTACATAATTGCCTGAATGGACATATAATGATCCATAACTTACCGTCTCACGCTGGACTCTTGTTCAATACGTCTCCCTCGATATTGCTTGCAGGGACTATGGACCCTGCGTCTGCCTTTGGTTTGGCGACGAATGTGATAGCTTTGGTAGACTTCGTCAGTAAACTGGTCTCAAAAAGCTACAAGATCTACAATTCAGCCGATGCCGCCTTCGGGGGAAGCACCGCGCTGCGGGACATCGCGACGAATCTGCAGGAACTCAGTCATGAAGCCGAGTCGCGGTCGACGGGAAACCCGCGCCTTCCCCTCTCCCGTACTGGATCATGGTTCTCGTCGGACTTTTTCCCGAATGTGCCTCGTCTGGAAATGAAGTCCAAGGCAGACAAGCAGCTGGAGGCTTTGAGTCGGGAGAGCCAGCGCGTCTCGCAGCAGCTTGTGGATGCAATTAAGAAGCTCATGTCTCTGCCCCGGGCGACAAGGTGGGACACGTTCGTCCAGGCGCTGGCGTGTGTCTGGAAGGAATCCGAGATACGCGCCCTGGAGGCAGACGTCGAAAGTATTCGCAAACAGCTCGACACCACGCTGCTTGTGTGCCTGCGGTATGTTGTAGAAGGGCGAGAGAGTCCAGTGGTCATGTTTATACTGAACAGCGGTGCAGACAGCAAGTGGACCGCATGGCGCTCGATAGGTCGCGATCCAAAGACAACGACGTCAAAGACCTCAAGAAAGAGATACATGAGTTCATGGCAGACTGCCAAGCGTGGCAAACCGATCTCTTCTTCGAGTTGTGCTACAACAACTGGACAACGTCAAGAGAAGAGGATGTTCACATGTTCTCCGATCAAATGAAGCAGTCCATCGAGAGGGACAAAGAGGCTCGCTTCAAGAGCCTCATGTTGCGGCGTCTGTCGTTCCCCGAGCTAGCTAGTCGCGAGCACGAGGTTTGCAACGCGCATCGCAAGACTTTCGATTGGCTCTTGTCGAATGGCCACGACTCAGAGGTGGGAGTGGTCGACTTCAAAGCCTGGCTTCACAGTAGCGACGCCAGCAACTTGTACTGGGTCACCGGTAAGGCGGGCTCCGGGAAGTCTACGCTGATGAAGCTGATGCTCCAGGAGCCGCGAACCACGGCGGCGATCCGTGGTGGAAACTGGGCCAGAGGTCATGAACTGGTCGTCGCACCGTTCTTTTTCTGGAATCCGGGATCCGGCTTGCAGAAGTCGCGAGAGGGTCTACTTCGCACGTTGTTGTACGAAATCCTTCGCGAACACAAGGACTTGATACCACAAGTCTTTGAACAAAGGTCCCAGCTCTACGCCGGCCACTCAGTCGAGTTCTGGGAGTGGACTTGGCCCGAGCTGAGACGCGCCTGGGAACGATTGTTCTTGGATACGTCCCGGAGGTACTTCTTGCTGGTGGACGGGCTAGACGAACTTGATGGCACCCAGGAGAAGACCAGAACGAAAGAGACCCATGAAACTATCGAGCTCATGACCATGGCGGCAAAGCTGCCACACGTGAAGATTTGTGTATCCAGTCGGCCCTGGCTGGTGTTCGAAGACGCTTTCAAGGAGCGACCGAGCCTTACCATGGAATACCTCACTCGACCGGATATCACCTCATACGTCTCGGACTGCTTCGGAGAGAACGAACACTTTTACAAGCTCGAGAAACAGAATGCCGAGTTTGCATCTCAGCTAATCACCAACATCGTCGATAAGGCCCTGGGCGTCTTCCTATGGGTCGATCTAGTCGTCAAGTCGCTTTTGACAGGACTGTCGAACTCTGACCGCATAACTGACCTGCAGCGACGCCTCGACGAGCTGCCGTCAGAGCTCGAGGCTCTTTTCGGCAGGATGTTAGGTAGCCTGGAGCCGTTCTACCAGGTACACGCGTTCCAGTTGTTCCAAATCATCGAAGCATACAACGACATCGTGACAGAACGGGTCAAAAGCGACGAGTCTCTTCCCCTGACACTGCTGGCATTGTTTTTCGCCGACGAGGAAGATCCTATGACAGGCATAAGAGCATCAGTTGGTGCGCTAAGCCTTGAACAGTCGAATGATAGAGAGGAGGATATGCGTCGACGACTAAACAGTCGGTGCCGGGGTCTCCTTGAGGCCACTGAGACGGCTTCAGAAGAAGACGCAATAGCCCCGAGGGTCCGTTTCCTATCGCGTCGCGCCCAGCACGGCAGTGCGGTCAGGTACTTGCATAGGACCACCAGGGACTACATTCGAAATCCCACAACGTGGGCCAGGATAGTTGCCGCCACGGGACCCTCGTTCGACCCATACCGATGCATCGCTAACTCGTTGCTGATGCAGCTGAAGATCACGAACATGGAGACCACCGTGTTGAGCCAGTTCCGTACGGCTATCGCGAACTGCTGCTATACCATTGGGCTTGTCGAATCGGAAGGGGCAGAGTACACCACAAGGTACCTGGACGAGACGGACAGGGCAGCAAACATGCTCATGCGGGCATCCCTGGCGACCAACCCTGCTTTCAAAGCCGCACAGAGGCAGAAGACCAGGAAGCCCAACTGGATCGAGCTGTACACCTCATACAGCGTGGTTTCGCTCGTCGACTACGGAGTTGGCAATCCTATCGACTTTGTGAACCTCGGCTACGGTGACACGGAGGCGGGACTGCAGATCGAGGCCGCCCTGTCAAACTATGCATGTTCCAAGGTCCAGGCCATGGCGCCCCTCGATACAGCGGCGGCCGTCTGGTGGATGGGCAAGTGCGACAGCAAGGAGATACAAGAAGCCATCAAGACAGCATGTCCTGGGGTCGTCAGCGCCCACAGGCGGATGGACAGGAAAGCTAAGAGATGGCGATGGGCGCGTACCCTGAAACCAAGGTGGATTAGGCTCGGAAGTTGAAGTGTTCACAAGTGGGAGAATTCATGTAAATAAGGTATAAATGACCCGTAGTTATTCGACAAACAAAGGGAGTTATTATTGCATGATCACATGATCATAGACAACATAACACAATAACAGCTAAAACTTACGTGTCAGAGTTGATGCGGAAATTCGTCCCCCTGGGCTGGTACGAGAGATAGGAGCCAGCCTCTACTAAAAGCTCTAGCGATGTCTAGGTATGCATGTAGTTGATCTCAATCACACTTGCCAAAAACAACTATTTTTCTTGGCGCCCCGCTGTTAGGGCGCAACCTCGATAAATGCGCTAAAGTAGGCACTTCTCTCAATAACTGACTATCTTTGTCAAGACATAAGAGAAATTTTTTCACAAGCCGGATAGCACCCTTCCACGACGGGCCCCCAAATACGCCCGTGGCCATCCCAAAGACGACCACTGGCAGCGTGCTCAAATCCCTGACCCCTAGAAAGACATACGGCCCGGCAACTCCGAGCAGGCTCCGCCAAGCGCTGCTTGACAACATCAGCAGCAGCCCGTCACAGGTCTCTGAGGCTGACTTCACCATTGTTTCCCCTCTAAAAAGAAAATCCTGAAATATTAATGACGGCAGCACCACTAGAATGAAATAACCTCAATTAAACAAAATCTCTGCAGACCAAGCCATTAGATGTGATATAGGGAGCAAAACCTCTTCTTCAGAGTGCCAGGACCAAGTTGCCAAGATATTAATTAAAGACAAGCACCTTTATGAAGCCAGGATGACAATGTTTCAGGAGTGTGCTGCAACAGTTGATAAGACACTTGAGAAAGCTGGAACCGAATTATACTCTCATGCCAAGAAGTTCAGCGCTTTCTTCTCTAAATGTCTGAACGAGTGGCTGGAAACCCGAGATCCGCCCAAAAGGAAAACCATTCCTGGGGGGATAGGGATAGTAAAGCCCACCATGACCTTTGCCCAAGCTGTCTCCTCTAGCCAGCGACAGTATCCACGGACAGTCAACACTACCATAAGGAAAACACAGCCTGGCGCCCTCATCACTGCCAACCAACTGAAGAAGAAGCAGAATGATCTCCGGGTCTTTGTTCGCATGGATAATAGCCACCTAGAGCCTTACGGAATAAAGTCTACACTAAATAAAAGACTTAAGCTCCACCCTCAAGAGCTTAGAGAAGTGACCCGGTGCCCCTCTGGATTTACCTTACACCCAACAAGGCTACAAAGGAGCTTCCAGCTAGTCCCTGACTTCCAGAGACCAACACTCACCAAGCCATCATGAAAGAAGCCCCTAATATGTAAGGACAAAGACAAAGAAACAGAGCTCTTTAAGCAATGGCTACGGGAGAGAAACGTGAACACTGACCTTATCATCTACTCAGATGGATCATAATTGGACGACCAAGGCACAACCCGCACTGGATGGGGTTATACCATCAGGAAAGGCGGCACCATACAAGAAGTATACCGGGGAAAAGACAGACTTCTTCAAGCAGAAGTTGTAGATGCTGAAGTCCATGGCGCTCTCCAAGGTCTCGTAGCAGCCAGGGCGATTGGACGCGGAAAACGGCTATATGTCTGCCTGGACAACACGTCAATGGTAGATGGGCTCAATAGGACTCCACCCGAGACATCACAGAACATTTTTCTATGATTCCAAGAACTTGCCACGGCACACACTCCTGGAGTGACCGTCAAGTGGATTCCTGGACAGAGATATTAATGGCAACGAAGCTGCTGACACACTAACAAAAGAGGGTGCCATGCTAGAAACAGACGCAACAAACCACAATCTCTTGGGTTAAGAGAGATCTCAAAAGGAAGAGCAAGAGAGAATTCGATCAATGGTAAAAAGACTAATCAGAACCTAGATATCAAGAAATATACTCATATACAGTAACTAAAAGGGACCTTATATCTTTTAAAAGGAGCACTCTACACAGATTCCTAGCGGCCAGATCTGGACATGGCGACTTTGCTAGATATCACGAACGTTTTGGGCATACAGACTCGAATAACCATTGCAGCTGCGGTGAGAAGAAAACACCACAACATCTTTTCTTTTGTAAGAGGCTTGGGAAAAACCGATTGCTGCCCAGGTACTCGCCTAGGGCAGCCTGTTTACAATACTTGGGGAAGAGGAGCACGGAATGGGCAAGATTTATTAAGAAGAGCAAGTTCTTTTCATTAATCTGCCCCTGATAGATAGCTGTTCTTAAAGGACCAGATAGATGAACCTAAAATCATACAGCCGCATAACAGGGATGGGCTCGTGAGCGGGACTGACTGTACTTATTATCTTGATACCTCCACAACCCTGCGATGCAGAGGCTCTGGGAGGCGTGGTTTGCACTACTGAGGAGCGATCCCCCACGTTAAATACAATCAATCAATCAATCAATCATGTACTTGATCTAGCTGGCACCTCGTGGGAGTTCTCAAAGATGTACCGAAGGACCATCAAGTCGATAGTAAATATGTAGAACAGCCAGTCTCGTGAGATTGCCTATTGGACAAAGAGTAACACTTGCATTTCAACTGTTCTCGAGGCCTTACACAGCTGCAAACACCCCTCGAAGTGACGCTAGTACCCTGCTAATATGCAAGCCAACGACGGGGGCTTACGGCGGTAGGAGTTCCCATATTTCCCGAACTCCATCTGTTCATCCAATGCGGTGACAAGGGAGGCCAGGCTAGGGGTATCACTTGACCAAACCAAAGAGGGAATGCACTTCCTCCCGTGACTGAGCCTTAACACAGTATCCAAGTAAAGATGCTCCCTCCTAACATCCACTGCCCTTATGACATATTTGTCAGGCAACCTAGATTTCCCGCGACGACGTCCGTCCTTCAACCCGCTCCATCCACCAAACCGCAACGCTATCTCGTTTTATATGACCTCACCCATACTAGTCTAAGTGCTGCTCTTTCTTGCGAGCATTTTCCCGATTCTGATGTCGCGATCGGTGATATCCCACCAGCCAGTACGTCAAGACCAAACCGATAGCTCCAAGGAATATCACGGCGAATGCTAATTGGAATGCTTCTAGACCTTGCGCCACCATGTCGGCCTTTTAGGGAAGGCTCTGGACCGCAGTGATGGGTATCGATGAGAGAAGTTATGTGGTTGAGTATGTGTATAAATATGCTTTAGTAAGGCAGGATTTGAAAGGGTAGGTACTCCAGTGACGCTGGATAGGAGAGACTGTTCATCAGGGGTTCGCGAGGGAATATATAGGATAACGGGGAGTGACTTATGGCCGCGTCGACGCAATTGTTGTTTGAATAGCTTAATTACCCGTAAACATAAGACTTCGCGTGGTGGGCCGACTGGTATACTTGAGTGTCAATACGTGGTGGCTGTCATACTCTGTCATGGTTCTAATACGTATGAGTGGTGCGGATGACTACGACTGCTCTTGCGTCATTGCCCATGCCATATGGCCATCTTGATTGACAGTGGGGGCACGAGATCATCGAACTTTCATTGTATCTTCAAAAATGTAGAGGAGCTGATAGCGAAGACAAGCTGGGAATTGAACCTAAGTCGGCTGAAATGTGCTGGCTCAAGTGATGTGAGGCGCCTGTAAGAGACATAAACTAAACCTAAACGCCTCAAAATACAACAAGTAGCAGAGAGCCCGATAAGTCATGTGCGGTAAGGACATAGCCAAGCAAAGAGATCCATTGTCGGTTTCCTGGGTGAGTATCTGAATTGGGTGTTGTCTCTATCCATCACAATATGGACCTGGAGCTGCGAAACGCATGTTGGTGCGAAGTCTGGTCGGTAGTCCGGAGCGTCGAATGCCCCTTTCTGCTATCATCCTTGATAGCTGAGATCATACACGTAGGCACTGCCTTGCAGCTGGTTTCGAAGTCCGAAGGATAATCAGCGGGGTGGGAGATCATCTTTGCGATCTCATCGAGGATGTCGAGTAAATTTTGGTCTTGATGATGATGACAACGACGACGATGATGCCTGCTAGCAGCTCTGGTGATAGCAGGTTTTGACATGAGCCCCTAACCCCCTATCTAGCATGGCTCGACGTGGCGACGAGGGTTGTTGTGGGGACGGAACAGTTGCCCATCATCCAGTCAAGGAACCCTATTTGCAGTGTCGGGAACGGGTTGAGTGACAACATGTTCAAGTCGAAACATGCCTTTGAACACAGCGTGAGGAATCTTTTCGACTATTGAATTGTCCACCAGCGAAGGGGATCCGAGGAATGACTAAAGCCGAGTTGCTGGGTAGTACGAGCCAGCGTGTCATCAGAGCCAAAAAGTAGGTGAATGAGCCGGTGGGTGTGGGTGTTCATGGATCCCTTTGACGAGCCCCTCTGTCCATTTTTATGGCATCTCATTCACCGAGATGTTATACCACATCAAACCACCTCATATCCACACCACGCTTTCTAAACACTCCGGGGTTCACGCGTATCAATGACCTGGGATTCTCCCTCAGTCGTTCGCGGAAGTCTTGCAGATCGATTGGTAGCGACCGTAGCCGTGGATCTTCGACATATATCTCAGACGTCAACGTGTTTTGAAATGCAGTATTCCAGGACCCAGTAGGCTTGCCAAGCGTTTGAACCATCCTCATATTTTCGGGAAATGGTCCTAATAAAGCTTCCCCTTGGGACAAGCCGTACACGAAGCACGCCCCCACGATGAGATATTTGCTATTTTCGAGAGGTCGTAGTAACATTGGGCTACCGCAGCCGGGGAACAGACATACCTCGTCGCTAACCTGAGCCGACAGTGGACCAATGCCGATGTACCCGCCGCTGAACTGGATAAGGCAGCTGTTGACAGTAAGGTACTCGGCGCTAAGTAGGAAATTGCGATGAAGCCTGGACTTTGCAAACCCAGTTTCACTAAACTGGCATGCTGACATCAATTTCAGGACGACTTCTTTGGCGCTTTTGAGATCAGAGGCCCTTTCGTCTCGGGGTACCTGACTTTCGGCGAACCGATCGTAGACGAGTGCCCTAGCATATGCCTCGACCACGCTGACGCCTGTGACATATAGGCCATATAAATCAACTGGGAGCATCCGAAGCAAACCGCGTAATAGCTCAAAACACGCCTCGACTGTGCGCCTGTTTAGTCTTGGCACATCAACACAATGGTTGACGACAGCCTTAGAAACGCCGGCCATTCTGAGAGTTCCAGGCTCAGGGAACTCGTGGTAACACGCCAGTTGTTGTAAATGTGAAGGAAGGTGGTTGCCGCTACGGCCTGTGAATCTTCTCGACCAATCAGGAACCCAACTTGGGCATGAGCCCGCGCCACGAACAAAGTCCCGCGGCAATTCGCTCGATTGGATGATCCAGAGGGAGCGGTAACAGTCGATATGGCCTGCTGCAACCTCTTCATATACCTGCTGCCACGGTTTGGTGTAGTCTACTTCTGGGCAAAGCTCTTTGTCATGCTTATTCAGTAAGGCTAAAACCCCGTAAAGCCGGTCTCTTTTGTCGCGGCATTCTGCGCTCTCGAATTCGGCCCTTATGCTGGTCAGGGTAGTAGGAGACCGAGAATATATGAATCCCCGCAGAGTGTCCAAGCGATTGTTGAGCTGATTGAAGAAGGTAAAGTAGGGCTTAGGTTTGAAATAGATACAATACAAGGAGCATCGAAAGGTCTGCCAACTGACTTGAATAAACCCGCACATCACGACTGCTGCTGATTGGACAGCAAGGTATATCTCCTGTCGAATCCACAGTCTGTTATACCAAGGTCGACATACCAAGTGGTATATTGCGGTCATTCCTCTGGAGTCGAAAGGGAGTTCTGTAGAAAGTTCGCCCAAGCTGCTGTCGACACATCCATCAATAGGTTTTATAGCGGCCGCAGTAGTCCAATCCACGTCAACCTGAAGTCCCAGATACTCGAAACGTTCCATGGCGTGATCGCTGTCGTCTTTTGCAGGGCCGAGCCAAGCGATGACCCGAGCTGCACGTCGATAGATGTCGCCCATCATAGCCACCTGCGGACCCTTCTCCTCGTCGTTCTTCTGGTTGATGCAGAGCGCGTCGATCCATAGAAAGCGGGGCCTTTCTGCATGTCGCAAGTGACGCAGAGCGACTGCAAGATTCTGCGTGGCGAGTAGCACAGGGCCATCACTTGTGCCGACTCCCACGGGCTCGGGGGTTCCTTCCGAGCCCCAGACGTACGAGAGGGCTTCATAGTCATGGTGCGAGTCACTGAAGGCCATGTCAGCTAGGCTGATGACGAGCTCGTCGTCGAATTGACCCGGGTGTAGGGTGAGCGTGCGAATATAGCCTTTCCCAGGTAGGGGAGGGTATTTGTACATCGCCATCTTCCCACAGAAGATGATGCGGGGTTTTGTATTCAGTGGGCAAGGATGGCGAGGGACGGCTTTGACACCGATAGACCAAAGACTCAAGGGGCAAAGGCAAGCCCATGAAGTCAAGCGGTCGATCGACGGAGGGTGAGGCAGGGCGCTGGCCTTAGTGATTGAACACGAGGTTCTCCTTCGAATTTGAGATTGTGTAATGGGACGAGGAACCAATCTGCAGAATCTCTCCTCAAGTGCGGGCACGCGCTCGTGAGAGGATGGTGTGAATTACGTAAGTACCCTCCGCCAGATGCAGGCACGCACGCGGGCAGGTCGAGGCTGCCTTGGTCGTGAGGTACCTACATGTACCTACCTACCTACAAAATTGCGCCACCATCCATGCCGGCCTGCATGCAGGTGTGGTAGGTACCTTAGGTATCTATTTCCATACCCCTTATGTACTAAGTCGTATTGGGACTCCGCTAACCTACGAGGCAGAGCGCCGGAAAGCTGCACAAAAACGCTTATCTCGCATGAGCTCCGGCCCTATATACGACGTTGATACTTGCTTATCAAGCGAATGACAAGTTGTGATGCTGTTCTCAATGAAACCTTCTCAAAAGCAGGGCGTCAGTGAAGCTCTGGCGTCCAATGGTTTCTTCGGCTTCATTGGGGTTTGCAACCACGAGATAGCGAACGTCAATACAGAGAAATGGCGGGTTCGGTGGGAAGGGCCGCCGCGCCTGCACACAGGAAGGACTTAGACTGAAGATTGGGATGTCACCCAAAGAAGAACACCTCACTGGAAGAGTGGCCGCTTCCTGATGAGCTGCCATTCTCCCCAGGGGCGAGCTGGTGCTGGCTTTCACTGAATCAGAGGGAATATACAGTGAAGCAGCGACACATGAAAGTGGCATGACCGAACTGCTGGGGGTGACCTGACGCATACAAGATACCCAGCATAGTGACCTAAATTCAGTAGCACCTGGGACTCATGATAGACTCTGTTGATCCGACAGTTCCATGTATTACTGCTTGGAAAGGTGACGAACCGACTCAAAATAGTAGCATCAAGCTGCAGCATCTCTGCTAACAACCCTCCTCTTGACCAAGCGAACCCATCTCCTCCGCCGCCACTCCCCCCTCCTCTCCTCCCCATCCTCACCCTCTTCCCAGCTCGGCTTCGGCGGGGCCGAATTCTCCTTCCCCTTCGTCGGTGGCGAGGCCTCAACCACGCCGACCCTATCCGCCTTCTCGTCGTAGATATCGTAGACCCATCTCTCGCCCTCAGTCTCGATCTCGACGCCCGTGATGATACGCTCCTCGACCCACTCGCGGCTCCAGAGGTCGAGCGCCCATTTCTTCTCGCTCCACTCCCAGCCCTGCGGCGGTAGGACGTCCTCGAAGAACCGCGTACCGACTGGCCTCTCGCCCAATATACGGGCCTGAGATAGCGGATCGTATGGCCAAGCCGTGAAAAGCCAGGGCTCCCATTCTTCCGCACTCGACAGACGCTGCAGCTCAAAGATCTCCACTTCCCGGGTTTCGGGCGCGCTGTCCAGTATGATATCGCCGTCCACCCACTTCTCCACAAGGCTCATGGCCTTCTCCTCCTGCGGCTGGAGATGTTTCTTATGCGCGTTCTCAATCTGCCGCTGAATGGCCGGATGACCCATACACGTCACGCCCCAGCCCAGGACCAGGAAGATCAGCCGCCAGGGCAGGATATTCGAGGCTATGCTCATGAAAAGGCACGCAGCGAACAGGAAGACAAACAGGGCACTGCTCAGCGCCTCGTTGCTGAAGTTGGTGCGCGGCACGACTAACGAGACGACGGCATCGTGCAGCTGGCTGAAGTCCTCCATGCTGTTCTGCAGGTCGCGCATGTTGCGGAAGAAATCCTTGCTCAGCTCCTTGACAGGCTTGACCGTGACGGCGGGCGCCAGGGGCGGGCCGTTGGGCGAGTATCCGAAGGCCTGTTCGCTCGGCAGGCTGAACTCTGCTGCCGGGTGGCGCGCCACGAAGCTTGGTACTAGCACGGCAACCAGGAGGATGGCCAAGGGCAGCAGTGGTAGAAGATACGGGTCCAGACACACGAAGGAGTAGATGGCCAGGAACGAGAGCGTGTGCGTTGGTTGCTTCCACGACAGTAACCGGATGGCGCGTGCTTGGAACACGAAGACAACACCGATACGTGAGTTCATACGCCGGAAGTTGTTCGACATGGTAGTTAGGTTGAAGTTGGGCCGCTCTGTCCGACCATCCAGCGGCGTATCGCCTTTCTGCTGGTCGTCCCGCGGGATATCTGCATCATCAAGCGGGACTACCTGGGCGAGCAGCTTCTCAACCAGCATGTCCTGCAGCCCGGCCCTCTCCTTGAAGGCTGAGAAGCGCCCGCGCAGACCGCCCCTACGGCGCGTCGGCGTCTCGATGTCTGGTTGCTCGGAGTCATGGCCTGTGGGTTGCTGCGAGGTGGATGCTGATGTTGAAGGTGTCCCAGAGCGCGGTGTAAATGCCTCGAAGGTTATGGTGGGTATGGGGTCATCGCGGTTGACGAGGACATCGGCGCTGCGGTCATCCATCTTGGCTGAAATTCAGTCTCGCTGGGCTGGTTCTCTCCGACCTAGAGTGCGCCCTGCCGTATGAGGCTTCACGATGACGTATTTCACGAAGTAGCCGTTACAAGGTCTAGCGAGACGATCGCATCATTTGTATACATGTAGCTCAGTTGCCGGACATGAGAGTGTTTTAGGGCCGTGAATATAGGTAGTTGGGCTAGCCACAATCTGGGATGCCCAATACAATTAATACGGCTGGAAGGATATAAGAATACAAAGTGAGGTTCTACATGTAACCAGGCAGGCGCGACTTTACACGTGATGTCGACGTTGAACTGGTCATTTGCAGGGATGTTCAGCGGACGGAGGGGCTGACGGCACTTTCAGTTTTAGCGGGCTATGCAGATCTGCAGGGCTGTCTGCCTGGAGCTTGCAGGGGAGGGGAGCTCCAAAGTTCAAACAAAATCATTTGCAAAACGTCCGCATCAACAGCAAGCTTCGACAGCAGCAGCAAACACTGGCGACGACAGTACCACGCCTCTAAAGATGCCAATCACAATATTGCAACCGGCGCCCGTGCCGGTGTTCAACGACACCCGGAACGACCATGCCTCCGCCTCCGACTCGGACTCTGACGAAGGCGGCGTCGACCTCGAAGGCGACATCTCGATGATGCGCCCCTCCAAGCGCGCCCGACGAACAGAAGACGACTCGATCGTGACGCCCGGCGAGGTCATCACCGAGGATCCGCAATGGATGCGGTACGCTTCTTCCACCTCCTCTTCTTTCCCACTGCACAAAACACACCTTTGAAGCAATAAACTGACACTCCGTCTCTTGTTACCAGCGGCCACGGCACCTACACAACGCGCCAAGCCCCCGCCATCGTCTCCTCCGTCGCCGGCACGCTCGCCAAGACGAACCGGCTGCTCTCCGTGCGCCCCCTGCGCGCGCGCTACACGCCCGAGATCGGCGACCTGGTCGTGGGCCGCATCGTCGAGGTGCAGGCGAAGCGGTGGCGCGTCGACGTGGGCGCCTCGCTGCTGGCGCAGCTGCCGCTGTCGGCCATCAACCTGCCTGGCGGTATCCAGCGGCGGCGCACCGAGACGGACGAGCTGCAGATCCGCACCTTTTTCTCCGAGGGCGAGCTGCTGGTAGCCGAGGTCCAGCAGCTGTACGGCGACGGCGGCGCCGTGCTGCACACGCGCAGCCTGAAGTACGGCAAGCTGCGCAACGGAGTTTTCGTGGCTGTCAGTGGGACTGGAGGCGGTGGGGGCGTGGTTAGGGCAAGGCGGCAGGCGTTCACGCTGGATTTGGGAGGAGCGAGTGCGGACGATGCGGAGAAGATCGATGTTGTGCTTGGCGTGAATGGGTATATCTGGATCAGCAAGCATGTCGAGGGCGAGGGCGCGGCGGCGGAGACGTCGGGGCCGGGCATCAACCGCGTCGAGGAGAGCGTGGGGCTGAACGTGTACTCGAGCCAGAACGACGACATACCGATGTCGACGATGCGGGAGATTGCCCGCGTCCGGGGTGTTATAGAGGCGCTGGTCGAGCATGGGTTAAGGGTCGATGAGGATATGGTCGCGAGGGCGTATCATGAGGCCGTAGAGATGGCGAGGGGTGATGGCGATGGAGAGGACACGCTGTATCTGGGTGGTGAGAGAGGTCGGAGACTGGCTCAAGCTCTTGTTGGGCGGTGATATTCCCTAGGGATATTTGGAGTTGACCAGATGTGTCGTAGGGAGTGCGATGATACCAATGTTGCATCGGTGCCTCTTCAATATCCATACAAGACCCTGAACGATCTACGAAGAACACTCAGTGAATCACCCATCGGTGCCGTTTACTTGTCATGTTCTACTTCAAATTGCAGCTCAAGTCCACCCTTGGCGTTTCCAAGGACCAAGCGTACACTGGTACTCATGGTCCTGGTCGTGATACGCACTGTAACGTTCGGGCCCAACTGGCAATCAAAGCGTAAACAGTCAATGAATACAAGTTGAATTGGTACATATGTCGAGTTCATACCGTACTCAACTGCAGAGCTCATCAAGCCAATAATGAACATAGTTAGCGACTTAGGTATCAAAATGCGTAGTGATAAATCTGTAACGCAAGCACGCAGCTCAGAGTACGGTTCCCTTATGGATGCCAGCACAAACCGTAACACTGGTAGTTTCACGATCTGGTCGCGGACGCAGTCCAACCTGAACATTGATTTTTTCGCATTTAATCGAACAATATACACACTATCAGCATCAAGTACCGGGATCAGAGCTTCGCCTCGGGACCTTGAAGAATCAAATCAGCAAAGTCCACAGCAGGGCAAGCCGTATATACACAGGGATGTTTTACAGGCAGCTCTCATCTGGAAAGGAGAATCCATTCCGCTTTTCTCTGCTGATCCCTTTACCACAGCAGCTTAACCCCACCCAAAGACGATGCAAGAGATCAAGACGAAAACTTATGATACTGCGTCATCGCCCCCCAAGCTCCCACGAGCACAAGCAGCCAGCGCGCCAACGCACCTTTAACAGAAGGCCCACCGAGCCCAAGCACCATCCACAGCCAGTAACCCAAACCACTACCAGAGGTCTTCCTGCCGTCGCGGTCGAAGTCGGGTTTGGCGGCATTCATCCACTGGAACTGCTTGAAGTCGCCCGGCGAGTGCGGCAGGTACCGCACGCGCAGCAGCTTGTCCATCCAGCCGGGCGTCGTCACCATGGTGCGCTGGTGCGTGAAGCAGTCGAAGCCCGCCTTGCCGTGGTACGAGCCCGTGCCGGACTCGCCGACGCCGCCGAAGGGGAGCGTGGACACGCAGCCGTGCATGAAGCTGTCGTTGATGCTGGCGCCGCCGGAGGTTACTTGGTTGATGACTGGGAGGGGGTTAGATATTTGACTAAACGTAAGGTGTAGGTGTCTAGACAATAAGGGTAGAGAAACTTACTTTGCTCGTTTTCAGCCTTCGAACCGAACGTCATGAGCGACAACGGCGTCGGATCAACGGTATTCATAGTCTTGATCGCCTCGTCCAGGTCATCGTACGGCAGGATGGCCCAGATGGGCCCGAAGGACTCCTCGGCCATCATGGGGTCGTCGACCGAGTCGACCAGCACGGCCGTGGGCGAGATGAAGCGGTCGGCGCGGTCGAGCTCGCCGCCCATGACGATCCTGCCCTTTGTGGTATCGAGCATCTTCTTCATGCGGTCCCACTGGCGCTCGTTGACGACGCGAGCGTAGTCCGGGCTGGCCTGGCAGCCCTGCGGGAAGAACTCCTTGTACGTCGCGTTGATGCACTTGATGAAGTCGTCGACGACGTCGCGCTCGACCAGCACGTAGTTGTGCGACATGCACACCTGGCCCGCGTTGAGCGTCTTGCCCCACATCAGCCGGCGCGCCGCGAGCGCCAGGTCCGAGGACCGCGAGACGAAGGCCGGGTTGCGGCCCCCGAGCTCGAGCGTCACGGGCGTGAGCGTCTCGGCGGCCTTCCTCGCGACGATCTTGGCGACGGTGAGGCCGCCCGTGTAGAAGATCTTGGCCCACTTCTCGTTCAGGAGGGCGGCCGTCTCGGGGATCATGCCGTTGACGACGGAGAAGGCTGTCGGGTCGAGGTACTTCTCTATCATCTCCTTCATAACCATGGCCGTCGCGGGTGCGCTCTCCGAGGGCTTGATGACGGCTGTGCATCCGGCTGATATGGCACCGATCAAGGGGCAGATGTTCAGCATGAGGGGGAAGTTGTACGGCCCGATGATGAGGGCCGTGCCGAGGGGCTCCTTTCTGAGGCGCGGCTTCAAGGCCGTGAAAGTCAGCGGGTAGTCCAGGTTCGTGTCGTCCTTAGCCCAGGCCTTGAGCTTCTTGATGGTGTTGTTCAGGTCGGAGATGGTGTAGTTGATCTCAGAGAGCAGCGCATCGTGGCCTGGTTTGTTCAGGTCCTGCTTCAGCGCGGCTTGGAGCTTCTCGGTGTAGTCTGTGAGCCCCCACCACAGTTTGCGCAGCTGCACCAGACGCCATTCGACGTCCTTCGTCTTCTGCGACGCGTATGAGCTGCGGGCTGAAGCGGCTATCTTGGGGATGCTGTCCAGTGGTGTTGCCTCGAAGGCTGGGATCTTGATGTCGGACGTCATGGTTGAAGAAGTGCGGGAGTAGCCGAGTGGTGATGACGGTTTAGCGATCTGCAGGGACGTGGCACAATGTAGCTTTATAACCAGCCAAGTTACGGTTCTCACGGGCACAAGTAAGAAAGTGATATGGAATCACGGATGAATTGAGAATTGGGCGAGTGAGATTTGCGATTGGTTATTTGGGGATGAACAATACGACGTCGAATGACTCGTGAAGAATTGTTCGCTTGATATGAATGAGGTATGAATGAGGTTGAGTGGGACGGGAGGACAGAGCTCGAGCTCGGATGGCGGAAATGTCAGGCAGGCAAGACGAAAAAGAAACGACAACCCTGTTGCCGAGTTCGAGAAGGTCTTTCTGACCTCGGGGGAATCCTTCGAAGACTTGACGAAGAGATCAGGGGGGGATACAAGGATGAGGAGAAGCGATCAAGCTATGGCTGAATGAATTGTCACGCCGCATAGGCGTGTCGCATAGCTGGCTAGCTTCGCAGCTTCGGTCGCATTCGCCTCTTCAGACTTCTTGGATGTTGCCAAGCACCAGGGGTTACCTTAGTGATCGACGCAAGCCGAGGCTCCGCGGACTCGGGGCGACGTCAACTCCATCTCATTCTCCAGACTAGTGAGTGAGTTGAAGTCGTGAGGGGCAACATGATTCACCCATCGGACATATGATGAGCCGTGTATGTGCCTTGGCAACTTGCCTTTTCGGGTTGGAACACTCATCGATGCCTGCATATGGGATGATATGAGATGGATGCGGGTTGATGCTCAAACCGACCTCAACACCATCTGTTCGAAGTGACTATACGAGACCCTTTAGTTACCCATTAGTACCGCCAAATAAGCAGTTGACGAATGTCAAGACCTGCAAAGCACGGGGGCACATAAACTGATAATAGATGAAGCTTGCAGAGTAGTAGTTGAAGGTCACCAATACAAAACAAGCAGGTATGTGAGACATGCATTCAGCAGCAATGAGAGCAAGCAATTGTTGCGTTAGCGTATGTCTGGTGTCTGGTGTCTGGTTTATCGCAATGATAGTGCACCAGCCACAACGACGGCTACCTACCAGCCTTATATCAGCCACAAACCACGAGCCAAGATATTCAGGCTCTGGTTTGCCCTAGCTGTGACCCGCTTTTGTGCCTTTTGCGATGCACCAAAAAGTTGCAGCGCAAAATGCCCCTCGAACTTTTTCCAAGACCACCATTTTCCCCAGCTCCAGTCACCCAAACCAACCACACAGGCGTAGGATTAAATCTCTTTGCGTCCTCAACAATCCTCATCAGCAGCAATGGCTCCCCAGACAGTACGTACAACATGACACCGCTTTGCTGTTGGCCCAGTCTTTCTGGCTCCCACCAGCGAGATCATGGCGTGATGCAGTAGGCTAAGGTCAATCTCCAACTTGTAGAAGAAATCCGGCAAGCCGGCCAAGACGACGAAGAAGGTAAGCAGCTCCCTCTCCCCGCAATTGGCATTGACTCAGTCGTGATGGGGATGGCTCACACAGTCTCTCCAGTTCGTCATCAACGCCCAGCAACCCGCCAGCGACAAGATCTTCGACACCGCCGCCTTCGAGAAGTTCCTCCAGGACAAGATCAAGGTTGACGGCCGCGTCGGTAACCTCGGCGAGACCATTGTCATCAAGCAAGCTGGCGAGGGCAAGGTCGAGATCACTGCCCACAACGAGCTCTCCGGCCGATACCTCAAGTACCTGTGGGGTTTCCCCGTCAACCGCACATTGGCCTTTGCCCGAGACTTGATTGCTGACCTTTCCATACAGGACCAAGAAGTTCTTGAAGAAGCAGCAGCTCCGTGACTGGCTGCGCGTGGTCTCTACCTCTAAGGGAGTGTACGAGCTCAAGTTCTTCAACGTCGTTAACGACGAGGCCGACGACGACGACGAGTAAACGTGCCAAAAGAGACGATGGATATTGACGGGCAACGACGACATTTGTGCATGGACTTTGCATAGGACAAGGACAGGCGCTTCTGTGTTACATACCGAAATAGACTCAGACTCAGACAATGAGATTCTGCTGCTGCGATGAATCAAAACTCCATTCTCTCTGGCTATGATTGAATGGCGATGCTCTGTGCCGACTACACTCTAATACGTTTCGCTGTCTATGTGCCGATCTATTTGTACATGTGATGCTCTCTATCGATCTTCAAGGCAAAGCCCTCATAACGCCCTCAAATGCTACAAGCGCCATCGCATTCGCCGGAAATGCTCTCAAAAAGCAAGGCACAAATCCTCTCCAGTATCCCTTTATACCAGCCTCCCTATACACAGCTTTTGCAGCCTGGCCCCAGCTCCGAAACCTCGGCGTCCCATCCTTCAACTCGCCGCCCATCGGATCGGTCATGATGCGCTGCTTGACAACGTCGCTCGGATAGCTCGTCAGCCAGAAGACCTGGGCGCTCACGCCGCCAGCCCAGAAGTTGATGGCCGGGGCGCTCAGCGACGTCCTGTCGCGCAGCAGGCGCGTGAAGACGTCGTACGACCCCCACCAGAAGAAGAAGAACGACCTGAACAGCAGCGTGGCGGCCAGCCCCTTGTACACCCCTCGTATCCCGTGCGCGCCGTAGATCTTGCGCACACAATCTAAAGGGCCCGAGTACAGGCGATCGGCCTTAAGCGCCGAGTACTGGATCTGCAGGCGCGCCTTGACGTGCTCGACGGGGGCGGCGATGAAGCTGACGGTGGCGCCGGCCATGACGCCGGCGAGGCCGTGGCCGAACGAGGGGAGGTGCGCGGCGGCGTGCGAGGTCGCGGCGATGGGGCCCTCGGTCGCGGGATTGGGTTCGGACGGGTGCGCGGGCGGGTGTTTCACGAAGACGTGTTCGGCTAGCAGACGCCGGTAGATGGTCAGCGTGCCCAGCATCAGCGAGTCCATGAACACCCAGCCCACGAGCGGCGGGCTCGCGCCCTTGTATAGACCCCGGACGCCCTCGTTGCGCACGGTTTGGAGCAGGCATTGCAGGGGCCCGGCGAAGCGCGAGGGGTCGGTGGTTTGGAGGCGCACTTTGATCGTGTCGAAGGGGTGGCCGACTGTTTGGTTCGCACGGTATGGTTAGCGAGCGTTCTATCTGGTTAAGGGGTTGCTTGCTGCTTGCGCGCGCGGGAGAGGGGGTAGGGTGGCTCACCACTTAGCTTCGCGATGCCGCTGAAGACGCCGCCGACGAAGCCCTTGTAGTCTTTGCTGCCGCCGCTGGCCTTGGCCGGTGCTGGCGGCATTGGCATCTGCGTCTGCTTCTGGTCGGCCGCCATGGTTGTATGGGCTACATCGAAGGAATGCGACTGGTCGACCGGACAGCGAAGGTGATATGCCGCGACTGCTGGATGTGCGCGGCTTTAGTCATCGTGTGAAATTGGAAAAAACGACTGATGACCGCAACATATGGATCGTGGACAGCGAGCTCCGCTACACTCGGACTTTACGGAGCTAGTGCCGAGATCGGCACCAGCGCGGGCTGCCATGCCCGGTCAGCTTCAGGCCGTTTCAATGTCCATTACGTAGGTAGAGGGCGTACAAGCCCTGCCTTCAATCAATTTATTAGAGAAATCTCCCTTGATGTTGTCCGAGGACCGAAGTGTCTCTCATCCTGTTACGGAGATAGTCAAGCCCTCGTAACTCCTATCTGCTAGCTATCTGCTAATAGCTACCCAGTCACCGTAATTGTCAGGCACTTGGGTTCGTCGGCTAATCGTAGCCCCTGAACTCATGGATCCCAATCCTCAAGGAGCCCCATCACGCCTTGCCCCCCACGACGCTGTCGCCCGTGCCGCAGCTTCCCGTAATGCACGACCTCAACCGCAAAGTAAGCCGCGCCAGCGTCCCTCGCAAGCTCCACCACGCTCTCACAGCAGTCGGGCCACGGCCCCTCCAGGTAAGCCGGGTCGTACTCATCACTGTCACTGCCGTCATACTTGACAAGCATGACGGTCGGGACCGAAGCCGTTGCGGGGCCGGCGAGACGCCTCATCGAACCCTCGATGGAGATATCCCAGTCGCTGTAGTGCGTATTAGTCCCCAGGGCGGCCTCGATGGCTTGGGACCTGGGATCTTGTTCTAGTGTCGCCAGTGCTTTTAGCGAAGGAGATGCCTTGCCGTGAGCCCTGCGCTGCCCGTCCCAGTTGGAGGACCAGGGCTCGAGGCGTGGGTAGCATACGCGCCGCTCGCTCTTGTCTACGTGAGGGAGGATCTCGGCGCTCGTCCACGCCTCGCGGCGGCTTTGGGGAGGCGCAGGGTGTGCGCTGAAGGGGGGAGGCGGTCGCTGAAGTCGTCTAGGCGCAGGGTGCACGCTGACGGGGGGAGGTTTTGGCAGAAGTCCCGGACGTAGTTTCCATAAGAAAGGCAACTTATCGGGCATGGTTGCTGGTTGGCCGGCTCTAAACTGCTCTGTTGGTGGCTAGTTGTCTAGGCTTCAGGCCTATGATTGCACATGCCCTCGAACCCTCTCGCAGAACTGGAGAAGAGTCAAATGCCGGGGACCGTTGGTTGGTTGCGTTCTGCAGTCTTGCCGACGCAAGCGGAACTGGTTGGTCGTTGTTGTTGTTGGTGGTGGAGGAGTGTTTAAAGAGCCGCAACACCAGGCCAGCCAATTCTTCTTTGTTCTCCAAGGGGAGAATGTGCCACCTTACGTCTGCTTTACGAGCGACTGGTATTACATTGACACTTAGACCTTTCGCCTTCATTCTACTTGGAAATGTCGCGCACCCAGTATGATCTGAATTGGTCACTTTGCCGCAGGAGGCTCCAGAACCACGAGGCACATTAGTAATGTGAAGCGTTACCAGGTGGTGATCACGGGTCAGGATTATTTATCGAGTATTATGAAGATCTAGTATCTCATTTTGCGGCTAACTCGATATTTACTTGGGTATGCAGTGGTGATCTTCCTGCAAGGGGTTTCTCATTTCTGTGCCTCCCCTGCGTTTTCCCTGGCCCATGCCTCGTTCCACTTCTCCACTGCTTTCTCATCATCTTTCCGCAGACTGAGCTTGTGTCGCCGTCCGGGAATTGGAGGTCAATTATCTTTGGGATTATGAAGTGCATGTTGCTGGGGAATGTGACCAAGTACTTCCGGGGGTCGCAGACGTACGCTGGACCTTCTTCGTCCTTGCCCTCCCATTTCGGAGGCAGGAACGAGTCAATAGCATCTTTGACGTTCGCCTCGCACCTATCGAAAGTGGCCTTGCTGATCTTGCGGAGGTCCTGCTTCCAATGGATGGACAGTACGTGTAGTCTGTACTTATTTTGCAGTCCCGTTAGTAACAAGGGGATGATGCTGTCGATGTTGCCTGCGGTCAAAGGGTCGGGTGCCTTCGATGGTAGAACAGCGACTGGTACAGAAACGCTGGAAGCCTTTAGCTCTTCCTCAATTTTGGACTTGATACGTTGTATAAATTCTTCGAAATATGTAGACGAAAGCATGGCGACGGATTCTGGGCAGGTTTTCGACGATAGGGGGTGTGTTCTCGAGTGCAGATTCCTCCCGACGAAGGGCTGAATCAGTTGCATTTAAATTTTCTCGAACACCACTGTCCTCCCCCTCATATAGTTGGGTTGGCATTGCGTACAATCATACGTTGGCCCGAATTCCTGAGACCTCTGGGGCCCACCGACAACCGCGCCAACATATAACGGGTTCTTTGTTCACGGAAACTTGACAACCAACACCAATGTATCCCAAGACTGTAGGTTCACAATCGTTCCTTTGTGCTATGCAGCACAAGGCATTCCCAACCAAGTCGATAGTTTGGAGTTGGCCCGCAATGAACCCTCATCACCCGGAATGGATTTCTTTGCCTGTTGCGAAATAAGAAGAGCTGCAACATCGGCCACAGACCTGCTGCATGTCCGCAGAGCCAGTACAGTCTGATTCCCATGGGATTATACCCTCCGGAAAGCCACGGACCTTCCAGACCATCCTGCCACGTACGTACACCGTAGAAGTCAAGGCCTTCTTCCCTCAGTAATGCGTCGACTGTCCTGGATTTTGGTCAAATACAGTTTCCGTTCGCGCTTTTCTTCCTTAGAACCTTTCGCATCATCGCGCATGAGCCTTTCCTTGATTTCTCTTGAAAACCATCATGCCACTTGTATCTCAATGGCACATGTGAACGGGAGACAGGAACTGAATTCTCTACCAGAAAACAAACTAGAAAGATGTTCTCAGCTTTATGCAAGTCTCCGCAGGTCATAACTTGGATTGTATGACGGGCTGACTGTCAGTTAAATTGTGTGGTAGGAACGCCACAAGAATGTGAACAACATCTGGGCAAAGCTCTCTTGATGAACTCTATCCATCAGCCAAGAGAGGTTATTATCCTCTTGTTTTTTTTTTGGGATGTTCTACATGCGAACGATTCGAACCAGCTCCCAACCCACCAGAGGAAAAAAGAGACAGACGGTAGCCCGCACCTTATTATTCACGCGCTCTTATCCAAAGTATAGGAAGATGGAATTGAATTTTACACTTGCGCATACCGATATGGTCCCCAACTAGATGAATAACTTGTAGTCCTAATAAGCATTGCCACGTGCCTTGGCATGCCTCTTGGCTTTCGATCGTGAATCTTGACGTCTTTGCTACAGCCACTAATTCATTGATCTCCTCGTGATGTGGTCTTAACAAGCATTGCCACGTGCCTTGGCATGGATCTTGGCTTGGGATCGTGAGTCTTGACTTCTTGGCTACATCCACTCACTTATGGACCTCTTCACGAGGTGTGGATCTTGGACTCGCATTCAACCATTGCGTCTTGAACTCGGGTTGATGGGTCCTGCAGTGGATTTGCTTTCATTTTGCTGGACTCGTGGCTGAATCGAATCGCTCGCATGCAAAACACCAAAAAAAGCGTGGAACATCAACATAAGCAGTAATATGTAGCCTGTAGCTTAAGACTTTGCTGGGAGATAAGATATGTCTTCCATCTTCGATGTCACGATGCGCATCGGTCCGGCTTGCTCCCCGTTGTGGCACCGACCCAGGACTCGACCATCATGCCATCCAATGACTTTCCATATAATCAGACACACGCAGGCTGCAAGAGCGCTGGTTATGCTCCATATTTGCTGATACCCTTGGGATTCACTCGACATGTCTACGGCGGTACCCGTAAGGGACCGGGTCAACTTCCCCGCCATGCCCGTTATCATCGAAGTCTATCAATGGCACCGTAGCATCCCGTAGAAGTATGGCTTTCGTCATTGGGGGTGTTTGAGCAAGATCTAGGGCAAAGACACCCCCACTATGCGAATTACCTGTCATATCCCCTTTTCGTAAGACACCACTTGTCTGAGCCGCGTTGTTCGCATGGGAGAAATCGGCCTATATAATTGCAGAACTTGAAGGGCTGCTCGAGACGGGATGTCTCATTCGATAATGCAACAGCATAGTTTGTGGTCCAATAGCGACAATACCCGGATGGACTACAGTAAAAGATCATATTCGAAGAACTTTATTTTCCTACTAAGGTAGGTACACGCAGCTGTTAGTTCAGCCTCCAGGACAAAGTTGCGACCTTAGTTCAGGGCTCGGACGATTATTTCCCCCCTAGTATGCAGTACACCTGCACCTCCACGTCGCAATGCTTCCGGATACGACCAAGCCCTCGCTAACAAGCTTGGCGGCGAAACGCTCAGTACTTATACTAGCGCATCTGGGTGGACACTGATATGACTTCGGCTTCCTCTTTCCGACTTCAAGCCCGCTAATACAAGGAGCACAGTTAGAACATATTTGCACACTTTGTTGGCACTACACCATCAGACCACCACCGGACTACTCCATGATTCATTATCACGGAGCTACTCCACAACCCCTTCATCAAACGCGCGAGACGGGGTCGCTACCCCATTCACCCCAACTCCCCCCACGGCTCGGGCTGCTTGGCAGCTGCTCGGCCGGTATAGTCCACTTGATAACTGGAGTGGTGGAGGACGCTAATGTTTACCAACCTGCACACATGTAAAGCAAAGTCTGCGGACTCTGGCCATTGCCGCCATTGCAACCCCAGATCTTGAGCACAGTATTCGCCTTGAGGTTCGGCCTTCGGCCGACGTCCGAAGGCAAGGCGGGGAAAGAATTGAGGAGAACGTGAAGCCGAAAGCGAGCGCCAAGCACCATAACAATACCGCTATAAAGCCGTCTTTCCCGTAGGCTACTCGTTGCTGCACATAATCTCTCTGTCACATCTATCCCGAGAGACGCTGTCGAGTGCTTTCTTCGACACTCCTGTCGCCCTCGAAGCATAAATTTGTATTTCAACGTCGTTCTAGTCCAAGGCCACAAGATGAAGTTCCGGTTAGGCAACCAAGCCGCCCAAAGGGATACGCCCAGTGAGGTCTTCAACTGGAAACTCTACTGGGGCTGCTTCGTCTTCGGCATTCTGGGCGCAGGCCGTGGTCTCGATGAAGGTCTCGTCGGTGGCATGATCACATTGCAAAGCTTCAAGAATGAGTTCCCCTTGGACGAAGGTTCAGCCTCGGAACAAGCCAACCGCGAGTCGAACATCACAAGCATGGTCCAGCTGGGCTCCATCGTCGGCGCTCTGCTGGCTTTCCTGCTTTGCGACCGGCTCGGTCGGGTGCGGTCGCTCCAGGTCCTGTGCGTGCTGTGGCTCGCTGGCTTCATAATCGTGGTCACGAGTTATGGCAGCATCGGCCAGATCCTGGCTGGTCGCTTCATCGCCGGCTTGGGTATTGGTATGACTGTCGTCGTAGGTCCCACATACCTGGCCGAGACAGCCCCGAGGGCCGTCCGTGGTATGCTTACGAATATCTTCGCCGGCGCTGTCTACCTCGGTGTCATGATAGCCTATTTCTCAAATTATGGAGCATCGATCAATCTGTCGAACGATTCAAGAAGTCAATGGGTGGCACCGCAGACCGCTCATATCGGATTTGCTGGGTAAGATTCTCGCTTCTGATCACCGAACTAAAGACGTCGACTAACATTACTGTAGCATGATCCTCATCTGCTCCTTCACCCTCAGCGAGACTCCTCGCTTTCTCACCATAAGGGGCAAACACGAGGAGGCCACCAAGGCCCTGTGTCGCCTCCGACAGCTGCCGGAATCCCACCCATTCATACAAGCGGAACTCGGCGGCATGCGCGAGCAGCTTGAGCGCGAGCAAGAAGCAACCCACGGCGTCTCCGTGTGGGGAAAGCTTCGTGAGATGTTCATGATCCCCGCCAACCGGTACCGCTTCATGCTGGGGCTCATGGCGCAGGTTCTCGGCCAGTGGTCGGGTGCCAGTGCCATCACCATCTACGCGAACGAGTTCTTCGGCATCTTGGGCAAGTCGGGCCAATCCGAGACACTGTTGACGACGTGCATCCTCGGTGTAGTAAAGTTCAGCTCGGCATACCTCTGCGCCTTCTTTTTGATCGACTTCATCGGCCGGCGCCGCTCCCTGTACGCCGGCATCACCATTCAGACCATCGCCATCGCGTACGTGGCCGGGTACGTCGGGATCGTGGGAACCGACCGCCTCGATGCAGGAAACTTGACCCCGGCTATGCAGCGCGGAGGCGTTGGGGCTATCGCCATGATCTATATATCAGGCGTCGGCTGGACCATGGGCTGGAACTCGTTCCAATACCTTGTCAACGCTGAGATCTGGCCGCTAAGGCTCCGAGCACTGGGCTCTTCCATCACGATGTGCCTCCATTTTGTGAACCAGTTTGGAAATACCAAGGCCGTCCCTGAAATGCTGCTGGCTATGAACAGCTGGGGTTTCTTCACATTCAGCTGTGCCATCGGCCTTGTGGGACTTATTTGGGTGTGGTTCTTTGTTCCTGAACTGTCAGGTGTCTCGATCGAAAACACCGATGACCTGTTCTCGCTCCCTTGGTACCAGATTGGCCGTCATGGACATAAGTTCGTCCTGAATCAGGAGGGAGCCAGAGCTGTACGTCCTGAGAAGGAAGAGAGTGAGGTCGAAGAACACGAGGTGGCGTACAGTCAAAGGGTGTAAATAGACCGAGATGGGATGGTCTATTGGATACCAAAGAGTGTAAGCAACTAGGTCTATGATCTCACTCCATATAATGAATCATAACAAGCCGATGAGATTAGTATTTCCTAATCACCCCCCATCAATGCGTCATGTAACTTACAAAGCAACCTCAAACCTGTGAAACATATATATTAGCGACGTCGAGCGGCTGCTGCAAAGCCTTCCTGCCATTGCTTCCATTCCTCCCATTTCCTAAGCTCTTCGCCCTGTGTCGTGCGGAGTACATATACCATCCTAGCCTTTGGCAAGGCATGCGGCTGGTTTGCCACACCCTGAATATTCTTAGATCCCGTACCCATCCACTTCTGAATATCCGCACTCTTGAATTCCGCCCAGATAACGCTACCGTCGCTACGCCGATTCACAGTCGGAAGCACCACGATCTCCGGCAGGCCGTTGAGTAAGGGCCCACTGCGATCACCGTCGTCCAACACGAAGCGAATCGAATGCTGTCTGAGAGATTCGGGCTCGCTTCCTATGTTGGCGTTCCGGTATGCTGCGAACCAGAGATCGTCTAACTCCTCGGCCTTTTGCGCGATGAGCTTTGCGCAAGATTCGAATTCGTCGGCGAATTCCTTTTCAAGTTCCTTGGCGTAAGACCTCTTGCTGCCTTTGGGCGCCATCGTGATCGTGATGGCGGGGTTCGTCCACTGTCGTGCACCGCGGTCCAGGACGTCCTTGGATATGGCTTTGGGGATGAGGGTTTTCCACCACTCCTCGGCTCGGACGCCGTTTGAGGTGACGTTGAGCGACTTGAGCGTGATACCCCGTTTGTCGCCCCAGTGAGTCTCGACTACGTGGCGCAGCGGGACGTTGACTTCAGGTACGCCGCCCATGATGCTCTGGTAACGGCGGGGGCATGCAGATGGGACAGCCCCCCAGATGGGACAGTTCCCCCACCAAAACACAACATTTGCACCTACCCACATCTCTATCGGGATTGAAGCTGTATATATCGTAAATATATCGTCTGAATCGTCTTTTCTTGGTGTTTCTTCCAATATGGAATTTATTAGGTGTCCTATAGCGGGGTGTCCCGTGGCGGGGGTCGGAAGTTAGCACGTCCGGCCTTAATCTGAGGGGTAATGGGACCCGTGCCCCCTATCCCCTCTAACCAGGCAGAAGTTCTGCGGTTCTTTTTTTCCTTTTTTTCTGTAAGCATCATAGGCTTCAGTACGTCAAAATGGCGCCTTTATACATCAAAGAAGACCTTGCTGAGGCGATAGCCACCGTGAACGGTGACGATCTGTCCCTCCGGAAGGCTGTCCAGCGCTATGGAATACCAAAAACCACCCTTTCTCATAAAGTTAAAGACTCCACGATGCCTATAATTAGCACTCAGCATAAAGGGCATGCTCACAGACAAAAGATAAGCCCTATTCAAAGAAAAAAAGATAATTTTATGGATTCTATACCAAGAAAAGGCCGGCCATGTCCCTACTCACGCTAATGTGAGGTACATCATCCAGAAGATCCTATAATCCCAAGGAAAACCGCCTCATCTTGGGGGCCATTACATGCGAAATTTCATCCGCCAGAATCCAGAGATAAAGACCAAGATAGGTAGAAAACTTGACTACAAGCGTATCAATGCTGCCATTCCCGACAATATCCATGGCTATCATGACCGCTACACAGATTTCGACTTCATTAAGCCTGAGAACCACACCATTATCGATAAGTACGGCATCATGCAGGGCCGGCAGTACGTACGTCGAATCCAAGTGTTTTTCAGATGGCTAACAGGAGGTTATAGGTCTAATGGCCTTGTAATAGGCAGTTCTGGCTCAAAAGGGGCCAACGTCAAGTCCAACGATGACCACACATGGACTATCGTGATAGAATTGATTACTGCCATTGGGAAAAAGCTCCGGCCACTGGTTATCTTTAAGGCGAAGTCGATACAGACGCAGTGGTTCAAAGAGTAGCTTATTCTCGAGCATCCCGGGGTGGCAGACTGGATAGTGACTTACTCTGCCAATGGCTGGTCTTTGAACACGATAGCGCTCAAATGGCTTAAAAAGGTTAAATTTTTCTTATTTTTTAACATTAGCTATATGCTAAATAACCCCTAGATCTATCTATCAGATACTGCCCCTGAAGACCCGGATGAGTTCCACCTATTGGTGCTCGATGGCCATGGCAGCCACTGCTCAGATGATTTTATGTATCTGTGCTATATAAACAATGTCTATCTGAGCTTTTTCCCTGCCTATACAGTAGGTTATATCCTTAATTAGTAGTTATTCCGCTAATTGTGACGGCCTGCACAGACCTTCCCACATGACAAGCAGATACTTCCCAATAGGGGAAGGATCTGACCAGAGGATCCCTTTAAAGGGGCAACCTCCCACCGTACCTATCTCTCTCTCTCTCTTCCTTTCCTCTCTAGTCTTGATATTCTCGTTAATAGAGTAATAGCTGTTTGCTGCTGGCCATGTCCCAGCTCCTCAGTACGCTCGCCGTGACACTAATAGGGGCCAGCCCCTGGATCTGACCGTTTTCTCTGTGGTGAAGGCCGCCTATCGCCGCCTCATCAACCAGCTCGGTCAGTTGAACGATTCGGCCCCTATTGGCAAGATTAAGTTCCTTTCTTGCCTGGCGAAAGCCCGTGACGAAGCTACTCTTGCTATTGTGCGTTCGGGATGGCGTACTGCTGGCCTTTGGCCCGTAAATAGGAACAAGACACTGACAAACGAGCATGTGGTAAAGGCAACAGAGATACAAGCAATAGCTGCTGCTATAATGAACTCTGAAACCACCCCTGATGCCTTGGAAGCCCCTACATCAGGGCAGGATATAGCCCTGATGTTGTCAACAGTCGCGGAGACCCCTGAGCAACGAGCAGCAGCAGTGCGGTCGCAAAATCATACGATAAGATGGTGATTAAGTTAGCAATCCTGAAGCTGCAAAATGAGGCAAAAGACGACGAGATCGAGCGTCTATAGCTTAAAAAGTGCCATAAGGCCCCCCAGGAAGAGCCTGATCAATGGCTATGGAGGATAGGAGACGTTATTCAGGAACAGATCGAGCATAACATCTCCCACCCCCCCGCAGACCAGCGCGTTCTGACCCACAAACGCGTAATTCACCAACCACCAGGATTATGGTGATCCACTATCTACACCATCACTTTTGCATCTTTTTTTCCATAAAGCACACTATTTGAATCCTTATCCACTGCTGAATCTCATGATGTCATTTTACAACCGTCAAATAAAAGCTGAAGCCGCCATTTTGGCCATCCAACGCGGAGCTCCAGTCCGCTCGTCAGCCCTCGAATGGCAAATCAGTCGCTCGTACGTCAACCGACAAATCTCTGGCACCCCAACGCGGAATGAGACCAGCGCTCTCCAACAGGCTCTCTCACTGTATCTTGAACATAAGCTGGCAAGCTGGGCCCTGGGGCAAGCACGGCTAGGGTATTCTCCGGCGGTCTCTAAGTTCCGTTTCATGGCCCAGCGGATGCTCCATGCCACCGGGGATGCTCAAGAATTAGGGAAAAATTGGGCATCCAAGTTCCTGTCTCGAAACCCGAAAGTCAAGATAATGAAGTCTCGTGTTATCGACTACAACCGAGTGAATGGTGCTACAGCGGCAAATATCAATATTTTTTTCGATCGGTGTGACGCCCCTGACGTGGTTAACCTCATGCCAGCACGCTGGTACAACGTCGACGAAATAGGAATCGCCCAGGAGGTTGGGGACTCCTATTGGGTGGTCTCCGAGGCCTCCGGCAACATGGCTATGAAGAAAGGGGTTGAGAAGGGTAAACGGATAACTGCCCTAGAGTGTGTGAGCGGATCTGGTGAGACCTTGCCGCCGCTGGTGATTCTCAAGGGGGTTAACGTACAAGCCTAGTGATTTAGTAACCAAAACGAGGGCAAATTCACCGACTGGAGGTTTATTACGTTGCCCAATGGATAGACCTCAAATCCCATTGCGTTAAAATGGCTTCAACGTATCTTTATTCCTCACATTCGGGAGGTCCACGGCAACACATGGGTGGTTTTGGTGTGTGATGGCCACGACTCCCACACGAATGGCGAGTTCCTAGCCACTTGCTTGAGAAACAAAGTATAATTGATCTTTTATAAACCTCATTGCTCCCATGTAGTCCAGGTGTTAGATATAGGAGTCTTCAATTTGGTGAAGAAGAGATTGAAGACCTTACTCCAAGAGACGCCCAGCGGCCGTCTGGGACTCAGGCCATCTAAGGAGGAGGTTTTGGAGTGCTACGAGCAGGCCCGGAAGGACACAATGACGCTCCTTAACATCAGAATTACCTGGAAAAGACTGGGATTGTTCCTCGCAACAGAGCGGAGGCGTTGAAGTCGAAATATGTGATTCTGGAGGACAAGGGGGTGGCCAGGGCACGCCAGAGGAACCCTAAGGCTTCCGAGCAAGCCACAACACCAGATTTTCTCGAGATGGTAACTAAAACCATTATCACAACACCCTCTGGAAGCCGGGCTTTGCGGGAGAGTGCTCAAAAGCTCGAAAAAAAGGACCCTTCTTTTGGGGGGCCCTCTGAGCGCTTGTTGGTGCAGAAGGCTGGCAAGGCCATGGATATTCAGGCTACTACCATTACAAATCTACGGGCCAAATGTGAGCTGCTTGAGGCTCAAGTGGCTAAAAAGGCTAATACCACTCAAAAAGCAGTCAAACCAACACCAGGGGAACGATTCGTCACAATGGCTAACATAAGGGAGGCCAAAATAGAGCTGAGGAACAGGAGGGTCTATAGGGACTCCGCTGCAGGCGAAGAGGTCCCATAAGAGGTCCCTGGTGAAGATTTAGGGTCGGAATCGGATTCTCGGAGCTGTATTATGGTTAGAACACCACGACCTTAGTGTATTTAGCAACTGTGGTGGTTGTAGATGGCTTCATCTGAATGAGAGTGGTGTGGTGTGGAGTGGTCCGTGGGGGGGTGGTCCGCAGGGGGGGGTGAGATGTTACGGAGGCCGCACAAGTACTGATTGACCAGCGGGCGGAGAGACGACGACTTTTGCGCGAAGTGCAGAACCTGGAGACCAAAGAATCAGAGGAATCGTCTTCTGAGGACTCCCTCTCCTCTGATTCAACAGATTTAGAAGATCTAGACGAAGGGGTGGTTGTTGACAAAGAGGGCGAGGGGGTGTCTGACGAGCCGGATGATGAAGAGGAAGAGCCCATTGTGATGCGATCTCGGCGCCGAGAAATCCGCCAACCCGCGCGCTACCGCTAAAAGCACTGGTATTACTAAAAACACCAAGAAGAGGCGATTCTTTTGATATATATACATTATCTATAGCCTCAATACCAATGGGGTTATATGGGGGTGCAAATGTTGTGTTTTGGTGGGGGAACTGTCCCATCTGGGGGGCTGTCCCATCTGCATGCCCCCGCCGTTACTCGTTGTGTTGTTGATACAGGCTTTCGCGATACAGTAGTTGCGCTCGGCGGTAGCGCAGCGTGGATGGTGTATGTCGTGTGGATGATACTGATACTGATTGAGAAAAGGGTGCAGAGAAGGGTGATTGTGGTAGGCGGTGTGTGGCTGTATGGATTGTGAAAGACGGAGAGGTCTAGAGGAAGCAGCTTGCCTGGATGCCCTATTTATGCATTTCATGATGAGTGTTGAGGTTGGTGATATTCACCAACAGCACAGCGGTTCCTTTGTTCAATACCACAACACCAACCAACACCCGTTCAGGCATAGGGGCACTTCGCAGGCAGGTGCATCCAATCTTTTGATGCACGGGGCCAACCCTCGAATCGCGTTACTCTCGGCGACATAACAATCGAGGCATTCCCAGCATTCACCCACCGTTTGTGGCAGGCGCAACTCAGGTAACTAATCCTATCAGCCACCAGTTTGAATCGTAAGCCGCCCCAGAGTGATAGAATGCACACCTGGTGCTAAGACTATGCCAAGTGAATTTGACTACATGGCGGACACTTCATTCACCTGACCTGGCGGACTTGCCACATTATCTTGAATGCGCCGAGGTCAAGATGCAGCGTGGGCAGGCCATTCACAGCGCATGCCATTTGATATCTTATGGAGGGACTGCACCCACGATAAATACAATCAATCAATCATGATTATCAAGCATAGTAAATGACCGATAGAACCCTACCTTGGTAAAGATTGTTTCGAGTGCCACGGCAAACCGTCTGGCTGTCTCCGCCGCATGACCAAAGCCGTAGGGAATCGGGAGCAGCGCAAACCCGGAACATGGTGGGCTTTGCATCTGCTGGAATTTCCTGTTTACTGTTAAGGGGAAATGAAGCTCGTCCAGGCAGGGCGATAGGCGGACGGCCCCCTGACGGATTTGATGAGTCACGGTCTTCTTCTCCCTTGCAGTTCAACCTGTCATCTCCATCACCTCACAAGACGTCCATAACTCCCTGGGATCCGTGTTGAAACTCATACATTAAGTACAAAGTGTCTTAACCAGGCCCTCGGGTTTCCAAGCCCTGAAGGCTTGTACTTGCCAGAGCTTCTTCATCCCTCCAACGTTGGTGAAGCATTGGTTCCACGCCGTGGATACTCTGACCCAGCGGCTGGTTCTAATAGACCAGCCAGATCATGCCGTCGCCTCGTATCGCAAGGATAGCCGAGCATGAAGCTAACAGTTTCGGTATCCGCCTAAGCGGCGCTTTCCGTTGAGATGTGAAGGGACGGTATTCAATCCCAAAGGTGGTCCCCATGTCCGGCCACTCCAGAAGGATGGCGCGGAACCCATTTAGGCCTGCGGTAAGATCCTGGTGTTTCTGGAAGAACAAGACAAACCGCCACAGGGCGTAGTCATAAACGACCTCGTTTCCATCCAGCATCTGAAGTAGGCGGCATGGCGCCTCCTAATCGCTTGTAGGAGGGTTCCACTCGACGAGTCGTCGGCGCTTGCATCCATCCGATTTGGGTCCCCGGTTGCAACATTGGTACCGGTCAGTGATTACTTCTTCGTAGTTCAACCACGCGGTTGTTGTACTCCGCGTTACAAATGGCGTGAGGCCATGCGGGTGCCCTATCTTCTGTTAGTACGCTCCCTGGATTAATATAGCTCCTCGGACATCTTCAAATTACAGGAAGTGCACCAGGCTCCGGTGTCGTGCGGGTCACAAAACTGACCGCACTGGCTGCAAATGATTCTTACCCCTGTGATAATCACGGGGGACTCTTCGCGAGAGGCAGAGGCGGCTACCGGATTGGCAGCGGTAGAAGGTACCGGGACAGGAATCGGTATCAGGGTCCCGAACAACTTAATCCACGTCAACGAAGGGTTTTGTTGAGTTGAGTTAACACTATTTACGACTTCGCCGTTGCTAAGTTGAGTTAAGTGTATTAACGAGAGATTTTATCTCCGGAGATTGATATTTTCGTTGGTTGATATAGCCCCGGAAATAACCGGATTTCTAGGTTAAAGCTTTGTAATTTTGGTAAGGGAATCCCGTTCGGCCTGGATACTCCGGCATAACCTACTATAGAAAATATTTTTTATATGGTTAAAAATCAAAATCAAAATCTTAACCTATATCAATCCATATCAACCCACGAAGGCCTCGTCGTTAAGTTGGTTGCCAAGGCTATAGAGGTCTTAGTGTGACGGAACGCTCACCATAACCACCATGCCACGGCTGTTCCTCCTAAAAAGGATGTCGAATATCAAGCGTGGCAGCTTGACATTCAATGGTGGTACATGTACTCATGTCCGGGCTCCAGGACTCACCACATGGGCTACCTGTACCAGACCATGACACTTAGTAGATTGAGTTAACGTAGATATTGACGTCAACTTAATTAACTCGTTGATATCCGTTGAGTTGTTCGGAACCTTGATCGGTATAGTGATGACGGTAACGTTACTCAGAGAAAGCCAAGTGGTATAATGGTAAGCTGAATAGACAATTCTGACCAAGGGCTCGTAAGGGCCAGCCCTACCGAAAGGCTCCAATGTTATCATCGGTAGGGTAAGAGTTTCGTAAACAGTCTGTCCGACCCCCCTGGGGGTCGGGCTGTTGAGCTTTTGTTATTTTTTTAAGCTCAGACTCAGGCCGGAATTTTTCACCACCGTGCAGGAATCGCGCCGCCTTCCTTACTCACCACAATTAATCCTTCATATCGTGGATCTTCAGCCATTCCCGACACGAATTATACACCATAACCATGGTGCGAACCGAATCGGCTTCCTATGCAGTCAAAGGTCCATGCCGTCCCAGAAGAAGAAGACACCACTCACGCGGACTCCGCAGTCAAGTAGGTCCATAGGCTCCCTCAGCCGTGCCGCCAAGCTAACAACGGGTCGTGCAGCGAGCTGACCCTGGTCACGTACGATGGAATGTACACCGTCAATAAGAACAAGCTCACAAAGACCTCGCTCTTCGTGAAGGACGCCCTCCGGGAAACCTGGACTGTCAGTTTTATCTTTTCCCATCCTCCTCACGTGAAGAATTCGTCACTCCAAAACTGCGTAACTCCCAATACGTCGGGTTGAGACGGGTTAAGGCAGGTAGAGTGTTCATGTTTCGGCCCCTCCATGAGGTTCCGGAGTGTTTGGGGTTTGCCGCGATCTGGTGGCCTCACACGAAAATCGAAGCTGACTTGTTGTGATCCAGGAACCATAGATGAACACCACGCAAGATACAGCGATATACACCCGATGCTGTGGGTGATTTAGCATCGACCCCCTCTTGTGGAGGAATAGACTTGTATTAGGGTACTTGAAGGTTGTTTGCTGGTGGTGGTAGTGGGGCCTGGGTCTCCGCGGGGGTTTGGGGTGGTGTGCTGCCTGAGATACGATGAAGGTGAATATGCCTACTAGCCTTTACTACCTATGGAAGTGCACCGATTTTCAGCAGTACCTAATTCATGCCCCTGAACAAGCTCGCAGTGCGTAGCAATGGACACATGATGTGCCTGCCACATATGTACCTATATGCATCTAATGCTCTATATTTCAGTCTATGGCCGCACGTCTCATGAAAAGGGTCTCATATCACATTTGCCTGGTGTTTGACACGTCTTCCTCTTCTCATGAAGTACCAAGTAATCATCACTGATAGGAAACCACTTCCCACACAAACGACACGAGCCCCGTGGAACTATTTTGGCAGCGGTGAGGCTATCTAAGTGTCGCGAAGGAATTTTTGAGGCACCCAGGCAATATGATACTGTTGATCATCGGGTGTGAACCCCTACAGAAATTATCGGGTCGATCATTGGTTTGGATTCTGGACATTCTTCTTTGGTTTGGTTGATACCTCGCTGGTACGGGGACCATTGTGAGTTTGTGTTCTAGCCATACTTTCCACCTGAGGCAGCCGATTGCGGAATCAGTGCACAGTGTGGATGATTGCTTTACCGTTGACAGGAATGCGTCTAGTGCTCGTTGGCCCACTGCTTGGCCGTTGGAGTTTCCTACGACGTGCAAGCACTTGGTGTGTGCAGAAATACTTTGGTTTCCGATCTCTGGTGATGATAGATGGATATGTCAGGAGGTCGAACGGGATTTAGGAGGTGTGATGGCGATGTATATTGACTATTGCAATAGCGGCAATACCAAACTAAAGCAAAACAAGAAGATGGGGTGTGTCTCACTACATGTCGGAGTCTGCTCTGATTCGGGGAATCAGTCAAATGCCATCGCGTATCTTGATAGCCCCAATCATCTCTCCAAGCACCTGTCCCAGCCCTCAGGCCCGACAGCATGGCCCGGTTGGCCTAATTAGAGACCAGGGCGGCTAGTGTCTCCACCAGTTAGACGCAGAGTGCAGAAGCCAACAGCGATCCCTCGAAATACAGTGCCCACGGATGACAGGATTTGTGGCCCTGGTTGGGTCACTTCGTACAGATAGACCCATCACATGTATAGTTACTGCCGTAATGATGACTGTAACGGGCATGGATGATAGATGCGACTGGGTCTGACTTGCTTGTACGATAGCATGAGAGTCGTTGGTGTACAGCGTTGGATGCCCTTTGATGCACACTGCCTCGCATCGAGGTTTCCTTGTCACCCTCTCTACATGCGGTGTTGTGCTTGCATGCTTTCGTTGCCCCCCGAAATCGACTTGTGTATGTGCATTCCGTGCCATGTAGCTCCTGCGTCAAGTCGTGGTGGCCTCCACGGGGCTGCAATACCGCGTCCGTCGCTTACGAGTATTGAGGAAGTACCAACACTCGAGACAATGGAAAGGGCCGTCCATTTGCCGCACGTAATGGGCGAGCGTGACGCTGCAACATATCAGCTCAGGTCTTCCCAAAAAGGCTCGCTGTGCATTTTGTGATAGCCATGATTTCGTCTCATAGCGATATATTGCCTCCAGGGACAGGTGAAATGTGTAGATGACCGTCGCGGCATCCTCCCTCGTCAGTCTTTGCCATCGTAAGGTCGATCTTGCTTCGCGGCCCTTGCTATTGCTTGTGAACGATGCGAGACCATCCTTACTGCAATGGCACGTCTGACGCTTCCCTCGCTCGTTGCGATTGCCCTGCCGTCGTAAGCTCCTGACGGTAGAGGCGTGAACCATACCTGGTGAGGTCATTTCTGCTTCGTCCCCGTCCAGATCGTTCAATCGTCTTTCGCTGACTGCACAGGCTTCCTCTTCCGACAGCTCACTCTCAAGCCACTTGATGCGTATCCCCGTCTATCAACACATCGTTGCGATGTACTGGTATCGTTCTTCCAGGCTCAGATCCGCAGTCGAACAATGTCCGCCGCTCTACTCATCACCGCCCGAAGAACGCCGCTGCCGTTGCCAGCCCCAGCGACACCCCTCCACGCCATATACGGCGCGCTCTGTGAGAAATCTTTCTGCAAAAGCCGTAAACCAAAAGGTACGGGCCCAAGATTTAGATAGGAAACCCCCGATATCCCCCACTGCTTCCAGGGGTATCGGCCATCGTGCAAGCCGTAAACCAAAAGGTACGGGTCCAAGGGAAAATAATCCCGATATCCTCCACTGCTTCCAAGGATATCGGCCATCGTGCAAACCCAGAATAAAATAGCCTTTCTTTAGGCAGCCTCACTGCATAGCCCGTACTCGCTTTCCCATGCGATGTCTGGTCGTGCATTGGCGACATTCCGTACAACGGTCGTGGTCAGCTTCTTGCTGACCGTGCCCCATTTTAGGTGGCACAGTCATTCCTCTCTCGGTCTTCGAACGGCTCAGGCATCACCATCATTGTCGCTCGCCAGATATCCCTCGATACCGATCCAGCGCAGACGGAACGCTGCGGCTCAGCGCCGACCTTGCCGTTGCCTGCCGTTGCGTGGAATCGATGTCGACCATGATGTTGGCACTCATCTGGCATCATGGCCCTCCCCCAGATGCCGACGTAAAGCCCTCGATTGTAATACATTATCAAACCAGCCGAAGCACCCAGGCACCATTTGCTGCTCGTGCCCGAACATCCAACCTGGACATCGGAGCAGCTGACCAAGCCGACAGGAAACCAGGAACCCAGAACAGGGTCGGTTAGCGTGCCGGTCTAGGTAGTCATGCTTCGGTCTCCGAGTCGCACTTGTGACTTGGTGGACTACCAAGTAAAAGGAAGAAGGAAGACATCGGTCATGGTGCATGTTGCTCAGAAAGTAGCGGATGGCAGGTGCTATATATATACCTCGAATTCGAAATATGCTCCTGTCGGTTCCATCATCATGGTACTGGCATCAAGTTCCACAGTCCGGCTTTGGTCATCGCTTGGCATAGCCATAGCCATAGCCACCCAGCTCGGCAGACGGACCTACAATGACAGATCAGCATAGATGGAAGAAAAGTATTATGATGTCGTCTAATAAACCATCTCATTCGTGAACGTTACCTACACACCTCGCCAGCAGCGCGTTATCTCATATCAGGTACAGTGGGCGCCGCATCCAGTGCACCGCGTTCGAAGAGCCTGATACACCACTGCACTGCGGCGGGTCCATGGGTCTGACATCTGTCGCCGCCGTGGGTGGAGGGGTAGATATCGTTGAGAGGGGCGCGACGGCGAGGAGCGTGATCATGGCGCACCGGTAGGCCATGAGCCAGGAGAAGTGCGCGACGGAGGCGGCGGGTTCCTCGAGCATGCGCGCGTAGCGCTGGATGAAGAAGATGTGGAAGAGGAGGTTGAGGTTGAGGTTGAGGGAGCCAAAGTAGATGAAGGTTGAGAGGAGGCGCCAGAACTGGTAGTGGAAGTCCTCTGTTTCTTTGACTTTGACAAGTCACAACGTACCTTAGGTATCTTGCGTGGACCCTGCGTGCGACTGCGGCTAATTCGGGTAAGGCTGAACAAAGCCGGCAGCCGCGACGAACCGCGTTTCCCGATCAAAATTTAAAACATTGGAGGCTTGGGAACGGGGGAATTCAAAATTGGATGTCAACGTTGTTCTGGACCCCACACGACCACGACCACGACCGACCACGCCCCCGCATCGCAACGATACGCACAGAATATTTCTACGCTTCGCTCGATCGCCTTTGGTCTGCGTTTGGGACACTGTTGAGTTCTCATTGGACGCGCCGAAGCTTGGAGACTAACCCGCCTTGGACAATCGATATCTACCAGAGGAGAGAAGCACCGGGACGAGGTGGTATGACAGGCACAGGGGGCAAAGGCATAGCCAGGCACGGTTGCCATGTGAGATTTAGGAATGGTCTGTATTGAAAGAGGAACAAGGGATAGCTGATGGGTGTACCATCCTACTTATATAGGTGGGAAAGGGACCTCTTGACAGCTATCACATGTGATCCCACAGGATGACACATATACTGCTCACAGCATCATAACAAGGCTAAATACGCCACTGTTATGATACCTTGACACGCCCTCTCAGACGCAGGGCATCACCAAGTTTAAAACTGAGTGACTCTTCTAACATCTGGTGTTTTGAGTGCCACCACCGTATACCACGCCGGCGCCCTCTGAACATTAGAGCGACCTCTAACCTCAACACACCCTGAAAATCCTCCTGTGCCGCGCCCTCTGACCTCAATACAGCGCGACGACGGCATCACGAAAGGAAGCGAACACCACGAATACGGCGTTCAGAGAGTCAAGAGACCCTCACGCAACAGGGCATTCGAAGCCATTCAGCATCAAGGAGCCTCCTAGGGCTACTATCACTACAACTCGAAGATAAAACAATAGGGACAGAGGTCCCACCACTTGCCAAGTGTCGAAGCCGGATTGAAACTCGAAACGACAGGCCATGTTGACTTGCTCAGAGATCCGGAGCCAAGCGACCCGGCCACTGAAGGAAGAGCGCTGCCATGCTGACTGGAAAGGCATCTTCATCACGCCTCACAATGCCCCGGTAAGATCTGCTGGACCGGCTGGGTATACGGTATACCAATGTCAAGGTTTGACAAGAGAGCCTACCTTGCTCGAACACGAGGAGTCAATGACACTACGAGAACATGAATAAACGACCTAGGTATACAGACCCATTCAACAGCAGATGTATATGGCTCAAGGTGGAAATGCGAGTTCGCGACACGTTGCTAGGAAGAATGCTGGGAGCCGTTGCTGCTTTGAGTTAGCCAAATACTACAATGTGAACTTATATATACGCGTGGTGCAAGGACCTGGTCTGAGAAACTAGAAGTCTATTTCATCAAGGTTGGATTGATCTGTGTAGGCTTCTATAGAGGAGGGAATATGTGTATGTATCCATATAAGGAATGCAGGGTGGTGATTGCCACTCGGGGAGGCCCCTCGCTGACGCACGTTGCTGCTTCCTCGGCTGGCGCAAATCGTTCCTGCGATTTGGTGGTACACTGTTGCTATGTAAGGCAAAGCAGGTATTGTATTGATCTCACTGAGACACACCGTGCCTGCAGGTGGCCCCAGCGGTCTCTAGCACTTTTCAGCTGCCATTGATAGATGTCATGCTTGGTCCAAGGGTCGACGCGAACCAGCATCGCCGCGCGGCTAGGAGTCGAACCTGGCTTTAGCTCGCGGCTAAACGAGTGATTCGAACCATGGTCGTAGACCGACTTCATTTATTATCAACCTCTTCGACCAAGCTTCGCAAGGGAAGATCTCAATAATAGTATGAATCGGTCGACCAACATCGACGCGCGATCGGGAGTCGAACCTGATTTCCGCCTCTAGGACCAAGTGTTATGGGCAACGACGTCTAAAGGCGGTCCTCTGACTCAGGGTCGAAAAGTCAGGCCTTTGACTGTCGACACAGTCTCGGCTCTGTCAAGGTTTGGTCAGAGGATTCTCGAGACTGTGGGACGGACGGTGGGAGATGAAGAGTGTGAGATGCAGAGATATGCAGGAGTGAGAGTGAGCTAGGAAAGGCGTTTCGGTCGAGGGTGAATGATTCGGAATGGGTCAAACGTACCTTAATGACCAGGCGGTCACATATTGTTCCCCTTTCATGTTGCGGATATGGGGGAGATAGGGGAAGGGAAGAAGGTATGTCAGGAAACAGAAGATGATGCCAGATGGCATGTAGAGTGAGGTGATGAGAGGAAAGGAAAAGAAAAGAGGGAAGCATCTGAATGGCAGGAGATGCTTAAATATCTGAGGAGGGTGCACAGGACCCAGGTACTGATTGCAATTGCGGTTGGGACTGCACACTAAGCCCGAAGGGGAACTCCAATTCAATTGCAGGCAGCTTCTAATTGAGCCAATGAGAAAAAAAGGCAGACAGACATGCACACTGATAGGGTTGCGACTGCAGTTGATGCGGTGGTTCTGAGGTGTCGACCGGGTGAACGATCTTGATATTGAGGCTCTCAGGGGGCAACGAGTGGGTCTGAGGAATTAGCCAACTAGAATTGTTCTGGCACTCCTATACTCGGCCCAGATCAAGATCAGATCTGTGATCGCACCCACTCGCCCCATGGGGAACAGGGTCACTATCAATGAACACCCTTGGTACTCGGATGGCCACCATCAGACTGACTCTATGCCACGTAACAGCCCCTAGGGCAATTGTCGTGATCACGTCTGCTCTTTATTCCGAATACCATAGTGGATTTAGTTAACAAGCTCGTTGATGCATTTGAGCCCCAAGTTGCAAGTTGCAATCTATATCAAGCGTTGTGATGCAGGTCGACGATGTCCCGTCCCAGTACCCTACTTGGAAACACAAATATGTCGTCGGACCTCTGGACACTCGGTATTCTCACCTCACCCGACCATCGTCCAGTGCCGACGCAGAATCACCCGAGCCTTTAGAGCTTTCCAGAGCTTGGAGGGCTTTCCATGTACACAAGTCAGTGAGAACCTTCAACCTTCTTGACGAGGTCCTCCAACTGCTCAGCCACAAAAGTTGGGTTGTCCTTCTGGACGAAGTGGCCACACTTGGGTGCGATAATAGGCCCCTTCGCCCTATCCCTGTCGGTGAGCCCACAGAGGCCCTCATTGTACTTCTCCCACATGCTGTGCCCCATTGATTAGCCAGACGACCATCTGAAAAAAGAAAAGGAGTGATCACTGACGGTTGAGTATACATCGCAGCCATGCCCAGAGGGACCTTCATCATTGCCCACTCCTCCTTCGAGAACTGTTCGAGCTCGTGGCCCACAACGGTTATCCAAGGGCCCGCATCCGAAGTCTTCGACCCCTTGAGTTTTGGCCTGGAGGGGTCGGGCAGGATGTTCTTGATCTCCCGGCGGTCAAACCCCTCGGGGTTCTTTGCACCTGAAGCAAACACCGTTGTCATTTTGCTGTAGGCGGCCTCGTACTCGTCAAGAGGGGTGCCTGGCGGCGCCATTTTCTCCAGATCGAAAGATGGGTCCTTGGGGTTGGGCCAGATGCTCGCGTAGTCAGTGTTGCCAGGGTTGGAGTCCAGAAACAGGATTCCTTCGACGATGGTCGGATACCTAGCCCAGCAAGGGGTCGTTAGTTATGACGCTCACGGAGGGACCGAGGTGCGCCATCTGTTACCTGTCCGCGTATCTTCGCGCGACGTGTGCACCTATGCTGTTGTTGACAAGACAAATGCGCGAGCAGCGATCAGGGCACAGAGTCCGAACCAACTCGTGGAGGTCGTCGGTGACGTCGTCAAGCGTGTGGGCATAGCCCGGATCCTTGCTCGGCCAGCTCTCGCGCGGGTCTCTCGGAGAAGCGCCCTGGCCGTAGCGGTCGTACGTGAGGATCCATGGCTTCGGGGAGACGCTCGACTGCTGGAAGAGGTCGATAGCTAGCTTCCAACCGCCTTGTGGGAGTCCAAGCCCGTTGAGGCAGACGACAAGGAGAGTGCTTGCCGCATCACCCTGGAAGAGCTCGTACGCCACAGGGGCGTCAGGCTTGGAGGGGAGAGTCACGGTAGGCATGTTGGATCTGACAGATGCCTTCGGCGAAAGACGGTTTGAGAAGGTACTGTTGTTGCTGATGGGGTTCTTGCTTTTACTTTCAGTCGGAAAGTCAATCGGGCAGTTGAATGTGATCTATGGTAGACCAAAGGCCCCCGCGAATGAACCCGGTGTTTCCCGGAAGGGCGGCCATCAGATACGGCAGGCAGCGAGATAGTACAAGTCATCTGTTGGGGCTAGGACTCACAGCCTCACAGGTTGCTACGCCCGCCAACTTCCAAGCACACCGCCCGCCTCAGTCAGCCTGTCAGCCAGGCAGCATGCTCAGGCTCCAACTTGATCGTGGGCAGAGCGGCGAGCCCCACACCTCAGCCAATCGCGAGCTCGATATCCAACAACGGTATACAGTAGGTGTCCAGGATGGTAATGGTTAGCGGTTCCACATAATGCGGACCTACTGACAAAGTTCTGATCTATAATTATCTGCAATGGTAATAGGTAGAACTTTACGCGACGGTGACAGACCCGCACCCTCTAGCATGTGGAACAGCTAACCAATACCATCCTTGCTACAGTACCTGTAGCACCCGGGACCTCCGATCCGAAGCGGGATGACGCGGCAGGAGTGGTACCGCTTGGACTCCCCTGCCGGGCCTGCCCCCGACCCCAACCCCGACCCCGCCCCCGCTCCCCCCCGTGGCCGCGCCGTTCGGTCGGGTTGCATTTGCGATGGGTGCCGAGATACAATAAGCGTGGAGAGGCATAGGTACTCAACATGAAAAGAACCTTGCAGACCTTCTATCATGTAGCAATGCCAACTGTGTATATACTGTAGGCGTAGGCAGGGAGCCGATAGGTAGGATGGTAAAGGCGATCAGCTCGTAACTTACGCCACACTGCTTGCTGGGTGTGCCTTGCGCTCGCTCCTCGTCATATATGCGCCAATATCGCCATTTCGTACCAAAGATCACAGTAACAGACCCCCCTCCCCTCTCATAACGCCATAGTACCGACTCCAGTCTCCGCGGACAGACAGGCCAGACCTATTGCTTCCCCTGGGCCGGCGGCTGCTGCTGGCCTTGGGACTGGTCTCCGCTTCCGCTCTTGGCCTGTTGTTGTGGTTGTTGTTGGGTGGCTTTCGACTTGGCCATCTGCTTCCTACGTGATGCGCACCGTCAGCAGATCCAGAAAAGGAAAGGGAAGAAATGAATGAATGCGGTATGGAGGCAGGCAATGGATGGCATCGTACTCCTTGTCCCTGATGTACTGGTTCTCCAGTGCCTTCTCACGGTCGGCTAGTGGGTTCTGGTCCATGACGTAGACTGCGCTATGGATTGACCCTACTGTACTGGTGCTAGATGAGACGGCTGCTATAGTACTTATCGTTTCTTTCGGGGGTGTTGCGTGATGTTTGGGTTATCACGTCTGTCGGAGCGAGGAGGTGGACAGGATGAGGATGAGTCGGGTGCTGTACGAGGGACGATGCTGACGTCACAGTTGCCAGCAGACGTCTTGCCAGCTGCGCATTTTCGCTCTGCCAGCTGGCTGCGGATGGTGAAATCCCTCTCAGCCAAGTATTCAAAGTGTCCAACGTCTATTCAAAGTGGGCTTCTGACCACTATGTATACATAGACCTGGTGGAAATGGTATGGACAGTGGCGAGGTAAAGCGACTACTATATGTGGGAAGATAGAATTGAAGTCAAACGAGCGACTCGGCTGTCCAAGAGCCTTTCTTTACATGCCTGGGAAGATGTCTACCGTGCTGGAAAAGCGACCACGGACTTGCTTGTATAGCTGATGAAACCGCATGGACTTCCCATGATGACATAACCCGCGATACTCACTTCCACCTTGCGAGAGGCATTTGTTTCATATTCCTCAGCTGTCGTACACACGAGCCTCCCTACCTAGAATGTATCACGGCACATGGTGGCAGTGATTGCTATACCACAAACAGTACCTACTCAAAACCATGACTGGCCTGCCATCACCACGAGCAAACCCATCCATCCCAAGCAGATGCGTCCGCATGAGCAAGCAGAGAAAGCAACCGATCCCGAACCTCAATGAAACCACCCACGCAGAGCGAGTCACAATGACGGCGCGCACCAAAGATCCATACCTATATATCAACCATCCAATGCCCATCTCCAAGTCGATCCAGTAGCCCATCCCAGCCCGTCAAGCCCCCCAAGCCTCGAATGTACAAACGGGAACCCATCCACCCACCCGACCCAATCCAGTCCAATCCAATCCAATCCAACCCAATCCAACCCAGGAACCCCAAACCCACACCGACACCATCCCTCCCTCCCTGCCATCCCAACCCAACCCAACCGCAGCCATGGCCACAGACACATCGCCCAGCATCATCGCCATTGCAACCATCTCCCTCTTCGTCTTCATCGGCTTCGTGGTCTGGGCCTTCCTCAGGTACATCCCGCGCTGGCTGGCGCAGTTCCGGATCAGGAATCGGAGCGGGACCGAAGAAGAAGCAGGTACAGGGTTGAGCATAGTGACCCGGATCGAGCACCGCGAGTTCGACTGGCCCGACGGCAGGGGTCGCGGGGCGTATGATATCGAGGTGTCGCGGCCCATAGTGGTGCGGACTGGGTCCAGGCCCGGTAGCGCGGCGCCGGATGCGGAACGGGGACGGGACAGGGGAAATGGGCTTGTGGGTTCGAAGAACTACTAGATAAATGAGCTCCAGTGATGGGCGTAGCTGGATAGAGTTCCGATTTGGGCTTGAGTGAGGCTCGCAGGAGAGGACATCATCTGTAAACACTCGGGTGAGTTGACAGAGATCTCGAAGCTGATGTCCCGAAAAGTGTCTAAGGGCGCCGGTGAGGTCGCAAGTGCCACCTCGTGCATATAATGAAAACGACAGGATCAGTAAACAGCATTTTTGGTATATTTATCTCACCCTTCAGTCAGACCACTAGGTGCCGCTGATAGTAGGGATAGCCACGCATCTCTCTTCAGATGCTCCAGAAAATTGAGAAAAGAGGGTATCCAGATATCGCGCCCGCTCCCACCACCGCCGGACCTTCATCCAAGGCCTCCCAATCAACGACCTCCGTAGCCCAATCGAGAAACCGGGAAAGGTTTTATACAACCATCTTGTCCAAAATCTTGTGAATACCAACGTTCTTTCCTCTCCCATCGTCGATGTCGTCCGCCATCTTTCTCGCCCTCTCAACGAGGACATCGACGACCTTCTTGGTGTAGTCGAAGCTGCCAGTGCCCTCCATATACTTGACGGCATAACGCTTAACCTCATCGTCCGATGTCTTCTGCTTAAGAATGTTCAGGAGTTGCAAATTCGCAGGGTTAGAGCGGATGCTGTGAATGATGAGGAACGAGAATTTGCCTTCTGTCAGATCTTCGCAAAGGCCCTTGTTCTCGCCGTACTCGGGGCTTGACAGGTTTCTGTAGTCATCCTGGATCTGAAAGATGATGCCGAGGAGGTTCACGAGGGGAACACAGTCGATCCGGGAGTTGGACTCGGCTTGCATGAGTTTGATGGCCAGACGGAAGAGACCTCCGCACTTGTTTCCGACCATCTCGAGATACTCTTCTTCCGTGGGACAAGTAAGGGTGTCTCTCCAGAAGAGGTCCATGCCTTGTCCGCGGTGGAGATTCAGCAGCTCTTCCGTGTAGACGCTGACGGCTTTCGGGTTCTTCAGCGTTTGTAGTTCTTGTAGGGCGCAGAAGTAGACGTAGTTGGCCGAGTTTATGGTTTGCGCGGTACCGAAGATACTGTGGGTCACCGGCAGACCACGTCGTAGTACCGAATTGTCCTCGACATCATCGACGAGCAGCGAGGCTGTATGCAGCATGCCGACAACCTTGGTGATGACGTCCAAGCTCTCTTGCGGCACGTGCAGCCAGGCATTGAAGGAATTGACCATCAGGGTGCGGAGGTCCTTCCCAGGGTGCGCAAACAGATATTCATAAGGGCCCATCAACACCTTTTCCTTCTGCTCGGTCCATGTCTTTCTCGAGGTGAAGTTCAGGTCTTCGGACGCGTAGCGCGCGGGGTCTTGGGCGGCGGTGGCGTTCATGCCGGTCAAGGGAAGGCGGGAAGCCGAGGAATTCTTGCGGTGTCGGTTGCCCTGACCAAGCCAGTCGGACTCGGGAACGGGGCGTAGGACAGACTTGACAGGGGGCAGCGGCTGCGGTGTTGTGTAACCTGTCGAGGAGGTTCGGGGAGGAATGGCGTTGGGCGACTGGAGGTTGATGGCGCTGGCCGTGTTGGTGCTGGATACCATGGCGGCTGCGTGTGGTAGCTCCGCGGCGGAGCTTTTTCTCGGCAGGGACGGAAGGAGGAGGTACGGGTAGCCGATGACCTCGAAGGTTTCGCACTTGATGTTGGCAGGAGCTGGAGTGTTGTTGGTGGTGGGATGGTGGGATGTCCTAGCCGTGCCCTTTATGCGGCTATGTTACATTCATACACTCTGCCCGAGCCTCGCAACCAGTGTCAGAACTCAGCCGTAGGATTGATCTAATTGTTCGCCAAAAGTAGCTGCATGTGAGTTTGGATCAATGACGTACACAATGTATCTCGTGTATTAAGGCACCAAAGAGAGAGCAGAATGCCCTTTGCTACTCTTATATAATGTAGGGCACAATGACTGACTCAGTGCATTCGAGTCAAGGTCGCAGGCTTGGTGGGTGGGTATTAGATGCAGCAAGAGATTTTCCAATGGTTTATGGCGACCAAAATGTCCTGAACCTTTGTTCTCGAGCTGCCTGGGTTGACTCAAGAGAGAGTGGTGGTGACGATGGTGGCCTGCTGCTTATGGTGGGACGGAAAGGAAACATCCAATGCATGCATGACCTTCTTGGGTACACAGGACTTAAGACGACTTATAATAGGAGTGAAAGACAGGACTCGGGCTTCGGACACTTGATTAACTGCTTCTGAGGAGGCTGCCTTGGAATGATGCCCTCGTGAACGGTCTGTTTAGGTCATGGAGCCGTAATGCGGGTGGAACTGGTTGACCCCGAGCTGCGACCTTCCCGCCTTCTCCCAAATGGCGGACGTCATGACCGTCATTGTCGCGAGCAGTACAGTGTACATGGCGCCTTCGAAAGTCTCAACAACAACTGAACCTGGGACGTTGCCGGCTACTTGGCGACCATGCGCGATGTCTGACCGCGTGAAACATATCATATTGGGTATACTAACAGCTGACAAAGGGCTCTAGAAAATGGGAAACCTATCGACTTTGGTTGAATGGAAGCCGGTGAAGTCGCATGAATCATTCCATGTGACGGGCAGAAGTTCAGACGGACAAGCGCAGGTACTCGATACTTGGCTCGGGTTCAGAGGACCTGGTGTGGTGGGCTTGGGGAAGCTAGGGCCACCTCTTTGAAGCTGGGCGACCCCTCCTCCGTGGGCGGTTAGCACAGCCAGATGGAAACGTGGCTGGCCCTCATCGATCGTCTGTGGCTTGCGCCCAGGGTAGCCCGGGAAATCTGGGGATCGATCCCAGCCGTTGCTATGTCAACCCGCTGCTGCTGCCCCACCAAAACCGTTGCAGGGACTCAGCCCGCCATGCGTCGCATAAACTACAACGCCAGATTGGATCAGGCAATCCATCTAAAGGCGTGCTTCCCTCGAGCTCCTCCTCTGCTTCTCTACTTGATCTCTTCTCTCTCAGGAATCCCGACCTCTTTTTCTGATGCCCCAAACTTCTTTCCTTCGTGCAGCTTGTATTATCAGTCCCTCGGCGTTTTCCCATTCTTTCTCGTGTACTTTATTTTGCAGCATCATCGCATCCGATCGCATCGCATCCGAACAACACCACCCACCACCACCAACATCCAAACAGAAAGTCCCAATCATCACCATTTACAATGGAGAACCTGCTGTCCCTCGCCTTCGACAACCTCTCCTCCTTCGACGGCCCCAAGATCCGCAAGGGCCTGAAGCAGGTCGAGGGCCTGCTGGCCAACATCTGCCTGTCACGCCAGCAACCAAACAGCAAGGACAAGGGCCGCCGCGCCTCGACTGTCGCCAAGGATCCGGGACAACAGGACCAGAGCCAGGAGCCGCCCCCGACGAAGACGCTGTCCGAGCTCACCGACGACCCGGCCTTCTACGAGTTCTTCAAGCTGCAGGAGGGCTTCGAGTGGAACGTCGCCATGCGCCTCGTCACCACCCTCGACCGGCTGCTGGCTAAGGGCGGCGACGGATCAAACGACCTGCTGATGCTGAGCGCGCTGGACTTGATCCAGGGCGTCATGCTGCTGCACCCGCCCAGCAAGGCGCTGTTCTCGCGCGAGATGTGCATGAACGTGAGTAGTCGAACCTCACCACCTCAACAATGAACCCGTTGGGTTTAGTAGAACTGGACGTAAAGCTAACCGCACCGCGCAAACTCGCAGATGCTCCTCGACCTCCTCGAGCCCGACTTCTGCCCCGCGATCCAGTCCGCGACGCTCCTCACGCTCGTGACGGCCCTGATCGACACACCACAAAACACGCGCACCTTCGAGAACCTGGACGGGCTGCTGGCCGTGACGTCGCTCTTCCGGTCGCGCGGCACCAGCCGCGACGTCAAGCTCAAGCTAATCGAGTTCCTGTACTTCTACCTCATGCCCGAGGTCCCCTCGATCCCGAGCGCCGTCGTCCGCGACTCGGTCCCGGGCCTGCTGCAGCGCAGCCCTAGCAAGCTCGCCAAGGCCTTCTCCGGGTTCGCCAACGGCAACGGCGGCGAGGGCACAAGCCGCCGGCGCCCGCGCTCCGACAGCGACGACTGCCAGACCCGCAGCCAGGAGGAGAAGCAGCTCCTGCTGGGCCGCCATCTGAATAGTGTCGAGGAGCTGGTCAAGGACCTGAGACAGTCGACGCCCTTTGGCGGAGTCGTGTGCTGACGGGATGGCTCTCCAGAGTGCAACGCTCTCCAGAGCATCCGTTTACACCACGAGATGTTCCTTGTTCCTTTGGCGTTGCGTTGATTTACTGGCGGCGTAAGGTCATGGATAGTGAGCTCAAGGAGGACTTTTAGGCCCATTGGACTTCTTTGTTGCCTTGCATCATCACCATGCATATAGTGCAGTGTATTTCCCATGTGGAGTTCCGGTCCAGGAAAAAGGCGTTTAGTCCGTTCGGTAGATGATTGGAGTTCGAGTGAGGGAAAGCAAAGGGGGTTGCTACATCGCATTAAGTGCGCATTTGTCAAGAGTCATGAATTACATGTACTTTTTACTGTCAGTACAATACACCAGAAGAAATCAATCATGTCCACATTACAAGCTTCCATCGTGACTTGGTACATACACAGTCATTACGGTCCCATCCCCGGTGTCGGCGACGACGGCCCTATGCTCCGCCGCTGACTGGCCTCCTCTGGGCTCAGCGGCGACGGACTCCCGGGACTACCATACAGCTCGAAAGGGCCGAACCCTCCTTCCCTCTCGCCCTCCTGTTGTGCAGGCGTGACGCCGATCATCGGCGTCGCATACACACTCGCCGCCGGCGTGGCCCCCTCGCCCTCACCCAACGGCGCAGCCTCGCCCAGTCCCCTATCCTTCTCCGCAACGCGCGAGTCGATCTCGACCGGCAGGCGAATGTCATCCGGCCCCAGTGGCGCCCCACTCGCATCGAACCGCCCCGTGCCACCCGACGGCATCCCCGGCGTCGTCATCGGGTCCGCATCCGTATCCGTGTAGGGTCCCATGACGGGTTCGGGGCCGAAATAGTCATATACGAGGCCGGACTGATGGGGTCTTGCCGCCCCGCCGCTTGTCGGTCCGCTGACGTCGGACAGTGTGGCTGCGCCCAAGGCGCCTGGACGTCCCGCGTAGGGGAACGGCGACATCATGCCTTGCGACATCATGCCTTGCGACATCTCGTCGTCGTCGTCGCCCGGTCGGCGATTGTTGTTCGCGTTGGCAGCCGCGGCCGCCGAGGCGCGCGCGTAGCGGGCGTCAGACCGGCGTCTGAGACAGAACCAGGTCAGACCCCCGATCACGAGCGCGGCGCCAATGGCAACCCCGGCGCCCACCCCGGCCTTGGCCTGCGAGCTCAGGCCACTGGAGTCACTGTCCGTGACGGTGATGTTGGGCGCGCAGAGGCGCGCCGTCGACGTCGCGGCCATGATCTGGTAGGTGCAGGTCGACCCGAAGTCGCAGCAGCCGCCACCGCCGATGGAGGCGTCGCAGGTGATCTGCGAGGTGGTGCAGCCGACGGGTATGATGGAGACGAGGGTCGATATCGACGGGGACGAGGTGGCGGATGCGATGCAGAGGTTTGAGGATGCGCATGCCTCCCCGTAGGCGCAGCACTGGTTACCGAAGGCGGCCTGACAGCTGAACGAGGAGCTGCTGCAGGCTCGGGGGCAGCACGCGGGCACAGGAATTTCGGTTAAGATGAAGGTCGCTTCGACGCTCGGTGTGCCGCCGTTCCCGTCCCCTCCTGTGCTCGCGATCGTTGTCGTGACCGGGATGGAACTTGTCGATGTCGAGTTGCAGTAGCGGGTATCCTCCACACAAGGCGTGTCCGGGCAATCGTAGCCAAGGGAACAGCACGAGATCGCCCACTCTTTGTTTACGTAGCAGTACTTGTCGTTCCCGCAGCAGTATTGGCCGCCGTCCAGCCCGATGTCGAGGCAGCTGTGGTTGCCCGACGGGCACTGCTTGATGTCCTGGCGCTGGTTAAGCCGATGCGCCGATGTGCCTTCCCTGAACCAGCGCGGCGCAAGCTTATTGGGCACAAGGGCGCCATTGTTGACGGCCGCGAGTCTGGGGTTGGCAATCGCGGCTCTTGTGAGGGTCGAGAGAAAGGTCGTCGCAAGCAGCAGCCCTGCTACGAAGGCTGAGTGACGGTTGGGTACCACCATTGCGCGCTATAGGGCGGAGAGCCTTATTACAACCCGGCGATGGGCGCAAATGGGGTGGAATACATAAGAAGTTGAAACCCAATCACAATCTCATCGGCACTGCAACAGCGCCGGTTTCAAGCTGCTGAAAACTGAGAAGGAAAGATAGAACGTCGACGAAGAGACATAACCAGCGATCACGACATGTAGGTAGTAATCGCCAACACACCAATCACACATGCAGCCAGAGCCGCCGCCCATTGCGTCAAAAAGGCGGCAAAATTTAGATATCCTAACCTGTTGGTTGCGCTCCGGCGGCGGGAAGCCTTGCCCACTTGGGCTTACATGACATCTTCTTCGCAGGGTCTACTGACCCTTCGCGACCAACGGGGGCGGGGGAAAGGGCCTCGAAGAGAAGACGAAGTACCTATGTTGCGCCTCACCCCTCAGATGTATGTCAGACAGCCTGCATATGGGAGGTTGCATCGCAGCCGATATATCGATCAAGAGGGGCTAAGATCGCCAGTGCAACGTCCCAGCTTGGGAGGAGGTTTCGGGGTTGCCTGATGAGAGTCCTGGCAGTGAGTCCCCAAAGGTTGCTGAACACATATATTCTCATCCGTAGCTGCAGACATGAAGTGGATGTCCAAAATATCGGAAGTTGGGAAATGCACTGATGATTTCGGGAGTGGCTGATGCACACAAACAACTGTGGCGCTTGCACGTGGTGGTTGCTTACGACCGCTGTGGCTTAAAATGACGCTCGAGGGACGACAAAGTTCTCATTGAAACTTAAAGAAGTCATCCACACCCCTTAGGCTGTGAGAGCAGTTCGCAGTTGGGAGGTCGTGAGAAAGAAAAGGGGCTCAGAAGAGCCGACACAGCCCCTCCCATCGCATCAGTCCTCTCTCTTTCAAGATCTGTCGACATGGAATATCGAGGTCAACACAGCATGAAAGACCTGCGCGCCTCGGGGGCCCTAGGCTGGGCTCATGCGACGGAAAGTGTCGGACAATATCTACAAGGCATAGTAGGTGCCATACAATGGACTCATAAGACTCGGCGCTGACAGCTGCCTTATAGATCCCCAGTGTCTGCCGAGCTAGAATTAAGTGAGCAAAGATGCGAGAGCGTCGTATTTCGCGCTTCTTGGGGTCTCAATGACTGACAGTCTCAGGGGCCTCCACCGCCATACCTCCAGTGAAGACAAGACAGACCCTAAGAAAGTAGTGACCACCTCTTTTTATGATCGCCGGAATCTTCACGTCGCGACGTGCCATGCCCACGGTGATGGCACATGGAAATTGTTCTTCTCGAGCCATGGCCATGACGAACTACAGAAGTTAGGCCTATCAGCTCCGGATGAAGGACGACCAGAGCCGAAAGTAACGGTGAAGGAATCGGTCACCAGCTGTGGCCATATTACTCACCATGGGGAGATGATCACTAAACCTCGTGGTTGTCTAGCTACAGTGGCTATTAACAATGACGAAGCGCATCGCCTCTCTGCCCAGGACTCTGGCACTGCCCTTCGCCAGCCGGCGGCGAATCAGAAACCACAGGCGAAGATGCAACGGGACCCTCAGATTATCCCAGCAAATACGAACCATGAACCACCAAACCAGTCATCGCCGACGAGGAAGAACCCTTCCGTCAATCACATTCTCAAAACCCCCAATAAAGAGCCGCTCCCATTCGCACGCGACGCCAAGACACACCTTTTAGACACTGAGCAACTGCAGCTGGCATCAGACCTAGCGAAACCAGATCTCAAGGGGAAGGAACAGCGGGCACTGTTCCAGAGACTGAAATCGATGCCCCCTGATTACCAGGAGCAGATCCTAGAGCGCTCGAAGGTCATCAAGTCCCGTGCCAGTACCGAAGCGGGGACTGAGACAGATGATAATGTGAACATGGGGTTATGAACATTTGGGTGTCATGAGCTACGATCTGGACACGAGACCTTTTGGTACTATACACTGAACCCTCATAAGTCTCCGTACACGACCCTTCCAGCAAGCAACGGTATATTCATGAAATCAAAATAAGCACACCGGGATAAGCAGTTTGATCTTTATTTACCATGCTTGACGCTTATTCCAGGGCGCTTATCCCAGTATTTCCAACTCTCCCGCTGGTGGTCTGGAATCTTGCCAACATGCGCGTACGGAGACTTATGAGGGCTGAGTGTATCATGCCAGCAGGTATCTCATGAGCACGAAGACTGAGGTTTTCTCAATGGAGACGTTCTATTTCTAGCATCAAATGACAAATTCCACGACAGAGTAATCCCAATCACTAGTAGCACATTTCCGCCTACGACCTGCACCATCCTTGCTAGCCTCTCGGCCAGGAGGTCGGCCTCCGCCTGTCATAATCCATCACAAGGAGATATCGTCAAACGACTGATGAGATACACGGTTGAATACGTTCGAGCTCCTCAAGAAGCTCCTCGAAAAACGAAACCTGGACCTGTTGACCCCATTTCCCAGTAACATGGCGTGCGGGGCTTCGAAGTCTGTCAGGCCCAAGGAATTCAACGACAACCAGAACATAGGGGTACTCACCTTTGGACACGACAGTTTGTCAGATATTGACCATTGCTTTCCGGTCCCGCCAACAGACCATGAACCAGAGCGCGGCTGCCCTCCTCGGTCGAACGAGCGAGGAGACTCTCGAAAACTCTGAATCCGGCGCTATCCTGAGTCTCCCTCGCCAGTCCGGACTTGCAGAAACTCGGATTCGGCGTGTTGATGATGCATGATCCCTTGCCGGAGGATTCGGTCCTCTTGGCGAACTCGCGTATGGCATAGATGACGAGCAACTTGGTCAGCGGGTATCGGCCAGCCATGTCTGCCTTCTGGGGATCGTTCAGCCGGTCCATAATGCGTTGGTCTCCAGGTGTCAGCTCCGCGACGGGGGCCATATAGTGCAGCGCGCTGTTCGGGATCACAAAGCGACACAGATTGCCGGTCTGCTTGCCGGACTCTCGCATCTTCGGAAGGAGAAGCAGATACAACAGGAAGGTGCTGATGACGTTGACGTTGAGGTTCTTCTCCTTTCCCTCACTCAGGCTGAATTTGGTCGTCATGAGACCCGCGTTGGCCATGACACCATCGAGGCGAGGAAGCTGGGAAGCGCGACTGGCGAACGACTTGACAGATTCGTAGTTGTCCATGTCGATGGGCCAAACTTCAATGGATGACTCCGGTCGACCACTCTCGGCGAGTATCTTCTTCTTCGCCTCGTCACCCTTGGCTGTAGTTCGTACAGCCATGATCAGTTTTCCCACACCAAGACGGGCCAAGTGGCGGGTGGCCTCAAAGCCAAGGCCGGTGTTTGAGCCGGTGACTATGATGACCTGCTTCGAGAGGTCTGAGTTGCCATCTGGAATGGGGAGGCTGACGAAAGCCTTGCCGTAGATGACGGAGCCCATGCCATGAAGCCCTGAAAGAACAGCCATGACGGTTTCTTCGGTCTGTGAGTGTATCGGAGGTGGGGTTTGGCGTCGATAGTGCAGAGCAGAGAACTTGGGTGTGATGAGGCTACTCGGCCAGATCCCGTGGGAGACACCATCTTATATATGCTTCGTCAATCTTGAAGCGTCCTCAATGAACGTTGTTAGAGAGAGGACTTAATACGTCCTTCTCCTAGCGTACTCGGTACACTAGGTAGCCAGCAACAGCCTGGCAGGCCTAAGATAGGGGGCGCAGCCAAGACGCTGATTGGTTGGTATTAATCCCGTGACCCCACTCCGTCAGAGGAGTTAATATCTCCGCGCACCTCACCTCCATCCATACCACCTGTCTTTGAGTCAGAGCAGCGCATATCAACACACTATTCCCGGAGCAACATCAAAGCCGTCACGCAAGGTCTACGCTTCTTTCTCTACTTCTTGTCAACCTGACATGATGCTAGTCAGGTAGCTTGTGGACACCCCCAAGACCCACGGCTACCATGGATTCTGGCACGGGGAGGAAGGAAAAGCGAAACCGGGCCCCCGTGTCGTGCGAGCCATGCCGGTCTCGAAAGTATGTCATATTGACATTGCCCCAATGCGAAAGCTCGGAGTAAGCTTATAAGTGCACCGGCAGACTGAAATGCGATCGCGGTTTACCGTGCGATACGTGCGTCAGATGGAACAAGTCATCCATCTGTCGCTATGCCGCCAACGCCGCTCGGGGAAGGACTACACCCTCCAACAGCGTCATCTACAGGACAGACTGAACACGCTGGAGAGTCTAGTATCCTCCTTTGTATCGGGCGACGCCGTCATCCAACCTGTTTGTTTGTTTGTTTGTTTTGTATTTAACGTGGGGGGTAGCTCCTCAGTAGTGCAAACCACGCCTCCCAGAGCCTCTGCATCGCAGGGTTGTGGAGGTCTCAAGATAATAAGTACAGTCAGTCCCGCTCACGGGCCCATCCCCGTTGTTGCGGCGGTATGACCTTGGGGTCATCCATCTGGTCCTTCGAGAAAAGCTATCTATCAGGGACAGATTGTTGAAAAGAACTTGCTCTTCTCCACGAATTTTGCCCATTCTGTGCTCCTCTCCCCTAAGTATTGTAAACAAGCTGTCCTAAGCGAGTACCTAGGCAGTAGCCGATTTTTCCCCAGTCTCTTACAAAAGAAAATATGTTGTGGTGTTTTCTTCTCACCACAACTGCAATGGTCATTTGAGTCTGTATGCCCAAAGCGTTCATGGTATCTGGCAAAGTCGCCATGTCCAGATCTGGCCGCTAGAAGTCTGTGTAAAGTACTCCTCTTAAAAGATATCAGAGTCATCCAACCTGGATCCCAAGCTGTCAGTGTCATTGGCGCTTCAGCAGCTGATCAATGCAATAGTTCCTCAACGCCAAAGACCACTCTTTCCGGTCAAGACAGAGGGGAGGACGTGATAACTCCAGATACTCCTCATCTACGCGAAACTGAAAACGGCCAGATGAATTATATTGACCCCAGTCATTGGTTATCCATTTTTGGAAGACATCAAGGAGGTTCGGGTGCACCTATCCGGGTCCAACCACCCTCCACCACAGGGAGAGCCCCGATCCGATATCAACCATGTAGAACCGGACGCGAGTTCCTTATTCGGCTCGACTCCAAGTGCGACCCTCGCCGAGATTCTCAATTCCCTGCCTGCTCAACCCATATGCGACATGCTGCTCTCGTGGTACTTCAATTCCCGGTACATGGTTCTGGGTAAGATGAGCATCTAGCACAAACTGAGCGTGGACGCTGAATAGATGACGGCCTAGGTATAATACATCCAGCCAACTTTCAGAACGAGGTATGGGCCATAGTCAAACATTTTTACAGAAGCGGCTCCTAAAAAGATTTTAGTACGAATCATTCTGGAAGGCACCTTTGGCAGCTTCACCACTCTGGGTAGCCCTCTTGTTCTCTATTCTCAGCATCACGGTGAGCCTACGTCAGATGGCCAATCCAGCAGAAGCTGTCTCAATGCCCCCTATAAGACTATTGCAACAAAGAGCAGTACAATGTCTTGTTCTCGGGCGGTATGCCACCGCCAACGCGTACGCACTTGAGGCTTTTCTGCTTCACCTCCAAAGCTGTTATTTTAGTAATGATGGCCCAGCTGTGAATCTGTGGTTTGAGATGGGTACAATCATACAGTTGGCATTCCGAATGGGTTACCATCGCGACCCCAGCAATTTCGCTGGCATCTCCGCATTCGACGGCGAGATGCGGAGGAGACTCTGGCTCAACATAGTCCAAGTCGAAGCGTTGATGTCCTATCATACGGGTTTTCCGAGCATGATAAACTCTGACTTTTGCGACACCCAGGTTCCCAGGAACTTGGAATACGCTGATCTCTACACCGGCATGGCAACGTTGCCGCCGGCGAGGCCCCTTTCCGAACGCACTCCTGTTCTTTACACGGTTGTCAAAGCAGGTGTGATGGCGGTATTCAAGAAGATCGTTGCCCATAACCAAGCGCTTTCAGTACCAGCCTACGGCCGGACCATGGTGCTGGATGCCGAAATGAACCAGGCGTACGATAAGGTCCCCGAGGCGTTGAGGCGTCGAGATGTCAACCGCTCCTTCATAGATCCTACCGGCCTCATTCTGGAACGATGCACGATAGAATGCCTTTACCTCAAGGGACTTATTGTCCTCCACCGGCGATACATCAGTTACGAGATGATTGATTGATTGATTGTATTTATCGTGGGTGCAGTCCCTCAACAGGGCAAACCACGCCTCCCAGAGCCATTGCATCGCAAGGTTGTAGAGGTGTCAGTCTAGATACCCTCAGATCCGCGCACGAGCCCATCCTCGCTGTAGCGGTACCAACCTGGAGTGTCCAGATGGATTTTAGTCAATATCCAAGCACGAGTCTGTCAGAAAAACCTCCTGTCCAGTGACAAAGCGACCCAGTGGACCTCAGTCCTCTGGTGTACACATTGTTCCAGTAGCCGTTTGATATATGTCGCATTGGTGGGTGAAATAGGTATTTGTTATCTACTGGCGAGGGAAATCATAAAGGGAAAAACCTCGCAGGAGTGGGTGTTATGGAGACGAGCTGCGTGGCTATCGGGCTCTGTGATAATGGGGCCTCTTTACTGTCGTGTGGTGGTTGTTGACTCGCACAAGCCGGGTCAGAAGGAGGCCATAGCAGGATTCGAACCCACTTGTTCTCGTCGCCCACCGCACAAACGAGAACACAACCAGGCGCATTTGACCATTGCGCCATACGGCCAGTTACGAGATGCGGAGCCCCAGGTTTGAGTACTCGCGACACAGCTGCGTCGAGGCTGCCCTCGGCCTCCTTGCCCGTCAGGCAGACCTGCACAAGGCATGTGAGCCAGGGGGCCGACTCTACGAGGACCGGTGGATGGTTTTCTCGCTGCCCGCACACGACTTCTTGTTGGCAGCCATGGTGGTCTGCTTGGACCTCTCTGTCCGCATGCGGTCGCGCGAGTCTGCTTTGATGCAAGGGCCGGATCATCAGCAGCAGCTCACAGCAAGAGAGTATCGAGCTCTCCAAACATCTCAGCGGATATGGTCCGTCCACAGCTCCACATCGCCCGAGACGCGCGTCCCAGCACTGGCGCTCGATCTGATGATCAAGAAGGTCGCCGAGAATGACTCCGGCCTTTTTGGCATGCATGCCACTCCGTCTGCTGATGCGGCTCCGAGTGGGGGTGCCGAACTGCCCTATGCTGGGCCCATGTCAGATATGATTGACGGGTCTGAGAACATTGACTGGGTGAGTCCACTACCTGCCGAGATGGGTAAGACGACTAGCCTGCTAACAGACGAAATAGGGGTTGTTGGATCAGTACTTCCTGAATCTGGATGGTACAGTCACAGACTCTACGTTATAGGGTTTGTAGACTGATGCGACTGGACGAAATTCTTGTTACTATGCAGGACAGGTGAAAACAATGGGTGTGTCCGTGATTCCATGGATAGCCACTTCCACCTCGGGAGGCTCCTTGAACCATCACTCAAAACTTGTTTTGCCATACACAACGCGCATGAGAACAACAAGTGGTAGACAGAGATTCAGACACACGCGAATTGATGGCTCGCCGAACGTGTATACCGGGGTATACTAAGTAGAGATACACTTGACCGAAGCTACCGCGACCCGATGTGTTATTTATTGTCGTTACTGTTGCCTCCCCTTTCCCCTCCCCCTCCTCTGTCGCTGTTATCGAATGCCCGATGTAAGTCAGAGTCTCAGAGTCAGAATCCCCATTGCCCTTATTACTGCCTGTTCCTAATGTCTGCTTCTGAGAGACCCGCGGCTATCAGCTGATCGTCGGTGGGGAACCGCAGCCGGCCATCCGGGCACGAGGCCACATAATTGTTGTACAATTCCGTCTGCTCGTGGTGACTTCTCACGTACGTGTCGATTCCGTCCCTTAAGTATTGCGGAATTTTGACCGAGTTGCTGTCGATCGCCAGCTGCCGATTGATCCGCACCTGCTCCAGCCAGATGACGACCTTCGTCTCATTATCGCTCATTTGGTATGGGGGAACGAAGCCGTTGGCGGCCACTGCGACGGCGAGGCTCAAGAGGCCGATGATGTGTGACGCTCGCATGGTTGCTGGATGGGTTTGGGCGATGATGCAAGTTTGTGAAATGTGATTTTGAGATTTTGCAACGAAGGATGTGGTAGATGAGGTTGATATTGTGCGATGATGTTCTTCTTTCGACGTTCAGGAGGAGAGATATGTCGACCTTTTGTACTTTGCTCGCCAGAAATGGTAGAAATGCTGAAATGGTAGAAACACACATCGCACACCCGTTTTGAACGACAATTCTCCACAGTAGTGTAGAAAGCGTCGTGCGCTTGTTACTTCCCACTATGTTTAGCAGGAAGTCTATTATTATATTTACGGATCCAGAAACCCCCAGTAACTATGGAGACATTACGATTTACCATCCGGGATATGTACGAGCTATCCGGCTCCATCCCGTCTTGTTATAACGTAGGATTTATCCACACTGAGTCCTTCGGTGAGTTCAGTCATCCTGGGACATTCTATTTCCATCAGGTATTGGTATAATTTAGGACTCATCCGTGCTCGCCAGCCTGACACGCTATACGGCAACGCCGGACCACCTAGGTATGTATCATGGTTATGATCCTCCTACACACACTATTTAAAACACCGAGGTCCGACGTAAAATTGGACAGGGCGCGACTTGAGGTGATCGACGGCCTCGGGACCGACGACTAAGGGCCTGTTCGGTAGGAAAATCTTAAACTTGAGAAATAGATAAAAGCTATACCGGTGTTCCGCTTACTATAGCGATTTAAGTGCAGCACGTAACAGGGGCATAAGGGATTATCGCTTAATATATCTTACGTCTTTAAAGCTTACCCGTTTTTTTGGGATATTCATAGATATAGGTAAACTTTTGCGTTATTTACAACGTAAAACTATTAAATTAATATCCTTTATTCTATATGAGAAAAAATAAATTTTTTGCCATTTTTTTAATTAACGTTAATATAGCTATTGAAATCTTTTACCGTACGGTTATAGCCCCTTTTTATCGCGATTTTTAATAGGATTGATAGTTGAATAACCGAAGTTTGTCACGGCGAGCGTACTGGGGAGCTGGGCCATGGCCTGCAGCAAGCAGCTATTACTCTATTAATAAGAATATCAAGACTAGAGAGGAAAGGAAGAGAGAGAGAGATAGGCACAGTGGGAGGTTGCCCCTTCAAGGGATAAGTTTATAGCTTTAAATAATTTATAAAAAATTGTTTTAAAATTTTAGGTCTTTTTAAAAAGAATTATAGAATAAATGTGTCAATAGAGTAATAGGTGCTTGCTGAAGGCTATTTTCCAGCTCCCCAGTACGCTCGCTGTGACAAAAAGAATTTAAATTTTTTTTTAAGAATAAAAATAAGAATAAAAATAAGAACAAAAATAAAATGAAAACAAGAATAAAAATAAGATTAAAAATCAAAATCAAAATCAAAATAAAAATAAAAATAAGAGTAAAAATAACTTATTATTAAATATTAATAAGCTATAATAATAATAAACATAGCGTTGCCGTTTTTATTCCTAATACCTAGGGTTTTCATTATTACTTTAAGAAGTTAAAAGAAAGAAAAAAACGGTATAAAAATTTTAAGTATACTATAAAAAATATCGGCTTTTAAATACTCATATTTAATGATAATATTAAAAGATTATTATAAAACCGTTGGACTTTTTTAATCAATTGAACTTAAATATAAATAAATATTAAATATAATACGAAAATTAAGGATAATGTTGGATCCATGCGATTCCAACCTTCAAACCATCCATACCAGATCTACATGTATGATTAGATAAGAGATTAGATACCGGATTGTGAGGATATTTAGCCAGACCTTCAAGTCCAGCTAGACCTCTCAATCCAAACCATCAGCAACATTATGACCTTGACCCAATACTCAAGTATTATGATTGTTTGTTCAAGCCTGTTCCTACAGATAAATACGATTGTTAAAAAAGCAATCAGCAAGGTTTTATTTAATAAATATTTATTAAAAGAACTTGAAAACCTGAAATTATAAACACTAAAAACATATTACGTAGTTAATTTATCGAACTAATAAAGCCGGTAAGATTATAATTATAAAATGAAGTAGTTTAAAAAATCTAAATTAATAATTTTTTATTTTTGTCAGATGTTGGATCCCAGATATAGTGCCTTTAAGTGCAGTCAGTACCCTGTAGGGGGCTACTAGAGGACCAGTGGATCTACCCTGGCATAGTGCAGTATGGTATTTAGCTGTAGATTAGCCCTGCCGAGCATACTCGAGAATGACAACAACGTTTGCAGCAACCGCTCACACCCCCAAGGCTTGTGACCCTTCTAGAATCTCACAACGTTTTATAATTTTATTAAAGTAATAAAGTTAATAAGGTTGTGGGAACAGGCTTGAACGATCAATCATAATACTCGAGTATGAGGTCAAGGTCATGATGTTGCTGATGGTTGGATTGGGAAGTCTAGCTGGACTTGAAGGTCTGGCTAAGTGACCTCACAATCTGGTATCTAATCTCTTATCTAATCATACATGTGGGTTCTGTATGGATGGTTTGAATGTGAAATCACATGGATCCAATGAAGGTTATATTTTTTAATTCCGATATATTTCAGAATATTTTGTAATAAGTATAAGTTTATTATACGAAGTAATAATAATTTTAATATCGTATAATTCTTATAATACTAATTTATTTATATATTAATTTTCAAAATCCAGTATTAAATAATTATAATTATTTTAATTATTAATTTTCTTATAAATTTTTTTTCTTTATTTTATTGATGATTATAACGTTTATTAAATAATATTTACGCAATTATATTTTTTAAGTCATTAAAATCTTTTTTCGTTGTAATATTTTATAAGCAATTAAAAAAGCTTCCATTAATACCTCGCTATTGTGACGATATACAGCCGTATCCACCTGGATGGATGGATGCTTAGTCATCAGGTCACGTGTAGATTAGATAAAAAAGGAACGGGACCACCACTGAAGGTATGTGCTGCGCACACAACTGTTGGATTAAAGGTGAGCACAGAGGGCACCTTGATAAGTAGACACTGGAACCTAGTTGTTCCGTCCCGATCCAGCCCCCTCTGGCACAAAACTGCCACGGTCGCACGAGGACACTCTAGAGAGACAGAATACACAGACACACTTCAACCTCACGATTGGCTCAAATCTGACAACAACCTTGCTGGCTTCCCTTTCCTTTATCACCTTATTATTTTTTTCAATCCACCAGATTGCAACACAACGCCGCAGGCATTGTGACATTAATGAAATTTTTGTTTTAAAGTAAACGAGCGGTTTTTATAATAATAATTTAAACAAAGCTATGTTTATAGTTAAGAAAAAAAGACACGACTTTTTATTTATAGCATTTTATTTCTTTGAATAACAATATATTTTAAGCTACAATATAAAGTACTTTTTTTTAATTTAAGCTAATATTTCTTTAACTCATAATTACCGTTAGAAGTTTAAAACTAGTTAGCTTTATGATTAGAAGAGTGTATACTAGAGAAGCCAGAGCAGCTAGCGTTACTAGATCCCCTTGAAGCAGGAACTATCGCTAGCAGAACCCAATTAGCAGAGAGGTGACATAAAGTCAGGATTACGCGTGTTTGACGCTCCTTTTCTTTATTTTTGCGAGTGACGTTAGACAGCTTGCGTAGCCGCAATATGCTCTGGATTGTCCAGGTGGTCAAAGTGAGCAGGCTCATCACTGTGGGTGGCCGGATGCTTTTCTGCCAAGTCCAAGCTGCGGAGACCCATGTGGTACTCGTGAATATTAATGACCGAGAAAGTCAACATCGTCAGGATGGCCCTAGCCTCTTACCTTGCGGAGCCCCTCGACCCTCAACGCGGCATCTCGGCGACTAATTACGACTCTTTCATTGAAGATGTTCGAGATGTGGCTACAGGTGTGGAAGCGTTACCAAAGTTCACCAACAGCAAGGGTCGGCGCACAGAGTGGTATGTCAACAGCAAGAATGACTCCTACCACGCCCTGAACCTAGCCCAGGGGCAACAGGGACACCAGGGGCACCAGGGACACCAGGGACACCAGGGACACCAGGGTGAAAGTGGTCACAGAGGAGGCTCGATCAACGCATCCGGTGACACCCATATGGGCAACACGGCAGGCGTCGTCGGCGCGATGAAGTCATTCATCGCCAGTTTTGAGAAGAATGCCGGGCATAGGGACAACCGCCCGCAAGCACCAGCCATTACCGTAGCTGTGTACGAAGAACGGAAGTCGTCTGAAAGGTGTGTACGTTGCGACAGCAAGCCTTCCCACCGTTTCAGGGACTGCCGGTACAAGGGCTTTCCTCAGGACCCATCCAGAGCGCGTCTCAACCACGTAGTGGTGGATGATAATAGCTCGTCAGCAGACGAGTTAAAAGAGTAGCCTCTACGCAAAGTCATGCACAGAGGCCTAGAAGGGATGTTTTCGGCGAAGATTTGGGTCAACCGCCTACACGAGAACAATTGGCAGTAGCAAAAGAGAGCTTGGACAGCACACCATTTCTGGTCGACGTACTTATTGACAATACATTTTACATTCAAGCCTTGTTTGATACTGGCTGCTTGCCTCTGTCCGTGTTTAGTAGCAGATTCGCTGACAAAAGAAAACTCCCACGCATACCTATCCAGTCACGCGAGTTGAAACTCGCAGCTAAAGAAGAGGTCAAAAATAGGCTCCGATGTCAGACAAAAGCTCACAGTATTGACTTCATCACTTACGTTACCATGGACATTAACGGCAGGACCGAGAGAGTCTATGGTTATATTGTGCCGGGCCTCAACTATGAAATGATTCTTAGGAAGGCCTGGGCGGAGAAGAACGATATGATTTACCGCGCCCAGAAACGACAACTCCGGGTTGGCGCACCAGACAACAGAATACGGGTGCGAGAAAGCGGTTGGATGAATAACGAGCACGTTGTTCAGCGGACCAAACACGTCAGGGACGCGACCATGGCTTCAGCACGGGTTTTCACAGCAGAGATCAAGAGGGCCTGGTCAGAGAAGCAGAAGATTCAGATCGGCTCTGCCACTATTGCGGACATTAATAAGGCGCTTAAAAAACTAAACATAAGGAAGAATAAGCCTACATTACGCGCACTACAAGAACAGCTACCAACAGAATTTCGGGACAAAGCGAAGTTCTTTATGGACAATAACGATGATTCGGTACCACCGCATAGACCGGGATGGGACCACGCCATCAATGTCGAGCTGGATGACCACGGGCGCCCAAAACGTGTTCCATGGGGACCACTATACGACATGTCACGGGAAGAATTGCTTGTTCTTCGGAAACAATTCACAGATTACCTAGACAAAGGTTGGATCAGAGCGAGTTCTTCCCCAGCAGGTGCGCCAGTATTGTTTGCAAGAAAGTCAGGCAGAGGCCTCCGTTTTTGTATCGATTACCGCGCCTTGAATGCCGTCATGCAATCAGACAAGTATCCATTGCCGCTGATTAGGGAGACCTTGCGCAATCTTACGAAAGCAAAGTGGGTTACTAAGATGGATATCAGGGCTGCTTTCCATCGTCTTCGGATCAGAATGGGCGACGAATGGAAAACAGCGTTCAAAACGAGGTTTGGTTCTTTTGAATGGCTTGTTTTGTCTTTTGGCCTGTTGGGAGGACCAGCCACCTTTCAGCGGTATATCAACTCGACTCTACAGAACCAGCTTGACGTTTGTTACTCAGCATACATGGACGACGTGATTATCTACACCGATGGGAGCTACGCGGACCATATGAACAAGGTCAAGATGATTATCCAGCGCCTAGGCAAGACAGGCCTACAGATTGACATTGATAAATGCGAGATCGCCCAGAAAGAGATCAAGTACCTCGGATTCATTATTCGCTGCGGAGAAGGCATCACGGTCGACCCAGAGAAGGTAGAAGCTATCAAAGCGTGGGAAACACCAGAGAATGCGTCTCACGTCCGTTCTTTCCTTAGGTTTGCAAACTTTTATAGGAAGTTCATCCCCTCGTTTGCTGCGGTCGCAGCACCTCTGAATAACCTCACACGCCATGGAGCGCAGTTCAAATGGGAAAGAGACAAGCGCAAAGCTTTCGATACACTGAAGGACCACCTGATCAGCTCACCATTACTAGTGATGTTCGATCCCGAGAAGGACACGGTGGTGGAAGCAGACTCCTCTGGATACGCTATGGGGGGATGTGTCTCGCAAGTTGACGAACAAGGTCACTTACGCCCTGTCGGTTTCTTCTCACAGAAGTTAACCCCAGCCGAGTCAAATTACGAGATCTACAATAAGGAACTCCTCTCCATTGTTAACACTATCTAACACTTTTGAGGAGAGCTGCGTAACGTAGCCAGCAAGTTCACGGTGCTGACAGATCACAAGAATCTCCGCCATTTCGCTACAGTCCAGCGCCTATCAGAGAGGCAAGTCCGCTGGTCAGGGATCCTCTCCCAATATAACTTCCAGCTCAGCTTTAGGGCAGGGAAAGACTCTGGGAAACCCAATTTTTTCTTGCGGAGACCTCAAGACCGTATCAGGGGCTTAGATAACGAGAGGATGAAGCACAGAGAGTTCTAACTGCTTAAAGATGAATGGCTTCCACCCAAGACAAGCGAGTTCCCGGCAACCAAAGCAGCTATTGCGACGATCTTGATCAGCCCAGTTCAAACTCGATCACAGGCAAAATCAGACGATTTGACCCCGGCAGCGGACGTACAAATGAACACCAAACCCGAAACCACACCAGAGTTAGGCGTGCAAATGAACTCCCACGGATCACCAGGTGTGGGTTACGCGGAGGACTCCGAGTCCGCACCTGCCACACCACTAAAGTCACCACCGCTGGGTAGAGGGATCTTCACCAGTCCGGAGTTACAACTGTTGTGGGATGATGCAGTCGACACTGATGAGACCTACCGAAACATCTACGCCTGGGTCGCTAGAGGCGACGTAAGACTGCCACCCGGGCTGGACATAGACGTCCAGATCATCGATTGTGAGATAGAAGGACAAGGAGCCTTACTGTACCGAGGCGCAATCTAGGTACCAGATTATGAACTATTACGGACAGCGCTTGTACAGCAAACCCACGATTCGTATATCACGGGATATCCGGGGAAGCACATCACTGGCTGGATTTTATAGAGGAATTACTTCTGGCCGTAACAGTATAAGACAGTTTATCGCTTCTGTCGGAATTGCGATGTTTGTGGACGTTCGAAGGTATGGCGACAAGCAAAGCAGGGGCTTTTATGACCATTACTTATCCCAGACCGGTTTTTCAGCGAACTCTCCATTGATTTTATGACAGAACTACCCGGGGACGGTGCCGCCCCACACAATTTGATGGTGATGATAGACAGAGCATTAGGGACGACGACTCTAGATCCTATGGTGTCAATAGAAGCGGAGGCTTGTGCAGAGACGTTCGTAAACAGCCATTACAGATTTCACGGTTTCCCGGCCTTCCTCACATCAGACAGAGGTAGTAATTGGGTTGAACGTTTCTGGACAAGGTTATGTCAGTTAACACGAGTTGAGCAGAGGTTATTGACAGCCTATCACCCACAAACTGATGGTCAGACGGAAAGGATGAATCAAGAAGTCCTCGCCTACCTTAGAGCTTTTATAGCCTATACTCAGGACGATTGGCCTCAGTTACTTCCAACAGCGCAACTCGCTATCAATAACAGGCCGAATTCGAAGACAGGTCTTAGCCCGTTTTTCGTGCTCCATGGATACCACGCCGATCCCGTTCAACAGGTGCCACCCCTAACAGGACCACTATCAGACCCAAAAACCAGAGCAGACGCGTTTGTCAACCGCATTCATGAAGCTCAAGAACTGGCACAGGCAGCAATGGCTACTGCCCAACAGATCATAGAGCATCAAGCTAATCGAGGGCGTCGTCCAGCTGAGAGATTCAAGCTTAGTGACAAGGTCTGGTTAAACCTCAAGAACGTGACAACTCCTCAACTCAAGAAGAAGCTGGCTTGGACGCACGCAAAGTACGAAATCACCAAGATGATCGCCCCAGACGTCTACGAGCTCAACGTGCCAAGCAATATTCGGAAGCGTTTTTTTGTGGACCTGTTACGGAGAGCTGGCGACGAGGAAGGACCACTGCCATCACAAAAAGTGGACGATACCCAACCACCACCGCTGCTTGACGGGCCAGACCCGCTGTGGTGTGTAGAGAGAGTACTTTGTGCTGGAAAATTCGGAAATCAGAGAAAAGTATTGGTAAAGTGGACCGAATATATCGAGCCTATATGGGAACCAAGGGAGAATTTGGTGCTCACTGACGCGTTTAAGGCCTTCGTACACAAATACGGAGAAGGCAACGATATTGGCGAGAATTTAGGAGCTTATACAGGCGCTACAGGAAAGAAGAAAAAGAAAAGCATTTCTTTTTCTCTCATTACTGACGGCATTCCGCCTTAGGAAGAGTGGGAGTGATGTTACGATATAAGTACATTGTACCTCCACATGTACCTATATATATGGGAGGCCCACCTCTCACCTGAAGCGGCCTGCCTTCTTCCTTCTTCCTTCTTCATAGATCGTTGAATCTAGCTTTATCTATCCATCAGTCCTGACCAGTTGTACTGCAGGCCTGATCGTCACATTGTGCAGTCGGACATCAAGTCTTCGATCATTTCTCTGCGCCCGTATCTAGGTGTCTTCTCAGTGGCCACCTTGCGCGTGCGTCCGTTGATTAGCATCACGGTTGAAGCGCCTGCCAGTATCGAGGACGTTGCTCACGGCGGATGCAGAGGCTGCTCGCAGCAGCTGAGCGGTCCGACTCTATAAGGACGTGGAAGCCGTGCTTGAGGAGCCCAAGCACCTACGGCGTAGGAGGTGGCCGCTCGTGCAGCACTGTCTGGTCCTTCCTCTAGCAAGTACACCAAACGGAGATAGGCCCTGGCATTATGACCCGTCTACTCTTCGAAATATCTCGACTGAAGGCTTTAGGAGCCCAGCAGTGCAAGCCAAACCCCTTATTGCCGTTGCAAATGCCCCCTGGCTCACACACTCCCAGAACCTACATGGTCATGCAGAAGTAACGTTATTACAAAATCTATCTAAGTGCCAAGTTGAAAAGGCAAACACAAACGCAAACCGGCCTAACGTGATTGTCCGGGACACAGCGATCGTAGATGCTGCAAACAGGCTCATAAGTGAGTGATGAGTCGCACACCTATAAGTACCGGACCTACATCTTTCTGAATACAGTCTCTTGAATCTTCCTTCCCAACCACTCGGACATACAAGACTAATAATACGCAGACCATCTACCCCTCCATGGACTCTGGAGTCAGGTCGAAGGAGTGGACTTACCGGGTAAAGCTCGCATAGAGTCTGGTTCGATTGACCGTAGCATTGATTGACCTCGGATGGCCCAGTCGTTATTAATGCTCTCGTACTTCTCGTAGGTGATGTTCTTGACGTATCCGGAGCCACCACCTCCCGACAGGGTGGGCTGAAGCACGGAATTGATACCCGGCCACACCTTGATCCGCGCCGCGTCCGATGCATTGGCCATGGTGTTGTTGTAGACGTAGATATTCTCGACAATGTGTTGATTGTTATGATAATCAGCCGAGACATCATAACAGTGGACTTAAGGTTCGTACAGGGGCCGAGCTCCCTGAGGGGTAGCTCGGCAGGACACCAACAGCGCTAGAATGCTGGCTTCTGTTTGGTCCAAATAACCGGCGTCTGTTGTAATTATCTGGTCACCCTGAGGGATCACTACCGGTAGATAGCTATATAAGGACTGTTCCCTTCAGACCAGAAGACTTCTTCTTCTTCTCCTTTTAATTAGACAACTTCAATCTTCAACACAATGTCATACTGGTCAATGTACTGGCCAAGATAGCCCACGGAGATGCCGTGAGACCCATTGTAGGCCAGACCCTGCACGACCTTGTTGGTGCTGTTGGGCTTGAATGAGACGCAGCCATCGTTGTTGTCGATCACCGAGGTCTGGATTACCACGTGATCCGATCGGTACGTGCCCCAACCGTCAATGTTGTAGATTTCGTTCTCGTTAGATGACTTAGCCGAGAGTACCATGTCGCTAACCAATATATCGGAGCTGTTAGCGATGAGGTTGAACCACTGGCATATCTTAGGTGCTGCAATCATCTCAAGACTTAGGGGCACACTAAATGGAAACTTACATTAAGGGAATTGATCATACGGATCCCAGTTACAGAACCGCCTTTAAGTCCATCTATAACGAGAGCGATCGGGCACAACAGGAAGTCGTTTTTAGCAAACGTGTCCCACTACCGCTACCCATTGCCATCAATCAGGCCCACGCCACCGCCAAAGATATTGACGTCCTTCCCACCGATCTTCCAGTACGCCCTCGAGTCCTGGAAGGCATACCGGAACGCATTGGCTGTCCAGTAGTCGATAGTGCCGCCGAACTTGATGGTCCCCGAGAGTGCCACGTCGACGCTGTTTAGGAACGTCAGATCCAGCGCGGTGGCGATGGTGTAATTAGCGTCCAGGACGACGGTGCTGCCGCCATTACAGTCTTTAAACGCCTGCAAGATTGCGGGCGCATCGTCGCTGCTGTTCCTCTGGGGCTTCACGAAGCACTCTATGGTCCTCGTACGCGAGGGAGGGATCTGCCGACCGCTATTGTGTGGGTACGCGCGAAGGTCTGGTCGTGCGATATAGGTCCTTCCCGTATACCAGTTTACCGCTGGGGATGATGCGACCGTCGTCGCGAGGAAGGCGATCGCCACGCTGCGTGTTAATTGGAGAAGCATGATGTCTGCTGGCCCTACAATAGGAGAGATCTCTTAACGACTCGACTATTCAGTGAACCCCGGTTCAGAGCAAGCCCCAGCATTTGAGTGTCTTCTAGTTGACAGAAGCCTCTATCGTCTTTTGTGTTAAGCCATATCTTCAGCGAAGCACCCGGCTCTCCGCCAGGACGTGTTATGCATACAGCTATCTCACGCCTGTTAGCGACTGACCCCGACGCCTTGAGCGCGGTGGGAAGTATGTTATTTCTCAACATATTGAGCATATTACGAGTATTGACGAATGTATTGCTTAACATCAACTGAGCTAATAAACTCACCTCTGCAGTGGCTGTCCACGACCTAGCTCCCATTAGCGCACGTCTCAATGACGCTCTCCGTGCCCAGCGCGACCTCCCCGCTAACGGACAGTATGAGCCTACCAATGCGGCTACGGCACTGGTTCACGGAGGAGGTGCTTCGTTCTTCGGGGTATTGGGCCGCGACAAGGAGCGCGCGGCGCGCTTCGGTGGTGGCATGCGACACTTCGCCCACGGTGCCGCCTAAAATGTCAGACACTTATTGACCGCTTACGACTGGTCCCTGGTCGATCAGTAGTGCACTCGCACGTGAAACAGGAGCACAAGTTCCATAAACCTTACCCTACAGCTCGAACCAAGCTGTTTGAACTTGGATATGCCAGGAATTTAAAAACTGCGAAGGACGTCGGCACCAACCCTCACCCGGAGGAGGGGGGACACGATGAGAACCGCTGCTTAGATGCAGTGGCTGTTTATGAACGAGATCTGCTAGCTGGGCAGCTGTATGTATATATATAGTATGAGACCTAGCCTAGCACGCCTGCGCGCCCTTTTGGAGGCCCAGGGCCGCCGCTATGCGGCAGGCCCCCTGGCGTTAAATGCTACTACTACTACTACTACCTGGTCGATCAACCGGGGGCAGTGCTCGTCGACGTCGGCGGCGGTATAGGTGCCGTCCCTCGCGCTCTAATAGACGCGACCAGCACCTAGGCTTCGTCGTTCAAGATCTCGCGGACACGGTGGCTAATGGTGTCAATGCGCTGCCGCCTTCACTCTCATCTCGGGTCACGTTCGAGGCGCACGACTTCTTCGAGCCTTAGACACGGCGCGGTGTGGATATATACTTCCTTTGCTGGGTGTTGTATAACTGGAGTGACAAGTATGTCCTGCGTATCCTGCGGGCTCTTGTCCCTGAGATGAAACATAGGACAAGACTGATCATCAATGAATTCGTGCTCAAGGATGGACCTGAGACTAGGCTTTTAAGGAAGCAGCTCCGGTCAGTACCACTCTTGGTGACCTGTTAGAGAAATATGCGTGGCTTGTGTTCTAACAATGTGACACCATTATAGCAATCTGGATCTCGTCATGCTGGCTGCTTGGAACTCTGCCGAGCGAACAGAAGCTATGTGGAAAGGGCTCCTCAAGACGGCGGACCACAGGCTCCAATTCGAAGGTGTACGGCAGCTTGAGGAAGCTTGTTGAGTATTGTCGAGGCAACCTGGGAAGAGCCTCGTGAAAGGGAGGTCTGAGCTTATCTGGCACTCGAACGAGACCTATTGTAATGTTTCCGTTATATTCTTAATTAGAAACACAATTGTCTGCCACCGAGGAAGACGGAACGGTAGTCAGTGTAACCAGTCACACGATAACTATACTATATGCCGGGTAATGAAGATGTAGGTGCAAGTTAATACAAGCAGGAAAGAACCTTATGATCGGTTGCCATTACCCAGGCTCTTCCACCGACCAGGGAGAGCTCAACCCATATACCCAGAGATCCGCAGAAAGCGGTGTATCTGTGCTTCACATATCCATCACAATGTTAGAGCCACGGAAAACGCCATATCTACCCTCTTTCCCAAAACACATTGGTATTGTGTCTATGCGCTCAGTTGACAGTGTGCTGACCCAACTTTCTCTATCGATTCACTCCCTGATCCTATCCATAGCTCAGACGCAGCGTCATCCCAATTCATAGCGTCTCTCTGTTCGAGCTGTCTGGGATAGTTGATCAATTGTCACCCCATCAAGCTCATTCGGTCCCCTGTTGATGTTGCCATCGCCCATTTCACTGACAGACTTATGAATGTAAGAGCTGGCTCCTCCTTGGTATGACATCGTGTTTCGGTAAGCCGGCGTGTCGATTGAGGGGGCAGATCGGGCCACAGCATTTGCTTTGGCTCGACCACGTCGGTACAGTAATAGGCCGCCAATGACGAAGGCGAGGAATGCCACGCCGCCTACGACGGCGCCCGCAATGGCTCCGGGGGATACCTGAGCGTCAGCTCCGTTGGACGATGACTTACCGACCTGAGACGCACCGGCGCCATCCAATGCACCCGCACCCGGTGTGGGGGCGGTACTAGCCTCACACCAATCGGTGGCGTCTTGTCCTTTCTCATCAACGGCCACCAGGTCTTCGACGCCGGTGGGGTTGGCGGACCATAGAGTGAACTTTCCGCTATCTTGATTGAGCATCACGTATGCCGAAGAGAGAAACTGCCTCCCTAGCTGGGTGATGTCATTGGCGTTGACGTCCTGGAGAGAGTTGATCACCAGGTTTGAGCGTGAGTAGTTGGCCATCAGCTGGCCATTGGGGTCAGCAATGTATTGCTCAGGCACAACTAGTTGGCTGTTCGGAACGCGCACGGCGGGTCCGTCTCTGATGTCGATCGTCATGTCACCTCGATACGGCTCGTCTCCATCGTTGTACAACAGACTAAAGTATGCCAGACCAGTGCTTCGCTGGGTGAGGCTGACGTTCGTGTAGTACTCGAATGCTGCCATATACGGGTCGTAGGCCAGGGTCATCAGGACAGGGTAGTCTGGGACAATGCAGGCATCGAAAGAACCATTGGGCTTCTCCGCCACGATGCTAACATCAGTGCCATTGGGAAAGTGGAGTACAATGTCGTCAATAACGACAAGCATTCGTGTCGGACATCTCGCATCGTCGATGAGGTCTTGCGTATGGCCTTCGCCTGACACCTTGGCTCGGTCGTAACCACCAAACACAAACGTCCCGTCGAGCTGCGTGTTGGAATCTCCTCCCGTCCAGCCATAGAACGTGCTCCAAACGCGAGAAGCGATGTAGTTTCCAGCCTTGAGCGCGTTCAGGAGGGTGGAATTATCGCCAAGGCCGATGGCCATCATCGGGTGGTAGCCTTGTTGAGACCAGTCTTCCAAGGGTCCGCCCATTGGAAAGGTATCCAGAGTGATGTTCTTGTTGATGTGCAAGACATCGGTGAAGAATTCCATGTCGGGATACGGCGTTCCATCGACTGGCGTTTCGTCCTGAGGGGCTACCCTTCTCGTGTTGGAGTCCAAAAAATTGTACTGCCCTCCGCGCCATGTTGTGCAGCCCGCCTCGGAGGAAGGGGCCGGTGATGTGCAATATCCGTTCGTCTCATACACCACAGTGTTGTTCAGAGGCCTGTCTCGTCGTGGTCAGAAAAAGAGAACCCTCATGTCTTCTGCATAGAAAATGGCTTATGACGAACCATTGAGGCAGGAACGAGAAGTCCTGTAGAGGGGATCCTACAGACAAGGCGACTCCCCTTGATACCTGGCCATTCCCGAGAGTCACATTGCCTATCGGTGCTGCAATGGGGTAAGGCACACATTGTGCTTGGACGAGGTTGTTTGTTGTTTGATAGAGTATCAAGTAAGGAATGACTTGCCCAACAGTCAGGCAGCGTCGTTGAACCCACATGGGCTAGCTATGGCGTCGCAATAGCCTCGGACAGGCAGTCTGGATTGGGTAACAGGAAGGACAGTGATTATGCTGGAAGAGCTGTCGTAAACTCTCACGAACTTCACAAGTTAAGCTAAATTCGACGACTGGATGGAATGTGCTAGTGATTGATATTTCTTTCCAACTCTCTTATTGCCCCCCTCTCTCTCTCTGTCCCTCTATGCAGGCTTGATGTTGGTTGTGATTGCGAGGGTGATAGGAGTTCCTGGTATGCATCCTACCATGCTCTCAAGTATCAAGTGCCAGGGTTTCGTGGCGGCACAGTAGGACTCGTTGCCAGTCACAAGCGCTGCACCCTGCATGGCCTACATGGGGGTTGATTGATTGATTGATGGATATTCTTTCGCGGCTGGAGGCCTGCATTGGGGGTCAGCGCGGATCGATCCAATAGGTCAGTTGTCCTCATAAATGTGGACCATATATATCCGCGGTTACATTGACAGTCTGAGAGAGGTAGCCGAACACTCAGCCGCTGTGACCCCCCCATGGCGCAGTGAAACGGCTCAGAATTCGGCATCTGGTTCCGAGGTTCTGAAGATAGATATCCTTACCATGTGTAATGTTGAAGAAACGTTGAGTGTTGCTCCCTTTCCTGTTGTCCCCACGTCCTCTTGCTGTCAACTAAGCTCTACTACTCCAACCACGGCTTCTTCATCTGGGCAGCTCGAGAACCATGTTGAATAGGAGGTCTTGGAGTGTTTCCGCACTCGTTTTGGTTGCCATCAGCCTGTTCCTTACTCTCTTAACTGGGCGCATCTACCTATCACACAACATCTCGAGCTGGCCTAGACCGCACGTTGTTGAATCACCTACGCGGCTTGAAGTCAGTGCGGTGACCGCTGCGAAGTTTCCTTTGGAGTACTACCCAAATAATGAAGCCGAGGATGTCTGCTCTCGTTATTCCCCCACATACTTGGATGATTTCCGAGCGCTCACCGCCTCTTACTGCGAGCCAGCGTCACCGGCAAAGTTGACCTGTTTCCACCGCTCTTCGGGATTCAATAAGGTCACGGACTCTTTCTGTTTTGCTCAGGGAGCTGTCTTGGATACGAGCAGGGGCAGATTCCAACTGGACTGTGCATTGCGACAACTATCGCAGGAAGAGCAGGACGATGGTATACTGCCCTTCGATCGCCTGCCGGCCTACTGGTACGAGACAGGCCCGGCCAACGTCTTTTCACTTGCTGTAGATGTGAACAGACGAACGTCCCCGCCGCTCGTTGATAGCGAAGCTGCAGCGAAGGTTGACAAAGCAACCACTCGAGAAAGCACGCCCGCTCCCGGTCTCGACACAACACCGCCAGTTACGAGCCAGACGCCGTTGCCTTCTCCTAAGAAGTTGCTTCTTCTCAAGCGCGAGGGAGAAGGTAACCCTTGGCATTGCCTCATGGAGATATTCTCCACGTACATGACGTTCGACATCTTGCGCATGTCCGGAGACAGTGCCGAAGGACATCCTCTTTTCCAGGACCCGGAAGATTCCTATGATACGCAGGTCGTTATTCTGGACAGTCGCGAAGATGGCCCGTACTTCGACCTATGGACTTTATTTTCGCGACGGAAGCCCTTGCGCATTCATCAGCTGCTGGGTGACCGGTCTATGGCCAATAGCCTCAAGGATGTCGATCTGATTGTCCCCCTTGCCGGAAGCAGCAATCCATTCTGGAAAGACGATGAGAGAGCCGAGCAATGCACGCAGGCGCCGATTCTCGACGTCTTCAGTCGCCGCGTGCTCGAGTTCTACGGTGTAGAGGAGCCTCTGGTGCGACAGAGTAACAAGCCCATCGTCGTCACGTTTGTCAACCGTCGAGAGAGTCGGCGGCTACACAAAGAACGTTACCTGCTCGCTGAGCTCCAAAGGAGAGACCCACATATCGACGTACGAATGGTCGACTTCGCGGCTCTCCCGTTCTCTGAGCAGGTACGAGTCGCACGTGAGACTGATGTCCTCGTGGGAGTGCATGGCGCTGGCCTGACTCACTCCATGTTTCTGCGCCCTGGCGCAGCTGCCGTGGTGGAGATCCAGCCGAACGAGATGGACCACAAAGGCTTCCGGAATATCGCTGGCATGCGCGGCCTTGGATACTTCCGTGTTCATTCAAACACAATATCCCCTGAGGATTGGAGGGAAGGAGAAGAAGAGATACGGAATTCGCGGGACGAGACTGGGGGTCATGCCACGGAGCCAAGCAACGAGAGCAGCCCATTGCAGGGTAGGAAGAGCACGAAGTACCATCAAAGGAGGGCTGTGGCCAATCATCAAGATGACGACGAAGCCGACGAGATCGCGGTGGGTAGAGGGTTACGGCGACGAGATGGTTGGCATCTGGCAGATGTGGAAATAGAAGAGGACCGATTCTTCGAAGTCGTCGAGGCGGCTACCAAATACATGTATAATAAGGGACCCTGGGGGTTCGATGTAAACTAGAACACTGTCATTGAACTATCAACCTTGCAAATGTCACTCACACGTCCTAACGGCGTATCTTATAATCATCTTGAATAAGACGGATGTTGTATCTAGGGACAGAGGGGGCAGAGGGGACCAGCTGGCTACCGTATTTTCTGTGCAGATTGCTTCTAAGTGCCCTTGTCTAGCGCGAGTGACTTGCGCGTGGAAAGGGTTCCTAGCCGCATCTCTAGGTTGCTTGTTAAAAGATAATCCCGATAAGAAGCCACATGAGGCTAGTGAGGTTCTTCCTTGCGTGCGCACAAGCCACTCGCGTTACAATAAAAGCCCTTAAGAGTAATTTACTAATAAGGTGTATATAAACGAGCTAATAACTATATAAATATAGCAATAATATAATTCTTTTTAAGAATATTTATTAATATATGTGTGGATATTTTATTGTATACCTTTACACAAATAGTTTCTCGATTTAACGGTTTATTAAGCTTATAACGTACTATAATAAAACAGTTTAATCGTAAAATGTTTAAATATAAGAATTCAATGTGTTAATAACTAACTGCTTAACGTAGCTGACAAGCGAGTTGACATTACAAGCGAGTTGGCACTCGTCATGAACTCTCCAACTGCCATGTCAAATAACTTCATCACAACGCATTCAGTTCAATTCAATCAATCAGATTCCTCTTCCTCAGAGGTTTCTATCTCTATTGTACAAGTTCGCGCATTATGGCCAGTATTGCCACAAACACTACACCGTCGCCCACGCGCTGCCGCCCGCCTCGGACAACGACTACCTTCACCCATTTCCTGTTTTGCCAGCTCAGTACTATCCTTTGCAGCCTGAAGATCTACTGTATCTTCAACGGAAAGTACTCCTCCTTTTATTAGACGTTTGTTTTTTGTTCTCCAGCGTTTACTTAATAGGTGATTGGTCTCTTCTAATTCGCGGACCCGGGAATCAATCAAAGCGACCTTATGCATAAGACCGTATGTAGCCTTCGAAAACGAGCTCAACACATCAACTATTGATGTAGGTAAGCTTCCCTGGTGGTTTCTGACTCGGTTTCGGATATAAACCGATTGGTTTACCGCTTCGTTAATGGTGGTAGGCGTCTTCAAAGTCCAAGTAGTGGGTGGCAGATTGGGGTCTGGCGACGGTGTTCGTATGACAGCGACAGCATCCAGCTTTGAAATGACACTTTCTGGGTCAAAAGGAACAAGCCCAGTGGCACTGAAACCTGTTCAAATGTTTCCTGGCGTCATAGCAGCGTTGTGTGCTTCACAAAACGCTGCAAGGAAGTCCTCCTTCGAAACATGGGTTATATGACGCCGCATGAGATCCTCAATCATGCGACCGTACGCTCGTTTGAGCGGGCTAAAACAACTGACATCTAAAGGCTGGAGCCTGTGTGACGAGTGGGCAGGCATATAAAGGGTGATAATGCCATTGTTCTGACAATAATCCTTAAAGACCTGGGAATGGTGGCTTTCGTGACCATCTAGGATGAGGAGGCGTTTACCGGCAGTCATACGCGGTCTGGTATACTTGTCGAAATGCTGAATCCATTCCAAACCAATCTCATTCGTGGTCCACCCGTTGTCGGACACGGCCACCTTCTAATCGCGTGGTAATATCGTGTCGCGATACCATGACGCGAGGTGGGTTTTGCCCTGTAGAATGATGAACGGCGGGACCACCCAACCATCAGCATTAACAGCAGAGATTGCTGTAGACCATTCCCTGTTGCCTTGCTGAGCTTGTCTAGGCCTGCCACGTCTTTCGGCGCTTGTAACGACCATGCCGGACCCAATAATGCCCATCATAAACCCAGTCTCGTCGAAGTTGTAAATATCCGCGTCTTGGATACCATGTTTCGCGACTGCTGCTGCAACTTGGCGAAACCACGCGCAATACGCGTCTGGATCCTCGTTCAAGACCCTCTGGTAGTCTATCTTCCGATAAAAACGCGTCCGGAGGCCTGGTGTACGTTTGATGAAGTTCCGCGTCCAGTTCTTTCCAACGCGTCCAGCCCTATATGCCGCCAACAATTGATTCGCCATATCTTCAACATAACTGTACCGGGGCGGAAATGCTCGCGCATCCAGGTCAAGAATGAAGGAACAAATGGCATTCTCTTCGGAAACCATAAGTTTCAAAGTATTGGGCATGCTGTTGCGTCGTGATGGCATTCCTTTGACTCTATTGCTCAAAGTGGAACGAGGGACGTTGAAGAGTTTCGCAAGCTGAAATATAGGAATATGAGGGTCACGTCGTTTAGCTTGAACAGCTAGCTGCAAGTCTGATTCGTTATAACGCGGTGCCATTGTTGTTGGTGGAGATATGATGGTTTGAATCGTATTGGTTGGAAAGTTCATGACGAGTGCCAACTCGCTTGTAATGTCAACTCGCTTGTCAGCTACGTTAAGCTTAAAACTATAAGTTAAAGGTTTTCAATTGACTAGTGATATTTTAATCCATATACCGGGTTTTTTGCTATTAATAGTTTTTATGAAGTAGCGGTTTCTTAATTTTTTAAAAAATTTGTATAACTAGATATATATGCAATAACTCGGTGTAAAGTATCTTCGATATAAATTATATAGCGACAATTATTTGTTTAACGTATTATTTACTTAACTATTTATAACGTATATAATAAGCGAGCGGGCTATACAAGCGAGTAGGCTACTTTTATAAAACTCTTAAACTTTTAACATTTAACTAGTATTTCTCTTTATAATAATGGCACCGCGCTATAAAGAATTAAATATATAGCTAGCTATTTAAGCTAAAAAACGAGACCTTTATATTTCTATTTTAAAAAATTCTAGAAAGACATACTTATTAAAAACTACATTATACAATGCGACACCATGCTTAATTTTTCAAACTTATCGTTTTTAAAGAAAGTGGAATTTCTTCCTCTATAATCGACTTAAATACGCGAGTATTTCCTTCCCAGTAAACTTATATTAAAGGTATAGCGAATTAATTAACATTTTAAAAGGCTAAACGCGTTGAAAAGAACTAGACAGCGAACTTTGTTAGATATATATTAGTTCTTTAAACACATTTTTATCGAAGGATAAACTACTCAAGAGTTTTAAATAAACATTTAAATGTGTATCGCGCGTGGTTTTACTAAGTTGCGGTGATAGTTAGGAAACATAGTATTTAAGACGCGGATATTTATAACCTGATAAGACTAGGTTATAATAGGCATTATTAGGTCCGACGTGGTCGTTATAAGCGCCGAAAGACGTGGTAAGCTTAAACAAGCTTAGTAAGGTAATAAAAATTAGTTTATAACAATCTTGTGAGCATTGTGGTGCCATCAGATATGGGCTGCAGCTGTCCGCCAGGTGAAAGGGATGAAAGGGGTCCAAAGGGGGTGAAAGGTCCATTATGGTGACCAGTAGCAGGTTTGTTGCTCGCTGTCAGGCAGCAGGGTATCAAAGGGCTGTCATCCTTGTATCTAGGTGGGAATCTCCCCCATGGATCCATAGTCAAAACACAGACCATCATCCATCCCATTCTGACCCCTGGATTTTCACATTAGCATTAATAGTAAAGATTGTTATAAACCATTTTCTATTACCTTGCTAAGCTTATTTAAGCCTGCCACTTTTTCCGGCGCTTATAACGACTATACCGGACTTAATAATACCTATTATAAACCTAGTTTCTTTGAAGTTATAAGTATTTACGTCTTAAATACTATATTTTGTAATTATTGCCGTATCTTAGCAAAATTACGCGCAATACACGTTTAAATCTTCGCTTAAAACCTTTGAGTAGTTTATCTTATGATAAAAACGCGTTCAAAAACCTAGTATATATTTAATAAAGTTCTATGTTTAGTTCTTTTCAACAAGTTTAGCCTTACGCGCCGCTACTAATTAATTCGTTATATCTTTAACATAATTATACCGGGGCGGAAATACTCGCACATCTAGGTTAAGAATGAAGGAAAAATAGCATTTTCTTTGAAAACTATAAGTTTTAAAAGTATTAAACATTATGTTACGTCGTCATAGCATTTATTTATTCTATTACTTAAAGTGGAACAAGAGACGTTAAAGAGTTTTGCAAGTTAAGATATCAAATTATAAAGGTTACATTGTTTAGTATAATTAGCTAGTTATAAGTTTGATTTATTATAATGCGGTGCCATTTTTATTAATATAGATATTGTTGGAACAGGCTTGAACGATCAATCATAATACTCGAGTATGGGGTCAAGGTCATGATGTTGCTGATGGTTGGATTGAGAGGAATCTAGCTGGACTCGAAGGTCTGGCCAAGTGCCCTCTCAATCCACTATCTTATCTTATCTAATCATATATGTGGGTCCTGGTATAGATGGTTTGCAGTATGGAATCACATGGATCCAACAGATATAATTGTTTAAATCGTATTAGTTAAAAAGTTTATAATGAGTGTTAACTTGCTTATAATGCTAACTCACTTTTTAACCACGTTATATTATTAACGAGCGAGATATATAAGTGCGTAAAACACTTTTATAAACCTTTCAACTAATATGTTAAATAGCTTAATTATAACGCATTTAATTAAATATAATTATTCCAACTTTTGTCACGGTGAGCATACTAGGGAGCTGGGACATGGCCTGCAGCAAGCAGCTATTACTCTATTAACGAGAATATCAAGACTAGAGAGGAAAGGAAGAGAGAGAGAGCTAGGTACAGTGGGAGGTTGCCCATTTAAGGGGATCCTCTGGTCAGATCCTTCCCCTATTAGGAAGTATCCACTTGTCATGTGAGAAGGTCTGTGCAGGCCGTCACAACTTTCCTTTTTTAAACGTTTCCATTCTTATTATATAAGTTCGCGCATTATAGCTATTGCTGTTATTAACATTATAACGTTGCTTACGAGTGACTGGCTTTTTTAAACAACGACTACTTTCACTTATTTTTACCTTGCTAGCTTAGTGTCACGATTTTGTAAATGTATTGCAAGGATACAGGGACCCTTATTAACTATTAACGTATAACAAACTCTGGTTGAAGGAAAAGAAAGATCTGGAGATGCACCCAAATTAGTGGGCAGCTAGATGTGGGCAGTCGTTCCCCACCAGACCTACTAGGGCATGGACAACCTATCGTCCGATCAGTCACGCGACCAGGGGACTATAGGGACCATCGTTAAACCTGATGGATAGTAGAACCATCACACTTAGCATCATTCTTTATAGCGTAAAGACCTACTTTATCTTTAATAAAACGTTTTTCTCCATTTAATAACGTTTGTTTTTTACCCTCCAGCGTTTACTTAATAAGTGATTAGCCTCTTTTAGCTCGTAGACCTAGGAATTAACCAAAGAGACCTCATATATAAGACCGTACATAGCCTTTAAAAACGTGTTTAATGCATTAATAATTAATATAAGTGAGCTTTTCTATTAGGTTTAGACTTAATTTTAAATATAAACCGATGAGTTTACCGCTTTATTAATAGTAGTAAGCGTTTTTAAAGATTAAATAAGGGCTAGTAAATCAAGGTCTAACTACGATATTCGTACAATAGTAATAGTATTTAACTTCAAAATAACACTTTTTAAGTTAAAAAGAACCGACTTAATATTATTAAAACGTATCTGAAATTCTTTCAATGTTATAACAACGTTATATACTTTATAAAACGTTGTAAGAAAGACTTTTTGAAAACGTAAGTTAGGTTATATAACGCCGGATAAAATCCTTATATATATATCCTTTAGCTCGTTTAACAAGTTAAAACAGTTAACATTTAAAGGTTAAAGCTTATATAACGAGTAAGTAGATATATGAAGCGTAATAATACCGTTATTTTAATAATAATTCTTAAAGACTTAGGAATAATAGCTTTTGTAACCATTTAAGATAGGAAGGCCTTTACTAGTAGTTATACACCGGCAGTTATGCACGGTTCAATAAACTTATCAAAATATCAAATCCATTTCAAACCGATTTCATTTATAGTTTACACGTTATTAAACACGGCTACCTTTTAATCGTGTAGTAATATTGTATTACGATATTATAACGCGAGGTAAGTTTTACAATATCAAATAATAAACGGCGAGACCACTTAACTATCAGTATTAATAGTGAAGATTTATGGAAATCCAGGGGTCAAAATGGGATGGATGATGGTCTGTGTCTTGACTATGGATCCATAGGGGAGATTCCCACCTAAATACAAGGATGACAGCCCTTTGATACCCTGCTACCTGACAGCGAGCAACAAACCTGCCACTGGTCACCATAATGGACCTTTCACCCCCTTTGGGCCTCTTTCATCCCTTTCACCTGGCGGACAGCTGTAGCCCATACCTGACAGCACCACAATGCTCACAGCTAATAGTTAAGTAGTCTCGCCGTTTATTATTTTATAAGGTAAAACTTACCTCGCGTTATAATATTACAACACGACATTATCACGCGGTTAAAAGGTAGCTATGTCTAATAACGGGTAAACTATAAATAAGATTGGTTCAAAATAAATTCAACATTTTGACAAGTATATTAAACCGCGTATAACTACCGGTAAACGCCTTCTTATCATAAAAAGTTATAAATGTCACCATTTTAAGTCTTTAAAAGTTATTACTAAAATAACAACATTATTACTTTTTATATGCCTACCTATTCTTTTTATAACCTGTAGCCTTTAAATGTTAGCTGTTTTAACCCGCTTAAACGAGCTTATAATAGCTTAATTAAAGATCTTATCCGGTGTTATATAACTTATATATCGAAAAAAGACTTTCTTACAACGTTTTATAAAGCACATAACGTTGTTATAACGCCGGAAAACGTTTGAGAAGGTTTCAATGTCACTGGCCTTGTTTCTTTTAACTTAAAAAGTGTTATTTCAAAGCTAAATATTATCACTATCGTATAAACATCGTCGTTAAACTTTAAAAACGCCTACTGCTATTACTAAAGGGTGACCTAGTCGATTGATATTAAAAATTAAATTAAAAACCACTACAAAAGCTCACTTATATTAATCATTAATATATAAGCTCGTTTTTAAAAGCTACATTCAGTCTTATATATGAGGTCGCTTTGGTTAATTCTTCGGTCCACGAGCTAAAAGAGGCCAATCATTTACTAAGTAAATACCGGAGGACAAAAACCAAACGTCTAATAAAAGGGGGAGTACTTTTTGTTAAAGATGCAGTAGGTTTTTAAGCTGTAAAGGATGGTATTAAGCTAGTAAGATAGAGAATGAGTAAAGGTAGTCGTTATTTAAAAAGGGCGGCAGCGCGTAAGCAAAGATGTAGCGCTTGTATTAACACTAGCTATAATGCGTGAACTTATATGATAAAGATAAAAACTTCTAAAAGAGAAAAATATGATTAAATAAATCAAACTAAATATATTCCAATGAAGTTATTTAATATAGTAGTTAAAGAGTTTAGACGAGTGTTAACTCGCTTATAATGCCAACTCGCTTATTAGTTACGTTATATTAAAACTACGTATTAATTTATTAAATTAAACAATTCGTTATATATAGAAAAGACCGTAAAGTATTTTAAACCGTTAAAATCCTACTTATAAAAGACCCTTGATTTAAACTAAAATGTCAAACTTTAGATTGCGAAATACTGTTCATTCGTTCGTATATTATCTAAGTGTTCCACTACTACCTGAGGTAGACGTATTTATATGCAAATACAGTACTAACGCGTCCTGTTGCCGTAGCGGCTGAGCAGTAGGGCAACGGTCACTAGTTGACCGTTTCTATGGAGCACACACCACCCCTGATCCCCCGCGCACACACCACCTCTAACACACTCCTTGAGCCACCCTATCTGACATAAGATAACTTATTAAATAATCATATTATTACGGTTATTTATAAATATTATTACTTTTGACAATAATTCTTTTTAAAGATAGTTTATATGCGTAAACCTAGATTTCTACCGTTTTTCAGCGCTAAACCGAATATATACGGTAATTTCCTTCCTTATTTTAATGCTACTAATAGATTCCGGTGTTAAATGCCTATATATTTCTGCATCTCGCCCCGCTCCCGCCCCTACGGGGTATTGTGTCTCGTGAGTACGGTATTGCCAGATGTTGTTAATATTACTACATAGCGTTTTACGCATGTTTATGTATTTAGAAGTGTACATATTCATTATTACGTTTTTTGAGTTAATAACCGCTTAGGTCCTAAAAACTCTCATAAATGCCGCAGACATCTGATATACCTAACTATAAGATTTTCTGATACAGCCAAGTTTATCTCTCCAGTCCCCAAGCGCCCGTAGATCTGCGCCAAGTAGTAGCCTTGTATCTTAATGCGTCTCTTGGGACATACAAACAAAGCGTTTTGCTTACCTCTGCAGGTACAATACTTTCATGATGAGAGCATTGTCCGTGAAACAAGAAGTGCAGTATGAGCGTGACAGCGTTGTTGTTCTTCAGGAAGAGGTCGACTGTTTGTTGGTGGTTGTTGGATTAAGGGTAAGCCTGGAGGGCACCTTGATAGGTAGACACCGGAACCTAGTTGTTCCGTCCCGATCCAGCCCCCTCTGGCACAAAACCGCCACGGTCGCACGAGGACACTCCAGACAGAGAGAAGACACACACACACACTTCACTCTGACGATTGGCTCAAATCTAACAGTGACTGCTCACACATGAGCAGCATCTCGCTCGTCTGCCCTACTATTTTACCCGCTAATGCCCCTGCCAGCGGCCCCTTCACCCGTGGCAGCGGTCTATTCGGCGTCCCATATATTTTTGTAATGGCCAAGACTTCTAACCGCCGCCACGTTACATCGCTCCCTGCGGAGCGCGGCACAGCCCAGTTCGCATAGACCTGAACAACAAGTGTTGGTTCACGCCTGTCAAGAAGACACGTTGTTGTGGCCTTCAGCACAAATTCCGGTTCAACTGACCGGCTCGAGACTGCACGCAACCGCTGCACTTTCACTTCTGAACTTCTGGGTTGTTATGCGCCATCGGGCCGCTACTTTACTATTGGCCGATATCTGCTTTCGGGATTCGAGAATCTAGGCTTCAGGCGGCCCGCCAATACCCTCGCATCCTGCCGTCCGACGCGGCCGGTGCTCCCCCCAATATGGCCACACTGCCGCGGCGAAAGCTAAGGCTTATCGCCCTCCAGCTGGTTGCCGCCCTTTTCATATGCTACGTTCTGTATGCCCGCCATGGAGACCTGCCCAAGGCCCCTTTGTTGGAGTCGGCCCGGCTCGCGTCGTTCATGAACACCGACCCGCCCAAGGTCACGCCGGTCAAGAGCAGTTTTGATTGGAGCCACGTGAAGCTCGAGCACCTGCCCCTTACCAAGTCTTCATCGAAACTCCATGACAGCCCTAAGGTTACGTTCCCCCGGATCCAGCACCGGTTCGAGACAGAGTCCCCAGCCGCTGCCGAGCAGCGGTTGTCGAGACGCGAGGCCGTTCGCCGCGTTTTCCAGCGAGACTGGGAACACTATCGCCAACATGCTTGGCTGAAGGATGCTGTGAACCCCATCTCAGGGAGCAGTAAGGACCAATTCGCAGGCTGGGCCGCGATGTTGGTGGACTCTCTAGACGCGCTGTGGATTATGGGGCTTCGAACCGAGTTCGATGAAGCGGTTGCCGCCGTGGCAGGCATCGATTTTGGTCACGCTAGTTCCAGCCGCGTCAACATGTTTGAGACGACGATTCGCTATCTCGGCGGCCTGCTTGCGGCCTACGACCTGAGTGGTCGCGATGTATTGCTCACGAAGGCTGTAGAGCTCGGCGACCTGCTTTACGCGGGTTTTAACACCCCGAACCAGATGCCTGTCGACTTTATCGACTTTGAGCGCGCCAAGTCTGGGAAGGGCCTCACGGTCGAGTCCTGGGTCGTATCCGCCTCTCCTGGCTCGCTTTCCATGGAAATGACGCGCCTCTCACAGGTTACTGGCGACATGAAGTACTTCGATGCTGTGATGGGCGTCATGCGCGTTTTTGAGGAGCAACAGAGCCGCACACGTCTGCCGGGTCTGTGGCCGATTTGGGTCTCGATGAGGGACAAAGACGTCAGCGCACGGAGTGAGTTTACGCTCGGTGGTAGTGCTGATTCACTGTTTGAGTATTTACCTAAGATGTATGCTCTTACCGGCGGCTGGGAACCCATGTACGGGACCATGTCCAAGTCGTTCATGGAAGCGGCCAACAAACACATGATCTTTCGGCCGATGCTGCCGGATGAGCAGGATATTCTCATGTCAGGCAACGTGAAAGTGGACAGCAATGGGGCCTCTTCCTTCGACCCCGAGACCGAGCACCTGACCTGTTTCATTGGGGGGACAATGGCACTGGGTGGGCGACTTTTTAACCAACCCCACGACGTTGAGACGGGTACCAAGCTGGCCAAGGGTTGCGGATATGCATACCGTGCTTTCACAACCGGCATCATGCCCGAGAGGATCGACATGCTTCCCTGCGATCCGCCGCGCGCATCAGTATGCAAATGGGATGAGGATGTCTGGATTCAGGAACGACAAAAGAGACCCGAGTACAAGGAGCATCTTCCTAAAGGCTTCACAACCGCCAAGGATCCCCGATACCTGCTTCGGCCCGAAGCTATTGAAAGCATCTTCGTTAGCTACCGTATCACCGGGGACCCTGAACTGCTCGAGATGGCGTGGGATATGTTCAGAGCGGTCGACAAGGGCTCGGAAGCCCAGTATGGGCACGCGTCGATCAAGGATGTGACCCAAGCAGTTGATGATTTACCGAAGGAGGACTACATGGAGGTGAGTGCTTCTTGTCTCAATATGCTGGCTGATCAATGTCGTACTGATTCTTGCGCAGAGCTTCTGGCTCGCCGAAACGCTGAAATACTTTTATCTCATATTTTCCTCGCCGGACCTGATTAGTCTTGACGAGTGGGTGCTTAATACAGAAGCTCACCCATTCAGGATACCAGCGTGAGACAGCAGCCACGCAGAACTATGATTGGGAAGTGGTTCCGATGCAACTGACATATTGCGATTGATTTGCGAGTTAGTGTCGAATTTTGAGAATGCACATATGAAACATTTAATGCACTATGCACACCAGTGCATTCACTTGTGCAAAACTTCAGCCCTTCTGACCTTCCTCATAACCCACCAAGTGACCAAGCCCCTGAGCACCATCAACGACGGCACGCCCACCCCGACCCCAACACCGACCCCCAGCTTCCACGTATCGTACTCATCCCTGCGTGCTTCCGATGCCTCTTCCTCCAGGTAAGTCCGGACGATGTCCTCCTGCCCGGTGAACTGCTGCGAAGAGTCGCCCACGGCTGCGACAGAGGAGTACGGCCCGCCCTGCTGCTGTGCCTATTCGGCTTCTGGCTGCGCGATGCCGATGATGTTCAAGATGTTGCGCGCGGCGCCGCTGCGGGCTTCGCCAGCGCTTAGGTTCGGTGCTTTGCGCCGTGGGGAACGTGTCGAGGATCTCCCTGGGTGTGGATGTGTAGAACGAGTCCGTTGTGTCTAGACCGGGTCAGCAAATCTTCCGAACCCGTTCCCTCCCTTCGCCTTTCCCACAAGACGGAGCCCTTGGTCTTCGCTACCGCGTCTTTGACCTCGCCTACCCATCCACCCCCCCCCCTTTCCACTTCTCATCGGAGCTGACCTGGGCTGGCTGGACTTCAACTTACTAGTGTCCCACTTAACGCCGACGAACGACGCCTTGTGTTGAATGGGAGCCGGAGATAGACACCGGAAGGTCTCCAGTGGGGCAGAGACTCACAGGGCATCTGACCCACCAAGAAGACAGATGATCAATCTCTGCACGCAGAGCAACACAATCAATAGAATCAATCAACATCCGTGTATTCAACACCTTGCGTTGGTGAACGTCCACCTGATGCGCACAGGCGTGTTGGGCACCGCGTTCTTCCAGGTGATGTTGTACGACTTGCTCATGAGCAGCATCGCCGCATTGCTCCCCTCTTCGCCATCGTAGTAGGGATACGCGTAGGCTGGGTATGTGCACCCGTCCGCGGAATGCGACGTCGAGCACCAGCGGAAGGGCGTCAGGCAGATGCTCTCGCAGTCACGCTTCGTGGGGTCGAAGGCGCTTCAGGGGCCTATTAGGAAGGTGGCTAGGAGCAGTAACTGGGTGAGCGTGCGAGGTTTGATCGCCTGCATCGTTACTATCTTTTTCTCTTGGGGACTAAAAGATCGATTTTTTATGGTTGCTGTGGCTCTTCTTTGCTGGCAGGGGTGCAGAAAAATAAGGATATAAGGTCTAGATGATGGATGATGAATGTCACGGTTTTGTCGGTGGAGTCGAGAGAGATCACAGTCGAGACGACTTGATGTGCTCATGGGTACCAACCGCTTCATATCGCATACCCCGTTGTCCTGTAGCATGCTAGCCTCTAGGTCGCAGACTCATGTCGGATACTTGGCTTATATTATTTTTAGAGATATGGATATCCCTTGAGAGCACCATATGTTCTAGTCCGAATCGTTAATACTTGGCATGCATGTCTGTCTCTAAAGATAGAGACCCCAACGTCCGCACCAAGATCCCTCCTCGCCAGACTGATACACGGAGCCGGGATTCCAGGGTAGAAGGTTCATGTGCGGAATTCCTTAAGTCCCTATTAGGCAGGGCTTGAGGTAGGTGTGCCAAAAGTGGCCCATGATACATCCAAGTCGCGCCAGAACAACCTGTTCGCCGAGAACCGGGATTCGGGAGTCACACACAGAACCTCACGTACACCGTTTGCATCCTCATGGGTAGCCGCTTGGCGTCGCATACTCGGCACCGTATAGCACATACTCGGCATTCCAACACTGATTTCCGATATCGTGACTTGATTTGAGGTGAGCTTCGAGTCACGGCCCCTCTTTCACACAAACGGGTGGGTTCGGTGACTCTATTCTGATCCGTGTTGATACGGAGTCTTGTGAGTCTCTGCTGTGGTGTTGAGATTTGGATGAAGTTTCTAGATGTGAATGGCTCCGGAAGGAGGAGGTGCACGGCCTCAGGATTACTATTGCTGTTCTGGGTGACTGCCCGGGGCACCATAAAAGGGTTTAGCCCACCTCCAATGCCACAGCCTTCACACACACACGAACACATACACCAATATAGCAGTATTTTCCTGCAACAGTTACCCACGATCATATGATAGTCCTGAGGCCTGATTGGGCAGTCTCCACTGACCATGTCACCATGCAGCTTCAGCTACTCGATGGATCTTAGTGAGGGGTCGCTTCACGCTGGATACGGTAGCATAACAGCTTTCATCGAGACAGATCCACAATCCATGACTTTCCCTCAGTGCTCACAGGGACGGTTCAGACAGTGTGATACTCTCCTTGTTCTCCAATTACGATGTCTTCTTTCGACGTGAAGAGCAAATTCGCCATTGTCACCGGAGCCGGCAGTGGTAAGTACCTTGTCACTATTCCAAGACATGCTATACTTTTTTCCAAGAGCTGACACGCATAAAAACGCCAGGTATCAACCATGCTTTTGCCGAGCAGCTCCTGAATGGTGGATGTTTGGTGATCTTTGCCGACGTCGCCCTGCGTCCTGAAGCCGAAGAAATGCTGGCGAAGTTCCCTTATCCAGCGAAAGACGGAGCGCCATCCGCAGTCTTCCACCAGATGGACCAGTCCGACTGGTCTCAAATCTCTGAGACCTGGGACGTTGCCCTAAAGACGTTTGACAGAGTCGATCTGTTTTGCCCTGAGGCAGGTATCTGGTCAGTAAATTACTGCACAGGCTTCCCCCTAATACTAGCATGCGTGTCTATAGACCCGGCAGCGTCACCCTTGCCCTTCATCAAGAGATGGGAGTCTTATGAATGAGAACCTGAAGGTCTGACATGCGACAGGGAACCCCCAACCACTACCTTCTGGAATCCCCCAGGCGTTTCCCTTGAATGCAAGGACGATCTCAAAGCCCCACCCGGAGTCTATTAGATCTCCGCCGTCAACCTCATGGGCCCGATCCGGTTTACCTAGCTGGTCTCTAGAACAAGGTCGCCGGCAACCTGGTCTTCGTGGCGTCTCTCAACGCCTACCTGTCCTCCATCGGCACGCCCCTGTACAATTCGAGCAAGGCTGGACTCTGCGCCTTCGCCATGAGTCTGGCGCAGATGCGGTCTCGCCTTGAAATCCGGGTTGCCGTCATATGTCCGGCAACAATATTCATACCGGCCGTCGTGAAGGAATATTATGTCGGCAAGGTCCGGGAGGAAGACATGAACATGACGTCTGTGGAGTGCGCTGAGGTCATGTTGAGCATAATGACTGATGCGCAGTATGGCAATAGCCAGGTCGTTGAGGCGATGCGATTTGGCACCGAAGAGAAGCCGGACATCAAGGTGCGTATTGTGTCTTGCGGCACCCTGCTGCCGCCCATTGACCCCAGTGGCGACTTTAGTGGCAAGAATATCTTGGTCAAGGAAGAGAAGGGTCTGGAAGAAACTGAAGACGAAGGGCATGAGATCCTGATATACGGCCGTATGGCGCAATGGTCAAATGCGCCTGGTTGTGTTCTCGTTTGTGCGGTGGGCGACGAGAACAAGTGGGTTCGAATCCTGCCATGGCCCCCTTCTGACCCGGCTTGTGCGAGTTGACAACCAGCACACGACAGTGGAGAGGCCCCTTATCGCAGAGCCCGATAGCCAAGCAGCTTGTCTCCACAACACCCACTCCTGCGAGGTTTTTTCCCCTTATAGTTTCCCTCGCCAGCAGATAACAAACACCTACTTCACCCACCAATGCGACATATATCGAACAGCTACTGGAACGATGTGTATACCAGAGGACTGAGGTTCACTGGGTCGACCGCTTTGTCACTGGACAGGAGGTTTTTCTGACGGAATTGTGCTTGGGTATTGACTAAAACCATCTGGTCACTCCAGATTGGGACCGCTACAGCGAGGATAGGCTCGTGCGCGGATCTGAATGTATCTAGACTGACACCTCTACAACCTCGCGATGCAATGGCCCTGGGAGGCGTGGTTTTCCCTATGGAAGGACTGCACCCACGATAAATACAATCAATCAATCAATCAATCCTGATATACATCAGGCTGCGAAAAAAAGCTAATTTCCTTCAGTAAAGGTGGCTGTGTTAGGTAGGTAGAGCTCCAGTCAGCAGATTGCTGATGACAGTCTTCAAAAATAAATGATCTCAAGTCCATAAGCTCTTTTTATCAAGGGGTCAGAGACTCTTTCTTGACCCCTGGTGCCCAAACAATGAATACTTCGCAGGCAGAATATGGACATGTGAAATCGAACTGACCTGATAATTTAGTCCCAATAGGCAGGGCAGGACATTGCTACGGGGATTTCCCTCTAGTCAACATGTGAACACTATTCGGTAGTCGTGTGTCCTGGCACAGCGCGTGACATTGCATGCATTCACCACGTTCTCTCGTATTTTACCGAATCAGAAATTGCGCTGGGCTTTGGTAGTTCTTCGGTTCCGGGATAACCATGTCGCTGTATATCTCAATGTTGTCCCGCGTTGTCTTAAAGGGCATGGGGTCCATCCGCATCACAAGATTTGAAAGCATGATGCGGAGCTCCGCACAAGCCAGGCTAGAGATGTATCGGTCAGCTACAAATTTCTAAAGGTGTAACAATGATTCTGATAGATGTGAGCCATGGGGGATTAACGTACTTGATGCCCAGACAGCCCCGGGTGCCTTTCAAAAACACGACAAGATATTGTTTGAGCCGCTGCCGCGTTTTGGCGTCGCCTATCCACCGCTCTGGCTCAAAAACATTTGGGTTCGGAAAGATGGCGGGATCGAAGTGCACGTGGGACGCTGACAGCGATACGGCGGTGCCCGGGGGGATGACCCAGTCGTTGTACAGGAGTACGACAGTGCGGATCTCGGCACGCAGTTTCGTGAGTTGGTCCGGATTTTCAGTCAGGTGCCAGAGCGCCGATGTCAATGCCCAGGACGTTGTTACCGTCCCGGCGTTAATAAGGACTCTCGCTTCCGCTTTGAGGCGTTCGGGTGTCTTTTCAGATGGTGGTAAGTCCGGACTGGCGATGATCTCTCGGAACACCGTCAGGTGACCTTTGTCCTCCCATGATCTGGCGCAGCATGTTATATTTGGCTGGTGGGGCGGGATAGGAGCACTTACTGTTGAATACACGGATGTTGATTGATGGATCCTATCTTGTTCTGCTCTGTCTGCAGAGATTGATTATCTGTGTTCTTGGTGGGTCAGATGCCCTGTGCGTCTCTACCCTACTGGAGATCTTCCGGTGTCTATCTCCGGCTCCCATTCAACACTTACCCTTTTCGCCAGTGCCAGGCACAATGCGTCATAATCTATGAGCATCTTAACCCGTGGATTCAAAAAGAGGACGATATGGTCGGATAGGCTATTGAACACAGGCATGACAAGCGGACTCAACTTGGCCAGGTGTC